CAACCCCTGCCCCACCATCTGTACTTTTTCTTCGTCTTCACCCTTCAATTCATCACACTTGGCAAGTCAGTCTGCGGACTATTGTTGATAATAGTTCCCCCGCGGTAGTGTTAAGCGTTTTCTGAAGAACAACACGCAGAACAAGATGCGCGTTGGCGCAAAGGGTAAGCTACCCGGTCGCAAAACAAACATCTGAGAAGTCCAAATGCTGACAAAACCCCTCCCAGCTGCTGTCTATGTCACTGCTGTCCTTGAATACTTGACCGCTGAAGTTCTCGAACTGGCCGGAAATGCTGCCAAGGATTTGAAGGTCAAGCGTATCACTCCTCGTCACCTGCAGCTCGCCATCCGCGGAGACGAAGAGCTGGACACCTTGATTCGCGCCACCATCGCCTTCGGTGGTGTCTTGCCGCGCATCAACCGTGCTCTGCTGCTCAAGGTGGAGCAGAAGAAGAAGGGCAAGAGCGATTCCTAATTTACGGCGGATACCCCCACGATTATGGCGTTTTTAGATGACGATCGAGAACTGTCTGCTGCGACGAACGACCTTGATGACTGGTTCAAATTGATAGGTTACGGGAGGGAAGTGGTGGACGACGGCCAAACCTGGAAAAGGAAAACCGAAAATAAAAGAAAGAGGGCACCATCGCAAGGGCAGATGTCCTAGCAGACAACTATACCGATTCTCCGTCGACATTTTCTATTTGGCGTTCAATCCCTTTTCTCCGCTCTACGACGTTGCAGCTCGACACGAACTTTGCTCTCTATTCCCGATGGTTATTCTCCTTTTTGCTGATCTTTCGAGTCTGTTTTCTCCGCTTTATATGCTCCGTTTATACCGTTTGTCTCGAGTTGCCAGGGCGCTGTAATGGGTCAAAAAGAGGGTATCTCGGTAGTGGGGAACGGGTTCTATATTCCTGGATTCTTATTTTTCTTCTGCTGGTTCCTTTTTTGTGATGTGTGTGTTTTAATTGATTGACGGTGTTGAGTGCTTCGTCCTTTTGACGTGATTTGTATCAGTAGGCTAGTTTTGCTTAATATAACTGATAAAACGCCGAATATTGTTTGGCTTTGTCAATGGTATATCGGTAGGACGTTTTAATCAACCTCGTAGGATGAAGCGTGTTTTCGGAAATATATCTCACGTTTATTACTGTCCCTTATCTTTAGTCTGCCTTGCGGAGAAATATACAATGGAGCACGCATGTTCTCATCGAAGCCGATGATCTGTTTATCTGCAAGGGACATTCTAGTTACGCGTCTGGCAGGTTGGAATGAACAGATGGTTTGTTCGATAGATCCAGTCAATATAACACATACATTTATTGGCGATCTTGAGAAGAGAGGTAAGAGTACTAAAGACGATTCCTAGGGCGATAAAGGAATAATATCTCAAACAGGAGCGGCCTTGATGGTATCGAAAGGCCATTAGAAGTAGCAAGACACCTGGTTGCAAATCGAGGGATAATAAACAAAAGCCAACCCTGTGTGGAGAGAGGACACTGTCGAGAGTGGGAATAGACATGTCCACTCAGCCATCCACCATCACCCACAGCTCTGCCACCATTCCCCCCTGCGTGGAGGGGAATCGGAAAAGCCATGCATGTAAGAGGAGAAGTGCGGACAAGTGCATCATGGACGGATATCCACCCGACAAGTTCCCGCAAACAGCGACAAAAACCGCCCCGTGGTCGAGATTGAAACAGCTGAGGAAAAAGAAGAGAAGGGAAAACAGATTAAAAAGCAATGCAGTCGCCCCATATACAAAAGCCAAACAATATGCAAAATGCTGGTATGTCGTCTCTCTTGCCGTAGTAACAAGACATCGGTATTCTTTTTTGTCATCCGTCGTAGTCTTCTTGTAGATAAAAAATGGGGGTTGTTTTGCTTTCCGCCGACAGACACTGCTCGAAAAGAGAAGAAAGAAATAAGAGTATAAATAGATGAATAATGCTTCTGCATGCAAGGCGCCCGGCGTCTCAAACGGTGGAAGAGCGGTCTTTTTTTGGTGGTAGATTTTTTTTCATATGTCGCCCCGAGAAACAAAAACATATAGAGCGTCGGTGCAAATAGCGTGTGCCTGGTGGGCTGTCCCATAAAACGTCTAAAACTTGGCTAGAGCAAAGAAAAACGATTTTCTTTTGGTTGGGTTCTCTTGGTGGAGTGTCGTCTCGTCATCCCTCATCGAATCGTAAGCCAGTAATCGCGGTACAGGATCAGGGCCTCGTGATATAAGAGTCGTATGCGTCTTGTGGCAAAGCAATCTAACAAGTTTCGTCGTCTTCATCGCCCATCATAAAGGTTCTTACTCCACAATAATCTCTACACCTGAGTTGGTGCGTAATTCGTCGCTGCCACGCGGCTGGTGTCCGTTCTGGCGTCGAAAACCAGGGCCCTTCTCGGGCAGGGGGCCTCTCGGCTGCCTAATTGGCATGCGCTCCTGTGTCTGTCCGTCAAATCCCACTCCGATGGATCGGTTACTACCGATGGGTCCAGCACTGGAAGACTGACTTTCCGGCTGTTCCCAAGAGAACATACCCCGCAATCTCCTTGGGCTCGCATTGGGCCCTCCGATTCCCGTTCCCAGAGACAGGTTGCTCAAGCTGTTCATCAGCAGGTTGTCGTCGCGCTGCATGCCAAGAGACGATCCGGACGGGGCGGGCGTCAGAGTCGGAGTGTTGGAAGCGCCGCTGGTCGCGCCATCATAGTGCTGAAGGCGCGCTCCATTCGATTGCAGGGCGGCAGGAAAGCTCGCCGAAGAAGGCACGGGAGATGGAGTATACGAGCGCAAGTCGGCAAAGGACTTGGCGGCCCGCAGGTTCTGTGTGTTCCCAAAGTTCCCAGGCGAGTCCAGAACGCCCAAGAATCCCGACGCTTGTTGACGGAGGGTGTTGTACGGTCCAGGGCCCTCTTGGCGCGCTTCGCTGAAATCGATCGTAGCCGCACGGTTCAGACCGCGACGAGCGGACTCAGATGGGGGTACCGCGGCCGGAATGGAAGACAGCGGGGGACTCACGTTGGAGCCCGGCGCGACCTTGAAAACGTGGACCTGTCGTTGATCACCAGAGCCGCGAGAAGCATGTCCCAGACCCATGTTGTGAGCAAGCGTATGCACCGTGCGGCGTTGGATGGGGGACAAGTTGGACGGGAAGACCAAGGTGTCGCGACTGGGATCCTCCTTGAAGAGAAGCAGCTGGGAGTAGTACGAAAGCGTGGTGCTGTCGTTCAAGTCGACTTCTAGAGATAGCGCCACATTAGTTTCGCGAATAAGTGAAAGGAAAACAATATAAGGGGGGACAAAAGAACACAATGTCACAACTATTTTGACTACTTACCCAGCTTTTGACCCCGCTGAGAAACGGGAGACGGGGACGTGGCGGGAAGATGAGAAGCCAACGAGGACATGGAACTCTGGGTCTGCAGCTGAGTGGTAGCGATGGGCCGGTGTTGCTCCTCCAGCTGGCCACGCCGTTCGCGCTTCTCCCGCTCGATGCGTTCGCGTTCTTGAAGAGGGAGCATTTTCTTGTACTCGACCCGCAATTTGCGACCCTGAAGTTCAAAGTGGTTCAGAACCTCGATCACGGTGGCCGTCTCCTCGGCAGAGGTGAAGTTGGCGAAAGCCAGGCCCCGAAATACGCCGTTGTCAAAGTGGTAGTTGAACGCGTAGGGCAGAGGCAGGTTCAGCTCGGTCATCAGCTGCACCAGCTGTTCCTTCTTGACAGCGAACGGGATGTTCTTAATGACGATGGCGGTGGGGATCAACTCATCGTCACCCTCCGAGGTCCCGGAGGGCTCGGAGCGCATTGCGCCACCTTGGAGGGGGCCAGGACCGAGGTTGGAGAAGGGACTGGGAATGCCAGGCTGTTGGTCGAGCCAAGTCTGTCGATAGTCGTTAGGCACATTCGCGCGGGAGAGGGGGTGAGGGGAGAGCGAGGCAGGACGTACCGTGGGGAGACCGGCGCGACCAGGGCGAGAGGTGGTCTTCAAACTGGCGGAGGCGGAGCGGATGCCCCCGAGGGCCTGGGCGTTTGCGAAACCATTTGGATTCCAGGTTTGAGAGCCGGGCAAATCATAAGCATAAGAGTTGTTGTGCAGCGACGGGTTCAAGCGGTCCAATCGGCCGGTGTCATAGCGAGCCATGGGGTCATCGTAGAGGTTGACCGGCATGGGACCGTAGGCGTCGAACTGTCGGGATGGCTGACGATGCAGGGTCTGCTGGTGACGCTGGGAACCCGGCGACCGCGCAGAGGAATTATCGTGATACATGTCCTGCGCTTGTTGATAACTCATGGCGGCTGAGACGAGAGGATCTCAGAGCACAAGCAAAACCGAGGAATGTGGGCACCGAAATCCACCACAACACAAAACCCGTTCAATATCCCGATCAAGACTGCGCGGACTACTCAGAACATAGGAGCGACCGTACCGGCGCAGAAAGTCACAACTCAGGAGGATAAGGCGACAGTTTGACGATGGTTGGTGGTGGGGGGAACCGAAGCGTGGGCCTTTCTCGGAGGGGGTGGGAAAAAGGAATTTGCGACGGAAAGGGGTGGTGAATGTCTGGTAGTTGACGACAAGAACCAGAAAAACACCAACACCGAGGTAAATGATAGATCAGATCAGCGATAGTCCGATGTTGAACAGAATCCGCGAGATCAGCCCAACAACCACAGGTCAACCGCTCAAAGGTGTAGAATTATTTGTCTCGTGATGGAGATGGGGGTCATCCAGGATCCGTAGGTCAGCGTGTCCTCCGGCGGAGTTTCCGAGCCTTTTGTTTTTTTCCTTTCCTTCTGTCGTCTTTCTTGGGAGGTTCCAAGAAAGAATTATAAGAAAAGAAAAGAAAAGATAGGAGGGGAAAAAGCAATATCAAATATCAAACGGGGACGAGGTCGTGGCCGAAAAATAGATCATCAAACCGAATCCCCCCGGAAAGATTAGGGAGGAAAAGGGAAGGGGGGAAAAGGAAGAAAAAAGAAAATAAAGGCCACCCGAGAGAGGGAATCTCGAGGGATGAATGGTGGTCGAGGGGAGTAGGGGGAAAAGCGGGTGAAGAGAGGGAATAGAAGGGAAGAGGAGGAAGAAGAGGAAGAGGGAGAAAGAGAGAGAGAAAGAGTAGAAGTGGTGGTGGTGAGGGAAGTGGAAATGGTGGTGGTGGTCCGGGAGACGGGGAGAAAAAGCACGCTCTGCACCGTTCGTGGGCCGCCCAATCGGGTTTAGCGGGGGAGGTCTAGTATGCATTGAATGCATTCAATCAGCGTCTCTTCACGTAGAGCAAGAATTATATGAAGGTCGAGGGTCAAGACAGAGACCCCAAGAGGATGAATGCAGGAAATCCATGGGTGGACTTACAGGTGAATCACCACAGATCGGACGGACCTGAAGATGCAGGTATCTAGTGCAATTGAATTGAATGTATCAATTGGTGAGGATGCAGTTCAACCGATCCAACTGTCAACTCTGATACGAGTCACTTGGGCCTGCAACGGGAAGATCGAATCCGATCCAGAGAATTCTCCTCACTAGTGGCGGATATGGATGCTGTTCGTGCGTTTCCCGTGGTTGGGACAGCGGCCACTCTCCCACTCTTATATGATGCATGAAAATCCCCTGTGGATTTTCCGGTTCCTATACTCGGTGCTCAGGAGTCTGGCCGAGTGGGTTCCCTTTCTTTCACCTCGATAATAATAACAACGGTAATAAGGATGATAATAATAACAACACTAAGAATAAGAACGTCCGTCAGTCTCCTGGATTCTTTCCGGGTGAATTTTGGTATTTTTAATTTTGGGTAATCTTAAATTCCTCGTCGGCTCTCCTTAGTGGCGGAGGCAACGTATCTTAAAAAAGGTTGAGAAGTGGGCACGATTCCATACAGAGTAAAAACAAAAACACAACAAAAAGGGGAGTCCACCACTGGATGGTCTATAAGGTACTTTTGCACGCCTCGGTAAAGAGCATCCAATGTTTCAAAAAGAGGCCAAATTCGAAGAGGGAAAAAGCAATCACCACATCACATTCGCCTCGGGCTGCAGGGCGCGATCGATAGGTATGAATTCAGTGATTTCACCATGGTGATGATTACATATTTATATGGATACCAACCTTGGGCGCCCTCCGATTTTGCCCCTGGAGGCAAAAATCAAGAGCCACTGACCTCCAATTGCCATCATCCTCCTGGAGCATCATAGTACTACGGAGTACAGGTACCTACTCCGTATGTACCTAGGTATCATAGCCCTTCTCCAGTTTCCCCATCCATCTCTGCCCCTCCCACAGGGCCCTCTTCCCTACAGAGTACAGTAGCTTCAGAACCCCTTCATGAATGAATAATAAGGCACTCCATTCTCGTTGAAGCTTTCACCGTCTTCCACAAGCTCCTTTCAACTTCCCCTCTTCGATTGTTTCAGCCCGACTGAGAGGGACCTGTCTCTCGACCCCCTTACAAAACCTCCATTTCATCCCACCCCGCCTGGGCATGTCCCCCTCTTTCCCCTTCTCCCAGCACGGGGAGCTAACTACCTGACTAGTAGGAATTATTAGGGGTGTTGGCCGGAGAGATTCTTAGTGTGGTTGGAGCCGGAATTCCCTCACGCCGCCATGAAGATCCAATCCTCGTTCCTGGCTCCGGGACACTCCCGGCTAACCATCACTGACCCTCATTCTCGCTCGACTCCCCTTTCCACGAGGAACTAGATGAAGCACTAGTCCCGGACTTGCCTCCTGTTGGCTCTTCCCACCCGGACCTGTGGTGATGGTTCCGGCCGGTGGCTTTAACGCGTCCTCAGGGTGTGGGTTGGGATCCGCCCTGGGTGGGTAAGGCAATTCCATATTAAACCATCACCTCCGAACTGGGAGCTTCCGTGTCCACAGGAGCTCATCCTGATCTTCCTTCTCGCGAATCCGGAAGGCCAGTGTATGATCCGAACGTCAGAGGCTGTCATCCTCATCATACCCTGTAATCGGGGTCATTTCGACCCTACGTACATACTCCGTAGTGTACAGGTACGTAGATGTTCCGGCTTCCGGCGGGCGACTGACTCGTTGATACTCCTGACAACTCCCTACTGTCTGCGGCACGGGGGTTGCCACATTCGTAATGACACGGACGCTGTTCTCCCTGCTCATATTTTCCCCTCTTATTACCGTTATGATCGATGCTTGAGCATTGTTCACCTACGCTATCTACTTGACACGCCCTTTGTCCGATGGCGCGGTCCTCCGAGATGAGCAACCCCTTAGTCGAACAACACAATCGAACGCTCCCAGACACTGCCTACGTACGGACGCCTCGGCTCCGACCAATCAGGGCATGGAAAAAGTAAAGCTCTCTACTAGGTAAAATATCCAGAACACTTAGTTAGACCAGACAGGAGAAGTGGCGGAGGGGAGTCCCCGTAGAGCTCCCCGATGGGGAAGCCAAGTATCGGCGGTTTGGCATTAACACCCACGCTAGAACCCACCAGAGTGTCACCAGAACCTGTTCGATGGAGACGTCAGATTGGCTCCTGAACGGGTCCCTCCGCGGATGGCCGGGAATCCTTCCTGTCCTTCACCGTCAAGGGGCCGCATGTGTCATCTGTCAGTCACTGCAACAGGCTCCCTCCCACAATATAAACCAGCTTATACTGCACATCGAAGGCATACTGCATGCGTTAGGCCCGCCTTATGAGGACCCTCCCAGGGCTGTCCTCCCTCCCTGTCGAGACGACCCCCCCTACCCCGTAGCGTGGCTCGGGGGGGCACTGCCTGGACGATCCCGGCGTGGACTAAAATCCCAAGCGCCCCTATAGAACATTCTTAGTCTGTTTCCACGACGAATAGTGGCCCCTCCCGGATGGGACCAGGGAAATGGAAATGGGAATTGGAAGACACCAAGAAGGCCGCGAGTGGGGAGGAATAAATCGCTCTGGATCATCGTCAGGAGCTCCAGGCGTCTCGTCCTCGTCCTCCGTCCTCCGTAAGCAACGACAATCCTACCAACAGGGGGAGGCCTGCTGCTCATCCCCATTACGTGATTCGAATGATTGTCGTAAGCGGCCCAGTAGATAGATAGTCTCAGGTGAGGAGTCTCACTTGACCTCCCATGCATGCAGCCCGCTTGGCGGTGGCTACGCCATATGACCAATCTGATAGATGCGAATGCCATACCAAAGCCGAGGACGGGCATTGAGAGGCGGTCATCCATATCGCCCGTGAACATATCGGACATCAGGTAACATGAAGAATTACGTGAAAGTAAGAAGACTGCCTAGGTATCCGTGTGGCTCAGAGTGGCAACGTCCGGCAGCCGTCTGCACGCCATACGGAGTACATCAAAGACATCAGGCTGCAGCGGCGATTTGGTTTCATCTGTTCATTGGACCGCCGATTAGATGCAATGCTTGTGTTTAAGAGTAATGTCCACCATTCGGACGGAGGAAGACTGCTTGACATCGTCTGAGTACATGCGCGGCACCGTCCATTGCCCCTTAAACGGTCTCAGGTGTCAACCTACTTGAACCAAACAGTTCTACACCACCACAGTGCATGACCACCAAGTTTCCATTCTACATGCCCACCGGTAGAATGCTCCCCAGTGATATGTAAAAAGTGTCTGTTCACAACCAACCTCAATAAGCACCCCAGTACATAGAATGCAACGTTGTCCTCCGTTGTATGACATGACCTGGATCAAGACACGCAAGGGATCGCTGAGCCACGGGTATCAGATTCTCTCACCTCTTCCGGCGCCTTGCATCGTGCTACCGGGGCCCTGAGAACCTGAACACGGACAGACTCTTTACGCAATGCGCTCCTGCAGACCGTGCAGCGAAGATGTGAGGGACATACCGCACATATGTATGCCAAAGATACGAATGTCCGCACTGCGGATCTTTGTCTGGCGTTGGCTGTCGGCTCGAACAGACCATGTCTGTATCATGAGTCGTTCGAACTCAGAGACGACGCTTCTGTCAACCTAACTAGAGTTTGGTCAGTTATGCTTGTTCTGCGTGAGTCTCCAGCGTCCCTTCTTTTGGAATGTGATGGCGTGTCGCTGGGCGTGCGGGAGTTTATCTACATTCCTGCGTTCAAGCTTTCTGTCGGGTCTGTATCGATCGATGTTAGGGAGTAGTGTACGATCTACACTGCTCTTGGAGGACCATGATCAAGACTTCAGTGTCACATCATTTGGTATCAGAATGTATTTTGCTAAGCTGAATTTCAGTTAGTTTCGACGATGTTCGGCAAAACTTGGCTGCTAAGCAAGGAACGGATTGTAGCGGAATGTACATACGCGGTATGCAGCTCAGGTCGCCGTCAATCATCTTGCATTGGATGTGGGAGAATTTCCGTTCACATGCATGAGTGGCCTTGGGTATATATTCCGGACTGTTTGTGCATAAAATACTGCTGTATTCTTGTGGTGCCAGGGAAATCCTTGTGCGGCACATGTAGCTGAGCGCATTTCTGTCGATATTACTCTTGACGTCTACCGTCTAATACAGCCATTCAATCAGAGATACATCCACATAATCCGAATTTTGGTTTCAGTCGAACTTCACTTGTAAAACAAACTTATTCATTCTATGGTATAAATGAGACATGACAATAGAATCATCTCGCATAACACAACCCATCCAAACCCAATTAGCCGATATCATGTCAACATGTGAACCCATCAAGTCGTACACTCCCCAGTCATAAACAATACTCCATGGGTCCCGACACCCGTTTACAGCCAGGCAAGGAATCCCAGGCCCATCACAGCGGCCATAGTCGCAGCCTTGGGGACGGAAGCAGCAGGAGCCGCATTATCGGTGGTCTGCGCGTTGCTACCGCTGCTGGTGGTGGAGCCAGAGCCGGAGTTGGATCCAGAACTAGATCCAGAGCTAGATCCAGAACCAGAGCTGGAGCCAGAGCCAGAACCAGTCGAAGTGGCAGTCGCATCGGCAGTGCTAGGCGAGGTACCGGTGGAGCTCAGGGCAGAGGTGGCGGCGCTGGGGTTGTAACTGGTTGTGGAGAGCTTGCAGGAGGTGAGGATGTCATATGCGTCTGCGAAAGTTAGCCTCTTGTTTTACAAGTTGGAAGGAAGGGAATGATTCCATACCATTGTCATGGGGATCGTTGCGGTCGTTGTCGTGATCAGTGTCATTGTCATCATCGTGGTCATCATCATTGTCATGGTCGTGGGTGGAGGTGGTGTTGTTGCTGCTGCGATACTCGGCAATGCATGCCTCGCACAGAGGAACCAAGCTGGGGGCCTGGTTCCAGTCGCAAATGCACTTGATCTCCGCGCTATCGTTGTCGTGGTGCATGCCGTCGCACTTGTTGGCGATGCCGACGACGGGGCCGCAGACGTTCCAGCAGCGATTGGGGACATCGTCATGCTCGAGCTTGGCGCCGGCGGCGACATTGCTCATGAGCATGAGACCGGAGAGAGCCAACAGCTGGTGGACACGCATGATGATGGATGCAAGGGACGGTGTTTGGTCAAAGAAAAGTTGTATGGAGTAGAAATCTGGGAACGATTAATCGCAAGATTTGGAGTTGATCGATTTGTTTGATGCTGAACTTGTAGACAGATTGAGTCGACAGGCTGGGGTGACGGGCTTAATATAACCTGTCGCATGGCATGTTACTATATTTGCCGCTGGCGACGATCCCCGGGTTGGGGGTGAATGCCCAGACATGATGGTCGCAGCCGTAATGCCGAAACCCTGACCTCACCCAAGGGAATAATAGCGATCGGCTTCAGGTAAATTTCTCTAAGCCTCGCCTAATGCATCTGCCAAGAGGGCCGTCGGGGGCAGGGAACCGTGGGTTGGGCAACAGTCGCCAATCCAGGGCCTCTGAACGAAGTTGCCTGACTTCATTGTCGTCCTTTTTGCATGCTGCCAAGCGAAGATCCTCCATCATCGCTACCAAAAGGGTCTGTGGGGGAATTGTTCTTCCACCGCCACGATGGGGGTTTTCGGACCCTGGCGATGATCGGCTGAGTATACCGGAAAGGGAGGTTGGTTCATTATGATACCCGATTAGTTACTCCGAACTGAGTGAACTCAATAGAGCAAGGTAAGGTATGTATATCTGATGTGTTTCATAATTGTTTGCAATGTATATACAACCGGCCGGGAGACTCGGAACAGTCCGAGTGGCAAAGAACCCCAGGGTACAATGATATCACTTCCAATCAGCAGAATCCAATATCAACACTACCCTGACCACCCTGACTTCAATGCTAGCAACTTCCCTGTACTCCTACGAGTAGGCCACCGTATTCCCATCTGGAGTAACTAGTTGGAGAAAGGATGAATTGAGGTGGAGCTGCAGCTGCCGAGCAGTGCACAGCCTCTCCGCAGCCTTTATACATGCATAGTCACGCCCGGAGAGCCCCGTCGATCCAGGGACTTCTCCGCAGGACGGGAACAACAATATATTTAGAACGTCTCCGCGAGGCCAGTGAGAGAGAAGGGAAAGATGTTGCCTGTGTTTTGCATACTCTAGCCCTGACGATTGTCTGATTGTTCCAGAATAGTACCCAAAAGGTATCTATACGACAGGATGTTTGATTGGCTCTTAGATCATCATGAGGTCAGGTGTCTGATGGACCCCTCTTGTTGTTATTCTTGACCTTCACCAGAACACTGCCTCCTACATACACTATCCATTACTCAACCTTGAATCTTTGTGTCGGTCAGAGATCACGCAGAATGGCTCGAGCTACCGTGGGCAGGATGTCGTGGGAAAAGTACGCTCTCCGGCCCGTGCAAGGCGCCCACCCTGTCACTCTCCCCGTGTTTATCTATGGGACTGCCTGGAAGAAAGACCAGACGACGGATCTAGTCCACCAGGCATTGAATGCTGGATTCCGTGCGGTGGACACCGCGGCCCAACCGAAGCATTATCGTGAAGATCTCGTCGGAGAAGGGATCCGCAGAGCCATTCGCGACGGGGTCGTCCGACGAGAAGATCTTCATGTAGGTGTCGACCTCGAAGTCACTTACCCAAGGCGTCGCCTATTTTTAGAATTTGCTTGCAAGTCATCGTGAGAGACTGCGGCTGACGACTGCCAGGTTCAAACGAAATTCACTTCCGTGAATGGACAGAATCCGGACAACATGCCATATGATGCCCAGGCATCAGTGACCGACCAGGTCCATGCCTCCGTCAGGTCGTCCTTCCACAATCTCCGCCCCTCAGAGGCACCGGAAAGTGCCCAGGACGCGTATCTTGACTTGCTCATTCTCCATTCCCCGCTACCGACGATGGCTCAGACTCTGGAAGCCTGGTCGGCCTTGGAGACCTACGTCCCCCATCGAATCCGCAATCTAGGCATCTCCAATTGCACTTTGCCGATTCTCAAAGAGCTGTATCCACTTGTGAAGGTGAAGCCGGCTGTGGTGCAGAACCGATTCTATGGAGACACGCAGTTCGATGTGCCGTTGCGGTCCTTCTGTCGGGACAATCATATTATCTACCAGAGTTTCTGGACGCTAACCGCCAACCCAGAGTTGATTCGGTCAGACGCCGTTCAGTCGCTAGCTCGTCATGTTGGTATCAGTCCGGCAGCATCGCTGTACTGTTTGGTTCTGGGGCTCGGCGGTACGACTCTGTTGAACGGAACGACTAAACGAGCTCATATGGAAGCCGATCTTGTTGCGCCAAAGAAGGTTGAGCAGTTCTCCCATGAACATCCAGACATGTGGGAGCGGATAATGGGCAGTTTCCAACATCTCACGGGGGACCATGTCGATCTCTGAAGGTAGATGTTCTAACCTATTTACTTCCGCTGTACGTGTTGGCATTGATTGGCCTTTGTACAAGACATCTTCCGTCCTTTGTTAGGATCCCTGTGTACGGAGTATATACCTACAGATATTAGACGAGCATGTTCATACCTCCACTAGACATTCTCTACCAACCGATGCAACCCTGTGCTCAGACTCATTGAAGTTCAACCTGTTCAATTTGTTAGGCAAGCAATTGAGCCTAGTCGTGCATAAAAACAGGGTGGTGCGAGAGAGCCCCGTAGAATGCCGTCGAAGCCCAGGGAAGTATCCAGAAGGGAAAACATCCGACTTCTCCCCATTATTGCCCTCTGAAACTGAGGCCTTCCAAGGTTTTCTCGCCCAAAAAGGACACCCGCGGCACGTGTGGAACGGTCGGCTGAGTCATCCGCATCGCCCAATCAGTGCTTGAGACGGGCGACTGATCTCATCAAGCATCTCCAACCAGCAGAACAGCGAGATTTTGCTGTCAACCACTCTGCGCTTTTTTCGCATCTTCCATCGACCCCCTTGTCATCCTTCGCCCGCTATCTTCCTGGCCAATTCTTCGGTCATTCCGGAGTTTCGCCGTTGTCACGCCCTCCTATCCCTTTCTTCTTTGCGCCCGTACCTGGGTACAGGACAACTTAGTGGATCCCGTTTCGGGCATGGATCTCTGGTCGCCAGAACTTTCCTAACCAGCTTTCCTCCCTCCCTTGCGACCTGCGACACCGAAGCGCAATTGACGACTGAGGTTGATATCATTCATTTCAATCATTCGATTACACTGTGCGGATTGAATCCTTCGAGTCCCCGGTGGTTGTTGGAGTCCATATTGTTATAGCGCCCGCCGCGCCCGTCGCGTCGACCGCCATTCATATTGCCCGTTCGCCAGCAACAGGATCATCGCACTGTTCGCGCTTCGATACTCGTTGATTACCTCGAGACGACCCGTCTTGCGCGTGCTCCTCGAACGAAAACTGCACCCCTGAAATTCGTCGGCAGACTCGTCGCGTCGTTCGGTGCATCTCGCCATAACCCCGTTCCCCGCCATACGGACCACGTCCGGGTACGCTAGGCTGCACGACGATCAAGCGTTTGTCGCTCACTCATCTGCGATTTTCTTCCACGCTGCAACCCATCAAAGCGCGGCGTCGACCAAGCTTTTTCCAAATCACCGCTTCTTTTCTGGCATCTCTCGGCCATCACCGCGTCGGTGATGAGTCCTACAGGCATGAGCCGCAAGCGACCTGCACCCGGCACCGCCCCCGTCGTTCACCCTCAAGTGAACCAGATCTCCAGCTACACCCCGACCTCTGGTTCTCCGATCTCGAACGATCAGTTTCTACAATGGGGCCAGAACCAACCCGCCAACGCCGTCAATCCTTCGTCCTTCCCTGATGCGACACCGTACAGCCCCGCCGCCTTCTCGTCGAACCAAGAGATTCCCGCGACCACGGCCACGGCGTCGACCCAACTGGCGCGCCGACAAACACCGAGCCAGGTGGCGACCCGGGGTCGCGGGTACGAACCGACGCCGACCGGCTTTTCAGACCATGGAAGTTCTGCCGGGGAAGGCGGCTGGGGTGAGAGTCTCGACGAGCTGTATCAACGAGCATTGGTCGCCAAACGGGAAGCGCAGGCGAAGCGGAAACAAATTCCTCCTTTTGTACAGAAGTTGAGCAGGTAAGTCCACATCTCCGTCCGACTGGGGGTTCGCCGCCGGACACGCGCGACTGACTTGAATTTTAGTTTCCTGGACGAGTCCAAGAACACCGATCTGATCAGATGGTCTGATGACGGTAATTCCTTTATCGTGTTGGACGAGGACGAGTTTGCGAAGACGCTTATCCCGGAGCTGTTTAAGCACAACAACTACGCATCCTTTGTCCGTCAGTTGAACATGTACGGGTTTCATAAGAAGGTCGGACTCTCGGACAACTCCATGCGCGCCAGCGAACGGAAGAATAAAAGTCCCAGCGAATACGCCAACCCTTATTTCAAGCGCGGACACCCCGATCTGCTATGGCTGATCCAGAAGCCTAAGAACACTGCCGGACAAGGGAGCAAATCTGGCAAGGGCAACGTGCGTGTGAAGACCGAGGATGTTGATGATCATGAGCATGATGATTACGACGACGCTACGGGGGCCTCGCGCGATGAACGAGCCCGCAACCGGCAGCTGTCCCTGGTCACAGGGGGCTTCATGCAAAAGGATCAGCTCGCGGGGGTGTACCGGGAACTGCAAGCCATTCGCCAGCAGCAGCAAGTCATCTCCAATACGATCAGTAAACTGCGGAGAGAGCATGAACAGCTCTACGCGCAGGCGGCCAATTTCCAGGAACAGCACACTCGTCATGAGAACTCCATCAACGCCATCTTAACGTTCTTGGCTACGGTCTACAACCGTAGTCTTCAGGGACAAGACGGCCCGCAAAATCTCGCCAACTCGTTTGCAGGAGCCATCTCACAAGACCAAGGTAACGTCGTCGATGTGGGCGATGACTATTCGCTGAGCACCCTCGGTGCTCCCAACTTGAATAGCCCTAGCACACAACGAACGATGAAGAAGCAACCCTTGCTTCTGAAGGCGCCGCCAGTAACAGAACCGCACGGCCGCGCGGCGACCCTGTCGCCCGCCAGCACGTATGACCGCTCGTCTCGGGGCCACACTCGGCAACCCAGTGCAACCCAGCACGGCCTTGTCGAGGAGGTCTTTGACACCAGTCCTCGGCCGAAGGAGACAGCACAGTCGTCTCAGCAAATCCCACAGCGAGACATCATGTCCGTCATTCAAAACTCAAACGCGCGCAACGGGATTGCGACTAGCTTCGCCGACTTCCCCAACGTGCTCTCTTCCCTGGAAACGTCCGGGGGCAACGTCCCCCTCACCCCGAACCAGCGCGCCGACATGCTTCGGCTGATGGCCAACGAATCGCACCCTACCGACACCAATCTCCCGGTGCCCTCGAACAACGCCTTAATCAACCCTCACCCGCCGCCGATGCCGCACAACTACACCACCCGCCTTGCAAACACGAGCGCCGAGATCGACAACCTTGTGAAGATGCAAGCGGAGCAAGACCGCTCCGTTCAGAACTTGACCAACCTCCTGCAACCCCTCAGTCCCACGGGCACCATCCCGGGGGTCGGGGCGGACGGGAACGTCCCGCCTCCGCCGCTCGATCTCGACCAAATATTCAACAACGACTACTTCACCGACGTCGGCGATCTCGAGAACAACAAACACAACCTGGACTTTGGCGACTCGATAGGCTCCGGCACCCTCCCCACCGAACACCCCGAGACCACCACCGCCGCGGACGACGGCACCAACGAACTGTTTGATTTTGACCACATCCCTGAGCATGGTGAGCTTTTCGATGGATCGAACCCTCAACAGCAAACCCCGGGCTTCTACCCGGGCTATGATGGCAGTGGCTACGGCAGCAACACAGGGAACACGGGCAGCGGCGCGGCTGCCAACCCGCCATATCCCGGCGGCGACTCGGGACGAATCGAGACCTTGACCGATAGCGAATCAACCAGTCCCAGCAACAACATGGAGACACCGCCGCAGTACGGCGGTGCCTCGAAACCGAATGATTCTCAGGGAGGTAAGGGTCCTGGAGGCGGCGCGAAGCGGCGCAAGAAGGCTTGAGAGTGTTATTTCGTTTTGCATGACGTTCTACTAACGGCGTTGCGTATGGATTGACTGGAAAAAAGAAGACGGGGACTGGCCTCCATAAACAAATCAAGATAAGAGATGCGAGACGAGACGACTCCGACGTCGAGTTCAGAGCCAAGCCAAGCCAGGCCAGGCCAGTATGATGCATGATACCGTTCCCCTGCCTTGTTCTATACCGTGTCCCACCGCTGCGTTGCGTCGACGATTAGATACAGCCCCTACTACCTACCTTACCTACTTTATACACGCCCCTTTCGTCTGCTTCCTTTCTTCCATTGTTGCACGAAAACGCCCGCGGCAAGGAAGGCATTTCCTTCTGTTGTTGCACGAAAACGCCGCGGCAAGGAAGACTTTTTCTCCCATTGTTGCACGCAAACGACGCGGCAAGGAAGACCGTTTCTCCCGTTGTTGCACGCAAACGCCAGCGGCAAGGAAAACAATATATCATAACATAAGGCCTTGCTTGGATTTTGAACTGTATGTAATGGTGGTTGTCATTCAACCGCTCTTGAACATAGAATGATTAATGATAGCGGTACCTACTTCTTTATATATGCGTGCGTAGCCAAACAGTAATATAGATAGAGTACACTGCTACATGCTCGCTGTCTATAACTAGATGGATGCCATAGATACACGATTCCTTACTTACTCTTGCGACTCCGCTCCCACTCCAGATCACCCACCCGCTCACGCTTTCGATCGCGTTCGCGATCCCGCTCCAGCCCCCGTCGTCGACCGCCGACAATCTCCTTCTCCCGCTCCCGCGGATCAATCACCATCAACGAGTCGACATCGTCCGGATGCTGCTGCTTCCACTTCAGATCCTTGCCGAGCGTATCCTTCCCAAAGCGCAGCTCGTGCGACAACCAGCCCGCGTCGCCGTCGTCCGCAGGCGCAGCCGCGTCGCCCTCCGCGCCGTCGTCCCACGATTTACACGACTGGCAGTTGGCGATGAAATGCAGGTCGCAGAGCTGCGCCTCCTCGTCGTCCGCGTCCTGCGCCGGAGCAGGTTTCTCGGGGGTCTTTTCCCTTCCCTTGGTGTGCGTTTTGCTCGTGGTGGTAGAATCAGCGCTCTCGAGCTTCGCCTTGAACGCGTTAAACAGCTTGAGCGCCTCGCGCTCAGCGCCGCTACCAAACCCAGTGATGCCGTTGGCGGCGCTGCTCGTCCCAGCCGCGGGACGCTTGCGCCCGCGGATCGCCGTTTCGGGGATCATGGCTTCGAGCGCGGACAGCTTACGGCCGGAGTCGGCTGGGCCCATCTGCACGGTGCGGCGCATCGAGGCCTTGACATTCTCGATCTCGGCGTTCGTGCGCGACAGGAACGCCTGCCGGCCGGACTGCGGCGGCGGAGTGGGCGAGCGCTCGGGCGACTCGGGGTTAGGCAGGGGCAGCTGGGCTTCCGGCTCGGGGGTCTTGGGGCGTTTCCTGCGGTCGGGGGACGGCGACCGCGGACGTTTGCGTGTCTCGGTTTGTGGAGGGGGGTGGGGGTTTTGGCGCTGACGGGGCGGTTGTGGTGGAGGATGGGGGGTTCGCGTCGGTGACAAGGTTTGGGTTGAATTTGGGCTTTGCTGGGCGCACGGGGATATCGGTGTCGGCGTCGTCGCCGAAGCTGAGGAGTGTCTTTGCGGCCTTGGCCTTCTTTTTCTTCTTGGGTGGGGGCTGCTCTGCCGCAGCGCCGGCGGCCTTCTTCGCGGCGAGGTCGCGCTTTATGACCTTACCGGCCAGCGGGCCCAGCTCGCCGACCTCACAAGAGACGATCTTGACGGGGTAGACGGGACGGTCTGAGCCCTCGACACGCTCGGCCTCGGCGATCTTGACCATGTTGTAGATGCTGTCGCCCTCGATGCGGCCGAACAGCGTGCATTGGCCGTTGAGCTCGCGCTCGGCGTTGGCAAGCGTGATGAAGAACTGGCTGCCGTAGGAGCCGTCCTCACTCTTGGCCATGCCGACGAGGCCGCGGCGGTTGAAGCGTAGCCGGCTGTGTAGCTCATCGCGCAGCACGACCTTCTCGTTGGGATCGCGCGCCGTCGGGTCGTACTCGAATTCCGGGTCCTCGTAGATGGACACGCCGCCCTCGCCGGTGCCGGTCGGGTCGCCGCCCTGGATGATGAAGTCTGGCACGATGCGGTGGAAGATCGTCCCCGCGTAGTAGTTGTCCATGCAGTGTTGCAGGAAGTTGCGGCATGTTAGCGGCGTTTGCGACGCGAACAGCGAGATGTGGAGGGGGCCGAAGGTGGTATTGAGGGTCGCCGAGGCGGTGGGATTTGGTTCGGTGGTGTAATGGGAGGACATTTTGTTTTTGAGCTGGTGGGAGGGAGAGGCTGTCTTTCGGAGTAAGAGGGAGGAGAGGTGGATCGGTGGTGAGCTTTAACGCATCGAGAATCGGAATCGAGGTAGGCGTTCAGACGGCAGAATGATTCAATGCGTCAATCGGGTTGAACACAGTATACTCCGACCAGATGATTCTGGCGGGTGGAGGGAGGTGGAGTGGGAGAGAAAAGGTGAAGACGGAAGTTGAAGTTGAAGCAAAATTGAAGTTTCGCGGTACGTCATGTGCGGCATCCACCTCCTACAACATACACTTACTAGATCCTACCATGTACTATGAATATGTCTGTACCACTAAAGTCTTCGTGCTCTAATTGAAATTATGAACAGGATATATTCAAATATCTGTCAACTCAAAATGAAAATGCCAAATCATATACATCCCCCAGGCACTGCTCCATATCTGGGCAATACACCGGATCCTGTCCAAAGATAATATGCCACATATATTCCATGATACGCCCACTCACATCGTCCGGAAGATCCGTCTCCATCAGCCAGCGATGATACCGCTGATAACTACTGAGCGGCCGCTGCCGCACCTGGCTTCTCGACACGGCAAACTGCGCACAACACGGCGTCGCAACCACCTCCGGCACGCGGGTGTTATTGAAGAACGTCTGCCACACCATCGGGAACAGCAGCTCGGTCAGATGGTCCTCGTTGGCCGTCGCTCGGAACGGGCGTATCTCGTCCGGGCATCCCGGAGTGGGATTGCAGCGCAGATTGGCGTAGCCGTTGCGCTGAACAAAGTCCGTCTGCAGCATCTGCACAGTCAGCGGGTTGCTGTGCTCGTCGAACTCGGTGTGCCAGGCGTCGGGGTAGCCGTCGCGGTGGCTGTGGAGGAAGACGATTGTCGAGGGCAGCCGGTCGTAGTGGTCGATTATGTATTGTAGGTATACGCTGCTTTCTTTGCCTTTGTTCTTGGTCACGCGGAGGGGCGCGTTGGGGTCGTCGACTGTATAGATAGCATGTTGCCAGCTGTTCGAGTCAGTACGTATATACTTTTGTTGTCTGATGAGGGTCGAAGGAGCAGGGGAGCAGGTGAGCATACTCGGGCAGCTCATCAATCACCCAGTCGGTATTCTCTTCCTTTCGCTTCCCGACTACCACTACACGGTCTGTAGCGGCTACCTTGGCACGAGATACATCGTCGATTATGATTTGCACCGGGCCGATGTCTTTGTTCCGCGACGGAGCAAGGTCCGAGATGGATGGGCGTCGTCGACCGGTGGACGGAGTAAGTCGCTGGAGGCTGGGTTGCGCGCTCTCTGGAGCGATGCGCCAGGTAGTTCGATCGTACGCGACAGGAGGAATCGCACTGGATTCCTTCCATTCCGATCGCACAAAGCATACTTGGTTGATCGTCCATAAGAGGAGGACCACCAAGACTGCTGCTGCGAAGCGCTGGGTCGCCCGCATCTTCACACCATTCTGCTTTCGCTAGATGGGACTGGGTTCCGGTAGGACACGGATTCTAGTATTATGCGCCCGTCTACAACCAGACAGGATCTGAAGCAGTTGCGAGCTGCAATAAATCATGCGAACAGTCCTGTGTGGGTGAGTGATGATCTCATCGCATAGGACACTCCATAAGAATGAAACAGGGGAAGAAGAACCTGAGGACAAGTCGAACCATTCCGGGTTCCGGGGGTCATCTACATCTGCGACGGTGATGTAAGATGCGGTGGACAGACGCATCACCGATGATGTGGACGTCCCGCTCCACCATGTTCCATGGTCACATCGTCGCATCATGGACTATTTACTCGGGACAGGCACCTCGACTACAACACCAAAGTGAATTCATGTATTCTCCTATTTTATTGTCCTACCCATCACTCGTAACACATTATCTATCCTAACTCAAGCCTTGTTCACAGCCTTATCCTCAGCCATCTGCTGGGCCGCAACCGCAGTCGCAGTCGCCTTCTGCTTCTTCGCGATCCGGAAGCCTCCCACCGCCAGGAGGAGCGCCTCCAGGCCCAGAACCACCGCCAGCGTCACCATGGCGCCGATGACACCGGCCACCGGCCGCGACACGCCGCCATCACCGGACGACTGCGCCGAGACGGACCCGGAGCCCGAGCCGCCGGCGACAGACTTGCACTGGCCGTCGGTGTTTCCGCAGGCCTGGCACCACTCCTCATCGTTCATCACGGCGAACTTCTTGGTCTGGTCGGCAAAGTCCGTCCAGGGGATGGTGGTGCTGGACTGGCCGAAGAGGGGGTATTCACTGGGGCTGGAGGAGCCGGTGATGGTGCCGTTGTGGAAGAGGAAGCGCACGCTGATCTCCGAGGCGTCGGGGAAGCCATCGGCGGTGGAGTTGGTGACCAGCTCCCACGACATGGTGGAGGCGTAGTCCGGGATACCGGTGAAGTTGACGTTGGCGGCGGGCAGCTGCGCCAGGCCAAAGTACGAGAGGAAGGTTCCGTAGGAGCCGAGCTGGATGTTCAGCTTGGTCTTGCCCTGGGAGGTGATGGTCTTGTTGAGGGCCTCCAGCACCTCACCGGCCAGCTGGGCGCCGGCAATGGCGCGGACGGTCTCGGAGGCGTTGTAAGCCAGGTTGTACTGCTCGATGTTGGCGAGCTGGAGGAGACGGTCCAGCTGGGCGGAGGTGGGCGTGTTGGTGGTGTTGTGGATGGAGGCGACGTTCAGGTAGTCGAAGATGGTGTAGGCGTTCTTGAAGCTCATCTCGTCGGGCGCGAAGGTGCTGTTCAGCAGGGACGAGAGGGACTGGTAGAAGTCGTGGGTGGAGTCGAGGAGACTATTGTACAGCGTGGAGCTGTAGTAGTTGTCGCTGCTGACCACGGCGTTCTGGCAGCCGGTGGCATCCTGCAGCCAGGTGTTGTCCTCGCTGTCGGTGTTAGACTCAATGAGGTTCAGAGGGATCAACTGGTAGCCGTTCAGAGGGGACTCGACGGTGGTCCCGTTGGCCAGGGTCTCGCTGGCGGAGGACCCGACGGGGGGGTAGATTCCCTGCATGAAGGCAATGGCGGAGTTCTGGAGGACATCGTCCGAGGGCGCCGATGCGCTGACCTGGCTCAGTTTGACGATCTTGTCACTGATGCCCTCGATCTGGAGCGAAGAGCTGGCGTTGACATATCGGTCATGCCAGTAGCCTCCACTCTGGTAGACTTCTCTGTATCCCAGGTCGGTGAGTTCGGTGTTCCCCAACACCTTGGCCGTGCGGTCACCATGGCGGGAGAAGATGTAGGCGCCCAGGACCTTCTCAGCAGAGGCTGGGAGGGCCAGCGGCATGGCCAGAAGGGCCAGAGCGATGTTGGACGGCTGCCAGGTGGAACGCATGATGAATTGACCCGGCTCAGATATGGATCTTGAAGGCGAAAAGCGTAGTAACAGTGAGGGAAGAGGGTGGAAAGGATTGACGTGGGGTATATATGGGAGAGGGTCTCAGAGCGACAATCCAAGAGCAGCCGCGGAGAAAGTCGTTATCATGATGACACTGGAGGGACGGCGGGATGGAGCCGGACTAAAAGACTCTCGATCATTCGGGCCCATGCCTGAAGGGTTCTAGGCAGGCCACTAGGGCTCTCGTGAAGCTTTGAGGGTGTTTTCGGGCAGTCCCTAGTCATTCTCCAATGGTTTAGATCGAGCCATTGCAGAGCGATGAGTGGATGGCGATGCGGGGAATGCAAGCAAGAAGAAAATATTAGCTAATGCTGGGTGGTGATAAGGATGCATCCTGGTGGAGAAGTATGTCCGCCATCGGAGGGGGCCGTAGATAGAAAACACATTGATAGATTGTACATATTTGAATTTCTGTCAGTCAATTACTCAGTATATCCGTGGTGATTGATGACATACATACTGCGGAATATATATCCAGCACGCTCAAGTAGACATATATACATAGTCAATCACTCTTGACCAAAGCTTGTCTTGTCTACGGAGTATTGTACTTTACTCACACTATGACTCACATGCACCATCTGATGCAATCCCTCGTATCCACCACGTTCAGTGTAGGTAAAAAAACAAATCAGCAACTAGTAAATATGGAATGAAAGGCAGAAGAAATATGAATGAATAGACGGAGGTCTCCGGGAACCAAATAAAAAGAAAAAGAGATTCCGGTGCGGGGAATCGAACCCCGATCTCCTGTGTGAAAGACAGGTATGATAGCCGTTACACTACACCGGAAAAGGTGGTGTACATTCCGGTGCGGGGAATCGAACCCCGAGCTGCTGTGTGAGAGACAGCGATGTTAGCCATTACACCACACCGGATTGTTGAAGAAAGAGCTCTCAAATTGATTTATATTCCATCTTCCTTTTTAGACAGCTCTACACCGTCCATACTCCATATCTCGTCCACCACACTAAGATAAAGAACACTATAATACTTAAAACACTCGGACGAAATTAATTTCATATTTGTCTCAAATACCAAACTCCGAACTCCGCAATGCTAGGTACCTATTCATGTCGACACGACCCCCTTCTCCCCTAACAACTCACACCCATTCCGCACCACTCCCACCAGTCCTCCCGTCTGCATCGTCTCCGATCCTCCTCCTGCCAGTCGCCATTCGATCTCTGCCAACCCCTCCAGCCATGTAATCCGCGTCTGCGGTGGCACTTCCAATCGCTGAAGTTGGTCGGCCAGAGCCTCGAGGATATCCGCCAGCGCCAGTCCCTTGTTCGCCTTCAGCGTATTGATCGTGTTTAGGCATGAGGTAATATCGCTCGTCGTGAGCAGTGTCGTCATAATCTCCTGGATATCCGCCGGGTATGGTGCCGCAATGCAGTCGTAAATCGTCTCGTTCGTGATCACTTCGGCCTCGGGACGCACTTGGTCTTTCGGTGCATTCTTCATGGGAAGGGGAATACCTGCAGGAACCTGTCAGTGGTAAGCCTCAATTGGGCGGATGAACATCCTTACTGCTGGCATGGCAGGCCTGGAGCACATTCAATGCTCGTCGCATGTCGCCCTTGCTCAACGTCACCAAGCTGTCCACCGCCTCTGGCTGAATGTTGATCTGCTCCTTCTCCACCACCAGATCCACGAGGGACCGGATATCTGGCTCCTTCAACGGACTGAACCGGAACCGAGTGCATCGGGACAGGAGAGCGGGCGAGAGCTTATGCGTGTAGTTGGCGATGATGCAGAAGCGTGTGTTGGCCGTGTACCGTTCCATGATTCGGCGCAGAGCCATCTGTGCAGTCGAGGTCATGGCATCGGCTTCGTCGAGAATGATAAGTTTGAAGGAAGCGAGAGAGGAGCTGCCGGAACCTGACTGTGGTCCCATGGAGAAGATCTGTTTCGTGCCTAGGGGGTATTAACATCATCTCTCATTTTACACGGGATCGGAAACATACTGGCAAAGGTCTTGATCTGCTCTCGAACAACATCAATACCTCGGTCATCACTGGCGTTCAGCTCGAGCACCATCTGTCGCATATTCTTGCTTCCGTAGATCTTTCGCGCGAGCGCGAGAATAGTGGACGTCTTTCCGGTTCCTGGGGGCCCGTATAGGAGGAGATGGGGGAGTCGCTAAGAACACAATCAGCGGATGCTATCTCCGACAGAATTGATGTCAATGCATACGTTTGCTTCAATGAATCGGTTGATCGTAGCCAGAATATCCTGGTGGCCTGAGACGTCATCAAGAGTGTTTGGACGGTACTTCTCGACCCTGTAAATTGTTAGAAAACTTCCAATCGTACAATATCACCCAATCCTACCAAGGCAAATTATCCTGAGCTTCGACCGGAAGGTCTGCAGCAGGTCGCTTTGCCTTTTTACCGGCATTGTCCGAACTAAACTGGACGTCGCCCTTGGAGGGGACATCGACGTCCATTTCATCCTCGTAATCAGACATGGCAGTAAGCGTGACCTGTCAATATGCTGTAGATATCCTCCAATACCATAAAAAACCCACAATCCACGTTAAAATGAAGGTGGAGGATAATTGGGGGGAACAGAGGAAATGCGACGCGTCGAAATCCACCCGCGCGTTAAGAGGTTCGGGGCCGGAAAATCATTGTTCTTGCTGGGGGCTTAGGTACCTTACTACATATGGGTGATGACATCCATGCACCTCCCGCCCGCAGGCAGCTCCATCTATCGTCCACTTCCCTCACAACTTCTCTCCAACCCTCGTTAGACAGGCGCTAAGAGGGTGTCTACTCTTTAGAAATCATTTGCAATGCCGGTAAGCTCATACCCAGACCAATTCTCACCCCCGCCCCCTATCCCGCAACTGACCAAGTCTAGGCATACCACTCCATCTTCCTCGAGGATCGGGACATCCCCGTAATAGGTATGCGCTACCTGTTTCGCGCACTCGAAACAACATCAATAGCCTTCTCCCAAGATCCAACAAGAGTCACCATCTGACCCGACTTGAAACTAGGAAACTTCCCGGTCCTCCCCCTCCGCACTCGCACACGCGGCCCCGCATACACCCTCCCCCCGCTACCCCCCAACACCCTCGACATCGATGTGTCTCCGGAGAGCGAGTCGTACGACTGCGTGGACGAGATCCTGTCCCTTTTCCGGGCCAATGTCCTGTTCCGCAACTTCGAGATCAACGGCCCTGCCGACCGCATGCTTATCTACGGAACCCTGTTTATCAGTGAATGCTTGACCAAGGTCCGGCCGAGCATGTCGGCCCTCGAGGCCGGAAAGGTACGTCGGGATTGGAGTGAGTATAGAAATGGGAGTTGACAGCATGGCAGGCCCTGAACAACGTCGCGCTCGACCAATTTGCTATCCCCGGCGATGCGTCCTTCCCGCTGAACCAGGCTTTCGAGCCCCCCCGGGACCGTCAGGACGCGGAGACGCTGCGAGCGTGAGTTTCACAGTCTCGATGGATGAGGATGTGTTCGTGCAATACTGACTGGCTGTACCAGATACCTTTCGCAGGTGCGACAGGAGATCGCCGTCCGGCTACATGCGAGATTATACCCTGGTGGTGAAGGCCCTTCGAAGGTTTGTCAAAGTCCTGGTATCACGTCGATTGCTGCTAATTCTTCTGGCAGTGGTGGTTGAGCTTTGCGAAGAGAAAGTTCATGGGCAAGAGCCTCTAGAGTTACATGTCTGTTTTGTTGTCTAGCCTGAATTCGCTTACCAGAACCTTCGAGTCGATCCGTGTTGCATACCATAACAGAAACCGTGACATATCCAATGAAGTATTCCGATAGATATGATGGAGTAACGTTTTACTCCGTGCAGTTTCTACTTTGCAGAAACATTATCAGTAATATGTATCCTGGTTTCGGTGTATTATTATTTCATGCATCATGCAAACTCCGCAATAACTTTTCGAGTCGTGGACAGTATATGTACTCTATCTTACAATGGGTCATATGCAAAAGTCTTCAGCCCGTCTTACGACTTCATCTCGACATCCATGCCGCTGGCACTGTCGGCCGGTGTGGACGTTGACGTCGTCACCTTTCTCCTCTTCCGCGAAGGATTGCCAGCCGCCTGGATTTCCCTCTCCGTGGGAAGTGCTCTTGTAGCATGGAAGATATAGCCTTCTGCGCCGCCACGTCCGGACATCAACGGGTGTGTCCGTCCCGGCAGAACCTGCCAATGACGCACGCGAGAGGTCTCAAGTGCGGATGCCAGCAGAAGGGTAGGGTTCAAGCCGAACTCCTCGTCTAATTCAGGGAAGTCGTCTCCGTTCTTCTCGCTGTCGGTTGATTGTAGTTGCTGTTGTTTCAATTCTTGTTTGCGGTTGATATAGGCTGTCTTTCGGGCGGTGGAGTAGAGGTCCATCAGATTCGTGAGCGGCTCAATGGTCGGGGAATAGACAGCGACTGAGGCGGAGCCCGTCAGCAGAGGCACCGTGTGCTTCAATACCGTCTCGGGATCCATCAGCGTGGCAACGATGAGCCCATCAAAGCCACCGGCGTGAGTCTCATCGACGGCGACTTTGACGCGTGCCCACCTGCTTCGTTTGCGATAGTATTGGCTCCGCCGACTCGTCTTCATGTTGGATAGCTCTTCTTCAGTCAGCGTCTCGGGCTCTTCGGTGTAAAGGAGATCGGAGCTGGGCTCTAGAAGTTGCAGCCATGAAATGGTTTTCAGGTTCGTGTATAGAGGATGGGTCTCGCTAGGGTCATGCGGCTCATAGCCGAAGAATTTGAGAAGAGACAGATTGGGTTGTTTGTGAGGGTGGATTAGGGTGATGGTGTTTTCGGTGGCGGACATCTGGCTGGGCCGGCTAGGGCGTTGTGTAGCTGCGTTGTCCTCTGTCGCTGCAGCCTGGCTCTGTTCCGCCGGCGCCGTATCATCCTCCTCGTAGTTTTCGCCATCGTGAGGGTACAAAATACCCATTCTCTCGGCCACGGCCGCGACCAACAGACCGCCAGTGTCATCCACAACCAGATAGCGTCCGTTGGGTCTCGAACCGACCATCTGTTCGATGGACGTCGCGCCGCTGTGGTGCACATTTCCCCAGCACCCCACCAATCCAATGCACTCGTCGCGCATTTCCAGGATCTTCGCCGCATCCTTGTTGTCCTGCATCATGTAGTTGGTGAGATGGCTGACGTCCAGCGGCAGGACGGTAAAGCGCTTCATGTACTTCCTCCGTTTGCGCAGGGTGTATTTGGCGAGCGAGAATGCGGTCTTCTGGTCGATCGCAGTATGCGAGTCGAGGATCTTCGCAATAATCTCTCGGCCAGACCCCCCGGCTTCCTTCTTCAGCGCCTCGATCTCCGCCCAGGTCAACTTCTGCGTGGAGGCGTCGTCGACGATCTCGCGGTTGGTGCGCAGCGGGGTCCCGTCGGGGTTGGTCTCGGGCTCGTCTCCATCAGCCTCCCCTTCGGCAATCAGAGATTCGGCGTGGAGTTCTGCAGCTGGTACGACGCGCAGACAGCTGCCGTCTTTCTCGTCGGAGGACTCGAGGATGTCAAAGGTTAGGTAGAATGGTCGGCCGATGATCTGGTTGGCGGGGAAGCTTCCGAATTTTCCCAAATAGATCATCCTAAAAGCGCGTTAGACTTGGCTGGGACTGCCCGGCAGAGAGGCGTAAGACGTACGTATTCGGAGTGACCTTCTGAATCCTGGTCAACTCATTGGGGAGTCGGAGCAGGACAAACTGGTCCGGACGGACGTAGGAGTGCATATTGGGCGGGTGATAGAATAGACAATTAGGGCGATAGAATGCGAATATACAGCATACTCCAAGGAACTATCCAGGTCAATCGCGCGCACAATTGACAACTGGATTTTTGTCGATATCAACTTTTTTTTGCCCGAGTGCTTTTTTGCGATAGTGCACGGACCAGGTGGATGTTGGAGAGCGCTTACATAATAGGTGATTGCCACGGACCGAGAGATTCTCCGGGCAATCCTCCATTTACGTCATCCCACCATCGCTGTGGCTGCTGCCTGCTGAGTCACAGTCCACCGCCACATGTGCGGGGCTGGTCCATACACCGCTCTTACAATGCGTACCGTTATGCGGCCTTGTTCACCAATGTCCTCCACCATCTCCGGTATCTGACTGTATGCGATACTCCGTCTGGAGCAGCGGGATCGTCTTGATCCACCAACCACCCCCATCTACAGAGTAAGCTACTGGGAATCTGGGTGCCTGTTCTCCGTCTCTTCAATATCAATCGCTCCGTTTCCCTCCGGCAAATGCCTACTGCCGGTCCTCCTTGCTCAATCCCCTAGACAGTGCGTCTGGTGACGGGATTCCTGGGAAAACATGGCACCCGCTCGTCATCTATGCCTATGCATGTGCTGACTACTAGCGTCGACGGGGCCCCTTCTCAGCCTTACCTACCTACCAACTGTTGTTGTCCACTTCTGAGCCACCCGTTACGTATACGCACCGATAGGCTACCAATCTACTGACCTACGGCCTGCTTCTCTCCACGCCTTGATTGTTGAATTTATCCTTTCACTTCTCACTGATTCAGCCTCCCTGCGAGAACCATTGGTCGAGCTTCATCTTGTCCTCCCGTGTTTAGACTTCTACCTGTTCTCTTTCACCTTTACTCCGTACACAGCCCGACTGCCTTCCATGGTCCTGCGAAAACGAGCTCCGCCGCATTTGTACAGCCTCAGTCAGGGAAATGCCCGCTCAGATCTTCGTTCGCCGACTTTACAGATATCTCCGTCCGCGAAATCTACATCATCTGCATCTCCAAAGCGCCTAACCCGCCCCCGTCGAGCTCAAAGCTCTCCACAACCCCATCGGCTCCCCTCACAGGAGTCCATCTATTCTCCCGACCTGAACACCTCCCCCGCATTCGACCTCATGCCCCTCGAGCAAGCGCAGAAGTCTCCGGTCCGGTCCTCTCCCCTCGAGCCCCCATACCCATGGGCCGACGAGCTGGTGGAGAGGCCGGACCAGAACTCGGAAGATAATGTCACCGCACAACCCACCGGGGGCAATAACCACCAGGATGGGGGTGTACTCGGTGATCGAGGAAAGGACCGTGTCCCTTCCATCCTCGTCGCCAGTACGCAGAGGCGGATGGCCGCCCCCGAATGGCAAGCCGCCAATCAAGACGCCAGCGATACTGCCGACTGGGAACATGTCGGCCAGTCGTCCTCTCTTCCGCTCCGGTCGAATAACCCGTTTCTAAAGCCACGATCGGCTCAGCCGAACCCGTGGGAAGATCAAGTCTCTCGGCCCCAGTCCGATGCTTCATCATTCTCTCAGGGTGGTGCCAGTAGTCGATTAGGACAAGGTAAGAAGATGCAATCTTTTGTTTGGAGGAGCCCTGTTATAACAAGCGCAGACGAGGGATACATTCCGATGACTGCTCGCCTGTCACTCTTTGATACCCCGGAAATGGAGTCCCCCTGGGCGGATAGTAGGTCCAGTTCCGCCGCCGTATCTTCACAACAAGACCAATACGTTACGCAACATACGGCAACTGCGAACGACGCAGTTCCCGGCCAATACGAGCATCCGTATACTCCGAACGTGCCTTACGTCTCAGAGCAGGCTTACTCGCATAGCAATCCATCTGTTGTGCCACCGGAGCCGTCTCATTTGCAGCCCGACCAAGACCCTGGGAGGTTGGCTCCAGGACAGGGCACAAGCACCCCCGCAACTGTTTCGACTGCTACCAGCGGATCCCATGTCCTTATTGAACTAGACGAGTCTTCCCAACCACAAACGACCATGGAGACTAGTCGATCTGCTTCCTCTGTTTATGATGCGCCCACCAGTGAGAGAGAACAGCCACAAGAACCACTACCGAGTGGCCAACAAACAGCTGCACCGCCGCTACCAGATCGTTCAGCTGGCACCACTGCTCATGATGGTGTCGCTCAACCCGCGCCCACTGTTGCTATCTCCGAAGCTGAGGCGGAGCAACAAAGGGAGAAAAGGGCTGAGACGTACTCCATCAGAAAAGTCAATTGGATGGACTCTGCTGGGATTCTGCGTGAGAGCCCTATTCTGGTGCAGAACCAAAACGGGCCGTGTCCCTTATTGGCCTTAGTCAACGCACTCGTGCTTGGTGCCAGCCAGGACGCTCAGCCGCCTATCCTTAGAGCGCTACAGACGAGGGAGCAGATATCCCTAGGGCTTTTGATCGAAGCCTTGTTTGATGAACTGATAACACGTCTGGGCCCAGATGACCAGTTTCCAGATATCGAAGCACTTAGCCTCTTTTTAACGATGTTACATACTGGCATGAACGTCAATCCCAGACTCACTTTGGTACGTTCAACGAATACGCTGCAATTCCCTGGTTCTAATGGTGAACAGGAGTCTGAGGATGCCGTTGGGTCGTTCCTCGAGACTAGCGATATACGATTTTATGGAACCTTCGGCGTGCAGCTGGTGCATGGGTGGGTTGCCACGCCTTCGTCAGAAGTCGATGCAGCAATGAAACGATGTGCACAGTACCATGAAGATATCCAGCTTTTGCCGTTCCGCAAACAAGAACTCGAAGACCGTGTCTTCCGTGGTGGATCGCTTAGCCCGGAAGAAGAAACGATGATGAAAGATATTCAAACAATCCAACAGTTTATCGAGATAGATAACGCAACCCAATTGAGTACATTCGGACTCAATCACCTGGCAGAGAAGTTGCCTGCAGGAACATTCTCTATTCTCTTCCGCAACGATCACTTCTCGACGCTCTACAAACATCCACAGACCCATCAGCTATTTACCCTTGTCACCGATGCCGGATATTCTCATCACGCGGAGGTCGTGTGGGAGAGTCTTGTGGATGTCAACGGGGCCAACTCTGGATTTTTCTCTGGCGATTTCCGCCCCGTGGGCAATGTTTCGTCGGAGACATCCGATCCGTCAGGTCCACGGACATCCAGCAACACAGGACACTTATCATCGGGTACGAGTGAGCCGCGGCGCTTATCTGCCCAGGAACAAGCGGATGCCGACTATGCGTATGCCCTGTCCCTCCAATACCAGGAGGAAGAACAGCGGACTCGTAACGGAGGACGTCGAGACTCTGCTCCGACCCAAGGGGCCGGAGTCCGCGCCTCAGATCCAACGCCTCGGGTCTCACGCCACAGCCAGCCATCTGGGCGCCGTAGCCGTTTGGCAGGGGATGATGACGTCCCGCCCCCTACCTATGAACAAGCGGCCAATTCGCCCGCTTATCACGGACCCGAGAGAAGAACGCCGCAAGTGCCCCATGCGAACTACACTTCTCCGTACCAGAGGGCACCGTATGGGCGTCGCTCACAGGGAGCGCCCATCTCTACCGGCCCGTCTGAACGCATGAAAGATCGGAATAAGGACTGTATTGTGATGTGAAGTCGATCACTAGGGTGGATTCTGTAACAAGGGTTAATTAGTGTTTCAGCGCCTTTTTGATGCATTTATGATGATGGTATGATATATATGAGAATCTTTTGGCATTTCCTTTGTGTGGTATGTTGGTGCTACTTTGTATGGAAAGGCTTGTTTTATTTGCTCTCTGGGATTTGGTAACTGTTTGCTAGCGTTCTTTGCCAATAGAACTGTTGCTGGCTGTTTGTTCATAGTGCATACTTGTATAAGCCGAGTGATCCTGCATTTGATATTCCTGGACTAGTAGTGTAGTAACTATAGCCACTCTGCCTGATATACCTCGATATTTGCTACACAAATGTTGTTCCTAAGGTCTAAGCAGCCCGGCTTGCTTGTTAATAACATTATATTTTGCACACTTTGAGCATTATGAATCCATGAGATAGAATCACAAAAGGCTTTAGAGCACAGAGTGATCAAACCGAAAGGTTTACACAGCTGGAATAGACGGTTAGTTTAGAAACCCACACCCTCATACATCCATTCAATGACCCTAATTAAGTAGATTATGCCAATGGCGAAAGACGTTCTCCGGATCGTACTTTTTCTTCAGCTCGCGAAGTCGGTCGAGGTTTCCACGGAACAACTGGCTCGCACGGAATTCATGTCCTATGGATATTAGACGATGATATTGCTGCTGCTGCTGCTGTTGCTAACAGACGAAGACTCACCAGCAAGATTGGGATAAATCTCAGCATGGGCTTCCTCTTCAGAACTTTCTCGCTTGAGAACATCCAACACATCGCGCTTGAGCGCAACAATCTTCCTATCCAGCTCCGGATTGCGCCAGCAGAATACCAGGCCAACATTGTAGTATGGCCCGCGACTTGCGCAGGCAGTCGCATCGAGCGGAACCTCCTTGACCTTCCCGTACGGTAGCATTTCGAACACGAGCGTACTCTCCCTGATCTCGGGATAAGACCTCGAGATGTGTTCAAGCTTGTCGTAGACAGCAAGATACTTCTCCATAGCCAACGGGAAGGTCACGGTCGTGCCATCAATGCTCTTCCGGCCCTCGGGGATAGGTTCAATATTGGCCAGGGTGTGCAGTTCCGCATAAGACATCGGACCGGTGCCTTCCTCCGCCGCATTAATGGTTAAAAGATCTCTAAAAAAGGCCTCGCCCTCGGTCTGAGTCCCATGGTAGAAGAGGAGGACTACAATTGCGGTGCCCCGGACCGACGGATGGGCTCTGAACCCAAAGAAGAGCCCGCTCTTGGGATCCTGCCGCTCATGGAATTGGTTAGCGAAACGGACGATCTGGGGTAGCTTGTCCCCCGTGAAATAGATGGACCCTCCGAACAACCTCGGTGGGATGGGATGCGCCCGGAAGACCAGCTCGGTGACGACGCCAAAGGCCAGTCCTGCGCCGCGGACGGCCCAGAACAAGTCCGGGTGGCTCTCGTCAGAGGCCTCGACGACGCTACCGTCGGCCAGAACCATCTTCACGCTGAGCAGGCTGTCCATGATCAGCCCGTACAGCCCACTGAGCCATCCGTATCCGCCGCCCAGCGTGGACGCAGCCACGCCCGTCTGGTCCGCCGTCGCTCCGACGACGGCCAGTCCGTGCGGCATGGTGGAATGGTTCACGTCCTTCCAGATGGCGCCGCCTTGGACGCAGACTGTCCGAGACGCCGTGTCGGTCATCACCTTGCGCATCGTCGTCATGCTGATCACGATGCCGCCGTGCGACGCGGAAGCCCCCGTCGTCGAGTGGCCTCCAGCCTCGACTACGTATTTGACATGGTGTTTTTGCGCGAACTCGACGACGATGGAGACCTCGGAGGTGGAGGTTACTCGGACGATGGCTCCCTGGGTGCTGGTTAGTGGAGGACATCTCGTCACAGCACTGTGGATGACGGATACGTACTGCTTCCTTTTCGCAGGTGTCACTCCATCGCTGGATGCTCTTTGGGTAGTCTTCTGACTCGGAGGTGATGACTTCGGCGGCGGTTCCCTCTAGTTGTTCCTTCAACTGGAGGGCGTGTCTGTACGATAGGAAAGGCATTGATCTGGGTTTGGCTAGAAGCTATAGTTGAGATTGGATTATGAACAAGATTGACATTGATTGACATTGCTTCTCTACGGCATTGGATTGTACAGTTACGCGGTTTATCAAGCATCTCCTGACTGCTGTTGTAGAGTTTGGTGTTCGTTCTTTGACGTCTCATTCGGATATCAGACCCGGCAAACCATGGGCTGGATGTCAAGGCGTCGCCATCACTTTTGCGTCATACCGACAGCTCTAGATGTATCCTCTACCTAGGTACTGCAACGCCGGATTTGTATGAATTCCCAAATGTTTCCGCTTAATGCCTTTGCTTAGGCATCATTCATACCTATGGCTGGTCCTTTCCCGAATTCTCCACGGACTTGAGTATGTTGAATGCGGGGGTTAATATATCGACAGCCACCACGACATCTTAATCTCCAGCATACACGCCACTGACGAATTATTCTTATGATCACAGGGGATTAAACCCCTTGGATCGACAGGGCCATTTCCGAAACGACGACAATTCCGGGTGGCTGAATGTATAGATCCACCGGGTGATTGGAAGGAATATTTTCACCCGTCTACTAACTAAGCAGTTCTTAATTTGCCCAAGACTGAACCTGCTTTCTCGACACGTTGATCTCCTTGTGCTCTCATGATATACCCGGTACGCCGGCCCGCCGGGTGTATGGATAAATCATCGTGATACACTTGGTGTGGCAGCATGTTTCACTTCCTTTGCGGATGCGGAGCAGCAAACTGCCACACCATCTGAATTAGCGTGCATAGTCGCAATTTCAATTCTTCAAGCCAGGATATTAGCGCCATCTGGTGGGTTAATCATGTCAGGCCACAGCTCTTGGTCTCGGAGGACAATAATGTACTCCGTAGGCCCGTTCGGAGCATCCTCCGTCTGCATTTCGGATCCCATACATAAATACTTGTCGTAGTCGGATCCTGGGCGAAGTGCTCAATTGACCTCTTCGACCTTGCACACCCAAAAATGCGGATCCAAATTGCCGCTCTTGCGGCCTTGCTTGAAGGCGCCTGGGCTCTGGCCTGTCCCGGCACATTTGAGTCGATTTCCGCGGCTGACTATGTAGGAAAGTTGAAGCCAGGATGGAATCTGGGCAACACACTGGACGCTGTTCCTGATGAAGGTTCATGGAACAACGCGCCGGTTCAGGCGTCGACTTTCGATGTCGTCAAGGCCGCTGGGTTCAAGAGCGTGCGCCTGCCAGGTCAGTACAGCCAGGCGTATTCGTATGAGAAGAGGATGTTGACTCCATCGATCCAGTGACATGGGCCGACCACTTCAATGGAAGCTCGCCTGACTGGACTGTTGATCCTGCATGGCTGCAGCGGGTGTCGGACGTCGTCGACATGATCACCTCCCGAGATCTGTATACCATTGTCAACGTCCACCACGGTAAGGACCACCCCGGATTTCACATAGTCGCACACTGAGAGACAGACTCCTGGCAATGGGCGGACGTCACCGCGTCCGGGGCCAATCTGACCATGATCGAGGAGAAATTCTACCGGCTGTGGTATCAGATCGGCACCACGCTGGGCTGCAAGTCGAGCCTGGTCGCTTTCGAGCCGATCAACGAACCGCCCTGCAACTCCGCAGAGGACGCAGCCGAGATCAACAAGCTGAACCAGATCTTCCTCAAGGCCATCAACGACGCGGGCGGCTTCAACCCGAAGAGAGTCGTCACTCTCGTTGGTGGCGGGGAGGACAGCGTCAAGACGTCGCAGTGGTTCAAACTTCCTTCGAACATTACGAACCCCTACGCCATTCAATTCCATTACTACAGTCCTTGTAAGTCTCCGAAGTCCACCACCACAGACCGGTGTACTGACGTTGGGCAGATGACTTTATCTTCAGTGCATGGTAAGCCACAACATCCAGCCTCAAGTATCCCACTCACCAGAAACAGGGGAAAGACGATCTGGGGCTCCGACGCAGAGAAGAGCACCCTCGAAACAGACTTCAAGCTCATGCGCAACAACTTCACCAAGGTCCCTCTTGTCCTCGGCGAGTTCGACGCCTCCCCGACCAACACCGAGCCGGCCGCGCGCTGGAGATACACCGACTATCTCGAGCAGATCGCCGCGAAGTACGACATCGCAACCATCCTCTGGGACAACGGCGAGGACCATCTAGACCGGACGACAGGCGTCTGGCGCGACCCGACCTCCATCCAGATCCTCACCAACACAACCGGCACCGCCCGCAACAGCCTGCCGGACAGCACGACCGACGCCGCCGCCACCAGCCAGTCGTCCTCGGCGTATATCTTCCACCGGGTCGGCACGCCCGTGGCGAGCCAGACGCTCCCGTTTCTCTTCAACGGCAACACGCTCGTCTCCATCCGCAACGCGAACGGCACGACCCTCCGCAAGGGCGCTGACTACACCGTCTCCGATGCTAACATCGTCTTCTCGGCCTCGTACCTGTCGCGCGTGTACAGCGCGAGAACGGCTCCCGGCGTCCTGGAGACACTGACGCTTAAGTTCTCGGCGGGCGCGTCGCCTACCATCCAGATCGTGCAGTGGGACACGCCGACGCTCGCGAAGACCTCGGCCGCCGCCTCGTCTGCGTCCGGATCGGACCTCTCTATTCCAGTTACCTGGAAGGGTCTGGCTAAACCGGCTGCCGTCAAGGCCTTGACGGCCGGTGGAACGTACCTGGTCGACGACTGGACACAGTACCTGGGCCCGCTGCAGCAGGCCAGGACGGTAAGTATAGTTCTTTTCTCCGCGAAGGAAGGCTTGCTAACGGTGTTTTCTAGACCTACAGCAGCCAGTGGAACTGGGATGCGTCGAATGTGATCATCACGTCCGCGGCGATAGACGCTGTTGTGTCTGCGGGCCAGTCGACGGTGTTCACGTTCGAGTTCTATCCCCGTGTCAACGGGACGGTCAACACGGTCAACTTTACGTTGACTGCCTAGGGCTGCTTTCTTGTACATATATTGACCAGCGCGGTGCTTGAAGTGTGTCAAGATCAATCATGTATTCATTATCATTACCTATATCCCATCCCGTAACCAAACTCCAAACGTACCAAACAATCAATACAGAGTCTTCAGCTGCCACAACGGCAGGTTAGGATCATACTTATCCCAGACAATCTTATTCTTCTCATCGAGATGCGCGCCCTCATCCGTAATGGGGATGCCCGCCGGCGTATCCATGATCTCCTGCTGACTGAACCCCCACTTATCGCGGGGGATCCACAGCGTCGGCATGGGCGCCGTTATGCACGGCTCGTAGTAGGCGTTCTCGCGCTCCTCCTCGGAGTACCGGATCTCGACATGGTCGCGGCGCACCTTCCGGCGCAGCGCCGCATAGTCGCGGTACAGATTCGGATGGAACCACTTCCACGCGGCCTCCCAGCGGCTCAGCGGCTGCTGCGTGTACGCCTCCTGCTTGGCGGCCTGCGCCTCCTCCTCGACGTCCAGCGTGCGCGGGAGGAAGGTGTACAGCGGCTCGAGGGCCTCGTTCAGCGAGATGTGCGCCAGCACCGTGAGGATCATGAAGAGCACCATGATGACGAGCGGGCCGACCGCGCCCTTGATCGCGAACAGCCCGATCATGCACACGTCCGCGAGGTAGATGCCGGTCAGCAGGTGCTGCAGGGCGCGCGGGTACACGAGGCCCTTCGTGTCGATGCGCATCTCGTACACGAAGAGGAAGTTGTAGCGGTAGGCTTGGTAGACGAGGTAGAGGCCTACGAAGGCGAAGCCGAGGATGAGCGGCGCGATGCAGGAGTATGTCAGGGCTATGACGCCCATGTTGGTGAACACGGGGAACACGTTCCCCCAGCTGATGCCGCTGAGCGCGGACCAGCGCTGGTAGAGGTGGCGCGGCGAGTGGTCGAAGAACGTGGTGATGAACTTGAAGACGAGCGCGCCGGCGACTTGCACAACGGCCAGCGAACTCATCGTTAGGCCCTGCAGGAGGAAGTACGAGATGTAGAAGTTGGTCGCTTTGGGCAGGTTCTTGGCGAGGAGGTCCTTAGCCGAGAGAGGGTCTTTGATGATTTGCGCGGTGGCGGCCGAGGCGGCGGACGTCAGCGTCGTCACGAGGAAGACCTGCACGACCTGGAAGCAGAAGTGGGCGCTTTGCGTGAACAGCTCCACGCGGGAGGTGGATGGGACGCCGGCGCGTTTGGCACAGACTGCAGGATGTTAGCGGACAGTACCTTGGTGTGGATGAGGGCATTCTTACATCGACAGATGATCGGCACCAGAGACATCAGCAAGACCAGTGCGGCTGACGGGAGCAATCCGGAAATGACACCTTTGATAGTCTCCGGGAGGTCGTTGATCCAACCCAGGAAGGGGATCATCTTGGAGAGATAGGTGATGTTGGAGATGGTGCCGACTAGGGCGGAGGGAATGGACCAGAAAATGACCAATGCCGCGATGCCGCCCTGGACGAGGAACTTGCGCACGATGCGCTGCCACCAGCTGAGATTCAGCGCCAACCAGACTACCTCCGACGGGGCGATACCGATGAATCGCGGAGTCATGTGCAGCGGTTGGTGGTGCGACAGGGTCTGCAAGGCGATCTGCGCATCCGACTGTGAATTGAACTCGATAAAGACAGCAGAGAGCTGCTTCGCATCGCCGTCCTTGTGTTTCCGCTGTAGACTGGTCACTTCCTCCGTCACTTGGGCCAGCTGTGCGCGCAGCCAGTCGATCGTGTCGATCTTTTCGCCGAAGAAGAGCTTGCGTCTGTGGCATGGCCGTCGCACGCCGTGGTAGAGCGACGGATTACTGCCGCTCTCGCAGTCGTCGCAGCAGCTCTCGCAGGGGACACCTCCTTTCTTGAGGATCTTCAGGCGGGCGGAGTTGGCGCGTCGGATGAGTCGGGTCTCTGCGCGTTCGAGTTTGTACGAGAGGTCTTCCCTCTCCCGGACCTTCTTCTGCAGCTCCTCGCAGTTGGAGGTGATCCAGATCCGGTGGATGGAGTCCCCAAAGACCTGACGCAGGGTTTTCTCGTTTTTGTAGTCCTCCGGGACGGACATGAAGAGTACCGTGCGCGAGGAGATGCGGTCTACGTATGCCGGGGAGTTGAGATACGCTTGGCGTAGGTTTGCATAGAAGATGCTTTCTCGCGTCACGACGTAGAAGACGAAGGCTGGGGAGTCAGCTGCGTCAAGTATTTGCTTGGGGAAATCGCTTACTGAAAAAGACACAGGCCATGACTGCATGGGCATAGTATTTGGTCGGGTCTTTGACATTACTGAAGCTCAGCGCATCCAGCTGCGTATTTCCTGCTCCGCCGGTGGCGTGTATCGGCAGTAGGATGGGCCAGGTGATAAGACATCCAGTGAAAGATGTCGCGCAGAGCACTCTTAGGAACCGGAGGAAGAGATAGCCATCCATGGAAGAGTGATGTAACACATGGGCGTCGGAGATCTTGAGGAAATGCCCGAACCAGTTGAGGAAGCCCGTCGGCAGCTGCGGACTCCGTTCACTGTCCTGCATCAGTTTCGCTCCAACAGGGGAGGATGCACGACACTTACTGGATGTGAAAGGAGGGTAGATGAGACCTCGGTGCGTACCAGCGCAATTGGGTTCGACGGCAGATCAGGAACAGTCCGAACCAGAACACTGCAATCACCAATGCCGGACACAGAGTGGTCACTAGGGACGAAAGAGACGTTGAACTCTCGACTCCCAGGTCACTCATCGCCTCGGATGTCGTCGAGGAGGCATTGCCCCGAGATGATCCCACGTTAGGGTCATTCTGGGGATTCTGAAATGACCCGTCAGCTGCGGTCTAGGTGGGTGATGGAAACTAGACGAGTGTCTGCAATTATCGGCACTTACGATGAGATCACTCATGGTGGCTGTCTAGACGCAGATGTTAAGCCACTGAACCAGCCATATGGCATACAAGCAAACAGGGCGCGATCACAGACACGGATGTCCCCTCTCTTTACATATATTCTACCGGTAATTGCACTGGGGGCGGGCCGTCCCACTCACGCTGAAGACGCGAGAATGCAGACCATGCTCGACCTGTCATTTGGAGGGAAAGGGCGGGCGCTTGCACGTCACGACCACTGCGGCTGGACTGCCGGACAATGTAGCAATGCCACTAGTGCACAATGACCAAGTGCCATTGGTGGGCCGGTTGGAATGCACTGGGACATGTTTATCCTGCTCATTGTCGCGCTGTCCTGCAGGCAGTTCATTCGTCTGTTCTGACCCCGATAAAGGTGGTTCGTGGCGCGGAACATGCATCCTTCTCGCCGGGGCCTCGTCACTAGCATAGGCTAGTGGCCCAAATTCTCGGTGACAGCCTACCCCCAATCGAGTTAAGAACGCGGCGATGAGACATTTTGGCATGGTTGTGTGGTGGAGATGGACGCCGATCAGGGTTGCTTTTCCTGCTCCAGGGATGGCCAAGAATGTCCACCACCACCAGAGTGCACTCCCGACGAACGCTGCAACCCGATCTGGCGAGTTGCTCGGAACGAGGAATCTCTCCTGCATCCTGGGACTCAGGGGGCTGACCTCCAAACCCAGGAAATGGGAGTTATCTCCGTTCGTCCCGATCAGATCGCGTGGTGGGACCAGATCCCGAGATCCTCAAGTCTAAGGAACAGACTATCGGATATTAGCGTCTTCAGCTCGTCAAATTCCCGGAATTACGGACGACCTCCGTTAAGACGCCAGACAATGGGATATTATCGTCCTGAACATATCATGCTCCGCACTGACAAGCACCAGAGACTTAGGGTCCAGCGTCCGTTACACAGCAGTATGTAAGGGATGGAGTTTATTTTGCTTTTTCACGCGATGGCTGGAGACAGGAGAGGGCTGGTTTTGAAAAGTCATGATCCTCTCGGAATCTCTCCTGCAGGGCCGAGATTCCAACGGGCATGGAGAATTCGGAAATACGATGGACCCTCATAAGGCATGATTCAAGTCTCTTGATGGCAAAACCTCGGAGGGTCTCCAGGTAGGCTCCTTCTTCTGTCCACTTCCGCCCACGGTTGGCACTCAACTGGTTCTGGTGCAGCTGGCTGGCTGGGATGCAGATCGTACTTTTGCACACGACGCGACGAAGAACCGTGACTGGACAGGAGTTTGAGTGCATCTGTTGTTGACCAGCCGGGGTGTATTAGATATGCTAGGTCAAGTCGGTGATGCTCGGCATACAGGGCCACCACGAACGACCTCATGTACAGTAGACAAAAATGTCATCTCATTCAACCAAAGACATCCATCCCGACCGGACGGTTCAGGGGGTGGCAACAATGTGTCTGTCAAACCAGGAAAGTGTCTTCCGAAAGACTCCCATTGCGTGGCCTTCAGATTGCTTCTGGATCAGGAAGATCTCGCGAGACCCGCACGGACTAGACCTTCGGTTCGGCCGAAGTTGTCTGAGTTAAGGTTCGTTATGTCTAATTTGCATCTGACTGATGTTTAACGCTTCATAGTCTGGCGGGGAGCCCCATCTGGCACCGTTATGCCATGCTGTCTCGCAGACCTACGTGGCATGGCGCATTGAGCCCCGACAGATGTTGATCTGTGTTGTGCCTGTATGTATGTATTGTGCTTCGGGGGAATGGCGCTTTCAGATCTCAACTTTGTCTCTGATCTTTGTGCATTCGGAGTAGAGCGTTGAACCGCGTTGAACCATGGAACAAAAGGGACCTGAGAGTAATGCGCTCCACAGGTTTCCATGTGTTTTGGCTGCTGATGGAGGAAACATAAGGCGGTGGCAGACGGCAGTATCAACCTGTCGGTAGATCATCCTCCCCTTCACCGTTTCATCGCTCAATGCATCTGGAAACATGTCGCAATTAGACCCAGATCCCCCGGATAGACGGGACTACTCTTTCAATGACTCGGATGATCCGTCTGTGCTTGCGTCTTTTGAGCAGAAACAACCATTCCCTCCTCTTTCCGCTGACGATCTTGCGACAACCTCCCACGATGCGCCGGACAACAGCTATCCGGATGAGGACGAACACGCCATGACCTCGCCGCTGCAGGCGGATGCCGAAGGTGAAGACGATGACGACGCCGACTTTCAATCGCAGTACTCGCTGGACAACCAGTCCTTCTCGGACGCATCCACCGACTCGGAGGACCCATCCCCCAAAGACAGCTTCACCATGCATCATCCATTCCGACAGTCCTCCAGTTCCCTGCATGGCGCCAATGCCTTCGCACCGCCATTCTATAATCGTCCGCCGACCCCGTTACCGCCGTCTCCTTCGCTGACCTCGTTGCTGCGTCCACCCTTTTCCACGACTACCTCCCGACCAACCACCCCCGACAGCTCGGACGTCGAGACGCCCAATGACACCGAAGCTGCCGTTGCCAAGTCAGCACGCCGTGCGACCACCGTGCCACGTGCGAGCCCTAAAGTGCCCACCTATGAGTACTACGGATTTGTTCTGTACCTGGCTTCCTCGCTGGCCTTCTGTACGCCGACCTCCTGAGCACGAATCCCGCAAGATGTGCTAACAACCTTTTAGTGATCTATGTCCTCTGGTCTTACCTGCCATCCCCCTTCCTACACCAACTCGGCATCTACTACTATCCGAACCGCTGGTGGTCGCTGGCCTTCCCCTCGTGGCTGGTCATGTCCATCATTTACATCTACGTCGCGCTGGCGTCCTACAACACGGGCTACCTGACACTTCCGATGAACAGCATCGAGAATATCGTGGATGAGGTCGCCAACGTGGCCGTCATCGACGGCAAGGGCCGGCGACGCCCCGGCGGCTCGTCGCGCATGAGACCAGGCGCGACGTCCTACCAGATCATGGGGCCGCAGAACCGCAAGGTGCACTGGCCAGAGATCTGGAGCGAGGGCACGGATGCAGTGATGGACGTGCCAGTAGGCGGGGTGTGCGAGGTGCTGTACGGGCAGGAACGCAACGACGACGAGCTGTGCGGCGAGACCCATGCCTTTGGGGATCGCAACGGGCGTCGCATATAGTGACATAATGATACCCTATCCTGCCTACGGCGATGTATATAGACCTTAGATCTTTCAACGAACCAAGTATACCCAAATGCTGTCTATGTCGGTTTATAATGCTTAGCCTTCCTCCGGAATCCGTCGCAGTCGCATCCCACCCCTCCATCCAATCCAGCCCTTCTCCAGCGGCCCGCGCAGCAGCCCAATGACCAGCGCGCCGGCCACCAGCGCCAAACCCATCGTGCCGGACATGATCCAGCCGCCGCGCGCATACACCTGGTTCCCGACCGACGTGCCCATCAACTGCCCGCAGAACACGCCGACCATGTAGCCAGTGTTGATGCGGTTACGCGCCTTGGGCGCGACCTTGTAGATAGCGGCGCGGTTCGCGATCTGGGTCATCTGGATGCCAAAGTCCTGGAGGACGGCCTGAAGGATGGGGCCGGCGACGGAGAAAGAGCCGGTGTAGGTGCCGACGGCGATGCCGGCGATAGTGATGAGCAGGCTGACGGTGACGCAGAAGGGGGTGACGAAGTTGTCGATGAGGAAGCGGGAGAAGACGGGGCCGAAGAACATGGGGGTCAGGCCGGCGAGGGAGAAGAGGCCGATGGTGAGGGTGGAGTAGCGGTAGGGGTCGCCGGAGAGCAGGAAGGTGAGGGTGGTCCAGAAGCTGGTGAAGGTTGCGGAGGTGAGGAAGCCGATCAGGGTTGCCTGGACGAGGACGGGAGAGCGGACGAAGTAGCCGATGATCGAGGAGAGGATGGTCCAGTAGGAGATGTCGGAGTTGGTGGCCGGGTAGTCCGGCATGAAGAGCCACATGAGCAGGAAGATGAGGTACTGCAGGGCGAGGGAGAGCCAGTAGACGTTGCGCCAGTCGGTGCGCGAGGCGATGATACCCGCGAGCAGACGGGCGAAGAGCATGCCGAGTGCGAGACCGCAGGTGACGAGGGAGATGGCTGTTGCGCGGCGGGCTGGCGGCGCGAGGTCTCCGACGAGGGGGAGCATGATTTGCTGGAGAGAATTAGAGGGCGGGGGCTGAAACGAGGAGATGGGCTGGTTCTTACGGGGGTCACGGTGGTGATGGATGTGATGAAGCTCAGGGCAAGGAAGACATTGAACGAACTGGTCACGCAGAGCCCGATCCAGACGGTTGCAGTCAGGAAGGTCAAGACCAGGACGAATGGTCTCCTCCGGAGCATGTCACCCAATGGACAGAGGAAGATGAGCCCAGCTGCGTAGCCCGCCTGCGAGCATGTTGGGATCAACGAGGCCTGTTTTTGGGTCACGTCGAAGTATTCGGCGAGCATATCCAGCAATGGTTGGGCGTAGTATAGATTGGCGACCTAGCCGGTCAGTATCTTATCCTATGAACGGTGTATTCGTCCGGCTTACTGTGAATGTTGTTGCGAAGGAGAACAGGAGATTTAGAAATAGATTGAACTTGGGAGGATTGTCCGGTGACCATCGACATCGCGGAGGCGCCCAGAAGAGAATATCGAAAAGGGCTTGCAGCTTCTGCTGTGTTTCCTTTCCGCCATGGCGGTTTTCCAGCTGTTGAGTCATTGTCAGTACTTAGATGTATATATCGGAAGACAGACAAAGACGTACCTGTATAGGATCACTCGATGGCCCGACAGAGTCTGGACTCTGCTCTCGACGGATATTCTTCTCCTCCATGGCGCTCAATGGCCTCGACAAGAGAGAGATCCTGGAGAGAGAAAAATTTCCTCTTGACCTTGTAAGCCCAAGATCCTTCGATCACCAGGCTAACGCTTGCTTCTCCACTCGGCTTTCTCTTCTAGCGGCCGGGGGTGGGGTTGGCTATCTTAGGGCTTACTTACCTTACAGATGGTGTTGATAGAAATACGTCCAATGTTCAACGCACTGGTGCTCGTGGTAGAGGAACATAATGTCCCAGCTTGCAGTCTCTTGCAAGGCACTCCATTGAACGAACAGCCATGAACAGCTTTATGGCCGGGTGTTTTCGGTTGTTCGGGCCAAGTTATGGGGTTAAAGCTAAGTGTATGGATCACCGAGCAGGATATTAATCCGGTACTAGAGTAACATGATAGGACGGTGATCTCGGTCTAAATGATAGTAGGATCGTCTCGTCGGGGGGTTTTCGGGGTTTCTGGAGCCAATGCTGTAGGTAGTGAAACTCACTGTGAAAGAAGAACAATCAAGGTTGAGATAGAGGATAAGTAGCGTCATAGAAAGAATTCTAGAAATAAACACCGAGAGTCTGGCAGAACGAAGACTACACAAGGCGAATAGCTGACTCATTGTTCATTGTCGCTGTGCATCCATTCATTCATTCGCCTCCCAATTATCATCGAACCCTTCCACCAACTAACAACCATTCTCGTCCATGCAATCAAGATTCAAGTTGGGTACCAAACAGGGGACTCAACCATCTCCAACACAATAATAGCCACACTTACCTTCGTATTCCTACTCAACGGAAGCAAATATCTCATCTATGTCCCTCCTCAGAAGCAGCCGATTCCCATATACTTCAACTGCCTACTCGGCTGCATGGACCGAAGCTCGGCAAGAATGCGGAGTAACGCTTGGACATTTGCTATCATTTGCGTGGCCAGCCCATACAATGATAGCCTCGGGCCAGGGACAAGACATTGATGGTGACAATTTTATACATTTCTCCAGCTTTCTTAGATACTAGAGCGTGACGGATGTCGTCAGAACTATATTCCAGCTATACGAAACATTGATCTAGGCACCCAAACTCACGACAACGGACTTTCGAGGAAAGAGTGTTCTCTCTGTGCCGGATTAGACAATGTCGCTCGCGAGCTACATCTGGGGAGAGGCCGAGCTCAATCGACGACAGGAAATCCTCAAGGCCCTGTCTCAGTCCCCAATCAAAACCGTTGGCCACAACCCGTACCGATTGTCCCGCAAGGAGCTATGGACAGTGAGAATCCAGCAAAATATCGAGCTGCTAGAGCTCAAGATGCGATTAGGCTGGGACAGCGCAGCACTATCTGGATGCTTTGAAAATTGTCTGTCCGGATGTTGCTTCTCTTAGCGCGAACTACCGCAGTAAGTGATCAGGAGGTGTGGGTTTGCGTGTGGCTAACCGCAAGAAATATAGTCTTCCTCAAGAATCTCCACGCCCAAATGAGCGAGGAACAACGGGCGTACTGGATCCCCAAAGCTGAAAACTTTGAGATCACCGGTTGCTATGCGCAGACCGAACTCGGACATGGGAGTAATCTGAAAGGCATTGAGACAACGGCGACCTTTGATCCGATCACCGATGAAATTGTTCTCAACTCACCCACCTTGTCGAGCCACAAATACTGGATCGGTGGTTTGGGTGTCATGGCGACGCATGCTCTGGTCATCGCACGGCTAATCGTGGCCGGAAAGGAACTGGGCAATCATGTTTTCCTAGTTCAGATCCGAGACCTAGGAACCCATGACTTGCTACCTAATGTGCAGGTATATGAACAAGGAGAAAAGTCTCTGGGGACCTTCGCCACAATGGACAATGGGGTCATGAAGTTCTCACACAAGCGAATTCCGCGGGCTCAGATGCTTGCCCGCTACGCGTCGCTGGACCGAGACGGTACTTACCATAAGAGCGAGAACAAGAAGCATGCTTATACCTCCATGGTCATTATCCGGAGTTTGATGTCGCAAGAAATCGGCCTAGACGTTGCCAAGGCGATTGTAATCGCTCTTAAGTATACAAACTTCCGGAGACAATTCAATGTGAAGGATGGCAATGAGACTCGCGTGATCGAATATGCCAGTGTCCAGAATAGACTCTACCCGGCTTTATGTCGCGTAAGCCAAGTCTCATGCCTTGTTTCCCTTGGACCGCTTGCTAACATCCCACAAGGCCATCGCTATGGTTCTCGTTGGCCGAGAGATCAAAGAGCAAGTTGAGGATCTTCGAGTCGATAAGTTGGAAAACCTCCATCTGCAGACCGTCGGACTTAAGATCTGGGCCACCGAACATGGGGTGAGAGACATTGAGGTTGCTCGCCTGAGCTGCGGCGGACATGGTAAGAAGTAGCCCTCAGATATTGATTTCTCTCTTACTCTAGGTGGTGTAGGAAATATGGCGGCCGCCGGTCTGGGCTCGATGTATGCCCAGCTTTCTCCAGCACGGACGTACGAAGGAGACAACTACGTGTTGTCGCAGCAGATTGGAAATGCGGTGATCAAGCATTGGAAAAGGTGTGTAGATTCCTGCCCCGATACATACCATGGCTGACCCCCGGCAGAAATACCGAAATGACAATCCCAGCTCTGTCATATCTTACTCTACTGCGAGACTCTCAGCGAATGTCGCAAAGGTTGGGCGTAGGGACCGCGGATTCATTTCTTGCACCCGAGACACAGGAACAAATCCTGGAATACCGTGCTGCCATTCTAGCGAGAAGGCATATCTCAGACACCGAACAAGGCAAAGACACCAGCTATGACGTGTTCCAACTCGCGATGGCCCATGCAGACTTGACATATTGGCGTAGTCTGCAGAATAAACTGTGCGAAGCTCCAAGGGAACATGAGACAGCGATCAAGACACTTGTAGATGTGGTGGGTCCGATCTCTCACTGCGTAATCCCAGCTGCTGATTTTGAAATTAACAGTTCGCCCTTACGTCAATTCTGGAGAGCCTAGGGGCATTTGCAGGGACGAATTATCTCGCACAGGAGGACATCTCTAGCCTGAGAGATACGCATCATTCCCGCATCGCTTCGTTATCCAATCATGTCCAGTCAATTGTTGATGCTTTAGGGTTCACGGAAACTGAGCTCAACAGTGCCTTTGCTCGCGAAAGCCAGACCCCATATGAGGCTCTTCTGGAGACCGCACGGCAGAGCGAGATGACCGACAATCGCTTCATTCGACCAACTATCTTGCAAGCGAGGAATCTATGGAAGAAATATCAGGGTTCGGTATCCAAGTTATAGTGGGGTGTGAGTATCGCTCTTCGTCATGTAGATCGAAAGGACTCCTGCGTCGTTAGCCGAAAGTGGGAAGCTTAAGAATACCTTATCTGTCGCATTATTATCGTAGTTCATCAACAAACGAATATATATATCTGTATCCAGGCGACATCCACATAACAACAGTATATGAAAATCGACGTACAACACTTTTGGAATCCTATCCCTACATCATACCTGCAAAATCTATGCAGAGTCTTATGAAACAGAATCTCATACAGGATGAGCAAGTGTAAACAAAGCCGAGATGCATGGTGTACAACCAGTCACGTGACATCATCACAACAGAGTCTCTGTCCAACGCCAGATTCCACGATGTGTCAATATTGGATTAAGATAAACCAGAAACAATATCAAGGATGTGCTCTCTCAATATAAAAGAAAACGACCACAACAAGCAGCGCTAATGGCGGTTGAAGCAGCGGCGTGGGCGGCTACGACAGCCAACCAGGATCCTTAGTAAGACGCCAACCTTTCTTCTACGGTGTCCCGTCCCAGTGACCCTCTGGCCAGTCTCTTGCTGCATCTCCGGTCGCATTTCTCCTTCTCCGAACCCCTTCATCTCCTTATTCCCATTGTCCTCTCTTTATCGGTGTTGACGCGGCTAGGAACTTGGTTTCCTGCCGTTGTCGCCCGCTCCCGCTTGTTGGCTTACATCAACAGAGTTTACGACCGCCTTTCTCCCCAGAGCTCCTCTCGACTCACACCTCCCATAATTCCGAATCCTTCGACTTACGACCCTTTCGGCCTCTCAATACTCTTGTCGGCTGATTGTGCATGGCGTGGCAGTCGTCATCAGCCATGGCTGGCGGTGGAGGGTTTGTTGGGCCCGGGGGTGATATGCCGTCAAACGGCGGACAGCCTCAGGGGACGGAGTACACATTGCAAGGTGAGTGATCGGGGGAACCCCTGTCATGCGCGGAGCCGTCCGAGTCATACTAACTGCTTAATCCGAAAGGCGTTATGCGCTTTTTGCAGACAGAATGGCACCGCCACGAACGAGACCGCAATGCTTGGGAGATTGAGCGCGCGGAAATGAAGTCTCGCATTGGACGGCTGGAAGGCGACGTCCGAACGAGCAAACGGTTACACGAGTCCTTGGGAAAACATGTTCGGCTACTGGAAGCTGCCTTGAAAAAAGAACGAGAGAAGGTCAAGAAGCTCAGTAACAACGAGACGGTGGAGGACATGCGCGACCCCAAGGAGATCGCTCGCGAGAGTTTGAACGCTATCAAATGTAGTCCCCTTCCCCCAACCTTTTGATTGAATCGCGCGTATACTGATTACCGCCCTAGCTCAACGCCCCAGCCCATTCGCCGACCTAGGTGATTCCGACTTGAACGCGGACAATCAACACGACAGACAAGAGAGTGAACGAGAGAAGTCGCGTCGATACTTGGCAAAATGTCACCAGGAAGTCGCCTACCATGTTATCCCCTCCTCACACCCTCCTCTCGACCTTAGCGACCCAGACCTTTCGAATCACCTCTATGGCAACCAGCATCTGTCTCAGCAAAGCCTGGAAGAGGCTTATCTACAGCAGCAACGCCAGAAGCAACAGCAGCAAGCGAACCATTTCATGGCACGCGAGGCACCGATCCCTAACCACCAACCCATGATGGCGCAGTACTCCGAACCATCTGCCTTGTCCCGAGCGCAAAACCAATCCAATCTCCCCCCCGGTTCTCGCGAGGCTCTTGAACGAAAACCTCTGGAACCGCAGCAAACGCCTGTGACGGCGGTTGATAACCGAAAGCAAGGTCTGGAGTCCGCGCGCATCGATGAACGCGCAGGCTTCGAAGGATACGGTGCACATGCAGCAGGCAGGGACGAGATGAAGCCGGGTCAGACTGAGGAAAACGCGGATGACACTGACGGTTGGAATTTCGATGAGCCTTCGGAGTCGGAATCCGCGACAGGACCAATGCCGCCTCATCGACCAGATGTGGATGCTTTTCCCAACGCCAACTTCGTGCGGTCGAAATCTCCTTCGCGCCCGGGCTCACTCTCGCATCGACGGAAGAGCTCCGGTGCGCAGCGCAAGAGTGATGGGGCCATTGAACTGAGCGCCTCCGGTGTTGCTAAGCCCGACACTAATTTCAAAGTTCGGTTCGCTCTACGAGGCCACCTGGACGTAATCCGGTCGGTCATATTTACAGGCGGCGGCAGCCCTTCTGAACCAGAGATCTGCACCTGCAGCGATGATGGCACGATCAAACGATGGATCATTCCCGCAAGCTATGGCGCTTTTGGTTCTCAGGCGGCTAGCTCGAGCAATGATCTTGACATTACGAGCTATTTCACTCACCGCGGCCACGTAGGCGCGGTGACTGCCTTGGCCGCCTGTTCTCCGTCGCAGAACTTCTCTAATGGTGGCCGTGTGTCCGGTGATGGCTGGGTGTTTTCTGGTGGCCAAGATGCCAGCGTTCGCGTTTGGGAGCGAGGTCGCGTAGACCCCAAGGCTACCCTTGATGGTCACACCGATGCTGTATGGGGCCTGTGTGTTCTTCCTGGCACCACCGGCTCTGTGTTTGGGGACTCCTGTGCTCAGTACGGCGGCCCCGACCGGATACTACTTGCATCGGGTGCTGCAGACGGCCACATCTTGATTTGGGCCGTTAGTGCACCTCCCCAGTTATCGTCGCCACAGGCAGGATCTCGGCGCGCTGGAGGCAGTCGGCGCGCAAACTCGATATCATCCGGTTCCAATTTCCCTTCTTCCCCACAGCCTAGCACGGCAACGACAACTCCGTTCCACTATACCCTCATCCATAACATCGTTCACAAAGACTCCCCGTCGCCAACTTGTATAAGTCCTCTGTCTCTTGCTGGTGTCAACTTTGTCGTTTCCTTTTCGGACGCGTCCGTGATCGTCTATGATACGAGAACTGGCGAGGAGATTGCGGGAATGGCGAGCCTAGAGACATACGACGGAACGCCATCGACAGGTGTTAACTCTGTTGTTGCGACCACGGTTGGTTTTGATGGCTCGGCAGGCCTCGACCCAAGCCGCATTCCAGCCGAAGAGGAGGTAGTTCACGGCGCGACTGGTTCGAGCGCTGTGGAGGGAGTGATCATTTGTGGATACGAAGACAGATATATCCGGTTCTTCGATGCCAACAGTGGTATGTATCTCCTAAGACTTCTACTGCAAGATAAAGCGTGCTAACCTTTGTCTAGGCCAATGTACCTACACTATGCTTGCTCATCCATCAGCGATTGCATCACTGTCGCTCTCTCCGGACGGGCGTGAACTAGTGTCTGCCGGTCATGATGCCAGTTTGCGATTCTGGAACCTGGAGAAACGAAGCTGTACCCAAGAAATTACCAGTCACCGGCTGATGCGCGGCGAAGGTGTTTGCGCCGCGGTATGGAGCCGTGACGGTCGCTGGGTCGTCAGTGGAGGAGGAGACGGGGTCGTGAAGGTCTTCTCGAGATAATGAATGAGGACGGTTGTCGATGTATGATGTTACTTCTTTTTGATCTTGTCACAAGCACATTGCAGCCGATACGTTTTCTCTTGCTGTGTTCTTTCGACGCATGAAAATGGACGAGCGCTTGGCCCATCTCGAGCATTTGCAACGGTGTCAATTTGCCTGGCATATGTTCCTTTCTCCTTGTGTGGTTATAGGTTCTTCCCCCCATTTTAACATTCACATTTGTCTCATTAATTCGGCTATTAAATTTTGACACCCCAATATCCCCTGTTCGCATATGGATTACGCCCGTCTACTTTGGTATGTTGTCTGGGGGGAGGCCAGACTGTGATGAGCTGATTGGGATAGAACAGCATTTGTGGGTTTTCTACAGGTGTATCAGACTTCTCCCAGGCTTGGTGTTTCTGAGTACTTGCGCATTCTACCTATTGTACAGGTATGGTCTTATGAATGGAATATGTAATCTAATGCTTCTCGGTTCCGTGGAGTGTACTATTTTGAGACGCTTCGATGACGCGGCTCATTTGCCAAGATAATCCTCATACAAATGTACGATTTGCTGAAGTTTTAAGACAGTGGACATTATGAAGGCGGATACGGCACTTGGAATTCATGAACTTGCTGCCAACGAGCACCCCCTCACCACGATGCCAACTCCACAAGGATGACATTGTCTGCCCGGGTAGTGAATCAGCCTTACCTGTGTGTGCCCGGGCAAAAGTGACCCCCGAGCAACATCCTCTTCGGGTAAAGGGCTAGGCTATCAGATACTCTAGCTCATTACGGCGATACGAGCTCGGCATCCCCCGCCCTTGGCACCCTACTACTTACTGTACAGAGTACAAACATGATCCATATACACGAAAGCCTCATTTCCCTGCCGATCAGGAGCGAAGCCACTAGAACGCCACGCGTCGGTTTGACGCTGCCTGGGCTCTCTGTCGCGACGGTAGCTTCGACCTCGCGATATAAGACACATTCTCCACGACCGGCAGTCGTCAATGTACATCGCTCGCGAGATGAACACACCTTGACCCCCTACGACCTTTTCGATCACGGTCGACATAATGGGACCTCCTTCGGAGCCCGAATCTAGGCAGCTCTCGGCGCAGAGTCCGGACTCACTCGGCCTGCAACATGAGTCGTCTCAAACGGCTGAGCGCAAAGAAGCCAGCGCTGTCAAACTGAACGAGACAAAAGAAAAATCCTCCGATGAAGAAAAGTCCGAAGACCAGGCCTCTGAAAGTAAAGATGAGCAGCCTGAACAGAGTGCTTCCCTGGCAAATTATTTCGTGAGAACTATCCCGTGAGAATTCTAGCATTCCGCTGACAGTGTACGTCTGTAGAGGGTCTTTTCCTACGCCAATACACAGGATCGCGCGATTCTCGCTTTGGGGCTTGTATGTTCGATCGGATCTGGTGCGGTAGGTTCAAAAATGCTGGTTCTTGAGACATGACCTTGACGTCGTCAATAGCCTCTGCCTCTGATGAATATCGTCTTCGGAAACCTGGTTGGAGAATTCAACGGCTATTTCACGCCCGGGACAACGGTCACTGAGGACGAATTCAAAGCCTCCGTCAGCAATCTGAGGTATGTGAGCATGCGTGGTGAGACTGTCTGTTCATGACTGATGCTGGCTAAGCTTGTACATCGTGTACCTCTTCATTGGGAAGTTCACGTTGACATACGTCTCCATGGTAAATCAACATCATCACCACGGTCACATACGACTACACCACTAACCTACCTAGTACTGTTTCCGTGTCATCAGTCTTCGCGTTTCGGCCACCCTCCGGCTAGAATACATGCAGTCTCTTTTCGCCCAACGCATCAGCAAGCTGGACCAGGTATCAGTGGGAACGATCACGAATACAATCACAACCCTCTCCAATTCCATCCAGCAGAGCATCTCGGACAAACTCGCTATCCTCTTCCAATCCATCGCTCTTCTAATTACCGCATACATCATTGCGTTCAAGTACTCATGGGCCTTGACACTCGTCACAAGCGCTGCTCTTCTTTTCATCCTTGTCGTCTGCTCTTTCACAATCCCGGTCCTTGTCAAGGTCCAAGCAGAAGTAGATGAGGCCGACAAGAAGCACTCGTCTATCGCAGCCGAGATCTTTGGCTCCATCCGCACTGTCGTGTCGCTCGGAGCGCAGAGTTTCCTCTGCAAGAAATATGCCGGCTGGATTGAGGAAGCGCGGAGACGGGGGCAGCGCATGTCAACCGTATTGGGGATCCAGCTTGGTCTGGTGTTCTTCGCGATGTACTCCAGCTATTCGCTGGCGTTCTGGTTTGGCCTGAAGCTCTACAGAGAGGGTCACATTGCGAATATCAACGTCGTTATCACGTGGGTACACGCGCAACCCGGTCATGGCCTTGCTAATACATTTTCAGGGTGTTCTTCTCCGTCATGATCGCGGTGAGTGTTCTGGGAAACATCGCCTCGCCGTTGATGATCGTGTCCAAGGCTGCTAGCGCTGCGGGCTCGTTTTTCGAAATGATCAATTCTGAGAGGATCGACACTAGCGGTTTCCGCGAGCCCGAGGCTTCCGCTGAAGTCGATATCATTTTTCAGGATGTCGAATTTACGTACCCTTCTCGTCCAGACACGAAGGTGCTGAAAGGGTTCAACGCCCGCTTTGAAAGAGGAAAGACGACTGCGTTGGTAGGGCCATCCGGCTCCGGAAAGAGCACGATCGCCGCCTTGATTGAACGATGGTATGACCTGAAGGAGGGAGATGGGCCTCTCAACGGTGGGGATATCTTCGTTGGCCAGCACAAGATAAGCGACCTCGACTTGAAATGGTGGAGATCTCGGATTGGACTTGTCCAGCAAGAGCCGTTCCTTTTCAACGACACGATCTTCAACAATGTATCCTTTGGTTTGATTGGAACAAAATGGGAGAACGAACCCGAATCCACCAAAAGGGAGCTGGTCCAGAAGGCCTGCGAAGAAGCATCAGCGACAGAGTTTATCGACCGTCTGCCAGAGGTATGTGACACCTTTTGTTCACACTGCGGCGTCTGACCCCAACAGGGCTATGATACTATCGTGGGAGAGAACGGTACCAAGCTGAGCGGCGGTCAAAGGCAACGTCTGGCTATTGCGCGAAGCATCATCAAGCAGCCCACCATTCTGATATTAGACGAGGCGACAAGTGCAATTGATGTCCGCGGAGAGAAGATAGTCCAGGCAGCGCTAGACCGAGTGTCGAAGGACCGCACCACAGTCGTGATTGCCCATAGACTCTCGACTATCCGGAAAGCTGACAAAATTGTTGTGATGACGGGTGGCGTTGACATGGAGCATGGGTCGCATGATGAGCTGATGGACATCGATGGTGGCGTGTATAGAGGCCTTGTCAATGCCCAGAGACTGGAGATCTCGGCAGAAGATGAGACTGACATGACGGAGGCCAGTCCGGAGCTGGAAGAGGAGGCCAAGTCAGTGGATACGGTCCTCTATGATTCCTCACAAAAGGACGAAGAGGACTACAAAGAAAGCCGAAGCTTCTTCACCAGTATCGGGCTATTCTTATACGAGCAGCGCGCAAGGTGGATGTTGTATATTCCGACCTTGCTCGCCGCTGCCGGAGCTGGAGGTGAGTGTCCCTGCTCTTATCGATGGCTAGGCTAATCCAACACATAAAAAGCCTCCTTCCCATTACAGAGCTGGTTGATGGCACAGTTGATCGGTGTCTTCAGATTGAGTGTAGAGAAACTTGCAGACGCTGCGAATTTTTGGGCGCTAATGTTCTTCATCCTCGCCCTCGGGGTGGCTGCTTGCTATAGCGTGCTGGGCTACTGTACCAACCGGTTCTCAATGGTAAGCAGTAACTAGTAGCACGGCAAGTACTCGCAAACTGACACTGATCCAGGAGGTTGGCTCATACTGCCGAACGGATTACATCGAGAATATCTTGAAGAAACCAATCGCGTTCTACGACCGCCATGAGAATGCGTCCGGCTCCCTGGTTTCTCGGCTTGCGACTGACCCGAAGCAAGTTCAGGAGTTACTGGGACCAAATGGCGCATTTCCGATTATTTCCATCTTTGGTGTCGTGGGCTCCATAGTGATCGCCTTTTCCTTTGGCTGGAAGCTAAGCTTGGTGGCGGTATTCGCGGCTTTGCCATGCACTTTTCTCGCTTCTTTCATGCGCATTAGATATGAGATGCAGTTCGATGCAATGAACGCGAAGGTGTATGCGGGTAGTTCGCAGTTCGCTGCCGAGGCCATAGAGGCCTTCCGGACTGTCTCAGCACTGACGATGGAAGATGCTATCTTGAATCGGTATCGGAACCTCCTCCAGGAACAACAGAGGAAGGCTTTTCGGAAAGCCTGGTACGCCACATTGATCTTTGCTTTTTCCGATAGCGTTGAGCTATGTGCGATGGCACTGACTTTCTGGTGAGCAACCCAAAAAAGACAACATGCACAATTACTGATTCTTTTCTCAGGTACGGTGGCCAACTGCTGGCGTCAAGAGAGTACGAGCCGACAAAATTTTTCGTTATCTATATGGCAATCATTCAAGGAGGACAGCAAGCTGGCCAATTCTTTAGCTTTGGATCAAATATCGCACAGGCAACCGCATCGGCTAACAGGATGTTGGACTTTCGTCCAAGGCCAGCTTCAGCGAGCAGTACCGGGGCCGACTCCGTTCAAAAGACAAACTTCGAGCGGAGCGAGGGCGCAAGACTCGAATTCAACCAGGTTACATTCATATATGCGTCGCAAGAGGTCCCTCTTTTCTCGGATCTCAGGTTCAACATCGAAAGTGGGCAATTCGTCGCGTTTGTCGGGCCGTCCGGTTGTGGCAAGACGACCGTCATATCACTGCTGGAGAAATTCTATCACCCAGCACAAGGCACCATTACAGTCGACGGCCATGATATAAGTCGCCTAGAGACCTCGTCCTACCGGAGGGCAATCTCACTCGTGGCACAGGAACCGAGGCTTTTCGAGGGAACGATCCGTGACAACATTACCCTAGGCCTTGACGAGTCTGATTTCACTGAAGATGATATAGTGCAAGCATGCAAAGACGCGGAAATCCATGATTTCATCGCATCACTTCCGAACGGCTACTCCACTGAGCTCGGTATAAAGGCCCAGACATCGCTTAGCGGAGGCCAGCGGCAACGACTCTGCATTGCGCGTGCGCTGTTACGAAAACCGTCTCTTCTCCTGTTAGATGAGGCCACCTCGAGTCTTGACTCGCAATCCGAAAAGCTCGTGCAAGCAGCAATGGACCGCTTGGCTGCGAAGAGAAGCATGACAATCGTAGCTGTTGCCCACAGACTGGCCACGATCCAGAAGGCCGACGTGATCTTTGTGTTTGGAGAAGCGCATGGTGGGAAGGGCTCTCGCATCGTGGAGCAAGGAACGCACCAGGAATTGCTCCGAAAGAAGGGAACTTACTGGCAGATGGTGAGTCTTCCTTTTCGTATATTTTTTGCGTTGTACTAACCTAATGATAGTGTCTGGAGAACGCGATGGATAAATGATCCATCTCCCTGCCAGGACACCGAGGAGTTCATTGTAATATAGTCATCTTTCGATGGTAGATACTCCTCTCATAGCCTGATACTGTAATATAGATGATATCATCTCTTCTCGCGATTCCATCTCAGCCTTGATTTTCAAGCATACTGTACGGAGGTCAGCAGTCAGCACCGGATATAAGCCTCGTTCCGGCGTTAACGGACTAAGAGGGTTGCCTCCGCCGTTCAGCCCAAGTATAAATACTCAATGCCCATTGAAACCATTTCTCTTGTATTTCAATCATAATCAGAGTCAAAATGACGGACAATAACAATCTCAAGATCGTGTTCGGCGCCATGACCTTTGGCGAGCCGAGTAAGTCCTCGAGACATGGTCATTGATTGCTTGAAGGAGTACGTAGCTAACAAAACCAGACACACTCGGTGCCCGCGTCCACGACAATAGCCTGGCTTCATCTATGCTCGACGTCTTCCAGCGCCACGGCCACAACGAAATCGACACAGCCCGCATCTACGGCAACGGTTCATCCGAAGCGATGCTCGCAGCAGCCGACTGGCAAAACCGCAGCCTCGTCATGGCCACAAAGCTCTACCCCACGATAGGCAAAGAGCAGATGTTCAGCGAGATCTACACCCACCGACCGGAAGACATCCGTCGCGGGCTCCTCTCAAGTCTGGACGCCCTCCAAGCCTCCAAAATCGACCTGTTCTACCTCCACGGCCCAGACCGCACCACACCCTTCGAAGATACCCTCCGCGAAGTGAACGCGCTGCACAAGGAAGGCCGCTTCACCCGCTTCGGACTGAGCAACTACATGGCATGGGAGGTCGCCGCCATCTGCGAGATCTGCAAGAAGAACGGCTGGGTCATGCCGAGCGTCTACCAGGGGGTGTATCATGTTCTGCAGCGGAGCATCGAGGGCGAGCTGTTCCCGTGTTTGCGGAAATACGGCATCGCGCTGTATGCCTTCCAGCCGCTAGCGGGGGGATTCCTGACGGGGCGGTATACGCGCGACCAGACGGAGTTTGAGGCTGGGTCGCGGTTTGACCCGAAGATTGCGCAGGGGAGCGTGCACCGGACGCGGTACTGGAATGGGGTGTATTTTGATGCGCTAGAGGCGATACATGCTGTGGCGGAGAAGCATGGTCTGCGCGATGGGGAGGTCGCGTTGCGGTGGTTGAAGCATCATTCGTTTCTGAGGGAGGAGCTGGGTGATGCGATCATTGTTGGGGCTAGCAGTGTCAAGCACCTGGAGGCGAATCTGGTGGATCTGGAGCAGGGTCCGCTACCGGATGAGATTGTACAGGTCCTGGAGGAGGTTTGGCCGAGTGTAAAGGGGGTTGCGCCGAACTATTGGCATTAGTTGAGGTAGTGTCTGTATAGATCGACTTGTATAGCATAGATCACTCTGAAAATTCTTGCCGCTTGCTTCTCGCTCTGGCCACGCCTTCCAGTAGACTGTGGTCCTCCCGTTGAAAGCCCTCAATGGGGAACATCCGTCCCTATCTCGAGACAAGCAATGGTCCCTGAAATGAATCAAGGGGTGTTTCCACCTTTATTCCATTAAGTTCTTCTGTTCGTGCAAGATATGCTCACGTCAAGTAGCTCCATTAAACTCAAAACCGGTAAACATGCACATCACCGACTCGAAGCCCACGCACCCTTAAACAACGTCCTCAATTTCGCCGCTTCCTCTGTATCCTTCAGCCGTTGTTCCAGGAAGCCTTCAAGATCATTCCAGAAGGCCTCCGTCTCCAACAAAGTCTCCCCACTGGGTCCAACAGCCGCTTTCGCCGCCGCAGCATCCTGCTGCTCAGGGGCACTCGTCGTCGTCTCCGCTTCGACCACCTTCGCACCGCCCATAATCATCACTCCAAACTCCACCTCCTTTCCACCGGACAGCATCTCGGGCTCGTCGGACAAGATCTCGGCGATCGTCTTCCCCGCCACCGGCTTGCGCTTGTAGAGAATCTTGATCTTATCCACGGGCACGGCGCCGTCCTGCGCATCGACCACACGAGCCTGCACGGCATCTTTAAGGTCCTGGACAGATGTCGTGGCGAGAGGCGCATTCGAAATGGTGAATTCGAGGGCGGGGTTGCGCGCGGACTTCAGGCGGACTGTGATCGACTTCGAGGACCCCGGGGCCATGGTGGGCTTGACTTTCTTGGGCATTTCCGGGCGGGGCGGCTGTAGACGGGGGAGGAGGTACTGTATATGGGTTAGTATCAATGCTTTAGCGGAGGATGTTCTTGGTGGGCAGGCATACTGGGACACGGAGCCCGACTCGCTCGGGATCGAAGACATAATCGGCCGGGAGCTTGACCGGACGGGAGTCCAGTGAAGCCAGATAGGATTTGATGAAGTTGATTTCGGTCATGGTTGCGGCAGAGGAATGGAGTGACGTGCTGTAGAAAGAACAACAATCAAGAGCGATGATGTTGCACATCCCGCAAGCTCTTCAGGCATCAAGGCATCATATGTGGGACCTCAGGTAGTTTAGATCCTTACCGCCTGCCGAATCCTTCTGCCCACGCTCACCGCCTGCAGCAGAAAAAAATCGGAAAAGAAAAAAAAAAAAGCGGAAGATTTGCAAAGCAATCTCGATCAACTCCAACTTCACCTCTTCCCCCGACTCCTCCACTTCACATATCACAATGGGTAAGGGTCGTCGTATGAAGAAGCAGGGCCCTCCGGCCCCGCTCGATGAGTCGAAAATCACGACATTCAAAAAGCGCAAGGCCGCCGAGCCCGAATCCAAACCAGAGTCGGGCGCGAAGCGGAGAAGAGCTGCGGCGGAGGACGATGAGCCCGTGAAAAAGGTTTCCAAGAAGAAGGCGGATGCCACTGTGACGAATGGAAAGACGACCAAAGATGCGTCCGCGGGCAAGGGAAAGCCCAAGGAGAAGCCCACGCAGAAGAAGCAGCTTTTCGCGGAATCGGACGACGAAGAAGAGGACGACGAGGAAATGTCTGGCCTTGACGACGCAATGGCGGACGAGTTCGGCGATCTGGACGATATTAGCGACGGCTCGATGGATAGCCAGGAGGAGGGCGATTCCGACGAAGAGAATGATTCTTTCATGGACTCCGATGAAGAAGACCACCCTCACGCCAACCTGTTCTCCGACGACGAATCCGACGCCGAGGAGAAATTGACCGCCGCCAACATCGCAGGACTGTCCCGTAAACTCGACCTCGAGAAGAAACAGGAAGAAGAGGAGGCCGAACAAGAACTGAAGGAGGCCGCCATGCAGACCAACATCGCCGGACCTGACGTCTTCGGAGATGCAGAGGCCACTGTGGGCCACGGCCTGGCCCCCGATTTGCAATTGCTCCGCACACGAATCACAGATACCATCCGCATTCTGGGAGACCTGAAGACGCTGGGCCAGCCGGGCAAGTCCCGTGCCGATTACCTCCAGCTCCTGTTGAACGACATCTGCACCTACTACGGATACACGCCGTTCCTAGCCGAAAAGCTCTTCAACCTCTTCACCCCCATGGAAGCCTTCGCCTTCTTCGAAGCCAACGAAACCCCTCGCCCCGTCGTCATCCGTACCAACACCCTGCGCACGAACCGTCGGTCCCTCGCCCAAGCCCTCATCAACCGCGGTGTGGTGCTCGAGCCCGTCGGCAAGTGGTCCAAGGTCGGCCTACAGGTCTTCGAGTCTGCCGTGCCCCTCGGTGCCACGCCCGAGTACCTTGCCGGCCACTACATCTTGCAAGCGGCCTCCTCTTTCCTCCCCGTCATGGCGCTGGCCCCGCAGCCCGAAGAGCGCATTCTCGATATGGCCGCCGCCCCCGGTGGTAAGACGACGTACATCTCGGCGCTGATGCGCAACACGGGCTGCGTGATCGCCAACGATGCCAGCAAGCCCCGTGCCAAGGGTCTGATCGGTAACATCCACCGTCTGGGCTGCAAGAACACGATCGTGACGAACCTGGACGCGCGCACGGCCTTCCCCAAGGCGATGGGCGGCTTCGACCGCGTGCTCCTCGACGCACCCTGCACCGGAACCGGCGTCATCTCCAAGGACCCAGGCGTCAAGACAAACAAGAACGAGCGCGACTTCCTCGCCATCCCGCACATGCAGCGCCAGCTGCTTCTCGCCGCTATCGACTCCGTCGACCACGCGTCCAAAACCGGCGGCTACATCGTCTACTCGACGTGTAGCGTGACGGTCGAGGAGAACGAGGCCGTCGTGCAGTACGTGCTGAAGAAGCGCCCCAACGTCAAGCTCGTCGACACCGGCCTCGGCGACTTCGGCTCCCCCGGCTTCACCAACTACATGGGCAAGCACTTCGACCCCAAGATGACCCTGACCCGCCGCTACTTCCCGCACCGCGAGAACGTCGACGGTTTCTTCGTCTCCAAGTTCAAGAAGATCGGCCCCACGCCCGCGGGCAAGCCCGCCGTCGACGGCGCCGCTGCCACCGCCTCCTCGACGAACAAGCCTGCCGAGACCGCCGGCACGACGGACGATGAGGTCGTCGACAAGACGCCCATCACCGATGAGGACGGTACCGTCATGGATGCCGAGGGTGGTGCCTTCGGCCCGTTCGAGGAAGACGAGGATGCGGAGCGTATCGCGCGCGCGGAGCGCAACCGTCTCCGTCGGAAGGGACTGAACCCCAAGGCTGTGCTGAGCAAGCCTGGAAAGTCGCCCAAGAAGGACAAGCCCGCTGAACAGTCCAATGACGCACCCAAAGCCAACAAGAAGGAGAAGAATGAGGCCAAGGAGGGTACCGAGAAGCCTTCTGCTGGGAAGCCTGCCGAGAAAGCTCAGTCGTCTCCGGCCGAGAAGAAAAAGAACAAGAAGCAGAGTCAAAGCCCCAAGGGTAAGAAATCCAGTAAATGAATAATTCACTCGCTGGTCTGATTCTGTATAATTGACAATTACTTTTTCTCTGGGTTGAATCAAAAGCATTCTTGTTCTGGTATGGGTGGCGCATGTTCGATTGTCCGATTAGCAGTAGATAGCTAGCTGGTTCAAATACAATAGATACCATTGACGGTTTAATTGTCTATCCAAACTATGTGGCATCTGCGCGATATCACTTCGAAAAAGGATTGTTAAATCAGATCTAATCTCGCTCGTAACAACAATCAGTAAGGTGGATCCATGTCTTAAACCTCCGGGGTATGCCGTATTTCTCCAATGATGCAACTCCTCCAAATATATAAATCAATTTCATGTTCCAGTGCATTTAACTGCTCCCAGCTCATGTCCGGTAAATCTTGACCACATTAAGAATGTTCTTCCGACAGATGGGACAGATGTCGACCTGGCGTGCGCAGGCGACGCACGCGCAGACATGACCACAGTCGTAGAAGAGCGCATCTTGCTCCTCGCTGTAGCAGATCTGGCACAGGTCCATCTCCTCGTCAGCCACCTCCCAGTAGCTGATGCCGCGGCCGTGGCGCTTGCCATCTTTATATCCTCCGACGTATTTGTTGCCGGTCTTCTTCTCGACAAATGTACCTTGGCCATGGCACTGGTTCTCGAACCAGTCACCGTCATAAGTATCCCCCGTGGGATACTCCATGAGACCACGACCGTGACGTTTGCCAAGGACGAAGTCGCCGTTGTACGTCGCACCCAGATCGGAAACGTGCATGCCCTTTCCGTGGAAGTAACCCTTCTTGAACTCGCCGCTGTAGTAATCGCCTGTAAAGGTGGCGTCGATGGTCTTGTTACCGGTGAATGCCTTGGTTGGGTGGTTGCGCGACTCGGCCCATAGGTAACGGACAAGTTGATCTGGGTTGCCGAAGAGACCCGCGACGTTGAGCTCGGCTCGTCTGTAGGATGTTAGTATCGTGTGTCTTCTTAGGGACAAGGGGTATGTGACTTACCGATCCTTATTGAGCTTATCACCAATGATGAAGCACGTTCCATCGGGGACAAATATCTGGAACGTCTCCGCGGAGGACAGTGTCGTCACAGTAGTGCCATCCACGCGTTGCCACACCTGGAAGTCCTTCACAGGGGGCCACTGCAGATGCTTCCGCACGGCCGTCTTGATGTTCTCTTCCCTCCGCGAGAAGAATGACCCCACCGTACGCAGGGCCTGTGCCTCGACGTCGAAGAGCTGAATGAAGTAGTAGACATGTTCCACAGGCAGAAGGACCTCCGGCTCTGTGGGAATGACCTCGGACTCATTCTGGTTGACAACAGAATCGGTCGTGGGAGTGACGTCCGTCGATTCAGTTTCCATTTGCTGAACGTCTTCCGCGATCGCGGCCGCAATGGCAGCTTCGTTGGCAGAGTCATCTTCAAAGGCGTGGTCGTTTGTGGGCTCTGCGTCAGAGGTGTTACCTGGGGTAGACGGCGTGGCTTCGAGCTGGATTTGCGCAGGCATGGTGCCGGAAGAGCCAGCCTGGCCAACTTCCACTTCTTGGAGAGACTGCGTCTCATCGGAAGATTCCGCACCCGAGCGCTCGACAATGGCTTCCTCTGGCTTATTTTCCACAACAGTCTGCTCAGGAGGATCGGACATGGCGAAGTATTTGGCATCCCCTGCAAATTGTTAGTAAATTCATAAATTGGTGCTGATATCTCGTTACTAACCGTCCGAAACAACCTGCATCCAGAAACGAACAGGGCTGGATTGGGGCTGATCCAATGTAGTGGCCAGATCTGAAATCCTGGCGAACGCCAATGTGGGCCCAAAACGATCGCGCGTATGACCAATTTGCCAAAGGCGAATGTTCTCCGGGGTGGTTGGCTTGTCTGTGCCTGCAGCAGTCCAAAGAGCGATTCGTTTGCGGAGCTCAATGAGATTTGTGGAACGCGGAAGCGTCAGGTACATGACACTGTTAGCGGCCTTCGCTTGCGACATCAGGTCATAGGTGTCGAACAGACTCCCAAGCTTCTCATATTGAGGTAAGGAGTACACCTCAACCTGGGTATCACCATCTGAAAGGCCATCGGCCGGGTTGAGCTCGGGGTACGTGCCGGTTTCGTAGTACTGCTTCATCGCAGGGGAGGCATCCCACGGACCCTGGGGGCCAGGGAGGTATTCCTGCACCACATCGCTACGAATGTACATAACAGCAATGGCGACGTCGTGGCCGGTCTTGTGGTCAACCTTTTGCGAGGGATCTAGGCCAAGATGCGGACCGAAAGCAGTCTTGCGAGTTAGACATTCAACACGGTTATCGCTGCCGTCGTCAAAGGCGAGCCAGCGGGTACCCGGACCACCAGGGCGGAGAATACTGAAGAACTTGCCCGACGTCCGGCGACCACGATGCACAATATAGCCGTACAGAACGTACTTGCCGCATTGACCGTCTAGCAACCAGGGCGTCAGATCGACCTCCTCATCGAGATCCACTCGGTTGTACAACAGACGCCATTGGCGGGCAGCCTTGTCCAGCTTTTGACGACTCAATTCAAGGTGCAGAACGGGAGGCAACGCCCAGCGACCGGGTTTCGCATCAAGGTACCATGACAGAGCTTCACTGGTTGTCTTTGCCTGATCGGCCGGTACACAGATTCGAGAATTGAAATCCTTCGGAATAGTATTTACCGGCGCATCGGCAGGCAAGCTCTCCTGCGACGGACTGTCGAAGAGGGCAGCGAGATCCTTTGCGGCATCGGTCCCCGCGAGTTCCAGCTCAAGGGTCCGGCGCAGCCGTTCCCAGAATTCACACACATCGCTGGAATACTCATGCAAGTTCCGCAGAGTCGATGTGATGCTGTCGGTATCCACATACTGCAGGGATTGACCGCGAGAGCGAAGCTGCCAAAGGAACTTCTGCAACGCATCGCACAGCGGTTTGGGTTTCACATCACAGTTTGTGAGATGGTCCAACACGTTCGCCTTCTGAATGATTTTGCAGAAGGGAGCCATGTGAATCCATGTTGCCAGGCCAGCCACTTCGGCGCTGTGGTTGATGACGGAGTCGCCCAGAGGTCGGTAACCTGTCAGGCCCAGACTGTCCCACGTGGGTTCCGAATCACTGGCGTGCCACCACAAGGACCGGGTCGGGTCATCGACGATGCGGATATAGGCATCGAAGGCCAACGTATCATTTCGCAGCAACGCCTGACGTTGACCGCGCTGGCGACGATGGATCTGATCCCAAGGACCATGGAAATTGGTCCAACCCCAGTCCAGGTTGTGGGGATTGAACTGATGACAGGACGATTGCATCCAGCCGGTCCGTGGCTCCTCTGGATTGTATAAGATGACTCCAATCTGAGCCGACACCCGCCATGTGTTTGTGGGGGGTGTTGGTTGATCAGCTGCGAGCGGATAGTGGGCCTTGAAGTCTTCCACCCAGGCCGCCGTATCCTCGGTCTGGGGGTAGCGGAAGTGGAGATCTGGGGTAGTGTCCTTGAGGACGGCATCGGCTGGTCCTCGAAGTACGGTGAACTCGGACTCCGGCAAGGTCTTATCCGGAGTGGGCATTGTGGGAGAGCACTCGATATATATACTCAGAGAATTCACGTTGTTGCCTCGGGGGAAGAACTTGATGGTCCACCAGTAACCTCCGACGTATGCGGGAGGCGAACGCATGACTTTGGCATGGTTGGGATGTTCTTTCGTGCCGCGCACCCCCTTGACCTTCCACGTGAGGCGGGCCTTCTCGATGGGTTGGTACTCGGGATCATCCAGGTCGGGATGGAAGTTCTTCTCCCAGTAGTCGTCTATCCTTGTCAGCTAACATTGCGACAAATCTGGAAAGGTTGGGATCATACACTCATAGGCACTGTAGTCACCATCAGCGGCAGACTCGATCTCCTTCATTTCTGCCTCATCAGGCACCGAGGTATCCTCCTCTACCTCGGCCCAGAAGGGATGTTCTAGATCGGGGGGTTGAGGGCGGGATGGCGCTTGAGTGTCTGCCTGATCGGGAGTATGTAGTTGTTCCTGGGTGGCGGGATCTGTCGATGCCTGAGGGGGTTGTGTGTTGTCGTTTGGTATCGAGTCCACAGGCATATCTGTCATATTATCGAGGGTGAGGGTGATGGGAGGAGGAGAGGGAGGTTGTTCGACGACAACAGATGCTGGTTGTTGCGTGGAATCCATGATGGATGGAGGCTGTGTATATAGATCGATGGAGGACGTGTATATAGACGGGTGGAGGGGACGTCGATAAGGAGCTCTTATCAGGCGGGGGTGGAGTGAGGACAAGGAATGACCGAGACGATCGAACGAAGGAACACGGGATGATAAGAATGAGATGAAAACCACAAGGAATGAAGGAAGACCGAAGGAAGAAAGAGGAAGAGGAAGTGGAAGAGGAAGAGAGAGAGAGAGAGAGATGGTGAGAGAGAACGAAGTGAGAGGTGGAAAAGAGAGCGAAGAGGGAAAAAAGAAAAGAATGAGTGAGGCTGCCAGATCACGGGGTGCACACCGCTGTTTGTCAATAATGCATCTGAAATGTAGGTAGGTCCTCTCCCAACAACTCAATGCATTTTTACTCCTGTCTATCTATCTATCTATCTACCTCCCCACGGTATAAATATGGCCTTTGCCACTTCGACTTGATCTTCAATAGGATCCAGTGGAACTGCTCCACTCGTTCCTCTCTTTCTGCTCCTTCCCATTCGCCATCCACTCCTTTCTCCTCATCGCCTCGTCGCCGCCCCGACTTTCCGGCGGTTCAGTCGGCGGTGGTTGGCTCCCCTGAGCCCCCAGTTGGACAATCTTTCGGTGGATAGTCGCTTCGGTCGGAGACTGTCACCCGGTTTGCCATCCTTCTAGAATTTCCGTCGCCTTTTCGTCCCCATCCTCTCATCCGGAAGTGGATCTTCCGCCACATGGGTCCTCTGATTTCCATCTTTGGTCCATCAGTCGCGGCGGTTTTTCGTCCGTAATAATGAGTTCCGAGGGACCGGGTTTGAGGGAGGACTGGTAGAAAGCAAGACAGGGCTCGACCGATCGGTTCGGTTCAGAATCGCCCTCTCTCCCGCAGCTCTTAGTTCTGAGCCCCCGCTCGAGCAAAGGATGCAGCAACCATGAGGGGAAACACCACCGTTGCCTCCGCATACACCTTGACAGATTCACCATCCGCCTTGATCTTGCCCCAACTGACAGCCTCATCCGGTCGAGCTCCCGCATCGCTGCCATCGAACTCCTGCGCCGTGTTCACGTACACCGCATGTTCTGCGCCATTCCGCATCAGACATGCGTTGGCAATGTGATGTTTGATCACCCCACCTCCGAGAATAATCATCCCCGCACGAGCCGCTCGAACCGCCATCGTATTGATGCGTCGCACATCGTCGACAATATCCACCCGGAGTCGCAATGGCGAAGACCGGTAGGTATGGAAGTACATCATATCTCCCAGAGAGCCGTCCGTCAGAGCAGGGCAGAAGATGGGAATATTGTTGCGGGCGGCCCAGTACAAGACCGAGTCTTCATTGTTGATCTCGCGACCCAACCGTTCGATGATCCGGCTTGGAGTCCAGTGTAGCTCATCCTCCTCGTCCCCAGTCTCGAGCGCTTTCTTCTTGGCTGCTTCCTGTTCCTCCACCATGCGATCCAAGATGGGGACCAGCCAGTCTTCAAAAGCACAGTAGTTGCTGTTGGGGACGACGAGATTACCGATACGGTTGAGGCCTTTGGCGCGTAGTCCGGCACCGGGCGAAGTGAACGAGCCCATGTAGGTCGGCGCGAGACACTTGATCAGGTCTTCCTCCACACCTCCGGCGGTGGTGACGATGGCGGAAACGTGGCTATGGCGGACGAGGTAACGGATAGTATCGCGTAATCCGGACGAGATGAGATTGGAGGTGTAACCGAGGAAGATGGTGGTCTTTTCCCCTGTTTCGGGGTGGCGATAGGCACGCTTTGAGAGAGAAGACTCCATTAGCCCACGGACGATATATCTTGGGGACCGGGGCAGCTACCATGTTGTTAATGATCCGAGTGGCCTCAGACACTGCACTGCCTTGGAAACCCATGTATTTCATATTATCGACCAATTCCGCCACAGTGATATCTCGGCCCTGGAACTTCTCGAAATCGACCCCTTGGACCTCATGAGTGCCTTCAGGGACGGGCTCAGAGGCCACCAAGACCGCATTGGTTGCGGAAGATGGAGGGGCATCGGCGGGGTTGGATTGTGAGGCCATGATGGAGAGATCGGAGGGGAGGTGGAAACGGGGGATGTAGGGGGAGGGAATGTAAAGAGTACAGCTGGGATTTGAATCCTCCTATCTCTCTTCAGGACGAGAAAAGCGTGATGTCCAAGTGATGGCGATGGATGAATGGGTCGGTGGAAAAAAGTTACGATCGTGGGGTGCCTGAGGAAGGCATAAACTCTAACCGGATTCCGGCTAGACTCTATGGCCTGAGGCTACAAGACTAGAGACGCCCTGTGGCCCCAGGCACTCAACCTGTATTATCTAATTGGCGCTAAAAAAATAAATTTACTAAAAAATAAGAAAATGAAAAATAATCAATTAAGAATGCCTGACGATGACCGGCGCTAAACCGTGAAGATGATTAGCCCTGATTCCATGGGCTGGGGGAACATCGAATGCGCAAATGCTTCGATCTGCTTTCTTTCTTTCTCTTTCTCTCTCCTCTCTTTCAGCTTTCCTGAGCTTTCCTCTTCCTAGTGCTCCCTATCTCTTTTCTCTATAAAAAAGCCCTACGGAGTACTCTCCCGAACCCTTGTGAAACACGCCTCCCCCATCTCCCGCCTGGACTCGAGACCCTCCCATCATCCATTCTTTAATCACTCGCGACGCTGGGTTCCTCTTGGCCTAGTCCAGCTGGCTTACTAGACCTTGGTTTTCAGTCGTTCAACCACACGAAAGATTGCATTATTGTTCTTTCTTTCTTTCTTTCTTTTTTTTTTTTTTTTTTTTTTTTTTTTTTTTTTTTTTTTTTTTTCTATTTTGGTCTTTGGTCCGGCTAGCTGCCTCCCTCCTTGCAGGTTTGGTCAACCGCTTGCCCGACACGTTGCATTCGCTCAAAGGTGCGGAGAATTTCCTTCTTATTCTGTCTATGTTATCTGTCTCTCCATTATTGTCTTCAATCGGATCTTTTGGGTTGTCTCTGGTTGGGAAATCATAAAATTTCCTGGATGGGATCCCTTTACGTGATGAATTCCCCGTACCCAACAGTGGCCATGGCTTGAATTTTCCCGTGTCACTGGGACGGCATTCCACAACAGGACCATCCTCTGCAGCCACACCCTCCATCATTTGGGGATGAGACTTGAGCTCAAGCCCTTCCCTGTGTTTTCCCCCCATTCCCTGTCTACTTGAGACTCGTACCGTCCACTTGAAACCCCCATCTGGCGCCATCTGCCCCTTTTGGACATCTTACATAAGCTCCGGGGGGGCGACATCGCGCTAAGCCCGTTCTGGGGAATTTCGCTGGACCGTGTGCCTGCCTGATACGGACTAGCGCCAGCCCAGGCAGTTCCCACACGCCAGTCACGGTCACGTGGACTCCACCAATCCCCCGTTCCAGCGATCCATTTCGCGCTTTCTTCTGCTCGTCTGCGGTCTGGCAGTTGAATCCTCGGTTTTTTGCTTGTCTCCGCTATCCTTCCTTCTATCGCATTGAGCTAACCCTCCACGAACCTGGCGCAGGCTCTCGCCAGGTCTTCCGTCGCTCTGTCTCTAGCATGACCCGGTGATGTCTTCACGATATCCCCCATCGTCAGGGTTTAATTCCCGGGACCGTTCTCCCCAGCGCTTTGGGGACCGTCGACCCCCTGCAGGACCTCGCGGCGTCGATGATACGAATATACCCCCATTAGGGAGGGAACCTCCCCGGGGCCCAAAGGCCCTGATCGACCATCCTCGTGGCGCGCCCTTCGGCGGTCGAGGTCGTGGTTATCCGGGCCGCTCAGACTTTCGGGACCGAGACCGAGACTTGCGAGACCGAGATCGAGATCGCGACCGTGACCGTGACCGTGACTTCCGTGATATTCGTGATGGCCCGCCGCCTTACCGTCGCGATCTGGACCGCGACTGGGGTCGCCGGGACCGAGATTTTGATCCCCGAGAATCACGCATCGGCTTTGGACGCGGCCGCTCTCGCTCCCCACCGCCCCCGCGTGATTTTCGTGACATGAGGGAGCCACTGGGACGTGATCCCGATATAGTTCGAATGCGACGCGGTTCTCGAGATAGTTTGATCTCCGTCTCCTCCAACGCGCCCGATGTTCCTTCTGGCGCCGGTCATCACCCTCGCAGCGGACCCATGCGTGGACGTGGTCGTGGCGACTGGGAGATGGGCCGCGGCCGCGGTCGAGTCCCCTATTTGGATGACCGTGATTCGTTCCGACGACGTAGTCGGTCTCGCGATGGCAGATGGGACCGGGACCGGGTGATGGACCGAGATCGTGATAGAGACCGGATCATCGACCGAGATCGTGACCGAGATCGGGAGCGTGATCGCGATCGGGACCGGCTTCTAGATAGGGACCGAGAGCTGGACCGCAGGGATCGAGACCGAGAGCGTGATATCGACCGCCGCGATCGCTTTGACCGTCGTGACGAGTTGGACCGACGTCCCGAACGGGATGATCGGGATCGTCCAGCCGACCATTGGAAGAGGGACCGACCACCTAGTCGAAATGAGGGTCGTCTCCCCAGCACGTCGAGTGTCTCTTCATTACCACCTGCGCCCCCTCTCCCTCCAGTTGCACCACCGGAGAAAGCTCCAGACAATGCAACCATTGAGCCAAGTCGCAAGCCTTCTGTCGTGGAAGTTCGACGCGACGCTGAACGGACCGAAGCTCCCCCTGTACCACGCCCAGAACCCCCCAAGGACTTAGCTCCGCCGCTTAAACGATCCCCCCCTCCAGCAGCCCCGCAGGTGCCTGCATTTGGCTCCGTCACAGCGCCAATCCCCGAATTATCTTCTGAAAAAACCCCAGCGGACAACACTACGACTGGACCGCCTCCCGCCGCAAAGGCCGAGAATGAACAAAGAGAAAAGCATGAACTTCCTGTCCGTGCCCCCATCGTGCAACTTCCTACGGCACCCAAAGCTGCCCGTGCTGCGTCGCCGCCGCCGGACCACCGCCCCCGACGTGAGGAGGGTCGACGAGACGAACCGATGGACATGTCTGTGAAACGAGATTCGCCTGTACGGACGTCAAGGCCGCCTCCGACAGCACCTGCTAAAGCCCCTCGCCCTCCGGATCTATCGCCTCCTACCGCCCCTGCGGCAATGACCAGCAAGGATTCCACTCTATCTCACATCGAAACATCTCCGACTAGCAAATTCAGCCACAGAGTACCATCTGGAGAACTACGTGGAGGACCCCCCTCGACGGGTCGTGCGCCATCAACCTCACCTCGTATGCACCCGTCCAGCATCCCCACCGGCCCTCGCGCGCTTCAACAACGATCTCCCGCACCACGTGGACCGCCCAAGGGTAACAAGCAGTGGGTCCGGCCTGGTTACACCCGTCCTCCCCCAGTTCCTGGTGTGCCAGCCCCCCTGAAGCGCGACTCGGTGGATGGAAAAGAGCGGTCTCTTTCTATCGACGACGACTATAAGAAAGAACGCCAAACGTCAGTCGATGATAACTTGACCGGCCCGGAGGCGGGAGAGATACTCCCAGAGAACGATCTGTCTGAGTCCAAACCGCCAGCTTCGGCTGGCTCGCCCAAGCCGGTCTCTCCCCGCGTCGCCACTCCTCCGAAGAGGCCTGAAGTTGATACTGCACCGGTCACATCTAGAGCCGAAAAGGGCGGAGATATCATTCCCGATTTTGCCCGCTCCAGCGACGAAGATGAAGACGAAAACTTCATGTTTACACAGGAATACTTGGAGGAGCGAAAGCAGATCTTCGAGAAGGATATGCAAGCCCTCCGCGCAGAAATGCCTCCGTCGCCGTTAGAGGATCCAACCATAGTGGCGTTGCTTACCCGGATTCAACTATTAGGCATGGTTGCCAATGATCTGCTGCCAGAAAAGGCAGCTCGATCGCCAGTGGCTGAGAAGGCTGAGTCAAAAGAAGAGGCATCCTCCGTCGTCGCATGCAAGTCGGAAAAAGATGCCGAAGCACACGAACCCACCATCAAGGAGGCCCTGGAACCCCTCCCGGAGGTCAACATCATTTCTGTCGAGAACCTCCCATTCCTCCAGTCTGGGCCCCCTACACCCCTGTCGGACCTCGATACCTACCAGGAAAATCTGGCTACCCATGAAGCTTTGAAGGAGGCTATCCGTGGCGATCTAATCAAATGGCGCAAGGAGGTCTCCAAGAAGAATGCAGTTTTGCGGGAGGAGTATCTCGCCTACTACAAACCCTGGAGGCTCAACGTGTATGAGCTCGATCGCGCAAAGGAGAAAGCTTCCGTCACCCCGGGTCCAGCAACGCCGCCTGCCCCTCCTGTCACAGTCACTCCCATGTCCACGGCGGAGGCGCGGAGGTACAAGGGAAACAGCGAGCTTGACTTTCAGAACGCCCTACGCGCCTCAGAAATCTCAGCACAAGAGGAACTTGAGCGACGGCGCGGGAACAAAGCCACTGCGCAGCCAGACCTTTCCCGGGAGGCTGTGATCCCGGATATGTTGGAGCCACGCGAAGTGAAAGCACAGATATACAGAGATACCAACAACATTGTTGCTGCGGCCGATGCGGTGGATGTGTTCGGTTTCATGCCTCCCCCCAATGACTTCACTGCAGAGGAGCACGAGATCTTCACCGACGCCTTCATGGCATACCCAAAGAAATGGGGCAAGATTGCGGAAGCGCTACCTGGAAGGGACTTCAAGCAATGCATTGTCCATTACTACCTCACGAAGGAAGAGATCAAATACAAAGCAAAACTCAACAAGCGCTGGAGTCGTCGTGGCCGTGCCCGGAGATCGGCTCGACCGAAGTCCAATGCACTTATGGCAGATTTGGGTGTTGTCAAGCCGGATTACGAAGGCGACGAGGAACCAGCTCCGGTTACGGATACTGGACGTCCACGTCGTGCAGCCGCTCCTACCTTTGGAGATTCATCAGCCAACGATACGGAAAGCAATGTCAACGGTCGACGTGGAAATGCTTCTAAAGATGGAGAACAGGCGGAAAAACCTACGAGTCGCCGTGGAGCCCGTTCTGGTGCAGGCTCTCGCGGCGGGCGACGCGGAAAGGCTGCCCAGCAGCAGCAACAGCAGCAGACGCCGCAGCCAACGCCATCAGAACCTACTACGCCGGGCACTGGGGTCAACACACCTGGCGGTCCTACTTTCAAATCGGAAGTCGCGGAGCCCTCCATGGATGGGGCGGTTGATGTGCGAGCTAGGGACATTTCTGAGAGAGAACCCCACGAGCCACCACCCCGAGCGAAGCCCGGGAGAGGGCGCCAAAAGGAGGGAATATATGTCTTTGAGTCGACAGAACCAGACACTGCGCCGACCGCTGCCAGACAACCAGAAGTGGGATATGGGTCCTTACAGCCTACCAGCTACTGGTCTGTTCCTGAGCAGCGCGATTTCCCGCAGCTACTGGCTCATTTTGGTCGCGACTTTGAGGGTATTTCGAACTTCATGAAGACAAAGACGACGGTCATGGTAAGTAATCTCGCACATTCAGACTAAACCCGTGCTAATGGAACTCCCCACAGGTCAAAAACTATTTTCAGCGACGCATCGACTCCGGTCAGAAAGACTTTGAAGACATTGTTGCGGACGCGGAGAATAAGAAGGCGCGCGGTGAGCGTACTGCCACATTGCCTATTCCAAACCCAGCATCCAAGAGACGCTATGAAGCTACGCCTTCCTCAATCATCATGCCTCGACCTTTGGCTCCGCATACCGATGCGCCCCCCGAGGCAGATGACAGCCGTGCAGGGCCCAAGAAGCATGGGGTGCAAGCAGCACAACCGCTCGCTCTGCATGGTCGCACTCCTTCGGAGAAAGATCGCTCCGTTTCTCGGTATCCTCCCCTTGCTCAGGCTAGTGGCCCCTCCATGCCGTCTGGTGCTCTCCTGGGCGAGGATCCCTCACGGATGCAGGCACAGGCGGGATTGCCGCCGAGAATGCAAGGCCCGCGTCCTGGCTATTTCACCGAGGAACGACGCGATATGCCTTCAACAGTGCTGTCTCATGCTGCAGGCCGCGCGCAGGAAACTGCAATGCCTGCACGCCAAGCATCGATTCCGGCGTCGGAGATGGCTCGCATGGACGCTCTGCATGCGCAGACTTTCCGGACGTCAGCTGTCGATCTCCATGGATCGCCCTTAGTTCCAACGCAAACTGTACCTTCGTCACAGGCATACATACAATCGCAGTCGCAACCGTCTCTGATTTCGACGAGTTCTCATTCCCGCCATCCCAGTCTCACCAAGCCCCCGGGCTCCCCGGCGCCACAGTTACACAGGCAGGATCCCGATATATCCCCAATACGCCGCGAACACATGGGACAGCGTCCATTTTACCATCTTCCGGGGCAGCCTATGAGCCTGTCCCAACAACATCCCGTTCTGTCGCCCCCGAAGGAACCTGCCCGAACGGGACCACCGGCAGAACCGACCGAGGCCCCTCGTCAAGTACCAGCGAAACGATCCAATATTATGAGCATTCTCAACGACGAGCCAGAAGAACCCCAACCTCGGAAACGGTTCGCCAGCGAGCAAACAACCTCCGCCGGAGGGGCAGTATCCCCGTCGCTACCGGTGTATTCGGGAACGTCTTCTATGGCTCAGCCAGGACCACGTCAAGAAGAGACTCCGTTCTCTGCGCCCCAGTCCAAGCCGCTGTATTCTCAGCAGAGTCCGTATCTATCGGCGTCCCGCGGGTATTCTGACTACCAGTCGTATGCACAGACACCCGGGAGTTCTGCGGCGCCTGCCAATAATGACTGGCTGGCACGGTTCGATCCGCGTGGTCAACAGCAGCAGCAACCCGCCGGGCCACCTCCTCCGCAGCAATCGAGTTCTCGCTCCGCGTCGACGATGGCTCAACAGCCGACTTTCTCCCCCTACACTTCGACCCAATCCTTGCCAGGCGCGTCTCTCCAAACTCTTACCACGCCTTCGCCTGCTCCAACTCCGTCTCCTGCGCCATCACAGCGTCCATCATACCACACATCTGTATATGCGCCCCCTCCAGCGTCCCATGCGCAGACTACCGCGGCAGGGTCGCGCGATGTCGGAGCGCAGAATACAGTGTTCCGCCCGAGCATCGCGTCCCCCACACCTCGCAATGGCAGTATCTCGTACGGCTCCCGGCAGGGGCCACCCACGCCAATCCAATCCCCTGCCAACCTATTAGGGATCTCATCCCGCCATCCACCAGCCACAGCCTCGTATGCCTCACCGGCGCCCACGACATCGTCGTCAGCACACATGTCCAGCCAATATCCTGGAGCCCATCAGACGTACCAGCAACATGTGCAAACCATGGTCAGTGGGGCGCATCAACAACAAGCGCACCGTTCCTCCATGGGAATGCCAGGAACACATTATGGCCATAGTACGCCTCCTCCAGGTCAGGTCTCGCGGTCAGGTGGCTTGCCTGGACCACCCAGTCAGGCAATGTCTATGGGACGCTCCTACACGCCACCTGCAATCCTCCAGCCTACTCCAGGTGGACTTAGTTATTCGGCCGGCGGGCCTCCCCCGACAGCTGGCTCGGTGCCCCCTCTCCAGGCACGGCATATGCCCGGCCCTCTGGGTGAAACAGTTTCCGGACACCATCGGGTTTACAGTCAGGGATCGAATGCTGGCACACATCCTGGGTCTTTGAACCCGCAGCATCCGCCGCGATAGAGTTCCGATGAATGTTTGTCACGCTTCTTACGCAATCAGATCATTTTTGCATTCGACCTGTATATGTGCAAGAGGGTGTTGTTGTGAGAGTGCTTGTATTTTAATGTCTTGAGTACCTACCCATGTGGCTTTTGGGATTGCCTGCATATTTTTGTTTAGTGCTGATGTTCATTTGGGTGGAAGGATACATACATATCCGATGATTTATGTACAGTAGATGAAAGCCGTGATGGCAATGAGCAGCAGCATCAATACAATCCACCACTCTACAATGTATAACGTAACCCCCACGCGACAGTCTGCGACAGAAGGATCGGTGAGTCGCACGATCGATAGATGAAACACGCTGAAACCGATCCCCCGGCCCGGCTCCAATCAGCGATGTAGCGAGCGGACCTAAATTGCACCGGTTATCCAACGTGAGCGCAATATGTGGGGATAACGATATATGATGGTAACGGTAGTATCTGATTGTCCTACCGAGTGAGCATTTCTCTATCTTCCACAAATAGTGGGTGACGATGGAGTCGGGACGGGCGGTAGTATATATATCGGCACAATAGTCAATGCCTCCGCCGGATACAGCATGTTCGCGATATGACTGCCCCGACGGTGGTCAACGTCACCTGCCACCGGGCTCGAATCCCCTCCTCGTCATCCTCGTCGTCACCACCAGCATCGCACGGCCAACACCCACCGGTCCCCTCTCAGGATGACAGAACCACCCTCACGCACGAGGCACTGAAAACGAGTCTCGAACAGGCAAAGCTCGAGAGACGTCGGTATGAGCACGCGATGCTCCGCGACGCCCTGCGCAGGGGAACGCCATATTCGTATCTCCCGGGGCTCCTGGCGCGGTCTGGTACCGACGGAGCTCAGCAGCGGCCAGATCGACACGCCCCAGAAACTATCATCACATCTCCACACACCGTGTCTCCGGTGCGATGGACGTCCGGCGTTGTACGGCCGCAGACAGGGGCCATTTACATGACTCATTTCGTGGCTAGCCCTGTTGGGGGAGGACATGCGCCGGCTGGACGCCGGTTAAACTTGGATGATAGCTTCCTGCGACGCGCGTACAAGCGGCGACGGTCGTGGGGCGCTGGGAGGGGGAAACACCGCCGGGGGCAGAGTTCGGGAGAGATTAGTTTTCATCATTGGGTGCCTGGGAGTAGTGGTGAGGAACGGAGGGTGTAGGATGGGATCCGTGGTGGGAAGTTTACTGGGTTGGAAGAGGGTAAGAGAGGTGTTGTCTGATTGTGTCTGTTATATGGCCTGTTATATGGTGTTACGGTTATGTGGCTCTCAGGGCAAAAGGAATGTTGGAATGTCACTGTTGTTGTCCAATGTCCCAAGTATATATGCAGATGCCCGGTGAGCTTACATCCGTCTACTCGCGCTATGGTCAACCACTGGTCTGCGTTGAATGAACAAAAGTATAAGTTGGTGAGAAGTTGTCAGATGAGTCCCATGCCTGCGTCAGACATAGCAAAAGGTGACATGCTTCGAAGAATGAACGTCCTGATAAGAATATTTACCTGTCTTGCTGTGAGCTGTGCTTACCCTCCCCTCCACGCCATAATGAGCTATGAGATTAATTGTGGGATATGTGGCAACTTTATCATCAATACAACCCCCCGTGCGGTTTTCAGCGAAATCGAGAAATGGAACAAGTTATACCGGAGACAAAAGAAGAAGGCCCAGCGTAGCGGCGTGGTCGTCCCAGCTGAGGATGTAGAAGCAACTACATCCAGGGAATGTTTTAGAAAGGCCGGAGAAACAAATAACGCAGGTGGATAGTGAAATGAAGATTTGGGCTAGATGGCTTACTATCTCCTTCCATATCTCTCTTAAGATGATGCGTTGTGATGTATTTTCTCCGGCATGATTGAGTAGGTACCTGCCTAGGTAGGTAGTATGTCAGATCACATGTTTTTTTCTTCTGTTATATTAAAGTCAAGAAGGAAATTGGCAATCCTTCTCCTCGCCATAACCTTTTGTTTCCCCCAGCCGCTTCCCCTGTCATTCTAACACCTAGCCCCATCGTCTCTCAAGTCCTCACAATGGCGTCTCAGCTTGAAATTTTGTCCAACGCAATTCGATCGCGGCTGACGAGCTTGGTGGAAACGCTTGTTTACCCATTGGAGAACCCCCTGGTGTCCCCTGAGAGCTTGACTGATACCGACCTACAACCATTCAAGATCCGCAGGCTCGATTTTGATATCGAAAATACTCCGGACCCCGACTCGGACATCCTCTTTGATCCCCTCCCGCAGTCCAAGTTCAACCGCCACAGAATCAATGACAAGAGAGCAAGAGCTGAAAATCCATTGTACTTGTCCGTCTATCCCAAAGTCCCCGAGGAGAGAAAGAGAGAATGGGCCCCACGTAACTTTGCCAGCTTCGTCTATTCACACCTACGAGAATGGGTCACTTATTTCCCAAGAAGGGGGGTTACAGATTTGGAACGTTATATTGGGTGGGATCCGATTTGGTTCGTGATCTCTCTTTTAGTTTCACACATAGCAGGGATATCATTCGCTGACAATTACAATAGCATTCCTAATCCTTACATACTGAACGGGAGTTGCCACGACATGCGCCGGGATTCCGCAAAACAATGGTATATACGAGCGAGAAACGAATGGACAACTAGAAAAGGCGATGTCCCTATTTTCCCCCATCTAGTCCTATGGGTCCAGCAGAACTGTGTCGGCCATGATGGGTTCCTCCAATACTCCGAAATTGCGAGTCTCCTTACTTCGATGCACGCCCGCGCCTTTCAACGAGACATCCCAGCGGACGATTTGCACCCCGAAGACTGCGACGATACGGATGGGCTCCAGAAATTCGAACACAATCCCGAACGCCTGCAAAAGTACCCCTTCGCGTTCAAGGAGGAGTGCTGTTTCCCAATATTAATGGTCTCATTCCTTGGAACCGACGCTCGTTTGTTGTTTGCCTACATGGACGCTGACACGTTGGTCATTCGCCAATCCAAATTATACAGCTTCGAACAACCGGAAACTGCGCCATGGAATCTCTTTGCCCGTTGGCTTGTGGGCACCCCAGTGGAGGGTGGAGTCTAATTTGCTCTTATCTGCACATCCAGGTTGACAAGACCGGTGGTCATACTGCCAGGTCGACTAAACCGGACTTTGTTATCTCACCAGGTCGACAAGACCGGAAATTTGTTATCTCACCAGGTCGAAATGACCGGAACTTTGCTGAGATCCAGGTCGAACAAGACTGGGAGTTAATTGGGCCATATTGGCAGCCTAGACAAATAAACACATTGCTTCGTACCATAATGACTTCCAAAGTGTAGGCTATTCGTTCGTATCACCACCGGTTCGACGCGGTCCCATGGAATGGCGAAACGAGCCATTTACTAGGTACGCCGTCTAATTCGAGGGACTGAATTAGTAGAGTTGACGACGGGAGGCACACTTAGGGAGATAACACAAATGACCGTTTCGGATTGGCGATGGGATTACTGCGTACTATAGTGTTTTGATGCCGACCCAGCCGAGAAAGTGGACCACTCCGGGTACCCAGGTCGCACAATTTTTACTTTACGGTCTTTGTAGGAAGAAATCCACCATGTCTTGAATGTTAACCTATTCGAGATAATATACTTCTGCGAGCTCCTACTGCAATACCTTTGCACCAGCAAACTCTTCCTGGCCCAAATCACGATCAACAGCAATGAATGTCGCCTTCTTGCCATTTCTAGACTGCCACTGCGATGCCGGACGCCGATCGCCTCGGCACCACTGAGCGTGGACACACGAGAGAGGATTTCTCTGGCCCGCTGGCGGGTCATCTTGCCATCAACGAGCTCAACGTGCTTCCTCCCAGGCAGGTACTCGACCTTGTCCACGATCGCTGTCACAGAGTCGAACCCGATAGCGTAGTGGGGAGCATGCAGTCAGACCAGATCGTCATATGACCGCCGCTGGGCAGCACCTTATTCAACGGCCAGCGATTCAGCTCCGGATATTCCTGGAACAGTTCACGCTCGTGAAAAATCGCAGGCAACGTCTCAGCACCGGCAACGGCGCCAGACGCGCCACATAGTCCAGAATCGTCATCTAAACCGAAAAGGTTTATTCCCCTATTTATCACAAAAAGGAAAAAGAAAATAAACGACGATAACGTTATTCTACAACATACTAGTTAGCTTTGTTTTCCTAGCTCTAGGGTCGAGTACTTACTCATCTCCACATCATTTTCGGGGGCACGGGGGCGCAGGGGCACCGGGATTTGCCCGAAGGCAAAGCCAGCATTGGGGGCACCAGAGGGGGCCTGGGCGGCAGGGGCTGCGGTGGCTGCGGGGCCGGCGGCGGCAGCTTCGTCGGCGGCGGGGGCCTCGGCGGGAGGGGCCTCGGCGGCAGGGGGGGCTTGTTGGCCGGACTGCTATTTGAATCAGCATACAAATCCTTAGAAATTCGGTAGAGGCATTACCGGAGCCATCCAGATGTTCCATCCATCGTGACCGCGGCCGCGAGCACGAGCGGTACCCTGGGCGATGGCCCCCTATTAAGACCATATTAGCTTTCTTCTCTGTTTTCGAATTCTCTGGCGTGGAACCCTACCAGGACGGCGAGCCCCGCCACGAGGCGGCACTCGGCGGCCGAGTGGCCGCGGACGTCACAGACGCCGCACTTGTTTCGATGTCTTTTCTGCTAAAATTCATGAGAAGCGTGAGTCTGGTTTTGTCGTGAATCGGACTTACGCCGCCGCCGCCGCCGCGTCCTCCTCGGCGTCCTCCTCGTCTTCCTGCCCTGAAGGGCGCAAAAAAGCTTTGCCCATGAGGACCTTCCATGGTGATGGTAGTGGTGGTGAGGGTGGTGATGGTGAGGATGAAAGTAAAGAAGGATAAACAGAGAAACACAACAGAGTGGGGCCACCTTCTGGCCTCAGTCTTCGCCTTTTCCTGCTTTACCCTCTATTTGCCCAATCTTGTGTATCCGAGGTTATTGGCGCCCAACATATCTCTTCTGCTAAATTGGATCAGCATTGTGTTTTGACTTGATTGGAGAGGGGGTGAAAGGGAAACTCAAGACGTGACTCCTCTGCTATCTCGGTGTCCTCTGCCTCAATCGACCAAATCACTATCCATAAGTGCCAATGCACCTGGTGATAGGTGTGGTCTACATTGAGGTCTCCTCATAGCGCGCTCGGGGCCCGGCAAATAGAGCCAAGGGCTGACCACATACCTCATTTCAATATCGGCAAATGTCGATGCCATCTTCCTCACTGTGGAGTTAACGATCCGAGCGAACTGCCTCTCATCGCTGTCCACGAACGTCCTGTATTTGAAGTTCCCGTGGTCGACATCCCGGGCCTTCTGGTTGACTGGGTGGTCGTCTAGAACTTATCCCCAGAAGCCATATGCATAGTCCAGGGCGGACTTCTAGTTGTGCTCAACCAGAGTCTGGATTCCGCACTACAGCCTGTGAGAAGGAGTCAGCCAGGCACCGAGACAAGGGACGCAGGAAGACTTACCAGACGGCACACGTGGGTGGAATCGAGGTCGGGTGCGACAGTGGCCACGGGCTGCTCGGTATCAACAGAGAGCGCTGTAGAGTCGGGTCTGGCCGGACGGTAGACTCAAGCTAGTCGATAGGAGGCTCGGTAGACGTCAGCCTGTCGAATCGATCTCTCGAGCGTGCTCCACATACCACGCACAACAAAAGATATCGCGGAACTAAATCTGCAGCCCGATCCTACACGCCGAGCGAGTGCGGACAAGACGGAGAATGTTCGATTAGCCAACGACGTCAGCCTGACCGGCACGGTAGACTTCAATGTCGATAATCGGCAGAGAATAGGAGAGAGACTCGTAACGTGAGATTAGAGTGGCCGGCACAGTCGGTGCAGTACGAGTGCGTTCGCGACGGTCGGTCGCTTCGACCATCCTTGTACCTCCATCGACATTCTCGTGATGGCCTTAGCTGTCCGAGTCGCTCGAGCTGCAATCGTTGGCCGCCTGCTGGGCGCGATGATGGCGCGACGCCTTGTCTGCGTCGTATAGATGTCGCCTTATCCGTATGGCTGTCCGTGGTCTGACCTACTGACAACGAACGCAGGCACAACGTCCAGGACGAAACGAGCATCTAAGCCCAGTGACCACTTGTCGGTATGAAAAGATGGATTCGAAGTAGGGCAAATCGTCCTATACAGCAGGAATTGGTTTTGAGTAGTTTTGGAACCAGAAACCAGCAGCTCAGTGTCGAGGAGTGTCATACAGACACAGCCTACTTCAACCCCAATGGCAAGGACTCCCTGACAAATCGTGCTCAGGAAGGTCCTTTGCGGACTCTACCAAAAGACCGAAGAACCAACCCGACGGCTGATTCCACTAGGAACTCTTACCAATTCGGCCTATTCCGGTCCTGGAAGTGTCGTTCTACTGTGCATCGACAGTAGATGTGATCTTCAAGGGCTGAGAAGTCATCCTGATCCGCTCTTCTAGCAGGACCTCCACCTCGTTGGGATTTCCCGCAATAGCTTCTTTCTGAAGCTGCATGGCGCGGCATTGTTAGCATGAAGCTGACAGATGGTGCAAGGAGGATAGTAGGAGGATAAGGAACGTGAAGAAGTCCTAGTGTTCGAAAAGATGTTTATGGTAAAGGGGAATGTTCGTGCTGGAGAGAAGAGACATACCTGTACGTTGATATAGCTGTGCTCTATAGCAACCTCACATCGCCAGAGGATTCTCCAATCAATCAACATCAGAAGTGTGGCATAACAGACAAGGTGTACATAAGAGATCAAGGGCTGGAGTGTGTATAGTTGAGAAGAGAGAATCAGAGAGGGAGGGAGATATCCTCCTATTAATACCCTGGCTATGAGATGATCCCATTGTCCTCTTCACAGAGACCCATCACTGCACTTATACCATCACCAAACAAAAGACTCCGCAGTGAAATCTCCAGACCGATAATACAGACAAACGCTAATTGAATCTCCTATGTACAGCCAGACCAAAATGTGAATATGCGAGGATTCCTATGCATTCCCGCCTTCGTGCTTGTCTAGATTTACTGCTTACTTCTTGGTGAAGAGGTATGCAGAGGGAATCATGGTGGCTTCCAGGGTGGATATCACTTTCTTCATGCGATTATTATTTAGGATGACATAAGGTGAAGCGCCAGGATTCCACTCAATGGTGATGCAGAAACTATAGCAGAATTAATACTAAGTGGGATAGATAAAGATGATCTGTAGGGAAAGGGTGTAAAACCATGATGGGAATTCAGCCAGCACTCCCAGGGCTTGTAGAAGCCCTCCACCCAGCTAGAAGCAATCTCTCATAACAGTAGACAGCTCACCCCCGTAATCAAACATATACCCATTAGGCCCACGAGTCCCCAACTGCCACTGATCATCAAACCCCTGCGACGAACCAACACCCATGATCTGATTTTCTAAGTTCCCGACTGCTTCAAACCACTCCACCAGCTCTTGGGTCATTGCCGCGCCGTCTAGCGGCGTATGGCTATGTATACTGGATGTCTGCGCTTGGTCCCCTGGTTCAGCGACGGCAGCTGTGCAAGGTACCCCGACGACGTCGGTTCGCAATGGCTCTTCCACATGGCGGTGACGCTGCAGTCCCAACTGTGGGGCCAACTTGCGTAGACTCTTGATCGACTTCCATAGGCGGCGGGAGATGTAGGACCGTGTAGAAAAGCCCTTGACGAGCTCCAGGGCCATGTAGAATTCTTCTTTGGAGGAGCTGCTAAACTGGCCCGGGGTTTGCACAACAGCTAGGAACAGGACTGCGAGCGCAGACACAAGAAACCAGTTGAACGTGACCTGTTGCAGACGATAGATATCGGATGTCTCGTTGAGACGAGTGATAAAGCGGATAGTATCTTTCGCGATCTCAACGACAGTCTGCGACTCGGAGGGGTAGCGCACGATATGGGCAGCTGAGTGCAACACCGGACGATAGATCAGCATGCGCAGCTGGTTCGCACGAAGATACAGAAGCGAGCGTAGACGACGGATGCAGCGCGGCTCCTGAATCTGATTTTCGATCGTGGCGGTAGCGTTATTGAACCGGAGGGAGTCCGGTGTGGCATCCACCCATTTAAGAACTTGCCAGTCGAGATAATTCATCTCGTCTTTTTTGATCTCGTTGGTGTTGTTGAAGGCAGAAATAAACTTCCATACCTTAGCTGCAATACGACTGTACCGAATCATCACGCGCAAATACGGAGTTTTCTCCTCTGGCTCGGGCAGCCAGGGGTCGATGTCGGTATCTTCCAGGGAGAAGGGCATTCCAGTTCCAAAGCTCCAGCGCATGTCGAGGATGTAGATGGACCAAAATAGCCGCAGAACGCGGTCTCGCCCCGCGGCTACCACGGCAGGTTGTGTGAGAGTTTCGCGGCGATGTAGACCTTTCTCTAGACACATGCGCTCCACTATACCGATGGTCCTCCAAGCGAGAGTTTCTTCATCTATCTGGAAGTAGAATATGGACTGTTCAAGAGTCAGTGTGAGATACAACGTGAACCCTAGAAATGAATACTCACCACCAATGTGAGAAAGATGATTGTCTTTATCTCTGGTGCACCCCAGACAGCATTGTCAGCCGCCTCGCGAATACTCACAAACAATCCCATCGCTAGCTCACTATTCCCGCTGGCTTCAGCTGTCAGAGCGCACGCAAACACCAACCGTATGATATGCACGTCATCAGCATCCAGTGCCTCCTTGCCATCATGGCCTTGTGCCCGTGACGGTAGCGAAGATCGCCATCTTGGCTCCCGAGTTCCATATAACACATTCACCTGGTGCAGGAGCTCCTCCAAATCCAAGACGGGGTACATGATGCCCATCTCTTCCTCATACACCTGACACAACCGCAGCGCCTCGGTCTTCCCAATCGTCCACAGGGGGTCAACATGGCGAGCTCCTAAAGGTTGGGCCGGCGACGGCGGCGACGGCAAGGGCGACGGCTCCTGCATCACATCGCCCTCCTCCCCGCCCTTGTTGTGCTCAACAATCCCCCGACGTTGGAGACTAGATCTTGCCAGATCAAAACTAAAGCCAGACGATTGTCGTGACCCTGAAACCCCAACTCTTTTGCCGAAGATGGACGGCGAAAAGCCCCGCGAGGCGGTGCTGCGTGGGTTCCGCGCGCGCACCGGCCACCGTGCCCTGGGTAAGCGAGTGCACAAACAGCTGAGAGCGCCGCGATCTGCTCCTGCATGGCGCTCATCTGGTCGCATAGTTTCCCCAGACCACTGAACATTTTCAATTAGTCATGGGGTCCAGTTGGATGCGTCAGTAGTCGGCACATACGTCTGGTCATCTCCGCTATTTTCCGCGCGTACCACGTCGGCATAGACGCAGTCAAGGCGCTGTCGGCCACATCGCTGGCATGGGTTTTCGCCATTGCACTTGATCTTGCGGCGCTTGCATTCGTTGCTATCGCAGTGGTATTAGTCTCGGTATACACGCAGAGAAGTAAACAGGGACTTCCGCCGTAAGGAGCATACCATGCTTTGGCGATGTATTTCCGCCTCCTTTTCCGCGGTCGGACGTCGTGTGCGTCTGGCTCAGCGTCTACTATCGAGTCCTCCCAGGCGTCTGGTGCGGATGATACCGAGGGGTTCGCGGTGGGTGACATGGTCGTAAGAGATATGATAATAGTAATATCTGAGGATTAATATGTTGACCGCAAGGTGGGTGGTTGTTATGAGGCCAAGAACGCGGAGGCGGATGTTAAGCGAAACGCGGGGGACTTTCCGCACCCGAGGTTACCCCAAAGTGTAGGACCTGTCGTCTCGGCATAAAGGAGAACTGTACGAAGATGTACTAAAAATATGAAAACATTTTTCATCATCTATATACATAAAAGTCCTCTCCATAATTTCAACAGCATAAGTCATACATCAAGGGAATAAAATGCAGCAAATCATCGCTTAAAGCTCCTTCGTGCGCTCGTCACTCTCTGCAATCCACTTCTCCAGCAAGGCGGCGTCGCGCGGCTTGAAGCCCACCTTGAAAGGCTTCGGCTCGGTCGTCAGGGCCGTAGGGATCGCGTTGCACTCGATGGCGTCCAGCACAGGCAGGTCTTCCTTGTTCTGGGCGGGGTGCATGGTGAACGCGGTGATGAGTCGGATGAAGGCCGTGTAGAGTTCACGGTTGGCCAGGTGGGAACCAGCGCACATGCGCGAGCCCGCACCGTAGCCGTAGTGGGGGGTGCCAGCACCCTCGCTTTGCTCGAGATACCGCTCGGGGATGAACCTGTCGGCCATCTTGAAGTGGTCCTCGTCGTAGTCGGCAGCCCAAGCGTTCTAGATGCGTCAGTATCGGAACCGGTGCATGGGAGTAGTCTCGGTAGTATGACATACCATGAAGAAGGTCGTGCCAGCCGGAATCTTCGCGCCGTTGTACACAATCTCCTTGGTGCTCTCTCTGGGGAGACAGATCGGAATGACAGTCCAGAATCGCAGGGTTTCCTTCACCAGAGCGGTGATGTAGGGCACCTTCTCCTCAACCAGACACTTCTCCCAGGCATCGCCGTTAGGGTACACTTTCATGATCTCATCGTAGGCCTTCTCCTGGATTCGCTGGCCATCCTCGGATGCCAGATACGCGATACCCATAATCAGGTTGCCGGGGACGGTGTCCAGACCGGCAGAAACCATGGTCAAACAAATCGACTTGACCTCCGCTATCCCGCAAGTCAGCTCCGCCGATCATTTACCCACAGTGTAGAACGTACCTTCGTTGAGCTTGGCCTCAGGGTCCTTGAGAATGTTACCAGTAATACACGGCTTATCAGTTCCCTTGGCAATGCGGTCCTTGAGGATGTCCAGGAGGTAGGTGAGATATTTGTCACGGCGCACGCGGTATTCCTCGGCCTCGGTGTTCATCTTGGGGAAGATGCGGAGCAGCGGGATGTAGTCCTGCCAGTTGTTGCTGGTACTGCGGAAGTTCGACACGCCACGCTCGACGTCCACGATCTCGCGGAGCAGCTGGTCATCAACGTTACCCTCGATACGGAATCCATAATTCAAGGTCAAGCTGGTGTTCAACGCGAACCGCTGGAAGTAGGGGGCCGGGTTGAGGTCCACGGTGCCACCTTGGCTGTTCTTCAGCAGTTCCCTGATACTAGCTGTGCATTCGAGATCGATGATAGGCATGTAGGACTGCACCGCGGGGCGGTTAAGCGCCGTAGCAGCGGCCTTGCGACGACGTTTGCAGGACTCGTCCCAGGGCGAAGTACCGATCGTGAAACCCTGCGAGCTGGAAACGACGCTGTGGAAGGTGTGGAAGGTCGGGCGAGAAATCAGGGCGGACTGATCCTTGATCCAGAGCTGTCGCACCGAGTCGAAACTGTTGGCAAAGACCACCCGCTAGAAGCCGCAGTGGTGCATTAGTCCAGGCCAGTTCATGAGATATTTCTCCTCTGTCCAACTACTGGTAGAACGAACCTTGTTTCCCATGCGTACTTGGAACACAGGGCCATACTTCTTCGCCCACGCCCCGGCAACCGTCGCATGTTTATCACCGAGTTGCAACAGATTTCCAAAGATCGGGACGCCCGGTATCTCAGGGAGGCCTTTGATTTTGGGGACATCAGTTCGATTGAAGTAGCGGATGATAAAGTACACCACCGCGGCGGCGGCGATGGCCAGGGTTTGCAACGCCATGTCGAAAAAGTCAAACAGAAGGACCAGGTCGATGGCGCTGTGATCAGATAGCAAGCACGCTCAGAAACCGTTCGACAGAGAGACGTCAGCACCCCTCCCTTTATATGCACGGGGGACAGGCAGATCAAGGATATCCTCGGGCGTAACCCCTCATCCTTCGTAACTCCTGTTGCAGCGCGCGATGCGACTCCGCGGTGACCACCGCTGTCTGTACCGCTCACGGTACTTTTCCGTAGCTCCCCCTATCGTAGTACCAGACCGCATAATAATTCTGACGCGCAAATGGGACCAGCCTCCAATCCAGCCTGGGAGCGACGATCGACTCCGGTCCACTGGTGGGGGCCACTAACGGACGCCGGTCATCGCTGTCTGCCATATGCCTCCACTCGTATTGGGGCCGTTTTGGACGTCTGACCAGTCAGATTGGTGGGGATTATGCCCCGGCGGTGGTGTGGATATTGAGGCTTGGGATGTGCCCTCAACATCAGGGACTACCGCGGCGGTGCGGAATGCTTGTTCCGCGGTCACGTGGGACGGAAATCTGCGGTCTTTCGGACTCATGCTGCGTGTTTTGATGTCGTAGTTTTATCCAGGATGTCATGGAATATTCTCAAGTATTTACGAAGTGGTTTGGGGTTGTGGAGATGAACTTGGTCGTCCCAGCACCGTGAATATATATACCACCATCTCAATGTAGTTGTCACACTACCTTCTATATACAGAATGTTCGGATACAAGAAGTATATCGTAGTTGGGGTATCAAATCTCTTCGCAGGGGGGATGTGCAAGTCTACATCTGTCCATCATACCTGCCTTTCCTATTGACCTCGTCTGAACATAAGTCGTGAACTCCGACGAAAAAGAGTTGAACAAAACATGACACATATCCGGAAGTGTCGTGCCACGAGTACATAGCAAGGGCAACAGCAGAACATTTGAAATCAGTCAAGACGGGTAGGGCTTCTCCGATGCGCTGAGACGGCTCGCCCGACGTCCTGCATTTCGCTGCCGGTCTGCTTCCAAGGTCTGAGCAAACTTGCTGCTCTCTCGGATCTGGGGACCTTTCCAGTAGAAGATATAAATTGGAATAGTTACGAAGATGGCCAGACATCCCAGAATCGTACTGGCCCATTGTAGGTGGAACCGGCCACCAATATTGCTGTACATGGGGGTGGCATACATCGCGGACAATCCAGCCAATAGGTCCCGAGCGAACCCGTTGCCTCCCGTCGCCGACGCAGAGTATGGACCGTACGACGCGACCATGTAATCGATCGTCGCCATGTAGATACCGTAGTTGGCAATGGCGATCAGGAAGATAAACACCAGTGGGACCACCCAATGGGTATACTCGGGGCCCATTGATGTCCAAGCGAACCCGAATAGACCGATCGTCTCTAGCGGTGCAATGAAGAGTAAGAGAAGCAGACGACGTTCCGGGAGTCTAGACGCATTACCCTGCTTCTTGCGGATTTGCCTCTGGCGCCAGATATCGGGGAGGAAGACCCCGTATGCTACAAGGTAGCCTATAATAATGCTGATGAAGCAGAGACCAATGCGAAGAGGGTCAAAGTTCCACTGTTCGAAGACCAGCGTGAACGACTCAATGCAGGTGAAAATCAGCGCGTCCGAGAAACCAGACAAAAGAGACAGGAAGAGGACAATGGGTTCGCGGATGAACATCTCAAAAGGTCGGCGCCATACCCGCAGGACATCTTGCAGGTCCATCCGCGGGGTCTTCAATTCATTCGGCCCGTAGACATTGGGATCCTCACCGGTCTTGCGACGTCGTTTCGCTTCCCGATCGATCAGAATCGTCGACCGAGTCTCGCTGACGAAGAAGAAATGTGCCAATTGAGTGACTCCGCCAAAGATCAGCTGGATCCAAAAGTTCCATTCCCATTTCAGCCACTGTTGAATCATACCACCGAAGACGGGCCCGATGGTGGTGCCGCCCACCGACGATAGTACAACGTAGGCCACCGCAAAGCCCTGGTCGTCTGGCTCCCACATATCGGCTGTCATTCCTAGGGTGACGGAGCCACCCGCTGAACTCAGACCGCCAAGGAAGCGACACACAACGATGGTGCCAAAGTTGGGTGCTAATGCACAAGGGATCTGCCAGATGTTGACGAGGAACAGACTGAGCTGCATGATAGGCCAGCGACCAAACTCCTCACTCCAGGGCGCCCAGAGTTCACAGCCAAAGGCGTAGGCTACCAAAAAGATCATTTGACCAACCCGTGCCGCCTGCTCGCTGATGTGGAAGTGTTCTGATAGAGGGACCACCGCATTGGGGTAGACGCTGCTATTGAAGTTCATGGACATCTGGACGGTGAAGATGACCGACAGGATGGCCCATTTCTTATACCACGGGAAGGAGAATCCGAGTTTGTCATAACAGTCATCTTCAGTGAGCTCGCGTTTTCCATCTCCAAGAAACTCTCCCCGCGTCTCACTATCATTATCGGATGGAGAGACATGTTCCGCATGGGTGTTTGCCGGCCGTCGGGAGGGGCTCATTGTGGAAGACTGGCTGCTCTTAGGGTCCGGTTCCTTCTCGATGATGGTATTGGAGGACTTGCGGGATGTCTCTCGGTCCGCCATGAGGGATAGAGAGCTTTATGCAGAGTATCGCAACCTGGAAAATGTGTAGTGGAAGTAGAAGAGGGAGAGTCGTACAAGGATGAGACCATAACATCCACCCCAGGCGCAAAGATAAACGGAAGATGGAGACGGAGAAAACCGAGAAACCGAATTCAGCGAAGTAGGCGCAATGTTTTTATACTCAGATTGCCAGGTTGCACAGAGATCAGGAGAATGTAGAAGCCGTTTTAGGAAAGCCATAGGTGCACAACGTCATGCTGCACATTTCCTGCCATTTCAGAGGCTTCCCCAATGAACAGTGTCTCCACCATCTGGGGATCATCATGCCGTGGAGTACTTTTCTTTACCTTTCCATTCTTTTTGGGCCCTACCGTCTTCGATACCACAGGGCACATGCATGTCCGCCAAACGCGGTGGGAAGACTTGGACAGCGAAGAGTTCTTGGCTCTCGAGTCAAGGCACGGAGGTGAGTATGACGAGGATGCTTACCTGAGAACTACATCATGGTGATCGGCGTGAACGAAGGCAGTATAAGGATAAGCAACAGAAGTCTGCCAGAAGATGGACACACGAACGGATGCGCTGGCGCGAGACGGCGTCTCGGCGCTTGCCGGACACTCCTAAAGCGGTAATCCGAGCGACTAGCTATGGACGGTGGTTGGCTGTAGATCCCAACAATGACGCAAGGAGGAGGCAGCGCATCCGGTTTGCATACCTTGTCTCTCTCAGTCTAGTTGCATGCGATACTCTCGCGGGTTGCATCGCACGGACGACTCTTCTATCGGCACCAGGAACGTTTGGCTTCCGTGTTGCCTCCATGACATCACACCCTCCCGCTATGTTGGGAACAGGAACATGTACGGAGGGAGGAAGAGATACCTGATAGGATTATTGTCGTTGTGGCGGAGAGGTCGTCCGGTCATCTCCGGAATGCAGGGCTGATCCCTTGCGTGACCGTTTACATTGTCTTTGGCGTCAGACATCGTGGCGTTCGTCGATGTTGTTCTGACTCAATGGAAAAGTACAGTGTTCTTTCGGCCGGGTCAGCCACAGATATTGCACAAGGCCTTATAAGGATAAGGAGGAAGGTGTTCCCGGTAGGTGGAGTGGTCCACATTGATTGCTGGGTCGATATCGAACAGTCTTCTGTGGAGCCGAAAACGGTTGGCTGAGATCTCGGACAGTATCTCGCGGTTGCTCGTAATGGATGTCAACTCTCAATTGATCCACATCTCAGTCCTGTGTGATGAGCGTCAACAACGTATGAAAGGTATGACTGTTGCGGAGGTATAAGATACCATCCCTTGGATATGTTGTTGCCTGATACTTTCCCTATAGAATGTGATCGAACGATACACATGTCATATGTAGATCGATCATGGATCGTGGAAACCCACATGGCCAGATGGATCATCTCGAACCAGATTGACTTTCTGTATCTCCTCATAAAAAGATGCTGCGACCCATGACAACGCATAGGTATAGTTTCGACGCTGAAGCCTACCTACCTAGGTACCTACCTTGTAGTATAGGTATAAACATTGGCCAGCCAGACCGCGGAAAGTGGGTATAGAATACCGTATGTTATGAATCAATATTTCAACCTCTCTACCAGCAATATCCGAGCAGAACTATTCCATAAACCATTTGAGCTAACTCTCGTATGAAGAAATTAGTAATGGTTTGTTACAAATCCATACTACGTAGGAGATTAGTAGACAAGGAAGTTGATGGTTGTTCGCTATGGAGCTATTCGAACTGACTAGCGATCATTAATCCACCAAGATGGAACAGAATGGCAGAAAATACGCTCAGCGTACTTAGCAAACATCCTGCTTTCTAGTGCAGCAACTGTCCAGGAACAAGCATGGCGTCTTCCTTGTCATCTGGAGGGGAAAATAAAAGCAAGGTTGGAACAGGCAAGTTGACCAAGAATAAGCTGGGAGCCAGAATCGTGGTCACAACCAAGTATTGCCCAAGAAAATAGAAAGGAACAACTGGGACAGCTAAACATCTTCCTCCTCTTGATTGAGATGCTTCTCTATGTAACCTTGGAGGTCATGATACGCTGGTTGGCGACCACGCTGTTGGACCCAGCCCATTGCGCGTCCTTTGGAACCCAGGCGCACTTTTTCAAATGTCTCCATGGATTGTACTACAAGCGCGATTCCGGAGTAGACATTATCTCTTTTTCCACTGGTAGGATGCGTATTGACAAGCCAGGATCTGCCGCGAGGGGTACCGCGCAGCACATAGTAGCCTCTGTACACTGCGTGCCACTCGATTTTCGCGGGCACTTGGATCGTTCGAATGTCTCCATTGGCATCAAAGTCAGCGCGCCACAGTACAGAACGCTGCTTTCTATCCACGTTGAGGACAGCCCAAGCTACCTCTGGGTCAGATAAGTATTTTTGGGCGGTTCGGTGCCTAGGTCCCAGTTTTCAATCGTTTTCCACATCCTGAACGTGGTAGTATCAGACTACCCTTTTCCTTTCTGGCGACAAGGACGACCTTCCCCATCTCCAGTTCCCCAAATAACAATCGGCTCCGGTAAGAGCTCGTTCCTTTGACATTTTTCGGTGAGTTTTCTTAGAACCTTGGTCGAATCGGTCGGCTTCGGGCCCAGTTCCTCGTCAGCGGCTGCGCCTGAGGTAGACATCCATTGTGTCAACCAAAATGACCATTACACTACCAAAAATGGGCAACCCACTCCGCGCCGATAATACGCATCAGCAGGAAAACATAAAAAAAAAAAAAAAGAACCCTCACTCATGTTCCGCCAACGGCGTGCTCAACATCCACCGCGCAAACAGATCCCAGGGTGCAGTCTCCTTCTTCGCAAACCTGTATAGAGCTGACTGGAAGACTAACATCCTGCCTCCTTCCATGCAAGCATAAAGTATTCTACCATGCTGCGGGCCTTGCAGAGAAACTAACAACACAGGGAATCTTTGCTCGTTTGGGAACAATCGAGGAAGTTGCGTTTGGACCATGTTCGGATCGGAGTGAAACCGCTCTGCCTCCTCCTCCCCGGCGACCTTGGGCTGGGATGCTCTTGCCTCCATTGCTCCGAGCAATGGAAAAAGCTCGCAGGAGCATTGATCCAGGGCTTCCACAGCATTCCTGAGTGACCATAAGGGTCACATGCCGCTTTGTAGGGGAGTATGGCTCCTGTCCGGGGTTGCTCCATGATACGCTGGAGCGACCAACCTGGTCTTCCAGCGCCCAGATATGCGTTGGACTGGATGTTTTTCAGCAGAGGGTTCGGCCACCTACATATTGCAAATATTAGAAACACGGTTGAGGAGCACACTTGGGAAGACCGAGCCTAACTCAATTTCGTGCCAGTTGAGTGCCTGGCTAAGGCAACAACCGGACATTCGCGGTCAGGAACGGAAGTCGGAAATCGTACCCTTGGGAAGCCATGCCATGCCCAGCGCTGGAGGTAGCGAGCGGCCTCTTCCGCCCGTGTCGTAAACTTCTCCTGGTCTAAAGTCCCCTCTCCAGAAGCTGCAGCAGCCACTTATCAGTACTGAACTCTTCCGTGTATTTGAAGTCCCCGTGGTCGAAACCCAGGGCCTTCTTGTTAATTGGGTGCTTGTCCAGAGTTCTTTGGGACAAAGGCGTGGAAAGTATTGGGAGCTTGTCTCCAAGGACGGTATCTGGTGCCTCGATGTCAAACTCCTCGCGAACAATGCCATAGGGGGCCAAGTCATGATCGGAGATCTGATCGAGGGTCAGGAGTGGCCAGATCTTCTCCGGGAGGATCTTCAATTGGTTGAAAGGAGGATTGTATTGGGGTTTCTTCGTGGGCATTTTGATGATAGGGACCTGTCTGCATGAAGCCATATTGAAGGGGAAGAGAAAGGAGTGAAGGAAGTCATACTAGCATAGTGAAATACTGGTAGTGACGACAATATTATCCACCTGCGCAGTCAATCCAAGGAAACACAATGAATGTAAACGATCCGGTATGAATGCTTGCCTTGGTGGTGGAGGGATCTGTGGTGAAAGTGACTGATTTGTACTTCTCTCATTTCATGTCATCTCTTCTCTTCACTTTCTCCCATCCCTCTACCCATCCTCTCCCATTTTCACCTCTCACTTCTGACCAACTCCCCAGATCGACCAAGCTTTCCGCTCTTCTCCTTCGTTCCCCGTGCCTGCACCTTCTCACATAACCATCACAATGTCTGCGTTTTCTGGTCTTCCGAAGAACCTGGTGGAGTGGGAAGCTGCCCGAAGCCGTCTCGACAGGGATTAGATGGACAAGTCTCTTCACGACTGCGAGACCCTCCATTCTGGCGACAGTGTCACACTGGAAGTGTTTATACTCTATCGTACCGTGTGTCCTGATGTGAAGCTTCGCAGTCTTGGCTCTACCAAATCCATGGCGACAATATACTAATTGAAGTAGCAGCCCGCCGGTGCCGCAGTCGCTCCGGTCAGCCTCACCCAGCAGGACCAGGCCCCGGCCACCAGTGCTCCCACTGGTGGCTTGTTTGCATTCGGGCAAATAATCGTGCCCATCCGCGGCCACGCCCGAGAACGATGTGGATATGAGTAAGTACTCGACCCTAGGGCTAGGACAACAAAAATACTAACTAGTATGTTGTAGACTGGCGCTGCGTTCTTTTGTTTTCTTTTTCTTTTTTGTTGTGGTTTAGATTTCCTTTGGAAGGAAAATCCAAGTCTTGACCAGGCTATATGGATATGGCTCAAGCAATGGTAAGGATTGCTCGTATCTTGTCAAACATAGAAATGGTCTGTATACTAGGGCCCAGAGTGTGTTCACACTTTTGGTAGTCTAGCATTCATTTTTAGTTCCACACATCTTCATTGTACATCAACCGGTCGATAGTGCGAAGGCTATATCTGCAGCAGCAAAGAGCGATGCAATATGGTATTTGAAGCCCGAGGTCAGTGCACCAAGTCGCAGAGATGGTGATAGCTCTGAGGAAAATGGATCTTAGCCTCGATCTTGTCAGCATGTTCAATCAGAGCACACGGTACAAGAAACATATTCATCCACCCCCAGGAAACGCGGCCTACACTCCAGGTTTCCTGTATTGAGAGCCTCGCGAGGCTGCAAATCATACGTCTCTGGGGTAGTTTCAGGGTTGCACCAATTTGTTGCAACCCTGGAACTACAGTCATATATCCCACCTTACATAGCATTCAAAGCGTCGGTACTTTTCGGCGGCCAACGGTTATTCTGTAAAATATTTGTATATATATATCGCGAACACGTGTGACTAACAGATCGTATCTACTGAACTCAAAGCACAGAAACTCCCGGAAAGAAAGAGTTCATAGCTTAGAAGTCTCTTTTTCACCCTTTGGCTCCCGCTCAATGTTTGCCTCAAACCACCATGGGTAGTTCCGTGGCCAGTTCCCTTGGAGATCCGCCTTGAACTCGGGTTTCCTCTTCTCGAAGAAAGACTTGACGCCTTCTTGGTGATCGCTACAACGATATAATCAATATTCTGTTGCAGTGATATACGAGGGGTAGACATACTGTGACCCAATCCGGGAATGGAATACTCTCGACTCCAACAAATGTGCCTCCTCGGGTGACTGGGCGCCTTGCCAGAGCAACGCGCGACTCAATGCAGACGCCATCGGACTCACATTGTCAGCCATGTCTGTCGCCAGCTCCAACGCCCTCGGCAGCACCTGGTTCGCCTCTGGGAGCGCCTCTGTGAACAGATCACCGAAATATCGCGGTTCTGGGGGGTACACTCCGCCCGTGGTGATCAGGAACATGGCGCGAGACAGGCCGATCAGACGAGGCAGGAAATATGAGGAGCATGATTCGAGCGGCAGCCCGCGTCTGGTAAAGACGAAACCGTATTTGCTCTTTTGGTGGCAGATTCTCAAGAAGAGTCAGCGATATGCTGGCTATAAATGATTCATTGATGAAAGGATACCTAATGGCCGCAGGGAGTGTCATGGTCATGCCCACGCCGACTGCAGAGCCTTGAAGTGCGATGATGGTCGGTTTTTGGCACCGGTGCATAGCCACTGCAACTCGGCCACCGCTAAAACAGATAATTGTGAGTTTGTCCGTCAGTCCGTCAGTGTCAACTCTACTGATCACGTACATATCTCGGTAGTCAGCTGGATCCCCAGAACCATCCCCGAATCCAACATCCAGGTCAGACCCTGCACAGAACATCCTACCGGCCCCTGTCAGGACCACCACTTTCACCCTGTCATCAAGGTGGAACATTCGAAAGGCCTCCTCGAGGCTACGGGCCATGTCCGGTGTAAACGCATTGTGCTTCTCCGGTCTGTTTAATATTATGATCACGACTGGCGTGACAGCTTTTGCGCCGTGCGGATGATGTGATAATTCGATCTGGGGCAGGTTTAGCGTTTCGTAGGACGCAGGAAGTTTGATAGTTGGTTTTGTGGGATACATTGTGTCTTTGTCGGAGTGTGGCCTCCTACTCTGGTGATCCTGGGACGGCTCACTATATATGTGGAATCAACTAGATCGTCCTCGTAAGCCCAATGTTTTATGCTCATCTCCCCCATGATCATCTTATTTCGTGGACTACTCGGCAGGTTACGGGCGTCGGCTACCCCAGGGCGCCAATTGCCTCGGGTCTCAATAATAGACGCACGTGCACTCAAACAACATTCTTGATCTACATAGAGATACTCTACGTGCTCTCGGAAGGTTTTTACTCAAGACTGAACAGGTTTATTTTCTATGACAGAAAAGAAAAAGAAAACAGAAAACGACAGTGTCACTCTACAACATACTAGTCAGCTTTGGTTTCCTAGCTCTAGGGGCGAGTACATACTCTAACTCACTTCTCTGGGGCGGCGGGGGCGGCCTGCTCGGTGGGAGCAGCTTTGGGCGCACCGGGGCCAGCACCGGGGCCACCATCGGGGGCACCAGGGGGGTCCTGGGCGGCGAGGGCTTGGGGCGCGGGGGTTTGGGGGGGCGGCCGGCCGGCGGCGGCATCCTCGGCAGCAGGAGGGGCTTGCTGGCCGGACTGCTATTTGAATCAGCATACATATTCATAGTGAATTCGGTAGAGGCATTTATTACCTGCCCGACGACCGCGTTCGAGGCGCCGTGACCACCGTGGCCGTGGTGGCCCCGGCCACGACCACCACGACCACGATGGCCACGGCCGCGAGCGCCAACGCGCTCCTGGTACAACTCGCCCTGTTAAGTAATACATATTAGCCATCTTCTCTGTGTTCGAGGTTCTTGTAACGTGGAATTTTACCAGGGGCAAATTGCCGGAGCGGAACAGGCATTCTGCGGCCAAGTGGCCGCGCACACCACAGATCTGACACCTGTTTCGGTGTCTCCTCTTCTAAAATGTGTGAGAACTGTGTCTGGCTTCCTTGAGGTGAATAGGACTTACGCCGCCGCCGCGTCCTCCTCCTCCTCCTCCTCCTCGTCTTCCTCCTCCTCGTCCTCTTTCAGCCCCGAAGGGCGCAGGCGCATGGTGCCCGTGAAGGCCTTGGTTATTGTCCATTGTAGGTGGGGGTGATGGTGGCAGTGGTGATGGTGAGGGGGAAGATGGTGAAGGTAAAAGTGAGGGTGAGAGTGAAGGTGAAAGTGAAGGAAAGACACAGAGAAACACAACAGAGTGGGTCCACTTTCTGGCCTCAGGCTCCTACTCTTTCCTGCGTTACTCTGCCAGAATAGCTGCTTGGTCCCTTTGTAGGCCCCCTAACAATTTCTATTTTACGTTCGCTTCAGATATTCGTGTTTTGTTTGCCCAATCTTGGATATTCGATGTCGATATACTTCTCTGAATCTTTATTGGCGAGCATCCGGAATCTTTCCCAAGTTAGGTTTAACCCGTTTAACCCGCAAAGTGCCTACCGCCAGCTAAGATTCCACCAAACTCCTTGACTGTCCCTATACTACACGATTTAGGATAGCCTTAAGCTAAAGGTTGGCTTTACGGAGCCCATGTTTCATTAATGTAAACCTATCAATCCAGCCCTTGTCTTAACTACAACCGAGGAAAGGAAGCTATTGCTGGATGCTCATGATGATGCAATCTTAGGTAGTCGGAAACCCAACTCTGGAGAAGAACCTTTTAAGACAGACGGTTGTCAGGGGGTACAATAGGTGCTGATCCAGAAGGGGGGTCAGTTGGGTAAGAGAAGGATTGATATGGACGCCATATTGAGGGGATATACTTCGCGAAGGGCAGTTCTATGGCCATAGTGATATACTACCTAGGAATGACGATACATTATCCAGTCATTGCAGTCTCTTTGGAAACAATATGGTACTAATATTCACCTGGTGGGGGAGGAGCCTATGGTGAAGTCCTTTACTTCATTCCACATCTCATATACCGATGAACGCAGGATGACATATAGAGATCGTCAGGTTGACGGGTTGGTGGTCTGCGGTGTCACCAGCCTGTCAATCCAACTTCCTCTCTCCCCACTGCTGCATCTCACCCATCTACCCCGAAGTATACCACAAACAATACCATGCCTCCCTCTGTTGCCCCCGAGCTTTTGTCGAACGAGAGGGCCCGCCTCATCCAACAGCTTAGCGACGTATGCAAAATTCACCATGTTGATCTCGCCACACACTCGATGCTATGGCTATCCGATATCGAGGTACTCCGAACTATGCTTCGTGAAACACAGTCTGGCGGTATAAGAGCTAACTTGGTCTTCTCGTGTCTCACGAACCCCGAGCGTACTGTGAGGACCTTGAAGTATTGGCTCGGGGAGGAAATCGAACCCGAACTCGACTTCGACCACACGCAACCTGTTGATCTCGCAGATCAGTCTCCCACTCCCGCGGAGTCTCCCCAAGCCCCACAAAAGCGCAAGTTCAAGGGGAGAGATCGGTCTTCGAGCAAGATCCCGAGACGCAGCGAACCGGTCGCAGGCCAGGACCGGACTGAACGGTGCGACACCGCGAAGGGAATGGCCCTTGAGAGGGATGATGGGCTATGTATCGTTACGAGGATGGGTGAACCCGTCTCACCTTGCCACATATATCCCTCCACGGTGGGAAAGATGCCCACACAGGAACGGCGAAGTTTCTGGTCTCTTTTGAGCCTGTTCTGGTCCCATGAGACCGTCGACAAGTGGGAGGAGCACATCTCCGGCCCAGATGGCACAGGAATTATTAGCAACCTACTGTGTCTCTCGGAGAGTGTGCATGGCCTCTGGCGCAAGGCACGGTTCGCCCTGGAACCCGTTGCGATGTCCGAGGACAAGACATCTCTTATACTGCGGTTCTGGTGGCTACCTTTGCGGAAGTATTCCAAATGGGTACGCATGACTGACGCGCCCTCGCTCCCCTCCGATTTGGACGCCGGACCATTCAACGCCAAGCTGTGGGATTGCGTTATGGAGGAACGCATTCGGTCCGGCCACCTCTTCACGGTGACAACCGCGGATCCGGAGAGCATGCCTCTTCCGTCTTTCGAGCTGGTGCGGATGCAGTGGATATTGAACCGGGTTGCCGCCATGTGTGGCGCGGCTGATGTTGCGGAAGAGGAGTCTGTGGAGTTCTTCGATGATGATGACCGGGTCGACTTTAGGTCTAGATAGTGCAAGCTTTGTCGCCAAATGTACTTTGATGTGGCTCTCCTACTACTCCAGGCCAGGATATTCTGTCAGGCGTAAAAATGACCGACAGGCCACCAAAGTGTGAACACATATAGTCGTAATCTTTTGACATATTCGCTCATAGGCTATAGGATTCTGAATTCTTTGAGAGATAGCAATACAACACTTACGTACCCAATGTGATCTCGTTCAATTTCTGAAAAAAAGAAAACAGGGCACAAGCGTAGAATATAGGAGGCATTCGCTCGACAGGGCTAGTATAGAGTCAGATCAGACTAGTCGAAAGACCCTCTCCCCAACTTCTGCAAATCCTCAGTCTTCCAATCCGTGACCAGCATGTGTCCCGGTTCATGAGCAAACACAAGTCCGTCAATCTTATCCCCAGCCGATTCAACCGCCATCTGCGGCGTGACACCGCAGGCCTATATCATATCAGCCATAGTACAAGACATCTACGTCTACCGGAGAAAACATACCCAAAACACAGGAACCTCACCATCCTCAAACACCTGAGGCTGGCCAAACTCAGGCGCATGAATATCCCTAATCCCGAGCTGCTGCACCGCGTCCCATCCCCAAGCCACCGGCTCCCCATGCGTCGCCAGATACGGCCTTGTCACATCGCGGACTCTCTCCACATCCTCCGGCCGATACGGCCTCATCGAGACGATACAAGTCGCGCCAGTAAAAACGCCCGCCGGCAGCAGCGGGATATTCGTCCGGTAGATAGCGACGATAGTATTAGTCTTCTGGTGACGAGGCTGCAGGCCCGCGTCGGTGAGGGCATCCTCGAACGAAAACGAACACCCAATCAAGAACCCGACGTAGTCGTCTGTCCAGACATCGCGCAGGTCGCGTCGACTGCCGAGGTACTTGCCGTGCTTGTAGACGCGGTACATGGGGAAGTCGGTGCGCAGGTCGAAGTCAGGGTGCTGGATGCATGCTGCGGGGCGGACGGTGTGCGGGTTGCCGGGGGAGGTGATGCCCAGCAGGGGACAGGAGACGGGGTTGCGGAGACAGAGGTCGTGGAAGTGGCTGGCGTGTTTGGAGGGGAGGATGAGCAGGTTGGCTTGGAGGTAGCCTGGGGCGAGCCCGGAGGTGTTGGTTACCAGGTTGTAGCGGCTTTGGAGGCGGGCTTCATGGGCTGGGGAGGTGGATTGTGAGGCTATTAGAGCTGTGATGTTGCTTGTCTCGGGAGACGTTGGTTCTACCGGGGGATTCTGCGCTGTTACCGTCATGGTGGATCCTTGTGCTATTCAGATGTCGATGATAGTTCTAGCACAAGTCAGTCAGGGTGATAAAGAACTCCACGATCAACCTAAAAGGTCAGACCATCAGCATCTTCCGCGTGGTAGCCCACCAAGCGAAAGCTTCCCCGTACGTCGGAGCCCACATCCCGACGTCTGGGGGTTCCTGTCGGAGGCGAATCCTCTCCGCACCAGAACCAGACAGTCTGATAGCGAGGTATGGGGACAAGCAGCCCACAACAGCCGATCCAGATAGCGCAGCGGCGTGCTCAATGGCTGATACCGGGGGTGGCTGCCGGTCTCCACCGCTTATCAGACTCCATCGGCCCGACGATGGAGGTGCATCGGCGGAGACCCTCCGACGGGCAGGGAGTGATTGGCAGAGGGCAGTTTTCATTACTCACAGAATAGATGCCCCGGGCGATAGGAGGGAAATCCCAGGGAATCACGTATGGGGATGATAGATTGCCCCGGTTATCGCAAAGTCAGATAGCGTGGGTGGTTCGTTAGGGTTTCTGACCCCGGATTAGCTAGTTGCATAATAGACGGTGGTTTCCTATACTCCTAATCCATTTCTACAGTGCAACAAACATCAACTGTCTCTAAAACCGTAAACCGAATTGCTTCGCCTCATGTCGACCGACAAGAACGATATCCCCCTCGAAGATGCCAAAACCGACATTCGCAAGTCCATAGACGACGCCAGCGTGCGTGCTGTCGAGGACATCGTGCTGGACCCGAAGAAAGAGGCCAAACTGCTTGTCAAGCTGGATGCGGCCTTTGTTCCGATCATCATGTTGACCTACCTGACCTGTTTCTTGGATCGGACAAACATTGGTAAGATTCTGATGATCAATTCTTTACGACTCCGTCTGACGGGGTCCAGGAAATGTCAAGGTGGCCGGCATGCCCGAGGACATCGGCGCCTCAGAGACGCAATTCTCGACCGCCGTGTCGATCTTCTACGTGACCTACGTGCTGCTGGAGTCGCCCTGGGCGGTGCTGATGAAGAAGCTCACCCCGCGAAACATCCTCACAGGCCTCTGCATCGTCTGGTCGGTGGCCACCATCTTCACCGGGTTCATCGAGAACGTGGCGGCCCTGTATGCCGTGCGATTGATTTTAGGGGCCTGCGAGGCCGGCCTCTTCCCCTGTCTCAACCTGTACCTGACCATGGTGTATCGGCGTGAGGAGCAGGCGAAGCGGGTGTCGTATCTGATGAGCTGCGCCGCGATTTCCGGAGCGGTCGGGGGGCTGCTGGCGTACGGGTTGCTGCATATGGACGGAATCGGGGGGAAGGCTGGATGGAGGTACCTCACCTATCATTTATCTGGCACTGCATAACTCATACTAACTGCGATAGATGGGTCTACATCATCGAAGGCCTCCTCAGCGTCCTCTGCGCCATTCTCATCTGGTTCGGCCTCCCCAACGACCCAGCCAACGCCTACTTCCTCAACGACGAGGAGAAGTGGATGATGCGCGTGCGCAACGAGCAGCGCCGCAAGTACATGGGCAGCGAGGAGTTCAGCTGGGAGGAGCTGCGGCTGGCGATCCGCGATCCCAAGCTGATGTTCAGCGCGGCTGTGCAGTTCTGCCAGGACATTCTGCTGTACGGGTTCAGCACGTTCCTGCCGACCATCCTGAAGAGTCTGGGGTACAACTCGCTGATGAGCAATGTGTTGACCGTGCCGGTGTACATCTGGGCCGCGGCCGTGTTTATTGTCTTTGCGTTTTTGGCGGATCGGTACTCCAAGTTTGCTGCGGTATGTTCTGTCTTACAGATGGGATACTGCGCACTGCGATACTGACGACTGCAGTACATCATCGGCACCAACGTCTTCGGAATCATAGGCTACATCCTCCTCCTCGCGGTCCCCGACGACAGAGTCAAATACTTCGGCACCTACCTCTGCGGCGTGGCGACCTACACCGGCGTCGGGCTGAACATCGCCTGGCTGAACGTGAACGTGGCGCCGCACTACCGGCGCGCGATGGAGATCGGCCTGCAGCAGACGATCGGCAACTGCGCCGGTATCGTCGCCGGGCAGATCTACCGCCAGTCGCCGTACGTCCTGGGGAACGCGTTCTCCATGGGCGCGCTGGTCGTGGCGCAGGGCGTGGTCGCCGTGCATGCGTGGTACTTGCGCCGCGAGAACGCGGAGAAGGAGAGGATCGCCGAGGGCAAGGAGGATACGCGACGAGTGCGGACGGGTGACGCCGAGATTGATTTCAAGTATCACTTTTAGGTTTGGGTATTGTTGTTCCGAGGGGTGATGGTTGGTTCGGGTTGTGGATGACGCTATGACTTGGGGTATATATATCGGATTGTGGCCGCCACTACAATAATACAACACTCTTTGTGCACCTCTGTTAATCTCACTCTCAATCTCATAATATACCTCTTGAGCACGAACATGGGCCTCTGCTTCAGCCTTCCCGGTCGACGTCGTATGGGCCCCCGCATGGGAATGGGCGGTATGGGAATGGGCCCTCCACCTCGGCCTCATCGGTACAGCGGCGGCGGATATGGCATGGGGCCGATGGGTGGTTACGGACATGGAAGACACCACGGCGGTATGGGAATGGGTATGGGCGGAGGACATGGCGGAGGGAGATACGGAGGAGGGTACGGAGGACGCGGAGGAGGATATGGAGGGGGCTATGGACGGCGGTGGTAGCCGGTAGGACCTCTCTGGGATGGTTATATTCTTGCTAATATCGCAGCAGATCTCGAATGCGTGCACATAAACCTCTGACGGTGTATGAAAGGAAACATGCATCCTGGCATAAATCATAATCATCAATCATTCCTCATTATCTTGCATACAGGCCATGATCACTTCCCCTCGCCGCTGATTTCCTCACGCAGCCGCGACTCCGTATTCATCGCATACATCTTAATACACTCACTGAGATTCCTCCCAGCATCCCACTCATCCGGCAGCACTCCCTCCCCCTCAGTCTCCCGATTCGCAACCTCATGCGCCCTCTTCAACCACTCATCCCACGCCCTCGTATCGGGCGCGACCTGGCCTGTCCGCACCCACCTCGTAGCCTTCGTCTGCTTGATCGCCTGCCACAGCGCATCGGTAAAGCTCCGCTTCGCCGAGGGACTCACCAGGATCTCCTCGGTAATCTCCAGCGCCGAGTAATCCCAGTGCAGGCGCTCCGGCATAGCCGCGACAACCCAATACGCGACATTCAGTAACAGATACGACGCGCCAAACGCCAGTTGCAGCTCGAGCTGCGAATTCCCGAGTGCCACAACGCCAAACATCAGCATCAGCGTGCCCAGCAGCGAAAGCGAGCGGTACGCCAACGAACCCAAGAGGTAGTCACAGCGCTCGGGGGCGAAGAACAGCGCGCGGGCGACGTCCTCGTCGCACTTGACGATGAGGAACGACCCGTTCGGGTAGCACACGATGACGTCGGAGGACGGGATGTCGCGGTTCGCGATGCGCTTGCCCAGCTTCAGCTCCCATTTGCACGCGATCCCGATGACGGTCGACAGAACCGACAGCAGCACGGTGGCGACCAGCGCCCAGCCGTCGTTGTAGTGGATGGAGAGGCCCAGGAGGGCGAAGGAGATGGCGCAGCCAACGACCGAGAGGAGCGAGAGGAGGCCGAACGTCCTGGCCGTGACCAGGGGGCCATTTTTTCTGCCCGGCTTGATGCGGACTTCGACGCGGCGCACGGTGTAGTCGCCTTTGCTGGCGTTGAGTTTCTCCCCGGGCAGAATGATGTGCGGGATGCGGTAGACATGGCGGCAGAGGTTGCCGGAGCTGACGCCGATGACGACGCCGGGCACGGACTCGAGACGCAGCGGGCGCGCGGGCCGGATGAAGGCCTGCGGCGCGGGCAGCAGGCGCGGGAGGAAGATGAAATACGAGAGCGTGGAGACCTGGTAGTTCACGGCAACGGAGGCTTCGCCGAGGATGGCGAGGAAGCCGACGATGTCGAGGTGGAAGTCGCGGAAGGTGTTGAAGATCATGGTCGATGGGTTGGAGGCATGTTGGAGGTATGGTGAGAGAAGAGTCAGGAGGATGAGGATGTTGTTGTCTGAGGATGTTTTCTTTTTTTCTGGGGCGCTTTGGGTGACCGTGCTGGTTTGCCCAGCCTCCTCATGTTGAGCTGGCGCTTAGCCTATGTACTAGCGCCGGACGGCTGATCCTACAGATGTAGACGGTGGAGTATACAACTAGACATCCACCATATACTATACCCCACAGTATACAGCACCAAAGAATCGGAAGGATAGAAGGATGCTCATTACCATGGACCTAGATAGTTATGGTTTAGTCCTTGGCGTTTAATAACCTTGTCAATAATATATCTGCCTTTGATCAGTGTCAAGGGGGCTGAACCTGATCAGGGAGAATGGCTCTGACTATCAACTCGCTATTGTGCTCGTGGAAATGGGTTGCATTGGGCTTCATTCCTTGGAGTAGTGTCCAAGAAATTGAAGTAAATCTTTCACGTCGTCTTTCTCACCATCGAGTGGAATTGAAGGGCCCGGTCTTTCGTAGAACGGAGCTTCGAAATATTCAGGGAAGAAGCCTGCATACTCCCAATCGAGAATCGCTCGGATCCTGAGCGTGTCGGGGTCAACAATGACGTTTGGCTGAGATAGATCATTGTGACAGAATACGTATTCTGCACTTTCAGATGATCGCACTGGCCAGCGGTCATTGACCGTGCTCTTCATGGCTCGGTAGGGAGGGATCACAATCCCCGACGGTCCGCCGGTGGTTTTCGACCTGATGTTATGAAGGGTGGCCAGGTGCTGACGCAGCTCGTCACGGACAATTTTCTTCTGATCCTCGGACAGCTGAGACATGGCTGTACCTCGAATATATTCCGTAATCAGATAGAACGAATCGTCCACTTCGAATGCACCGTACACAGTTGGAACCGGGATGTTGGTCGTGCGCCGAATGAACCTTAGCGACTCTGCCTCATTTTCAAGCCTCTCCTTCCCTAGGCGAGGGACGTGAACAAGACCTCTTTGCGAGGTCCGAAATTCGCTAGGTCTCAGACTCCTCTTGATGAAGAGCCGATCGCAATGATAATATCCTCGCTCGAATGTCAAGGCAATGCATCCATCAGGCGAAGGAGAACGATCATGCAAAATCCCGGTGTTTGCTTGGGTTCTTTCCCGCTTGTCATCACCGGTACTGCCGTTATCAATAGTCGTCATTGCGCTTCAGATCCTCCCGACAATCTTAGTCAATCCGTTGATACTGTTAATGGAGGTGTCAACATACCGAAGAGAACTGGACGAAATCTGACGGTCGATTTGTAGAAGCCGATATTGCAGAAAGACACGATCTCTGCATGGAGTAAACAAAGGAGATGAGCATGGTCTATAGGTAGTGGCAGGGGTTAAATACACTGTACGGCACTCACCAACCTGTAGCGGTGTGGGCCTAGAGGAAGCGGACAAAGCCCCGCAGATTTCCAGGGCAGCCAAATAGCGCCCCCCGGGCCCCGGAGGGCACCATCCCCGGAAGGAAAAGGCCGGAGCGGATACTACGGCGCCCCCATCCGAGCCGGTTCCTCTGCCCTAACTATAGTACGTAGTTAAACTCTTTCACCGATCAGGTTAGCGTGTTCAGTTCTATGTACCCAGTCTACTAGTAACCAAAAAGCGGCAAGGTCGGAGCATTAAAACGGAAGGGAAGGCCAAGAACTGGCAGTCTTACGCGCGCTTTGTTGTCTCTCTTTGTGTCACATCCGATAATCGGAGCATCAGGCAATCAGATAAGATCAGCCACATAAGCAGACACATTGTAGGCAGAATCGTGGATGTAAGGGGTCACCCATTGTCCCTGGTGCGTTATCCTCTATCACAAACACTCCATGGTCATTTCACACCACCATGCTATCCAACATCGTCCTAGGCGTCAAGCTCCTCGGAGCGCTGTTCTCCCTCCTCCCCAAAAAACTACACCTCCTCCTCGCCCAGCGCATCCACCGTCTCACCTACCGCGCAGTCGAGAATCCTCGCAACGTCGTCGTGATCGGCGCCCCTTTCGCCGGATACCACGCCGCACGATGTCTGGCGAACTCACTGCCTACAGGCTACCGGGTGGTCATCATCGAGAAACACAGCCATTTCCGGCTGACATGGGTGTTGCCGCGGTTCAGCGTCGTCCCAGGGCACGCGCACAAGGCCTTTATTCCCTACGGGCCGTATCTGGATTCGGCGCCGGCTGGCTCTTACCAGTGGATCCAGGGTACGGTGCAGACGATTATCCCAGAAAAAGACGGCAGTGGAACGGTGGAGCTGGCGTCCGGAGAATCAGTACACTACGAATACTTGGTGATTGCGACGGGGGCATCGGCTGGTCTGCCCTCCCGTGTGCCGGCGTTAGACAAGCAAGAGGGCATGGAGATGCTGCGGGTTGAGCAGGAGACACTCCCGGGACGCGACGGATGTGGTTATTGTGGGGGGAGGGTCTGTCGGTGTTGAGCTGGCCGCTGATGCAAAGGGGCGGTATCCGGAGAAGAACGTTACGCTAGTGCATTCGCGGGATCGCCTGTTGAATGCACGGTTTGGGCGGAAGCTCGGAGAGGCTGCGTTGAAGGAGTTGACGGGCCTCGGGGTGAAGGTGCGACTTGGGGAGAGGGTCGTGAAAGAGGGTGACCAAGCTGTGGAGTTGCGGTCGGGCGAGTCTATTCCCTGTGATTACTTGGTATGGTTCTCCACACTCGTCTCGGATACTGGTTAATGGATGTCAGGTCAACTGTGTCGGACAAAGACCGAACTCCGGCTTGATTGAAGCCTTGTCTGCAGAGTCGGTTTCCGAGTCAGGACACATCAAGGTGCAGCCGACGCTGCAGATTGCAGGACCGCTCTTCACCCGAACCTACGCAGCAGGAGATGTGATCGAGTCGGATGGCGTGAAGAACGCACGCGGAGCTATCGAACAGGCTGAGGTGGTCGCTGAGAACATTGTGCGCGCGGTTAATTCGCGAAAGCAGATTGAATATCACGTACGCTGGTGGGAGGGCATGACCCGATTGTCGGTGGGACTGGTACGTCAACAACCCCGAATGAAGAACCTGCTGACCAGAGTAGAATAAAGTAGTGGTCTGGATGAGCGATGGGTCAACCGAGACGACCATGGCGATGAAGAGCCCTCGCGAAGACATGGAGAGCGCAGAAGTGTGGAAGTATTTTGGACTGAAGCCGTTTGAGGAGAAGAGCTATCTCTAGACTCATGCATCTGTTATTACTTCCTGTCGGGCCTATTCTGTTGCCAACGGGGGTTAGATATTGGTCATATACTCGGGTCGTGTCTTTTGCTTCTCCAGGGTAGAAATTAGACCTTTTCTTGTGGTGCGAGGCGATCGGCGCGCAACATCGCAATGGCAGTCTGGAAATGGCAAGAAGGCGACATTCATTGCCATTGATCGTGATTTCAGCCAGGAAGAGCTTGCTGGTGCAAAGGTGTTGCAGACCTGGTTGAGGGGCGGACGGTGCATGAATGCAGCGAGTAGAAGCAACAGAGCTCATGTACAGATCAACCGTACTCGACTATTCTGCATAGTTCAACTAGACAGATTGACGGGTCTAGAGCGAGATCCCGATGAACGAACAGACGGCGCCGATCAGTGATATAGATCACATCCGAAGCAATAGTGCTCCGCATTCCTCCCCCTTACATTCCAGTCGCGTGTCAACAAACAGCAGCATATATGGCAAGCAGAATACGGAGAATTCATCTGCAGACTTTGGACAACTCCGACGTGCTGCAAGATGAAGATTCCACAGCTGCAACAGCTACAGCTCCCCTCGTTGGGATTTCCCAGACATAATGAATTTGATGTGAACGGAAAGGTAGGCCGCCACACTCGTCTAAGATCTCATGCTGACTGGTCCAGCTGGTGGTGGTCGCAGGCGGATCCAAAGGTCTTGGAAAAGCGATGGCACTGGAGCTGGCTGCAAGAGGTGAGCAACCATATCATTTATCACCGACCTCGTGCAGGTGGCTGATAAAGACCCGCAGGTGCCAATCTCCTGCTCCTCGCGCGATCGATAGCCACCTTGCGTCTTGCCCGGCAGGAGATCCAGGGCGCATGCACGTCGTCCAAGCAGATCGTGGACGCCATTTCGGTGGACCTGACGCAGCCCGAGGAGGTACCACCGCCTATCCTGCCAGAATGCACCATACTGACGGACAGATCACGCGCGTGTTGAGCCACTACCATCCCCCTGATATCCTCATCTGCACAGCAGGCGGCATCCCGCAGCAGAGGGGCTTCCTCGCCGACATTTCCCCCGAGTCCATCACCACCTGCATGGAACGGAACTACTACACGACCGTGTTCATCGTGCAATGCTGTCTGCGCCTCTGGCAGCGCGTCCCGAACACCCCCTCCCCCCGACACATCGTTCTGACCTCATCGAGCGCTGCGTTTCTCGGTCTCCCCGGATATGATGCGTACACGCCGGCCAAAGTTGCCATCCGCGCGCTGGCGGATACCCTGCGCCAGGAGGTGTTGCTATACGGGGAGGATGCGATCCGGGTGCACTGCGCATTCCCGGGGCCATTCGCCTCCGACAGTTATCTGGACATGCACGAGCATAAGCCGCAGCTGTTGGGAATGCTGGAGGGAACGCCACGGTCGCGCGAGGCGTTGGAGCGCAGGGTGCCGTCGTCGCGGACGGTGGCGCAGAGGCTCATTGGAGGGCTCGAAAAGGGGAAGGTGTATATCACGGTGGATTTTCGAACGGAGTTGCTGCTCAATAACATGCGAGGACCGAGTCCGCGGTTTCGTTGGTGGGCGCCGTGGGAGTTCGTGTTGGGTATTGTGGGTGCGATGGTATACTGGTGGGTTCGGTGGAAAGCGGATAGAACGACGCTGCAGTACGGGCAGACGCACCGACGGCGGGACAGTCGGGTGTAGATATGTAATAGTATGCGTTATTCTGTATAGTTGTTGGGATGTCGAGACTGAAGTAGTGTTGTGTAGAAAGATATCCGGAAAGCCGAGGCAATTTGTCAGCAGCGCGTTTCTCCTCATTGCGCTTCGGATCACTTCCGATCTATAAATCGCCAACATGTCTCCCCAGACACCTCTCCTCGCACACCTCTCTCTCCCATCGCCTTCTCTATCATGACCTTCTCCTCCCCCTCGGTGGCTCGCGCCCCGCACACCCCCTACTTCACCCCGGCCAACAATGCCGGCGCAGCGGTCAACCCCAACGACCCGTCGACGCCGACGCTCTTCCGGCCGCTGCGCATCCGCGACCTAACACTCAAGAACCGCATTATGGTCGCCCCGATGTGCATGTACTCGGCCGAATCGGATCCAGCCTCTCCCTTCGTGGGCGCCCTGACGCCCTATCACCTCGCGCACCTGGGGCATCTCGCACTGAAGGGCACGGGGCTGATCTTCATCGAGGCCACCGCCGTCCAACCCAACGGCCGCATCTCGCCCAACGACTCGGGGTTGTGGCAGGCTGGTACCGACTCGGAGCAGTTCAAGGGTCTGCAGCGGGTGTGCGAGTTCGTGCACGCGCAGGGCGGCGCGATCGGTATCCAGCTGGCACACGCTGGACGCAAGGCCAGCACCGTGGCGCCGTGGCTCGCCGGCGCAGATGGACAGCGCAAGCCCAGCATCAAGGCGACTGCGGCGGTGGGCGGATGGCCGGACGACGTGGTCGGGCCGAGCGGCGGTGTTGAGCACATGTGGGACCCGACGGGCGACAGGTTCTGGGTCCCGCGGGCGCTGTCAACAGCGGAGGTGAAGGAGGTGGTGCGGGCGTTTGCCCGAAGCGCCGAGCTTGCAGTGCAGGCTGGAGTGGACGTGATTGAGATCCACGGGGCGCACGGCTACCTCATCAACGAGTTTATGAGTCCGGTCACGAACAAGCGGACGGACGAGTACGGGGGCAGCTTTGAGAACCGCACGCGCATTGTGCGCGAGATCGCGGAGGCGATTCGGGCTGTCATCCCACGCGGCATGCCCCTGTTTCTGCGGATCAGCGCAACGGAGTGGCTGGAGGGGACGGCGGTTGCGGCGGAGTCGGGAACGTGGGATATGGACAGCTCGCACCGGCTGGTGAAGCTGCTGTCCGGATGGGGCATTGATCTGGTGGATGTGAGCTCGGGGGCGAACCATCGCGAGCAGAAGATCCAGCCGCATACGAACTATCAGATTGATTTGGCGGGCCAGCTGCGCAAGACGATTCGCAGTGCGGGGCTGCCGCTGCTGGTTGGGACCGTGGGTCTGATCACAGAGGCAGACCAGGCGGAGGAGATCATCCACGGGGCTGATGAGGCGCAGACGGCGGAAGCGATGCTGTCTGGGAGCGAGCCCAAGGGCGATGCTGTGCTGCTGGGGCGGCAGTTCCTGCGCGAGCCGGAGTGGGTGTTTACGACAGCGAAGAAACTGGGGGTGAAGGTGACGGTGCCGAACCAGTTTGGGCGGGCTATTCAATTGTAACCTGGCTATAAGTAGTAGACATAGATTGCGAGAATGACATACGATATACCGTACAGATGTACGTATACTGACTCGATGTCCTAGAATTAATGTAACTTTATCTGGTTCGATAAGTAATCAGGAATTTATGGAAGGTAACGATCGGTTTTATAGCCTGAAGCAGGCTACTTTGGCCTATACTCGTATGTGCATGGGTACAAGCACACGAAAAAGGTCAGGAGATCAAGACTCTCGGGTAGTGTCGACAGACTGCAGAATCAGGTTCCGTTAGGCGTTGTGGTTGACCAAATGTGGGCTGCAGCGGTAGGTACCTAGGTAGGTCTCGGAGCCGAGAGATACTGGGACCAGACACCCACCCCCTTCGCCTTCGCTTGCAAAGTCAACGGCTGGACCATGGTTTGGTTACCCCTCAGCACTCTACGAACCAGTTGCTTCCCCGTGCAAAGGAGGTTCTCTGGCGGGGATAAACTCCAAAGCTTCCATGGTAGCTTGCCAAACAGGTCCCAAAGCTCAAGAAGCATGTTTGTAATATTCCTAGGAGAAGAGATTGAGAGATTGACCACCTCTTGTTTCAGAAATGACCATTCTGCTAATACTCTGACCTACTTTTTCAATCCGCAATACTCGTCTCCTCCCGCCGACTCAGCAAATGTCGCCGCCAAGGGACCCAGAAATCGCCCTCACAGAAGGCGCTGGCTCCCCAGTACTCACCGGTGAATTAAACGGCATCGGGAGTAGTTTCCGAGAAAGAGGCACTCTCAAACAGGGTCTTCACCAAAGACATATTCAAATGATTGCTCTGGCCGGCACAATCGGTACGGGCCTCTTTCTCAACTCCGGGCAAGCACTCGCAACAGGGGGCCCTCTAGGGGCCCTCCTCGGATACACTATTGTTGGGCTTGCGGTTTCCAATGTTGTCCTCGTCGTTGGAGAGATGGGTGCTCTAGTGCCTCTGAGCGGAGGTCTTGTTCGGTATTCGGAATTCTTCTTCGACCCGGCTATGTCCTTCGCTAACGGATGGAACCAAGTATGCTCATATTTGGTGACCATCCCGGCTGAGATTGTGGCGGCTTCGATCTTAGTTGAATTCTGGGTCACTGTTAACAGCGCGATATGGATTACAGTTTTCAGCCTTCTGATACTCGTCACAGCGCTGCTATTCATCCGGATCTACGGAGAGCTCGAGTTTGTATTTGCAATCATGAAGATCTTACTGATCATTGGCGTCAATCTATTGGCGCTTGTGATTACCTGCGGGGGTGGACCTAGTGGCCAGTCGATTGGATTCAGGTATTGGAAATCGCCAGGACCTTTTGTTCAGTATCTCGGCATCGAGGGCGCTTTCGGGCGCTTTCTCGGTTTCTGGTCGACTCTCAATAATGCAGTGTTTGCATACGCCGGAGCTCAGAACATCACCCTGGCCGGTGCTGAAACCAGGTCCCCGAGACACGCCATTCCGAGCGCAACAAAGCGCATCTTATTCCGCATTCTTATCTTCTATGTCCTGTCGATCTTCATGATCGGATTAGTGGTCCCTTCTAACGACCCCAGCCTTCTTCATTTAACCGGCACAGCTTCTCAGTCACCGTTCGTTATCGCTGCTCGGCGAGCAGAGATAAACAGTGTCCCCTCGATTATCAATGCCGCTATCATCACTTCAGCCTGGTCTGCTGGAAATTCATTTATTCTTTTCGGCTCCCGGATCCTATTTGGCATGGCGATGCATGGACATGCTCCCGCGGTATTCCAGCGAGTCAACCGCTTCAGTGTCCCCTATGTGGCCATCCTGTTTCTTGGAGCCTTTATGTGTTTGGGCTATATGGCCCTTAATAAGTCAGCAATCACTGTCTTCGGATGGCTCCAGGCCGTTGTGGCAGTCTCTACGTTAGTGGACTGGGGTATCGTCTGCATAGTATACCTCCGATTATACTACGGGTCTAAAAGACAGGGCATCGACCGGCATGGAGAGTTCCCATGGGCAGCCCCTTTTCAACCTTACTCCACCTGGGCCTCTCTTGCTCTATTCCTGCTTTTGCTTTTCACTGGAGGGTTTAGCACTTTTATCCATGGCCACTGGGACACTGAGGTATTTCTTTCATCATACATCAACATTCCGATTGTCTTGGCACTATACCTCGGATACAAATACTGGAAAAAAACACATATCCTCGCTTTGAAGGATATCCCCATCGTGGGCTTGATCCAGTTCTATCTTCTTCAAGATCTGGAGGCTGCATCGCCACGGAAAAGGGGCCTTGCGAGACTTAATATTCTCTGGTCCTAGGGTACCTGGCTGCGTCTTCTTTCTGCAAGACAGGCCATGGACAATAGCGCTGTGAATGGAAGATCCTTTACGCTAGCTGAACCAGTCTTATATACATGGAGGGCTTGTGCCAGTTTAGCCACTCTGTTCTGAACACGATAAACCCCGGACAATTTGCCCTCTATATTAATTAGAGGCTTTCGGTAGGGACATGCAGGACCGGGGCCTCGGCCGATTGACCGCCAGTTGACGTTGGCTCTAGATGATGGAATATGTCCTGCCGTTGGAAATCCTCCAGAGTCGACGGGTGCGCATAGATCACAGTAAGTAGACTGTTGAGCACTGTGAACTCCATTTTCAATTTCACGCTGTAGACCACCGTCTTGTAGGTGGTTTGGACGTCGAAGTTGTCGGTATATTCCGTGGCAAGGAGGGATGCATCCAATAGGACTGCGATGGTGTTGACGATAACGAGGTTGCCAATGACTCTCTTGCCGGCGCGCCCCTTCATGGCCAGCACCGGTCTCAGGCCAGTCATTGTTTCCCAGATGTAGAGACCACTGATGATGATCTCTTGGGCGGAGAACCCAGCCAGCTGGATCCGCTCGTAGACATTAAATGGGGCGACGAAGCTGTTTACGCCCGCATTACTGCCGAGAAACAGTATCGTGACGGGTACATGCAGTATGAAGAAATTTAATACAATCATGTATAGCACCCAACGACGACGACGAGCCCCTGTCGTCACCAGATGTAGTCTTGAATACAGCACCACGGACTGGCCCGTCACCATCGCATACCAGCCAATGCATATCAAGACAGACATTGGAAAATTCGGGGCCAGGGCGAAAAAGCGCAGGAGAACCGCGATGGCGTGGAGTAAGATGCCCCAAGTCGCGACCAGCATGCTCCAGAAGTAGAGCCCGCGACGACATCGGAAGGTGGTGAAGATCGAAATGGTGATCTCGAGTACATTGTAACATGATATTGCGAAGAATGCGGCTATCAACATGGCCATCGCTCTGGAGACCTGGATAGGTCCGGTTTCGCCTGCCATGTTGTAAGGCTGCCGGCCAAATGTTTCATGAAATGTTGCCACAAGAGGTGGTTGATTTGGCTAACAGTCAGATCGACTGCGCGACCGTCGATGAGGCAACCTATGCATGCTCTTCTGCTTCCAGATATTGTATGTGTCAAAATGAGATAGGGGTCGGCTTCTCAGGGAGGAACTGGCCGTATTAGAGTTTTCGGGGTTTATTATCGGGGAACGATCCCCAGCTATAAGCTGCTGTTCTATGGTGTATCAATACGTCATCAAATCGAGCCGAAACTTAAGGTTGCCAAGCCTCTGAACAGGTCGGGCCGCCACCATTCTCTGCTCTGGAAAAGGGGTTACCGTAGGATCTTCGTTTCTAGTATAAACATACCTAACTTATCAAACACCCTGAGATGGCAATGTTTAAGAGGTTTGTGCCTTTGTGCCGGCGTGTTTTTGTATTGACTGTAACATGTGCTTATATGTCCCCACAACTCAACTATTCCGTGCCTTATTTCGAGCAATATGTTATCTTAGTAGCCATGACAATGGCGTATATCAGGCATCTGAGGGCCCCTCCCCAGCCGCAATACTGGTCGACTCAATCGTCTGCGCAGCAGTTATGTATACATTGTATCTGAGCGGTATTTTCGAAGGGGATGGCGGCCGGGTGCTGATGGAGGGAGTAGGAGAGAAGTTAGTCGCTCAATGCTTGTAAGGAGGGTATTCTGGGTGGATTAGGGGAGGCGGATGCGGGGTAAAGTAGCCCATCACTTCTGCGACTGGGTACTATTAAGGGCCGTGCTCTAGCTAGGTCTAAGCCTGTTAGGAGACATTAAGGTGGAACGCTACTAGTAGGACTTTAAGAAAGATATATAGTTCGTTACGTAAAGGAGAAGATGGGGGCCGTTAACAAGAGCTATGGTAGGAGATATTAGCAAGCAACCTTGCTGCAATAAATTGATCTGAAACAGTGTATAGTATAAGACTATCGGCCTGTTCGTAGTTCTACTTTTGTAGCTTGAGAAGTTCCTCGTAGGTTATAGTTCCGGCCCCATCTTGGTCTGGGCATGGTTATGGTACATTCAACGCATCACTTATCTATCTTCACAGCCTTCCCACTTCTTTCCTCCGACCGACCACACACACACACACACACACACACACACAAACATACCATTTCCTCCACTCCTCTTGCTCTCTCTGCCTACGTACCCCAAGGCAGCCAACGGAGCTTCTTTCGATCACGCTTTCCAATTGAATGGTTATCTCCTGCGGTGGTATGTCTCAGCTTAGTGTCTATGTATCACGAATCAAGATGGTGGACAACTCATACCGGCAAAATGATTCTTTTGGTACGCGGGCCATTCATCCTCAATATTCCTCTTCCATGTCGCACGCATCAAGTCCCTGATTCCTGAATTCTTCTCGACCCCTTTAAGACCTTGTCCCTCGATGAGACGGGCAGCGGTTTTTACCCGCCTTTCCTCATCCGGCCCAAAAGACTTCAGGCTGTCGAAGTTTCCATTCAGATAAGCCATGATCGCAGGGCCATATTCGAGACGGGGATCTTCTCTGATGCGCTCGGGCGCGGAGTGGTTCTGTGGCTGAGATGCATGCTGGGAAGGCGTGCGCGTGTTCTCGTGGTCCCGAATTCCACGGCTGTGACACGTGCGTGACATAGGTCAGGGGCCAGGGCAGGTTTAAATGATATTGGGGAGAACCGTGTAAAGGATGCTGATGCAAATTGCATTCTGGGGGTGTTGGTCCATTAAATAGGCCTGACTGACGGTGCCTATGTCCCGTCTCTGGATACTTATCCATGAAAACCATCACAGGCAGCACAAAAACCTTAGCGACTCCGAAGGTGACACATCGAAACACACTCCAGCTATACGTTGAGGCGGCAGAAACGTATATTGTTTGCTTTTTCCGTCTCGCCACGAGCATTCCCCTGCTTTGTTTTCGGTGGAGCATCCACTCTTCTGACCCTTTTTGTCCATCCCAAACAAGGATCTTCGGGTCTGGGTTTGGTAGTCGAAGGGAGCTCTTCTGCACTGCCAATCAATGAGGCGGCTTGATATCTATCATCGAGCCTATCACGTCATCAGAATTGACGGGAAGCTATGTCTCTGGATTGGATTCCGATTTGCTAATATATTTCCTTTCTCTTTTCTTTTTCTTTTCTTTCCGCGGCTCCCGTCTCTCTCTCAACACCCAAAGTGCGCGTACTTTGTACTTTGCTGGCAATTTAGGGGCCGGGGTTTCCTATCACCCTCCTGGAAGGGGCGTCAAGTTGACCGCTATTTCTTCGACATGGATGAATCGGATTCTTTGGGAGGCCTTAAGCAAAAGTGGAGACGCTATGCTACGGAGTCCGTCAATCGTTCTGTCGGTTTTGAAACAACGGAATCCTTTGTCCGTGGTTGATCTTGGCGGAAGACCGGTTCCTGGTGAACCGTGATCGCCACGGGACAGGCCGATTCGTTGGGGGAGCGGAGGCAATCTGCAATACCCTAATTAAACTTTCAGAGGCTGGTTGTTGACGACTGAAGTACTAACTCCGTAACAACCACTTACTCCAGGCTTTACTCAGAGATTCGGGCAATTTGTGTACCTCCGTTGCTTCGAGCGTACCGTCTTGATCAACGGAGAACTCCGTTATGCTAGTATTTCGACACTTTACAACAATGCAAAGCTTCCTCCACGATTGTTATCCTATTACATTAAATTGATGATACCTTTTACGTTGTGTCACATCCTAGGAAAGCATATGGTTCGCAGGTAGCACCCCCTAAGCGTTCTGTCAACGTGGTCATCCTTGCAGGATCAGCGGACATATAGGTGACTCGTGCTACTGTCCAGGATGATCGGGCTACGGCCCCGGATCTAGATGTGGCCCTTGAGGGATCCTGGATCCGAGTAATCTCGCTTACTGCTCGGGTGCCTGTCCGGGCTGGCAGTATTCGGCCGAGGTTCTTAATAAATCTATTGAGAGGAAAGTCTTCCGTCGGAATCCGGAAACATAAAACAAAAGTACTTTTATCGAGCAACCAGGAAAGCCCCTATTTCAGCTCTGCGAAGCTGATCAGTGTCTCCAAGGCGGGAACGAGTCTCGTCCTGTCTGCCACACAAGTTTTGACCACGCCTAGCCGAGCCAAACGAAACACCATCTGCATCGGGCGTTGATCATGTCTTTCAAAATGCGCCCAAAGCCCATCAATCGTGGCTTTCCCCGTGCGGTTCAGTGGGATTTGACCGTCGTAAAACTCCCACGGTCGATCTCCATGCAGCCAGTCCGCCATCTCGATGACTCGTTTCCATGCAGCTCTGTCCCGATTTATCCCCTTCGTATTCATCACCAGAGCAACCAACTCTTCCTTACCGAACAGGTGACTGACCAGGACGAATGAGTCAATGATGGCCTCGAGCTTGTACTTGGTTTCCTCTCCCCGGCTCCGCCGCGCCTCCAGTTGAGCGGCAACTTTTCCTCCCCCGTAAGCTGACAGAACAATCTCATCCATGATGTAGTGAATAACAGTCGGTCGAATCGTAACCCATCCCACAGTGACCGGCGAGAGGCCTTGAGAGTGCACTGAAAAATCCATTTTTTCCAAGACTTTCCGAAACTGCTGCCGGCCATTCAACCCGGTCGCCCGCAGCAGCTGCCAGAGCAAGTCCACTTCTCCAAAGTTTTCAACAAGGTATTCAAGGTCTTCAGATCTGCCATCCATTTTGACCTGCATACACTGCAGCAGGTACAAACCCAGCTGATGGGCTGTCTCGAAAGGGCCATCGAATCTCTGGAGGTCATACAGCTGGTCCAGGAAGCGCTCGCCCAGGTCAATGGCGCCGCTCAGTCCATTGAGGGCCTGTCGTTCCGCATCCCCAGCCACCGCCAGATTCTTATACACCAGGTCATGCTCTACCTCCGCCCAGACATGGCGCATGATCGAGACAACCTGGATCTCGATCTGGCCTGTGTGCCAGTCTTTTCCTGGAGGGCAGTCTTCCGGCTTTAAAGAGACGTGGTAATGATCGGCGCAGTAGCCGGGAAATGGCTCTGGCAGAATGTCCAGTGTATCGTCTTCTTCGTCGGACTCGCCCTTGTGAGTTAAATTTCCGTCATCCTGATATTTGTGATCTTCATCATCTGTCGCGGCGGTATTTTTCCCATTTGCAGGCTCTGGAAATGTTTTCTCCGTTTTGACGGTGAATACCCTGTTGATGATGCGACCGACAGCTCGTCTTTGTCGGGGGAAGTAGAGCCGAATCCGCACACCGGCGAGATCAACAATGTCGTCTCGAATGTCGGCTATACTTTTGTACGGCTGCGGCCTTTCCTTCTGTCGCGCATACAGCTTTTTCTCCAAGCTAGCAGCTTCTTTGATACGGGATTCTGCCGAGCATTGGATGCCACGTTGTTGAAGGGACTTGACGCATATATCCCGGGCCTTTGGTGCGATGGCCTCATAAAAGTGCTGATTTTTTGGCCACTCCTCCAGGAATGCCTTGATCACAGTTGTGTCCATCTCGATAGATCCCATGATCTTCTTTCACGGTCACCAGGTATGGAAGATGCAAAATGAAATATTGTTTGTTGGAGGGGGCGCCGGTGATGAAAACTGATGAAGATGGAAAGACTGACGCTTCTCACCTCCAGATACTTATACGTATACCCAGCCCTCTCTACCTTCCACAACGACGAAGCCCTCCTAGAAGAGCATACAACCGACAAGACCTTTCTCAGTTACCTTTCAAGCCTATCATGTCACCTATCCTACACCGACGGATATATCCTACTGTCGACAACGATACGTGGCTCCCTCCATTTCTTGTCCGGCCATCCTCGAATATCAGCGAAGGGACACGATATCCAGCCCAACGCAAAACGCTTCATCCTATTCGCAAACACCAGGAAGCGGTCAGAAAAATTTTCAATGCCTCCTCCCCCCCCCTTGCGGAGATGAACATGTAGGGAGGGCGACCTCAGAGTATTATTGACGAAAACCGAAACGACTGACGTGGGCAAGGGCCAGTCGTTAGTTGTCTTATGTCAGGCGTTAGTGACATCCGTGGGAACGGTTCATGTGAGTCGTCCATTATTCTCTGCATATGCATGCCTATGCATGTATCTGTGCGGTCCGGCACGCGAGGCTGACGCTAGATTTGAGATCTAGTGGGGAGAAGGGAAACGAGGAGGGGCGGTGAAGATGAAGATGAAGATGGTGATAGCCAATGCTTTTGCTCCAGCTGGCTCCATCATTCGTGGATGGTTCCTATTTGGCCTATAATGCTATTATCTTGGGCGTACCGGTCATTTGGTACAGGCAGTGGTTGGTTCACGGGCTTGGGTTGACAATAGGTAGGGATGCCCAATATCATCCCCCGGCCATTATCTATTCTGCTGAATGGGGATTATGCCAGCGGAGACTATACACATTTCCTAAGTGGGTAGCAAGATGTTGTTCTTTCCGGCAGAGGGGCCTCGAGTGGCATTTTTCTGAAGAGGCTGAAGGCTTGCATAATCTGCTCGTTATCGATAAGGTGTCCATACAGCGTCTATCCTTTGCACAGGTGCTTCCCATGACCCCTAGATCAAGTGTTCCAGCCAACGTGAGTATTCCTTGTCGATGAAGATGGAGGATTCAAGGTGTCAGAATGTATACTTGTCTTCTTTTGCAGGAATCTTTGTATTTTAGACCCACTTGCCGTAGGTGTAGGGTGGAAGAGATGGCATGGATGCCTTACGAGTCCCTTACGAGAGAACTATAGGTAGGGCGGCTTTGCAGTGTTCTTAGCAGTGGCTTACTTCAAGTTGTCGTCTACGATTGGCGGATCGTTTGGTGAAGAATAAATCAATAAAAGGGCAGGAGATGCTTCACTAGTAGTCAGTCCATGCCATAGACTTCCATGGAACCGTCTCAAAACCTTGACCACCTCGTTATGGTCCCCAGCAGAGGCCAACGATGATGCTGTTTCACATTTTTCATCTTGAGCCGTAGTGTCAGCGCCTCTCTCCAGTGAGAACATGCGCTCGTAATCTCCGAATGCCGCGTTCGTAAGCGGCGCTTTCCCCTCTGGGTTCTTACACTCAATATATGTGCCATGATCAGGAAATGCCGTGTATTAGGACATTGTTGACCTCATTTCATTACTCACTGACGCCTGTGCCAGACAGAGAGCAGTACGTACAATCTCCGCCTCGCAAACCTTCCCTGGCCCGTTTATCTAGCACCTCCGGGAGCATGAGTAGACCGACAATCCTGTCTTATTAACCATCCTGACGCCGTTCAGTCCCACCAAGGAGCTGCCTTTAGATCAGATTGAGATCTTGGATAAATGTCATTGAGGACATACTAGTTCTGCTGTTTCCAGTGATGGCAATCACTGATGGATTTCGGCAGGTATACGAAACCTCTCGGCGCCGGCTTAAACCCGTGTTTTTCCTTCATCTCGTTGAGAGTGATTGGATTTCGCAGCTCATACACAGTGACCATCTTGTAAGTAAAGTCATACCCTGCACAATCTGGATGTCTGGTGTTGAATTCCACATTGCCCAGGCCGTCCTCCGACACAGGGGCGTCGCCGTGGTTTCGTGTTCGAACTGGCAGAGTTTCGCAGGCATGAGTGATGCTTGAATGTGGTGCGGTTCGATAAAACCAGATCCTCCTCACCCCAGGACTGAGACGGTATCTTCTGAATTCGTAGTTCTTTGTCCCGTCAATTACTTGGTCCATATAGGGATCTCGCATGGGTAGGATAACATCGCTGTGCAGAAAGCATTCGCCTTGTGGATTCATGGCACTTGGCATCAGAAGTCGTTTACCCACACCCTGCAGGAGAGGTCAAAGGAAGAGGCACTATGAGGGCACCAAAGTAAACAAGAGACGGATGTCGGGGGTCTTGTTCGCAAATAGGGAGGGTAGACAGACTAGTTCTTCGAGGAACCATTCTAACAAACATGAGAATAAGGAGAATTGAATGCATACAGATATCAGTAGGTCTTTGTGAAAGAATCTACATAAGCAGCCACCCAAATCTAAAAAACACTCAACCTCCAGCCAACGCTCACCGCTCTAGATAGGATAAAGAAAACAAATGCACAAGCATAGGCGATCCCGCAAAGCAGTATAACGCCAGTGTAGTCTTCCTGACTTGTAGTGGCCTTCCGGACCTTCAAGAGCTCGCCTGCGATTGGAATGGCAATAAGCGAGCCGATACTGACTAGGAAATACGCTGTCCCATAGCGCTTCCCGAATTCTTCGGTCTTCGAGATTTGCGCAACACAAACCGGAGCGAGACTGATTGCAGTGCCGCTCCAGAACCCGAACAGCACGGCGAAGGCCACCGTGGCTGCCTTATTTGACTGGGATGGAAGCCATAGGGCAAGAATAAGCACCGCACAGATGAAAGTGGTGACGATCATGATATTGAACCGACCAAACCGATCCGCAAAATACCCAGGGACGATGCGACCCAGAATCGATGCGCCATTTAGGATCGAAGAAAGGTTGTATGCAAAGGAATCTCCTAGGCCCTGAGACTGAGCATAGGATGGCAAGTAAGTCAAGGGAAGTAGAAGCGCAAAATCGATGAGCACGATAGCCGCCGTTAACAGTGCGAAGCGTAATTCTTTTAAAGCTCGAACATCCACCGTCCCTTTCTGCATCGGGTTCAAGGGGAGTCTGGTCCTTAGAAGGGCGACACTTAGAGAGCAGAAAATGGCGCTTATAAACCCAATGATTCGGATGGTCCAAGGGAAGCCGAGACGACCGATTAGGTTGGATATCAAGACCGGAAAGACAATACCCCCAATACCACCGGCAGTCGCAGCTACACCAGTAGCCAGCGCACGCCGCCGCAGAAACCAATGCGCTATGCAGGCTATGCTCGGGGTGAACACCATTGAGGATGAAATACCTCCCAGGACACTGAATCCCAACATAAACTGGTAGTATTCTACATGAAGGCCTGCCGTCAGTTTAGGGGGAGTCACCCTGGTCATAAATGCATACCTTTGGCAACACTGAAACTCATCATAGATGCGACCAGTCCAATACTTCCCGGGATAAGTAAAGGCGTAAGACCGTATGCATCGAATAGGGGTCCTTTTAGATATTAGCCAACTGTATGGCCGCTGAGAAGAAATTGCTTGAGATCTTACCGACTTGCACGCTCCCAAAGTAAAGGAAAAACATGTAAAGACTGAATATCCAGCCTATGGAGGCTTTTGAATAGTCTCTCAATTGGTGGTCTGCCAACCAAGCCTCGAACACACCCAGGGTATTCATCAGTCCAAATGATGGCACCATGGCGCACCAAGAGCCAAGGACGACGCTCCATGCACGCCAACCACCGTCTGGGAAAACAAGGTCATTATCCGGCTCCATTTCATTTGAAGACATGTCCAAAACTTTCCATCAGGTGTGACCGTATACCTTTCACTCGAACTGGATCGATTCTCTCTAATTTTGGTTCTAAGGTGTTCTGTTGAGGCTAAACCTTTTTTGGACGCCGACAATGTTAACAGTAGTGGACCCTTAGAAGGTCAAGGAGCATTCATTGCTCTAAAAGACAGTTCTCCTGCAGAAAGCGCTAATAAGTAAGGGACAGCGCTTGAGCCTATTATATATCCGAGATGTAGTATAGGGATGTTATACAGGGCAATATAAGGTGGGGCATGCTGAGATAGAGTACGTTAAACTGCGGCTTTGTCTAGATCGAAAGCTTATGATCCCACTTAACTCATGTACTTAATCCCCGGATAGCCATGTATAATCCTGCATAGCTGTCTGGATGCAGTTCTAGCCATGATGCGGCATCCATCGAGTCCACCTGTCATACTTGACGAACGGAGATATCCGTCTGAACTCGCCCTAACACCGGTAGTCCTCACCCCAAGCAGGTTGCCAAGAGCCCCGTCCGCCTTGACATGCCCTTTCAGGACTATGCTCCTTGGAGCCGTCTTCAGGGGAGGTGGAATGCATCCCGAGAGACGGTGGGATGCCCCGACGATGGTGATTCGCCCGGAATTGGCGGAATTAACGATGAGCCACCTGGCAGATCTGGGCAGTACTCCGTGATAAACGTTAGGACTAGTTTAGACTAGGTGGAGATTCTCCAACTGCCGACATCGAGAAGGCTATATGCGAGTCATGAGCCGAAGTCCAATGACCATAAGGTACGAGCAACCGATTCAGCCACACATCCTCAATAATGCCCAGTCACTCGGTGGACAGTCCCATGTTGGCCAGGCCGAAGTAACCGTTTCGCACGGTTCGATTCCGCGTGCATCCGCCACCCGCCACTCAGTATGAATCGACCTCTTTCAATCGAACCCTGTGCATCAGGGTGTGGGATCTAGCAAAGCAACATCGAGCGAGGAACGAGAAACACGCCAATCCATCATGCAGGACGATACACCTTTTTTGGAAAGAGGGTCCAGCGGCTCTATCCTAAAGACCTCGGTTATGCTACATCCAGGGCAATCCGTGGAGCCTAAAACACTTAGAACCCACATGGCACGATGAACCCCGCGTTTCCCCCACAATTTTTCTAATTGCGGCGTTCTGGTTTGCGGGGCCCAATGTTGGGTGATATCAAAGGGGCTGTTGGGATGGCGGTGGTGCTGCGTCACCATTTACGAGTACCCCCTGGCAGTGTCTAAGCATTGGGCAGAGTATATAAGACTTCTTGGTATCCTTGGCTAAGCTTACTGCTTGAGGTCTGATTCTGATTGTTTATCTGCTTGTCATCGATTCTTACTTATTGAGTTTACCTGCATCCCAGCCTTTAACACTACATCATGTCTACTGGCAGCGACAACAACGAAAAGCACGGTGAGGTCCTGCGGCCGGTCAAAACCGCCGAGAGCGTTCTCGTGCCCATCCCGCGAGAGGCGTTCGAGAAGCTTTATCTGACGCCGAAGCCTCCCTCTGTGGCGGGAGATCTACGGAAGAAGCTGGGCAATCCTACACCCATCTCTCTGATGGGTTTCTTGCTGGCAGCGACTCCGAATGCCTGCATTATAATGGGATGGAGGGGCGCGGGGGGTAATGGAGGTGCTATTCTGTTCGTGTCCCATCATTTCCGTTGTTTGCTTGTACTGACATGTTCTTCGAGGCCGGTATATATCTTCTTCGGCGGGATGGTGCAGATCTTCGGCGCTGTCGGAGAATGGATCATTGGGAATACATTTTCCTCCGCGTTGTTCTTCACATATGGTGAGCTTGCCAGCTGTTCCTAAGTTGGTCTTCCGCTCATTTATCTAGGAACATTCTGGATCGTCCAAGGAACAGGGCTGATGCCCTTCTTCGCTACGGGGCTTCACTATTCCGAAACAGGAAATGCCCTGGAAGGCATGCAGACACCCAGCTTCGCCGCCACAACAGGTATTCCTTCCAGATCACTATTTCTCGTGTCTCTCACTGACTCGCTCAGGCTTCTACTACGTCATGTTGACCGTACTCACCTTCGTATACCTAATCTGCTCCATCCGAACAAACATCTGCCTGTTCGCGGCCCTCTTATTGCTTGTGATTACCTTCGGCTGTACTGCCGGCTCGTTCTTCCAGCTTGCATTGGGCAATGAGGAGCTCGGGGCGCGACTGCAAGTGGTGAGTCAATGCTTTTCCAACGGCGAGGTCCTTGTCTAACGGTATCTTCCTAGGTCGGCGGAGCATTCAACTTCGCTCTGTGTATCCCCATCTGGCATATTTTCATCGCACAGATTCTAGAGGCGGTTGATTTCCCTCTTACCCTCCCCGTTGGTGATTTGAGCACTGTCATCCTGGGCCGCAGTCAAAAGCAGCGTGCGAGAGCTCAGGAGTGATGGACCTAGCCTTGTATATACCGCTATACTGCATAGAAACATTGCTATAGCATGCGAAGATCACCCTCCAAGGGAAGTGTCGTATTGGACAAGAACGGATCGGCAGTGGAAAGCACATGATCATACACATCCTGAGGATGATGCAGAGCCAGTCCAGAGTCGCTTATAAAGTTTCGGTAGGGAACGCTCGGGAAGTAAGGTACTGATTAGTGACTACACCAGGAAGACATGCCACCAGTACAGGGCTGTTTAGAATTGCTTCATTCATCATAATGGTGGATGAATATAGCGAGGCGCACTGGCGGCTACATCGCCAGCGTCATAGTTAATCCAAATCCTATTCACATGTAGACTATCTATTGGCGCGACGGCTGCACAGACGCTTAGGAAAAGCAGGAACCTAGTATTCAGACGCATAAGCCCTATGAATACAGAATAATAGAAATATTGACATATCCAGCAAAGGTAAATACGATCTGACTTTTCGATCAGAGAAATGGTCCCAAGCCCAACCGCAAAATCGTATGCCCATGCGAAGAAACATAAGATCATGGCAATGGCTACTCAGCTAGCATTGTCTATATCCTTCGCCGCAGCCGGCTGTGTGCTCGCCTGCTGAACATAGTCTAACACCCACAATTTCTCGGAGTCTGCATTTGAAAATGGCCAAAAATGATATTGACGCCCCCCCTGCTGCAGAAACCTCTCCCTCTGCTTATCATCCATATCAGAAGTTTCCGTAAGTTCATGCAACATGCGGCTCTGCGCGACCCATGGGATAAGAGACCCCAGCGACCTAGGAATGCGCGGTGCACCGTACGGTCCGCGATACAGCAGGAAAACTGCCGAGAGCGCAAGTACGTCGACGGAGATCAGTGTGATAATGACGATCATACGCGACTTGGATGGTATCAACCCCCATATTGTATACGTGGCAGTCCCATCCACCGGCGTAGCTGCACTGGGATCCAATCGGCGTAAAAACTGATCTCTTCTCAGGGCCAGATAGTTGCTGAAGACCGTTTGGTAGACAGACTGCACGGCTCCAATCCAGGCACTATCATGGGAATCCATAATGTCATGCTTCATTTCGTTGTATACTTGGGCAGTCTTACGCTCCAGAGCGGAGGGCCGGTACAAAGCTTTGTGTCCGTGCGGATGAAGATGCTGGAGGAAGCGACCCAGGCCCTGATTAAAATCTCCAAGTGCCTCGGACGCGTTCTTAAAGAATGGCCCGCTTGTGATGGAGCTACTAGCAACTTGTTCGTAGCGTTGAATCACTCCACGGTGATCGAATTGGACGTGAAAATCCTGAATACTTATTCTCGGCTCACAATGTAATGTCGGTGAGTTGTCCTGATCCAATGGTGCTGAAGCATTTCTAGCCCAGGAGGTGAAGACGAAGAATGTCAATCTTTGACAACGTGGGTCAGCATCATCGGGCCAGATGTAACGAACTGATCCTTTGTCTGTATTTTCTCCGCTGTCGTCTAGCGGCAGTCGTATGTTGCATAGAACGTTGTTCGGACTATCGAATGGAGAATATGTCCAGTTTACCGTTCGGGATTCATAGTCAGTGAATGCATCGACATGTGAAACTACTTGACAGTCGAGATGGGTCTCAATACCGCGCGTGACGGCTGTATAAAGAACATCGGTGGTGTCATCAAGCTCATCAGTAGCCAGCGGCAGGAATGTGAGGTCTGTCGTGCTCCATGGTGCCGACGATTGGTTCATCGCTGAGCTGTAGACTGCCGAGTCGTAGCCTGTAAAGTCAATTCCCGGTCCCTGTCTCAAGAACATCGAGGAATTATATGAGCTGGTAAGGTTAGGTTTGAGGGTGGAATATTTATCAACCTGTGGTTCGTATATACCACCACTGACAATAACAAGAGCCGAATTGAGCAGACAAACAAACGATAGGGCCATCATAGCGGGTGAAAACCGGAAACCTCGTCTCAGGGTCACGACGATTGTCGTTGGGGCACCATAGCTCGAGGTTACCAGCACCTCTGGAGAGACCGTGCCTCTCCGTAGGCGAATCCAAGGCTCTGCAATGCTGAACTGGCGATGAACGGAGTTCATGAAGGAACGTATCATAGTAGAAAGAATGGTGGGTGCATAAATTAAGAAAGTAGACCATATCACAATTTCGGTCGATGTGGACGAGTCTAATTTTTGGGACTGCATGAATTTCAATGCCAGTGCAAATGCAGCGACCGAGCCAATGAGGAAGATGCCTTCAATTGCAAACCACGGAGCCGTCAAAAAGTGCGGCATTGGATCTGACCGTCCTGCGGTGCTCGGAGGAGGACACATCTGTACGTGACGCCCATCTCGCGAGAATATTCCAATCTGTGGGCCTCGAGTCCCGAATCTCCATCCGCACCAGAACCCTTTGGCCCATCGCCGAAGCTCGCGGGTTTTTGCCAGATGGTATCCCGGATGGTTAAGAGCTTGAAGGGTCTTCGGACAGATCAGACGAGCAATGCAGGCGCATTGCGCGACAATCGAGCTAGGATCCTCCAGAAGGATATTGGGACGACGGGGATATATACGGCTCAGAGACAACAGTAAGAGGCAGCCTAAAAAAAGGATGCTCTCGACAACCAGAGCAGCCTGGGGCACCACTGTCAGCGCCAGTGCCGTCCTTACTTGTTGCGCTTCGACATGAGATCTCTGCGCCGCAGGGTCAAAGAATCTGTCGATGGTGGTAACAAACGCAGCGTTCCACAGGTTGGAGACCCTTTCCTGGTACTGCATGAGATGAAGAATGTCTGAATCAGCAACAACAGCCACGCGAGATCGATCGGTCCCTCTGCCAGATTGGGTGGCGGTTTCGCCAGTTCGAAGCCCGCCAAGTACCTGATGACCATCTGTTGGTGTGCGACCCGAGGACATTAGACGCTTGAACCCCTCCTTGCTGAATTCGCTGCCAGTGAGGTCTTTCACGGTCGAGGACATTATCTGAACGTCAGTGATAGTCGAGTCCCATGTGCGCGACACATTAGCGGTTGCCTGTTGATACAGTGGTTCACAAGCGAACACAGTTATGTTGGACTGCAGCGATGTCTCTGGCGTATCCTCGATGTTGAGAATCACGCCAACCAGTGCGAAAGAACAGTTATTGAAGGTAAATACGGATAGGATGGGCGATCCTGCACCGGCATGCAGGGACTCCCAATATCGTGCTTGAAAGCGCCCAGCCAAGGGCGAAACAAAGGTGTCTATCTCCATGCTGACGACACAGCCTGAGGCCACCCCTCCTTCTGGCAGTGTAATGCCGCGCAGATTCCAGGAAAATTCACGGTTGCCTTTTAGATCTAATGTCAGGTCAGGACTAGGAGTAGTTGCGGGCACTTCTCTGGTCAATGTTACATTCGTGCAGATCATACTTGACCAGTAGACAGACTGGTTCAAGGTCAAAGTAGATAGCACATCCCCGTAATCCAAAGGATTTGATAACGGGCCAATGGCATATCTAGAAGAGCGATGCGGCTCGAAAGCAGTATCCGGGAGTCCCGTCCCCATGTTCCCGTATGCGGTTGCAGCCGAAAACCACCGTTCCTGAGTGTCCCGATCGACCAGGTACGGCCAGGTGTCCACTGTTCTCGTTTCAACCAGAGTAATGCGGTCAAGTAGAAAGAGCCCAGAGGATAGAGAAGGGACAAGAATACGCATGAGAAGAGACATGAACGAGACACATAGCACGATCCAGTGCCGGTTCCGAGCGGCGCGAATGACGGCAAGAAACGTATTATCAAGGTGATAAGTGACAAAGAGAACAGCAGCAGGAGCACCACAAGCCCTAGACAATTGAAAATATGGCTCCAAGCGCAGGATATCCTGGGAGCAGGCTTCCCAGAGGACTGTGACGAACACGGCCAGAATGGTAGGCAGATTTGTCCATGCTCGCCAAGCATCTGACAAAATGTCTTCCTTTCGCTTGTATATAACAATACCAGGTTGAATTGAGTACTGGCGGAGGGCCTCGATGCCTACTGCCAACACAAGCAGGATGGCAGAAAGGAAGAGCAAATAAGGGCGCTGCAAGGTTATTGGAAGCCAGCCTTTCCGGCTCTCGTAACTGGCCGTTGCGGAAGTCTGAGGCACATTTTCAGACGCGACAGTCGCTGACCAGTCTGGATGGGCGAATCGCATTTTTCAGTAGACGGTTAAGGAAAAGATGCTGCCGGACTAGTTGTATTCGGGTCCGTATGCTGGATTTAGGGGTGAAGAGCCGTGCTGTTAGGCCAAGGACCGCTCATGGCAGCCTCCTGCCTCAGACCTGTGCTTGGCTGAGACGACCGCCACCTTAGAGCGTTTCACCTCAATTTTGAAGGATGCAGTCGTTGAGAATATATGGGTCTGGTTGTAAAGAAAGGGATCTTCGAGACAATGTCCACGAGTGCAAAAGAGTTTGAGATTCCCCCGATGGCCAGCCTCAGCCCTGCTGTCCTGGGCGGATCAAGCCGCTGCAATGTCTCGGAAGTTGACCGTTTCGTGGCGGCGCAAAGTATGGAGTAGGTACTATTAGTACCTTCCAGTGCTCGCATGACAAAGATAATGCTGTGCATATTTTTGTTTGGGATTACCGTGCGGCTATCTATTGTCTACATGCTGGGCCTGAGATCCCTATAGCGCTTCTGCCTAGCCTTCTTTCCTCTCCATATCTCTCGCACATACCGTTCAGATTCAATAAGATCCAGGAACTTGTCAGGCAGAATGTTATAATAGGAACAAGCTTTATAGAACGCTTGGTTGCTATTTTTTAAACGAAGTTAATATGGATAACGAGGCACTACATCAATTTTACAGTTAATTAGGGCTGCGTCAGCGTCACTGTGTCGCCATGTTGACCTCGTGGAGGCATAGTGACTCTACCCACAACTTACTTAAATATCATCTCCTCAGAGATAGATTGCTTTCCTCTACATCCACTCCTCCACGTCCTCCTGCGTCCACAATGCCACATGGTGAGACGCTTTGCCCTCTCTTTGGGCGGTACATCGACACTGTCATGACAATCCAAAACAGGCAGTTCACCCTCACAGGAATTCTCTCAGAGCTGTCTGACCGATATGTCAATGAATATTGGGTGGTATTTGAAGCGAGATCCTCGAAGAATGACGATCGCGTCATCGTGAAAGCCCGCTTTGAGTAAGTCGCCCAGCCCACAACCTCCTTTGCTTCCAAGCTCATCGAAGGTAGATTGAGAATCACACGAATGGAACTTCAATGGGTAGATAGATCACGAGAAATAGCTGAACGGTGTTACCGTGACGAGGCAGATGCCCTGCAATCTTGCCTCGATATTCAGCCCCGCGCATTTCCAACCTACATCGCGAGGGATCAGCTTACTCAGTGTGAAAGCGACCCATTGGCTGGGGGGTATATACGCATGATAGCGATGTCGAAGGTGCCTGGAAACAGTGTCGTTGATATAGGCGCCTCACTGACATCAGAGGATGAGGCCAATATCCACACTCAGTTGACCAGGACTCTTGAGTACGTTCCTTACTCTGAATGTACATCGTTAAGTAAACTAGAATTAACAAAATGCGTGTGTGACTGCAGGCAGATCAGGCTCAAGGGGTTCACTTTCGACAAGGAGGAGACAGAACAAATTTTCTACGACACCAGGACCCGTGAAATGCAAGTCCATTCTCATGAAATACTGCCAGCTTGGAAAATATTGACCAGCCCTAGATACATTATCGGTTTCTCGCGCATTGGGAGGGAACTGTGGCCTCCCCGAGAAGAAGACAGGATCACGGAGAGTTCAGTGTATGTGACGGCCTTTGGGATGGGACGGGCCAAATCGGCCGCGTAAAGGGAAGTACTCCGCAAGGTTTATAAGACGACTGTCGAAAGCTCCACGCACGCTAGGTCTGTCGTGAGTACTTTCCAGCTAAAACATATGTGTCCACGCCGCTAATAGCAATACCAGTTAGCAATCGTCATCAGCACACTAGAAGCTGCTCAGCAGGGTGCGCAGTTGTTGAATGGGGGTTATAGAGATCAGATGGATGCTGTCGGATGGTGGTACGTTGGACAGGAATGGCTTTGGTCTTCTAGCGTAGCGATCAGAGCCCCAACAGCATCTCATCCTTGGATTGATACGCCCACTTAATCAAGGACTAGTCCAATTACACCAGATATTTGTCACAGGGCTCTCCCCTGCACTAAGAAACAAGCATAATCTTGTACGACTTCCCAGCAGACGTCGAAATGGGCTCGGTGTATTCCTCGCCATTGACGGTAAACGCCTTGCCATCCTGAACTCGAAGAGACAGTTGACCACCACTCCGCGACTTGACCGTGGCTTGGGTAAGACTGCCCTCAACCCACTGAATATCGACCACGAAGTTTCCTCGGGCTACCAATCCTGAGACATGGCCAGTGGGCACGGCTGAAGGCAAAGCTGGCAGAAGGTGTACCACCTGGTGACTTTGCAGTAGCATCTCTGCAATCCCAGCAGTGAAGCCAAAGTTCCCATCAATCTGGAACGCACTGCCGGGACCGCTGTCTGTATTCCACAGATTGACGCTAGGATATGTCTGGAGAAATACTTTCGCATGCTTCCATACTGCGTCGCCGTCAAGCAACCGGGCGTATAAAGACATTGTCCAGGTACGGGACCACCCCGTACTACCACTACCGTGGTCGATCCGTCTGTCAAGAAGGACTTTGGCGGCGTCCGCCAGTGTTTGGTTAACGAGCGGTGTCAGTTGCGACCCAGGGTAAAGGCCGACGATTGGGCTCATGTGTCTATGGCCCGGTTCGGTCTCTTGGTACTCTCTCCGCCACTCCAGTATCTGACCGTCAGAGCCGATCTGGGGAGGTTTTATCTTGGCTAGATATTCTTTTGCTTTATCCACCTCCTCTCCGGTAATCTCAAGGATATCCGCGGTCTCAATAACCGAATTGAAGAGCTCGTAGAGCAACGCATTGTCCATGGTAGGGGAGATGTCAATTCCTTCTGACTTGCCGGCAACACTCATATCCGATGGGACAATAAATGCATTCTCAGGCGAGATCGATGGACCGGAGCTGAAGTATCCGTCAAATTCGAACAGATAACAGTAGTAAAACTGGGCGGCGCTCTTCAGGAGAGGCCATATCCGCTCGCGAAGAACCTCCTTATTTTGCGTGAAGCGATAATGCTGCATGAGGTTTTCTGACAGCCATGCACTCCCCATCGGCCACATTGTCCATGTAGTACCGTTATCAACGGGTGCAGCATCTCCCCATAAATCAGTGTTATGGTGTAAAACATATCCTCCGTTATCGCATTGGTACATGCGTTTGGCGACGTCAATCCCATGAGGAACCACGGTGTCCATGAGGTCCATGAAGGGATCAAATGTATCGGCCAGGTTGGTTACTTCCGCGGGCCAATAGTTCATCTCGAGGTTTACATCGACAGTATATTTACCACCCCAAGCTGGCGAATAGTCTTGATTCCAGATGCCTTGCAGGTTGGCTGGTAGGCCCGGCGATCCAGACTGCCGAGATGACGCTATGAGTGAATGGCGGCCGAAGTTGAACATTAGAGTGGCGAGTTCCGGGTCGCTGTCTGGGTTGTCTTTGTAGTTTTTGAGTCGAGTATCGGTGGGAAGCTGGCCGGCAGAGCCTGAGGAGCCCAGCTTGATATTCACTCGGCGGGCCAGGCTTAAATGATCAGCCACTGCTGCTGTTTTGACGGCATTGTATCCTCGGCCCATGGCAGTGGATAGTTTGCGATCCATTTCGGCCTCCCGTTTGTCTTCATCAGGGTACCTATATGAGGTCTCGGCGTCGAAGAATATCTCTACCGATGTAGCGTCACGGACAACCACTGTTGTGCTGTTGCTGACGACACGGCCTTGAAAATGTCAGATAGTTCTTTGGAGTGCTCATATACAACTGACCTCCATGGCCGATGATTCGTGCCTCTGATATGAACTGGATCGGGTCCTCCATATCCCCTGTATTGGCCATCAGGCGCAGGATACCGGTTTCATTTGGTGAAGAAGCCGAATTATCAATGACATAACGATCTCGGGCCAGCGAACATGCTACGGTGAGGTTACCCGGCTCGCTAGCTGTGACTCTAATAGCAATGACGCCTGCCGGAGCACTCGCAATATACTCCCGACTGCCAAATTAGCTGTCGTTAGCTATGTCTTTCATTGGCGTGAATAGCGAGAGCCTACCTGTATCTGACTCCGTTATAATCATACTCAACGACTGCGTTTCCACTGTACAAGTCGAGAGACCTCCGATAGTTGGTCATGAGATTCACATCATGATTAAAATCCAAATGCAGCACCCCAAGCGGGTGATACTCTCGCGGGGACGTCGGAATGCTGGCCATGTCTCTGAGAGTGACCTCGCCAGCGCCGGTCATATCGCCTTTCTCAAGAAGTGAGCGGGCCTGGGTGAAACCATCGTACGCATTAGGATTCACCCGATCTTGAAAAGGCCCGCTCCAAATGGAATTCTCATTCAAAGTGATCTTCTCCACGGCGGTTCCCCATACAGTAGCTCCCAGTCTGCCATTGCCGATAGGGAGCGATCCGGCGTAGTCGGAGGCTGGACTCTCGTACCAAGTGTACCTCGACGGATCCAGCGCAGCCTGGACGGTTGACGCCCACGCCACGAGGGCGAGAAATATGTGCTGACCAGGAGACACCATGTTCTGTAGAAGGGTCGTGGGCGATGTTGGTATGATTTACAGGTGCGGGGACGAGAGCTTTATATTAGAAGACTATATTCTCCACCGGACAAATGCGACTCTGAAGCATTAGTGCTACACTAAATCTGCGTCTCCTGGCTTGCTTTTAGCCGCCCTGCGAATCATGTCGTCGGGCACGGAAGAATTTGGGATTATCCTTGGAGATCATTCACGGGCTAATTTGTCCATCGTGTCTGCTCCTGTCGATCCCGGCTGATTCAACAGGGTGCTTTTACCGCATCCTATAGCAATTACAGGTAGCCCTGAGTTCCTCCGGTGGGTTAAGTATAAGTTGTGGGGACCTGGGGGAGAGAAATGCATGTCTTAGAAGGATACATAGCCTTTGTGCCTCCAGGTAGGTATATCGCAAGAATTATCCGTCATTCCATAGCCCGGAGCTGAGCAAGCATTGGCAGGTATATTGTCTCGTATCTGCCCAGAGCCCAGACAGTGAAGTAAAGTTTGTAGTTCGGATATGCAATCATGCTGCAATGGATAGTCAGTAAGCAGCTCAACCACTTTCGGACCCAACAACCTACCAGGTGTTGTTGAAGACTCCCTCTACGTCCTCTTGATACCATTCACCATTTGCCTGCTGTCGGGTCATGATCAACTGTACAGCAAGTCAGCAACAGCCGGGCCTACATGGGATGCGTCATACCTTCAGGCCTTTTTCGATGGCCTGCTTTTCCGGACACCTGGCATACATCAACGCCAGGCAGGCCCAGGCAGTGTTAACTACCTGGCTCTGTTCGTGCTGCACATAGATCTGCTTTTCGCACGACGTGTAATGCTCACCCCAGCCACCGTCAGCCTTCTGCTTGTCAAGCAAGAACTTGCAGGCGCGTCGCACCCGTTCACTAGTCTGCCATGTCTGACCGACTACCTCTAAACTCTGCACAGCAAACATGATGGCGTAGGTAAAGCATATACCCCACGAGCCATACCAGCTGCCATCTGGTCGCTGAGATGCCTCGATATAGTCGACAGCGCGGTGAATAACCCGCCCGATATCAGCAGATCTGTAGGTGGGGAAATAGCGCTGGAAGAGTGACAACGCAGTCACGACTGCCGTAGTGCATTCCGGGTACGAATACTCGACCATAATGCGATCGAAAATTTCTGATGCGTTGAGGTGCTCGAGGAGTTCGCTAGAGCGCGTGTTCTCATAGCTGCTAAAGCCTCCATCTTGGTTCTGCATGAGAAGGAGAGTGTCCACGCAGTCCTGTAACCTGTCATCGCTAATACGTTTAGGGAAGCCACTACTATCGGTGGTGAGCATGTGTAGGTAGCTATCAGCTCTTCGGGTGGAAACTCACCATTGCTCTTGCAGCAATAAGGTTGACTTGAGGCCTTCGGCGGCGCAGTCTGAAACAATGTACCCGTTGTCTTTTGTGCTGAATGGCCATCCACCCTTCCTTGGCTGACGGTATGGGTCGTCCAGATTATCACGCAGTTGCGAGGTTTCGAGGAATTCCAGGGCCTTCTCTAGAGCTGGTCGGAATTCTTCCTCCTTGGCCAGGCCAGATTCAACGGCGGCTTGGATACTAAATGCGGTGTCCCAGAGCTGTACGCCGTTCGTTCCACTGCAGGTCAGACCGTCGGCTTCTTTCCACATGTACGTAGAAATCGTTTCTCTGTGGCGCCTCATCCTCTCGCTGTCTTTGCCTTCTTGATGCCACACAGAGACCATATGGAATGCTTTATTAACTGGTGCCAGGCAGTTGTAGGACGTGTTCTCGTCTTCGCGTTTAATCAACGCGCACACTCTTTGCGCCGCCCAGCGGGAAATCCACGTCGGCCTTAGAAAATACTCCCAGCCGCGGAGAAGGGCATTTGCTGTTCTTAACGCCAATGACAACGGTTTCATCAGGTCAGATGGCGAGACATGATTCAAATAGCGAGTGAAATCGATCTCTTCATACTTCTGTCTGTATATCTCGTCTCGGATGTTCAGAAGAAGCTTATTCACCGGCTTTTGAACCTTCTCTCCATATAGGTATGAAACTGGAAGGTATACAACGCGACATTGAATCCACCAGCGCCATGGGTGAAAGGGGACCCAATCTGGGAGAAGCCTATAGCCACCGAAATCAGCCTCTTTATTGAAACGCATAATCCGTGGGATGCATACCAAAGCTCGGGCGGGATAGGGTTGACTCCGCTCCATTCGTACAGATTCAGCAACGATAACCATACCTTTCCCCATTGAGGGATGCCCGTCGGACCTCCTTGAAGCAGTCAGTCTCCGTTTAGGTATTGCATTGTGGGTGAATAGAAACATACCAAGCCTATGGAGGCATTCCCTTGCCCGGGTCGCTAGTGGATGGGACGCCTCGACCCCAAGAATGCGCAAATTGACGTAGTAGAGCGTCGTCGCGAACACGGTAGAGTGACCGGCAGAATGCAGTCCCCAACCTCCGTCAGAGTTGACAGTACTGTTCAAATATCGAATGATTTCAATCCTCCATTCTTCTGGGATGTCGGTGTCTGTGATATACATGGCAATCACAAGACCAGCAAGGAGGAAACTGGGACCGCCGTATCCGCAGCCCCAGTGGCCGTCAGCAAGCTGGAGCTGTTGATAGAAGCGAAAGCCGTTGCGAGCTGATTCATGGAAAGTTGACGCCTCAGGTAAAATAGGCAGGTCCTAATTCGGTCAGCGACAAATGTACCAGCGCCACACGCCTCAGTGTAGGCAGCTTATGTGTTTTGTCATACTGTAGGGAGCCCCAGAAAGTACTTCTCAGCAGCCGACTGCGGGCGACGAGTGGCCTCATCTTCGTCGACATATCGCCAATGATGAGCACCTTCGTTAAGATGGAGGCGCCACCGGGTGGGTTGGGTTTGGGGGATAGTCGCCATGCCGCGCTAGATTTGCCTAAGATGAACAAACACTGTATCACGAATAGGGCAGGTTATCTTGGTAGGATTCTCTCGATTTCAATCTCCTACCTAGTTAAATTTCAACGATCTTACAAACAACGATGCACATTCACCGCATTCCTCTGAGGTTCATGGGCAGCCTTAGCGCAGTTCCTTCTGCTGCCTGTCCATCTGTCCCCAGGCTCCGTGCGTTAGGGTCACTCGGGTCTTCTAAGGGATGTAAGCAGCAGCTTCTTGCCACATTATTGGCCCTGAAGTGCTGCGCCGCACCAGAAAGAAACGGCTATTCCGTACTAGTGTTGTGTCTTGGTACTTCTAGTCTCCGTGCGGCGCCTATCCCAATCTCTCCATCCTATATCGGCTCCACCTTCAACTCATGCACTGACTACGCCATGCTGCGTCAGCGGTTTGTTCTAACTAGTTAGTTAACTACTGCAAATAGTGGATTCGATGCGCTAGGCTTGTAACAATAAGGTCTGTATGATTGCATCTTTTTCTTTTCTGTTACTATTTCAAGATACGGAGCAAACTACATGTTTCAAGAGAAAGATCTGGTTCGTGGTTGGGTAATTCCTCTTTTCCAAGTCGGCTTCATTAATTGCAGGCGATCAATGATCAAGTATTGGCACTTCTTGAAATTGGAAAGAAACGTGGCATGTCCTCCGATATAGCACCACTACCTCGCATTGTAATCGCGACCTGCGCCACTTTTGCCACGTCTATACACACCGCGTCTCATGTATCCCGACACAGTTGCCAGAACAGGTGGGCCTCTCGTTTCAAAGATAGACTCCTATTTGTCGAAGATTGCGGATTAGCAATAAGCAGTGAGTCCCAATCATGGAGATTACTCACCCTGCGCGACTCTTTCTTTGCACCACCATTGTTCGGGTGGGCAGTAATATCAGGCCTTTTGAGCAGCCCTGTATTTGTTATGAGAGATGCTCTCTCCGCAATCGATATTCTCGGACCCCAGCAGTATTCATCTAAGAGGTTCCAATATATAATATCGAGGCCTGTGACCGAGCGGCAAGCTAGATTGAACCATGCACTGTTATCTTGGATCGACTGTCGCATACGCACGGAAAGACGATCGCCATCGTGTGCTCCTCCGTCTTCCCTCTTCTTCAACACTTCCAGAAAAGCACTGGCTTCCGTAATATAGGACTGCAGAAAGGCAGGGAGGCCTCTTTGTTTGATATATGTGTGCGGAGCCAGCGGAAGGAGCCAGTCTGGCATACTACCCGCAAACTGGACAGGCCCCGAGTAGCAGAACTCCCAGTTCGTCACCCCTGTGACCTGGAGAGAGTCATCCACGAGTACGTGTTCGGGTTTCAGACCTTCTGCAAAGAGCTTGAAAGGTCCATAATTGTCCGCTCGGGAGACAAAGCTCAGTGCGATTGCTTTCAACAAGTGCCGTGCTGCATATTGCTCTCGATAGGAAGCCGTGTCACCCATAATGGTCTGTTGTCGCTCCAATCGTATTGACTGTAACTCCAGCAGAGAGTAGACGTAATCGACCGCGCTGTGATAAATCCTGGATGGCCTGATATGATCACTCAGATCCCAGACTCTTGATAGCTCGCTGATACCCTGTGAGGACGGCCGGCGGTTTGCGGAGAAGGTGCGGGTGATTTCGGCTTGTACAAGACTCCCAATGCGATCGAAGTTGAGTTTCCACAATTCTAGCAATATGTCCGCCATTTGACCATAGAGCATTTCTCGTGTTGCGCGGGTCTCCTGGAGATTCCGGCCCGGCGTGTTCCAAAGCACATCGGACATCTTCCTGCCGTCAACCCAGGTCATGATGATGAAGGGGCCCAGTCCAGTAGGATTGTCCGCCGCTGTCCCGTATGCAATGACTCGGGGGATAGGAATCGGCGTCTTGAGGGCCACGAATTTCATAGCCACCGCCTCGTTCTGGACTTTCTCATCGATGAAGGAAGACCGGCCAGAGAATGTGAATCGGATGAGCCAATCTCTTCCGCCATCATCCCAGTGCAGTCGTGCTTTGACCGTAAAAGGATCATAATGCATGGAAACCACTTTGCCGCCATCACGCTTGCGATATCGGTTGGCAAACGCGCAGATTTCTTGAGCAGTGTGCGAGTTTTCGTTCATGTTGATGTCGTGCGGCTGTCCATGAATACAGTGATGCTTTATCTAGCCTTCTAACTGGCGCAAACCAAGAGTCTGCAGTAGTCAAATACTGGTCGTTATTAGCAGTATCTTTGAAATTCTCATTTCGCAGGCGAAGTTACATTCTATAGAAAGTACCGTAGAGATGTCGTTCCGGAAAGGGAAAGGCGCATTGCATAAGATGCATATTTCGAAAATCAGAAAATACTGCTTAGTTAGTTAATCCGTCATATTATGTCACCCCTATGCACATAGTTAGTTACATCTCACCACTGACACTCATCCTCATCGTCAGTATCTTTTCATTTGATTACACTTACTCAAGAATACTCTAACGTCATTGTATGAGACCTCTAGATCTCATGCAGGTTGATGACGTGTATGAAGCCCGTCATAAAAGTCAAGCAGATCAGGGGCCCAATGCTGGTGTTGGATATATATCCCCGAACAACGCCAGTCTTGGGCATCAGGACGTCCACCATGTCGAGATAGAATAGGGATGATCGTCGACATTTCTCTTAATAATACTCAGCCTTCCTGCAAGTTGTCATGGTTTATGGACCAACGAATCTATACAACGTGTCAACTGACTCGTATGGAAAGAGTCAATGGTCCAATTGATGCAAACTTGCAGTTCCCCACTGGAAGCTCACTTGTTTTCTTTTGTTTTCTTCCAACTAATGGAGTGATTCTGGCCATGTCTATCGGCGCAGTCTGTAACTGCGCCGCCACGTGACTGCCTAGACCACCACGACCAGAAATTCCAACTTATACGTCCATCTGGCATCATGCGTACAAACACATCTGTCTTCTGAACAGCTCAAAGGATCCGCTCAGATCACCATGTCGAAGAAAAAGTCAAAGAACAAAGCCAAAGCGGGTTCTGATCTCAAGAAACAGATCCGCGCCATGATCGACTCTGCCTATAAACAAAACAAGCAGATCGATAGAAAGGCCATCAAGGCAAGGTTCCTGGCGGAGCACCCAAACAAACAACAGTCCATCAACGACATAGTGAATACGTAGGTAATTCCTGCATATTGTGTGGTCCCGCTGATGATCCACCCAGATATTCGGATCATCTCGAGAGTAAGGGCAAGAAGGATGGCAAGAAGCAAGTGTCAACCCCAGCTGTGAAGCAATCTCCACCATCGCGAAAGGCCGCCGGAGTGAGTCTGAAATCTAGCTCTGCGTTAAATACCACGCCTACTACAGACCAGCACTCTGGGCCATCTCGAGTTGGGAGTATCCAGCCTCAGGAGGCAAACGGAGACTTGAAAGACTTGATCGACTTTTCCTCAGACGACGAGCGCGATAGCTTCACAATCACTCACACGGACAGCGACGAAGGCTACGGGCAATCAGAGCAGCTAGAAAACGTCATTCTCAAAGGTATGCTAGGCTCAATATCTGCGCTGATCGTTCTGACAAGAAACAGAGTTCAAGGAACATCTGGCTGTTCAGGATGGCGACCTTCCAGAAACTCCCTCTACAACCAGCTCGACTATGCCTTCTCTCGAGGACCAACTCCAGTTCCTCAACACCGATCCCACGGAAGAAGGACCACCCAGAGACGCACCGAGGAACCTGGAGCACGCCATTCTGGTTACCCCGTCTGCAGAGAACCTGGGACACAGAATGCCGTCGCAATCTGCTCTGCTTGGCCAGCTAGATACCCGAGAATCCAAGGCCGTTTCGGACCCTCGCGTAATGCTCAACGCGAACATTCCATTCTCGGCATTTATCTGTGGCCTTCAGGGAAGTGGGAAATCGCATACAACGTCCTGCATCATAGGTGAGTTCAGACCGGCCGGTATCATCATAGTCTAACAGTGGCGACAGAGAACTGCTCCTTGACATTTCCTGCACTGGGAAACCTGAAAAAGGCCGTCTCAACCCTGGTGCTCAATTTTAACGAGTACAGCTCAAACATCAGCTCTCAGCCTAGTGAGGCGGCCTTCCTCGCATCGATCATGCCCCAATACGCCTCCCGCCAACAGCCCATCCCCGTGCGCGTCTTAGTGTCGCCAACGAACTTTCACAATCTGGGAAGAATGTACTCTCAGATTCCAAACGTGGAGGTGCGCCCTTTCCAGCTGCAGCCGCGTCATCTCAACATCAGCATGATGCTGTCTCTCATGTCCATGGGAAAGAACGACTCGATGCCGCTGTACATGGCCCAAGTCATCCGGGTCCTGCGTGAAATGGCAATCGAGAGTGGTGGGCACTTCGACTATGCGAAATTCCGCGCACGACTGGATTCATTGCGTCTGGACCGCGCCCAGACTCCTTTCCTGTATCAGCGGCTGGATTTGCTGGATTCGTACCTTGACCTCAGTGGGAGGAACGACAAAGATTACTTTATTGATGGGGGAGTGACTATTCTGGATTTGTCGTGTCCGTTTGTCGACGCGAATACGGCGTGCATTCTGTTCAGAATTGCCATCGATCTGTTCCTGTACTCTCACTCGGCTAGAGGGAAGATGATTGTTGCGGATGAAGCGCATAAGGTACCGGCTATTTATGTCTGAATTACTTGCTCTCTTGTTAACCATGGCACAGTATATGACAAACACCGCGGCAGCAAAGGAGTTGACAGAGACGTTCCTAAACATCATCCGACAGCAGCGGCATTTCGGCGTACGGACCATAATTTCGACCCAGGAGCCAACAATATCTCCTTGCCTGATCGATTTATGTTCGGTCACAGTCATCCATCGGTTCTCGAGTCCCGAGTGGTACCGGACTATTCAAAAGCATGTCCCTGTTGACAAAAAGCGTGATGGAAGTAACGGCGATGCAAACGATGGGTTCTATCTCATTTCAAGTCTTCGAACCGGCGAGGCCCTGATCTACGCACCTTCTGCGTGTCTGCTGAAAGAAGATAACGAGGAAACCGACACAAAACATGGAATTTTCAAGATGACGATCCGAAAGCGCATTACTTGGGATGGAGGACGGACGATTGTGTGCATTCGTTGATATGCGTTTAGCTGGCGTCATTGGTTGAAATTGGACATTGCACATTGGAAGCACAGGTTATGCTAGACTATGGACACGATCCAGACGAATTGTCCGGAACTGTTATGATTAATGATAGAGCCATATGCTTGATAGAGTGATGTTAGACAATGTCAGACTATTTTTAACTGGCGTGTCATGTACGACGAATGCGACTGAAGACAATCTGCTGAATCTTATCCATGGAGGGGAATCCGCTGATGGTATAGCAGCAATATGGCGATAGGACCAGATATCCCGAACAGCAACAGCAGGTCTGAACCTTAATAAAGTACAGACTCCCTCGAAATATAAAGAAATCCAAAGAAGACGGTAAAGTCTGGAACAAGTGCTTTGCAGTGAGGCCGGAAACAGACTGTCCGGATGCGGCATACCAACAACCCGATCCACCTCCAAGCCACGACAAGCACTATCTAGAATCCCGACGTAATCAGCGGAGGGAAGGCCTCAATCGATGGTCCACTGGTCTTATTATCCTCTCCACGGCCACGAGATCCCTGACAATGAATACACACGCTCCCCCGATAGTGCCAGCAGCATGATTGCGCTCCGGCAGTCCTTCCACCGACGCCCGCTATCCATCGTCCTAGGAGTCTCGCTGCTCCTGTTCATCTTCTGGGTCAGCTCGCGCTACTTGCAGACAGACACATGGCAGCCCAACACTCCAGGCACAGGCTCCGGCCGCGTCGCCAAAGTGAGCATGCTGTACGGCAAGAGGAACTTGCTGTACGAGCGCGCCCTGCGCAGCCACCAGCGCCACGCGAACCGCTGGGGATACCCGATGTACGTCCTGCGCGAGGACATCTCGGTCGGCTTCTGGAACAAACCGAGTTACTTGCTCTCGCTGGTTGTCCAGGAGTTGACCAAGCCGTCTGCCGAGCGGGCTGAGTGGTTCATGTAAGCTCTGTCGCACGGAGAAGAGGATAACACTGACACGGATATCCAGGTGGGTCGACGGCGACTCGATCATCCTCAACGACGACATCCCCGTGGAGATCTTCCTCCCGCCACCCGACATCACAGACGTGCACGTTGTCACAGCGAAAGACCAGAACGGCCTCAACACGGGCATCGTCTTCTTGCACGTGCACCCGTGGACGATCAGCATGCTCGTCGAGACCCTTGGCCACCCGCTGTACAAGCCCGATATCGATCTCGGCCGCTCCGCCGACCAGGAAGCCATGGCGCGCGTGCTGAACAAGACAGAGGGCGGGCCCGACCAGCGCGGCTACAAGGACGGGGTCATCTACTTGCCGCGGCCGTGGATCAACACGTACGAGTGGCACCACGCCTACGAGGGCAAACGAGGTAACCTGCTCGTGCACTTTCCAGGGCTGGAAGAGGAGCGCTGGAGCCATATGTCCAAGTGGCTGGACATTGTGGAATACACGCCTGAGAAATGGCGGGTGCCGCTGGAGGAGACCGAGTACTATACGAAGACGGCGGACTTCTGGAACCAGGTGCGCACAGCTAAGCAGTGGATTAAAGCGACCGAGGAGAAGCTCAGGTCACCGGCGCTGAAGGGTCGGGAGCAGGTTGAAGAGGGTGTACGCGAGCTGAAGAGGGCGCTCTATGAGGAGGCGGATAATATGGACTTGCTGCGGCAGCGGATTGAGGATTTGAGAGCCGTGTTGCATTTTGATTGAGCATCATCATGTAGATAGTTTAGCTTTGTGTTTGGTTATATAGGTAGTATATTGCATGAATAATAGAAATATGTAGCATTGTATCTTGCATACTCCGAGTCGGATGGTGCCGTTTGCGGAAGTACAGCGCAACATCATATACGATGTGGGAAATGTGACATCGCTCGTATCCGTGCAAAGTCAGACGAAGAGAACAAAGAAAATGAGGTGGATATGGAAATGCATCAAAATCATTAGCTGATCGATGTCGCCATCGCAGCCTTGGCTTGTGTGCTCATCGCCTGCATCGCGTACCCCCTATACTAGTCCACATCCACATTGGACACATCAAACTAGCAATCAAGCCACATCCAGAGACAATAGCCGATACGCGAGAGCCGACAGGAAGAGTCAACAGCTTCTTGACCCGCGGGCAGCAGCCTCAGCTAGTGGACTGGAAGGATCTCCGCCGTCATCACATCAAACTCAACACTAACAGCCCGGCTCGACTGCACACGAATCAGCACCGCTCCCACCGCCCATAGCGTTGGCTTGGGCCGCTAATGCAACCCCAGCAGCTGTAACCAGAGCCCATCCGGCGTGATTGATCCAAGCGATCCCCCCATGACCCTGGCCTCCCCCGGACCAGCCGTGCCAGCGGCCCTATCACGCCCGCCTCGCACAATGGTGTTATTTTAGTAAGGTCTCCTGTCATTCATCCAGACCAGGATCGCGGCCGTGTTGACCACATGGCTCAGATGACTTCACCCGCCGCGTTCCCCGCACAAGGGAGTACAAAGGACGTCGTGGCAGCTGCTTAGCTGGGATCTTTCTGTTCACAACACTCAGTCCCTGTCTCTGAATTGACCGTCGTCACCATGGGCAAGACGCTGGGCAACATCCGCGCCGTGTACATGGTCGCCCTGTGCTGCGTGGGCTCGTTCCTCTTTGCCTACGACACTGGCATCATTGGGCGGCATTCTTACGCTGGAGTCGTTCCAGAACCATTTCCGATACACCGCGAAGCAGAAATCCACCATCAGCTCCAACTCGAACAGTCTGTTGCAGGCGGGAGGTAGGTAACACGAGACCGCTCGGGACGACCGCCGCTAACACCGCTAGCTTTCTTCTCCTGTTTCTTCGCATGGCCGTTCACCGCGCGCTTCGGCCGCCGCTGGTCGATCGCGCTGGCGTCTTTGATCTTCTGCATCGGCGCCATCATCCAGGTCGCGCCCACCCACTCCATCGGCGCCTTCTACGCCGCCCGCGTTATCAGCGGCGTTGGCGTCGGCATGGCGACCGTCATGGTGCCCATGTTCAGCGCGGAAATGGCCCCCAAGGAGATCCGTGGGATGCTCGGTAGCATGTTCCAGTTCTTCTTCACCCTGGGGGTCATGACCTCCTACTGGGTCGACTACGGTGTGGAGAAGCATGTTCCATCGATTGATCGGCAGTGGCAGATTCCCATCGGTCTGCAGCTGGTGCCGGGGGGCATACTCGGGATCGGCATGTTGTTTTTGAAGGAGAGTGTGCGGTGGCTGGCGAAGAAGGGCCGGCATGCCGAGGCGATGGAGTCGCTGGTTTGGATCCGTGGCGGCGAGGAGACGGACGAAGTGCGCGCTGAGTATGTACCTTGAGTGGAGTGGCAGTCATATACTGACGGGTATAGGATGGCGGAGATTCTTGATGGCATCGAAGCAGAACTGCGCGCGACTGAAGGCGTGACGTGGAAAGAGCTGCGCATGCCGGCAAACATGTACCGCATGTTCATCACCATTACGATCCAGATTGGTATGCATGCCCTCTCCCCCAAGATGCATATGTCGGCTAACACAACCAGGTGTGCAATTGACCGGCAACACCTCACTCGCGTACTGTATGTACATTCTGATCTCTTATACGGGTCCTACCACTAACACAGTAAAGATGCCCCTCAGATCTTCAAAGCCGTCGGCGCCGGCAACGACAGCCTCCTGATCAGCGGCTTCTTCGGCGTAATCAAGGTCGTCGCCTGCTTCATTTTCGTCGTCTTCCTGGTCGAGCGCGTCGGTCGGAAGTGGTCGCTGATCTGCGGCGCGTTCATGATGGGCTCGCTGATGCTCATCGTGGCCATTTTGAGCAAGGTCTTCCCGCCAGACCCCAACGCCACGTCCATCTCCTCGCCCGCGATCGCCTCCATAGCGATGGTGTACCTCGAGGCGGGCATGTACAACATGTCGTGGGGCCCGGTGCCCTGGCTGTACATGAGCGAGATCTTTCCCACGCGCATCCGCGAGATGGGGATTGCCGTCGGCACGGCGACGCAGTGGCTATTCAATTTTGTCTTCTCGCAGGCGACGCCGCATGCAGTGGATAACCTGGGGTGGAAGACGTTCCTGATGTTTTGCATCTTTAACTGGGCGCTGGTTGTGTATGCCTGGTTGTTTATTAAGGAGACGACTGGGAAGTCGTTGGAGGAGATGGAGGAGGGTGAGTTGTGCCTTTATAGAGCTTTGGGTCGTGCTAACGTGTCGCAGTCTTTGAATCCAAGGCGACCATCTTCAACAAAGATCGGACGACGGAGGAGAATGTCGAGAATGTACATGCCAAGGGTGAGCACCATGCTTAATTGTAGAAATTGGACTGGATGTTATACGGATCTGTATGAGTGTCTAGCTCGAGAGTTTTGCACAATAGCCCTACATTCCTTCAGTGAGTATATCGAGCACATCGAATGCAGTTTCACCCCTCATGGATAAGTCCTCTTGCACTATACCGAACCCAAGCTTCATTCATCTGCAGTCAGTTATACCAATTGAACAGAGCATCAAGGCAAAACCTCTTCTCCCTTTCCAATCCCAACACCTCCCCCGTCCCTCCTGATCCCCAGCTCCCATCCCACACAATACCCCCAACAACCTCTCCGCCGCCTCCTCCGGCCGCAACATCTCCCGTCCAGACCAGTACTCCCTGGTAAACTCCGTCCGCACAGTCCCAGGATGCATCGCAGCCGCCACCGCCCGGTCCCTACTCCGCGTCCGCAAATACAAGTCCAACGTCTTCGCCAGCTGGAAGACAGCCGCCTTGCTCGCCCGGTAGGAATACCAGCCGCCGGTGCCGTTGTCGGAGATGGAGCCCACGCGCGCGGCCATCATGGCGTAGATTGAATGGGACGGGAGGTGCATACTCCTTTCGCCTCCGTTTGTATCCAGCTGATGAGGTTCGAATGGGGATGAGGATTTGGTCGGGAGGAAGGGGGAGAGGTGTTTCATTAGGAGCATTGGGCCGAGAGTGTTGACGCGGAAGCTGTCCAGGGCGAGGGATGCGTCGATTTGGGAGGGAGATTTTTCTACATGTAGGATCCCTGGGACGGTGATTGCGAGTCGCAGTGGTGTGTTTGGTAGTGAGTGTTGGATTTGGGAGGCCATGGATGATATTGTTGATTCGTCTGGAGGTCTTAGTCTTCCGTGCAATCGAGCTGTGAATGGTTTAACGTACCGGTTACGTCGACTTTAAATATGCGTAGTCTGTCCTCAGCCTTGGAGACACTGTTCACGCTCTTAAGCAGCTTGTTTCGCAGCTCATCGCAGTTTCTTCGGGCGGTTGCTACCACGGGCAGATCGGTATGCGCTAGAAGATGACGGGCAAACGCGAACCCCAGGCCTCTGGAGGCCGGAGTTACAATCGCGAAGCCTGGGTTTGGGGGCATGAAACAAACGATATCGATTTATACGATATTTGAGAGCATTTTATCACCGTAGATCGCGTCTAAAATGTGACCATTCCAATCGTCCCTGGGCCAACGAGGTGACGTCACCTATAAAATGCCACCGATCAGTATCCCTCTGGTAGACGGAGTAATTCTCCAGAACGAACGACTGCTACCAGAGTCCACGATAGAAACGCCAGTGCAACCCAGAAGTATTCGTGATGCTCTGCGGCAAAGAACTTTAAGCGAGGTTGACTTTTAAGCTTTCTCCATAAATGGAGATGACGACTCAGCATCATTCCTATCCCTCTACTCGCACTAAAAGTCCATCACCATGCCGTCCATAAACTGGAACACCCTCTGCTACAACAGCGCCTGTCTGATCGCAGGGGTCTTCGTCCTCGACTATGGCGCCGACAAGTTCATCGACCATACAGCCCTCCTGGCGCGGCGTTTGGGAATCTCGCAGACTCTCATCGCGCTACTCACCGCGGGCGCAGAATACGAAGAGGTATGCCTCAATGACATACATGGAAATTATATACTAATATCATCTAGCTCGCCGTGGTAATCGCGGCGGTCCTGCAAAAGCGCGGCTCCCTGGCCCTGGGAAACGTCATGGGCTCGACCATTTCCAACATTCTCGGTGCCTTCTCGCTAGGTCTGCTCGTCCATCCCGGACGCATGCAATTCGACCGCAGCGCGCGGTCTTACACCGCTATCCTCCTGGGACTGACAACCATGTCGGCTGGATTGACCTGGGGGGGAAAGCTGAACCGCGTGACGGGGGGTATTCTCGTCGCGACCTTCGCGATATACCTTTTTTCCATTGGGTTCGCGATTTACCGCGGGGTTGTCGATGCGCCGGAGTTGTCGGACAGCGATAACGACAGTGACAGCGACAGTGACAGCGACGATGTTGAGTCGAGGATACACCCCTCGGAGACATCGCGGCTGCTGGGGGATCAGCTACCGTCTCCGGTTGAGGGACGGCATGCACCGTCCTTGGCTTATCATCTCGTGCATCTGGTCATCGGGCTCGTTGCGCTCTCGCTGTCGGGGTATATTCTGGCTCAAAGTGCCAGCGCAATCGCAGACTCGCTGCATCTGTCTGGAACTGTTGTCGGGTTTACAATTTTGTCCATCGCGACGACTATCCCTGAGAAACTCATCGCTATCATGAGCGGTGTGCGTGGACACAGCGGTATCGTGGTCGCAAACACGGCGGGCAGCAACATCTTTCTACTCACGCTGTGTGTGGGTGTTGTAGCGCTCTCTGGTGAGGTCAGTGGGAACATGTCAGATTACATGACTCTGTTCGAACTCATATCGGTCTGGGTATCTGCTGCACTACTGGCGGCAGTCGTATTTCTAGATCTGGGCCGGTGGATGGGCGCAGTCCTCCTCATCGCCTACGCAGCCTTCCTCGTCTGCGAGTTCACCGTGTATAGAAGATAGCTACGCCAAGATCGTCAAAAATAGAAATGAATTGCTCCGCTGTCTATGCATGGTATCCGCTAAAAATCATCACAATGCACTCATACGTCGTAAGTCTTCTTCTCCACGTCGTAAATCGGCGAACAGGCCAGCTTGCTCTTCCCCCGCAGCCACGGCCCGTAGATCATGAACCCGACCGGAATCGGAATCATGATGGCGGCGATGCAGCCTAGCATCGTGCCGGCCCACTGCACCCCGAGGTTCTCCATCATCTGTTTCGAGAACAGGGGGAACGAGCATCCTATCGCGGAGCGGAGGATAGTGTTTGCGGCGATTGTCGATGCAGCCCTGTTCCGTTAGCATGCGTCGTGTTCATAACATCGAGAATAGACTCACAGTGTGGGATAGCAGTCAACGATATAGTTGAAGCATTGGAGAAAGATGCAGAAGATCCCGAACCCGGTCAGCAAGCCAGACGCCATGGGCGCAATCCAGTGGATCGAAGACGTGTATCCAGTCCACCCGAACCTGCAACCGTCAGCCACGTTCATACACCTGTCCCTTGGTTCAATGAACTTACCAAAACATCCCCCCGGTAAAGGCGACAGCGCCCACAATGGCCGGTGGAAGACGCCATTCGGGGATGGGTCTGTCCCCATTCGCGGCCAGCTTGCGCGCATACGACCCCTGCAGCATGAGGATGAAAACACCCCCGAGCAGCTCGCCCAGTATCAGCCCGACGAAGGCCAGTCCGCCCACGCCCATGTTCATCCCATATACGCCCTGGAAAACAACCGGGTACGCGCCCAGCAGCGCATAGATCAGCCCGTAGATAAACGAGATATACAGCGAGACGAGCAGCAGGATCGGCTCCGTGATGAGCATCTTGATCGGCCGCCCGAAGTTATTCCGCAGTAGCTCCTTCAGCTCGACTTCGACCTCGTCCTGCTTGGCATGGATGCCCCAGTTACGTGTCTGGCGGCGCAGGGTAGCCGCCTTGCGGACAAGAATGACGGGCGCATACGTCTCGTCCAGGAAGAATAGAACCAGGAGGAACCCGAGGAACACCATGATGGTCGATATGTACATGATCCAGCGCCAGCCGAGCGAGCTGATGGCGATGAAGCCGCCTACAAAGGGCGCCGCGAACGGCCCGATAAACACCGCCATGCAGAAGATCGACATGACGATGCCCCGCTGTGTGTTGTTGAATAGATCCGCAAACACGGCGGGCACGATGGAGATGGGGCTGGCGGCGAACAGCCCCGCGAAGAAGCGGGTTAGCATGATCGTCTGCACGTCCTTTGCTGTTGCGCAGGCGATCGTGAAGACGCCGCAGCCGAAGAGGCCGATGCACAGTGGCCAGCGCCGGCCGATGAGTTCGGATGCCGGGGCCCAGATGGTTGGGCCGGCGGCGAACCCGAGGACGTATAATGTCACACCTAGGGAGCCTACCTCCTGGCTGATGTGGAATTCCTCACTGACGGAGGAGATGGCCGCGGAGAAGACGGCACTGGTGAAGGATCCTGCGAAGGTGCCGTAGACTAGGATGCACACCAGCGCGATCCGCCGTAGCATCGACCAGTTGTACGGGTGTAGGGGGTCATCGGCGCCGTCGAATTCCACCACGTAGGTCTCCGGGTCCGGAAGGAGAGGCGGATAGTCCTTGCCCGCTCCCATGGGCAGCCATTCGTCTCGGGGGAGGGGGCCTCGCGTCGACCCGACGGTCGTCTTCTGCTGCAGTCGGTAGGTGTTGATGCGGTTCAGCTCGAGCGAGTCGAGGTGGTCGGCGGTCTCGTCGGAGTCTTCATATTCGTCGCTGGTGTCATCGCTGATGGAGGGGTATTTGTCGCGATCCTCCGGATGATGGTCCATTCTGACCCACCGCAGTCAGGGAGTTGTGTTTTTATCTTGCTTCAGGCTGTATGGCTTCATGTTGAGGGATAGTGGACTATACATATAGCCCCGTGCAGTGGAGCCACTCGCCCCAGGACCGGTTTTTTCATCGTGTTTTTCTATTCTCTTACGTGCTATCATCCACCGTTCCACTATCAGGCGAGACTGTCACCTTGACGTGCTTCTGTTGTGGTCGCGACAGATCCATTCTTTTCCGCGATGGAGAAATTTTTATACAAGACTCGCTTGATAGTAGGCTGCTTCAGCCACAACGCCGAGCGCTGTATGAAATTGGCCAATGAAAGTGCATAATTTCAAGCATCAGCCACAGGGTCCTCGGAAAGGAACGGCGTTGTGGCTAGTGTAAGCGAGAATTGCCGACGACATCCGCGCACAGCCGAGCATACCCGCTATCAATCTGGCCCATGTAAAACATCATAACCCGCGTGGCAACAGCTTTTTTATAGATCGAGCAGCAACCGGTTATATATGGGTCAAGACCATCAAGCACGGCCAGATTGATCCACGATGATCCACATAGCTTCTGTCGGCTAACGTCTGTCAGGCACTTCGGTTGCCGTTTACCCGACTTACACTCGTATCTTGGGCGTGGCCGAAATTCGACGAGGATGGACCAGACAACATTCTGTTTCACCATCACGCCAAAACAGACGGTGTTATATAGTGTAGAGAACTTCGAATCATGGCTTATGAAAGGCTAGACAGGGTCTCGACCTCATCGGATCATAATATAACAAGGTAATGATTTCGAAATATATCCCGTCGGCAAGCCGACGCTTTCGAGCCGGCTTTTGCCAAGTCGGATATCCAGGCCAAGGTTGCAAGGAAGCGAGGGTCATAATGCAATAAGACGGCAGTCACAGCTAAGCACTACCGCGTGTTTGGGCTCCTGAACCAGAGGTGATCCGGAAAAATCCAGGGCGACGGATGATAACTCGCCAGGCAAAAGAGTATGCCATTTTTACCGGCAAAACAAGTGCTTTAGTTGCCTTCGCGGCCGCGCCTAGAAGGCTGCCAACAAACCTGTCGGGAATGAACTTTAAGATCCCAGCCCAAGGGATACAAATGAATCCACATATTATGCATATTGCCCACTGTGGCCCATCAAGTCTAGTGACATGAAAGGCAGCCCCTCCGACGAATATGATCAGGATCTGGCCTCCCACCATCACGGCATTAATCGCAAAGAACCAGTAGTTCCTCTGTATCCCCTCGAAGATGTTGAACTTGTTGTCGAGGCGGCGGCAGTTGAGTTCGTTGAATATTTGCATCCAGACAAAAGTGTTGAAGATAATGGTGTCGAGTTGGAGCCGTTCCGTGTAGTCTTCGGTATTCAGGTCAAGGATCCTACCTCCTGCAAAATAGAGGGTGAAGCAGAGCCCGAGCTTGTATATGGATTGACCCAGTATCATCTTCCACATTGTGGTAGTGAACAGCGGAGCATTCCTAGGGGTCGGGGGACGATTTAAGATGCCCGCTGTAGGCGGATCCGTTGCTCTAAGGATAGGAGATTAGAATGAGATATAACGTTCTTCACGTTCTCTTCCAGAGGTCGAGGTTGTCAAATGCATCGCTAATACTCACAAAGCTAATGCAGCAAAAGTATCCATAATTAAATTCAGCCATAGCAACTGAATCGCCTTGAAAACGCTTTCATTCTCATCACTGTAAATGGCTGTCACTACCGTGATCAAGACAGCGGTGATATTCACGGTGATCTGGAACTGTGTGGTGTCAGCAGCGATCGTTTAGGGTATCCTGTCATCAAAGGTATACCTGCAGGAACTTGGCGACAGCATCGTTAACCGAACGTCCCCAGGCAATCGCAGTAACAATTGACTTGAAGTTGTCGTCGAGAAGGACTATCGAGCTGGCTTCTCTGGCCACGTCGGTACCACTCATTCCCATCGAGAAACCCACGTCCGCCGATTTCAGAGCTGGTCCATCATTGGTCCCATCGCCAGTGACAGCCACAATTTCTCCAAGATGTCGTAGACGCTCAACCAGAACCCGTTTGTCCTCTGGAGATGAGCGCGCCAGGACCTGGAGCCGTGGAAGGACGTTGTCTAATTCGCCATCTCCCAGTTTCCGAAAGACAGATCCTTCCATGATCACCCCGTCTTCAGATGTTATGCCGCATGACGTGGCGATTGCTCGAGCGGTGCCAACATTGTCACCTGTTCTATGTGAGCATCTCAGGCGGAATGAGCAGCGTTTGGCCAAAGCACCAACCAGTAACCATCTTCACCTGGATTCCAGCTGCACGACATGTTCGAATTGCTTCTGCAACTTCCGGCCTTAGCGGGTCCTGAATGCCAAATACCCCAATCCATGTCAGATCATTGACAACCGTTTCGAAGCCCTTCGCGTTGTCTTCCAGGCCGTTGTGTTTTGCAGGAGGCCAGAGGTGGAAATCCCGATAGGCCACGGCTATGGTGCGCAGGCCCGTTTCAGCGAACATGGCAATCGTGTCGGAGATTACCTGGCGATCTTCCTCTCGCATGCGTGCTTTTTCAATCGTGTCTGCACTTGGCTCAGCCTTCGGTGCCAAGACCAGTCCTGTGGAAGACCGAAGTACAAGCTCGGCAGCTCCCTTCACCAGCAACCGATACCCAGTGGGAGTCCTATACACCACCGCCATAGCTTTGCGAGCAGAATCAAAAGGGTACACATGGACTAACTGCATGTTTGCTTGCTCTTGGGCGAGGCTTGTCATTCCAAGGTGTCTCTTCGCGAACTGAAGGAGAGCTACCTCCGTCTTGTTTCCACTGAAAGCCATTCCATCCTCATTTTGAACCTCAAATGCAGTAGAGTTGCGAATGACACTTGCGCGAAGAAGTTCCGTAAAGGCCCCTGTTAACTTCTGCAAAGTTTCCGCAACGGTGGCTGTATCTCTGTGTGGAAGGGGACTGGCGGGCCGCTCCCCAAACAGCTCATGAGTGCCGAACAAGCCGGCCACTACGGTCATCTTGTTCTCTGTCAGCGTTCCTGTCTTATCCGAGCATATAACAGTAGCGTTTCCCATTGTCTCGCAAGCCCGAAGCAGCCGTACGAGGTTGTTCTCCTTCAGCATCCGAGCCGTTGCAAATGCTAATGCTAACGTCACGGCAAGTGGGAGGCCCTCTGAAGACATCGTTAGTGGATTTACTCCAAATCCGGAAACTTTCTTCCATACCAGGTATTGCAACAACGATGACTGTGACTGCTACGATTAAGATGTCCATGAATTCCTGGCCTTTCTCCGCAGGCGTGGCGTCATTTCCTTGGAGCTGTACCAAAAAGCGGATGAAGAGGACGGCGAATAACAGCAGAGCCGCGCTGGTTCCCTTTGTATCAGCGTCTGGCCTTGACGAGGATGTCAGTTAGCCTCGCATACCTCAATCCAAACCATCCTATCCAGTTTGCCAGCCGACCCAGCTTTACTTGCAGCGGGGTGGGCTCAGAGTCGCTTCCCAAGGCGCTTAATATTTTGCCATACGTTGAATGGGTTCCGACGCTGGTGACCAGGTATGTGCCCAGTCCCTCGAGGACCTTGCTGCCGGATATAATAAAAGGGTCCAGCTCCTCCGACGGTCCGCCACTGCTGAGACTATCCCACGCTTCAGTCCCACTGACTTTCTCAACCTGGTCCGACTCGCCGGTTGTTGACGATTCGTCGCACTTGATTCCATGGTTTGTTATAACCACGCCGTCGCAGGGAGCAGAGTCCCCAGCCTCCAGATGCACAACGTCCCCCACGGTTAATTCGCTGATGTGCACCAGGTCGGTCTTCCCGGAGCGTACCACTTTCACTTGGCGATCGGATTTCTGTAGAGGTCAGTACATGCCATGACGCGATCCGCATATAAATTACCCGTCTGTTCAACTTCGCAAACTGTTTCGCTTTCTGCCAGTCATTCCCTGCCGTGGCCCCAACTACTATCACGATAGCAATGCACACGGCAACCCCCTCAATCCAGTCTACCTGAGACTGCCCACTCACTGCTTCATATATGCCAAGGGACAACGACACGACAGCTGCAATGGTCAGGAGAATCAGGATTTTGTCGTTGTAGGCATCCCAAAGGAGTCTCAGGAAACTCTTTCTTCTGGCGGCGGGGACGACGTTACGCCCAAATACCCGTCTTCTATCTGAGAACGGCGGTGACGGCGCCCGCGGTAGGGACACAGAAGCGCCTGTGAAATATTCTGGAAAGCCCTTCTTGTTTGATCCACCAATTTCGTGGACCTGCGCAAAGGTGGCATAACCCAGCAGTGTAGTCTCATCCGCTGATAATCCCGCCGTTAAATCGGTTTGCAGCCCGTACTCTAGGCCGTGGAGGCCTCCCACAGCATGGAAAGCATCGAGCGATTTCGGATTCAGGAGCTTATTCAACTGGCCGGGAGTGAAGGCGAATTTGTTGTCGGTTATGTGGTCTCCTTTCTCATCTTGGGGGTCTGGGGCCAGTACTTCGGGCAGAGACTCGTTGGTGTAGCGTGGTATGCTAGGCTTGGCCATTTGTACTGATCAAGCAAGCCATCATTGGAGTGGTCTTGTTACCATATGTCCATATCTGGTTTCGACCGTGACTTATATATAACGGAAACCGTAACCAGATATGTTTCTACGCTAGCCTGTCACCAACTGTGGCAATGTATACCTTTTGAGGTAGCCGTTCGAAATGACTACGTAGCGACTCCCGACACCTGAAAGATCCATAACGAGTGGTAACCTGGTTACAGAATCAAGATGTTGATGTTGGCCATCCATAACGATCTATTTGCCCATGGCGCCTTACACAGCCCCCCTTGGCACATGGTGCATTGTTTGGGTCACCCAACTTCTACCGCGAAGGTTAACTGGCTGCTACGTCAACACTTCATTTCTTAGGATGTACATTAGAAACATTATGCTGCTGCCAATAATGGGGTCTAGATCCGTTGGATTTAATAGCAGTGTCGGTGGCGAGGGTACTGACCAAAGATTAGTTCTCGGTAGAATTGATCAGGACATGACGCACGGAATTAGAAAACTAGATCATCGATCTTGCAATCATTTTGAGAGGCGCTCTTGGCCAGCTGTAATGTGGCCCTGCATGGTTATCAATCTACGCTCTTATCAATGAAGCCATAATAAGGTGTAATATATCTCAACAGGCGCCATATCAGTGCAAGTCTCGGAGAGTCTGACCGTCATACCGTGGGTATTAGGCTGCATCTATATAGGCTAATGTCACGATATAAGACGTAAAGCTTACTCATGAGGACGGTCACCCTGTCCATTGCATTCTCTCACCATGGTCATCTTGATCCATATAGCCTTGGTGGGCTCATTGTTACTTGTGCAAGGGAGCAGGCGAAGAACATCCAAGCCGTGTTCCACGCTGACACCTGCGAAAAGAGCATACTTCTCGAAAGCACTCTATACAACCCAGGATACAACAACACTCTCCATGTGCGCACCACCCACTCTTTCAACAACAAACCTATTAGCCAAGTCCAGTTCGACGATGTACCAACAGGCGCTGCAACCGGGACCGGTCCTAAATCAGCCTATTCCTATCTGAAGTCCAGCAGCTTTACAGCTGTCGACACCCTCGCCGCAGCCTCCCTCCGCTTGACATCATCTAGTTCGTTGGCGACGTTTATATATGAAGTCCAACTCCCTTCACAGCGAGATCCTGTCTAATACCTTCATAATATTTTCTATGAACCTCACACCGATGACGTCGTCGTCGACGTCTTCAGTCTCCAAGTCTCCAAAGCTTTCGTTGTCGGCATCCAAACACGTCAAGCACGAAACCACCACTTGCGCGTATTTATCACCCATGCGCTGTGCCAGCCTCGTAGATGCCTGCTCAACCAGGAAGTTCTTGAGCTGCCACGCTAGATCGTTGAACGAGGATATCGGACTTTTTCTCTGACACCACGCAATGAAATCGTAATATGGTTCGCCGAACTTGGACTGCGGAGCAGAGGGAGAATTGAATGACGCTTCAGGTGGGTCTTCGTACTTCACAAAGGATTTCCAGAGGCCGATTTCGAGTAGACAGACGCCCAGACTGTAGATGTCGTGGCGCATGTTGTATTTTTCGGAGGGGTCTGTACCTTGTCGGTTCGGGTGGCGGTAGACATTGCGAGCCCAGGTCATGTCTCCTTCCATCAGCGTGCCGGCGTCTGCTGCGCGGAAGGCATCAAAGCCGACGAGAACAGAATGGTTGTACTTGGACTGTGGCATCTCGAAGCAGAGTACCGACTCGGGGCGAATGTTCTTGTGGACAAATGCAAAGGTATGAACGTAGTTTACAGCTTTTCCAAGTTCACGCGATATATTGATTTTTCGGGATAATGAGATGTCATCGTCTGAGTCGAGCAGCAATTGGCGTAGGGACCGCAATTTTTCTATATCTTGCGGCGAGCGGAAGATAATTTGGAATTGAGAATATTCTCTCTGGCCTGGCGATGGTGAGAGAAGGCGAGGCGGGGCGGAGGTAGGAGGCTCCAAGCTTTCGCCGAACTGCTGGGCTACGGCAGACGCTATGTCCGGTCGTGGAACTGCGACAACCCCTTTGCAGTTCAGAAGGCCAAAGGCCAAAGGATCGGCTTGTGCAAGCTTCGCCGCGAGAACACGCACGTCTCGGGCAATAGAGCTTACTCGTGTCGCGTCTCCGACCTCGATGGTGTCAACAATATACCACTTGTCTCCCCTTGCGTCTTGTCGTCTGCCTGCTCTGGCATCTGAGAAGGGTATATCAGCCCACTCCATCTGCATCTCCGGTAGGAAAAGCGATCTGGTTTGTTCTTTAGAGGGTGACAGCACATTTCGCAGTCCGGCAGCGAGAGCAAGAGGGGTCTTAGCGGCAGTTGCAGGCCCACGCACTTTTGCCTCTGCAGCTTTTGCCTTTGCCAACTCAGTATCTAAGATTGGGCTTGCGATCTTGATAAGAAGGTACCACGAGGGGTCAAAGCGGCGCTGCCACGCCTCAAGCTCGGATACAACGTTGTCGAGTGCCTCCTTCTGCCAAACCCAAGCCGCCTTGGATCTGAACCGAGAGAGGAAGATCTTCGGTCGAGAAGGCGACGGCCTTTGGGCGACTTCTTCTAGAGTATTCACAGCAATAGAGAGGCTGAGCAAGAGCTGGTTTAACAGCTCGTCTATGACACGGCAATGGTCCGCATCCATGATAGGTGTGATGCGGACAACAAAGTCCACTTGTCGTTTCGTGCGGTCCCAGCAGGACTCGACAATGATTACTCGTTTCTCCACCTCAGTCTCTGCATGCCTCCAGGTCGAGCATACGTCTATCAACTTGGCACCAATCCTAAGAGAGTCAGGGACACTATTTTAGGCCAAAAACAGGAATATCAAACATACCTGTAGCACATATCCACGAGGGTGATTATCGTACCTGGATCCATGATGACTAGTAGCACATGCACAAACTCTAAAGTCTAGTTGCTTAATTGGTATACGGATCCTAGGTTGCATTTATAAGGGGATGTGGTCGAGATAATGCGCGGTCGAGCTGGAAAGGAAGATGGAGCCATAAGCGCCTCAGTGTGGGATCCCACAGCATGTGACCCAAAATGAGGCTGAGGGCGCCAAATGCGGGCTGGTTGGCCAAATACACGAGATCACGTTCAACTGAAATGTTTGCTTTTGATGCCTCTTAATTCTTGTCATTGCTCCGGGCCTTGCGAGCGAACTCCTCCCTCTGAGCCTGATAACCCAGAGCAACTATTCGTCCTGGTATTGCTTTAGATCTGCCAAAGAAGCACGACACATGGAGGCATTTGCAGAATCCCCGCTACGTGACTGGAAACTTCAAACCACGAAGAACCATGGGGACTGGTACCATACACGGTCAACGGGCATTGAGTCCTGGCGCCCGGTCAAAAGCCTGGGGAGCGGCTCCTTTGGAGAGGTTTGGCAGGAGCAATGCACCTCCAGACCCTCGCAGAGCAGCGTTCGGGCTGTGAAACATCTTCAGAAGCGACAGGCAAAATTCCTAGAGATGTCACAGCGAGAGCTTAATGCCCTTGTCACTTTCTCTGAGGCTGAGGTAGGTAGCAGTAGAAAAATTGATCGGCTGGCAACCGGACTAATCACTGGTGTCGCAGTACAAGCATTACTTTGTCCAATTCCTTGGCTGGTTTGATGATCCACACAATCTCTATATTGCGATGGAATTTGTTGAGCATGGCAACCTTCAGAGCTTTATAACTGCCCCTTTCCCAGAACATGAAGCCGCAGCAATTATCACCCAAGTGGCACGAGCATTGCAATACATGCACCAGCGCAACTTTGTTCATCGGGATGTTAAGCCCTTGGTACCTGCCCCTATCCTTCAGCGTCTTCCATCAACTGACATTTCCCGAGAATATCCTAGTTTCATCCCCACGTCCAAAGTGGCATGTTAAACTCGCCGATTTCGGAATTGCAAAGAAGACAGATGGCACTTTTCTAGAAACGCACTATATTGGGTCCCCTGGCTATATGGCCCCGGAGCTGTATGGTGACCCTTCTCGTCATTATACCGCGGCAGTCGACGTATGGGCACTGGGAGCCGTGGCTTTTTGCCTGCGCACATGCTCTCCTCCTTTCAGAACAATCAAACACTTGCTCGACTACGCTCACGACCATAGGGTCCAATTCCCAATCCGGCCACTGGGGACTTCGAGCAGCTTTTGTATGAACTTTGTTCTGGGAACAATGGCGGACTTGCCTGAGCGTCGATTGATAATTGAACATGTGCTCGCTCACGAGTGGCTCTCGCAAAATTCTACGGCGAGTGAGGGGTGGGTTGGCACATTATTTCCCATTTCCATTTGGGCGGTCGTACTGATTTTCGAAGAGCTGACACAAGCGTGCCCTCCTCGACGGTCTCCACAATGTGGAGTATATCCCCATCAAACGCCTGGTCTAATACATACAACAACACCGGAATCCAACCTCCGCGACCCCTTTCGCCTGCCATACCGATGACATCCCTTACCTCAGTGACCGCGTCACAGGCAGAGCACTTGGAAAACGAATTAGAGAAAGGCCTGGACAGTCTGCAACTGGGCGGTGGGGAAATTAAGGATGACAATGAGCCCGCGAGAGAAGGCGCGGCAAACGCAATTGACCATGAAACTAGGAAAGTGATACAGCGCTTAACAGAACTCACCCTGCTCTATCGCCAGCAACAGGATTTCGGGTTTGTGGAGCTGCTTGGAGGTGAGCTGCTCAGTCGTACGCGTCGAGCCTTTGGCAACAAGCACCTGGCCACCATAAACGCCCTGGTAACTCTCGCGGACAATTACCGAGAACAGGACAAACACACAAAATCAGAGCCACTATACAAAGAGGTCTTTTATCTGCGTCGCGAACTACTCGGGGACGGACACCCGGAGACAATCAACGCCCTAGATAGTCTCGCCAAGACATACATTGCACGGCAAAATTACGCGGAGGCGAAAGCAAGCTACGAACAACTTCTCTCTCTCCGGAAGGATATTGCTGGCTTGGACCATCCAGATACAGCGATAACCTTGACAGGTCTTAAAGCCATCAACCAGACAATGAGCACGCCGTTGAAAACTAAGCAGCATGTAGAGAAAGTCGCCGTCAAAGCTCCCCCTTACCGATGCGTCAGACTGACGAGTTAGCATTGCCCGGATTATTCTCTACGTACCGATTAAGCCCGCTAACGATGTAATTCAGTTATCGGCGCCGATGGCCTCGCTAAAAACAATATCTTCCGTGAGTGCCTGATAGACTAGATGGATTTTTCTGGAAGCCCATTGGCTGATTAATTGCCTCCCCTCCTCACTCTAGGATTTCCTGACCCCTACGCCGCTGTCACAGTTATTATGGGAGAACTGAAGGGGAACACGCAAACCACTTCTGTAGAAAAGAAGACTCTTAATCCGTTTTGGAATGAGTCGTTTAGCCTGTAAGTTAATTCCAACCCCACCAGACTGGTACGGGGTATGGTGTCCCGAAGAGAAACGCCAATATTGACAGCAGTGCCCATACAGCAGGGTAAACACATATTGCTATTGGTATATCGTGATACAAGACCTGAAGAGGCTCATGAAGTCAGACAAGGGCGTTTTGGGTGCCGTGGACTTCCGCGTCGGCGATGTCATAGACTTGACTAAGGATGACGGTGATGGTGCGATATCTCCCTCTGATCTTTGCGAAATGGGGTGGCTGTCTTATGATTTCGTTTCTCTCTTCTTCTTAGCAGAAGGCTGACTTCACTCCTGCTCTTGCAACAGATATAACGATAATCCGTGACCTCTATGACCCCCAAACACATAAGCTCCGTTCTCAGGGGAGAATCAGGTTGAATCTCGCTACCAGGAGAGTAGATACGGTAGACGAGGAGCTTGGTGGCCCATCATCTGCAAGTTTTGGGAAGCAATCCCTGCCGCAACCAGCAACTGAAAGGGATAATACACGCTTTCACGACACAATGGGCTGCGAGCTTCCAGCGGGGGGGTTCAGTTTGGAAGACAGTAAAGGCAATGCTTATTACATATATTGACCACAATACGAGGAGCACAACCTGGTTTTCACCAGTAACTAGGAATACAGCTGGATTAGCTGCGTCGAGCGTTATAACTCTTGTAGCGTTCTTCTCTTGTGAGGCTCTATCTCCATTCCCGACGTGGCTTGTGCAAACTTCCCAGAGGAATCCATTCTTCATCGCGCGTGCTAGGGGTAGCCATCCGACGCGATCACGCTGGGCATCCGACCCAGCTGGACTGCATGCTGCTGGTCCTTCGCCTTTTCCAACCTTGATGGACTCTCTATCAAGCCACTTGGGGACGTGCCGCGCAGTCACATCCCGGAGACCCTGGCATGGGAGCTTCGCGACTCGGGGCACAGAACGTGTAGAACACATGGATTGCGTGTAGTAGAGAAAGTTACAAGGAGATGGATATGTCCGGGATATCTTGGGGACGAATGTTAACGTGGTTGAGATCTTTGCTCTGGCTCCGGATGAGCAGGAGGTGTGGGCATTCTGTCTGGATGATCTCGAGGTTGAACTTTTGGATCGGAGTATGGATGAGTGAGTGTAGGGATGCTTGACAGCATCTAGGATCTCCCAATCCATACCTTTGAATATCCAGGGAATATCGGCAGCTGGCTATTGAGTCGTATTCTATTCGCGTCTCATGAGCTATGTGCTTGTGTACCTCCATGTCGATTGACTCTGATTCTAACAACGTCTGCAGGAACAAGGCTGACAACGACGAGAACAATCCATGAATATGATGTGCCTCTCACCAACCAGGAGATTAATTTCAATCCATATTTGCTGTCCGAGAGGAGACTTAGACGCCATGGTGCCCACGAATGTGCTGAACTTGATGCCGCCAGCTGGAGTCAATCGTGCAGGGCGACCCACGAGCAAAAGCTTGGACAGAATCCCAAGGCTGCCTCTGAAGAGCTGCATGATATGTCCGCGGAGATTGCAATACCTGCAAGCAGCTTACCGCCTCGCTTTGTGACAGGGAAGTCCCCGATAAAGTAGGTAGCCAATGCAGCACCCTTGGCCGCACAACAGCGAACCAGCCCGTAAGCAGCTATTTATCCGGAGATCACCACCAGCCATCAAAGCAAATGCAGCGCATGCTTTCATAAACAAGGCACACGCCACTGGAACCAGTATCCCCACCACTCACAAAATGTCGATCGCGCAAGAGTCGTCAACCTCAGCTCCGCAGGATGCAGCCTGCATGCTGCGGATTCCATCCGGACAATACTCCCGATGCTCGATGCGGGGAAGGCCTGTAGCGCCCTGACCGAGGTCCGTAGAACACCACTGGACTGCCCAGGCAATAATCGAGGCGATGGATATTTAGGCGCGATCCCCGCGTTCTGTGCCGTCTTTTTCTTTCCAGCGTGTGCATATTTTCTCGCGGAAGCAAGTATAGACCATGATCTTCACATCTACACGACCCCAGCTGCAGAGTAAGTACTTCCTCGAGTCGCTGGCAGAATCGCTCTCACGACGATAGTCCCAACAAACCTTCCAATATGGGACTGGCTGTTTGACTCGGAACACTCCCCGCTGCGCCGATTTCCTCCCGCAGAGCTGGGCGCCTACGTCAATGCCGTGACCGAGGAGCGAGTGCGCTACGACGAGCTGAAGGAATACACCACGTACATTTCCACCGCATTGGTTCGCAAATATGGCCTCCAGCCCGGCGAAACGGTCGCCCTGTTCAGCCCCAATACCATCTGGTACCCCGTGGCCATGCTGTCCACCGTGCGCGCAGGTAGGTCGCTCGCTCCTGAAATGGAACCCTCTAACAATGCTAGGCGGCGTGGTTTCCGGCGCTTCGCCCGCGTACAACGTCGAGGAAATGACCTACGCGCTCAAAACCGCCCAGGCGAAGTACCTCATGACCGTCCCGTCGTCTATGGAAGTGGCCGTCCCCGCGGCGCAGGCCGCGGGCATCCCCCAGGAGCGCATTTTCCTCCTCGACGGGCAAAAAGAGGGGTACACTAGCGTGCAGGAGCTGATCCAGATCGGGAAGAGCTATGCCGATGCCCAGGTCGAGTCGTTCAAGCTCTCCCCGGGCCAGACGAACCGCGAGGTGTGCGGGTTTCTGAGCTTCAGTAGTGGCACCACTGGATTGCCTAAAGCGGTGCGTCGACTCGGCTTAAAACATCAGGTAAATACTTACGTCCGCTAGGTGATGATCAGCCACCACAATGTGATTGCGCAGTGCATGCAGGTGCAGCAGGTGACAGCGCCGGACCACAAGCGGTCGCTAGCCGTACTGCCTCTCTTCCACAGTGCGTGCCTGCATAAAGCCCACAGGGATACCCATGCTAACGCGCCCAGTCACCGGCCTCGTGCACCAGATGCACCTCCCCGTCTTCCTCAACTCGGAGGTGTACATGCTGCCCGCGTTCACAATGGCGAGCATGCTCGACACGGTCGTCAAGTACCAGATCCGCGAGCTGCTCCTCGTGCCGCCCATCGTGATCCGGCTGCTCTCCGACCCCATCGTCGCGAACTACGACCTCTCGCACGTGCGCAAGTTCTCGTCCGGCGCGGCGCCGATCGCGCGCGAGGTGCTCGTCAAGCTGCAGGAGCGCTACCCGCACACGGGCTTCAAGCAGGGCTACGGCATGACTGAGACGTCCAGCTGCATCACCATGCACCCGCTGGACAAGCAGTCGTACGCGTACGCTGACCGCGGCGGCAGCATCGCGGCCAATACGGAAGTCAAGATCGTCGATGTCGACTCGGGCGCGGAGCTGGGGTATAACCAGGCCGGGGAGATCCTGGCTCGCGGCCCGCAGATCGTCATGGGGTATCTGAATAACGAGAAGGCGACCCGCGAGACCTTTGATGCGGATGGCTGGCTGCATACGGGTGACATCGGGTTCATGGATCAGGAGGGCTTCATCAACATCACCGACCGCATCAAGGAGATGATCAAGGTGAAGGGGATTGCGGTGTCGCCGGCGGAGCTGGAGGATCTGCTGCTAGGGCATGAGGATGTTGAGGATGTTGCGGTGACGTCCATCCCGGACGCGTACTCGGGCGAACGGCCCAAGGCGTATGTCGCGCTGAAGCCGGCGGTCAAGGAGCGGCTGGGGGGCACCGGCGGGCTGGTCGATACCGGGCGCAGGATCATCGAGTATGTGCGCGCGAAGAAGGTCCGGCACAAGTGGATTGTCGAGGTGGAATTTGTTGATGAAATCCCGAAGAGCCCTAGTGGGAAGATCCTGCGACGGGTGCTGCGCGACCAGGAGAAGGGGAATCGCAGTGGGAAGCGGTTCGTGGTGCGCGACGAGCGGACCAGAGCGAAGCTTTAGTCGGGGTCAGGTAGATAATGCCATGCTAGTTGTGGTGGTGGTTTGTTGATTGTTGAAGATATACAGATCGATCGATGTAGCATTGTCGACGTCATCGCCACCGGTCTGATCGATCGACCCAACTACAAAAGCTCTTCCCCATCCCTTATTCACTCGCACATAATTAAGACAGACCAAAATGTCCGCAACATCAAAAAAGTACCTCTTTGGCGGCGACCGGTAAGCCTCCATCATCATCCATCAACGCAGTAGTAACGATAAACAGCCCATGGTCCCCCGAAGAGTGGACCGCATCCGACGACCAAGTGCGAGGGGGATCCTCCTACTCGATCCTGGACTGCAATCCCTCGTCGCCGACTGCGCTCTTCCACGGAAACCTAGACACCCACACGCTCGGAGGTGCGGGCTTTGCCTCGCAACGCACGACAGGCGACCGCACGTGGAATTTAGCCGACGACGACGGTCTGGAACTGGACATTGGCCGCTCCGACGGGAAGACGTACACCATCACTCTGAAGGATGCGATTCCGCCCAAACGCAGCGACGGTCGGGACGAGAGCACCCTGAGCTGGGAGTATGATTTTCGCGCGGACAACGAGAAGATATTCGTCAAATGGAGCGAGTTCAAGCCTACCTACCGGGGTAGAGAGCAGAAGGATGCGAAGCCGTTGGATTTGGAGCATATCAAGCGGATTAGTCTGATGATGCGGAGGTAGGTGCTCTCATCCTTGGAATGGCGTGTACTGACAGTGGTAGCTTTTTCGATACGCAAGAGGGGGACTTTTTCCTGGAGGTTCATTCCATTGCAGCTGTTCGCACGGCCGTTTACCAAGACGATTCGGACGATGAATGGGTGTCGATTGATAATCTCGAGAAAGCTCCTCCGAAGCACGGAGGAGGATTGTTGCAGTGGCTCTTAGAGACATGCGGCGTTATCAGCAGGCGTTGATCGATATGCGCATATGCAACCATCTGGCATTAGGACTATCAAGCGTATAAACAATATGGATAATATCACTTCCTCCCCACTTTCTCCAGCCCAGTCCCATACGCAAGCGCCTTATCCTACACCCGTCAGCCACCTAGGTCACAGAAACCCATCAGAAGAAGGGAGACTTACCAAAATCCACGTCGGAAACCAGCTCAATAAGAACTTGACCGTCGAGGCCGACGCCCCATACCACACCGTCCCCGTCGACCCCGCCGTCAGCCGATTTACTACCTTCTCCGCATACGTGATCGCGTCCATCCGAGGAACACCATCCTCCCAATGCGCCCGCGCGTAGATGGTCTTCTCGATGCTCTTGTACAGCGAGTCCTCGGGCAGATGCCAGTCCGCAAAATACGACTGGCCGCGCGTGCGCACCGCCCCCGTAATGATGGACAGCACCTTGACGCCGAACGGGGCGAGCTCGAGGCGCAGGGTTTCGGCGATGATTTCCTGCGAGCGTTTCGAGGCGGCATACACACCTGTCTCATCAGTATCCCGCAAGATGTAGAGCATGCGCGGACTCACCCATATACGGCACGTTGACGTGCCCCGCGATGGACGTCACAAATCCGATCGTCCCCTTCGCCTGGATGACTAGCGGGGCAAACGCCTGGGTCACGGCGAGCGAGCCCCAGACGTTGGTGTCGAAGAGCTCGCGCGCTTCGGCGATGTTCTCGTCGAGGATCGGCATGTAGCGGTTGTGGCCGGCGTTGTTGATCAGGTAGTGCAGACGGCCGTCGGTTTCTTTGGTCACCGCCGCGACGGCGTCGGTGATCTGCGTCTGGTTCGTCACGTCGAGCCGCAGGAAGGTCATGTTGCGCAGGTCTTTGAGCGCGCCCATTGTGTTGGGGTTGCGCGCGGTCGCGAACACATGGTAGCCCTTGCGGTGGAAGACGATGGCCAGGGCGGAGCCGATGCCGCCGTCGGTGCAGCCGGTGATGAGGACGTATTTGGTGGACATTTTACTGGTGTCGTGTAATGGGATGGGGGAGCATTTAAAGTAGTTCCAAGGTTGACAGTGATATTATATGTCCTCAACATGACATGTAAGCACTAATGACCGTGGCCAAGAGCATTTTACATACCAGCCACTGAGAGGAACGACTGGCCAGGTCGTATAGTTGCCGGGCATCCGGGCGAATAACAGTCCTATCCATATCTACCTCTTAGGTATAAAGCTATGTAGCTATCAGCATGTGTCCAACATGCTCACCAGAGCAGCCTTCTCCGCCGAAGTAACCGTCAGATCATACACCGACTTGACCTTCACCCACATACGCGCATACGTGCAGTGATACGACGCTGCCACAGGTTAGCCTCGTTCTACCATTATGTACCAACCTACGCAACTCACCCAGCGGCGGCTTCCACTCCTCCGGCCCATCGTCCCCCTTGGCCTGGTTCACATTGTCCGTGACAGCCAGCAGCTGCGGGTTCGTCAAGTCGTTGGCAAACTTCTCGCGCTGGGCAGTCGTCCATTTCGACGCGCCGGACTGTACACATCAGCAACGCTCGGCTCTAGGCTTACAGGACATACCTTCCAGGCATTCGACAGCGGCACGACATGGTCAATGTCCACGTCGCTTGGGTCCGTCCAGGTCGCCCCGTCGTAGGGCGAGTACCAGGTCCCGCTCACGGCGCAGCTGGATCCTTGCTTGACGTTGGTGCCGTCGCGGATGAGCACGATGTCGCGCGTGTCGCACGAGCTGGCTTGTCAGCCGGGCGCTACATCATGGTGTCTATCGGGTGTGACAGGCTCAGGATCCTACTTACTTCCCCTGGCTGTCCCAGTGCGGAAACAAATCACGGTCGTAGCCGTCGCTGGAGCCCTGAGCTGCCACTGTCAACCCCGCCAGCTGGTTCTGCGCTGTTGCGGCAGAGGGGATGCCCGGGGGAGTGGGCATGGGCATGGGAGCCGGGGCCGGGATAGCCCCGACGAGGGGGAGGACCAGGAGGGCAGGGAGAAAGCGGGCCATGCTGGTGGTGTGAGTATAATCAACGGTGAGACTACAGTACAGGCTCATGGGGTTGTTTATATACGTCTCCTGAAGGGTATCTCGCACTCTACGCAGCTGACCACCACACATTCACCAGTGTAACACGCCTTGCTTGGCAGAGACTAAAAGCATCGCTGCGGAATGTATTGGCCCTCGCTGCATGGCCTAACGTCGCGCGCTTCTTATCACACACTTGTCCCGGCCACGATCTGCCAGCAGACGCAGCGATTGGCGCTTGGCTGGGGACGGGGTCTTCAGTGTCGGATATACATTAATCGGGGACGGAGTCCGGCGGGTTGCCAGTACTGGGTTGTATCTCCATGCCGATCGCATTGGATCAGTATTCCAGACATGCATGATCAGCATGCCGTAACATTAGCCTCGTATACTATTATATAACGGATCGAGCAGCTGATACGCGGACAGCAAATGCAAGTGCCTGCCCTGCAGGCCACGAGCCTTCCATCAACCCATATATACATCTCTAAGCACCCATTTTCCCAGCCGGTAACTCGTGCATCATCTCATGGTCCCCCGGCAGCTCCGACGGCTGCGACCGACCATCCAGCTCTCCCGGCGGCGAGGGACCTTTTGCATCCAACGGAGCCGACGCATTCTCCGGCTGTTTGCGCTTTCGGAGGAAAAACCACAGCAGCGCGAGGATGATCGCCAACCCGGCGACGCCGCCCACCACGCCGCCGGCGATCGCGCCCGTGTTGGTGCCGGAGCCTGTATCGTCGGGGGACGAGGTCGCAGTCGAGGATGTCGTGCCCGTGCTCGTGCTTGTGCTCGTGCTCGTGCTCGTTCCGGATGTCGTCGCGAGGGTGGAGGATGCGACCGTGCCTACACCACATTAGCACCCCATCAACAAGGACGCATGCCCAATTCAATAAGAGGCGTGGTACCCGACTGCGAAATCGCCGCGATAATCGTCTCGTTCACATTATCCGGCAACTCATCCGAACAACCCACCGCGTCGGGCGGATTCGACGTCCAGAAGCCCGTCTGCCCCGGCAGACAGCAGAAGTACCCCGTGTGGTCGAACATGCTGGCGGAGTCATTGGCGCAGTGCGGGCTCGCGACGAGCGGGATCGTGCAGTTCGACCACGACGGACAGCACACCTGGTTGTAGTAGTTGGCGCGCGAGCCGGGACACACGGTCGAACCCGGACAGCAGGCGTAGAAGTCGCCCCAGGTGTGGCCGCAGCTGACCTCGTCGCTGAGACAGCCGCCGCTGCGGCGGAGGGCGAAGCCGATCGGGGAGTCGTAGGTGGATGCGCTCATCGTGTCCGGGGGTCGTTGATGGATGCAGTCAGGAGGGGAGAATCAGCCAGACGCACAGTCCAGGCTTGTCGCGGTGGGAGCCATGATGGAGCAGACAGAGTCTTACTCCGTAGTGGTGTCAGCATGTCCACTACGATGGAAGGGGAAGAGATCAGACTCGGCCCCCAAATCCTGTGCGGAAAAGAGGTGGAGCAGACGGACGGACTAGAAGAGCACTAAGAGAGCCCGATATCTTAGGTCCTTTAGTGGGTTTAGGGTTCCAGCCACTCAGCCGATATGCTAGGAGCTTTTGTTGGAAAAATAATACTCATACTAAGCTACTAGGTACAACAGTTTGATTACAATCCCAACGCCTGCACAAGTGCCTGGCCAACCGCCGTCGCGCTGGCCGGGTTCTGGCCCGTAATCAAGGGCGCCCCTGAGCCCGCCGTCTTGGACACCACCACCTTCTCGCCCCATGGTTGGTCGGCCTTGACGTATCCGCCGCCGCTGACCTTGTTGAGCTCCGTCTCCAGCATGTACGGCATCAGCGAGCTCAGGTTGACCTGGTCCTCCTCGGTGTTGGAGAAGCCGGTGACGCTGGCGCCGGCGATCAAGGGCTCGCCCGAGGGAGTCGTGGCCTTGAGGAAGACGGTCGGACCGTGGCAGACGGCGCTGACGGGCTTGCCGGCGGCCGCAAAGGACTGGATCAGGGCGAGGGAGACAGGGTCGGAGTGCAGGTCGAACATGGCTGTGCAGGTTAGCAATTCTTCTGCGGTCTGTACACGGGGACGGAAAGGGACTTACGGCCATGTCCTCCCACGTAGAAGATAGCATCGAACTCCGAAACGCGAGAGACAAAGTCGCTCAGCTTGTGCGTGTTCTTCCAGAGCGCCGACTGCTCGTTGAGGAATTTGGTCGAGACCGGGTCGTTCTCGAACATCTTCACGGAGCTGGGGTCGAGTGGAGCTTCGCCTCCTTTGGGCGAGGCGATGACCAGCTCAGCTTTGTCGTGCAGAACCTCCCAGGGATGGGCGAATTCAGGCTGTGCATGGCGTTAGTGGCAGGGATGGAGGGGTAGCTGGAGGGGAGGGAGCGTAGACGTACCAGGTACCATCCAGTCGGGTGGCCATTGGGGAGTTGGTCGTGGGAGGTAAGGACGACAAGGATTTTGGGGGCCATAGTGAGCTGTTTGTATGCAGATAATTTGGTAATTCTTCAGAAGATGTCTGCGGAATGGAGAGCTCTGGTAGAACCGTCCGGCACTTTAAGCAAAAAGCGGTGGAGATGCATGACATCACCAGCCGGCGCTGCAGATTATTAATTCGGACGGCCGATCGTCTGGTTCCTCGGCTTCAGATCTTTGTAGAATTATCGAGATCCTAAGATGATTGACAGATCGCCTATGAAATAGTCCAACGCATGCATTCGTCCAACAGTCTAATTACAGATGCGCCAACACCGTCTCCGCCGAAGACACCTCGACAGCCCCCTTCTTGGTCTCAATCTGCGCATAAGTCACCTTGCCATGGTCAATCACCACGGCGTAGCGACCGGTGCGACCACCGTTCGCCCAGCCGAGGCTGCTGGAGAAGCGCGCCTCCGGGTCCGACAGGAACAAGATCTCGTCCTTGACGCCGTTGGCCTTGGCCCACGCGCTCATCACGAAGGGGTCGTTGGAGGCGACGACGGCGACGACCTGGACGCCCTTTTCCTTCAATTGCGGCAGGTTCTTGATATATCCGGGCATGTGGTTGACCGAGCAGGTGGGGGTGAAGGCGCCTACAGATATGGTTAGCATCGTCGGGAGGAAGAATATAGTGGAAAGGTAAATGTACCAGGCACCGAGAAGAGGACGACCTTCTTATCGGCCCATTCCTTAGAGGCCTCGTAGTTGATGGGAATGCCACAGGCGGTGATTTCGCCTTTTTCCTCGGTCCAGGGGATGTACCTGCGGGGTTAGCACTAGGACATAAGGTAGGGTATTCTGTTGAGGCGCACTGGAAGACGACGTTCTCGGGGAACTGATCACCGGGTTTGAGGGCCATATTGAGATATATCAGTATGACTGTATAGGCTGTGTCGAATATGGAGAGTTGGAGTTGTGGTGGTGGAATTGTAGGAGTGCGGGGTGTGGAGGATTAATACTGACAGCGGCGCATTCACCGCATCTCCCTCCCAGCACTAAACCGCCCGAATCCATGGGAACAAAGCAAATAATAGCGGTAATAACAGTGGGTCAGGGACCTGAGCTCTCGGAGGCCGCCGTCGCGGATCCAGCCGATAACCCTATTCCCCATGATTATACCATAATATAACTATGTCAAGGGAGAAGAAAAGAAAGAGGTGAGACTCAAGAAGAGGTCCTCCAATTGATGGTTCTTGTGTGTGACCTCTACAGAGTAGACATCGGCTAGGCCTAAACAGGCGAGCTAGAGGCCTGAGGCGCCGACAGTTCCCAAACGGTACGGAGTACAGCGGTCTCCAACATATCGCAATGGCTACGTCCTTAGGTAGGGAGTATTCCAGAGCTGCTCAAATGATAAAGTCCAGCTAACATAGGTACTATAATACAACGTATATCGATCGTCCGCACCTTGTGGAGGATGATGAAAGGGGAGTGGTTCATGTCTTGCTTCAAAATGGCGCCGATCCTGATCGAAAGAATAACAAGTGTAGGACGCCCAGAGCGTTGGCGAAGAAGTATGGGAACAAGAAAGCCCTACGGTTGATCCAGGCTTTTGACGATAATGAGAGGACTGAATGCGGGATGGCTTCCATACTTTCGTACCGAGAGTGAGACGAATGTGATGAACCGTTTAGCGTAGCATGTCCGTTCGAGGCTTGTTCGTGACAATTATGTCGCCATTAGCTTGTCTAGTATACATAGCATCCTCTCTATCATTCGACAGTTGCTGGATCGGATTCGCTGCATTGCAGGGCCCCATTCTGCCAGTTCGTCTTGCTGGAAGTGGGAAAACACTTGACTGCCAGGGTACATTATTAGCTAGGGCCGTTTGGTCGCGAAGGTATGATGAATCGACATGGATCAACCAAAGGACGTGGCAGCAACTGTAGGATGTGCTCATGGACAGGGTCAGTATGGCCTTCCACCCCCTCGTAAGTTGGGAATCACCTGCCAGCCTCCAGGTACCTTTGAGGGGTTGTGACTACCTACTTGCCAGGCTGTGAAACTTTTCATCGAAAAACACAATCACTATGTGCAGGAACCGGCCTTCCTACTGGCTGCCCCACTTCAGCCTGACATCCAGCCCACCCTATATCAACTACAGGGATAGACCTGTGGGAAGCAACCAGTGGGCTAGAGCGCGTGTTGGTATAACTAGCCTCGACTGATTGCGGGATCATCAAGACTCCCCAGTAGTCCCGTGGTCCATTCCCTTCCGGAACGAATCGCACATACCCTCCTCCTTTCCTCCTTCCACAAGCAAAATCGTTATTGCTACTGTAACATACCTCCAACGACGACAATTACCGCACCTTTTAGCATGGTTTTCAAGAAACTCCCAGACGGGGCCGTCTACAACGGCGAGTGGCACAACTGCCAGCCCGAAGGCTACGGGGCGATGACCTACACCGACGGCTCACGATACGAAGGCACCTGGCATGAGGGCCAACGGGACGGCACGGGCAAATACGTCTGTCCAGACTACGAGTTCCACGGCACCTGGCGACACAACCGACCCAATGGACAGGGGGTCAAGACATGGAAGACGGCAGGCGTGTATGACGGGTGGTTTGTGAACGGGCTTCGCGAAGGTTCGGGCACCATGACATGGACCAAGACGGGGAGAAAATACACTGGCCAGTGGAGGGGTGACCGCATGAACGGGCGTGGGATATGCCACTGGCCAGATGGGACGTGGTACGACGGGGAATGGAGCGGTATGAAGCGGGCGGGGAGGGGGGTGGCTTTTCATCGATATCAGAGTAGTGGAGATACCTATGAGGGGGAAGTCCTGGATGGGGAGAGACATGGTCATGGCAAGTATACGTATGCGGACGGGTCGACGTATACGGGGCTGTACCAGAAGGGACTGAAGCATGGGGCGGGGGTTTTGGTGACTACGACGCATGTCTACAGAGGGACTTGGAAGGAGAACAGGTTTGAGGGGGAATTTACTGTCACAGTGCGGGCCACTGGGGTCAAGTCCAAGGTGCGGTATAAGAACGGGAAGAAACAGTAGATATCATGTATAGTCTGCCAGAGCTCCAGATCTATCTAGGTAGCATCTTAACGTGAGGCATCCAAATCTACGAGCGTGTTCTAGTGCCTAAAGTGAGGCTAGAAGTGGTATCGACACGACATACTCCCCCCAAGGTCAGATAGAAACGCATGTGCTGAACGGCGACTGAGGAGCCATTAGGTAGATATACACCTGGGGTTTGACTTTCACTTCACAGTCTCCGCTACCAGACGTAATGTTTAAAGAGCGAAATCCGGCAGATCCGGTACTATTGTTGTGGCTTAGGTCTTGCTGGACGCTGATTGTTACCAGATAGTACGAGGCGGCCTACCATTTCTAGTTTCAGCTGAGCCTCGAGGAACTGCAAGGATCTCAAACCCAGTCACAATTTAGTCTGGCTGATTGGGCTGCAAATACAAAATTGGCCAAGTCCATTTCTGCTATACTGAGAATCCGAGCTTGGAGCAAGAATCCGACCTGTTCCCATCTATCTTGACAGACCGTTCGTTCATTATATACCCAGACCCACCCCGTCCACGCTTTTTGTTTGCCTTGCGCCATTGATGCTGTGTACTGCGGTACTGTGCCATCATGGTTATATATCAGTCTCCTCACGACACAGGGTCAGCTCTTATCAGCGGAGTTGCTGCTCTAACCGTTGCCGGTATGCCTCCATGTAGCTCTTCGCGACACAAACTGACGTCGCTGAAGACCCCAATGCACAACCTGCGAATCAGACGACATCGTCTCCCTCGTTCGTTGACCCTCTCCCACCCTATCTCTGCACGCGAGTCGCCCAGCTTCAAGACCTCCAACGCCAACAGGATATCATCCACACGAAGCTGCAGCGAGAGGTCCAGGCGCTGCGGAAGCAATACTGGCTTCAGTACAATCCCCTTTACCAACAACGGTTTGAGATCATCACAGGTCACACAGGCCCTAGCCAAGGCCATGAGCCTCTGGGCATTCCAGATTTCTGGCTGACGGCCATGAAGAATCACCCCGATATTGGGCTAAGGATCAATGGGGACGGCGATGAGAGGGCGTTAAAGTATTTGACGAACATTCAAGTGGAGCACCTAGAGGATTTTGATTTTGCCTTAGTCTTCCATTTTGCGCAGAATGAGTTCTTTTCAAATTCGGCGCTGCGGGCAACGTTCTTCTATCAGAAGGAGTTTACGGGGAACCGGCCTGATCCGCTAGAGGCGAAGGGGGACCATATAGATTGGAAGCCCGGAAAACAGCTCACTGCGCATCGTGGAGGTAAGCAAGCGGAAGTTGCGTGCAGATTGTTGGTACAGGCTAATGATGGTGTTCTACACAGGAAATAAGGATGCGGACGAAGAAGATGCTTCGGGCTCCTTCTTTGACTTTCTCTCTCCTACTGCCGTCCCGGCAGAAGGGGGCGAGGAAGAAATAAGGGAATGTGAATTCCTGCTATGGATTGACTTTGAATTGGCAGAGCAGTTCCAGAAAGAGCTTGTCCCCAGAGCTGTGGAATGGTATACTGGGGAAGCTAGAAGTGAAGACGAAGATTGGGATGAGGATGAAAATGACGAGGAGGATGAGGATAGAGAAGGGGATGAAGACAGCGAAGACGACAGTGAAGATGAGGAAGACGCAGAGAATAGTGATGATTCCAGTCGCCAGCCTCGACAACGCCGGCAGCTGCAGATGCCACAGCGGCGGAGGTGAGATCTAAGATGCCTACTTTATTTGCGTTTCTGAGTATGCCATGCGTTCTCCTGGGTGTGCTGAATAGCGTCCCTAAACTGGTTCAACCACCCCGTGTCTGATGATATCAATATACTTCCCATTTAAATCTATAAGTTGCGTAGTACTCCCAAACGCACAGCCCTCAGACCAGATTGCAATAAGAATAAGCGAAATTTTGTGGCCCTATCTTTACAGTACATATGTTTGCTTCATGACCAATGAGTCGGTATGTGATAGTGGCTTGCAGATCGTGTCAGGCATACTGCATATACTGGGGTGATGTCCCGGGGAGGCCAAAAGGTCTATAGTATACAACACCTCTATCCGTCTATACCCTCCACACGAAGTCTATAAACCACACCAACTCAAGTAACATAGTCCTTCTCCTTGTCCTTCGGAATCCTCACCCAACGCACCGTAGCCAGTGCAGCAACCAGCTAACAGGCCCTCTCCGCAAGTCATTTGCGGTGAAGTGTCCCGATGTAAGCCCTGAGATAGACTAACCACTCCCACTACGAGCTCGTAAAAGAACTGATGGAAGGTAAAGCCTCACAGTAGCCTTCTCATTTCCAATACCCGGGTACCTCAAAGTGAACATGTTCAACTTCCCGGGATGTCTCCGATGAAACGAACAAATCCGAATGCACGGTGAGGATACGAGGTGACAAATTGGGATAAGATGACCGGGTAAATGTTCCCGGGCTGATATATAAACCCCCAAACAACTACGACCAACTACACCTCTCCCATTCCACCAGCACCACCACACCATCATAACCATGTCCAAGCTCTCCGACTACGCCCTCCTCTGCTTCGACGTCTACGGCACCCTCATCGACTGGGAGTCGGGCGTCATAGCCGCGATGCAGCCGACGCTCGACAAGAACAACGCCCAATTCTCCCGCACCGAGCTCCTCACCACCTACCACGAGCTCGAGCGCACGCAGCAAATCGCCACCCCCGACATGCCCTACTCGCAGCTGCTCACGACCATCCACCCGCAGTTCGCCGCAAAGCTGGGCCTCGCCGCCCCCACCGCCGACGAAAGCCGCCAATTCGGCGAGTCGGTCGGGACCTGGCCCGCCTTCCCGGACACGGTGGACGCGCTGCACCGGCTGTCCAGGCATTTCAAGCTGGTCGTGCTGTCGAACGTCGACCGCGAGTCGTTTGCCAAGACGAATGCGGGGAGTCTGCGGGGTTTCCCGTTCGATCTTATCATCACCGCGCAGGATGTCGGCTCGTATAAGCCGGACCTGCGCAATTTTGAGTATATGCTGCGCAAGGCGAAGGAGACGTTTGGGATTGAGTCGGGGCGGGTGCTGTCTACCGCGCAGAGCCAGTTCCATGATCATCACCCGGCGCATAAGGTCGGGCTGAAGTCGGTGTGGATTGAGCGGCCCGGGGCGTTGATGGGGAATTTGCCGGAGACGATTTATGACTGGCGGTTTGATACGCTGGGGGAGATGGCGGATGCTGTTGATCGGGAGTAGGATAACAGTTAGTTGACATGCATAGACAGCTTTTGCTGTTGATTGTTTGAACTGATGGTGTACTGTGCCACGACCGGGTACATGTACCCGGTTGAAAACATTGCTCCGAGAGCAGCGGATCCAGACCACGAGCCTCTTGAGCGCTTATTTAGCTCGGTATATACTGTGTATTGAATCTTGCATGTGTCTAACTCGCATTGCATCTGTCAAGCTCTGCTAGAATATCCCGAATCGTCCCAAGTACTGGAAGACTTCTATCGAGCATCAACAATGCCCCAACTCCCATCCCCAGAACCACTACGCTTCGCCGATGCAAGTTCCCATCAACCTCACTCACTACTCCCTATACACACTAACAAAAACAGGTCGCCGTAACCTTCACCGCAGACCAATTCCAAGGCATCTACCGCGGCAAGCAGTACCACGCGCCCGACTTCGCTGCGGTGCTACAGCGCGCCCGCGAATACAACTGCGAAAAGGTCATGCTAACGACCATGACGCTCGCCGGCGCAAAGCAAAACCTACAGGCCGTCCGCGAACACCCCGACACATGCACCATGACGCTAGGCGTGCACCCGTACCACGCGGGGGAGATCTACACCGACAGCAACGACGGCCACTCGCATCTCCAGTCTCTGCGCGAGTTTGCACACTCCCTTCTGGCGGAGCGCCCGTCGCCACTGGTTGCCTATGGAGAAATCGGGCTGGACTATGAGTACCTCGACCGCGCGGACAAAGTCACGCAGCAGCGCGCGTTCCGCGATCAGCTCGAGCTAGCCGTGGAACTGCAGCTGCCGCTGTTTTTGCATGTGCGGGAGTCCTGCGAGGACTTCATCGGCATTATTGAGCCGTATCTGTCGAGGCTGCCGCGCGGGGGCCTGGTGCATTCGTTTGCTGGGTCAAGGGCGGAGATGCTCCGGCTGGTGGAGCTGGGATTCGATGTTAGTGTTAATGGGGTGTCGTTTCGCTCCGATGAGGGCCTGGATATGGTGCGCCATATCCCGTTGGAGAGGTTGCAGCTGGAGACGGATGCGCCGTGGTGTGAGGTGCTCGCTAATGATGAAAGGATTGCGCCGTATTTGAGGACTGCGCGCCCGCTGCCGCCGGCGAGGAAGCATAATAAGTTTCTACCGGGGCAGATGGTCAAGACGCGGAATGAGAGCTGTACGATTGAACGGGTGGCGTTGGTGGTTGCTGGGTTGAAGGGGGTTTCTGTGCGGGAGGTTGCTGAAGCGGCGTGGAAGAACAGCGTGCGGATGTTTGGGTTGGGGGTAGAGAAATAGAATGGACTAGACTTGAACGTAGATGATATAGATAGCGTGGTATATATGCCTGCTGCATGTGTCTTCGGGCATCTATATACTACGGCTGCGGACTTCCAAGGCAGCCAATGTTCCAGGTGTAGGAAGCTATCTGGGGTGCTTGGCTGCCTGAACCCGTTCCTTCACTTTAACTACATAGTTTCCAAAGAGGAGTGTCCCAGAAGCCGCCTAAAAGCAGGTCATTCCATATCAAAGGAGTAGTCCAATATAACCAGAGCAAGGTCGTTAATAACTGTAGCGCGCGATATCGCGAGCCGGGCCCTATAACATAGATCAATGTTTTGCGCAAAAGTCCTTGGCCGACAATTCCTATCGGCTGTAGCACGAAGCACAGCAACTGTCGAGTAACTGGGCGGGAATGAGATGGAAGCATAAACGATCCACACATGTGCATTATGCCGGACACAGCGAAGACCACAAAAAGATACATGATCTTGAAGGCACCAGGATTTAGTGAGCTCTTAACAGGTCCCTTCAACCAGTTTGCAATGCAGCGGAACGCAAGTTGCAAATAATCATGCCAGAATTCACCCCAGAATCCTAGAGACGTTAGATAGGCGAAACTTGCCAGCACGGACTAATATACGTACCAGCAATTCCGTGGTAATATAAAGACGTTAGACTACCCCATGGACTTGACTGTATGATACCTGTTAGGCTATTGACGTGCCCAGCGAGGTAGAAGCCGGCTGAAGCAAGGCGAGATGCGGAATGAAATATTTCGACAAACGCGAAAGCGGCCGAGAACGAAGTTAGGCAGCTGACAATGTTCATCGAACTCCAGTGCTGCCAGTCCTCTTTCCCGTGGCGTTGGTACTCTTCATCTTGCAACGCTGCGCGAAGAGGTGGGAATATGTATGTCTGGCAACAGGCTACCCAGGCTATGCCAAGCAAGAGCCGAAGGATGGTCATGACGACGGTTCTGTTCAGATTTCTCGCCACGCCTCCCCAATTGCCGGAGTTGTATCTCGCCGCCATGAGGCTACGGTGAAACTGGCAGGGTCGGCCCTCGCATCCCGAGTAACACCACCTGAGTGCTCTCGTATCCAGTAGCAAGTCAAGAACCCAAGTGAGTCGTGCTAATAACGAAGATGATGGAAATCTCTTCCATTCAATTTTCAGGGATTCAGTGTCAAGGGAGTCTGCTTCCGGTACTAGTTGAAGTGTAACAAAGTCTTTTCGGGGCTCATATACCCAGAACATCATGATGCTGCGGGCCGCGATCCAGGCTGTAAAAAAGCCCAGCAGGTATGCCATCATTGCATTGTCGATGTCAACAGCTAGCAAGAGTACAACTGCAGCTGCGATGGGAGTGAAGGCAAATCCAGCTCTCGCGGTGGCTCGGGAGAAAGCCAGATCGGGGAAGCAAAGCCCCAGTAGGAGTGTAGCGGGACCGTAGAGTATAGGGAAAAGTTGGAGGGCGAGCATCTTTGCAAACTAAGGCGGATGGCGCGTGGATGCTCTCGAGCGTTCCAAGGGTCGACGGAGTTGGTTCTAGGTTCATCCAGATGAGTATGTGCCAGTGCATCAGGATCTAGGGCCTACCAGGGAGCACAGGCAAGCCAGATATGGGTCAAGGCCTTCAGGATGAGCGGATCCCACGTTCGAATAGTGGGCGCAATACACTCTCTTATATCTTACTCCCCTAGGGATGTCAGCCCTTTTATTCTTGCCAACCTGATGGTAATTCTCAATTTGGTCTTCAAAATCCGCCACATCTCCCAGTTGATCGAGTCGCATTATCTACAGAGCTCAAGGGCACAATCCCACGCGGATCTACACTAAGGGCATATCCAAAGTTGTCCTCTTGCATCAGCAAGGAGGTCACTTGACATGGATTTGACTCTAGATTAACCTATACTAAAGAATGTGACAACAAAATGACGGTGAAAGATGAGATGCGGTTTTGTAGGTATTACGTATAGTCCAAATATAGTCCAATAAAAAGCTTGTACGCGCTTTAAGCCGCTACCACTTAAGGTGCGGTACATATGCTCGACACTATTTCCCCAATCAGAGGACGGGAAGTAGGCGAAGGTAGTACTGTGAGTATGCTAATCTACGTTCTAACATCACCGTGATGCCTCAGATATAAAGGGTGCGTTCAATGTCTATTCGGACCTCACGATGTTCAACTATATGAGTCCTCTAGTCCGGTTATTCAGTCTGTTGTTGTTCTCATTCATGTCTCCTATCCTGAAAGTTTTGGCTCGAACAACCAACTCCCTACCTGGCAACATGACATCCACGCCATTCGTCACACAGATCAAGGATAGGCTCTCTGGAGGTTGTCAGGCGACTACATCTGAGCCAAACATGCAGCCTCACTCCACATCGACCAAGTCAAAGCCTGAGAGCTATAGTGGCCAAATTCCGAAAGTACCAATCTACACCAAAGGCGCGAGAATACCATACCTTCCACCGTCGCAACAACATCTCTGGATCTTCTGCCACGCTCTGATTCCAATTACTCTCCACCAAGCGTGGCTATCATATACCGGCCATGAGAGCCTGACATGGCTGGCAGCTTTCATCTTGTACACGGTCGCGTACGTTGTCATAGCCAAACGCCAGGTGAACTTGTTCCGGCACCTCAGGTATAAGTACGGCTTCCTGGACGGGGACGAGCATGGCCGCGACCGGATTCCAAAAGACTGCCCAGGGAAAGGCATTGGGACTGTGATCAAAGGCGCCATCTGGAGAATAGCAACCGTAGCGGGACTTTCATACGAGCCGAGCAGGCCCCCTGCGGCCGCCTTAGGCGAATGGAAGTGGTGGCTATGGCTGTATCTCGAGGTTGGCCTCCATGGCATAGTGTTGGACTTCTGGTACTACTGGTATCATCGAGCTATGCACGAATTCGCCTATCTGTGGCGGTACCATCGCCGGCACCATCTGGTGAAGCACCCAGTCACGGTTCTAGCGGCCTACGCCGATCACGAACAAGAACTCTTTGACATTGTTCTCATACCTTTGACAACTTACGTTACATTACGCTTTCTCGGACTGCGGCTCGGATTTTACGAATGGTGGATTTGCCAGCAGTACCTAGTGTTTGGGGAGCTCACGGGCCATAGCGGCCTCCGCATACATGCCACAATGCCTACAACCCTAACCTGGTTGCTTCGGCGGTTTGACACCGAGCTCAGTACTGAGGACCACGACCTTCATCACCGACACGGCTGGAGGAAGAGTTATAATTACGGCAAGCAGTCTAGACTTTGGGACCGCGTATTTGGTACTTGGCGCGATCGCATTGAGTCGGCAGAAGCCAATATCGACTATGCGGACCAAGTGCGCTTACCTGTACTTTAGACTAGTCAGCTACATACAAGCACGGCTGGTTTATCATCTTCGTCGGACTGATAGTCGCATTCTGTAGATTAGTCGTGATTGTGTACAGCTTCATAGCCCTCCCCCAACACCCCATAAGGAATCACCATTATCCGGAAGCGTAAAGAATGTATCAGGTGCAGCATCACCCTCAGAGCCCGGTATAGCGGCAAACGCATCAAGCTCCTGTGGGAAAGACGAGAAGAACCCATCAAAAGACGGAATGCTGCCAATATTTCCCGGTGAATCGACACCCTCCGCGGCAGGCAAACCTTCCGAGCTCAACGGACCAAGACGCCACAATTCGGCCCACCTCTGAAACTGGTCGTAACCCGATTCTGAAGGGGTGATCGGGGGTTCTTGTTCACTGCGACGGTCTAATTGCTGGCGCGCCCGCTCGAGCGCTTCGATAACGGCCACCTCTGACCGCGCGGACTCCAGTCCCACGCTCATCTGACGGATCAGGCCCATGCCACGGGTCAGGGCGTTGCACGTCCGCTCTGACGACTGTGTTAGACGCTGGGCGATCAGCGCGAGTAATGCCGCGCGGCAGGAGCTGAACTCTGTGTAGGAGACACGGGCGAGGCCGACGGATTCTTGCAGTAATTGACACAGGTCGATGATGCGGACGGCCGCTTGGACACAGTCTGCCGAGAATGTCCGGGTAAGCTCTTCGCGGTTGCTACGCTCGGACTGTGCCTCGTGAGGCTCGTTCTGCAGGAAGATGAATGGCCGGCCCATGTAGATCATCGCCGTGGCGTAGTTAAGCTCCAGGTGCACATTGCAGCGAAACAAGGGGCCAGTCGGACTCAGGTCCCGACAATGCACCACGGTTGGGAGCGACTCCCACCATCTGTTGCGCTCCGCTCGTATATCGCTCAACTGGTGCAGATACACATCCTGGTGGCTACGCGGACACCGTCGCAGCCGTAGGATGACCTGTGCCAGCTTCCCGAGTTGGCGCGTTAAGTGGATAGTAGCTGTGACGTTGGGTAGATTGGATAACCCACTTGGAGGGCGCAGGTCGGCTAGGTCGGTGGGCATATCGGCGTCAGTCTCCAAGGGGGATACCGACACAGGACGGCCGTGGAGGATGCTGATGCGACTGGTCGTGGATTAGTTTGGGGGGCCGAAGTAAAACAGCGGATAGACTCACCTCTCCAGGGAATAAGCAGTCCACCATAATCGATTGCGCCACTCCACTGTTGCAGGAGGGATCGTGGGAGCAACGAGCCTCCGGTGCATGCCATTCTGTATCGCCATTTTAATGGCCAATCCGTAGTAGGTGTAGGCCAGCCCAGCGGTGTCAATTGGCAAAGTGTATACTCCCAGCAACAGGAAGGCCTGGACAGTTTCGACGGAAGCAGTGGTGATGAGATCTGGAATCAAGCGACAAGAGAACCGGTACAGTTCCAGTCCGATGCGATCGTCGGGAATGTCCTGTGATGACGGAGGCTTTCCTTGCATCGGCGCAGTCTGCATATATGCAAACTGCGTGCCAATTGCAAACGTCATAAGAAGGGTACAAACCCAGCCCGCGTCATCGATCACCAGCGGCCGGTCGATGGAGTAATAAAAGTCCATCTTCTCCCGGAACGCCTTCTCGTCGAAATACAAGTAGTTCGTCTGCGCATACTGCAGGAACGTGTCCGTGAGAAATTCGGCAATAGGTCGCGGCGGGAAGTATGTTGTAGCGGAGGCCACACATGAACTAGAAGACTGGAGGTCGGTGGCCCGAAAGAATCCATCTGCGATATCCGATCCCTGCTGTCCGTCAGCACGGTCCGCTGCAGTGTGGAAGAATGGCACATACATCATGAGATTCCTTCGAGTTCCCAAGACTTTGCAGACGGCGACGAATCATTTTAGAGAAATTCCAATGCGACAATTCTCCCGAGTAGTCTGCGAAGCGAAACCGACGTTAACAACCGTTCGGCGCACAAGGGTGCGAGTAGACGCACGCATAGTATTCGTCGACAATGGTTCCACCGAGTAGCTCTCCGATACGTGGTCCTCGTCCTCCGTCGCTCGAGCGCCTCGAGGCGTCGCCGCATGACCTCCATTCTCCAATAACTCCGCCGTCTCTTCTAACCGGGCCGGGTCGAAAGAGATATCGTCGCCGAGGAAGTGGCGGATTATGCGTTCCATTTGTCTTTCGCGTTGGGACGTCTCCTCCGGAAGTCTGCTCGAATCTTTCTGTCGAACATCTTCAAAATAACAGGTTCGGTTGTATTTCTGGCAGCGCGCGCATGGGGGACCACCACCATGACCTAGAGCTCTCCAAGGTTTGATCAGTCGTTGAACGCGGAAGCAAAAGGTTCAGACGGCGGGTACATTTTTCCTTGTGTTGGCGGCAGGGGAGGCATCTAGATTGAGAATCCAGTCAGTGAGTGTCGCCGTGAGTTGTTGCACGCAGACATACGCGCGCGCGGCTCTCTTGCGGAGGGCATCAGGAACTCGGGGTCGTTTCTGGCGACCTCTGCGAGGGGGTTGAGCTTCCATTGGTGCAGTATGAGCCTGTGCCCATGGCGGCGATAATGAAGTGGGAGCTGGAAGATAGGTAATTAGAAGTTGGAGATAGGTGAAGCTGAAGTTGGAGTCAAAGTCAAGACGCTGAGTCATCCACCCAGCCCTAAGCAGCCAACTTCCTCATAACATGAGATAGAATAACATGGACAATTGGCCTTCGAAGGGTCAAATAGACGCACTATCGGCTAGTGTGATAGATCTATCCGTCTTTGTGTCCGCTGTGGATGTCTCTGCCGAGGATATATATATCCGGTGCTGTATTCTATTTATGGGACAATATCACATAGCTTGTCCGGTAGCAACAACAACCATGAAGAAAATGCACAAGCGGAAGTATAAATCGTCCCATCCTCAATCGCATTTTGGGGATCCTTGCTCCACCATAAAAGCAGCTTTGAAGTCTGCATTCTTGGGAGCTGGAAGAGGCTTACTATACCAGGGATGTCAACCCGTACTGCAGCGGTGCCGCGCGGGGAAAAAAGGTGCATAAATATACATATAATTTCATAGAAGTGTATAATATCAAAAGTATCTTGAAAATTATACATTGTTATGCATTTCGGTGACTTGCACGGCGGTTTGTTAGAAATACTTATACGGAGTAGGTACTTAAGGTGTATCTGCGGTGCGGGTGAATACGAACGGAGCCAGTATGTACAGTCTCTAGTACTTCATACATCAGATTACGAAACTGCTTTTGGCTCCCGCAGCATGGCAGAGGCTCCCTCCGGCAGCGGAACAGGTCCCTTTACCACCTGGAATCCGTACTTCTCATACACAGGCACACCCGCCTCACTGGCATCGATATAAACGGGCAGCCCGTCCCGATCCGCCTGATCGCATCCCCAGCGCAGCAGCATGGTTGCAGCGCCGCGCCGACGGAAATTGGGGTGCGTGGCCAACACGTCCAAATCTAGACCATCAATAAAACTATCCTCGATAGCACAAAGATCCGATAGAGAGATGCTCACAGTAATGAGGACGGTCTTTCATAATCGCCTCCCGGGCAAGATCACAACCCCCGAATAACGCATTACAGGCGTTGGCGTCGGACTCAGGATGCCAGGGCGGGTAGCGATCGCCGCGTTCTCGCGGGTTGAAATCCCATTTGGCGTAGGAGAGGATGGCGCCCGGGATATTGGTGTCCACGACTTTGACGTACTTGAGGGCGGGCTTGTGTTGGAGATCGTCGCGATGCACACGGTCCCACCAGGCGCGGATGCCCGGGGTGTCGGGGAACATGAGGCGATCATAGGGGGTGTTGAAGCTGTCCATGACAAGGTCGACCAGGGCGGGAATGTCTTCGGGGGTTACCGGTTGGACCTGGAGGGAGGAGCTGGATTGCGTCATGTTGTGTGGGATGAGGATAGAGTTTGAAAGTGGAAGACGATGGAGAGCACTGACTAGTGCTTATATGCTCGGGAGTAGATATGGGACTATGTTTATTAAGGAGTTCCGATCCTTGTATAGCGACAGGGGTATGACATCCACATATTACACCAACGGTGGATACAGACTATGGGACCCGCGGATTCCGATCTCACTGTGAGAAATGCGTTGATCAGATTAGGCAGAAGTGAAGCCATACAATGATGACAGTCCAGTAGACACTCTCACTCCGTCTCCACTCGATACTGCAGGTAAATCGTATCAATCCTGTTCCATCAGCCACCTTACCACCCAGCATACATTAAGACGAATATCAACTTACCATCGCCCCCATTTCCGTCCGATCTTCTCCAACCGTCCCCGTTCGACAAACCCCCGCTGGACGTACCATCGCCGCAACGCCTCCCCGCCATCCTTACCCTCGGGATCGACTGACATCACCGCAAGGACGTTCCGAACTGGCACACCAGGGCGTCCGTCGTCTCCATACCCCATCTCCAGGTGGCCATCTCCCGTGTCCTCCGAAGCTCGATGGCGGACCTCTCCCGCGCGGACTTTGTCCAGGAGGGCGGAGAGTAGTTGCGAGCCGATGGACTGGGAGTGGTATTCCGGGTGGACAAACAATGTAAGCTCCACTGTCGGCGCATAGGACAGCCGGTCCCCGCGGTATGGGGAGAGGTAGGCGTAGCCGAGCACTAGAGGTGAGTCATCTTCCCACTTCTGCGCTTCATCGGTTGCCACGAGGTACGGGAGGCCTTTTGCGAGATTGTGGTGATATGTCTTGGCGTAGGATGGGGGCGGGAGAGGGTGTTGGGCAAAGGTTAGGGAGGTGTGGAGGATATAGTAGGTGTTGATGTGGCGGACCTGGGGGAGGTCGGATTCTGTCGCTGGGCGGATGAGCATGATGGACGTATAGATGTTTACAGAGATAGATGAGGGTTTTCAAGATCATACAATATATTTTATAGACTACAGCATGAGTTATCGCTGTGAGTCATCCTTATCATCTTCACGCCAAGATAGGCATTCGTATTGATATCTTGTAGGCGAGGGTATAGTCCGTTGGTCTCATTAGTTGATACTATGGTATGCTTGTATCCCTAGGAGTATATCGCCAAATACAGCCTCCTACTAAGGTGTCCCACCTATCTCCTACGGAGTACTGCATGTACCTGTAGCAGACCCATAGTAATGTCTTGGTTAAGCGAGAAAACTACTAGTGTCGCACGGACCAGGTGAGATCCCTATAAATACAGCCGCCTCCCCCAGTCCTTTCAACTTTTTTCTTTTCTTTTCCAGCTCTCTTTGCCTTTTGGCTTAGATCAAGTGTAGTATCTGTTCTTTTCAGTTTAATCTCTGAAAGTGTTCCAAGGAACACAGCATTGATTAATCTCATTTTTGGACCCCGTGGCGGGGCCTCTGTGCTTGCGCATGCCCTGCCACACAGTGTCATCGGGCTTACACTATCCCCGATCGACGCGACTTTTTCATCACTTGGTCGGTATATCCGGTCACTTGGAGAAGAAGATACGTCCCACGGCGTGCGTCTATGTAGCTGTTAAGCCCTGGAACCCGCCTAAGCTGCGTAACCTGATAGGAAAGTATACCTGGACGGGGTGGGAACATAATTCCACTAGGACTCCTCGATCTCGTCTAGACCGATAATAAGGTCGACCTCCGGCGCGCAGAACTTAGTCTTATACCAAAGCTTCCAGCCGACAAAAAGAACAGGAAAGACGCTGATTATAGTATACGAGAAGAAGTAAGTAAGGAGATTCTAATTATTAGAGAGGAAGACGGTGAGCCGCCTATAAAGGCTATAATAAGCGTTCAGGTCGTAGGAACGTAGGCAACGTACTGCGGGCCATAGCTGCGGTAGGGCAGCGAGTTCTAGGGCACGTCCTACGCGATAAACGCCTTGCAGAAACATGTGCACGTAAAGATAACATGGTCCCTTTCAGATCAACGCTCGACTTGTGTTGCATTTCGTAATTTAGGACTTGGCATCAAGACACGGTAGATCAATCCTTGCGATGAATCCAGGAGCGAAGCATCCGTGGGATTGTTCCCCCCTTGCTATGCTTTGCGAGCGTATGCGTATAGTAGTACTGCTGTGCCGCATCCATGATGGCCTTAACTCTGGCCGCCGGCACCTTTTCCTTGCGGTCATAGGAATAAAATCCATTCACCTCCTGCTCGATATCACACCTAGACAAAAGTCAGTGATCAGACCGGTGACCTATAATGTTCAGGGACACACAGTTGAGTGTAGACAAAACCACAGCAGTGCCCTCCCTTCATCACCGCCATCACCAGTTTCTCCAGCCGAACCAGATAATCCGTCGGGTCTTGTGCAGTCGTGTAGCCCCAGTCCCTTGTGGCCCCGGATGCGTCTTTTGGAGGCGCGATATTCACTCCTCCGAATTCACTGCAAATCACTGGCGCCCCTGGTCGATGCTCCGCGCCGGGATCGAGCAGTGTAGAGCCCGAATACAGCGGTTTAACGAACAGATCGCGGCCATCCTTCTTCCCTAGGATTCCACCCTCCATCTTCGCACATGTCTCGGTGAGAGGGCCAGAGTCGCTATAGTCGTGGAACGTAGTCAGATCGGTGAGCACATGTTCCCATCCGCAGTTGTCGTTAATCGGACGCGTGGGATCCAGAGTCCTATCACTGTTAACAAATCTGACAGTATCAAGACGGGCGACTTACTTGGTCATGTAGTACACCGACCGCAGGTGATTGCGCTGCTCGATGTTGTCCTTGAGAGACGTGTAGGCCCAGCTTTCGTTGGCCGGCGTCCACGCCACCACGCACGGGTGGTTGATATCACGTCTAACAGCCTCCATCCACTCACTATTGAACCGCTCGACGAAATCGTCGCTGAATTCATACGCGTCCGCAATCTCGCCCCATACCAAAAACCCCAATCGATCCGCCCAGTAGTGGAAAATGGGGTCTTCCACCTTCTGGTGCTTGCGACAGCCATTAAGTCCCACCCGCTTCGCCATCTCGATATCGGCCTTGAGGGCGTCCGCAGACGGAGGCGTCATACCAGTCTCCGGCCAGTATCCCTGGTCTAGCACCAGCACCTGGAAGTACGGCTTGCCGTTCAGACGGAACGTGCCGTCGCCCGTCTGCCAGGACAGGCTGCGCATGCCGGTCGTCGTGTGCACCTCGTCGACCACCGTGCCAGCGGCATCATACAACCGCAGCGTCAAGTCATACAGACTCGGATGCTCCGGCGCCCACAGCGCCACACCATCATGCCATGCATCTTCCACACGAAACGGGGCCTGCGCCTGCAACGGCGCCGGATCGCGCACCTTCATATCCACATCCAGCGTCGCAAACGCCTTATCCTTCGGCACCTCCGCCGCAGCCTTCCCAACCGACACGCCGCCCAGACTCGCCTCAATCTCCACGCTACACGTCGCCCCCGCCGGCCGCCCCGCAACCGCTACCCGGGCATGCAACTCTCCACGCTCGATATCATCCGCGCGGAGCACCGTCCCGCCACTCCCACAGCACAGCCGCATGGCCGGCACACTCTCCATCCACACAGATAGCCAGATCCCGCTCGTCGGCGTGTAGAAGATACTCTCGGGTACAGGGCCCCAGTACTGTTTCCCGCGGGGCTGGGTCAGGTCCGTCGGCGAGTCGCGCACGCGCAGCGTCAGCCGCGCGCTCTCCTGCCCCGGGCGCAGCGCGTCCGTCACGTCCACGTCAAAGGGCACATGGCCGCCGCGGTGGCCGCCGACGCGGCGCCCGTCCACCCACACGGCGCACTCGTAGTCGACGGCACCGAAGCGCACGAGCAGGCGGTGGCCGCGGGCGATCTCGTCGGCCGAGCGGATGTCGCTGATGGTGCGCTCGTACCATAGCACCTCGTGGGCTTCGTGTAGGCCGATTCCGGATGCGGGGGTTTGGAAGGCATAGGGGACTGTGATGGTGCGCTTTTCCTGGGGGAGGCCTTGTTGCTCCCAGGACTGGGTGAGGCCGGCGTCGGCGTCGTCGAAGATGAAGTCCCAGGCGCCGTCTAACGGGAACCAGGTGAGTCCGGAGCGTTGGAAGTCGGGGCGCGGATAGGTGACTGAGGTGGTCATTTTGGATTGAGGTAGTTGTTGATTGTGTGAGAAGGAATGAGATGGGTTGTTGTGGTGTTGAGTTGAGTTGATAGATGCGATACCCCTCCTCAACCCCGCGGATGACGTTGCAGCGGTGATCTTCACTGCAGATTCAATATCGGGATGTTATACGGATTGGAGTATTGCTGGCTCCAGTTTATGCATTGGATGAAGTGTCCATCGGTATTGCGATCGGATTGGTCAATGATGATGCCGTGAACTGGTTGGGTATGGCTGCGTCCAGTCGACGCTAACGATCCAGTCAGTCGCATGGATATAGTTCTACCCTCTAGACTTGTACTTCTGCTGTTGTTAACATATTAGAACATTGTCTGGATTCTTCTCTCTATCGTAGGTAAAGTGGACGATGACATCAGAACAGCCTCATGGACCGAATACCACTGACCCACCGTCCGTCCAGATTCCGCCAGTGTAATATTCCAGGCCATGACGCCGGAAGTGGCGAGACAACCATACAGGTTTATGATAGCTGTCATGGCCGTCATGATGTAACAAAGGGCTGTTCCAGAGTGCATATAAATGCTGATGCGCCCTGTGACATTAACAAACAGCACCGCAAAGGAGGAACCGACCTCCAGGAGAAGCTTGGATCGAGACAAGACACTGGACTCTCAAATCAATAAACCCGGTCGTTCCACCTCCCATCCGAACAAGACATCAAGATGTCCCAGGAACTCCTCGACTCCAACCCCAACGCCGCAATACCAGACGCCGGCGACAAGAGCGACTTCTCCCTAGCCAATCCCCAAGCCAACCCCCAAGGCGCAGTCTATATCGACCCGCTGTACAGACACTACAACCCGCAGTACGGCAACGCGGACCAGGGCCCCGTCTGGAGTCTGGCGCAACCGCTCCCGCACGTCGTCCGCGATGGCATGCGCCCAAACCCATCCCCAGAACACTCCACCGAACAAACCACCACACACGAGCACCAAGGCCCAGCCGCCCACGAGCCACCAACCGACACAACCAAGTACGAGCAAGAAGACCCCGGGAAGAAAGTCTCCCAGCCCGACGAACGCGGCTTCTTCAACCGCTGGAGCAAGATCCGCTACTACATCCGCGAGCCGCTGGCCGAATGGCTCGGCGTCACCGTCGCCCTGACCATCGGTCTCGGCGCGGGTCTGGCGACCTTCACCTCGCAGTCGCAGGCGGGCTCGTTCCCGTCCATGGCTGCGGCGTGGGGGTTCGGGTTCATGCTGGCGATCTATCTGGCTGGAGGCGTCTCGGGAGGACATCTCAATCCGGCCATTACGATCTCGCTGTCCGTGTGGCGCGGGTTCCCGGCGAGGAAGTGTGTCGTGTACCTGCTTGCGCAGATCGTGGGTGCGATTACGGCAGGTGGGTTCGTCTATGCTATCTACCATGACGCTATTGTGAGCTCTGCGGCTATGAGTAGCGTGCCGCAGAATCAGTCGAATGCGGCGCAGGCGCTGTTGACGATGCCGAAGGAGTTTGTTCAGCCGGCGACGGCGTTCTTTAATGAGTTTCTTGGCTCTGCTATTCTGGTTGGGTGTATCTTTGCGCTGGGTGACGATACCAATGCTCCGCCTGGGGCAGGAATGCAGGCGTTCATTGTTGGGATTATGATCAGCATGCTCGTGCTTGCGTTGGGATACAACACAGGGGGGTAAGTTGAACCTCCATTGACATTCCAGTATATGATTTGTTTTGGCTTAGCTGCTAATACACACCAGATGCTTTAACGGCGCACGAGACTTCGGGCCTAGACTAGTTGTAGTAATGGCTGGCTGGGGCGGACACCTCTTCCGCGAAAAGCACGCCTGGTGGGTATGGGGCCCCTGGATCGCTAGCATTGCCGGTGGACTCTCGGGGGCGTTTATCTACGACCTCGCGCTCTTCACCGGCGGTGAGAGTCCGGTCAACTATCCGCGACGGAGGAGAAAGCGGGCTATGCTGTTGAAAGAAAAGAAATGGCGGCATAGACTGGGGATTTGGCGTCGGAAGAATGTTGAAGATGTGGAAAAGGCGGTTAAGGAGATGGAGAGATGAGGGATAGAATGGGGTTATAGATTCAAGACATATGCTAGACTTTAATATTAATTTGAACAAGAAATAATATCCTCGAGCGTAGAGAAGAGAACGGGATAGACATAATAGAGCGAACCACCAAAGACTAAACATAATCCACAAACCACTCATGAGGGATAAGCTGAGATATTGAATGGAACCCAGCAGAGGACATCTTGAACTTTGTATGCTGAATCTTCCACCCGCAATGACCACCATAGTCTGAACTGCGAAGCGGTGTTGTCCCTTCGAGCACTGTTCAACCACGTAATCGCGGACATGCTATCTATTGCGTAAACCACTCCTGCAATTATGAGTATCAGCATCTTTCTAGCATGGGTAACATTCCGTCTGACATGGGCAGACCGATGAAATGCGAACATATGGAACTCTTACCGCCCAGCAGCTGTTAGGATAGCTGTCTTGCCCACAATGTACATGAGATGGATCCTGCAGGGGGAATAGAATCAGCGACTATGGTTGAATTCAACATCAACCGTGGAGTCTTACGCCCTGCGCAGTTTGAATACAATCTTGGCTGGCCTGACAATCGCTATCTGAATGACACTATCGCTCGTCAGCTTGTAGGCGTGATGGGTTCCAAGAACACTCACGAGAATCCCAGCTCCACAGCCATGCCAGTGATATACTAGATTGCTCAGGGTACTATCGCTTTCTGCCACTGGGGCAGCAAAGGAGCACATGCCTAGAGTGAGAGCTCCGAGGATAATGGATACAAGCTTCATCGTGAGAATGGTTGTTGATTTCGATTTCTCGAATATTATATATGGAATGTTGCGGACTGAAGTTGAGATTTCGCTCTTCTGATGCTCTTTATATATCGCTCAGATAAGTCTCACTTCCAAAGACAGTTCGAATGCACTGCGGTCAGATCTATCTATCACAATAAGGAAATATAGAGTCAGCATGTTTCTCGTTGTAGAATACCATTGGAGCAATATCAGGCCAGAATCCAATGTGATGGGTTCCCTGATACGACATCATCGGTAGAACATTTGATCAGCTTAGACAGCGTTAGGTGGCGTTATCTCAGCCAACATGATATTCGTCGTTCCTGCCCATATGTTGATAGGAGAGCCATTAATAGGATGATAACTATCCTAGGACTAGGTTTGTCCACTATCTACAGGTCAACCGGTGGAACAGCATACCAGCGTCCTAGTTAGCTGCTAGATATATCGGGACTACGACATTTGGGTGAGATAGTGGAACATTTAGACGTCCATGTCTCACTTGTCCCGATCGATGGTGGCCTGGAACCGGGAATTCAAGACATGCCTAATGCATCACAACCGTATGACGTGGCACTACTATTTGTAGAATAGTTCGTCCAGCTGGAGAACGAGGACAAGAATCCACGATGCCATCTCGGATTCTATTAATAGGAGATATTACATTCCATCAATAGAACAGTTGCATCATGTACAGCTGTCATCCAGCATCAACAACTCTCCCAGAACTGCGCTCCCATAGCCACTAAACGATTGAACAGCTGGTCCCTCTCCTTCATAGCCATGAGATGAAAACACTGGTCGCTTTCCTTCCCACAAACCATTAACCCATCAACCGAATACCTAACACCGCCAGTAACCTCAAGAATAAGCTTCTGTTTCCACCCCAGCTCCTCGGTCTTCTTCAACTCAGCAATATCCGGCACAGGAATCCGAAAGAGAATAGATCCCTTATGCTGATGCGACAGTCTTAGGTCTTGCACGCGCGAAGGCTGATGAGTCGTAAAATAAAGAACTGGCGGCTCAAGCGAGGAATCAATCACAGCTGTTCCGCGCTGGTGATCGAACTGGGCTCTGAATTTCAACGGCCCTACCGCCGCAGACACCCACCCTCTCTTCCTCAGCAGTCCGATCAAGTGCGGTGGATGGGGCATTCCTGCCACGGCTATGGCTCGGTGGAATGCCTGTCGTAGTCCGATCCCAACCCCGATTGTGAACCGGACTAGCTTTAGGATGCCTGGAAATGGGAGGCCTGATGCGTCGAGAACGAGTGCCTCGGCGGGGGGTATTACGAGAGGTTTCTCGCGGGACTTGGTTGTTGATGGGAACTTCTCCAGCGGTCCTGGGGGAGGGGGAAGTGGCGAAGAGGTCATTTCTCCTAGTCGGAGTAGTGTTAGGGTGAGTTGAGCGTTTGTTGGGACGTTCTTGAGTAGTGTTCTTGCAGGCTGTTAGCAGTGTACGATGCCATTTTGAATGTGCCGGGGCGATGCATACTGATTAATGTCGAATTCCTCCTTCCAGTGAGGAAAGCGATAACTCATCCAGGCGAACGATATTTGGAATAACGGGCCTCCGAAGAAGAGCAACCCGAACAAAAACGTCGTACTCTTTATCAGCCAGTAGCTGGGGATGAATAGCGAGCACAGCGCCCATAGAACTAGCATCGACACCAGCCGTAGACGCGCATTCACGAGATAAAACGGAGGCGTAGGCGAGAGCAGACTGTAAGGCTTTTTAGATAAACTCCTTCATTCACGGGAGGCCACAGACTTGCAAAACCGTTCATATGTTTCCGTAACATCACTGATAACCCGAATAGCCTGGACCAACGCCTTGGAGACCTTTTCCATCATCGGCTGCGCAGTTTCATCCTCCTGAACAGCGAGTCGTTCACGGGCAATGCCTTTCCTTCCGTGCGGTTTTTGAGCAGCGTCTTCCAGAGTCTCTTGATCATCAACTTCCGTGCGCGCACTATCCAGCGCGACTTCGGCAATATCCCAGACTAGATTCTGCGCTTCGCGCTCCGCTGCCTCTCCTTTATGGGACTCCGACGCCCCTGTGAGGGAGTCGCGACGACGGAGACCCCCGTTTTCATCTTTTGAAGCGAGCGCTGAGGCTGGGTCGGCAGGAAAGAGGAAGGGCTGCAGGGACGGAAAAAGAATTAATATAGCTGGAGTGATGGTGAAGAGGAACGTCAAGGCGTCCAGCAACCAGGCCATGAAGTAAACCTGCATAGACCGTCAGGTCGACAATACTTCCTCTGCCAGACATGACCTACAGAACACAATGCCCCTGTCCGCCGTGGCTCCCTCCATGACCTGATCCACGTAATATGATACCAAGCATTTGTCACGTCGACGACAACAGACGTATAGAACCATTCGAGTGTCGTTCGTAACTTTTCCGGGGAGAAGTGGTCTTCGCTGCTTCGACTAAGGTCGAGCTCATGCGGTAGGGCATTTCGAGGCGATTTGACATGGTATATTTCCTACGAGCCATTGACTGAGATGCTGTTACCTTCAGAGCCGTGTAAGTGTCTTGGCTCACCTTATTGAATCGCCTGATTAACATCCACAGATCCTCGTCATTGACTCCGCCTTCTTCAAAGCCATTGTCTTGTTTGGTTGGAACTGGCTCGTCTTCCGTTTTGGAATGTGGAGGGTCGGGTGTATCGAGACTATCGTCAGAGCTGGTCTCCCCCGACTTGTGTCGGTTTTCGAACATTCGCGCCCAATGATGGGCTCTTACATGGGGATGCATGCTTTGCGAATACAATTGGAAATTATTCGTGATTTTTGATGAGTTCGCAAGAGAGGCTACATGGTTAGATGTTGAGTAGCTGTTCAGCTGCGGGTGGCGATGATGTAATAGACATTTGTGGCATAAAGCTCAACGCGGGCATGGAGACTATGAACCGTGGAATGGTTTAAGTTGGCAATGGATGAAGCGCTTGAGAGAATGCCAATCATCTACCTTCCCAATTTGTACGTTCATCGCGTGGTGACAGCCATAGGTATTGTTGTATGGCCCGTCCCCGCAACAACAGTATGAAGAGGCGCAATAAGAATTGAAAGAGAGATACTAACAATTCAACCCAATTTATTCCTCTGAGAAATGGGTAATTGGTGTGCTGAAGTCCGTGAAGCTGCTTCTACGATCTGGGCAACACCCCGGAATCTACTCTCTACTCATTTTACTAGAGATCAAAATCATAAGTAGCTGTAAGTGTAAATTTCTCGGCTATCCTTGATACCCTAAAACCAACATCAGAAATCACAGTTCCCAGTCAAATGCAGAAGCAAGACGGAGTCAGAGTCTCCAAGTCAATCGTGACCTACGCAAGGATCAACTCCAACTCCTCAATAGCAACCCGACGACAAGCCTCATAAGGCGAAACAGCACCGAACATGATGCTCACGGTAATGGCAACGTAATCGGGTCTATCGTTGAAGTTCTCGGGCTCGTCAAAGAACAAGTCGAAGCCGGTTCCGTCAGTGTCATAGAGGTTGTAAAGCGCAGAGCGCAGCTGATCGCGGCGGGTCTCGCACTTACCGGACCAGATGAGCAGCCAGACCTTCGTCCAGAGCTGTCCGTTACGCCAGTAGGTGTAAGGCATGCTGGGCGAGTTGTTGGGCTTGATGGTCTAGGTGAGGAGGTGGTATGTTGACCTAAGAGAGGAGCCTTGGAGAGTTGGATGTTTGAGATGGGGTTGGAGATGGTTGTGGAGGATAGTTGAGATGTGGGAGTGATGTAGACTGTATTTATATGCTGAGATTGAACAGTCTAGTTGGGACGTAACGATAAATTCCGCAGATTCATTGTCCAAAATATCTGGCCATGCTCTGGGGGTTGCCGCATGTACAATAAAGCTCTTTATCCTGATATATAAAGCAACTTCACAAAGCCATTGATGTATAAAGGTCTCCAGTCTACTGGATAAATGACTGGATGCTTGATGGCACTCTCCTGTAGGCATGGCTGTATCAATGGACAAATTTCATGTAGACCAGAGAACAAAGCATGATAAAAGCGAACTGAGAAGGATATTGTCGGCTTTTTAGTATTGAGCCGTACTTGCAAGTTACCGACTTAACAAAGGCTGCACACAATGTTTTAATCGTGAATTGAAAGAAACGGGTCCGAGGAGGAATCATCATCAGAGTAACATGACTCGGTCCCCATGTCTAAATCACACAACAATCGCCGAAGAAAATGCTCAACCCTAAGCATGAACGCCAATCCAATCAACAAAAGTATGCTATATCTATAGTGAGAACAACCCGCTTCGTCGCTTTCCATGAGGATATACAATCAACGCTGAAATGAAAAGCCCGACGGTGATGCCAATAGCGGTTTGGATCATACCAAAACCCAAGCTAGTCAATGAGCTCCCTGACGAGCCACCTGACGTATCTGCAGTCCCATTTTTCACTGAGTCTGAATACTCGATGGCTGAGAGGATCGACCCCGAAGATGCCAAACCGGAGGGCACCAATGTAAATATACCGGGGATGGTCGAGCTGACCGCATTGCCGTGCCAGAGTCTGCTGTACAGATTGGCCAGGAGACCGATCGTAAAGGCACCAACAGTATTGGCCACTTCAGATGAAGAACCTAGTTTCTGGGTACTGAAATAGTTGGTCACGTATCCAGCTGTGCCGATAAGGATCATCATTGGTGTTTGTCTCAACTTCGCCTGGTTGATTAAAGCTGCAATGAGACAATATACTGCCACGAATGGGAAATGCTGGGTATATGCGCTGCCCCAGACGCTTTGGCGGGCGCAGGTAGTGTCCCTCGTTGCATCCCCGTCGATCGCCCCATAGATTGTCGTGCCCACCGTGACACCGTAGCCCAGAAACAACGAGTACAGGATAGTATACACCAGGCGGATAGACCCTGCTATCATCTGATGGGACTGCAGCTCCAGACTGCTCGTCAAGACTGAGAACCCTGGTAGGATTAGGGCGATAGAAGATTCCGTGATTGATGCGTAGCAGAAGATAGGGTCCGAATGCCCTGGAAGCCTGATACTTCCAAATGCACGAGCAAGGAAGGAGATCAAAATCGCGGCGGTCACTTCAAAGACGTTGGAGTACAGGGCAGACATAGGGGCCAGGATATGCTGCATGAAACCCACACAGCATCCGAGCACAAAGATAATCGGCATGTCGATAGGACGGGCGGTGAAGGCGAATGGTCCTACTGCAGCCGATCCCAGACCATATAGAATAATGATCAGCCACTTAGGATATCGCGGAGGTCGGTCCATTAGCTCGGTCAGTTCTGTTATTGCAGTGGTCATATCCACCATGTCATGCGTGACCCGTTTGTAACAGTAATGGACTTCTTGTAGACGGCCCAGGTCAAGCCCTTGCGGAACGCGAATCAACTTGACCTCTCCGGTGCGGGTTACCGGGTCATCGAACGACATGATCATACAGCCAGGGAGATACATGAACTGCGCCTCGATGTCCAACACGCGAGCTGTCATTTGCATGTACTCCTCTAGCCGATGCGTCGGGGCACCATAACGCATGAAAGCGCGACACAGTTGCATCAGATAGCGCTGGCGCATGATCAATTCGGCGATGTGGACGGTCAGCTTCACCTCGGCAGCGCTCTTCTTATGCTTCTTTTTCCTCTCCTTGAACCTTTGGGGATCCGCCTTCATGGCGTCCGTGTTGGCCAGGGCAGTCGACGAGCCCACCTGCGCCATGTTCATTGACGCGCGTACAAGGGAGGCTGTTGATGAATGCTGGGGCTTGTGGTACCACTGTGGTGGCTTAACCTTGGAGGACCGCTGGGTAGAATCTGTCCCAGTGTGCGACGGCTTCGGGAGTTCGACATCGGATTCGGTTCCCGTATGTGACATTTTCCCAATGGAAGCGTCCCGTCTATGGCGGGAGTGCAACTGGAGTAGTCCTGAAAGAACGCCCGTGACCAGAGGTCTACCAGCCGTATCCTCGTGTGGTCTCGCGCTCTCCTCGGCACTGGGCGTGTGGCTCTCGGTATAAGTCACATCAGTGGTGCTGGTTGCTTCCGAGCTGCTCTGGTGGATACCACCAAGAGCTTGTAGCACCCTCTGGGCCTCTGCGTTCATGGCCTCACGATACTTTGCCTGACTAGACCCTTCGCCCGAATCATCTCTGAACAGGGCGGCCAACTTGGCGTCATCAGTTGAGCCCAGCTCCTCTGGGTCAATCATCGCCGACCCAAGCCCCTGTTCACCGTGCTCGTGTGGCCGTCCTAGCTGGTTCGCGAGACGCCCTGTCTTTTCCAGCACCGACCGGCTTGCTTTCAGCCATTTTGCGCTGGCCGATGTAGTGGTTTGCGTTTCTATTGCTGCATCTTCATTGCTTTGCGCTGCATCTTCCCTACGCTGAGAGGCCTGCTCGGGCGATTCATCTCGATTGTCATTTTCTGTTGACGGTGAGTGGGTAAATATAATCGACATGGGAACCTACTGACCTGAACCCGGCGCTTCCGCTTTTTCGACATCTGGGGTCATTTCGGGTAAACAATTGCCGAAGGCAACTATAGGAGTATGTGTCTAGCCGAGCAGCAACAATAATATCAGACGATAAGCACGACCCAGAAAGAGGTACATAGGATATCCGGAATGTTGTCACCCTTGGCATCTGCACGCCAGCAAGACCAAGCAGATGGGATGATTTGCCTCATTATGAGACCCCTCCCCTCTGCTGTATGGTCGTGCGACCGAGGGAGGCGGTGGGTCGAACAACAGGGGGCCGGTCATTTTGACATCGTGTCCGTCCTGCATCTGCTCCATAATAGGAGGCAGAACAGGGAAATACCGAGGATTCGTGGCCAGTGGGTCTGTCTACCAGTCAAGCTTTGTCTGCCTGTCTGCCTGTCACTGCCATGACGTCTTGTTCTACGGAGTAGGTTCTATACCAGCATCTATGCTGCTCTGCTGCATCCCTCCAGATAGTAGCTGAGTATGTGCAGTCTCAATCCATGTCCCAATAGTACCACCTGTTCCCGGAGTGATGGTTCAGGCACAACCAGACTCTAGGTACCATACTTCAGTTCATCCCTCCCGAAACCCTGCCGGTAATTAACGCAGAGGCCCACCCGGACAAGACAATAGCTGAAAAGCTTGGTATCTACACGACATGGACAGGAGAAAAAGGGATTGTGAGATGCGCCAGAGCATTCCAGCCTCTTATCTGCCTGTACAGAGTAGGAGTAGTCTCCTAGAACCGTTCTCTATATCTTATTCGACTTGAGTTCGCCTCCCATACGATGATCGACATGTCTCGGCTGTACAACAAGAAGCATTACCGCTCGGAACGTTTTGCCGAGCACAGCCATCGGAGATGAAGTTTCTTCCGTTGGGAAACTGAAAATTTCACAATGACATAATTGCTGCACAACTAGTATGTCCTCCGTACTGCGATTCATCGTTCAACTGCCGCTCAAGCCGAATTTTCCACCTGCAGGCAGGTCGAGGTGGGGACATCCTTTCCAGTCACAAGTGTCCTGTGTTTCATTAGCCATGCCCAGGGTTAGAACTCTTCCAGCCGAGCGCCGGGAAGTGAATCAGGGGGTCCAGACCTTATACACCTCCGTCCCCCACCAACTCAACCGGCTACTAGCCCCGGTAAAATAAATCGTCAGGAAAATGAGGACGCCGGCAATGCCCACAGACGAGTCCAGAGCGGAGCTCAGCACAAAATTGAATTTGGTCCACCAGCCTATCCACCGTCGTCGAATGAGGACCCCAAACAGGAGTCCTATGACAGCCCAGCTGCCGTAGTTCATCCCCGTAGCGGGCGGGAGGTAGTTCAGGCCCCCAACAAATAGTGGGATGTGCACCTTTTTCCAGAAGGACGAAGGGTAGCGCTGGCGGAGAAAATGGACCGCAATGGGCAGAACAGCCCCAATGATGAAAAAATACAGCAGGGACGAATAACCAATGTTGCTGGCAAAGTATCGGCGAGGCCCGATGGCGCCCCAGATCAGGGAGGTGTTGAAATGCGTGCTAGAGTACGGACAGCTGAAGCCGTTGACTGCGGTGCTGGTGCATACGCCGGCGATGTGGCTGAACGCCCAGTTTAGGACGCCGAGGGACGACAGAGTGCCGACAATCATGCCCACGACCTGTACTAGGAACAGCTTTCGTTGTGGGATCTTCGGCTCGTCAGTAATGAGCCAGCAAATGGAGCAGTGGGTGACGGACATTGCAGTAAGCCGCGAGCTTCATGTCTTGTGCAAAGTATAATCCCTTGATTGTGGTGATATATCCCAGGTCGAAAAACCAGATATTGGCCAGGACCTTCCCTTCAAATACAAGGCCGGCTACGATGCGACAGAAGACATCGATGTTGATCTTCAGGTTTGACGTTCCGTAGACGATGCTCAACTGTCACCCGGGTAGAAACTGTGAGCCTTGATCCGTGGGTGGGATGGCGGAAACTTACTGGAGGATAAAAGACCATAGCCACTGCGCATGCCAGTAACACGCCATACCATTTCAGCTCGACCTCCCAATATTCGACAGCAAAGATGGCCATGAACAACGCTAATGGCCAGCAAGCTAGGTACCACCAGGCTGGGACATCCCGAACACCGGGCTCAGGGCCCTCTGAACTCTTCGACCCAACTGAAAAATAGTCCGTAAGGAGATGTGGCGCCCTCCTGACGGCCCTCACCATAACATGACGGTGCTCCAGAACTACCCATACAAGGAGTGCGCTGAGACTAGCAAACGATAGTCCAAACATATTCAGGGCATATGTGATCGGCATGTATACCTGATGGGTGGCACACCTTAGCTCTGTCTGTGGCAGGGACGTTGAATACTTACGGGGGAATATTCCAAATATTTCTTGACGTCTAGCTTGTATCCAGAAGCCGCATTAACAATCTTGGAGACTTTATATACGTTCCCGGTGTTGTCGAACACTAATCAACATCAGCAGCCGGCCTACCCTTAATCAAACATGGCTTTACCTTTGGAGCTTTGGAACGGAAGATACCCAGTGTCCCACACATTGGTATAGTAACAAGCAATAGCCACAATCCAGATCCAAAAGACCAGCGATACAAAGACATTGCTTATCGCCCAAGCGGGAACGAGCAAGGGTGAGCCAACATATGAAATCTGGCTCCCTGGATCTTGTCAGTATTAACAGGAAATTATGGCCCTGGTTGCTCACAGTCAAACGTGATGGGAATAAGCCCCATTCCACTCTTCATTCCAAATAGCTGGTTCACCACCCGGCTTTGCGGCTTGATCCAACAGGGAAAGCTGAAGTAGCTGAGAGCTGGCATGATGAAATCCGGAAACCAATACCAGCAGAAAGATATACCGAAGGCAAGAGAAAAGAACCCATAGCGGGACATCTTCCATGTATCGTACCTAAGTTTGTGAGCACGCGTATACCACCGAAGTCCAACATGGAGATAGATACCTCCTCTCATCTGCCCCGTGCAATGTTGCAGTAAGAGCAGTAACCCCCAAAGCTCCAGGCCAGATCAGTTCCCTTGGTGTAACCGTGATTGCACGAAAGAGTCCAGCGAGAGAGAACCCGATCAGGAATGTGGCCAGCGTGATCAGGACCTGGAACCCCCAGCCTGCACTGTACCGATAAAACATCTGTTGTTCCGTCAAGACATCCGCGCCCAGACGGACGTATACACTCAAGTTTGACATGATATAGATCAAGACGTGTTCCTATAGACCTTCGGTCAGCGTCTATCGTAGGTTTTTAGAGCATCGAACACACCTTTTGGTTGAAAGGGCCCGGGTTTAAGTTGAAAGCCCATGACCCTAACGGCACGTTCCAGTTCGGCACGGTCTTTTCCCATAGCTTGCCTGAGGGATAGGCTAGTAAGAGAACGACCGATGCTGAAATGGTCAAGGACGGTGTGCGGAGGGTATAAAGGGTGTTGAGACCACTGGCAACGACGCAGAAGAGCACCCCGAGACACCACATCCGGAGTGTCAACACAGGCTGTGTAGGGTCATCTTCGACCACGCCTATGCCGGCTGCCCGGAAGATATTTTCCACCGAGTCTGTTTCAGCTGTGAGATAAGAAACTGTTAGTCATTCCCCATAATGATAGAAATCAGACTTACCGTCATCATTCTTGTGAGTAGGAATGTTCTGTTCCTGCACATCCGTGCCCTTGGTTTCTGACATGATGCTGCAGTGGAGAGAAGAAATAAGTAGGACACAGATCAGATAAATTTCTCATCAGATAAGATCGCACAAAGCTTTATAAAGAACTTAATGTCCTCCATCAGCCCTATAGGGCGCCAAGTGGGTCAGCCAGACATACAGAATCCCAATCCGTCCATCCTCCCCATCCATTTTTGCTGCTGCCTAGATAGCCAGATGGCCGGTGGATTGGAATCTATGTGTGCCCTTGTCCATACGTACTCTGTACTTCTCTCAAGCTGGCCATCCTTATGATCATGTTCACTCAGTGTATACGCAAAAAAGATAGGTAAGACCTTGGGATCCTTAACTGGCTCATGAACACCAGGTCAGTGAAGTTGGGAACCCCGAGTAGATCCTTCAACAATTACAAATCGGATTTCTAACTTCTGATCGGCCTACACCATCAGAAAACAAGGGTATATCGAAACTGTACAATTTACGCGGGCCCCTGTAGCCTCCAGTACAGCCTATAGATCGTCATTCTTATCTCTCCTTTCTCCACGTATTTATTTATTTTCATGGTTTCGGTTCTTCTATCTTTATGCCCCTTTTATACTATATCGCTTTCATCCACCTTATGCAGAGGTTCCGTCTCTTTCTGTAGTATCCTCCGTATTGATTGGCAGTTGCCCCTTGTAGTGGCTATATTAGAGGCTGCTATGTATTCGTACTTTGCTTATGGAAAACCAACCAACCAATCCGGTCGTCTCGCCTATCTGAACTTATTTGATTGATAGGAACGAGACACACCCCGGTCAGTGTTAGGTGGAGCACAGCTGAGCAGAAGGAACACCCTGTTCGCCGCATCCTACGGTTGTATGTGGTGGAGTCTGGAGGCTATCTATCATTGATGCAATTCAGTCGTCCTAGTTTTTTCTCCGCCTGGTGACAATATCCATAGTTCGTATTTATATTTTACTATCTACTGTCTATTCTCTAGACACGCCCCTTTATAGAGCCACCAACGTGAATTAATTACTTGGTTAGAGATTCAACAACAACATAATAAGCATAAAGTTTAGAGTAGATTCCCGCGTAGCTAACATTAAGTAATTTATATCGCCTACTAATAAACACCTGTAATAAATTGTACGATGAGGCGCATATAGAATATACTCCGGGTGTCGTAGAGGGGTCTTCAGGTCGGGAGTTCTGCCATCTGCCATGCTCGAAAATCGACTGACCGGAAGAGGGGTATTCTAGCGCCCCTCAGCGCTAAAGTGGGATAGCAGTTCACATCAGCCCAATTATATACCCTGCACTAGAAGCAGTTCAGCTGGTAGCCGGAAAGACACAAAGATGTAATCCGCTATATAAGACCACTGCTGACGATTACCAGCGTCCCACCGCCCTCACTACTGCACTCCATTATAATCGAGTATGGACCAGGGTCAGTCTGACCCCGAGGACACCCTGTACACTACCCATGGTTCTAGCAACAGAGACGACAAAAAAGTATGGTATGTCACGCTATGTCGGCTGACGCAACGCTGAAATTGTCCAGGCTTTGCTGTGCTACCGATGCCGGAGCCTGGATCTCACCATCGATAAATTTATCATCCGGCTAGGATCTTCCGCGACTGACATCCCGCATGACCCCCAGCGATATGAGCCAAAGAAAGCAAAAAGCACATTCCAGGTCAAGTCTGGCAAGAGTTTAAAACACGTCAAGGTCCTGGGAAAACTCCACGAGAATAGCCGTACGTGCCAGCTCTGCGGCCTAATATACCGGACGATCGTCCGTTATGGGAGGCAGAATGTCAACGATGAAACCTCGTTTTCTCTCACATGGGAAGTTCACGGGCGGGAGTATCAAGAGGGCCACGGGTTTGTCAACAAGACCCGTCGAATCAGGCTCAGTTGGAGTGAAATTTCAGGAAATCAGCAAGAAGCCTATCTGATGCTGGTGGCTCCCCAGGACCCGCTGCGTCCTATTTCGGATGCCTCGGCAGAATACCAGAAAGAGTATCACTTTCTCGGTCGAGGCTTCGGAGACCAGCAAGAGAAACAGGCACTTATGAAGAGCTGGATTGACATATGCGTGAATAATCGCAATGGAGATCATGAGCTATGCCGGAATAACCATGGCACGGACGAAGCGTTCAAGAGTCTGACAAAGCAGACCTACTTCGGCGTGATCGACGTGGTAGACATGCAGTTAAAATCGCTGCCCAGGAGGGAAGAAGACGATACTCCCGAGCCATACGTTGCCCTTAGCTATGTCTGGGGGCAGAAGGAGGCGCAGCCCTATAGGACAATTCGACGGACTGTCATGACCCATATCCTCCACGGAGGCTTGGAACCAGCGTGGGAAAAAATGCCGCGAACAGTCCAAGACGCCATGCTGCTCGTGAGCAGATTGGGCTTCCGCTATCTTTGGATTGACTCGCTTTGTATTGTTCAGGATAGCAAAAGCTCCTGGCAATTGAACGCCAGCGCGATGCACCTCGTCTATGGCAATGCCCAGTTTACCATTTGCGCTGCGGACGGGGCCGATTCATCCGTTGGACTCCGTGCAGCAAACCCAGTGTTGCGAGCGATGCGACCAGCTACCAATGGTTGGGACACAATGGCTTCTATGGCCGATGTCGATAGTGGAGACCAGGAGACATTGAGCGCCGAATGCTCTCCTGGGGTGCGACTAATGGTGACAAGATCACCAGAGGCCGTGCTGAGCGATTCAGCATGGAGCAAGCGCGCATGGACCTTTCAAGAACGGATCCTATCCCGTCGTTGTCTCATTTTTGCCGAAGGCAAGGTGTACTGGCAATGCCGGGCGATGACCATCGCGCAAGACATTCACACTGACGGCAGCGATAAAGGACTGGCAGTTGAACTGACTAATTCCCCGCTTCGCACCCTCCAACAGCTACAACGACGGCCTCTGTGGTCGTATATGTCATACGTCCGGATGTACACCGGGCGTCTCCTCACCAAACAGCGAGACGTACTGGCAGCCTTTGAGGGTGTCGCGTGGCTCTTGGGCAACTACATGAGAACGCCTTTCATCTTCGGTCTTCCAGTCTCACATTTCGATCTAGCCTTGCTATGGGATCCGATGCAGGCTCTCTGCCGGCGGAGGCCAGGCCATGGGGCACAAACGGGGCAGCAGACCTGTACGGTAGACGAGCTAGGAAACTGCACCTGTCGGGCCGAACAAGAATCTTTTGGAGACATGGAGTTCCCAACATGGGCCTGGGCCGGATGGATGGGAGGGAAAATCGATTATCAGTCCAAAACCCTGGAAGGGTGCTTGGAAAATGTGCACGAATGGCTCGTTCACAGCACATGGATCCAATGGCATATTCGCGACGACACGGGATGCTTACAGCCTTTGTGGGACATTATACCCCAGGGCAGAGCTGCTCTAACAACGACCCGGCCACAGGGCTTTCGAGACGATGGTTCATGGAGAGGCTATCCTGCAAGTGCCCCGGTGATGGCCCATCCACCGAGGCGCTCTGAAGTCCACCCGGCCCCAATTAGGCCCATTCCCGTTCGTATCGTAAATCGCCAACCTGTTGCACCGCAGCAGGCGGATAATCGCCATGGTCGCCGGGTTACTTTCGAGAGGTCTCATACCGGTCCCTCGTACGCCTCTGTTCGCACATCGTCTAGTGAGGAGTCAGAATCCCTGGCTTCGTCGAGCCATAACTCCACTCTCCATCGACGACAGCGACGCCCTCGTTCGAGTAGTTCCGATTATGACACAGAAGGTCGGTGAGCACGACACGACGGCGCTTCTCCATTTTTGCATTTGCTAACGCGGATTGCAGCCAGCTCAGATTCTGGAACATCATCGTTGAGAGATGTGCCCCTCGGGAAAGATGATAAGTATGTGTCGGTGGGGAACGTGCCCTATACGCAAATACGAACGCCGCAAATAGTTATCCCGCGCACTACAGGCCCTGAAGACCCCTTCTCCGAAAAAGCTAAAAATCAGGAATATATTTCAAGAGGAGGGAGCTTCGCCGACACTTTCACGCGCGGAAGATCTGGTTCCCCAATCCCAATGCCCCGAATCGACCCATACGGACGACAGCTACGAGGAGAGATACCCAAAGACAACATCGAATTCGGCGCCATCCTTCCTGACAATCCATTTGGCGTTGGGCCCAGGAAAATAGGCCCTAGGGGGAAATCACCGTCCTCGCTGCGCTTCATGCCTATCCTCCAATTTTTTACATGGCGTACCGAGCTTCACGTGGTAATTCGTGATTGCAAGGTCCCAAGTACGACCAACACATCGAGCACTCAGCTATGCCAATGTGATATCGTCGACAAAGAAGGTGACTGGTGCGGTAGTATTGTGCTGGATGAAACGTGGATTCGTGCGCGAGAAGCACACATGTTCACGTTCATTGCGATTTCTGAGGCCAAGCAGTTCACAATGGAGGAGTGCCCTGTCTGGACATACTACATACCCAAGGTGCGGTCGGAGTCGGAATGGGACTTGTACTACGTGCTGCTTCTGGAGAGAAACGAAGACCGGTGTCTTTGGGAGAGGGTCGGTATGGGCAAGGTCTTCCAGGCAGCCTTTCGAGATGATATTTGGGGCGAGATTAAACTTGGCTAGCAATGCAGATGAAAGGAGGTACCTAGCACAACCGAGAGATCCAGACGTAGAATGAGGTATCTTCCGCCAGTAAGACGGTGTGATGGGCGACTAGACCAAGAAACGAGAAGTGCTCACTGCCAAGGTCCAATAAGCAATGAACGGCGGCAATAATGCGGGGTGAGATGGGCAATGTTACACATGGGCGGCGGTTCTCTGTGGTACTTCTGACTCGAACTCTTATCAGAGAGTCATCCCAGGCGCATCCATCAAGTATAACAGCAACAAGACATCAGGAAGCCCAATGAATTCAAAGCACAAACGCACATCTGCAGGCTCGTCTTAACATGGCCGCCCCCAAGAAAGTGGTCGTCATCATCGGATGTGGAGGAATGGGCGTCGCCATCGCCCGTCGACTGGGGAGCGGATGCTCCATCTTACTCGCGGATGCATCACCCGGTCAGCTGGAGAATGCCACCAGCACCCTCCGACAGGAAGGATATACCGTTGACGGAACAGAAACCGACGTATCCAGTCTGAATGCGGTCAAGGAGCTTGCAAAAAGGGCATCGCAGATAGGTCCTATCAAAACTATCGTGCACACGGCCGGGCTATCACCCATTCAAGCCCTACCCGAGCGAATATACCAGGTTGACCTCCTCGGAACTGCAAACGTTATCGACGCGTTCCTCGAAATGGCTACGGCGGGCACAAGCCTTGTAGTCATTGCCAGCATGGCTGGCCATACAATCCAAGAAGCCCTCGCCACTGACTTTGAACAACACCTTGCAACATCCCCGACGGAAACGATCCTCTCTCATCCAGAGCTGGACACAAATGTATACGAAGCCAATACGCCAGAAGCACGCAAAGCTAGTCCACGAGCATATGGCATCTCCAAGCGGGCAAACATCCTCAGAGTCCAGGCGTCTGCCGCGGCGTTCGGAGCGAAGGGGGCGAGAATCAACTCCGTCAGTCCGGGGGTTATATCAACTGTAATGGGGCAACGTGAGCTGGACGGGCCATATGGTCAGCATATCCGCAAAATCATCGACGATAGCCCTGCCGGACGGATTGGGACGGCGGGTGATGTTGTCAATGCGGTTACTTTCTTGGCAAGTGACGAGGCTAGTTTTATCACTGGGACCGATTTGCTGGTTGATGGAGGCTCCACATCATCTCAGAGATGGAGTAAAGGTCCTGGTCTGTTTTCCCGCTGATATGGTTGTCATCTATTGCATTCGGGCTGTTGGGGTGTCGTCCTATGGTTATGAGTTGCCTTTCAACTAGCTTTTTGCACACATCAAACGCGTCTCCTGCTGCATGAAGTAATTATCAGTGCCTCCACATTGAACGCCGTTGTTCTAATCCTTATCTTCAAAGCTGATCTGCGGCGCTGTGTCTTGATGCCCATTGCCATAGTTCCCCGTATATATGTTGGAGAAGGCGGTGCATGGGAATGCCAAGACAAGACCTATTGTGGCTCAGTTCAACGTCATCCGAAAAGGCGACCTTCTTATCCATCACTCCCTGATCTAGGAACTACTCACAACAGAGCTGGAGTGAGTCACGATCTTTGGGAAACGGCATGTCACAGCAAGGTGCACCTCAGCCGCCAAAACCCCAGCGAGTACTGGCGTGCGTGCTCTGTCAGCAGCGCAAGGTCAAATGTGACCGCCGGTTCCCTTGTGCGAACTGCACTCGGTTGAAAGCGACCTGCGTACCGGCAACGGTTGCTACACGGCGGCGAAGGCGTCGGTTTCCCGAGAAGGATCTGCTGGAGCGCTTGCACAGATATGAGGATCTCCTCCGGCAAAACAATATCCCCATCGACCCGCTGCCCAGTGGGCCCGATGAAAGTGAGACAATCATCAATAAAGATGATAGAAATAGTTTGGAAAACGATCTGGCAGCGGCAGATGGGCCAAGTCCAGCTTCCTCTGCCACACACCAGACTGTATACGAACCCAAGTATGACTCCCGTCCTAGGACGTGTCTCCAGTCGCTAATAGTGTAAAGGAATGTCTGGCATGTCATAAACAGAGGGGTGTGTACGTGCAATGATATCCTCATGCTTCACTGACCGCTATGCCACAGGGCCGAGACATGAGCAATGATAGTGATTCTTCAGGTGATGACGTCTGGGAGGTCAGCGTCAAGCATGCATGGGATCGACTATTTATACATGACGAGGGCTTCCTATTAGGGTCACGAAAGTGCTCGGTCGACCTGACAACATTACATCCTGAGCCAGTGCGGATTCTCCGACTCTGGCAGATCTACCTTGATCGCGTCAATCCGTTGCTCAAAGTCACCCATACCCCGGGGCTTCAAGGGCGAATCATCGACGCGGCCAGTAAGGTCGCACATATTGATGCAACGACTGAGGCTCTTATGTTTAGTATTTATAGCATATCAATCCAGAGCCTGACTACCAGTGACTGCCAGGATATTTTCTCTACGCCAAAGGAGGACCTGTTGAGGGCGTATCAATTCGGATGCGAACAAGCTCTACTGAACTCCGGGGTTTCACGAACCACCAACCGAGAATGCCTAACGGCACTGTTCCTCTATCTAGTACGTCGCTAAGCCTTTGCTCATCACGTCACCTCACTAACAAAATTCCAGCTATCTTTCGGGCACTTCGTTGATCCCCGGTCTCTATCCTCCATGTTCGGCATGGCAATTCGCATCGCGCAGCGTATGGGCATCGATAGCGAGACGGCGAATGCAAAATGCTCCATATTGGAAGCTGAGATGCGTCGAAGGCTCTGGTGGTCGCTTGTGCTTTTCGATTCTCGCATTACTGAGCTGGGCGGTATAAAATCATCAACATTGGCTCCCACCTGGGACTGCAAGCTCCCGCTCAACGCAAATGACTCTGACCTCTGGGCCGAGATGAAAAGGCCGCCCGACATCCACTCAAAAGTGGCTGAGTGCCTGTTTGCAGTGATTCGGTGTGAGTTAGGCGAGTACGTCCGGCATGCGGAGTTTTATCTTGACTTCACCATGCCAGCATTGAAGGCGCTTGCGAAAGAGTTTCAACATGGCATGGAAGGATTGGATGCCCTGGAAAGATTGCTGAACGAGCGCTATCTCCAGTTCTGTGACATGGGGAATCCGCTCCACCTTATGACCTTCTGTGTCACGCGTATAACTCTCGCTAGATACAGACTCATGGAACACTACTCTAGACGAGCTCAGTCATCCGCGGAACAGACGGACGCCGCGGCCGATCGTGCGCTCTCTTATGCGATCTGCATGCTGAACGCAGAGACGGATATCATGACGTCCCCCCTGACCAAAGGTTTTCTGTGGTTCACACAGTTCTATTTCCCAATGCTCGCCTACATGCACATTATGCAGGATTTGAAGCGACGGCCTGTCGGCGAGAAAGCAGAGCAAGCATGGGATGTCATGGCGGACAGCTTTGATGCACGATTTGAGTTACTACCCAGCGGGAATCCTCTGTTTGATATACTTGTCAAGGTCGTCACCCCGGCTTGGGAGGCACGTCAGAGGGCATGCCGGGAGACCGGTCAATCATTGCCAATACCTCGAATTATATCACGCTTCCAGTCCGAAATGGCGCTTCCGAATTCCATTGCAGACGAGGGTACCATGAGCCATACCGCGACTTCGACGGCCAAGAATGAGAGAACATTTTGGGCATCAATGTCGACTAGCTCCTTTCCCACAGGCGAGATTAATGGTACTACCGCCACTCCTGGGTTAAGCGGCAGTTTAGACATATCAGAACTGTCTACGTTTGACTTTGATGGAAGTGAATTCAATCCTAGTGCCATGGATATTTATTGGGGGAACAACTACCCCTGGTGAAATTGGATACTCGCAAGCACCAGCTGCTCCGTGTTAGCTGCTAGCAATCTGTCCCTTGTCATTGGCGCTAACCACGCCTACCAATGTGACGGTGTGAGAAACGGTCAAAATATCCTAGTCCGCGGATGCAACTCTACAAAATAGCGCACGTTGGCGGAAACCATGCGATTGGAGCATCAACTCCCCGAATCAACATGAAACAGCATCCCAGCATCATGGGCCCATGGATCTGTGTTGGCTGCCAAGGCGCCGGTATTCATTAGGCTTATGAAAATGTGACGGCCTGTGCATATGGACGGTTCCGGCCCGAGTGATCTGCGGTGGAGCAATGAACCTGGGTCTACGAAGTACGGAGTAGTACACAATGCGATTCTCATCTCAAACGGATACACCGGGACCATGGCCGAACGTGAGCTAGATAATTCTTATAGTCCGGGCGATAGACAAGATAGAGCCATTCGTCGGCTCGTGGTGAATTCACCTTGCTTCGGACCGCGTATGGCTTCACAGGGGATGCTCGGGTTTAATTAACATCCGTCTAGTGAGATCTGGCCCGCCAGGGTGCATATTAGCACCTCTGGAAGACGTTCCCATAGGCCATGCCCAGCCAGCCACCACGCCATGGTGGGGAGCGGGCAATTCCGACAGGCAAGAAAGATACGCCTAGATCATACGACCGATTGTCAGATTAGGTGTCGCGTTGTGGCGTGTATGCAATGTTCGAACCATCACATTATCATCTTGTCCTAAATTTTACGCAAGTATGAACTGCATTAAGCCTCTGTTGTGTGTTTCCGATGATTAGAGGCAAGGTCAATTGGCCACTATCCCAGCAATCAAACATCGCTTCGAAAAGATTCTTCCTCGCAGCTGGGAGAAGTCCTAGTCCGCCGGATCCCATCGTAATGGACCTCGTAGTCTATAGTCTGCAAAATCACATCCTCACGTAGGTTCCTCTGGCTCTCCCTTCGATCCATGCTGTGCACAGCAGAGCTCCCTTGGAATATATTTCGACTCTTTGAGCGTCGGGATCGTGATTTCTTCGGGCCTATCTGGCTACCAGATCTGGATCCCGATCTATCACCCGTAATATTCGAGCGTCCGCCTGAGACTGAATACTCGAAGAACTCGGTCACGGTACCGGCCATCATTCCCGTTTGCAGGTCAGCCAGAACACGCCTCAACGGCGGGATGCAGTTGCAGACGATCGAAGTACTGAGAACGAGTTGGAGCCAGATTGCAGGCATGAGAGCGTGCCATGATGGATCCGGTGGTGTCGCGTTAAAGACAGGGCGAAGAGAGAGTAGGCCGGGAATTGTGAGCGCAGGAACACTGTATACAGTTAGGTCTTGCTGTGGCGGAATCCAAGAATGACACACATAAGACGAATTGCGAAGAGCGCGGAGATTTGGTATCGTCTCCACTGGATCATTCGTACAGTCCACAGAAGGGTGACCGGCAGAACGATCACGGCCATGTCCAGAATTATATGAACAATGGCCAGCCCGATGTATAGAGCGTGCTGATGAGCGCATCGCTCGGAGCTGAAATGCCACGGCTCGGGCTGCTTGCATTGCACCCCTAGCCCTATCAAGCTCGCCAATGCCCATACTCCAATCGCACCAAGCGCGACATTGCATGCGTATTTGATCTTCTCAAATGGCTTCAGCGATAGGACTAGGAGAACGACGGCTGCTTTGGAACAGGTCAGGACGAGTATGGCGAGGAGCTGGCTAGCATAGAGGTTCTCCAGACAGTCAGACTCGAATGTCGCTCGCCTGATATTGGTTTCGTACCTTGGTATAGGTCCGAAATGAGACATCACTCAATGCATCCCGATGCTTCCCAATGCCGTGAATGCTGGCCAGGTTGATGCAAACCGTCTGAGGGATGAACAAAATCTACCCAGCGACAACTAGCATTAGACACGCCATTGACGAGACAGCCAAGAACTCACACAACCAAGTGCTGTGATCGAATCGCTCAAAGGGAGGCTTCTCAGCGCACGGACTCGTGATATGACGGTCGTTGTGGTCGCAAGCACGGTCAGGATCAGGAGAATGGTGCTCACAGCGACAACCCAGCCGCCATGGTCGTTCGGTGTAATCGGAAGAAGCGGCGGCAGGAGATCATCTGCGCTGGTCGACATTGCCCAGGTAGAGTGGCTTGTACAACGTGGGATTTTTCATTATGCTGTCGATATGGCACGTCCAAATCTCGAGTATAAGGAATCTTACTCTAGATATTCTCGGCTGATGTTAGCAAACTGTCGCCCAACGTCAGGATTCGCCCTCTGTGTTATCGACAGGGTTGCTATAGTTCATCTTATCCCGGATCCAAAGGGCACGCTTCGATGCAACTAAATGTCCGGCATGGGGCGAAGGAATTCTGGCCAGACACTAGTTATGCAACCTGGAATGAACATCCCGCCATAGACCCCTGCCACGGCCAATATTGTATCGCTTACCACGACAACCCTGCAGTGGACTTATTAATGCTGCCTGGGCCTGTGTCTCCTATCTCCCCTCGTCTGCAAGCGGAATTTTGAATCTCTCCCTGTCCAGTCGCCATATCACAATGGCAAAGGCAATGGAGGTCCATGAGATGGCCGCCTTGAAGGCAGGCCAAAAACCGCCAAATCAGAATGGGGATGTTCCCAACAGCAATGACCGGGGCAACAATCATGCTCTAAAGGAAAAGACGAAAGTGAAGGTAACAAACAACCCACCGTGTGTTAGGTAGAGTGTACCACGCTGACACAGCCAAGCGATTGTTCAATTTCACTCAGATTTTCTTCTTCTCGCTTACGTTTATGTCAAGCTGGGAGACGCAGGCCTTGTGGGTTCTCTTACAAAGTAGTCAACAATGGTACTGACAGCGGCAGAAACCTCAGTGCGGTCCTTACCAATGGTGGTCCTGAAGCCCTGGCCTGGGGAATTGTCATTGTCATCTTTGGTGCAATGGCTCAATCGGCTTCATTGGCAGAAATGGCATCCATGCAGCCTATCGCCGGGGCACAGTACCACTGGACGAATTACCTAGCACCCCAACGCCAGAGGAAGTTCATCACCTGGATGCAGGGTACACCACACCATGCCCAATAGATCTATACCACCGCTAACTTCAATAGGATGGGTGACTTGGTTCGCGTGGATTTCACTACTCTGCGGCGTTGCCAACACTACCGCGACAATGCTCCAAGGGTTGGCCAGTGTCAATTACCCCGAGTATGAAGCAAAGCGATGGCACATCACCCTGATCATATTCGCCATGCTTATTGTCGAAGCTCTGATGAACATGTACACCTTCTGGCTGATCCCGTGGATCGAGCTGATGGCTGGCGTCCTCCATATATGCCTTCTGGTTATTTTCCTAGTCGTCTTCGCCACACTGGCTCCGCGTCATACTGCAGAGTTTGTATTCCTGCGGACTCAATCGCTCTCTGGGTGGAATAACACCTTTGCCTCGTGGAACATCGGCCTCTTGACTCCTACCTGGGGTTTCGTCGGTCAGTAAAGCCCAACAATACCATAACGCTGCCTCTCATCAATCAATACAGGCTTCGATGGTGCGGTGCATATGAGTGAAGAAACTCGTCGCGCACGGCAGGCAGTCCCCCGGTCAATGTTCTACACAGTGGTCGTCAACGGGGTTCTGGCATACGGCATAGTCATTTGTATCCTCTTCACCATGGGCTCCATTGAGGCCGCCCAGAGTTCCTCTTTCCCTATCATCGAGATCTGTCAACAGGCGACCGGGTCTGTCAAAGCGGCTACGGCGATGGTGTGCGGCTTGCTTGTGATATCGCTTTCCGTCACTCTGGCGAGTATCGCATCCGTCTCTCGACTGACCTGGGCATGGGCGCGTGATGGCGCTCTACCTAGTTGGTTTGCTTACGTGGGTGCACACAGATACATATGTTAATAGCGCTAACAAAGATTGCAGATCGACCGACGACATAACGTCCCTATACGTGCCGTCTGGCTTCCCGTCTTCGTCGTGATGTGCTTGTCATGTCTGAACATCGCTAATACGGCCGCCTTCGGCGCTTTCGTCGCCTTGGGCTCTATCGGTCTTTTTGTGTCGTACTTCCTTGCCATTGGGTGCATGGTGCACAATCGCTTTCGCTCTGATGCTGCCCCCCTTGGCGACTGGAACATGGGAAAGCTCGGGCTCCCGGTTAATATCTTTGCCTTGATTTATACAGCATGGGTCACTGTGTGGCTCGCCTTCCCCTCCTATCTTCCAGTGACGGGGGAGAATATGAATTATGCGGCGCCCATCTTTGGGGCCTCGACATTGTTTGCATTAGTGTACTGGTTCATCAAGGGACGTACACGGTGGCCTGGGCTGAATGAGGAGGTTGTCCGTCTGGTTGTGGAAGAGGGTGAACTTCGCCTGAAATGAGCTTTTCCTTGGGGTATCATGATAGGACAGTACTTTGAACATATATGCTTGAGTCTGCAAATCAGCCACTAGCCCTGAGATACCCGGCACAATTTGTCTACAAACAAACAAAACCAGATCAATGGGCATTGAGATCAACGTATCTATGACGAACCGGCCTAGGGATGTATCATTCCCCTTGCATGATGCCACGTACGTGATCTACAGGGCCTTTCGTCGGATCGGCAGACCTTCTAGAATGTGGACTTCCAACATCATCACAGAAGTAGACTATTGTGTTCCCTGTATTTTGATCTTTTGGCATCTCCTAAGAATGTTCAGCCATACTATTGTTGGACATAGTGACGCAGAGGATCATAAGCATCCGCCCCTAATGCACCCTAGCTTCAGGGTCTAACTTTCTTTTAACCTTAAATAATCTTTGTCTCACAGCGCAATTCAAGATAGAAACATGCATGCCGCATACCAAGATCCTACTACTGTGCATGACGCGTCATGTTCTAGATTTCCAGCTTGCTCTAGCGGTGATAGTCAACCTGAAGCCACAACGCCGTTCTCCGGATGCTTAGAGCAGGAGTCTTGCTGTGAATATGACCAAAACAGTTCTATTCCCATATATATTCGAACCCAAAAGACACCAAAACTGCAAAAAATACAATCTATATAGAATACATGATCAAAAAGCACTGCAAATTATCCCGTCAAGGCAACGACACCAGGTTGACGTTGCTATGTGATTGACCCAGAGGCGTGAGGCCCACCAAACTATCATTCTTCGACCCCCCAAAAGTCTTCAAAATCTCCTCCTTGGACGCACCACCGAGCCCAAGAGCCTGCAGGTTCCGCCCGCTCTGTCCAAAGTCGCAGCCATTGATGACAGACGCGACATCAACAATCGCCTTGATGGTGGGCGAGCTCAGCCCGCACTTCAAGCCCAGCTCATACCACGGGACCAGCACATAGGCAATATCTTCGCGCACGTAGCGATGCTGCAGGTTGGTCGGCGCGCCCTTCGTCTTGTTGTGGATCTTGGACCCCCGCGCAAACTGGTGGAATTCCGTAAAGCCCAGCTTGTAGTCGCGCTCCAGGGTCTCCAGCAACGAGGGCACGTCGAAACCATACGCTCTCGCGATCGCCATCCGCTCTTCGTCCAGTCGCTGGATGACCCGTGACACTGATGGCGACATGCCCTGACCGTAGAAGTGGAAGTCCCCTTGAGTGGCTTCGATCCAGCCCGCGTTCATCAGGGCCGTGGCGGGGTGAATCACCGGTCCGATATTGGCGAGCCCAACCTGGAGAAGACTCTTGCACCACTCCAGGTGACGGGGAAAGATGGACTGCACTTGCTGGCGGAGAACTCGGAAGGACTGGGGCGAGTGGCGCGCGTGTGTGGTGGATTCGGCCCCGATAGCCAGGCAGTCCTTGACGCCCTTCACCATCACCGTGTCGCCGGAGATGCGAGTGGCGTATGGAGCTAATGCGGTCTCGAGGATGTTCGCTGCGTTCGTTCGGGAGCGCGCCGCGATGGAGAAGAAGTTGCCTGGCGCCGCGATGAGGGTGTGATGGCGAAGATCATGCTGGCTGAGTTCATCCAGGAGGGTGTCATGCGCGAACGATGGCACCGTCAGGACGATGAAGTGCGAGAACCGTACCACTTCGTTCATGTCACTGCTCGTCGTGATCTTGAACCTTCCTTGCACATTGTCGCTTGCATTCAGGTAGCCGCCACACTTTTCAATCATTCCCAGCGCGCCGCGGTGGTCAGGATGTCCGTACAGTAGGACCTCTTTCCCCCGACTAGCCATGTCTGCTGCAAGTGAGCAGCCACAGGGTCCAGCACCGATCACAGAGACGGATGATACTGCATCCCATTCCGAGGTTCCTGGTCTGAGATCCCCTCCGGCTGTACGCTTCGCTGGTACTGCGTCCGACATGTTCGTGATTGCTGGCGACATCGTGTCTCTGATGGGTTATTGCAAGACTCAAACTTCTAGATAATGGCTTTTGCGATGGTGCTAACAGGTACCTGGATCGGATGGGTGCTTATGTATCCCTGATTCCCTGATCAAGACGTCGCCATCCCATCATGTTGGATACATGTTCCATGCGTAGCTCATCGACATGAAACATTCTTTAGCTTGCGTAACGCATAGTCCTTGGCATCGATTCTTTCACAAATTCAGGTGTTATGCTGCATCGGGTTGTGGGTATAATTGCAGCTAGCTTACGACAGCGTGGTGGTGATCATGGCCGTCGGAGAATTTTCGCCTATGATGATTTCATATGGCTGGAGCATCAATCTGACGCTGGATATCACGCCATCAAGGGATGCGGTAATCTTCTTAAAATAAATCAAATCGGCTCTTCTTGACCCTGAGTGATGAGCTTGCGACGCAGGTTCCCGGCGTCGATCATACTGTGGAGAAGCGCAGAATATCACCAGGGTGTAGGGCTCCCTGTCGATCCTGACGGGGTAAAGGCCTGGACATGGATTTCTAAAGCGGCAAGAATAATAGTTCCGTGGATCTTATAGCGCCTGGTCCACAATAGCTGAAACAAGACCCTTAAGTCTATACTCCATATACAGTACAAAGTCCCAATATTTGTCCTAGAGCAAGTCCACCCTCCCGAAGACGTGGCACATGCGCCGATCATTCAAGGGTGAGACTTGTCTACGTTCATTACGCTATGGAATCATGTCTTTTGGTAGATCATTGAGGACATCAGGGGAAGATTGCCACAGAATAGGGACTGGCCAGCCTTCCGCGTCATTCTCCATAGTCCTTGCTGCTTGGCATCATACCGGATGGACGGAGAGTTGTCATGAAGCAAATAAAAACAATCGGTGAGAGAGCAACTGCCGTTTGTCGCTCTTGACTACTTTCTCTGATACCAGTTGATGGTGATTCCGAGTGCAAAATGGAGGTGAATCAAGAACTGTCGCCCCCGAGCACCCCCCGTCCTCCGCATACCATCTTTACCGGCTTCCAGAAGACATACATTATCTTTATGGCCTCTGGGGCCGGCTTCTTTTCGTCCGTGTCTGCTCCCATTTACTTTCCTGCACTCAATGTTCTGGCCGAGGACCTCGGTGTGACAACTGCGTTGATCAACTTGACCTTAACGAGTTACATGGTACAGACCTCATCCACCGTGACACGACCACCCGTGAAGGCTGACAGACAACGCTCTCTAGATTGTTCAGGGGATCTCTCCCATGTTCCTCGGGACCTTCGCAGACAACTACGGCCGCCGACCCGCGTACATCATCTGCTTCATTATCTACATCGCAGCGAACGTCGGACTCGCCCTCCAGAGCAACTTTGTAGCGCTTCTGCTCCTGCGCTGCGTCCAGAGTGCCGGATGTAGTAGCACTATATCCTTGGCTGCAGCAGTGGTCGCCGATGTCAGCACCAAGGAGGACCGCGGATCATACATGGGCTTGGTCATGGCCGGTTCCTACGTAGGAACGGCCGTGGGCCCTGTCTTTGGCGGTCTTCTAACGCAGTACCTCGGGTGGAAGTCGATTTTCTGGTTTCTGACCATAACCAGTGCCGTCTTCTTTCTGGCTCTTCTGCTCTTCTTCCCGGAGACCGCACGCAATGTCGTCGGGAATGGATCCAGCCCGCCCCAGAAGTGGAATCGTCCATTAATGCACTACCTCTGGTTCCGAACAACTGTTTCCCAACGCCCGGTTACAAGTGACAGCTCCCTCGACCAGGCCATTCCCCTTTCTTCTTTTGACCAGCTACCGAAGAAAGACATCACCTCCCAGAAGCCCAGTTACATCAAGTCCGTGGCGTCGATCTTCCAGAAGCGGTCCATCGTCCTCCTCATCGCAACCGGAGTCATGTTTGCTAGCTACATGCTCGTTAATTCCGCAATCCCCTCAACCTTTGACAAGGTGTATGCCCTCAACAACCTCCAAGTAGGTCTGTGCTATCTGCCCATCGGCCTGGGTGCGATTCTATCTGTTCTCGGGACAGGAAAACTCTTGGACAGCTACTACCGCCACTTGAAATCCGAGGCGGCAAATGGCCTCCATAACCCTGAATCCCCGAAACAGAAGTCAGTCCCGATCGAAAAGGCTCGCTGCACCATCGGCGCCCCGTTAGGCGTCGCCGGGGCTCTAGCAGTCTTAGCATTCGGCTGGGTCTTGAAATTCGAAGTCCACCTCGCGGCGCCGGTGACGTTTCTTTTCTTTATCTCTCTGGCGCTGAATGGGGCTTTCAACTGCTCTGCTACTCTCCTTGTAGACTTCCATCCGTCTTCGCCGGCCACCGCAACAGCTATGAACAATTTGTTCCGTGGGCTGATGTCGGCAGGGGCCACGGCGTTTCTGGATCCCATGTTGAATGGCATGGGGCGGGGATGGGGGTTTACGCTGGTCGCTGTGGTGGTCATGGGCACGGCGGTTATGTTGGGACTGCTTGGTTGGGTGAAGCGGAGTGAGGAGAAGGATCCTGACCAGGATGACGATGAATCGGTCGATTGTGTTGTCACGGTTCAGCCTTCAAAGAAGTCGGATGGCTCCTCTGATGCTACAAGGGGTTGTTAGACTGTTTCTATGTACACATTTGGTTGGTATGGGGGGCTACTTTTGGCGTCGGCGTATATAGTTTTGTTCCTTTTCCAAATGTCTTACTAGGATCAACAATCTGGGATTAACAGATAGTAAATACGCAACAATATCCCATGCCCGTGCCCTCTACCAAATTAGTAGAGTCAATTGGCAACAAGTTCACAAAACATAGTCTAGTCCTGCACTCCGAACTTTAGAAAACCCGATTCCAACATACCTACGCCTCGCAGACAGCATAGTAGTCTTTGCCCTTCTCAGTATTCTTCGGCTTGGGAGCATCTTGCAGCAATCAGCCACTGTCCATATACCTACTTCCTTTCGCAACAAGATATTAGTACATACCAAGTGAGTAACCAGCCCGCAGTACGCCATTTCCCGCTTCCCAATCCTGCGGATCACCACACAGTCGACCTCTTCCGGTTTGGCATTGTTGCCATCGAAGATCCCGTGCTCCAGGATGGGAAACTCCCAATTCTCGTTGGATTCGCTGCAGCCCAGAACATTTTTGAACTGGATCTTGTCGTTCCATTCGTACTTCTTGGGCCAGCCATCTGTACGTTCGCGTCAGTCTTGTCCTTCCAGGTATGGCCTGACTCCGTCGCGGTGTACATGCACTTACTCTCTTCTGGGACGTGTGTGCCGTTCTTGATGCGCTGGAAGGTGGCCACGGTGGTTTCCCAGATATGGTCGCCGTTATAGGTTTAGCCCTGCGGGTTGTCTTTATCACATGTTAGTGATGCCTCCTGGGGGTATGCGGGATTGCGCACTTACTGCCGCCGCAGTGGATGTCGTGCCGGGGGGCGCTGTAGAAGACGTCCTTGGTCGAGAGGGGCTGGAACTCCACGATTGTTTCGGGCTCAGGGCTGGGGTGGCCTGTGACGGTGGCCACAGCCAGGAAGGTGGTGATGAGGATCTTGAGCGGTTGCATGTTTGGTTATGATGGTGGTGCTGGATGTTGATCAGATGAGAAGATGGTGTGTTGGTATACTGGGCTTCCTGCTTGCAAGATGTCTGTGCTGTCTGCTTTTAGTTAATTTAGGTGTTGAATGTAGCCTTTGTTGATTCCATACAGGTGCAGTCGCATTGGAGAGAAGAGTATCACAGTAGCAATCGCACTATGTATAGAACAACAATATCTCAGGTTATTCACACAATCAGAATCTGTGGATGGTATCTGGTATTATGCAAGTTCAACTGGGGTCGCTATGATAGTAGTAGAGCTGATGTATGACATCGTCTGCTGCTTTTGACTCGGTCATTTTATGTACATCCTGGGTGAACGAGGATAGAAGTTTTAAAGAAGCAAAAACTCGAATAGATAGTCTAATACCTATTGTATGCGAGTTCATGCAGGTGTTTCATATACAATTTGCAGATCAATGCTCTTTGTTTTGTGTGCGTCTTCTTTATCAACCCGTCCTACTTCTGCTTTTTATAGGGTCTTCAGTTGATATTGATAGTGAAAGGCGTTACCCCATAGTCAGGGATCCATTGTCATATGTTTTGTGCTAAACAAAGAGCATTCTACTGGGTCTAGATCAGATTAATGCAGCTGGAAAGGATAGTCCGTGGCTACCTGCATAACTTTCCAATGCTGTTGCGTATACATGTCTGTCTCTGTCTCGGAATCAGACTCCCTACAGTCCAGGCTATGCTTAGAGAGCTCCCAATAGAACTTCCAGATTCAGAATATAGACTGCGCATCATTCAGTCGAGTGTTAGTGTCTCACATCATTCAGTGCCTTTGTCATGTGTACTTCATGCCTACTAGTATACATCCCAATCCATAGACCAACTATACTCGTCTATACACTTCAAACCACCCGCTCATATCCCACCATCTGAATCCTCACCTCTCCCTCCTCCCTCCACTCCGACGACACCGGCTCGCCCACCCACTCCGTCACCTCCGCAGCCTCAACTCTCCTCCACCCCTTCTCCAGAAACAACTCCTCATCCACAGGGAAGAACGTATCGCAATCCCACGACGCCGTCCCCGGCTCCTGTCCTATCTTCTCCACATTCGTCACCACAATCCGCACAGGCTGCGTCCCTCCCATCCGCAGCGCAGCCGCATAGATCTCCGCCCCGCCAATCACAAACACATTCCCCAGCGTCCCCTGCGCACCATATCCCCGCTGCAGCGTGTCCAGCGCATCCTCCAGCCCCGAGCACACAATCGCATCTGTCCCGGCCGGCTCGGCCGCTTTTGTGACGCCCTCGCCCGCCGCAGCTGCTGCGGCGGCTGCGGCTTTGGCCCGCTTCGCCTCCAGCTCCCCCAGCACGGTGTCGCGTACGGACCCCGACGCGTCGCGCGTCACGACGACGTTGATGCGCTTGCCCAGCGGCCGCAGGCTTTTCGGGAGCGAGTCGTAGGTCTTGCGGCCCATGACGATCGCGTTGGTGGTGCCCGCGCGCGGCGGACGCGACGTGACGCGTGCGAAAAATGACATGTCGGCTTTGATGCGCGGCCAGGGGAGCGTGCCGTTTAGTCCGATTCCTAGGCGCGAGGGGATTTGCTCGCCGGTTGGGGTTGTGCGGAGCGGTGGGATGGGCGTCGTTGCGACGATGAGCGTGAGTGGTTTCGGGAGGTGTTGAGGCATTTTGATGGTGTCGAGGCTTGCGATGGGTTGTTTTTGGGAGTAAGGTCTGAGAGGGAGGGTAAGTTTCAAGATGGTCGTGTCTTATGCTTCGAGGTTGGAGGGTGTGAAGGAGAAAGGTGGGAGCTCCCGAGTCCCGTCTGCATATCAACATTTTTCCATATCGATAGCTGCTATCGGCTTCCCCGCGGCTTGCAGCACTACAACACGTCAAATCAACTGCGCTAGCGTAACTCGGATACCATGGATTATGCTATGAGGGTATCTACAATGCAATCGAAATATATTTTCTCCAACGCCCAGCCAGAAACGCCAACCCAGTACCCAACCAACCAAGCACTCATTTCGCCGGCTTCAATAAGCCTCCGTCCTCAATCGCCTTCTGAATCGCAGTCGCATTCCGCTCCAGTTCCTCTCGCCGTCTCACGTCCGCCTCGTCCTCGCCCAGGGTATCGAGTTTGCCAAAGAGCCATGTTTCTTTCATCGCGCGGGTTAACGAGAGAATGTCTTCCGCGGCGCGGACCTATCAGAAAGATTGATCAGTAAAGTTATTCGATATCGACTGTCAGACGTAGAGAGATACCAAAGCAGTGGATTCCACATCGAGCTGGTACGTCTCCACGGCTGTCGCGGTATTGCTCGTGTTCTCGTCCTGGGTGCATTAGCTGGGCTGCTCGTAGTGAATTGACTATGCGTCTGCAAGAACATACAGTAGCAGTAGCCATGATGTTCTCGAATCGCTGGAGCAATTGCGAGATATTGGTGTTGATCCGATCTGTGCGGCTCTTTGTTAGTCGGGGTGGAACAATGACACCGAACAGACTGCAGGGAGCGCACATACTATGAAGGGCTTTTGATGACGGTTGAGAGTCCATTGTGGCTGTTTCTCGTAAACCAGGGACTGTTGACGACGGGGATGGGAAAAAGAGGTTGTATATGGAGGACGGTCGGATTGCGACACAGGCGGGAGTTTTGGCGGTGTGGTTTACTGCCGATTATGAAATGCGATAAAGACATTCAGCGTCGCCCAAGGTTTAGGGGGAAAGGACGCTGGTGATGAACTATCCTATCGGTCGATGTACATATAAGGTCATGGTTCGTCTATCCAGTATACTACAGTCGTGTCTACATCGCTATAGGCCACAGGCTGAGCGATCTACGCATAGCTATCATTGACAAACAGTAGTTGTGGTCAAATATATATTTCCCTCACTACCCGAACGTAGAAGTAGACTGATTGTGGTGGTATTAACATGTTAGGCCATATCGCGCTCTTAAGGTCGCAGTGGTTGATACAGGTCATACAGACGACTATCTCGGTCTCCCGACCAGATCCTGTACCGCTAATGGAAGATCGCTGCGCTGTCTACCACCGAGGCGTCTATACGACAGCTTGCCATAAGGTCACGCCGTACCAGAAGATGGCAGCGAAACAGCCCAAGGGAGTGTCTGAAGATGCAAAACTGTCGACATCGGGAGCCACTGTCATGCAAGAAGCGCGTTATGAAACCAAAAGTGTGAGTCGGTCGACGCAGTAGCTCTATCGGACGTATTTAGACTAGACTCTGGTCAGCATATATCCCCCAAGATAAATCATTCGGTTCACCAACCATAAATCTCTTGTGGAAATCAGATCGCAATAGATCCTGCAGCTGTCAGCTATGCACCCCACCGAAAATGCAGAAGACCTTACGTTGACAAATTCCTTGCCGCGCTTGTCCTCGGTTCCCCGAGCCTGGTTCTTAAACACCACATCATCATCCCATCGCCGTTTCACATTGAAGTCCTGAGGGTTCAGCAGGGGGTTGCCTCTGGCAATATCATATTCCCGCTTCTCCTCCTCCTCGGCGGCGCGTTCACGTTCCTGATCATGTCAGCACGGATGACATATACTACAGACGACATAGGAACATACCTCTTTCTCCTTCTGCTCCTGTCTCTCTTTTTTGATCTTCTCCAGCTCGCGCATCAGTTCAGCGGCTTCGTCCTCATCGTCACTGAGCTCGTTAACAACCGTCCATTTTTCGAGACGTTGATCACCCACCTTTCTTCCTCGCTGCTCTCCTCTTCTGACCCGTCAGAATCGGCATCTATATCCCGCGTTTCTTCTAATATTCGCCGCCGCTTCGCTTCTGGGTCCTCTTCATCTGTCCCTTCTGCACCACCGCCCGATGGAGCTCCTTCTAGCTGGCGCTTGGGCGCTGCACTTTCCACAGAGGTTTCATCAACGGGCGCACCGCGCTTCTTGGCGAAATGGGCGGCCTCGGCCTGGAGCAGTTCGGCGCGCAGATCACGTTGCTGGACTTCGGATTCATTGCCTTGACCGGTTTGACTGGGGCGGGTTAGAATCGTTCGGGATGGTCGACAAAGAACATACCGAGTCTTCAGGTGCATATGCGCCGGGAGGAGACGCTGGTGATACGCAGGGCCTCGCAGGGCCTCTTTCCCTTGTGCCTGTGGTGGTCAGCGGAATTTGGGGACGGACGGAGGGGACCGTACGGGATCGAAGGTGGGTCTGTGAGCTGTGAAAGATTAGCGCAGGCACTCCCAGATAGTAGACAGCGAGATAGAACATACCTGTAGTCATGGTGGCTGTTCCTGGGGATGTAGACGTGCAAATAGTGAAAGTGATGGCTCCGATGAAGACAGAGGAGGGCGGTTAGTCAGCCAGCATGATCGCCTCACCGCCCTTCTGAACTACCATTACCATTGGCCAATTCACGCCTCGCGCATGACGCTGTTTAAGGAAATTTCCTACTTGAAGGCCGTCTCTGCTGGACCCCGTTGGGGCCCGAGTCTGCCTCCGCAACCATGAACAAAGAAGCACCGCTCTCTGTAGCCGAGCGCGACTTCATCCTCAATGCGCTACGCCAGAACGTGCGCCTGGACGGCCGCGAGCCCGACCAGCTGCGTCCGTTGACCGTCTCATTTGGCGAGGAGTACGGCCATGTGAAGGTCCAGCTGGGTAAAACCAGGTGAGTTGCTGCGATTACGGGATGTTGGTCTTGTGCTCACGCAGGGTTAGTCTGATTGTCCGGATCTCGTCGGAAGTCACAAAACCGCGCGATGACCGTCCATTTGACGGAATCTTTACAATTGCTCTAGAGCTCACCGCTATGGGGTCTCCCGCCTGGGACAACGGCCGGTATGTTTGCTTTATCCATCGGTCCGCATGCATGACATGCGTTTCTAATATACAGCGTCTACAGACAAGGCGACCTCGAGACCTACGTGACGAATGTCCTCGACCGCGTCGTCCGCCATTCGAACGCGCTGGACACGGAGTCGCTCTGCATCCTGAAAGGCGTGAGCTGCTGGAGTGTGCGGGCGGATGTGCACATCACCGACTACGACGGGAACCTAATCGACGCGGCATGCATCGGTGTGATGGCCGGCCTGCAGCATTTCCGACGCCCCGATGCAGTGGTCAAAGATGGCCAGGTGATTGTCTACGGCGTGGACGAACGGGTCCCGGTGGCGCTGAACATCACGCACAAGCCGCTCTCGGTCACCTTCCACACCTTCGACGAGGGAAACCACGTGGTGTTGGACGCAACGCGAAAGGAGGAGCAAGCGTCGGAGGCGGATGTGATCATCGGAATGAACAATGCGGGCGATGTGTGCTACATGTCCAAGTTCTCCGGATCGCCGGTGGATGCGATGGTGTTTGTGCGGAAGTCGGCGGTTGCGCAGGACAAGGTGAAGGAGATCAACGGGATTATTGACAAGGCGCTCCAGGCGGATCTGGCGAGACGGGCAAAGACTGGGATGGTGGAGGAATCGCGCGCGGAGAACGATCGGTGATGGAGTGAGCGAAGTACTTATCTGTCATGCTTTATGAATTGTTCTTTTCCTTTGATCTCAAGACGGCACACAGGCGTAGAGGTGCATGATTCGGTTGACCCCGTTCCTTGAGCAAGAGGCTGAAATACGTAGAGTTGAATATTGAAAACAAGAAAGAAAGAGCCAGGAGATGCGAATACATCTGATCATCAGGGGTTTCGAATAAATCAGTACTAGTTATAAGCTTGTCGATCTGCGCGGATGTCGGGAGACGCGCATTGATCTTCTATCTAGGTACGGAGTAGTACGGAGTACGTACTGCTACGAACGACGGTAAATTGATTATAATATTCGACGAATATTGTCGGATTAAGTCGAGTTGAAATAAGCAATAAAAAAAGTATTATGACTCCTTATGAGCTGCTCCCATGTCTAGGCGACCAAATTCGAGGTTGAAACGAAGATCTCCAGCACTGCCCAGCCAACACCACTTTGGTCTTAGTACCGGCCGTCAACTTCTCTTTCTCTCGCGGTCTCACTTTCGCTTTTCCTCCTTCATCTCTACCTCCACTCCACAGATCCCACCACTTCTTCTTCTCTTCTACACTACCGTCTGATCCCTCGTTCCGCTCTCTTCCTAGCTCCCTCGTGCCTTCGAGCCGCCCCCACACCTTCCCAAACCCCCCCCCGATCAATGCTCCAGGGGCATACCACAGCCGTGACGGTGTCCGCTCGCCCCCAGCATCATGGCCAGCGGTAGGCCTCCAGGACTTCATCCAGCCGCTGGCCGCGATGATGATCTGCTGCAGCTGGAGGAGTCCACTCCCATCTACAACTCAGGGCAGCGCCCACCCGTCAACGACGAACACCTCTTGCAACAGTTCAACATCGACGACTCCGACACCCCCCAACCGCGTCCCTCCGTCTCCTATGATAATTTCGTCGGCGGTCCTGGCGCGTCGCATTCCGGCGCCCATGTCGCGGGCTCCTCCCTTGTCCCTCCAGCTCAGTCTGGCGCCTATCTCGGTGACCCCTACGGGGGTGCCGACGTGTCCCGGACCTACTCCCAGACCTCCGGTCTCAGCAACTACCGCCGTTATTCCCTCGACGAGTACGATGACGACCGGTCCATCCACGACGGTTACTACGACTTGGACCATGATGACCACCTGACGGCCGATCACCGCGTGCGACAAGCACAGGAGCGCAACAGTATCCTGGGTCTGGGCGGCGGCCTAATGGGACGGGCGAAGCACATGCTGGGCATGGGTAACGAGTACTCGGAAATGGACCTGCCCCTGACCGAAGCGGGAGCCCGACCGGCGCGGGCAGACAGCGTGGGCGAAGGAGAGGATTCCTCGGCGACACCGCGTCCGAAGAAATCGAAGAAGCCCGCCTTCAAGTTTGGGCGCCGCAAGGTCGACCCCTCGACACTGGGGCCGCGCATCATCGCGCTCAACAACCCTCCCGCTAACGCTGCGCACAAGTTCGTCGACAACCATGTCTCCACCGCCAAGTACAACATCTTCACCTTCCTGCCGAAATTCCTCTACGAACAGTTCTCCAAATACGCCAATCTGTTTTTCTTGTTTACTGCCGTCCTCCAGCAGATCCCGAACGTCTCCCCCACGAATCGATATACCACCATTGGCCCGTTGCTGGTCGTGTTGCTGGTCTCCGCGATCAAGGAACTCGTCGAGGACTATAAACGGAGAGTGTCGGACCGATCGTTGAACAATTCGAAGACCCAGGTGCTGAAGGGCTCCGCGTTCCATGAAGCCAAGTGGGTCGATGTCGCCGTTGGCGACATTGTGCGCGTGGAGTCGGAACAGCCTTTCCCAGCGGATTTGGTCTTGCTGGCGTCGTCGGAACCCGAGGGCTTGTGTTATATCGAAACCGCCAATCTGGATGGCGAGACCAACCTGAAGATCAAACAGGGTATCCCCGAGACCTCCCACCTGGTCAGTCCCGCCGATCTCAGCCGGTTGAGTGGCCGCATTCGCTCGGAACAGCCAAACAGCAGTCTCTATACGTATGAAGCGACCCTCACTATGCATGCCGGAGGCGGCGAGAAGGAGCTGCCGCTGGCACCGGACCAGCTGCTGCTTCGAGGCGCTACCCTGCGGAACACGCCGTGGGTCCACGGTATTGTTGTCTTTACCGGCCACGAGACGAAACTGATGCGCAATGCGACGGCAACTCCGATCAAACGGACGGCGGTGGAGCGCATGGTCAACGTGCAGATTCTGATGCTGGTTAGCATTCTGATCGCTCTCAGTGTCATCAGTTCCGTGGGCGACTTGATCATTCGGAAAACCGAAGCCGACCACCTGACGTATCTTGACTATGGCCAGACCAACGCTGTCAAGCAATTCTTCCTTGATATCTTCACATACTGGGTCCTCTACTCCAACCTTGTCCCTATCTCCCTTTTCGTGACGATTGAAATCGTCAAGTATGCGCAAGCATTCTTGATTAACTCGGATTTGGATATATACTACGACAAAACCGATACCCCGGCCACGTGCAGGACATCGTCCCTAGTCGAGGAGTTGGGCCAGATTGAGTACATCTTCTCGGACAAGACCGGCACTTTGACCTGTAACCAGATGGAGTTCAAGCAATGTTCGATTGCCGGTGTCATGTATGGTGAAGACATTCCTGAAGACCGGCGCGCCACGGTCGAGGACGACGGATCCGAGTCCGGGATTCACGACTTCAAGAAGCTCAGGGAGAACCTCCTGTCCCACCCCACTGCTGACGCCATTCACCACTTCCTCGTTCTCCTCGCCACCTGTCACACTGTCATCCCTGAACGATCAGAAGCCGAACCCGACAAGATCAGGTACCAGGCAGCCTCTCCTGACGAAGGAGCTCTTGTTGAAGGTGCCGCCACGCTTGGGTATCGGTTCACGAACCGGAAGCCTCGTTCTGTCATCTTTACGGTAGCTGGTCAGGAATACGAGTACGAGCTCCTCGCAGTGTGTGAGTTCAACTCGACCAGGAAACGGATGTCCACGATATTCCGCTGTCCAGATGGTAAGATCCGTGTTTACACCAAAGGTGCGGACACGGTCATTCTTGAGCGTTTGCACGCAGACAACCCCATTGTCGAGTCGACACTGCAGCATTTGGAAGAGTACGCTTCGGAAGGTCTCCGCACGCTGTGTCTCGCCATGCGTGAAGTTCCCGAGGATGAGTTCCAGCAGTGGTACCAGATTTTCGACAAGGCAGCCACCACTGTCAGCGGAAACCGCGCAGAGGAGCTCGACAAGGCGGCGGAGCTCATCGAAAAGGACTTTTACTTCCTCGGGGCAACGGCTATCGAGGATCGACTGCAGGATGGAGTCCCTGATACCATCCACACACTGCAGACGGCAGGAATCAAGATCTGGGTTCTCACCGGTGACCGCCAGGAGACGGCCATAAACATTGGCATGTCTTGCAAGCTAATTTCCGAAGACATGACGCTTTTGATTATTAATGAAGAGTCGGCCCAGGCCACCCGAGATAACCTGACGAAGAAGCTCCAGGCTGTTCAGAGTCAGGGGGCCTCGGGTGAAATTGAGGCCCTGGCTCTGATCATTGACGGTCGGTCCCTTACCTTTGCCCTCGAAAAAGACATGGAGAAACTCTTCTTGGACCTCGCTGTCCTGTGCAAAGCTGTGGTCTGTTGCCGCGTTTCCCCTCTTCAGAAGGCTCTGGTGGTCAAGCTAGTCAAGCGTCACCTCAAGTCTCTGCTCCTTGCCATCGGCGACGGTGCCAACGATGTCTCCATGATTCAGGCGGCCCACGTCGGTGTTGGTATCAGCGGAGTCGAAGGTCTACAGGCGGCACGATCCGCGGATGTGGCCATTGCGCAATTTCGCTATCTCCGTAAACTACTCCTCGTTCACGGCGCGTGGAGTTATCACCGAATCAGTCGTGTCATTCTATATTCCTTCTACAAGAATATTGCGCTTTACATGACTCAGTTCTGGGTAAGTAGTCTGCCTTGCATACTTGTAATAACCACTGACACCCTTTAGTACTCCTTCCAAAATGCCTTTTCCGGCCAAGTCATCTACGAATCATGGACCCTCTCCTTCTACAACGTCTTCTTTACCGTTCTGCCTCCGTTCGCGATGGGTATCTGCGACCAGTTCATCTCGGCCCGCCTGCTCGATCGGTATCCTCAATTGTACGGACTCGGACAGAAGGGCATGTTCTTCAAGAGGCACAGTTTCTGGTCTTGGATTGCCAACGGCTTTTATCACTCCCTCCTTCTCTACATCGTATCCCAACTGATCTTCCTATGGGACCTTCCCATGTCGGATGGCAAGACCGCCGGCCACTGGGTCTGGGGTTCCTGCTTGTACACCGCGGTGCTGGCCACAGTGCTGGGCAAAGCGGCTTTGATCACCAACATCTGGACCAAATGGACGTTCATCGCCATCCCGGGTTCGATGGTCATCTGGCTGGCATTCCTGCCAGCGTACGGTTACGCCGCCCCGGCCATTGGCTTCTCGTTTGAATACTACGGGACGATCCCCGTGATCTTCAAGCTGCCGCAGTTCTACCTGATGGCCGTTGTGCTGCCATGTCTGTGTCTCCTGCGTGACTACGCGTGGAAGTATATGAAGCGCATGTACTACCCACAGCACTACCACCACGTGCAGGAGATTCAGAAGTACAACGTGCAGGACTACCGGCCGCGCATGGAGCAGTTCCAGAAGGCGATCCGCAAGGTGCGCCAGGTGCAGCGCATGCGCAAGCAGCGTGGCTACGCGTTCAGTCAGGCCGACGAGGGCGGCCAGATGCGGGTCGTCAATGCTTATGATACCACGAGAGGAAGAGGACGCTACGGTGAAATGACGAGCTCTAGGGCGTTGGTGTAATGATTATGTTTGCGTTCTGTCTTGTTTGTGTGTGGTGGTCGTATGTGCATATGTCTCTATGTATTGTCGCTGCATTTGGCGGAAGTTATAGTATAAACGAGTTTTCTTTGTTGGATGTCCGTCAATGTTGCATAAACAGGTAGTAAATTCATCTATACTTCCGTGCAATCGAACCTCTTGACAACCGGCACCACATACAACCTATATCCTACCGACAAACGAAACAATAGATAAACTAGACCTCCATCTGCAAAACCCCATCATAATAGCACCGCTCCGTAAGCCCTGTGTTATTCAACTCGCCACAAATCCACTTGGTCCCAGGCGCAGCCCCATTCGCATTATCACTCAACAGCACCTGTCCCTTCTCCGGGATTGCACCAGACACCCGCTCCAGCGACAGAGTAAAGTACCCGATATCCGCACCCCCGTTGGGAAAGCGGATATAGTATTCCCCGTTGTTGCAGCGGGCGTTTGCGTCCGGGTTGAGGCCGTACGGCCTGCGCTGTTAGCTCGGTACGGGTGTGGAGATTTTGTTAGGGTAAGAGTTAGGAACTCACCAGATCAGGTTGCAGTCCGTCGGGGTGTCGGACGGGTAGTTGGGGTCTGTGAGGACGAAGTGCATGTAGGAGGTGCTGTCTCTGACGGAGGTTGTGGCCCACATGTCGGTGAGTTGGAGGTAGGAGGTGGTAGTGGTGGTGGGTGCTGCCAGGGCAGAGGATGCTGCGAGCAGGAGGGAGAGGGCGGTGGTCTTCATTGTGGTTGAGTGTGTTTTGTTGTTTGATGTGGTGATAGTGTTTGTTGGTTTGGGGTTGATTGTTGATGAGGTTGAGTATACAGAGGAGCTCTAGCTCTACTTTATACATTTTGTCCTCTGCGGGTGGTTCTATAAATACTTCAGGCGGATGGCTATGGATCGGCCTGATGTGTTGGTCTGGCAAGCTCTCTTGAGATGTACTCTGTATAGTGGATAGAAGTCTAGGACAGCAGGCTGTGGCTGTCTCCACAGTTGTTGGTGGCGTATCCAAGCGTCAGGGCTATGCTTATTTGTGTTGCTTGTTTGGGAGAAAGGATGCATCTTTCTATCTATAATCCAGGCCCCCCGTGTTGTCTGAGACTCTGCCAATAGCTCGTGGTCAGCTTACAAGGCATCCGAGACACGTATGCAATACCTGGGTATTGACCGTCATGCAATCGTAGATCCAGACATCGACATGTACTCTAAATAGCAAATTATGTGCATAACTCGACTGATCGATATTCCGAGTGAGATCCTTCTGCTAAGCCCCCTGGAGGTCTTCAAAAAGCATAAACTGGACGGGGGAGGAACGTCCGGTAGTGGAGGCGGTCATACACTCGTTGCAGGCCTGAATCTGTTACTCCTGTGCTGCGTTGCTGGGAGTCCAGCGGAGAGACAACATACCATAGTGAGAACGTTCAGACGTGAGACGGAGGGAAGACGCGCAGTATGAGATGGAAGTGAAACAAACCACCCGGATGCCGTATGTTAGCCCTGTTGTATGCGATCTGGTCGATAGTCCCAGTGAGAATGCGCTCGTCGATAGGTCCGATCCTGCTCATCCATTTCGGCTCGCAGATGTAACTGCGACTCCATTGCTTCATCAAGTAGCTGCTGTAACCCGGGCTTACCGCAGGCTCTTTGATAGGGTTTATTCCGAGGGCGGACTGTCCAAGGACGGCATTCAAAATAGCCATCCGCTTTTTGCTGGCGTTAGGGGTGTCGACCTCGTTTCTGATGAATCGCCGGGCACTGGTCACCAAATGAAGCTCTCCGATAGCGAAACGATCTTTTTCGATGCCTTGAGATGGTGGTACCAATTACATGGAGTTGATGAGGCAGTCGAGGTTTAAGAAGCAGGAGGAAGGTAGTATTCGCCTACTACCTCAACAGTACCAACCCGGAGAGAGGAATAACAAAAAAAACTTAGGGCTATTTCCAGGACTTCGGCGTAATTCGCTCGGTAAACAAAGATTTGTTTCAATTCATAAGAAGGCCGTGGCCAGAAAGGCATACGCTCGCGTTCGTAGAAAGACATGCGCTCGCGTTCGTGAATGTGGCCGTGCCACTCAGTTCTGGAGCCGACTTGCCCTGTAGGCAGGAATCGCTGTTTGACCTTGGGAACGAATCCAGGCGTCCTGCGCCTTTTATCATTAATCTCTTTTTCACCTCGCCTATACGATCTAGTCTAAACATCAGGGACGAACGACAGTACAACTGCCGCAAACATTCGCGCGGAAGAACTTTGACATCTGCGCCTTGTTGCGCTGGGGCTTGCGCTTCCGAAGCACGCGGCCCTTATCTTCGGCGCGCCACATAACGCCAGCAGTTTCCAGGCGTGGACGAGATCGTACGGATCAAACACTAGGGGCGAGGCGCGGGGCTTCGTGGTCGGCACAAAGAGGGACAGTTCCGCCTCTATGAGTTCACAGGCGTACCAGAGCGTCATAATTAAGTAAAAGGTCATAGGGGACACGCTGCTGGTATGGGTAGTAGGGGCATTCTTTCTGGTCCACACACTGCGCGCCACCGGATCAAGGATAACTTGGCTCATTATAGTATCGAGGATGCGGCAGTCCGAATCTTTCACATCACTCGCGGTGGCCCCAAACCGATCTTTCCGGTGTCGGATGTAAACACCATGCCACACATGCGGCTGCCTCCAAAATTGACCCAGCAGCTCCCACGGGTAGGTCAAAGCTTGCGGATTCTTTGCTGTAAAGTGACCGAGGAAAAATCTCGAGGAGTCAATCCAGAAAGGGTCCATGCGAGATGGCGAGTATTCCATGGGCATTTATACTCCAGGTCCATCTTGCAAGATTTGGCCATGACTGGACGTCGATGAGGTATTCCAGGGGCATTTGGAACCCCTGGTAAGATAACAGGCAGTACAATCTGTCGAGCCTGCTCATGCATATGACCAGCCTGGGGGTTCAAATGAGCAAAACGGTCGCTGATATACCTCTCCACCAGCGCCGCAATATCTTTGTCATCAAACAGGGCCCACAGCTCGTCCGTATTCTTAAGTCTGAGTGCACCTGCCAAGCCCGCCTGGTTGTTATCTAACTTCTTCACCCAGTCTCGGGACCAGGACACGCCCGTAATGGGCCGGACTGCTCGCGAGGTTTTCCCCGGCTTAGGGGCTGTGGCGCCTTCCGCACTGGCATCTGCCATAGTAGCAGGACTTACCGGGCAGCAAGCGTGGCGGACTCCCTGGCACCGCACGCAGGCAGTCCTTCCGGGGTTGACCTGGCAAGCAAAGCCACCGTCAGAGGTGGCGGGGAGGTGCTGAAAACACCGCAGCCCTCCTGGGCCTCGCAGGCTTCTCGAACCAGAATGAAGACCGTCATTTCATCAGGATGGTAGGCTGTATGAGCGGCTCGCTCTTGAAATCTGGTCTCAAATATCATGCTCTTCATCTGTAGCATCGCACGGGGCATCTGGCATCTTCTAAAAAAAAGCGAAATGGTGTCAGGAACAGTATCTCGGGGGGAGAGGAAACATGATAAGTCAATGGACATACAGCGTTTGTCTTCCTGCAGGAATAGCATCGCGGGAGCTTGTTTTTATGACTCCGAGTACATGAGCCTTGGAAGTGGGATACTTTCAAAAGAAATATATAAAAGTAGGAGCATGCTCCTGGGGTGGGTAAATATAAAGAGGATGTGGTATATTCAGAGGCGGAAGATGGGGAGAGACAGGGCTATGTATGCGCAGCGCAAGTAGGCAGTCTGCACTTGCGTAACATTGAATCATCTGGCTGTCTTGAGTAAATCTAACGATCATTGCGTTTGTATAGTTATATAATGAATCATCAGCTTCACCGCCATGTCTGATCAAAGGTCCAAGAAGGATTAACTATGCAGAAGGGCAATTCATATCAGGCCCTGTCAAGAGCAAGCCCTCTTATTAGTCCAAGTATTCACTTACTATACATAATGCAATACTAGATGCAAGCATGTATCAACCTGTCTACTGCAATGCTATTCCACTAGAAAGAAGTCGGAATAATCGGTATTCCTGCAACTGCTACATGTTAGCCTCAAGAACATACAGGAGTCAATAATACATACCATATACCTCAACGAGAACACCTCTCTCCCGGCTCTCTCCATCCCACCCCCAACCCCTCCATAACTAATCTCTCCCTCTCCTCCCAAGTGAGTCCCTCGCTTTCAAGATCCACCACCCGTCCGCCGGTCGTCCGCTCCCTGACACCACTCGAATCAAACTTCCACCCATGCATCTTCTTCGCGTACCGGCGCAGATCCCGCTCAAACGTCGTGTCGCCCGACCAGCCCAGCACCGCGCAGCCAACCGTGCGCCACGGCGAGATGATGATATCCACGCGCCGGTGCGGGTTCGGATTGCGTTTGCGCCGTGCAGCCTCCTCCTCCGCCTTTCCCTTGCCCTTCCCCTCTTCCACCTGTGGATCATCAAACCGCGGGTCCTGCCACACGACCAACGCCTTGTCCAGACTATCAAAGTGGTGTGCGCCGGTCGACTCCCCGCGAAACGGGAGCGGCTGCTGGTCGCGTGCAGAGGTAGTGAGATTCAACGCGAGCGTGTGCGTAACCCAGCCCTCCGCCTCGAGACTGCCCACCACGTCGACGACCAGGTTCCGGGTGACGGTCTCGTCGCGATGCGTCAGGATGAGATCGACGTCGCCGCTAATCTCCTTCCCGCGCCGGTACCCGCCGACGAGGATACATTCGACACCACGGCCGTCGTAGGCAGCCTCAGGACGAACGGCGTTTGCATGGCGATGGACGACCCGCGCGATGGCCTCAACCTCTCCGCGCGGGATCCCCCGGCGAAACTCATCATAATACTTCACACCAATCTGCTGCACGCGCGACAGCCCCGCCCAGCCGTGCTCGACGATGTCGTCGAGATCGCGCCAGCCGCGCGCGTAGTAGAACTCGCGGGCGGTCTTCGGGCCAACCCCCCAGATCTGGCTGAACTCGTGCAAAACGCGCAGCTCCGGGTCCGTCGTGAGGGCTTTGGCGGCGGCGAGGGTGCGCGTCTCGCTGGCCTGGTACTCGGCCAGCAGGTGGGCGATCTTCGCGTCGCAGCCTGGCAGCGTGAGCACCTCGGACGGCCGCCGGAATTCGTACGGGTAGGCGGCGATGGCGGCGATGGAGGTACTGTATGCGCGCACGCCTACTTCGTCGAGAGTCAGCTCGCGGATCTGGCGGATGGCTTGGAGCTGCTCGATGAAGCCTTCGTTTGGGGGGTGGAGGGGCGCGGAACGCTGGCAGGCGTAGACGATGTGGTTTCTTACCCAGGCTGGGGCTGGCGGGAGCGGGGCGGCTTCGTCGTTTTCGGAGGTGGTTTGTCGGTAGAGTTTGGGGGGTGGGCGTTGGCTGCTGCTTGGGGCGGAGGAGTCGGCGCGACGCGCTGCGGCGTCTTGTTTGGCGCGTTGGAGGATGTCGCTACTTGCGGATACAGAGGGCGGTGGCGGGGGTCGCGCTGTTTTGCGTGCTTGGTAGACGATGTATGAGTCTATGGGGAGGAGCGCGTTGGAGCTGAGGCATTGGGTGAACCACTCGAGTTTCGCGACGCTGATCGTATCTGCCGCGTCAGGAAGACCGACGGCGGACTGCGGTTTCTTCAGGTGTCGCCGGGAGTCATGTTTGCTTCTCACGCCGTCTTCTTCGCCCTCTGTTTCAGTACTCAGATCGACTTCTTCGACGCGCGCTTGGGTCTCGCCGTGGATGCGTCGTCGCTTGCTGGGTGGTTCGGAAGTGGCCCCTTGAAGAGGTATCTCCTCTGTCCAGAGCCCGCGGGATCGCAGCTCCAGCGCAGCACGTTTCTTATGTGCAATTTTGCCGAGGATTAGTTGCGCCTCGGAGATGTCGTAGGTGAGACGTGCATGGTGTTGGACGAGTTGCTCCTCGATCTGATGTAGCTCCTCCAGCGCGAGGTGCGTGGGTAAAACGAAAACAGCTGGACAGGACTCCAGATTTAGTCCGCCGGAGGTGGATATTTCAGCCATGGGCTCCCATGTATCAATGTATGTCGTATACAGTATTATTTTTGTCAGAGGTATAGGTAGCGCGTGAAGAGTATACAGCTTGATCAAACATTATTGCGACATGTCGCGCCAGGATGTGTGGTATGGTAGGAATGTCGCGAAGGGTACTTTCGTATATTATAAATATATGTCATTGTGAGACAGTCCGCGTTATTGTCCTTGTGGCACGGAGATGCGGGGAATGAATACGAGATGAAGTTGAAGCTGAACTCGGTAGTCGAATTCGTGTGCTGTAATTGACGTCATGCGTTGCGGCCTGAGGCAGCACCTAATATCCATAGCCACCATAATCATAGTCCATCACCACCCATCAGTTACGCTCCTCCCGAACAGCCCCATAATCCGAGGCTTGATCCGCCAACATCGGCGTATCCGGCCTCATATTCGGGTCCTCCGTCTCCTCAGGCAGAGACTTTCCATGTCTCCGCGCAACCCACCGGCGCCACGGCTTATAAACTAGCACACTCAGTCCTCCAAAGATGATAAAACACCCACAGATGCCGCCACCAATCGCATCGTAGTAGTCCCCGGCAGTCTGCACGCCGTCCCAGAATCTGCCCGTCGGGTTGGCGACGTTAAGCACGAGGGTCAGAACCTGAATGATGCCGATGACGATGGCCACGATGACAGTAAGACAGGTCAGTACGATGGAGTAGTACAGAAAGGCGATGGGGTCGCGGTGGTTCTTGGGCGGCTCCATCTCGTGATCGGTGCCGATGAGCGGCGTCTCGGGGACGGCTTCGCTGTCGGCCTTGGGCGGAAGGAAGTTGGTGGCGGGTTGGATGTAGAGGGAGAGCATGAGGGCACCGTCTGTTGTGTCGAGGAGACACATGCCGGCTGCACACATATCAAGTCAATAGATGGAATGGTAGAGATGGGGGAAGACGCACCAGTGAAGAGGATGGGGAAGATGAGAATCACCCAAAAGTCGGTGCCACGGGCAGCTTCAATAGACGAGATCCCCAAGAGGGCAATCTCCGAGGAGGTGTCGAATCCGAGACCGAAAAGGATGCCCAGTGGGTACATCTTCCAAGGACTGCGCTGGTTAGTCGTTGACCGTCCTGATTTGGGAGGGAACGTACCGATCAATCAACTTGAACATGCGTTTCAAGATGGAGAAGAGGACACCCCCGCCCTCAATCTTCCAGGCTTCGTCTTCCTGGCCTTCGGGTAGGTTCAGCACCTTCTGCATCTGCTTATACAGCTTGTACAGGATGTACGCGTTCATGATGCCGAGCAGAATGAGGAACGCTGCGCTGACAGATGTGCCGATGATACCGCCGACAGTGCTGAAGCTGTCAAAGCGGGAGGAGACGGCAGCAGCGGTGGCCGCCACCACGATGGAGGTGATGATCACGATCCTGGGCTGTTAGATACGGACGACCAACGGGCGTGGACACTTACGTGGAGTGGCCGAGGGAGAAGAAAGTTCCCACGGTGACGGGTCTTTGGCCGGTGGCGAGCAGACGTCGTGTCATGAGGTCAATCGCCTAGCTCGTTAGAGATGAGTGGATTCAATGGGCAGGACGTATGTACCGAGATGTGGTCGGCATCAAATGCATGGCGGAGTCCGAGGGTGTAGGAGAGGACAGCATTGGAAACCAGCGAACTGCAGAATCAGCGGATGCTCTATAGTATACAGGTAGAGGTGCATACGGAAAGTAATGCTATACATTATCAGCACTACTACTTCGACTTGACATATGGGTTGTCATATATATCCACTTACCAAGACAATGGCGGCGGCAATCCACACCACCACATTGATCAACGCAACAAACAGGATAACCGCGATCGCCCGCAGAGGAATCTTGCGAATTCCAGGCATTCGACTATGCGAGCGCTCTGCATGGCGCAGAAGACCCTTGGGTGACCATCTACCCTTGGATGCGACGTCATTTGGGACGTCGTTCTGCACGGGCGATTCCACCACCGTTGCCGACGTTCTCATGATAGAGGAGAATCAGAGACGAGCGATCTATAATTCTTCTGATCTGGACCTTGGTCCTGGGTTGTCACCAGTCTGCGCAAGTGGACGATAGAATATTTTTCGGCGACGGACGGAGAGTCGGAGACGATCGATGAGGGAGGAGGAGGGGTGTTGATAAACGAGCGATAAGACGAATAATCCGGTTTATCAACGCCAACCATCGGTGGACCCAACCGATCTCCAAGCCTCTGATGATTAGTTTTCTGCTCACCTCCCACATGCAGAATGCTGAGTTCAAATACTACTCTGCAGTGGGAATCTGCGAAATTCAATGGCCGCCGATGCCGACGACCCACATGTTCGGCGGTTGCATCGGAGGACGCCGATGGACTGTATGGAGTATCCTTCATTCATATGCATTCATGTGTTGATGTGTCTATGTACAGCCACGCGGGCAGAAATATATACAGTGAACGTCCTGTCCTCTATCCGATATGTACACTCTTTTGCTTCTCTCCTGATGCCATCTTTCGTGGCGCATAGTCGACCTCCGCCTAGTCGGCACGCGCAAGCGACGGCCGTCACTGGCCGGTTTGCCGATCAGTCGGGTACCTCGTCAGCTCCAGACGTGGAGACGATCTGTTGCGGTTAGCCCGGCCGTAAGGCAGAGGCGGCGGTCGGCCAACCTACCGAGGAGTCAAAGCGTCGCGGGAGATTGTCCCCACGCACGGTGAAGGTTCAAAGTCAGATTGTAACTTTATAACAAACGACCCATCAACCGCTCTCAGGCCGCCGCCAACACGGTCGGCGACGGAGTCCACTTGGTGACAGTGGGCTTGACCTGGCGCAGATCCGACGCCAACATATTCCATTCATTGCGGGTGATGGGGGTGACGTCCGACGCGGACAGCGGGGTCTTGGGGGCGCGCTTGGAGACGACGGCACGGAACTTGGGCGGAGCGGGCTCGCGGCGGGCGCGGACGGGCCGGATCGGCGAGCGCCGCGCGCTGTGTTCGGCAGTGCCTCTCCGCTGAGCGACCGGTGGTGGCGGCTGCTGCTTCTGCTTCTGCGGCGGCGGTGGCATGACGATACCCTCGGCGCCGGCAAAGGCTTTTTTATAGGCGGCGGCGACGCGGGCGAGGAGGTCGTCGCGCACATCGAGCTGCTCGTAGACGCGGTGGAAGAAGGCCTTGCTGAAGGGGCGGCCTTCCAGGTCCTGGATGGTGCGGTGGAGGAGCTGCACGCAGGAGTCGATGTAGGCGTCGTCCGGGGTGGAGGTGGTGGTAGTGCGGTGGGACAGGAGGCAGAGACGGCGCTTGAAGGTGTAGATGCGGTCGACGTTGAGGAGGGTGAGGCCCTCGCGGCTGAAGACGACGTCGTTCTGCAGGATGGACTGGTGCATGAGATACTCGTTGGCCGTGCGCTCGTACTGGCTGCGGGCGAGGGCGTCCGTCCAGCTCTGGCCCAGGGAGAATTTGGCGGCGGCTTTGGCTACGACACGGAAGAGTGTGCGGCTGGCCTGGGTGTCGAGCGGGGTGATGGGGATCACCATGAGGTCGGAGGGTTGACCGGTGGGATAGGGCTTGCCGCGGCCGACCAGCAGGGTGACGTGCATCATCTTCTGCTGCAGCTTGGATGAGATGTACTCGAGGGCGGGGAGGATAGACGGCGGGAGGGCTTCGGAGTCAAAGTTAAAGCTGGGGGACAGAGGTGGAGAGATCATCTCGGTGGTCAGGTTGCGGGGAGAGTTGGGCACATAGAGGCCTGTGGGACGGGGGAGACGAATGACGCCCATGATTGTTGCTGGTTTTCCTCTGGAGGTGAGTGGTGAGGAGTGAGGAGGAGTGGGATGGGAGGATGGAGAGAAGGGATCTGGGGATCTATATAATGGAGGATGACAACAATAGCAACGCGAACACCAACACCAACACAACATCAACAACACGGGCCACTCCGCTGCAGCTTAAATTAGCAGTTCTAATGATAGCAGACCCCTCCTGGATAAGGAGAATGATTGGAGTGCAAGAGATTCCAGAGGAGTGGCATCCAATGGAGGATGGGATACAGACGGTGTTAAGCGCCGAGGCAGCGTGCCGAGGCAATTTAGCTGCAGCGCTAATGCATCCCACGGCACAAACAGCGGGAATTGGGGGGATTCGTTGGAGGAATGGAGACCAAAATAGCATCACCTTGCTCCTCGCGCAATCTTCTCGTGTTCCGTCGCATGGGTGTCAACAGTGGCTTCTGGGACTGAGGAAGGATTGGTGAAAACCCCGCTTTACAAAGGATCGAGCTTAAATGCACGCCAATCATTAACCTGCCGCTGATGGTGTTGGCTGGCTATTGGGATTGGATTCATATATAGGTACCAACAGATGCAGTATCAGTACTCCGTATGGGGAGAAGTAGGTAGCTATTAACTGGTTACCAACTGAATGGTAGCATCACGTGTCACTGGGAGAGGACTGTTGTTGTTGTTGCAGGTACTCCGCTGTGGCCGTCTACTAACTACCTACTACTACTCGTAGGTTAGGATACTATTAAGCAGAAATACCACGAGCGATGGAGGTAATCGAGAGCTGTGCTCTATTCTCCTAAATCCTGTTGGAGGACTGGTCGACGTAGGATAGAGACATCTTTCTACTCTTGTGGACGTGGACTGCTCGTGGCTTTCATCCACTTTTATAAGACAGAGAGATTGACACTCTGTGTCTAGTTGCTCTTAGACCAGCGACACGTCTAAAAGAAGGTACAAAGAAAGTACACCGTACCTAGTCTAGCGCGGATCGAAAATGACGGGGTCCTACCGAATAGGGACCCCATCTCGCTTGCTTTGACGGTTCCATGCGCCCGATGCGGCGAACGGTGAAGCTTGGCAGGTTCTAGAAGGGCTTGATTGAGAACAATCAATCGGGAAGATGCCACAATCGATGGTCAATGAGATCAATAGGAACGTGACTAGGGTTTGGATGGTCTCGTGATAGCCACTACGCCATCTATAGAGCCGATCTATACATATCTGAGTTATATCTTCGCCACCGTGACTCTCACCTCAGATATTAGGTTATTTTAGCTCTCTTGGACCGGAGAATACGTCTCCTCCCATTGGCCCGCAGGATCTGGACCGTCATGGCAGGATTTTCACAAGACTCGGAGCCGTGGACGGCTTCAGGCACGGTCCCGATAAGGTCGGTAACTGTTACCTAACACCTTCGGCTCATCCTACCCCAGACCACTCCACCGTCCAGCCTAAGCGAGAATTTCTCTCGTAATGAAATGAACATTATGCGGAGAAATTTTCTTGGGTCTTGTCCTGGGGTCTTGACTGACGGAACTTCCCCAGGCGTTCTCCCAAAGGGTACGTGTAGACGATGTACAGGGGTCGGTAGTCTGGAGAAAGACGAGAATCCCCCGGGGTCATTACTCCGAAGATGAGCCTAAATCCCGACCAAGGCGGACTTGTCCTCGGGCACAGATCCTGCCGCAGAGCGCCCAGACGATCCATGGGCAGGAGGCCGCTGATAAGACTCAGGGACTGATAACCGCTCGGATGGTCTTGGCGGTCATCGCATGTTATCACCTCGTAGATTTCCGTGTCTTCTGTTCTACAAGTAAGTTCCTATACTTCGTACAGCTTGTCTTCCCCTACTTTTGCGATATGTGAATCACATAGCGACCTACATATCTACGTTATCTTCGAGAACCTCCAAATCTTTGTCTCTCCAGAAATCCACCAGCCCCATCGCACAGACTTTCTTTATCTCCCGGTCTGGCCAAGCCGCGCCAAGGCTCGTTTGCGGGGGCGTCAATTTTCTGTTCGCTTTGTCTCGGCTGGTGGTTGTGGTGGCGCGGGGCGAGGAGCATTAGCATTACGGAGGGGACCATCGATCAGGATGGAGTGGACTCTTGGTCGTTCATATTCTTGAGACAACAGGTATGATATTCGGGGGGATAGAGTATACAGAGTAGACATAGATGAATCACATAGATACAGAGTAGAGTAGTAGTACTACCTACTTCAGCAGTTCTAGATGTATCGCCAAGCATCCGCTCAGCCACTAGCCAACCCCCCTGACCAAGGCTTCACAGGCGATCTCTCGTGGGAAAAATCGCGTGCCAGGCCACCTGCAGGCTGCTGGACGGTTGGGGCCCTCTTTCGCACGGCTGGCTTCGTATCCACCGGGCGCCATGCATTCGCCCACTACCAATCCCCCGTAAAGAATAAGAAATCCCTGTCCAGTGTCGTATGCTTATCGGCGGAATCTGCCTACTCTTCCTCGGTCACCCCGGTCGTGCGACTATAAGACCGAGTGCACGCCTGCCTATTCCGCTCTCTTCCTCTCCTCTCTTCTCTTCCAGACGGTCTCTCTCTCTCACTAGACTCCCTTACTCCCTCCCTCCCCAGTCTCACCCTTCTCACCCAGTCTTCCTTTCCCTCTCTCCTCCAGCTAATTCCTCTTCCCCCGCCCCTCGGGGAGACCACACAATGGGTCTGATCAACTTCAAGAAGGGCGATGCCTTCGAGGCGCCCTCCAAAGCTGAAATGGCCGGCGATGTCTCCGCCGCCGAACAAGGAACCCTCTCCAATGCGGAGCACATCGAGCTGCATCGCGGCCTCCAGGCTCGCCATATAACCATGATTGGTATGTCCTGGCCCCAATCATCTTTTCCGAGCATAACTAATTCGCTCTAGCTATCGGTGGTGCCATCGGAACTGGTTTGATTATCGGCACCGGTAATGCACTTGCAAAGTAAGTGATCTGCCCACGCTACACAGCATCACCAATACTAACTTCATTGTCAACAGGGCTGGCCCCGCCGCCATCCTCATTTCCTACTCCTTCATCGGTTTTATCGTCTATCTCGTCATGTGTGGCCTCGGAGAAATGGCCACTTGGTTACCCATGCCCTCTGGTTTCACCGGTTATGCCACGCGCTTCTGTGATCCCGCCCTCGGATTCGCCATCGGCTGGACGTAAGTCATGCCCTCCCTGTCCCTCGCGCTTTGACCCTAACCTGTTCAGGTACTGGTTCAAATATATCATTGTCACACCAAATCAACTCACTGCCGCCGCGCTGGTCATCCAGTACTGGGTCCCCGCTGATCGAATCAACCCAGGCGTTTGGATCACCATCTTCCTCGTCGTAATCATTTGCATCAACTACTTCGGCATTCGCTTCTTCGGCGAATTTGAATTCTGGCTCTCCTCCTTCAAGGTCATCGTCATCTGCGCCCTCATCCTGCTCTCCTTCATCCTGATGTTGGGAGGAGGCCCCGACCACGACCGCAAGGGTTTCCGCTACTGGAAGGACCCCGGAGCATTCAACACCTACATCGACACCGGCGCCAGCGGACGTTTCTACGCCTTCTGGGCCACCATGGTGTCTGCCACCTTTGCCTACCTGGGTACCGAGCTGGTCGGTGTGACCGTGGGCGAGGCCCAGAACCCGCGCCGCACCATCCCCCGCGCCATCAAGCTGACCTTCTACCGAATCGTCTTCTTCTATGTCCTGAGTGTCCTCCTCGTGGGCACCTTGGTCCCCTACGACTCGCCCTTGCTCCCCTACAACTCCAAAGATCCCAAATTGTCCAAACAGACCAGCACCGCCGCGGCCTCCCCGTTCGTCGCCGCCATCAAGCTGGCCGGCATCCCTGTCCTTCCGGACATTTTGAACGCCTGTATCCTGGTCTTCGTTTTCTCCGCCGCCAACTCGGATCTCTACATCGCCACCCGAACCATCTATGGTCTGGCTCGCGAGGGTAAGGCGCCGCGCTTCCTCTGCCGCACCGATAAGCGCGGTGTGCCTGTGCCCGCCCTGATTCTCTGCGCCGCCATCGCGTGTATCGCGTACATGAATGTGTCCAACGACTCCAAGCAAGTCTTCTCTTACTTTGTCGACTTGGTCACCATCTTTGGTCTCCTGACCTGGGTCTCGCTGCTGGTGACGCACATCTACTTCGTGCGCGCGCGCAAGGCGCAGCAGGTGCCGGACAGCGAGATCAAGTACAAGGCGCCCTTTGGCGTCTGGGGCTCGTATTTCGCCCTGTTCTGGTGTATCGTCATCTGTCTGACCAAGAGCTTCGACTGCTTTACCCACAACCCCAAATGGGGCAACTTCAACTACAAGACCTTCATCACCTCGTATCTCGGCATCCCGCTCTACATCATCCTCATCTCCGGGTACAAGATCGTCACCCGTTGCAAGGGAATCAAGCCGCATGAGGCGGATCTTTATACCGGCAAGGATATCATTGACCGCGAGGAGGAGGCCTTCCTGGCGGCCAAGGCAATGGAGGAGGAACAACAAGGTCATAATGGAAGCTGGTTCTACCGGACGTTTGTGTCCTGGTTGTTTTAATTGCTTTTACCGATCAGGGATGTATTTTATGCGATACCAAGGTTATGAATGCTACGTTATGAACCTTGTCTTTACTTGTAGTGCTAGTGTTCCGGGTTATTATCCAATCCGGTGTATGTTGTACTCCGTACGTATACCCCTACAGTAAATGTATGCTCCACAAGCGGCTGCGTGAGCGGAGATAAGACGATAAGCAATGCCTCAGGCACCCCCGCTCAGCCACTGCCGATCGGACCGCCAGGCTGCACCTCATCTTCGATCTCTCATCATTCCTTCTGTCCATTCTCTCCGGATTGAGAGACCCCACGGGAACAAGGATGATAACTTGACTCCGGTGTTTCCTACAGAATGCGTTCTTTACTTTCCATCATCCTCATACTGGTCGCTTCCGCTGCGCTGATAGCGGCCGTCCCCGCTGGCTCGAGCATTACTCCACCGCCGCCGATTGAGCCCGTCCAGCTCCTCTCCTCGCAACCCTCCGACTCGAAACGGCCATGGATTCGCCTGCGGGACTGGATCATTGAGTCCATCTGGGGTATTCCCAAATCCCGCTCACCGGGATTCCCCTCAAAGGATGCCGCTGGTCGCGCGCCGCCGTCCCAAGTCCTCGCCCGATACGGTAGCGATGTCGTCCTCCGGTTCCAGTTGCGGGATCAGCAGGAGGCCGAAGCGCTAGCCCAGGCGACCGATATTCTGTTCTTGGACGTGTGGGCGTCGACCTCGGAATTTGTGGACATTCGATTGGCCCAGGAGGTGGTGAGTCAATCCGGGTGGTTACCGTTGCGCCTTTGGATGGTACAGAGCATGTACTAACTCATGGCTGGATAGATTCCATCCTTGCTCGGCCTTCTACCGGATTCCCTACGCACCGCATACACCCCGTTGATAGATAACCTCTCCGAGATGATCTACACCTCGTACCCAACCCGCCGTCCCGTCGGGCTGGAGAACCAACCCGGATTCAGTTCGTCCATCCGACAGTCTCAACAGTTCGGAGACCTGTTCTTCCGCGACTACCAACCTCTCTCGGTCATCGTGCACTGGATGCGCCTGATGTCCTCCATGTTCTCGTCGCATGTTCGCCTGATCAATGTGGGCGTCTCCTACGAAGGCCGGGAGATCCCCGCCCTCCGCCTGGGCACCAGCGGTCCCAATACACAGGACACCCCGCGCAAGACCGTCCTGATGGTGGGCGGCAGCCACGCCCGCGAATGGATCAGCACGTCGACCGTGACCTATGTGGCGTACCAGCTCATCGCCAAATACGGCAAATCGCGCGCCGTGACCCGGCTCCTCGAGGAGTTCGACTGGGTGTTTGTGCCGACGCTGAACCCGGACGGGTACGTCTACACGTGGGAATCGGACCGTCTGTGGCGCAAGAACCGGCAGCCGACAAGTCTGCGCTTCTGCCCGGGGATCGATCTCGACCGGGCGTGGAGCTTCGAATGGGACGGCGAGCGCACGCGGACCAACCCGTGCTCGGAGAACTACGCGGGTGACGAGCCGTTCGAGGGGCTCGAGTCGGCGCAGCTGGCCCAGTGGGCGCTCAACGAAACGCAGCACCATAATGCGGAGATTGTCGCCTTCCTCGACCTGCACTCGTACTCGCAGCAGATCCTGTATCCGTTTTCCTTCTCGTGCTCGACCATGCCGCCTACGCTGGAGAGTCTGGAGGAGGTGGCGATGGGTCTGGCCAAGACGATTCGCCAAACTACGCAGGAGGTCTACGACGTCACGTCGGCGTGCGAGGGGATCGTCACCGCCCAGGAGCAGAAGGCTTCCAAGCGGTTCTTCCCCGTCGGGGGCAGTTCCGGAGGCAGTGCCCTGGACTGGTTCTATCACCAGCTGCATACGATCTACTCGTACCAAATCAAGCTCCGTGACCGCGGGAGCTACGGGTTCCTACTACCGTCAGAGCATATTGTTCCTACGGGGAAGGAGATGTACAACGTGGCCCTGCGGTTGGGACAGTTTCTGGTAGGCGAGTCCGCGCAGGATATTGACTGGAGTGCGGATTTGATGGACGCGCCGGGGACCTCGGATGATGGTCGGGAGACTGACGTGGATCTAAATCGTGATGGGGCGGGCGAGGAGGGTGTTGACAGCGAATTGGATGCGGTTGACGAGGAATGGGAGCTGATTGATTGGGAGGACGAACATACATATGAGCTGCGGAAATAATGGCACATTGCACATACCCTTTCTTCGATACTCTTTCTTCTTTCTTTTCTTAATTTTTTGTGTGAATATTCTGGCTGTGCGCATGGCAGTATGCATGAATGAGTGATGAATGGATGGCGTTGACGGCCCAGTAGGCTCCTTGATTCTAGAACGCGATGATGCGGCGAGTAAATAGTAAATAGCGCAGTGGAGCAGCCATTCCAGACCACACCGTCGGAACTGGGGATGGATGGAGGAATGTACGCGTTAATGTAATAGTCATGATGAATTAATGGTGTTCATTCGCTATTAATAGTTGTCTTGGATGTTCTACCGTAGCTAGTATAGGAATAGGTACTAAGGAGTGGTGTATGTAAGTACAGTAAGTACCGAGGGACCTAAAAGGTAGGTAGCTCTATAGATAGAAACACCACCACCACAACCACCACAATGAGTAGAAATCTAGCTAAACAGAGTAGGAGACACAAACAGAACCAGAACAGCCTATACTCAAGCCCATATCGATCAAAATACCCTGGCTTGTCATCAAGAAAGATCCAACAGGGATGCACCACCACGTGCCCGCTCCACCCGGTGCATCATCATCAAACATCATCATCCGCCTTCTCTTAGGCTGCTTCTTTCTCCCTTCCTGCCTGCCCTCCCTCCCTCGTCTGTCTTCATCCGCTGCTGGAACATTGCCCATACCTCAACGACCTTTTCCTTCCCCTCCGTCTCACCCTCTATCAACAACGACAATAACAACAACACCACAATCACCCCTCCCTAGGCTCCTGGATCGGTCTCCCCTCATCCGCCCCATCGGCTCCTCCTATACAAACAACTTCGCCCTAGTCTGTTACGCTGGGAATGTGAAGGACCCCATCATTTCATTCAATACGGTCCGCTGTCATTGAAGGATTGACTCCATCGTTCCCACTGATCCGCCTCCGTCCACTGTCCACCGTCACCCCCCTTTTCCCTGCCGAATCCGCGCCTCCACACGCCAATTCTCCAAGGCTCGACCCAACAAGGAATGATGTCAATCCGTCCTGAATAAGGGGTGACAGCGACTTCAATCCTCCAATCGCAAACCTATTCCGCTTGGGCCGTCCTTCTCATCGCGACCGCCGTCGAACCTCCAGCCACCTGGCCAATTGACCTCCCCAATCCAACCGCCGTCGAATGAGTCTTGTCGCACGCTCGCCCTGCCGGCTCCCTTAAGCCCTCCTCGGTGGCTTCCCCGTCGCCATGCATTGGAAAAGCCTCCGCATGGGTCCCTCCGACGGCAATGACTCCAAAAGACGCAGCTTCGTCGAATCCCACCCTCTCCCCCGGCATAGCGAACAGTTCCCTCGCGACACCCCTTCCCCAGCCCATCTAGCCCCCCGACGCTCGGAATCCACCCCTCGCTCGCCACAAGGTATAGGCTCTGACCAGGCCCCTGATGCAGGCAACAATGGCCAACCGCATCCTCCGGACTTCCGATCCAATACGCCCCCCGCCCGGCCGAGACACCCCGGCGTAGGTCTGCTATCCGGCGACAGCGCGACCATGCGCAGAAACAGGTTCAGTTTTATGAGACTACGTCATGCGTCGGACCCCCAGTTGTCCAAATCCTACGCTAAGGCTGAGGAAGACACTCCCCCGGTGCCCTCCTTACCGCGTGAGTGAAGCCCCCGTATTGTGGTGTGCGGTCCCTGTTTTGGTTGCTGACTTGTCCCTTTGTTGCAGCTCCGACGATCATCACGACCGCCCCAACGAGCCATGAACTTGACCAACCCACGAAACGGAAGAACATTTTCAAGATATTCCCAGAGTCCAAAAAGTCCATGGAGGAGATCAGAGAGCGAGCGCATACCCCGAAACCCCGGCCGAACGACAGGTTCAGGCACGGGCCGCAAGGGTCGGGCGACCTATCGGTGTCGACATCGCGACCCAGCGGCGAAGAGTCCGGTCGTCTGTCCACAACGTCCATCCGAAGCGCCGGCCGAGACCATGCTAGCGATTCGCGACATTCCTCTGTAACCGATGCTCGGCATTCCGAGTCGTCTCGATCCGACCAGAGTGTCGGAGACCGTGGCGTCTACCGCACCAACTCGCCCCGCGATGCCGGTATCGCGATGGGGAAGAAGAATCCGTTTCGCATGCCACGCCTCAAGCGCAACCGCGGCCCCCTGTTTCCCCTTCCTCCACGGCCCACGGGTACGCTGTCCGGTGACCGCACGCCGGACCTCCCCATCGATGAACAAGACCATGTGTCCCCGTTGCCATCGCCGTCGCGGTCGTCCGCCGGGTTATCGTCGCCTCGACCTCCGCTTCTGAGAAAAGACTCCTCCAACTCGGCGCACTCCGCACACTCGACCCCGTCGATAAGAACCCGGGATAGACCGAGAACGAGGGCACGGTCGTCGACGTTGGATTCTGTCATCAACGCGCAGGAGTCCGGTCAGCCATCACCCCATCTGACCTCGTCCGGACGGACATCCACATCTACTAGTGGCCGCAAGAGCTTTGGCGATATCTTTAGCTTTCCGCAGCGACTGAGACAGAACTCGGAGCCGCCGTTCCCCCGTAATGGATCCCCCGGCGGGAAGGGGTCGGAGACACCGTCGTCGAAGCTGAGCATCCCCGACCGACAAGAGGACGACACGCCAGCGACGTATCTGACTCGATTGGAGGAGAGCATTCCGCGCGGTGCCATCGCTGGCGTTCTGGCCCAATCCGGTGAGGAGTTTTACAAGACCGCTCTGCGCAAGTACATGCGGCAGTTCGCTTTCTTCGGTGATCCGATCGATATGGCGATTCGGAAGCTCTTGATGGAAGTGGAGTTGCCCAAGGAGACGCAGCAGATCGACCGTTTCCTGCAAAGCTTTGCTGACCGGTATCATGAATGCAACCCGGGCATCTTTGCGTCTCCCGGTATGTTTTCTGTACACCATATTTGAGCATCATGCTAATTTGAACAGACCAAGCGTATTTTATCTCCTTCTCGATCCTTATCCTGCATACCGATGTCTTCAATAAGAATAACAAGCGGAAAATGCAGAAGCCAGATTATGTGAAGAACACCGGCGGCGAAGGCATCTCGGATGACATCCTAGAGTGCTTCTACGAGAACATCTCTTATACCCCTTTCATTCACATTGAAGAAGGGCATTCCGGAAACCGCCATTTGTCGAAACCACGACGTACCTTGCTAAAGACAGCCAGCTCGGATCATTTGGCGCGTGTTGCGAGGGAGCCGGTTGACCCATACACGTTGATCCTGGATGGAAAGCTGGACTCGCTCCGCCCGAGCCTGAAGGATGTGATGAACCTGGAGGATACCTACCGGTGCGATGGGACGTCTGGCCCGGCTGACATGGATGCTCTGAATCGGGCCTTTGCCAAAGCGGGCATCCTGCAGATCGTATCGGCTCGCTCCCGTCCGGATGCTTTCATGCCTTCCAGCATGGAAAACCCGGCGGACTCGAATCCCGGCCTGGTGGATATCAAAGTCGCCAAGGTCGGCTTGCTGTGGAGGAAGGACCCGAAGAAGAAGAAGACGAGATCTCCTTGGCAGGAATGGGGTGCGCTCCTCACCCTGTCGCAGCTGTACTTCTTCAGGGACGTGAGCTGGGTAAAGTCTTTGATGTCGCAGCATGAAGCCTCCCAGAAGGAGGGCCGACAGCGGTCTGTGGTGTTCAAGCCGCCGCTTGTTGAGTTCAAGCCCGACGGCATTATGTCGACCGATGACGCTGTGGCCTTGCTCGATTCGAGCTACAAGAAGCACAAGCATGCTTTTGTCTTTGTCCGACATAATGCCCTCGAGGAGGTGTTCCTGGCCAACTCCGAAGCAGATATGAATGACTGGATCGCCAAGTTGAACTACGCCGCGACCTTCCGCACCACTGGGGTCCGTACGAAGGGAATGATCGCCACGAATTACGAAGCACAGCGGAACCGAATGAGTCGCCGGAACTCGGGCCAGTCGAGTGCGTCCCGTCCGTCGATCGAGAGAGAGCCGCCCTCGCCTAACCCGGACACCGATGTCGCGGAGGATATACTTGCCGCGCGCAGACAGCTCATGCGCCAGAAGATTCGGGAGGCGAGCGACAAGCTCTCGGCGGAGCAGAAGAAACTCGACGATCTGCTGCGGAATGCTCGCCATCTGCAGGTTCTCACGCCTGTTCACTCCCGAGCTCGCGAGCACGTTATTATGGCTGCGGGGCGTATGGCTGCAAAACTGAAGTGGGTGAGACAGGATATCTGGCGGGTCAAGTGCTATCGGGAAGTTCTCGTGCGGGATCTCGGTGAGGATGTCGAGAAGCCAGAGGAACCGAAGCCGCTTCACCTGCAGATCCCTTCTGTCGGTAGTGCTCCGTCTACGGATGATGGCGACAAGGCGGTCTCCCCGCTTGACAAGACGCCGGTGCAGGCTGAACCTGATGCGTTGTCTCCGGCCAAGAAGACCGAGTCGCAGCCTGGTTCTCCGGCTACTCGCAGACCAAGCATCCCACTGTCGTTTACCTCCTTCGACTTTAACGCTCGTCCAAGCCGACGATCTTCCTCGGAGCACATCAAGGATCGCACGAAGTCCTGTTCACCGGGTCGGGCCAACGGACTGGAACGCGAAGCATCGGTGCTCAGCAGTGGCAGCAAGCTGGATGTCGCCAGTCTCGGCTCCCACGGCTCCAAACTCACTGCGACGGAAGTCTTTGACGATAACGAAGAGCGTCTCCTCCGAGAGAACGGTCTGCTAGAAGTGAGCAGCTCTCCCCAGAGCCGCAAACAGGCGGCCCCATCCGACGGCGACGCCGAGCCCCGCCGTGACGATGACACGCTGCAGGGCGACCGATCCAGCCGCGTCCGCCGCAGTCTGCACCGCACGCTCCGGGATTCATCCGGTGGCCACCATATCAACTACCCGCGGAGCAAGAAGTCGCGCGAGCCGGCTGCCGGCACCGCTGGCCCCGAAGACAACCCCAGCAAAGGCGAAGGGACCGGTCTTTCGCGGAAATCGGCCAGCTTCACCGTCCACGGGAAGAAGGCGTCCATCGTCACGTTCGGCTCTGAGTGGCAGAACATGCTACCGGAAGAGCGCCTCAAACTGCGCAAGCCCACTCCATCTGAAGAACCCAGGGCGTCGGACCCGGGTCTCGCCAGCAGCGGCGACTCTATCACGTCGGAACCTCTGCATCTGGGATACCCGCCGTCGCAGCGCAGCGGAAGCACGGCGACTTGGCAGAGTGCCGTCAATCACGACGAAGCCGGTGGGCTCAAAGAGACAGCGGCGAGGCTGTACGGCGATGGCAAGGCGAAGAGCGAAAATGCCATTCGACCTGTTGATGGTGGGCCGGTTGTCCAAGAGCCTGCGCCGTTGACTGCGGACGAGCAGCCATCTATCGTTGCGGATGACCCCACGCAAGAGAACTTGCCGCCCAGTCCACCAGAACAGGCGGTGCATGCATGATTGTTATACTGTTTAGTCTTTGTTATGACTTATACCCCTTGTGATGTTTGTTGCACGCGTGGATCTTGCAGACGTGATGATCCCATTGCGTCTTGTGGGCTGGCCTGGACCAGGTCGGCCAGTGTCTTGAATAGACAGCCATGATGTTTAGGCGGTTGAATGTTTGGGAAAAGGCTTCTTCTTTGGCTTAGGATTAGATACCAGTGTATGTATCGTCTAGCGATTTGGCGTGTCTGGAATAGCATTGCATCAGTCAAGAGCATTCATCTACTTGGTCCATGTTGTAGTCTGTGATTCAGGTCTGGGGGAGTCCAGCGCCGAGAACAGAACTCCCTTCACATTTGTTGACCTTTGTTGTCGTTTGCTTTCTCACTCTTTCTCTACATCTCTTGTCCTCCCTCACTCTCACTCTCTCTTACCCTCACCTTCATCCTCATACACTCCCACCACGCATCTGAGCCTCATCACCACCGTCACAATGAGGAGTGCGCCCTCCTACTCTATCTCTTGTCTCTTATGTGGTACTAATGTGAACTGGATAGGAATCATGCGCCGGTTGAAGTTAGGTTACCGAGGGTCACGTGAGATGACTACTATCCCAGGTACGTGCATTTGATATCAACCCTTCACACGATCCCACTCCATATACACAGATCTAACAGCAGCAGAGGAGTCAGAGGACAAGCCAGAGAATAGTGGCATCAGCAGCAAGGTCCTCTCGTCGGTGTCGCCTACCAGCCCTGAGCCAGAGCCTGCACGCGCGAGCGAGCCCCCTCAGGAGACGGTTTCTGCTCCCTGTCTGGACCTCATCAAATACATCCCGCTTGGGGCTCTCGCAAAGCCTCTCGTGGAGTATGTTGAGCCCGTCGCAGAGCGTTCTCGTACCCCCGTAGGCCCTCCTCCTCGTCCCCCTCGCTCCCCTCCCCCTGCACCTACACCTGCTCGCAGAAAGAAGTCCAAGAAGTCCAAGAAGAACCCCAAAGGGGAGACTGAGACGGCCGCCTCCGATGACGAACTGCACGAGTACACCTCCAAGCACTCCTTCTCAGCGCAGTACATCAACCGCGGCGTGGGCACGGGTCTCGTCGCGACCGAGTTCATCCCGGCTGGAAGCGTCCTCTTCGCCGAGCGCGTCGTGTATCTCACCTCCGCCGAGCAGGACGCCTGCGCGTCGATCACCGAAGCGGACGATCTGATCGCGCGCAAGGTCCGCGCCATGGGCGAGGACTGGTGGGGCGAATTCCTGACACTGTCAAACCCGGGCCGCGTGACGCTGGGCATCTACGCGGGCATCTGGGAGGCGCACCAGGTGCCGCTGGCAGGACCCAAAGGCGGCGCAATGCTAGGCCTGAACATGGCGTGGATGAACCATGCGTGCGTGCCGAACTGCGCGCTGACGGTGGTGTGTCGCACGGGCGGGTCGCGGCGGGCGGTCGTGCGCGCCTGCGCCGACATCGATCCGGGCGTCGAGCTGACCATCGCGTACTTCTACGCGGCCGGCGGCCACACGCAGCGCGAGATCTTCACCTGGACGACCTTCGGCTTTGTGTGCGGCTGCGCGGCGTGCGTGCATCCCGCGGCCAGAATCGAGCGCGCCCTCCGCCGCTACGCCCGCGCCAAGGACCGCTTCGACTCCGACCCCGAGCTCGCTGTCGCCCGCCCCGCGCACACCATCCAGCTCGTCCAGGACGTCGTCACCGCGCTCATGGGCGTGGGCATCCGCGACGCCCGCGTCGCCATGCTGTGGACGCAGTGTGCGCTGCTGGCCGCGTTTCACACCGACGTCGCGCGTGCCATCACCTTCCTTGGCAAGGCGCGCAAGATGCTGGCGGTGCTGGAGGGCCCGGCGGGCAGCTTCTACGCGCAGGTCACGCGCTGGTACACCGACGTCGTGCTGATGCCGGGGTATGCGGCCTCCGCCCGCGGCCTGTCGAACCTCACCGAGGCGGTCGTGCTGCCCAGCGAGCCCGGCTGCGCCGAGATCCTGTACATGAACGGCGCCGCGCCGCACGAGTATGTCCGCGTCGGAGACTACCGCCGGCTGCCGGGTTGCGTGGCTGTTCCCCGCGGTAGCGGTCGCTACAAGCTGCTTGCGCCTGGCGGGATCGAAGTCACCCCGGATCCTAGCATCCTACCTGAGGACATGGCGGAGTCGCTGGCGGCGAGCGAGCCTGGCAAGGGGGAGAACAAGCCCAAGGCAAAGAAGAAGAAGAAGGGCAAGAGCGCCGCGCGTCCCAAGACCGACAGGCAGTGCGCCAACGAGAAGGACTTTTTGGATCTATGTCGCGACCTGCGGCGCGAACATATGAAGAACGTCATGGGCGAAGAGAGGACCGCGACCCGGGTCATCTCGCGCAGCCTCCAGGATGATATCAACGATCTCCATCGGTGTCTGGACGAGATCGAAACTCAGGCCAGCTACATCCAGACTGTGGCGGCGCGGAAGTACGTGGTGGTGACCAAGTGCGTGAACAAGTGCGCGGTGTGCGATGGCGGAGTGGGCAGCTGATGGCAGCATTGGATGTACCTACATGATGTTAAACATGACGATTGGTGCCGAAGATAAAGCTGGATTGACGTTGGGATGTACCTACTTTACCCTATTTGGCAATTGGCTCGCACTGATTATGTCATACCTACCCATAGCTTGTACTTTTCAACCTCATCTCGCTCCCTCCAACTTCCCTCCCCAACCCAACCCCCCATAATCAAACAATTGAAAAATCGAAAGAAATGGCCCACTCCAAACGCAACACCTCCCTCCCTCACTTTACCTCCTACGAGCGCAGCCTCCTCCGCTCGACGTGGGGCACGAAGCGCTCCGTGATCAGCCGCGACAGCTTCCTCCCGTTCGGCTCGTGCCGTCTGTGTCTGCAGCCAGCGCGGGCGCCCGTCGTCGCCTGCGCCTCGCACGGCGACCTCTTCTGCCGCGAGTGCGCGATCGCCGACCTCCTCGCGCAGCGGCAGGAGATCAAGCGGCTAGAGCGCGAGCGCGACGAGGCCAAGAAGCGGCTTGCCGAGGACGACGCACGCGCGCTGCAGGAGGCGCGCGAGCGCGAGCTGCACGACTTCGAGCTGGTGAGTATGGGGCTGGAGGCGGCGGGGAATGGGGGCGGGCGGAAGCGCAAGGCGGAGGAGAGTGAGCGGGCGCTGGCGGCGTTCAAGGCGAGGGAGGTCGAGGTGAACGGCACGCGGAAGAAGGTGATTGAGTTGGATGAGGCGGAGATGGCGAGGGTTGCGGCTGCGGAGCAGGAACGATTGAAGGAGGAGTTGAAGAGGGAGAAGGTATCCCGCCATTCACCATATCCTCCGTATAGTTCAAGAAGGCGATGCTAATTGATTGCTAGTCCACCGCCAAATCCGCCCTCCCCTCCTTCTGGGTCCCCTCGCTCACCCCGACCACCGACCCGAACGAAATCGCCGCTAACAAGGCCGTCAAGCTCACCCCCATCTGTCCCGGGTCCACCGACTCCAACCGCCACGCATACTCGCTCAAGTCGCTGGTCGACGTGCACTTCACCGAGGAGACGGCGGCGGACGGGTCCGTGGCGCGCGTGTGTCCGAGCTGCAAGAAGACGCTCAGCAATGGGCCAAAGGCGATGCGTACGTTGCCTGCACCTTGTCAATTTACTAGATGTTTCTGGATGTTGCGAATGTCTAACTGTCGGTGTTGTGTAGTGACGAAACCCTGCGGCCATGTGATCTGCACGCCGTGCGTGAACAAGTTCATGACGCCGCATGATGCGCCTGACCCGCATGCGACGACGGAGGAACAGGCGCGGACGGCGGAGCTGCGTGGCCGGATATTGTGCTACGTTTGCGAGGCGGATATCACGCCGGGCGGCGCTGGGGACGAGAAGAAAAAGAAAAAGAAGAAAGACAAGGACGGGATTCTCCCTGGCATGGTGGAGATTAGCTCCGAGGGAACAGGATACGCCGGCCGTGGAGGGAATGTCGCGACCAAGACGGGTGTCGCGTTTCAATGCTAGGTATTCTCGGTCTGGAACCGGCGCATGTGTATGATACGATAGAACATTGACGAAGATACGTGATGGTATAAACAGTCTATGAAACCGAGACCAAACTCCGGCGGGTCAAATAAATATACAGACAAGATGTGACAGAACCGAAAGAAGCAAGGCCTGACCAGTCCAAGCACTTTACGACCGCTTCGCCGCATTGTTGAACTCGCGCACAACAACCTCACACTTGATCTCCTGACACAACCGCTTGCGCCGACTCGCCTCCAGCTTCGCCACAAACTCCAACCCACTCGCGCGCTCGACCACCTCAACCGGCACCTCAAACTCCGCGAGCCGCTTATCATTTGGGATGCGCGCATTCGGCAGGACAAACGCGCCCAGCGCGACCTTCCCAGCCGGCGACGCGGGCCCCTCCTCCGCATAGATAACCTTGTAGAAATGCGTCGGCACAGCGACATTCGGCGGCGTCCCGATCACCTCATACGAAACACGCCACTTTCCATCCGGGTCGCGGTGCGGCAGATACAGCGGGCCGGTGACGATCCGCACAGACGGGTACTTCTTGGTGAGCCCGCGGCAGAACTCCTCAAAGTGCGCCCAGTAGTCGCGGTTGAAGCCCTCGCCAACCTGCGGACACATGTTGGTGAGCGCGAAGGTCTCGTCCATGGCCTGCTGCGCCCACTTGGCGTCGGCGGCGGGCACCTGGTGGCCGCGGTCGTAGCCGGAGCGGAAATAGTCCGACAGCTTGGCGCGGAAGGCGGCCGGGATCGTCGCGTCCTCGTAGAAGGTGCTGTGCTTGCGGTCGGCTTCTTTGAGGGCGAGCGAGGCCGGGGTGATGTGTTCGGCGACCCAGGCGGGGTTGCGCGTGCGGCGGTCGTAGGCGCCCGTCAGGGGCAGCGAGTTCAGCGCGTCGGCGACGGGGCCCGGGAAGCCGTATTGGTAGATGCCGGCTGGGTCGACGGGGCCGCTGGCGGGTTTCGGGGCGAGAGAGGGCGTCGGAGGTTGGGCGGAGAGGGGCTTTGTCGGGGGGAGAGGCTGGGTAGGGGTCCCAGGGGCCGGTTTTTGTGGTGGTTGTTGTGTCTGGGGCCGGGGGGAGGAATACAGCAGGGCTGTCAGACCGGCGCCGGTGGCGGCACTGGCGGCCGCGATGGCCGCGATAGTGGCCTTGGACATGAGGGGGTTGGGGGAAGGAGGGAGAGTGAGAGAAGAGGGTGAGGGGAGAGGAGGAGGTGAAGAGAGGAAAAAAGAAGAAATTGCCCAAGAGGGTAAAATTGAGGCCGAAGGTGGAGACCAATCAGAACGCCCGGATCAGATGATCATCAACAAACAACTATACAGAGTACAGAGTACAGACTATAAACATATAACAGAGCAATATAGAGCCGCTAGAAGAGAAGAACGCTGTAGAAGATGGAGTTTGGGGATGTGCTTTATATAGACACTTGGGTTCGCATGACACGACATGGCATGTGAGCAGCTTCAGCTGACCACAGCCAAGGACTAACTATGTGGTACAGCTTCTATACCAATCGAGTATACTGGACATAAGCAAAAAACAGTGCTATATACAATCCTCATCATACTTCTAAGACTAACATCCATCCCCAACAGTCACCATCGCTGACTTGGTCCCATCTCCCACTCCCCCAACCGCCTGGACCATCACCATCTTCGCATCGTCCACCGCGATCCGCGTCTCAAATCCATTGCGAACGGCAGTCTTCACCACTCGCAGCTTATCCTTCTCCGACCCCGCAAGAACCTTCCACGACTGCACGTCCGTCGCGCCGTTCCAGCTCACATACACAGCAGTCTTGCCGTTCTCCGGGCAAGCGGCCACGCTAGGCTGCGACGTCGGGTGTCCCGTCCAAGGGAAGCGGTAGCCACGGTACGACTGGATCTCTCCTTCGTAGCCGAAGTAGGCCCGCATCACCAGCGCGCCGTTCTCGTCGTATTCCTCCAGCTTCGGGACGGCGCCGTGCTGCATGAAGATATGGCCGTTCTCCAGCGCCTGGAAGCTACCCTGCGACTCGGCGTAGACCGGATCTTCTGCGTCCCACACCTTCCCGACCACCGAGACACGCTTCGTTTTCATATCCAGACGGAGCGTCAGACCGGTGGTTATGGTCGTCGGGGTGGTGATGTCGGCGTTCTCGTTGTTGTGCATGTGCAGGGTGATCGAGTCGTCGGTCTGTTCGCTGATGCGGGCGTCGTGCTGGAAGCAGAAGCTGGCCTCGGTCATGAGCGAAAAGTCGCCGCCTTTCTGGCCCTGTTCACACCATTAGCGATCCATAGATCAACGACTGGAAGTCAAGGTGACTCACATGGAGGCGCCAGTCCACGTCGCCGTCTTTATTCACCATAAAGATCGTGCACATGTAGCGAGACGACACCAGATATGAGTCGCCGTACTTGGCCACCGAGTTCAGATGGGGATACTCGTAGGGCTCGGTTTTGTTCACGCCCTTGCCGTCGATCGGGAGCTCGCTGTACGACAGTGGCATCTGCGAGACATGCTCGACCGTGCTCCAGCGGAACAACACCTCGTTCGTCTTGACGTCGATCTCGTAGAACAGTGCGTCCTGCACCCAGCCGTCCGTGGGGCCGCCCAACGACGACAGATCCATCTGCGTCACGTTCACGGCCGTCACCAGGATCGTGCCGTCGTCGGTGAACTGGCTCTCGTGGATGTCGACGTACGAGGGGAAGGTCTGCGGGTCGAGCACGGTGACGAACGGGTGCTCGTCCGTCGACGGCAGCGTCACCTCGTGGATCACCTGGTACGAGCTGTTCATGATAGTGATCTGGCCGAATCCGAAGCCCTTGATGTCGGCGCCGGTCCAGTAGGCCAGCACCGGCTCGCCGTCCAGAATTTGCGGCTGGTACGCAGAGACGTTGACCATCGGACCCTGCCAGACGAGCTGGCCGTCATCGGAGTAGATGGCCGGGTTGGACTTTGCATGGCTGCTTGTCATGGGCCCGATGAATACATACCCGGGCTCTGTCTTGCCGTTCTTGGTGACGTTTAGGACGGGGGCGGAGATATCTGTGCTCCGGAATGTCTCTATGGGCCAGGAGCTCGACTCGGCGGACTCCGCCCAGGCCGTTATCCCGGCCAGGAACAGAGAGGTGGTCTGCAGGAGCGTGCTGGCGTGCCGCATGATGTGCTTCGATTACTGCAGGGACAAGCTCAGCGAAAAGGAAGTACTATGAGAGGACGCCATCCCTTAAAGCCGCTGCCTCTTGCTTTATAGGCAGGCCCAACGACGATCCCAGCCGATGATCCTATCCGACGAGGACATCCCCCAAATCCCACGTCGGAGTTCTCCATCTTCTTGGGGATCCTATCTCGTCTCTAGTGACTCTTCATTTCGCTAGCCGACGGCGGTGGAGAGCCCTGATCCAGAAGTCAGGCGGGGTACCCCATGGGGCAGAGCGGTGTCTCCTCCATACCAGAGTGTCGGCGTCAATGGGGAAGAGAGTTCATCCGTATGGTATGCGCATCGTCATAGAATGCGGCCGATTGTGAACAGCGTCAGGGTTAGAGGGGGCTTCAGAGCTCCGCAAGCTGGACGTGGAGAGCCCCGTGGGGTCAGGGTGTGTGAGCCACCAGTGATTTGCCGAACACCCGAGCCCCAGTTCCATGAATCGCATGCAGGATTTAACTAGACTATGGAGGTCGGCAACTCTCGCTGGGCTAAGTACCGTAGGGTCTGGAGTTGAGGCTATTGACAGCCATAAGAGGGAAGGCCAGCAGGTCAAGGCGAGGCCAAGAAGGCCCATAAAGGCTTGAGTCGTCCAACCAGCCTTATGCGTCGGGAAAACGTCGGGAAGGAAGTTCCAGTTACGACAATACGCTATGGAGCGAGGCATTGCGAGTCGTGGAGGATGCTAGTTTGGATAGGGTGGAGAGTCTACATTACTCGAGGCGAGAGTGGGAAGCCCACATTCAGCGAAGGATTCTGCATTCTACCCCAATGCTATGACATCTCGGATCCACAACATCCATTCCACCGTTGAAATGCCTCCGAACAGGCTCCTCCGCCCCGGCTGTCAACCGAGCCAAATGCCGTGCCCCAGACTCAGATGCACCACTTCTTCGAGCTCAGACACACATGGCAGTCGTTGTAGGTCTTGCAGATCGAGTCGGTCTGGCACTTCCAGTGCTTGCACGCATTGGCCGCCTCCCCCAGATTGCCGTCTCTCTTGTTCGGGGACGTCTGGGGCTGGGGACTGGGGCTCTTCAGCTTCCCGGTCGAGTCCAGGGTGTCCATCTCGGCCAATTGCGAGTCGATGGACTCGACAAGGTCGTCAGTAGCGACGGCCAGTCTCGCGCCGGTGTTGACGTCCTTCACAAAGTACCCGCCGTCCTCGTTGAATAGGGCGGTGTTGCCTTGGTAGTCGGCTGGGACCGCATTGCCGAGTTGCTCGCGGGTGTCGCAGACGACCAGACCCTCGGGGATGGCCTCGGTGTACTTGTCAAACGACGCGGCCGAAGCGAGGCCGGAGGCAAGAAGCATGAGGGCCACGGCCCGAGTGAGGGTTGACTTGATAGGCATGATTGCAGTTTTGTTGCGGTAGTTTCTTGATTGAGATGTTGAGGTTGGTGATCGATCTCAACGCTGGCAACGTAGCCCTTTATATACTTGCGTCGGCTGATATCGAGGACATCTCTTTGTCTCTGAGGCCGTAAGCAGAGACGCCTAGTGAAGCAAGTGACGCTTCTCAATGCAGCTTATCACAAACACATGCAGCCCGTCGCCCAACTCCTGACCTCTACCAGGGAGAGGAGTTTCCGGAATAGGCAACTTGTGTCGTCTGATGTATTCCGCTCATCCTCGGTCCTCTCTGACTAGAGGGTTTCGTGCGACATGAAAGCTGTTTGTGTCTAGTAAGCGTTACATTGACTGTCTGACTATTGCATCCGATTGCCTGATATCGGTCACAGTCACACAGAGTAAGCGGGATTTGATGCCGTGGCGTGTGCTTGTTCTGATGATCTGCATGGTTTCTGTTGGAGCCCTGCAGGCTGACTGCTGATTCTAGGCCAGATTGGTGGAGACAGAGTATGGTGGTTTCGGAGGTATGTCGCTGGGGAATTGTGGTTGCCTAGAGACGGACTTTCACATACGCTCTTGCATCGTTTCCTGGTTCACGCATACATCCATCTGGGGTGGGTGTACCAAGTCGCAATCGTCAGATTCCTGAACCTGGTACATATGAGAGAGTCAAATTGCTTCAAATAGCTGTATAGATAACCCAAAGACCTTATTGACTTTGTCCTTGAACGCACGACAGTCCTGACAAGGAGAAGAGCTGATCAATATGACCGCCTCGGTTAATGAAGCTGGCGGTGGCGCCTTAGCCATATCGATCAGGTCAGCATGTCTGTTTTGCCGTTGATATAATATCATCAGTTGGCTTTCTAGCTTCAGAATTGGCCGAGCTCGGGGGTCAGCGATTAGTCGGTTTAGCGTTGCTTCAACGGACTTGAGCTCCAACTTCAGTGCATCGATCTGGTCGTATTTTCCGACGAGCTTTTCGTCGCCATCGAAGAGTTCATCTTCTAGATCCTTCTTCTTCTGCCGGTGAGATGCCACCTCACGTCCTATCTCACTGCGCGAAAGGCATTGCTCAAGCCTATCTTCTACCCTTTCAATCTCATCGTCCAGTTCCGAGTCAGATTCGCCGTCGCGTGGAAGGAAGACATGGCGGTCGATAAAGTATGCTATCAACTGCTTTTCCGCGTGACATGCATTGTATCGACCGTCTTTGCCCCGATCATAGTTGTGGGAAGGCAAATGATGGCCCACTACTGTCGCGATATAAAAGACATCATCCGTCCACTGTCGACCGTCAACCATGAGGGACTGCACCGTATCGTGCGACCATCCGCTCATAGCGCCAATGGACGGGAATTTTCCGCCTCGTTCCAAGCGGGCCACTGTCTTCCCCCTCCTACTTATGGGGTACTCTTCAATTGGCCCGCGCAATACTAGCGAGTCGCGCATTCGCGAGGGTGTGAACGAGTAGGACGTAGACAGCGATAATGTGGGAGGTTTGCCGAAAACAATCTTTGACTTGCAGTCTTCTCCGCCGAGGAGGCGCACAATGTCCCGACGGTCCATGTCCCTTCTGAATGTGTCCTCGATATAACCTTCCCGTCGCTTGGATGAAGATGTCAGATCGCCTCCAGAACGCTCGTATACCTCTCGTCGGTTTTTGTAATGGTCTCTAGCAAGATCTATTGCCAGTCGGTTTTCTCCATCGCGAATATCCTTGTCTGCATTGTGTTGTAGGAGAACCTTTACATTGTCAATCCAACCAAAGAGTGCTGCCTCCATGAGAGCACTCCGTCCGCATTTGTCAATAGCGTTCACCTCAGCCCCGTGTTTAAGGAGAAGCGACAGCATCTCCGAGCTCTGCCCAGCTGCTGCACTGATAAGGGTCGTTTTACCATCAAAAAATCGCCCTCGAACAAACAGCTGGACCTCGCTAGATGTCTCCAAGTAGTTCTGCACCGCTCTCGTATTCCCGTTGACACAGGCGCGGATAGCGTCGGAGATTCTCTTGTGCTCAAATGGCTCGTCGCCTTCTAGATCGACTCTGATCGTCTCCTTCGAGTCTTCGTAGATATTCCCATAGGCCTCTTCCCTCTGTACTGCGAGAGTAGCCTTCTGAGCCAGTTCGACTGCCAGACGATCAACATCATCGTCATCCTCTGTATCACTATCATGTGAGAGGCAAATATTGATATAGCGTCCTTGTCTCTTGTCGATTTCGTATGCAACCTCACCGTGATCGTTCATGGGGAAGCAGCAACGGTAAGACGCCATTTTCTCGCAGTGGGAGTATCTCAGATTGCCCGTTTTCCAGTTTACGCCATGGCGATGAACTTCTTCGCAGAAGGGACATCGGATGTAGTAGGATTTCGCATTCCACCAGATGACGTCCGTCTCAGGGAAGGTTTTCTCCATCGTGAAGAAAGTTAGGGGATGGTGGGTAAGGCGGGTGCCTGGAGATTCAGAGCTATCCGATGGATTCGTTGGTTTAAACGAATAGACGTATTGACAGTGAGGACGGGTACGTTGGTTGTCTTTGTTGAATCCAGAGGACCCTCGGTTTCTGTCTGGAGTGAAGGAAGTCAAGGACCATCAGAGCGGGGCATTGAGGTACATATCTGTCAGCCTGGTACCTAGCCACCTATCGCACAAGGGTCCCAGCCCGATCCTAATATAGTACCGATGGTATTAGAATGCATCTGTGGGTGGTAATGCATCTTCTAGAGAGTCTCGTTGGATAATGTTGCACTCTTCCATCATATCGCTCTAGATCCTGAAGGCGAGATATGGGCTGATCGGTGCGATCTGACCTGCAATATGACTGAAACGGCAATCGCCATTTTCGTATCTAGTTCATAAACAGAGAGGACAGGAAGAAGTATAGAGAAGCTTCTGGTCTGGGACTGTTGATGACAATTGAGAGTCTTCCATTGGGCGGTACCTAAGACAAGATATATAATGCAGAACTGTATAGCTCTGTTATATGTCAAGAGTCGGTCTTTCAAAAGACATTATATTATCCCGTAGATACCAGCTGTATCTATTTAATGGGAAGATTCATATGTACTTAAGGTAGTAGGAGAAAATTAGGTAGGTAGTCTGTATAGTTATTCTTAGGGTATGGAGAAGGTTATGTAACGCAATGACCTCACCAGTTAGCCCCCAAGGTCCCCGCAGCAATCTCCATCTCGTCCTCTTCTTCACCTTCTTCTTCTAACTTCTTCAACCTTTATCTCATCTCGCACCATGGCCGCCAGCAACGATTTCCGTGGCTGGGTCATGAGTGCCGTCTCCGGCCTGGGTAAGTCCCCCCATAGTGGTTACACAGGCAGTGATTAATCCGAACAGCCTGCGTCTTGGGATCGTCCATCATCTGCGTCGATTTGCTTCTCCGCCGTTTCTCCCGCCGCAAACACTTTCAAATCGTCAGCAACAATGGCTTTCTCTCAGCCTCGCTGTGCCTCAGTGCCGGCGTCATTGTAGGTTGCACCGCATACTCCCCCTGCTCGCGACCCAAACTCACCAGCATAGCTCTTCACCTCCCTCTACAGCATGCTTCCCACCGCCCACGAGTACCTCCTCCGCGCGGGCTGGTCACCGACTCTTGCCGCCTACTCCCTTGTCGGTCTCTTCCTAACCGGTGTAATCGTCATCCGGTTGTTATCGGCCTTTATCCATCGCTACATACCCTCCCATGTCGTTGACTGCGCCCATACCCATGATCTTCCTCCCTCTGACCTCGAGCACGGCGACCGCCACCACCACCACCACCACCACCATCATCATGAACATCGCCACCCGCATCCCGCAGAGTCCACCCCCCGCATGTCCGAACGCACCCCCCTCTTAACCCGTTCATGTAAATCGACTCCCGCGGTTCCTCTCCTTCCCCAGGAGAGTGAACTCGAAACACCCCCATACCGCTCTGAGCCGTGGCGAGTTCGCTTGGCACGACGCTGGAACCGCTGGATGGGCGGGGTGAAGGCTCAATGTGATGAAAACGGCCCCTGTTACGGCTTTTCACAGGCTTGTGGCCGCGAATGTTCCAAGACCCTCGTCATCGCGGAAGTTCCCACCACCGATGACCTCGACATTCATCCCCCGCGACTCGAGCCCAGCCGGGCAGATTCAGCCCCCCCTCATCTGCACCACTCTCTCCCCGAACCCAACGCACCCTCTTCGTCGTCTTCATCCAGTACAGGCCTGCTGGACTACAACAGCTCATCCGCCGACGACGCCGCAAAGCCACCGCTTCCCCCGGCGAAACCCCAACACCATCACCACGTCCCCCAAAATGCCTTCCTCTCCATTGGCCTGCAGACTTCAGTCGCCATCGCCCTGCACAAGCTGCCTGAGGGCTTCATCACATACGCCACGAACCATGCCAGTCCCACCCTCGGACTGACCGTCTTCCTCGCCCTGTTCATTCACAACATCAGTGAGGGTTTTGCCATGGCGCTACCGCTCTACCTCGCCCTGCACTCGCGCGTGAGGGCCATGTTCTGGTCCAGCCTACTCGGCGGCATCAGTCAACCGGCTGGTGCCGGTTTAGCCGCCCTTTGGATTTGGGGCGCGCAGCACGCCGGCCGGTCCGGTGGCGGCGATGCTTCTGATCCGCCGTGGGCCGTGTATGGGGGTATGTTTGCCGCGACAGCGGGCGTCATGACTTCTGTGGGACTGCAGCTCTTCAGCGAGGGGTTGGGTCTGACGCATCACCGCGGCATGGGCATTGGATTCGCGATTGGGGGGATGGGCCTGATGGGGCTCAGTTTTGCCTTGACTGCGTAGGGCGGAGGTTATATCATATAACGCCAGACTTCGGTATAGATCGAATTATCGCATCGGAGGAGTGTTTGGAGTTTGGGTATTTTTACGACTTGACAATGAGTGACGACAAGATTACGGTTCTACGATCTTGCATTGGACATAGTTCCACTATTGCTAAGAAAATATGATTTAACTGTGATGGCTCTGCCGTCACAATCTGGAAAACGCGGAATAGTGATTGCTGTCTGACTAGGCTACGAGCGCGCAAGCACATGAAATGCAAGAAGAGAAAATGCAGTAAATCAGTGGTCTTGCGGGTTCTCACTAAGCTGGTAAGACGCGTCGTCCATTGCCTTGCGGACGCGCTGACAGCCACTATGTCTGTGGCGTACTCTTCCAGTAGGGTGTTGACATGGTATGTCTGGAATTAACGTCTCTCTAGGCCCTATAGAACTGTAATAGAATGAGCTGCTTCAAAGGCATTGGCTGAATAGATGACTATAGCCATTACCCGAAGACTTCTCCTCTGCATCGCTTCAATGCCAATAGCGAGAACCATCGCTGCCAGGTGCTCCATGTTTTCCATCTTCCAGGGCCCGTATCTCATCATCTTCATGTGCTCTACCCCATGCCTGATGCCAACCTCCAAGTACCGCACCCATGCATTTTCGAAGCCGGCGAATGTTCAAGACCGTTTCTGAAACGGCTCAGGAACCACGTTTCATTGTAAGTCGAAAAGAAACCATATTGACCTTCGCATCTTGTAACGGATTCCTGTTGGTCTTTCTCTAGACCAGTAGCAAGGACGGATGCTGAACCTCTCCAGACGCAATGGTAGAACTTTGCTCCTGTCGTATAGTCTGTCGCCCCAAATTAGCATTGCTGCATGCCTGGGAATCGCGGTACAAGAGGGCTTGTGAGTATCACCGAAGCGCATGACGCGGATCAGAGCGCATCCAGAACTCCAGTTCGACGGTGTATATAACTTCGCCAATTGCGCATGGCACGTTGACCAGACAGGGCCATTTGTCAGGTAGAGTTCCAAACCCCCTCTTGCATTCCCTGACTATGCCTGCCCAACTCCTTCTGAGTGTCACCGCAAAAGGCAGATTTCGAGACAGTTGTGTATCATCCTCCAGCCTTCTGCTTGTCAGCACATCCCCAAGGAATTATCTAGCTCTTAGACACTCGTCTGAGACCTGATGCATCCGTGGTGATCCACATGCAGAACATCAATGAAAGGATCAGGATCATAAGGGGGGCCACCTCATGCTGGACAAGTATCCCAATGTCTGGGCCCTTTATCAAACACTGCCAGCTGTGCTTTGCCGGCAAACGCGTAGACCATGGGTATCCACGGTCTACGCTTTCATCGCTCCCATGTCCAAGGAGAGTGGTAGAATGTAGGTAGTGTATCTGATTGAAAAATCCCCAGTCTTATGGGCTGTCAGATGGGATACTGTTTCAAACAGAGACCGATGTGAATGAATCCTTGAATCCTTCAAGTCACTAAGAAGATGAGCGAGCTCAGCTACTTTCGTGAATGAAGTCCTATTTACCAAACTAAGGATTTCATTCCACCGGAGGTCCAGCTGTATGTCTTTCCCATGTCCTTCCCACGTCCTTCCCACCAAAACATGTACGTAGACATCCAAATGCGGCCTCACCGACTTATGTTGGTTGCCGAAACGACATCATGAAGTCATTACCGTCGCGGTAGCCTCTACATTTCGAAATAGGCGGACCAACCAATATCCCGTCGTAGTGTATGTATTGAAGCGATTAGTTATGCAGGCTCTTCACCAATCCAGAAATGAAGCAGGCATCCAGCATCCGAATGCCTGAAGTAGCAAAGACAAAAGAAAAGGCATCTAGCCGCATCGAAAGCAGTCACAACTAAAATCGCGTGCATGTATGTAGTTCCACGTTCCTGGTGGCGGAACCGCCGGCCAGCAGCCGGATTCGCCCGCCTTCTTTGATATCTAGACTAGTCACATACCCATCATTTAGTCGTGTGCCTGGCAGCGTACCATGGCTCGCCCTCTCTCCAGTGACGGAATGAATATCTAAAGGAGTCTACCTACCTACTACTATTTAACTCCTTGTTTTTCCTCTCCCCTTCCCTCTTCTGCTTTTCTTCTGCCATCTTCTTCTTCCTCTCGCCGCTTTACTGCTTCTCTCCTACTACATCCACCCATCATATCTCATAGTTCTCCTGCTCATAGCTCTTCTGCTCATCTTTTACTCTCTATTTCTCGCCCTCCGTTTCTTGCTCTGTGTCTCTTGCTGCCTGTTTCCTGCTCTCTCTATCCCTCGTTCTCTGTCTCTGTCTCTTGCTGTCCGCTTTCTTTCTCGTGCTGTTCGCTTTCTCTCCCTCTGTCTATCGTCACCATGGCTGTCGTACTCCCCAACCCCCTTGTTGCCCCCTTCATGCCATCAGAAATCACTTACTCCTCGGGACTCATCCTCCCGACCAGCACCCCTTCCAAAGGCCGCTCTGTCTCTACCGAATCGACTAGGTCCAAACGCTCGGGAGGGTCATCCGATGACCAAGAACCGAGGCCGGCTCTCGATGGCTTTACAGAGTCCGACTTGCGCGCCGGCGGCCCCAGGCTCTGTGAATCGCCCTGCTTCGCAGATTACCGCATTCCGTCGACCCATGCCATGTACAAGAAGTTGACCGACGATAGGGCGCGCACGGCCCAAGCTGAAGCCCTCAAGATTTGTGTCAAGGAAGGCTTGAACCGGCCTGAAGCCCGTTTCTGCCTTCGCCGTCCGACATTCAGCCCTCAGAGTGCAGGCGTTCCCACCTTGTTGGTTGTTTCGCGGCGTGATAACTATCGGAGCCGGGGCTGGATCTCTGTGGCACGCAAGTTACAGCAATACCTGCATAGCCAGGGAATCACCCAAGTCGCCGTCGAGATCATGGATCCAGCATTTGGAGCAAACCCACACTTGTTCCCCGTCTCCAGCAGCCACCCGATTTCTCAGCACTGGAAGTCTGTCGCAGAGGCGATCATTGGCGAATTTGACCTTAGGGGTATCTGCACTATCAACTGTTTTCGGATTGGAGCCAGCAGTCAGATTGACCAATGCCCTGTTACTGTCCTCGTGGGGATCGACCAACAGGTGACTAGGGACTGGAGAAACGTACGCGAGGCAATTCTTATCATCCTTGCCAGGTACAACCTGGCTGACGTGGGCGTGATGATCAGGAAGGACAGAGGGCTGTCCAGAATGGCTGGCGAGCAAGCTCTCGCCGCTCTAACGCCTCACCAGCAGTGTACGACTGAAATTGATATGGGATACAGCCTGGCACCACGGAAAATGCACCACGGGCAAGGTACTTTCGGGGGATGGATTCAAATTCGCAACCCAAACACCGGTACATGGGTAGATCTAGGCATCACCTGTTGCCATTGCATCTTTACCGACCTCAAGGATGTGTCGGGTGCGGAAAGAGACGCGATTCGTGCCTGGACGGAGAATGGGGTTGCCTTTCGAGACCCCAACACAGCTAAATACCTCAATATGGATTCGCCAAGCAAGGGCATCCTCAACTCTGGCCTTGAAGACCTCGACCGGAGAATTCGCAGTCTCAGGGAGGACCAACGCTTCTCCAAAGTGGAGAAAGCAAAAGCTCGGGGTGAATTCATCATTCCACGCGACGAGACAGCGTGGAAGACGCTCTCCGATGCGATCACTCCTCTGGAAAAACAACGCAAGGAGATCGACCAGTTTTTTGTCAAGAAGCGATACTACCTTGGGACCGTTTTCTACGCATCTGGCCTAAAGGAAGTGCCCATGAAAGTGCCCGCGAAAGGGAAACCAGCCCTTCAAATCTGTGACTGGGCGTTGATCCAGCCCTCCAAAGACCGCAAAATTGGATCGAATCGGGTACGTCCAATTCAATGACATCGCCTACAGAAACTTCCTTTCAAGGCTAACCAATCGCTTTTAGATCCCGCCGCCTGCTCGTGCTCACGTCCCATATAAAAGACTCGCCGACGCCTCGGACTCATTACCTGCGAATAGACAGGAACTAGCCAAGATTGGGCAAGCCACGGGCCTCACCGTAGGCTATTACAGTCACCTGGACACTGTCCATATCGTCGAGCGCATGGAAAATGGCAAGAAAGTCTTCGTATCGACCTATGAACACTGCTTTATGTCTTCCGATCGGAAGCATTCCCTGGTCGAGAGAGGTGATTCCGGCTCGCTGGTTTTTGAAAAGGACACCGGCATGGTTGTGGGGATGCTCTTTGGGGGTTCGCAGAACGAGGATGTTGGTTATTTTACTTCCATCATCGACCTCTTTGAGCACATCAAGAAGTCGACCGGGGCCAATGAAATCCGGATCCAGCCTGGTCGTTGAACTTTCTGTTCCCCCTTTCTTTCGCTTTCCTCGTTTCTCGTTGTTCATACTAGCATATGGTGCTTGGCCTAACGACCTGGCCAGGCACCATCACTGCACGGCTGCGATGCCGAAGAGCGTTTATTGATACGCTACGACGCGAATTCGGGCAGAAGCTCTTTCGCTTTTATTTCTTTTGACATTTGCTTTTTAGTTCATTCTTGTTCCGTTCATCCGTTATGGTTTTGACATTGGCTTTATCGTTAGACAGTTCTTCATTAATCCATCATCTTCTCCGTCTCATCCATCCATGGCCTTACCGTACCGACGGTGACAACCACAATGTAAACAACGTTGGACAACTTACGATCAACGGAAGATGTAGTTAGAACGTCGGTTAGTCGTCTCGGAGTGATATCTGAATAGCTTCATCTAGGAGCCTATGAAACACCCGCACAGCTGGCGCTAGTCCAGCTATTTCTGGTAGATGATTACTGCTGCTGCTCTGCTATTTTGCTTCGGTTTCTTCGTAAAAACGGCAGTAAAGACAATCCCAGCTCTCATGTTGGCATATAACTAAGACCTTCCGCCAACCGTGCTGATCTTGTGCTTCAGCAATATCCCTCTACCTCATTGTAGTCGGGCCTTCTTGCGTTTTGTGTCTTCGGTAATGGCAATGACCCTGGTCATATAGGATATTCGGACTTGCAAAGACCATCCCTGTAACAACTGACGATGAGCGCTGTGGTCCCTTCATGGGCACTTCTTTTAAGCCGGAGGGGCAGAAAATCTGGCCGATAAAGAACTCCCGTCGCTCGGAATCACAAGGCCTCGTCGACCTGGACTCGAGTTTCGAGAATCGTGGACTGTCCTGAGTCCACGGACCGTTCTGTCTGGCTCGTCAAGACATCTCGGTCAAGGCGTAAAGAGAGGCACCCGGAAAGCAAGCCATAGAAACACGAGTATTCGAGATGGTCGGGATTTGATGAACGTGATAACCAGGAGACGATTAGCTCACTCCGCCCTCATTCGAACATCTCAGGCCTATTTCTTGCTTAATGCTCGCCTACTCAGGCTGTAGCCCATATCGAATGCATCGTACACTGCTCGTGGGTCGACATGGGGCTAGCGTACTCGCCAACCATTCTGGACAGCCCCCTGTCCTTCAACGACTCCTCTGGGGTTGACCAGAAGGTAAACCAATGTTCGTGGATCTCTATCATGATTTCATTGCCATTTCCCATTCCAGTAGCCACATGGACGCTCTTCCACCCGGTGTAGCGGCCGACGGTCAAGCCCGTGGCTTGTCCGAACTTGCATAGTTTGTCTCTATATCATGCCTTTGATTAGTATGGGCGAGAGTTCGCATGGGGAAAATTACCGTTTTGACTTGGCTGATTTGATCGCGTCGCGGTCAATGACTATTCCGGAGAAGGCGATCTCAGTTGAAATGAATGAGGTTACAAGAGGGCTTGCGAATATCCTTACTTGTGGATGGTCACACGTGCAATATGGTTGAGGGACGTTTTGGCGGTAAAGAGATGGAAGAGGAATAGGAATACAAAGGCGCGGAGGGACGTATACCCCGTCGAGAATGAGAGAAGGATTCGGGCAGATCGCATTCACGCTGGTACTACTATCCGAGGTCTTGCTTGGTAAGTAATGCAAGGATATTGCGTGAATGAAGCCGCACATACTTGATCTGTTATATTCCTATGGGCATGTGGATAGGCGCATTCACCCCTTAAACATGGAGAATCACAATGTCACCCCAATCAAGCGTACCAAGTCACTGACCACCTCATCTAGACCGCCCGACACCTCCTTGTGCTTTCTGTTGATCATAGTCGGCCCGCAGCACGAGGGCAAGTAAGATAGGAGTAAGATTGGCCATGTGGACTCCATCCTGGGTGTCATAAGGACCAACCTCATGCATCGTCAGGAACGATGTAGGGTCCCCTTTCTCATGTTTACCATCTAGGTACTCCAGATACTTCTCGTCGTACTCGGCAAAGATCAACCAGATCTTATGCCTATCCTGTGACACATGAATTCGCCTGGCATCCCATTAGATCAATCGACCGAGATCGCTCGATATGCACTCACCGATAAGGGAGGTTCCTTGGTGAGTCTGAGCTCTCTTTTAGCCAAGCCACCATTTGAGCGCTCTCTTGCATGCGAATTTCCAAGGCATTTGTTCTCCTGAGACAAGGCTTGACCTCTATGAGGGCCCGTGCATCGCTATCGCCCTTACCCCGTAGATATCCATCTGTCCGGGCCTCGTATTCAGTATTACTGAATCTTGGCTTATATACCTTGCGGTGTATGGTCCAGGTACTCGTAACGGAGGGGAAGTGCTCAACAATGGCCTTCAGGAAGTTGACCAGAGCCGTGTTGACAATCTGCTCATCCTCTCAGAGGTATTTGAGTGCGTCTCCCAAAAAGCTTCAAATCCACCGGAGACCTGGTCCAACGGGGGCGTAGACCCTTCTAGCGGGCTGTCTTGTTCTAGACCGGGTATCAACGGGACGTCGTCCAGGTCATCACTGATTTGCGACCTCTCCATGGCCACTCGGGCCGACTTTGTTGGAGTCACATCAGGAGCCGGTCGTCTTTCTTTCAACTTCGCGCGTGTACGCTTTGCGATGGGAGATATGGTGACCTCGGTATCCGCGGATGAACTTTGAACCATAGCCGCGTCAAGCTGGAACGATTTGGCCAGGAAGAAGTTCCCTTCTCCTGAATTCGTACCAAAGCTGTGGCGATATACCTGCCAGGAGCGGTAGTTCTTCAGCATGTCTTTGGCGAGTTGTATCCAGTGGTGTAACTTAAATTTCTCAGGCTTGAAGGCAGTAATATGGACACGCTGCCACAATACCCGTAGAAGTAAGAATTGGCGGAACTGGAACATGGAGGCGGAATTCAACTTCTCGTCGTTTATCGACAAGCCCTCGAGGCCTTCGTCGGCGATTGCGGACCGCCATTTATCTGCCGTTGACGGAGCTTGTCTTTCTGTGGATCGAGTGTGAGGGAAAGACATGATCAGATAGTAAATACAGACAGGTAACGATGAATTGTGTGTCTTATTGCAGGGGGGTCAGTGTCCAATTTGTAGTCCTTCGACTGGTAGAGCCGATGTCAAAGGAAATCATGCGGATTATAACCGCTACGACTAGTCATTGTCCATAGCCGATGGACCACCTCAGCTCCTATGCATCCATCACCTGTCAGATAATGTCGGCCTCTGTTCACAGAGACAAGGGATTTCCATCCAGGATCTCAGGCCAATAGGCTCCAGCATCTCGACCGCAACCGCCAGGAATCCATGTAGTGTTTCATCGTAGACACGGCCCCTTCAAAGATCAATGAGACAGGAGCATCTATCGCTCAACTGGTAAAATATAGGACTTGGACGAGATGTATTGCGTGGACGAAGCGCCAGGCCCGACAAGGTGGTGATGCATTGCGGGCCCCGGCAATCCTCCCGTTATCAACATTGCCGACCCTCACTCTTAAAGACCCCCCGAATCCTCTCGTCTACAACGTCCATCGCCCTTCATACTGGGCTCCCAGTTTACTCAAACGATAATGTCTACCGCTCGAGAACGGCCAGAACACAAAGCTCTTCGCCATGCCGTACGACACATCGAGAGCTCTTTGCTGAAGATCCCATCCATGCAGTACACTCCGGAGGATCTCAGTGGCCTTCCTATTCGATGCTTACCAATGCCACTGTCCAACGGGGGCTATTCTCAATTTAAACCCTGCTTTTTTGAACCTTTCAAAAACATCTCGCAAGATCCGGAGACTGAGTACTCAGCGTGCCAGCTACCAGAGGGCTGGCCAGAGGACTCTATCAGTCCAATGGACAGAGCCGACTCGATTCTGATATACCTGGATGAGTATATCGGGAGCGTCATCTGTAACAGTGGAAGCAGTCCCAAGGACACCCCTGCCTACTAGCACATGCCCAGCTCGTAAGACACTCTCTTCCATCAGTCATCGGCTCCATGCTGATTGCCTTACCAGTTCCGACCGATATCCATACTGTGGGAGCACAATGAGCTCTCTCGATGGGTTGCGACTTTTACCAGTGATTACAACGCCGGTCCGCATTTCAAATGCATGATGATCAGCGATGTTCACGGTGATGATCGCCTGACGCGCAGCGAGCTCCTCTGTGCTTGTCGGATCATGATCATGTTTCTCAGTTCCCATCGTTGGATGAACCATATGGTGACTTCGGTACGTTTCTAACGCTCTTCGCATGTTCCTGGCTATGGATTGACTGACTTGTTGTACCATAGGTCATGCTCCTCTCTTTCATGGGGGGATATGGACGCATCCTACTAGTCCATCACGATGCCTCGCAGTTGATTGTCAGGAAGAGCAACCTGTTTGACCTTCGAGAGAAGAATACGCCGGCACTAAAATTGTTCTTGTGCTGGTGGTGCTCATCTCATGTTGGAGATACGCTCAAGGGATCTCTATCACAGGAGAAATAATCGGCTGGGTAAGGTATTGGCGTTGGAATCTACGGAGTTTGGTCTGGGATGGTTGGAAATGACCTGTGCTGGACACGGGGATTGGATTGCTATGATACCCTGGAATCAGATACAGAGACATTTTATTAACTCTTGCCTAATCAGTTTCAACTTTGCAATTCTGCTAGGTGATCTCAATAATCGGTACGTACAGAGCAAGCTACTGAGTGGCTTCTTAAGGCCGCGCTAAAACAGGAGAAATTCCAGCCAGGTGAGATTATGCACGCATGCCAAAGTCATTGAAAGCCACAACATGCATTATATCTATTCCTATCCATCATCCCCCTATCCCATCATCTCCTTACGAAGTCGTCTTGCCTAGGAGAGAGTTGAAGTTATCCACAGGTGCATCATCCTTGACCACCGTCCAGACCTCCTCAATCTTCTTCACAGTTTCCGGGTCTAAAGGTCCTTTCTTGACGCCAGCGAGAGTTTGCTGCAACTGCTCATTATTGCGAGATCCAATGATCACCTTGTCGCCCAGATCCCCCTTCAAGGCAGAGTGGTACACGACCCACCGATAAGCCAGCTCAGCCTTAGGAATGCCCGCCTCGTTGGAGATCTTTGCCCAAAGCCGAAGCCCTTCCAGCATACCTGCTTTGTTGTACAGGCCATGATAGATGCCTCCCACCTGGCTATTCGGGTCCCATCGACCCTCGCCCCCTTTAAGGAGCTGGTCGACGTCTTTTGTCAGGAAACCCCCGGCAATTGGAGAGTACGCATAGAAGGAGATGTTGTGCTTGCGGAGTGTGGGAAGGAGCTCGGTTTCCAGGTGGCGCGCGACGGCATTGTAATTCCCCTGATACACAGTTGGCAGAACATAGCTCTTCTCCTGGGCAATCCGTACGACTTCCTCGACCTCCTCTGCGAGAAAATTAGATAGGCCAAAGCGGCGGAACTTTCCGGCCTTGTGAAGCGCGTTGACGCCGGCAAGGACTTCCTCCAGGGGGACTCTGCGATCTGGAGCATGGATGTAGTACACGTCCATCTGTATGGGTCAGCTCATGGCTCGTACAGATTCGTGGATGTGGGATACATACCTGATCGGTCTTGAGCTTCGTTAGGCTAGATTCTCCCGTGGCAATGATGCTATCCGTCGTAGCTGCTTCGGGAGAGAACCCGCCAGGAAACTTGCTATCGATTGCGAAGCGGGAGGCTGCCTTTACTTCCCCGAGGAGCTCTTCACTTTTCATATAGATGGTGGCAGTGTCGATGGTTTTTATACCGCCATCTTCCAATATATCCAATGCCTTCTTTATCTCCTCAATGGGGTAGGAGGCTTCGGACATAAAGGATCCGCCCCCGAAGACTAGTTCGACAGACATGGTAGTGTGTAGTACTAATGAGGCGACTGAGAGATGTATAGAAAGACAGGTGAATGTTCAGTTGTCAACTACTTCCAGTTCCGTGGATGAGAGCACGCTATATATATATAGACCCCTGGGGAGTCCGAGACGGAAGCGCAAGATCCGAGTGCCGACGACATTGTCATTCAACCGGAAGCAGAATCTTCCAGTAGCGGATCACTCATCGTGGTTTCTTCCGGTTGGAAGCAGGTCGAAGGATCGTCATAGAAGAACGAGATTATCAATCCACGGACTTAAGGACGGATCTGCGGGGTTTGGACGGTCTGACAAATCGACATACTAAACATACTTCCTTCATATCCACCTGGTCCTTGTGCCATCTATTGACAGCATTGTACGTGGTATATGGGGTATTGTCGTCGCCAAGCATATTGTCGTAATGTCTTGATCACCCTTGTGCGGTGCCGTGACTCGGCCGCCTCCAACGCAGCTTGTACATGCGGTTGGATAATTGACCACGGCTTCCCTTGCTTATCGATCGCTTCCAGGAAGGCTGTCACCACATGTTCGCTACCACATGCCTCAGAGCCAGCCGCTCTACATAATGGCGACTCGTCCACAAAGCCGCCATTGAGTGGGTTTGCACCGCAGTCGAGCAGCAGACGTACTGGTTCAAGTTTTCCTTCGCACGCCACGACAGCCAGGGGGGTACTGCCGTTGCTGTACCTTGAGTCGACTTCTGCGCCATGGCGTATGAGAAGGTCAAGCGTCGCCTCAGGGTCCGCATAAGGTCCCTCGGATCGAGCAGCTTTCACAATGAATTCCCTCTGCCAGAGCCGGATAAATCGAGAAAGGCCTCGGTCCAGAAGCAACTCGAGCAGGTCAGGACGGCCCTGTTCAGTCGCTAATTCAAGCGCCTCTCGACAAATGCGTGGGTGGACTACGTCCGCAGACATACAGGGAAACCATTGGGGACTCTCGTAGATCAGGCCAAAGACCTCCTTGCCGTTGACGAGCGCGTCCGTCACAACTGTATATTTGTATACGTGGCTCCACAGGTCATGCAGCATCATCCGCACCATCGCTGGTCGGCCGGCTCTCACTACAGCGTTCGCAACTGTGCTGTCTGGGCGCAAATGTTGTCCCAAGTCAAGCCCCGCATCTAGAAGACGGCGGAAGATACCGTCATGCCGTATTGACTGCTTAACATATGGCTCGAGGGCTGATCCCTCCAGGGGCTGAGAGTCATTCGGGTCAATGCCTGCTGCCAAAAGAAGCACTACGATGCGCTCGTAGCCACGGCTTGCAGCGTACCAGAGCAGATTAGGCGGCATTGGTTTCCCTGGACCGGGGAGGAACTTAGGACTCGGATCGGCTCCATGGGCGAGCAGAAGCGCGACAATCTCCGCATGACCGTACTTCACTGCCAAACACAACGGTGGCGGACATCCATAGGAATCTTCGTCGTATCCATTCAGATTGCAGCCGTGGCTTTCGAGTAGGTCACGGACAAGAGCAGTTCGGCCACAAGCAGTAGCCGCACATAGAACAATTGTTTTATGCTTAGGTTCCGTTGCCAGTTGGACGTAATCGAAACTTTCCAGAAGTAAGTCTATCACAGGGACGCTTCCGTATGTAACAGCATTGTTGAGTGTGTCCATTGCCATCGGTAGATTTGGCTCCGGGTGCAATAGAGCACCGGCGTGCAGAAAACACCGCACACTCTCAAGCTGGTCGGCCTTAGCAGCCACACAAATCAATCGCATTCGGACTGAATCTGAGTTGCTCGGCTTGCGACCCCGCCTCAAGAGAAGCTGAACGATATCCTGATTCCCCGTCATGATTGCCCTCAGAAGGAGAGTAACGTTGCCATCTTTAGTTTCCATACATGCTCCCCGGTCGAGGAGAAGCTCCACGACAGAAAGATGGCCGTTCGAGACCGCAGCAGACAGAGAGGCATGCATTGTCCACTGCACTGGAGGATGGGCTTTGGGGGCTTGTGGCGATAGTTCCAGGAGAAACCGCACGATTGGCTCGTGGCCAGATTTGGCTGCCATCATAAGCAAAGTATCCCAAGAGATTCGGTCCTCCAGCCCGTTTGGATTGAATTCCGCCTGTTTCTCAATAATATGAACAAATGATGTCTTATCGCCTAGCTTCTTTCCACTAAAGGATGCAAGAATGTTTGTTCTCTTGTCTTGAATATCCAGGCCCCTCTTCCCCAGAAGCTGCAACATCTCCAGGCGGCCATGGATCGCTGCCAGAGCGGCAGGGTGCTCTTCGAGACGTGATCCTGGTCGATCAGGCGATGCCCCAGCATCTAGAGCCATCTCGACCGTGGACATGGATCCGTGGATGATACCCCATGGCAGGGCAGAGCTTTCCCCATGATGCACGTTGTGACGGTACAACAGAGGGTTGAATCGGTTGTAGTAAGCCCGACTGGTGCGTGCGAGAGAGTCAATATCGCTTTCATAATCAAGACCATCTAGAACAGCGAAAATGAGTTCGGTAGGGAGGTTCAACAGTGACATTGTCTTCTCGACCAAATAAACGAAGTTGGTTGAAGATGGACGAGGAGTGATAGTTAGTTCACTCATCCAACGTAAGCCCGGTGATCGTTGGGGCTTTTTCCTTTTTCGGCAACCACGTACTCGGACCATCTTCAGTCTCTATAATCCACATATTATGAATATCCACCAGGGCACGAAAATACAGTCACTACGGCGTCAGCCCTGCTTGAATGCCTTTGGCTGGGACTGGATGTAATATCATTCCAAGCCAGGCCATCGAAGAAAGACTCGAGTGCTTTTCTCCTATCCAAACGTCCATGGTATTATACAACATTAGAGAATTCAGCAAACGCCTACCAATGCGATGAAGCAAACAGACAATTCTACTTTCCCTTGGCAGCCTCTCGCTCCTTCTTTCGAGCAAGATATCTCTCCCGCGCACTGGAGACATCCTTCTCCGTCTTGTGACTGCGAGTGCGCTCCGCGATCTCCTTTTGCCGTGCAGCTTCGGCCTCCTCTTCCTGACGGGCCCGCTCCTCCAACTGCGCCGCAATCATCTCGGTCTGGCGAGCCCGCTGGCCCTCCCGAGCTGTGCGCTGCGAGCGGAAGTCGAATTTCGTCGCCGCTGCCCGGCGCGACGCCGCCGCGGCCGCTTCCTCATCCTGCGTCTGCGTCTTGGGCTTGGGAGCGACGTTGAGTCCAGCCGACAACAGCTGCCGCTTATCCACAATCTGGCCCTCATCATTCACAGCGATATTCGCGCCACGCGCTTTGAGCTCTTCAGCCATCTGTGCCTCCGTCTTCTCCGTTGCTTCAGCCTCCGTAGACGGGCCTTCCGCCGGGATCTCCCCAGCCTGCACCCGGCGCGCCGCTTCCTCAGCCGCCTTCACAGCCGCCTCATGCTGCTCCTCACCCCGCGATAACATATCGCGATAGAAGCCCACCATCCCGGACGTCCCGTTCTTGCGTCGGCGCTCCTCCTCCTGCTTCTCGCGCTCCGCCTCCTCGCGCTCAAGCCGACGCATCTCCTCCTGCTGTGCCTTGTACGCAGCCGTCACGAACTTCTCCTTATCGGCAAACTCGTCGCCCTCGGCCTCGCGTTCGCGCGCCAGCATGCGGTCCCGCGCGCGCAGCCGGTCTCGCTCACGCACCTCCGCGCTGCGCAGCAGCGACGTCATGTACCGGGGTCCTTCATTCTTTGCACCCTCAGCGCCGGCTTTCTTGTCGGGCTTCACGTGGAGTGAGTCGTAGACCGCGTCGTAGGAGTAGATGGACGGGTCAATCTCTTGTGCTTCTTCTGCGTGCTTGCGGCTGGTCCGTAGCGCCGACAGATCGGTGTATGTTCGTCCTTCTTTTCCGGCACCACTGCCGCCACTGGCGTTCTTCGTGAGCCCGTATTGCGTCGGGGCGGTCTGTTCTTCGGCGTCGTCGTCTGGGTCCGCGAAGATGGAGCTCTTGCTGAGGGGTTTGACTGCGGGCTTTTTGGGGGGAGCGCCGCCGCCACCGAAGGGGATTTTGCGCTTTGCGGGCGGTCCATTTGTCGGCTGGGTCTTCGGTTTGGATTCTGTGTTGCTGTCGTCTACCCCGCCGAGGGTGGTGATCTCGACGGTGTTGGATACGCTGTCGGCGCCATTGTCCGAGTCGGAGTCGTCTGCGGCGAAGACGGGTTTTTTGCGATTCTGGGAGCCGCCTTTGCTGCTAAGATTGAGCCCTAAGGATAGCGGGGGTGGCATCTTGCGGTCTCTAGGGATTGTCGTGGACGGTCTTGGAGAGCAAGTATAGGTGCTGTTGCGGAGCGAAATGATGCGATAGACAGCACGTGATATATCTTATCACCCACGTGATTCCCCTTACCCGCAATCAGTCCGGAGGATGTCCCATACTTCCGTTGACTCTATCAACATCACAACAGCAGCCGGGCCGAAAAATGTCATACTATTTCACAATCCTCTCCCCGTCGGACGTGCCGCTCTTCAATCTCGCCTTTGGCACCTCCAAAAGCGGAGGCGATGGCATCGCGCGTTTCCGCTTCCCCGACACCGCGCAGTACATGAACCAGTTCATCATCCATTCCAGTCTAGACATTGTCGAGGAGGCGCAGTGGATGAACTCGAACATGTGCGTATCCTTTCCCGTTATTTATGGATTATTTGAGATCTGGCCCGCCTTGCATGCCGTAGAGAACAGACGCTGACAGATGTGAAGGTACCTCAAACACATCGACACCTACCCCCCCGCCGCCGCATACATCTCCGCCTTCCTGACTCCCTCCGGCGCGCGCTTCCTCCTCCTTCACCAACCGCCACAGCTCCCGACAACAGGTGCTGGCGGCGCCAATAGTACCACGGGTTCGTCGTCGCTGCTCGCGTCATCCTTCTCCGGGGGTGTGGGGTCGACGCGGGCGTCGAGCAGCTCCGTCGCAGCCAATCCGACGTCGCCGCAGACGGAAGAGGCCGTACGACAGTTCATGAACGAGGTGTATGAGAACTACGTAAAGACAGTGATGAGTCCGTTCTACCGACAGGGCATGGAGATTAAAAGTCCGGTGTTCCGAGCGAAGGTGAGTGCTGCGGGGAGGAAGTGGTTATGATCGGATTTTCCATTTTGGCTGTTATACAATTTCGGGTGTGGTTATGATTTCACTCGTGGTTAGAGTCGGCGTTCGGTATGCATAGCGTGTATTCGTTATTCGTTCCTACCAATCATGCTCCGTCTAGTTACGTTCCCTTCCAGAAAAAACAAACAATAGAGTGTAAGATCAGTCAATCCAAACGCCCAGTACCACCAGCGAGAGGGGATTAAGTTGAATTGAATCAATCGATCAGCCCACCATCTGCGGAGCCAGCTTCTTCACAGTGACGGCCTTGAAGTTCTCCACTGCATGCACGACGTCCTCCAATTTGGCGACGGCCCCAAAGATCCCGCCTTCCATCTTGATCGACTCAATCGTGCTCAGATGCAGGGACGGCTCGCTGGCCGCCGTGCCGTCCTCCAGCACGACACAGTCGAACCCGCGGTCGTTGGCTTCGCGCACCGTCGTCGACACGCACACGTCCGTCGTCACGCCCGCGATGACGAGGTTCTTGATGCCCTTGTTGCGCAGGAGAAGCTCAAAGTCGGTGTGGGCGAATGCGCCACGCCCTGGCTTGTCGATCACTGGTTCTCCCGGCACAGGGTACAGCTCATCAACGGTGTCGTGGCCGGGCTCGCCGCGGATCAAAAGTCGGCCCAGAGGGCCCTGCGACCCGATTCCAAGACCAGAAGCATTATTTCGGGAGCGATAGGCTTCCCGTGTGGAGAGAGTCGATAGATCTGGGCGGTGGCCTGAGACAGTCAGGCTGGGGTTAAAACGCGGAACCGACGGATACGTACCTTCACGGGTGTGGTAAACCGGGAATCCAGACGCTCGGAAAGCGTTGAGCAGGACCTGCAGCTTGGGTATTAGGTTTTGCGCGGCGGATATGTCGTACCCCTGGTACTCCATGTATCCACCCGGGGCGCAGACTGGATTTAAATCCCGCGGTCAGCGTTGGTATGAGCAGTGCGGGGATGACAGTGGGAGACTAACAATCTTTTTGCATGTCGATGATGACCAGGGCGGTGGTGTATGGAGTGAGCGTGGCATCGTGCGGCCAGTCGTATGGAATGGCGGCGATTTGACCCTTCCGAACCTTGTGGTGAGGGACCTGCCGCGGCTTCTCGACAATCGGCCCGTGGTTATGTGTCGGGTTCAGGACGGTCAAGGTCCAGATACCGGGTGTGCCAGCGGCGACTAACATGAATGGACAGTCCATAAGACGGGACGTTCGTCGCCGTTTTCTGGTCTCCTCGGTGAGGCCGTTGCGCGGACGATAGTGTCCGCCGCGATCGCATCGCAACCATACTTTGGCGGTGCGGCCGGGTTTCTTTTCCGTTGGCGTACTGGATGACTTGACGACTACGTTATAGCCATGCGCCTTTCCATGCGCTTGGACTGCCGCGAGAAGAGATGCTCTGGGGGGTTCTGTCAGTACCGCGCGAGGCGCAGTTTAGAACGTCGGAGGCCATACTTATCAGGAAAGGTGCCTTCGGGAGGAGGCAGTAATTGCATGGACATGTCCGGGATATCTTGAAGATCACTCGGCGCATCGAGATTCAGATCGGTGGGGTCCGCCATGGTGACGGCCGGAGTGGATCGCCAGGAGCACAAAAGGGGAGGCCTGTTTTTGGTCGGGTCTGCAAGGCGACATGATTAGCGTGGACCGAGCGGAGCATCCCAGTTGTCGTGAGGGTCAAGATGCGCGAGTATTGAGAGAACAGACGGGTTCAGAATCCAGGAAACGAACGAAATGTAAACACATCACACGACGAAGGAATGAGTGCGTGGAAGCAATCATCTAGATGGAGAGGGAGGGAGAAGGACTGGAAGCATCGTGCGTGGCCATAGGGAAACTGGGGAAAGCCATCCAAGGGATGAGAGGGGGGGCCATCGGGGAAAGATCCGGGACCGTGCGAGAAAGGATGGAGGAGAACGTGCACAACCTACCGAGTAGAAGACCGACGACAAGACACGATCCCAGGGGGGAGACCGATGGTCTATCAACTACCTAACAGCGGCGTCATAACAAGAAACGAAGGTCTGTTGCTCCCACATCATCCGCCAGTCGGCAGACGCACGCCCGCTAGGCTGTTTCGGGTATGGCGGTATGGAACGTAATGGCATGGTATCTCTCCTCCAACCTCTCCCCCGTATGTATGTAACTAATACCGTTGTTGTCCCTTCCACTGTTGTCCTCCAGCTGTTGTCCCCGTGGATTCCATCATAACATCACCCGCCTCTCTCAGCTCTCTCCCTCTTCCTCCCCCTTCTCCATCCCCTTCGCCTCCCCTCCCCCTCGTCCCCTTTCTTGATCCCTCTGGGAGGGTCTCACCACAGGTAAGTCCGACTCTCAAAGCGACTCTTCTATCATCTCTTTCTTTCCGTCTATTCTCGTTTTTATTCCTCCGCAACATCCCCGATCTCTTGCGACACCGCCTCCGCCCCTCCACCGCCAGACCGCACACGGTCCACCGCTGGTGACTCGATCGATCCTCGTTCCCCCTGGATGATTTCGACTGGTCGCATCTTCGCCATCTCGTCTCCAGTCTTCAGATCCCACGGTTGAGCCCGTTGTCGGTGTCCCCGCTTCCGCCCGTCACCTTGCTCCTTCATTCGTGCTTCTCCTTCCCCGGCTGTAGCGGCTGGCGCGGGAGTCATGCCAGCGGCCGACGACACCACTTCTACTCGTCCCAAAGGTGGCAGCGCCAGTCGCGATGAGCTTAATTTCTACAAGACCCAATATGAGCAGTTAGAGGCGGAGTTGGCCGACTTCCAGGCCTCCAGTCGGGAGTTGGAGGCGGAGCTGGAGAAGGATATCGAAGCTTCCGAGAAGCGCGAGCGTCAGCTGAAGGAGAAGGTCGACAATCTACGCTACGAAGTTGAGGAGTGGAAGGTATCACCCCGTCGATCCTCTCGGCTCCCTTCCATCTCACCCGAATCACATGCCTAATAACTCAATGTCTTCCCGCAGACCAAATACAAACAATCCAAGTCGGAAGGCGGAACCGCCCAGAACAACCTGCAGAAAGAAATTACCACCCTCCGGGAAGCCAACCGAGCTCTCCAGTTGAAGATCCGCGATATCGAAGTAGCCAATGATGATTTTGAGCGCCAGGCTCGCCATACGACTTCGTCCCTGGAGGATTTGGAGTCCAGGTACAACATGGCCATCGAACGGGGCGTCCTACTGGAGGAAGAGATCCGGACTGGGGAACAGGAGCGTGAAGCTATTCGGATCGAGAATCAACGTCTGCGTGACGAGCTGTCGGAGTTGAAGATTGAGAACGAGATTGTCCAGGAGAAGCTGCGCAACACAGAACTGCATGGCGGCCGACGCAGGAAGCCAGTTGCCTTGCACCGCACACCTTCCACCCCACAGACCCCCGAGATCTTTGATCGCTCGCCCGAAGGGTCGACGGTGTCGTCACCCTTGTTTGCCACACCCCCGATGAAGTCCTTGACGTCTGCGACAGCAACTCCCCCCTCCCCTCCGATCTCCGAGACCTCCAGCAGCATGCGCAAGTCGATCAACGCGACCCCTGGCTTTCCGCGCCAGAAAGCGTCTGCGTCCGAGTCCTTTGGATCCAGATCCTTGTACAGTACCCGGACGCAGCGTTTCACCCACTCTCGTGCGACCTCCCTGGCGTTCAGTAACGGTCGCTCCACCCCGTCCATCACCTCTCGTCCCAGCTTGCCGAAGCCCGCCAATCACAATCAGGGTGCCACAAGTCGGCCCGCTGCTGGGTTACCCAACTCGAGTTCCCTGTACCAAATCCGTGGCCTGATTGGCAAGATGCAGAAGCTTGAAGAGCGAGTGCACTCTGCACGGTCGAAACTCCCCGCGCCGTCGCCGTCGCCGTCACGCGCGTCCTCTCGCGCGGGATCAATCCTGGGCGATAGTCCGGTGGCTTCCACCATCACCATGCGTCGAGACTCCCGCAAGCGGTTGAGTGGCAGCAGTTTCAGCTCCTCGGTCCACGGGGATGGTATTCCCTCCTATCTGCCCCACCGGCCCTCATACAGCACCCGAACGCAAGGCGATAGCCGGCCGAGCAGCCGGACAAGCTACTCGAGCACCTTCAGCCACAGCACCCACCCCAGTGTCGCTCCGTCGACTCGCCCCGAGAGTCGCCAAAGCCGCACCAAGACCCCGTTGGGACATTACTCGACCAATCCGACCACGGAGAGTCGGCGGCCGCGGTCATCGCTCAGTAATCCCTCAGGTCAAAATGGACTGGTGAACGGCATGTCCCATATCGATGAGGACGAAGACCTGGCGATGAGCATGTCTGTGCGAGCGAAGATCAGCGAGGTCCGGCAGACTCGACTTCCTTCGATCTCCACTCCCAACGGGATGAAGAAGCGCGCGCCTAGTGGCATTTCTAGCATTCCTACGCCACGGAACCTTCGGGCTAGTGCAGGAATGGGACCACCCGATCCAAATTCCAACGCCAATGATTTAGGCGAGACGTTCTGAACTTGGCTCCAGCCACCTTCACCCCACGGGTTCCTGACATATGCCGTCGGGAACGGGGCTCGAAGGGGATTTACGATGTTCATGGCCGTATGCAGATGTTGATCAACGCCTTTACTTCTTGAGACTGCATACATGTTTCTTTCGTTCATTTTGATTATCTTCTCTGTGACGTTTATTTTAATCGACTACCCCTTTGGAAGGTTCGGTATATTGATGGGATTTCGATTGGCTTTTTTCCCTCCTCCAGGTCTCTGGCCGATTGTTCATACTACTGTAGATTGGGGTCCACGGAGCAAATGGGTTTGCAACCGGATGTTCGTGCGGTCGATTGTGTGTTTGTGCCGGGAGGGGCTGCGGTCCCTCTATCGGCGTCCAAGCTGTGACTCAGCATTTTCTCTTTTTGTACTTATTTGTGTTGAGTAGACAATACCCAGTGATTCTTGCATGTGGTGGTACTTTACAGTTGAGATTGGTTGGCTGATGAATGAGTATAGTTGGTTGATGTTTGTGAGGGACCCCCATTAGTATATATATATATATATATATATTGAGGACAGCGGCAACAGCAACAATCATGTTAGATATTGTCGGTTTTTCCTGATATCCGAGCTGGTGACATTAATCAGATCCTCCCTGGCCACCGAGTTCGGGGTTCTACTCCGTACAGACCTCGTATTCGGGGGATTGCCTGTTTGGGGGTCCGTCGGATGCACCCTCTTACTCCTTGAGGCTAGGTCTGGGCATGCCAACCCCGAGGACCCAGTCGGTGCCCAGCATTATTGAATACTAGTTAGTTATATCGTGTTAATTAATCCAGGAAATACTCCGTACTCCGAACTACCGAACCCCTTCGGGCCGGTAGTTCGGGTATGTTGATTAGGCGGGTGTTTTGGTGAGGGCGATCCTGCCATCCCGTTGGTTGGACCGGATCCTCCCAACGGGATTGGCATCTCCGAGGCGAACCATTGGTGCAGAACCCCCGGATGGGGACGCCAACAGTGTCCCGATGCGGTTAGTGGATCGGACGCTGCTGCCTCCAGGTGTCCTTCTGACTTGCCTAACTCGGTAGTCTTCAGGGTTGTTTGGGGCATAGGACTCCGGAGTACAGATGCAGTAATCTCTCTCGGACTGATGTCAGCATGGTCGGGGATGTACTCCGTATATTAACCGATCGGGTAGGATGATTCCCTTGGAGGTGCGTCAGTGAGAGGGGTTCGGGGTGAAGAGAAAATACTAGGTACTACGTCGGTACCTATGAGGGACCGATGAAACCTCACGGTGCCTATTGTACTCCGGTCCACAGAGTAGGCCCCTAGAGAAGAAGATGGAACGGTAGGAGGGGAATCCCTGATTGGATGCTTCCACAGCATACAACATGTCGTATTTCCAAGTTTCCAGTCCAACCTCCTTCCGTCCTTCTCTCATTTTGGTATCTACGGACTGACCGCAGGCCAGTCAGGGTCCCCAAGAACCGGCGGTTGATGGATTCAACGAGCGGTCCTGCAGGGGGTGTTGGGAGAAAGCGATGGAATTGGGGTCGACAATCCTGTTGCATTATTATCATGGCCATTCGGTTAGCCCCTAGAGACTTGTCATTGGAGGAACGTTGTTGACGATAAAATGGTGGGAATGGACGTCATGGGGGGCCCAACAAGTACCGTCCAGTTGGGGTGCGGGAGTCTGGTTGACCCACGGGAGAATTTTTCCTGCTCGGGAGGCTTCTTTGTACGGGGAGGGGATTGTGATAGAGGATCGAGAGTGAGAAGGAGCGTCGTCTAAAATTTTCAACAAGAAATAATTTCGTGGAGATACGAAGAAGACTACCGAACCGTCTCTCCTGGACACAGCCATCACCAAAAAGGCCGGAGTTGTTGTGGTTGTGTTGAGTGCAGCTTAGTCAGATCTAGCCCCATCGGGTCTAGCGTGGTACCTGATCGATCTGCCGCCGCCATCCAATTACTAGTTAATTATCTGGGACTGGTTTTCTTCATCGCTCTTCTTCTGTCTTCTTCTTCCTCTCCTCTTGTTCCTCTTCTGCCCTCTCTCCATCCATCCAAACACCCCTCCCCTTGTCCATTGGGTTCACATCTTCTCTCCTCTCTCCCCAGCTGAAGGATCCTTCCCCTCCCTACTCTACCATTACCATCTCCAGTCTCTCACCTCAGCTTTCTTAATACCTTGGGGGAGCACCTTGGATTCATCTCACCTTGTACCACCCTTTAATTCGCTAGACATACTCCTGTACTACTATTACGACCACCTCCTCTCTTCCTTCCCTTACAATCCCTCCCCCCAGCCGCCGCATTCCTCGCTCTGCGCGCTGTCGCCCCCCCCCCGAACCGCCGTCACCTCTCCCCGCATATCTCGCATGGGCATTGATAATTCCTAATTAACTTTTCTCCATCATGGCCTCCACCAATGGTCACGGCAGCTCCCTCGCCGCCAAACACAACCTCCCCTCACATTTCATCGGTGGTAACCACCTCGATGCTGCCCCGCCGAGTGCCGTGAAGGACTTCGTCGCTAGCCATGATGGTCACTCCGTCATTAGCTCGGTACGCTTCCGCCCACCTTCCGACTGTAGCTCAATTGCGAACTGTCCTGTCGCTAACCCAGCTTCCCTAGGTCCTCATTGCCAACAACGGTATCGCCGCCGTGAAGGAAATTCGTTCCGTCCGGAAATGGGCCTACGAGACCTTCGGCAACGAACGCGCCATTCAATTCACGGTCATGGCCACCCCGGAAGATCTGCACGCCAACGCCGACTACATCCGCATGGCCGATCAGTACGTTGAGGTCCCCGGAGGCACGAATAATAACAACTACGCCAACGTCGAGCTGATCGTCGATGTCGCGGAGCGAATGGATGTCCACGCCGTGTGGGCCGGTTGGGGTCATGCCTCTGAGAACCCCCGTCTCCCCGAGGCGCTCGCCGCGTCGCCCAAGAAGATCATCTTCATTGGTCCCCCGTCTTCGGCCATGCGCTCTCTGGGTGACAAGATCTCCTCGACCATCGTCGCGCAGCATGCCGGTGTGCCGTGCATTCCCTGGTCGGGAACCGGAGTGGACGCGGTCAAGATTGACAGCAATGGAATCGTGACCGTCGAGGATGAGACTTACAACAAGGGCTGCACCTTCTCGCCCGAGGAAGGTCTTCAGAAGGCCAAGGAAATTGGCTTCCCTGTCATGATCAAGGCCTCCGAAGGTGGTGGTGGTAAGGGTATTCGGAAGGTGGAGAAGGAAGAGGACTTCATCTCCCTGTACAATGCCGCCGCCAACGAGATCCCTGGCTCCCCCATCTTCATCATGAAGCTCGCCGGTAACGCCCGCCATTTGGAGGTCCAATTGCTGGCCGATCAGTACGGTAACAACATCTCGCTCTTCGGCAGAGATTGTTCCGTCCAGCGTCGTCACCAGAAGATCATTGAGGAGGCCCCCGTCACCATCGCCAAGCCAATCACCTTCCAGGCCATGGAGCGCGCCGCCGTCAGCCTGGGTAAGCTCGTCGGTTACGTTTCGGCCGGTACCGTCGAGTACCTGTACTCGCATGCCGATGACAAGTTCTACTTCCTGGAGTTGAACCCTCGTCTTCAGGTCGAGCACCCCACCACGGAAATGGTTTCCGGTGTCAACCTGCCCGCCGCCCAGCTACAGATTGCCATGGGTATCCCCCTGCACCGCATTCGGGACATCCGCTTGCTCTACGGTGTGGACCCCAACACCACCTCCGAGATCGACTTCGACTTCTCCAACGAGGAGAGCTTCAAGACCCAGCGCCGTCCCCAGCCCAAGGGACACACGACCGCTTGCCGTATCACCTCCGAAGATCCTGGCGAGGGATTCAAGCCTTCCAGCGGTACCATGCACGAGCTGAACTTCCGCAGTTCGTCCAATGTCTGGGGTTACTTCTCTGTGGGTACTTCCGGTGGAATTCACAGCTTCTCCGACAGTCAGTTCGGTCACATCTTCGCTTATGGTGAGAACCGCTCCGCCTCGCGCAAGCACATGGTCATTGCTTTGAAGGAATTGAGCATTCGTGGTGATTTCCGGACCACCGTCGAATACCTCATCAAGTTGTTGGAGACGCCCGCATTCGAAGAGAACACCATTACCACTGGGTGGCTGGATCAGCTGATTTCCAACAAGCTGACCGCGGAGCGCCCCGATCCCATTGTCGCCGTCCTGTGCGGTGCCGTGACCAAGGCGCACCAGGCCAGTGAGGCGGGAGTGGAGGAATACCGTAAGGGTCTCGAGAAGGGTCAGGTGCCGTCCAAGGACGTTCTCAAGACCGTCTTCCCTGTCGACTTCATCTATGAAGGCGAGCGCTACAAGTTCACTGCCACTCGCGCCAGCTTGGACAGCTACCATCTGTTCATCAACGGCTCCAAGTGCTCCGTGGGTGTTCGTGCTCTGGCTGACGGTGGCCTGCTGGTTCTGCTGAACGGCCGGTCTCACAACGTGTACTGGAAGGAGGAGGCTGCCGCTACGCGTCTCAGCGTCGACGGAAAGACGTGCTTGGCTGGAGCAGGAGAACGATCCTACCCAGCTTCGCTCGCCTTCTCCCGGAAAGCTGGTCAAGTTCACCGTTGAGAACGGTGAGCACGTCCGTGCCGGCCAGCCCTTCGCCGAGGTGGAGGTCATGAAGATGTACATGCCCCTGATTGCCCAGGAGGACGGTGTCGTCCAACTGATCAAGCAGCCTGGCGCTACCCTGGAGGCTGGTGACATCCTGGGTATCCTCGCTCTGGACGACCCCTCTCGCGTTAAGCACGCCCAGCCCTTCACCGGACAGCTCCCCGACATGGGCCCCCCGCAGGTGGTGGGTAACAAGCCTCCTCAGCGGTTCTTCCTTCTGCACAGCATCCTTGAGAACATTCTGCGTGGCTACGACAACCAAGTCATCATGGGTTCGACCCTGAAGGAGCTCGTAGAGGTCCTCCGCGACGGCGACCTTCCTTACGGCGAGTGGAACGCCCAGTCCTCTGCGCTGCACTCGCGCATGCCCCAGCGACTTGACGCTCAGCTTCAGAACATCGTTGACCGCGCTCGCGCTCGCAAGGCCGAGTTCCCCGCCAAGCAGCTCCAGAAGACCATTGCGCGGTTCATCGAAGAGAATGTCAACCCTGCTGATGCTGAGATCTTGAAGACCACCCTTCTTCCTCTCATTCAGGTCATCAACAAATATATGGATGGACTGAAGGCCAACGAGTTCAACGTTTTCATTGGTCTGCTTGAGCAGTACTACGAGGTGGAGAAGCTCTTCTCCGGCCGCAACATCCGTGACGAGGATGCCATACTGAAGCTCCGTGAAGAAAACAAGGATGATATCGGTAGCGTTGTCCAGATCGTCCTGTCCCACAGCCGTATTGGTTCCAAGAACAACCTCGTCCTCGCTATCTTGGACATGTACCGTCCCAACCAGCCCAACGTCGGCAATGTTGGCAAGTACTTCAAGCCCATCCTGAAGAAGCTGACGGAGCTGGAATCTCGGTCCGCCGCGAAGGTTACCTTGAAGGCTCGTGAGGTGCTCATCCAGTGCGCCCTGCCGTCTCTGGAAGAACGTCTCTCCCAGATGGAGCTTATTCTCCGCTCCTCCGTTGTGGAATCGCGCTATGGTGAGACCGGATGGGATCATCGCGAGCCTGACTTCTCGGTCTTGAAGGAGGTCGTCGATTCGAAGTACACTGTGTTCGATGTTCTGCCTCGTTTCTTCGTCCACCAGGATGCTTGGGTCACTCTTGCCGCCCTGGAGGTCTATGTTCGCCGTGCGTACCGTGCGTACACTCTGAAGGATATCCAGTATGATGCTTCTGGCGAGATCCCCCTGCTCTCCTGGGACTTCACCCTTGACAAGCTTGGGCAGCCCGAGTTCGGCTCCCTATCCTCCACTCAGCCATCGGCTCCCGGGACCCCAACCACGGAATCCAACCCCTTCAGACGCCTCAACTCCATCAGCGACATGTCGTACCTCGTCAACGACAACTCTAACGAGCCCGTCCGCAAGGGTGTCATTCTCCCCGTCCAGTACTTGGAGGATGCCGAGGAGTATCTCGCTAAGGCTCTGGATGCTTTCCCTCGTGTCGTCGCTAAAGCGAAGAAGCCTGCTGACAACGGCCTCCTCGCCAACCTGGAGGGCAAGCGCCGTCCTGCCGCCCATCGCCTTGAAAATGAGAATGAGTTGACCAACGTTCTTAACATTGCTATTCGTGATGTCGAGAACCTTAGCGATAAGGAGATTGTTGCGCAGATCAACTCTCTCCTTGCCGATCTCAAGGAGGAGCTGCTGGCCCGCCGCATTCGCCGCGTCACCTTCATCTGCGGCAAGAATGGCATTTACCCCGGTTACTTCACTTTCCGCGGACCTACCTACGAGGAAGATGATAGCATTCGTCACAGCGAGCCTGCTCTGGCCTTCCAGCTTGAGCTGGGACGCCTGTCGAAGTTCAAGATCAACCCCGTCTTTACTGAGAACCGCAACATCCACGTCTACGAGGCCATTGGCAAGGGTCCTGAGAATGACAAGGCGGTTGACAAGCGCTACTTCGTCCGTGCTGTCGTGCGTCCTGGTCGTCTGCGTGACGACATCCCTACGGCTGAGTACCTGATCTCCGAGGCTGACCGTCTGATGAACGACATCTTGGACGCCCTGGAGATCATTGGCAACAACAACTCTGATTTGAACCACATCTTCATCAATTTCTCCCCTGTGTTCAACCTCCAGCCGCAGGATGTGGAGCAGGCTCTGGCTGGTTTCCTGGAGCGTTTCGGTCGTCGTCTCTGGCGTCTGCGTGTCACTGGCGCGGAGATCCGCATCCTCTGCACTGACCCCGCCACCGGCGTGCCTTATCCTCTCCGTGTCATCATCACCAACACCTACGGTTTCATCATCCAGGTGGAGCTGTACATTGAGAAGAAGTCTGAGAAGGGCGAGTGGGTCTTCCACAGCATCGGTGGCACTAACAAGCTCGGCTCCATGCACTTGCGTCCTGTCTCTACTCCCTACCCCACGAAGGAGTGGCTCCAGCCCAAGCGTTACAAGGCTCACCTCATGGGCACCCAGTATGTCTATGATTTCCCTGAGCTCTTCCGCCAGGCTTTCCAGAACAGCTGGTCAAAGGCTATCGAGAAGGTGCCGGCGATGGCGGACCAGCGTCCTCCTGTTGGCGAGTGCATTGACTACACCGAACTGGTGTTGGATGACACCGACAACCTCATTGAAATCCAGCGTGGTCCGGGTACCAACACCCACGGTATGGTGGGTTGGCTTGTCACTGCCCGCACCCCCGAGTACCCACGGGGCAGACGGTTCATCATTGTTGCCAACGACATTACTTTCCAGATCGGATCCTTCGGTCCTCTGGAAGACAAGTTCTTCAACAAGTGCACTGAGCTGGCTAGAAAGCTTGGTATCCCTCGTATTTACCTTTCTGCCAACTCGGGTGCTCGTATCGGCATGGCCGATGAGCTGATCCCCTACTTCAGCGTTGCCTGGAACGACCCTGCCAAGCCGGAGGCCGGCTTCAAGTACCTCTACCTGACTCCTGAGGTTAAGAAGCAGTTCGATGCCAGCAAGAAGAAGGAAGTCATCACTGAGATGATCAACGATGATGGTGAGGAGCGTCACAAGATCACCACTATCATCGGTGCGAAGGACGGCCTCGGTGTCGAGTGTCTCAAGGGCTCCGGTCTTATTGCCGGTGCCACGTCCAAGGCCTACGAGGATATCTTCACCATCACCTTGGTCACCTGCCGTTCCGTCGGTATCGGCGCTTACCTGGTCCGTCTCGGCCAGAGAGCCGTGCAAGTCGAGGGCCAGCCCATCATTCTCACTGGTGCTCCTGCCATCAACAAGCTCCTTGGTCGGGAAGTCTATACCTCCAACTTGCAGCTGGGTGGCACTCAAATCATGTATAAGAACGGTGTTTCTCACATGACGGCCAATGACGACTTCGATGGTGTGCAGAAGATTGTTGAGTGGATGTCGTTTGTTCCTGACCGCAAGGGATCTCCCAACCCCATCCGCCCCTGGTCCGACCCCTGGGATCGTGATGTCGAGTATTACCCTCCGTCCAAGCAGACCTACGATCCCCGCTGGCTCATTGCTGGTAAGGAGGATGAAGAGGGCTTCCTGCCGGGTTTGTTTGATGCCGGCTCTTTCGAGGAAGCGCTTGGCGGCTGGGCTCGCACTGTGGTTGTGGGCCGTGCTAGACTGGGTGGTATCCCTATGGGTGTCATCGCGGTCGAGACTCGCTCGGTGGAGAACGTCACTCCTGCCGATCCCGCCAATCCCGACTCTATGGAGATGATCAGCACGGAGGCCGGTGGTGTCTGGTACCCTAACTCCGCCTTCAAGACTGCCCAGGCTCTTCGCGACTTCAACAACGGTGAGCAGCTCCCCGTCATGATCCTCGCCAACTGGAGAGGTTTCTCGGGTGGCCAGCGTGACATGTACAACGAGGTGCTCAAGTATGGTTCGTACATCGTCGACGCTCTCGTTAAGTACGAGCAGCCCATCTTCATCTACATTCCGCCCTACGGTGAACTCCGTGGTGGCTCGTGGGTGGTGGTCGACCCTACCATCAACCCCGACCAGATGGAGATGTACGCGGATGAGGAGGCCCGTGGTGGTGTCCTCGAGCCCGAGGGTATCGTCAACATCAAGTACCGTCGCGAGAAGCAGCTGGACACCATGGCGCGTCTTGATGCCACCTACGGCGAACTTCGTCGTTCCCTCGAAGACCCCTCCCTCAGCAAGGAGCAGCTGTCTGAGATCAAGACCCGGATGGCCGCCCGCGAGGAGCAGCTTCTGCCCGTGTACACGCAGATTGCTCTGCAGTTCGCCGACCTCCACGACCGCGCCGGCCGCATGCAGGCCAAGAACACCATCCGCAAGCCGCTCACCTGGAAGAACGCCCGCCGGTTCTTCTACTGGCGCCTGCGCCGCCGTCTTAGCGAGGAGCTCATCGTCAAGCGCATGGTCGCCGCCGCTCCCAACCCGGCCCCCGCCGAGGCTGCTGGTGCTGTCCCCGCCAACGCCCCTGCCGGTGCTGTGGCCTCGCCTAGCGAGTCTCCTCGCGCCTTCCACCTGCGCACGCTCCGCACGTGGACCGGCCTGCTTGACGAGGAGCTGGAGAACGACGACCGTCGCGTGGCCATGTGGTATGAAGAGAACAAGAAGCACATCCAGACCCAGGTCGAGTCTCTCAAGACGGCCAGTGTGGCTTCTGACGTTGCCCAGCTGCTCCTTGGCAACAAGGAGGGCGGTCTCAAGGGTGTGCAGCAGGTGCTTAGCATGTTGCCTGTGGAGGAGAAGGAGGCGGTCCTCAAGTACTTGGGATCTGCTTAAGCATGCATACATGATGAGATTTCTCTTTACATATTTGTTTCTGTTTTATGTTTCGATTGCGATTCACTGTTATCAGGCGGCTTCGGGTTTGATTTAGATGTGGTGTCTGGATGCATGAGTACATGTTATGTTATGTTGCGTTGCATATCTTATGTTGTGATGAGTTACCCAATGGACTTATTCTATATAATCCTGCCCTATCCCTGCCCACTTGTGGATGCTGTAGAACTTCCTCATGGTCACAGACACATGATCCGACTTGCAACACTCTATGACAACTAATTCGGCCCCCAACCATCCCCATCATGCAAACAAACCTCCTGGTCTCTCTGGATGAGACGTATGCTCCGCCAACATCTGCCCATAATCCCAAATCGCAATATGCTGCGACGTTCACCTCGCACGATCCCGGACTCTAAACGGAAGAACCTGTCCGTTGTGAGTAATCCCCAGATGCAGCACCCATCCCTCCTCGCACGCCTTCCGATCCAGATGGGGCATGAAGCCATCTGCAGTTATCGTCAGATCCAACATATCATTCTCAGGCAAGAACCTTGACCTGACTGTAAGATTATGATGGTTTAGTGAAGAGTCATCCCGAGGGCCCCGGAAGAAATAGTCAGTGACGGCACTGATATCTATTACGGATGACTACGATTTCAGGTTGATAACTGCATGTGCGATAAATAGTATTGAATGGTGGAAATAATAATTGTTATTGATTGCTAGTCACGTGGGGTATTATTGTGTTTGCAGCCGCTCGTTCATTTATTCATCACATGAACAGCACTAAGAAAGAGACAAAAGGGATATCACAGAAAGGTTCCAAACAAATCTAAGCAAGCTGCCTCTCCAAACTCCTTGGGGGAGTCAAAATAGGAGGGAGCCCCCCGTACGGTGTCGACGAGGGCACCTCCCTTAGCCCCCGGCTCGGATGTGCCGGCCCCGGTGGCCGGGGCGGTGGGGGAGGAGGCGACGACGTAGCATCCTCGAGTCTCAGATGTCCCATGTCAACAGGGATCTGGTCCGGGAGGGGGAGTGGGGAGCGGTACCGCGGATTTTGCGGCTCGAAATACGGATTATGAGGGGCACCATATGCTAGAGACCCGTGAGGGCTGTCGGGGAGAGCGACGTAGGAGGCATTAAGCGTCCGAGCGATGTCCTCGAGGAGGACTTCCATCGGTGCGATATATGCCGTATGGCTCTTTTCAGACCACGCTAGAACATGGCCGCACACGCGGCCGGTGGACTTTTCGAAGACCCATGCGCCTGAATCGCCGGGAACTAGAAACATACGTTAGTAGCAGGCCACGGAACAATAGACGGAGGGGTAGATCAATAGGAAAAGGGGAGGCTTACTTACCACCAAAGTTTCCATCCACACAAAAACTCGTCGAAAAGCTGTGTCGCCCGTTCAACTTGACTAGGGTCATCGCACGCGAAATCTGACCAGTCTGAAGGCCGCTGGTCCGACCACAGCAGTGTACTTTCAGACCCCCCAGATCTTCGAGTCGGGCAATGTCGGTGAGGTAGATAGGTTCACTTTGGGGCCGTTGTCTGGAGAGAGACGACGTTTTATCGAACACGATGTTGCGAGGGTCGCTGCGATCATCGTTGATCCTAATAAGCGCCCAGTCGATTTCGTGCTTGATGCCTTTGCGTGTCCAGCGTCGGACTCCAGATGAAGCATGCACATACCCAAACGAATGGATCGCGAGGTGTTCGTCGTCGCGGTCTTCGAGGGATGGGTAGAAATCCTCAGGAACATCATCTAAAGCGGGCTGGGTTACAAAAAGCCGCGGTTCATCACCAGGTTCCACGCCCGCAGTATCGCCAATGGACGCAGCGTCCTCGTCCTCGTACGCATCACCGGTATCCAAACCCTCATCGGAGGAGTAGCCCTCAGAGAGCGTGAAATCATCATACGTGCCCTCAAGGCTTAGCGAGACGGAGTGATCATCGCCCTCTTCATCCGAAATCTCGAATTCGAGATTGACCTCTGACGGATCATCGTCGCACCAGCTGTACATAAACTCTGGATTTTGGGACGCCGATTCTCGGGGCCAGTTCCCAGCTGACCGTAGCGGGCCACCCATATCATGCTCATCATCATCGTCTTCTGCGTCACTGGGCGTTTCCAACATGTGATGGACGGTCATACCATACGGCATGCCGTCGACGAGGATGGCGCCACCGTATGTCACAGGTGGCAGATGCTCCTCATTGATGAATGCACCCATGGACGCTCCGCAAAGTGGTTGACGTTGGTAACAGGGATTTGGGTCTTCGTATACTGGTGACTGTTCTGGCTGCTCTGGTCCAGTTTTTGCCGGCTTGCGACGCTTCTTGCGTGGCACTTTCGATCGCTGAATATCCCCATTGAGAACAAGAAGGTCCCAGTCATCACGATCAAGCACGAAGTACTTTTTGAGTGCTGCTCTGACTTTCTTGGTGCTCGCGCAAGTAACGCAAATTGTCGTTTTAGCGCTTTCAATGGACTCGCCGGTCATCGTCAGGGTGACTCCGCAAGATTCAGATGAGTCTTTAAGGACCTTCTGTAGCAGCTTTCGAAGCCGCGGCATCATCTGGAAATTCCACTCGTTCAGATGCTCTTGCGGAATTTCGACATTGGTAAGTTTCTTGAAAGTCCTCTTGCGGGGATTACGGTCCGCAAGTCCCATCTTCTCCCGTATGAGCTTCATATCAGTCGCAGCAATAGGATTAAAGGGTTCAGGAGAAAGCGGGACGAGCTGTTGGTGGGCAGTGTACTCGCGGAGGGGTTCTTTGGTTGCTGTGGCGTCCGGCCGAGGCACCAGAGCGAGAGGCAGGCAGTCATCAAGCTCTTCCGCACCTGGAGGGGAAATGATGTCGATCCTGCAACATGCCCAGATAATCTTGCTCATAGTGTAAATAAAGTTCATTGAAAAGGAGAAAATGCTTTCCGGTTCGGAAAGGTCGAGAACGGGGTAGTGGTAAGTCTGCGGGACACGGAGGTTGAAGTCATCGAAGGGTTGAGTTGAAAGATGAAAGTTGGGAGCGTCCAGACACAGCTGGACAACGTGGAGGTAAGCGCTACCACATTTGGGGCCGAGCTTCTGTAAGTAAACGTTCTCGATTCTTTGCTTGAACATTGAAGGCGTGTATTTCATCTTCCACAGCCGGCTGATAGGGGTCCACAGACCAATCTCCAACAGGACCAAGCCGAGAGAGTACAGGTCATAGGCCCAGGCAGCATCGTCATCGAGCGAGCGCTTATCATCTGGGTGGCGATATATGCTGGAGGATAGAGGCTCCGGTGACGAGCCGGTCCCAGAAAATTGAGCGATCGAGGTAAGATACGGCCGTCGCAAGTTCTCGGTCAGACCAACTTCATCATTATTGGAGTTCGTCGGACCCGGAAAGATCAAGACATTGTTGCTATTGATGTTGCCATGCACGAGATTCTGGCTCCTCAGCTGCAAGACAGCCATCAACAAGTCATAGGCCAGACGAAAACGCGTCTCCAGATTAGGAAGTTGATAATCCTCGCCCCACCTGGAAAAGAGAAACCAACGGCTTGGGCTTCAAATCATTAAGAAGGTCGGTCGGATTGCGGAGGAAGGGGAAGTAGTCAATGGGCATTTGGTAAACGAAGGCATAACGGGAGTTTTGCATGTCGATAAAATATCCAAGGAACCTTAACAAACCCAAGTGAGAAACGCGAGAATTTTGCACCAGTTGATCAAGAGTCTGATGGACGTGATCCATCCGGTGCTTCCCGGGAACCGTAACAGCGCCTGCACTGTCGAAGTTCATCGGGACATACTCGAGCAAAATGGTGACAGTGGAATCTTTGGAGCCGCGAAGGAGCGGCGACGCTGACGTCTGCATGCGGCCAATGGCACGGGAATTGCTGGAAGCGGCCACCACTTCATAGGGAGGTGGACTGTTATCTTGGAATGACCCGGACAATTGCAGCGCAGAACGGTCGATGATGTAGTCATTCGATGACAGCGATTGACTGAAGGTTTGATCAAAGCTTGGAGACTGTTTCGAGTAGGACGGATAGCCGTATACGTCCTTCTGATTGATGGGACTTTGGTACATATTCTTGCTGTCGAGAAAGGTCTTTGAATCCGAGTATGAAGAATAAACAGAGTCGTCCGTTTGCAACGTCGGGTGGTGGCGCGATCGATGGCCGCCTGAGCTCATATTACGCCGAGACCGGGAGAGGTCGTAAAGAGTGTCGATACACGCCGTGAGGTCGGAAAGGAGTGATTTGGACCGGTTGATATCCTCATTGGACCAGTGTGTCTTGACCGGGAGAGCACTCAGGGTATCCTTGGACGGCGCATCGGCTCTGCCGCCCTTGGAAGGCAAATCGGACGGAGTGCCCCCGTGTTGTATGCGCTCGGCTTCGTTCAAAAGCTCCTGGATCGACGACATCACACTGGCGACAACATCGCTAAAACCGGCTTGTGTGAGAGACTCATCGATGTCGTTCGGCTGCGCGGCGCTCGCATCGCTCCAATCTAGGCCCCAGGCCAACAGTCGATCTCGCTGAGTTCGGAAGCTGCGGTGCAGGGCGACGAGTTCCGGATCATCGACTGCCTTGGACGCGGTCGTGACACTCTCGCAGGAGGTCTTGGTATCGGTGTACATCTTGGTGAGACGACGTTGGAGGTAGGTACCTCCATGGCGGAGAACGGACATCTTGGCGCGCAGAGTCCGGGGAAACGGGGAAGGGCAATGGCGGGGACGTTTTGTATTAGATCATGGTAGAGTACCGCAGAAGAAGTACTCTCATGCACAAGACATGGTGACAAGTCGAAGAAAGCGATATTCTGACAGGAAGTGAGCAGCAGCAACAGGCATCTGCAGATAGGAAATCTGAGGGGCAGTGAACAGGAATTAAGAATAGATCGCGCGGGTGGGCAGGAATTTGGTTGCCTAACCAATCGGGAGTGGCGAGTGCTGCAAAGCCTCAGGTGCCAAGCCACTATCACGTGGCAGGCAGCCGCCATTGGCTAGGCCACGCCTTCTCATTGGTGGGTATGCATGTGGCACGTGCATACGGGTCTAGAGCTTGAGTCAGCAGGCTGCAGATCATGTGATTTGGCTGACACTACCTCCATCACCTTGTATCACCATGTCGTGTTCGAACTACGGTACTTACGTATCTCTCGAGAATCTTGAGGAATAATGATGGTGCTACGTACTCAGGATGGTCGGGTCAAACGACCATCGGGTGAAGGAACAGGAGGTCGTCACAACATTACACTGCTGCCTACAAGCGTACATACATCGCTGCTTAATAACCTTGCCAAGGCAATAACATTCTTTATAAAACTAAATAAATCTATTCATTAATCGTAATGGATTTACAGGAAACCACATAAGGTCGCTCCAATGATTAGAAAAATAGACTGCCGCCCTCTCTTACAAGCTCCTCTCAACCTGTCGTCACCCGGCGAGACACTCCGACATCCCGCGTGCGCTTTTCGCGAAAGTTATGGAGTCGTTCGCCAATGAGGTAAACATCATCACGGATGCTGATCCGCCAAATCTCCAGCTGACGGTACACCAGATACCCGAGCCATCCCAACAAGGTAAACAGTAAGGTGACCGGATACGAGTAACGGTACACCATGGAGTGCATATCGACCGCCGAGTAGAACATGGTCGAATTCAACACGAACCCAAGAGACAGAGGAAGGGCGACAGCAAGTGACGCAGCAAGAATGAGCGGAAGTAAAATTGCCCGAGTCGCAAGTCCAACATTCGGTTTCTGCCATCCATCACGGAATATAGCGTTGAGGGCAGCCGCTGGTCGAGAAGTCGAGCGCCACAATGCAAATTTGATCGCCATTTGGACGTAGAGCACACCGAGTGTCCAGTCTTGGACGAAATGGATGACGTGTGTCTCAGCCCCGCCCAAGTAGGTATGTGCTGGCACCAAGATGTAGAGCTCCATTATCAAGGCGAAAAGCGAAGGTAGTACTATCGCAAAAGCCATACCAATATAGAGCAACCGAAGCCCACTAGTCAAAGCACTAACAGTCCCGGCATATGCTTGTCGAGGAGACTGCACATACGGGGCCAACCGCTCTTTGATCATGTCGTAGCGTTTGTGACAGTAGAAGACGACGAACGCGACGATGCCCACCACACACGCGCCGGTGGAGAAGGCATAGATGTCGTTCAATGCGCGGTTGGGGAAGTAGTAAGACATGATTTTGCGCCCAATGACCAAGGGGATAATCGTGGTGCCTATGCCTGTGGCAGCCGCGAACAACCAGATGAGGAGAATAAAGGCAGCAATTCGGCTCCGGAAATGCGGTGGGATGTACACCTTTGTGAACATATCATTTGACCGGCCATGTAAGCCCTGCTCGGTGTCTGGAGACCCATCCACCCGCTCGTTTGTTTCGGTAACATCGAGAAATACGCGGCTGCCTTTGGGAATGCGCACTTGATCAGACGCGGGAGCGCGGACATATCTCCCGTCCCGCACGAAGTACGCGTCAGGGTGCTGACCGCTGCCAGTAAGGGTGCTGTGCTCAGAACTGCTGACTGGGTGATTGATATCTCCCTGAGCTCCTGTCAGAATTGCACGCCAGGTATGCCTAACGTGGTAGCCTTCTTCATCATGTTTCCTCTCCCCGAAAAAGAAGTCAGTCAGCCGCAGGAGTCGAGCGCAGCGACGGAACCACCAGCCGTAGAGGCCATGTAGAACGTCAGAGGGTTTAAAGGATTGAATAGCAAGCGGAATAATGAAGTTGTAGAACAGCAGGTCAGCTGGGAATTCAAGAACGGGGACTCTTGCCGACCAATGAATTGGTAAGACATTGTCGAATGAATAGTACAAGCCCCAAACGACGCCTCCCAGGCAAACAATGACTAAAGCACCGTAGACCAGGGCACTGAAGGCAATCTTGCGCAGCTGAGTTGTGATATTCCGTTCCAAAACATCACGTACAGGATGGAAGGTCGGATCGTCAGGATCACGAATGAAATCTGGAGTGAAACACGTCAGCAGAGGTTGGCAGAATCGATACGAGGGAAACTTACACAATACACCGCTCCTCATGACCTTCCTGCACATAGAAACAAAAAGAGCAAAGTGGAACATATAGCAGGTGCCAATAAACCAGTGCACAAAAAGGGACGTGAGCGGGGACGACGATGTGAAGTCGAGGCGGGATGAAATGGTGGCATTCTCAAATAGAGGTAACAGGGCAATGTCAAGTAAAGCACCGCAGTATAGCGGGAAAACTATCATTTCGATGCCGATGATCAAAATGACTTTCATCACCCCACCAGCTTGGTGCAGTACGTCTGCAACCATGCCATCAACCCGCTGTCCATGGGTCATGCCTGAGATCAATCCAGTAATGCGAAGGTAGAGAAGACCCAGGAATGATGCGAGTAGATAACCCATAATGATTGCAATCGCGCGATCTTTAGTATCCCACACTGCGAGATCGGAGTCGACCGTCATACCAGCAGCTGCAAAGCTTGGGCTGAACCACTTCGGACTTGTGCGATAGAGGAGAACATTGGTGATATCACGAACTAAGTCTCTGCCCTGAGAAAAAATGCTGGAAAGATCCACAGAGCTATAGACGAAGGCCAGTGCCTCTGAAATGCCCCCATCTATCAACCGGAGCGGAAAGTCGTACAATACAAACCGGCCAATAGAGAACGTTGTTTGGAACACGCTAGCAATACGCGCTTCGTGGATCTTCAAGGCCTGATGGGAAAGGACAGAGAACATAGGAACATCAGATTCATGGAACAGAAAGAAGGTACCGACCACACTTTTCAGCCGCTGGCCGCTCTGATCAATGAGGGAAAGAGAGGCACTGGTGATGGTCTGAGAAGAAGGCATCCAGTCCGCAATGGGCACAAGAGCACCAAAGGGGCTTAGTAAGAGTTTAAATGCCAGACTGGCCCAGTAGATAATGTAGCCCAAACTCCCAATGAGGGTGTCAAGGGTCACATCGGCAACCACAGACAGCGCGGTCAACGGAACACCGAAGATCAGTTGGACGGGGTTTGCCAGGAGAACAAGAGCAATCTTGCCCCACAGATAGGGAAGCCAGATACCAATCGCGATGGTGAACGAGATCAGGAGGGCACTGAAGACGCCGTTTTGAAGGAGGGTGAAAATGGGACCTTGCATCCCGATGATTTCCATTATGCCTTCTAGATCATCACCGTCTTCAATCGCATCTAGATCGTTCGGATCGAGGCCAGGATCGACAATGCCTTGGTCATCCTGCACAACGGCATCAGCGATTCGTCGATTGTTTTGAACAGGCACAAAGGGTGCTTCAAGAGCAGGATCTTCGACTAAATGCTCATCGTCTTGCTCTGCATTATCCTGCGCCTGATCACCCTCTGGAATTACGTCGGCCCAAAACCAATCGAGAATCTTAGCCGCAAGGTGCTTGGGAGGTGCCGCTGGCTGGTCCGCTTGATTTGGCGACGGAGCAGTTGTTGTCGATTGTTCTTGACCGCTTGAACGCTGATTTCTCCCCGGCTCTAAACCATCGGGATCCTGGACGGCCTGTAAATCGTTGGAGGAGTTGGTGGAGCTCCTGGAACTATTGGCTCTGACGACGTGCTCATCCACGTCATCACCTCTTGACGCAGTAAAATCGAAAGTAAAGTCATTCCGCGGATGACTAGTTATCATCTCCATCTCATCCAAAGGTCTGGGCCGAGGAACCAAGACGCGGGGATCATCCAGGGGGTTTTCGAGATCATCGGTTGGTGAAGCAGGAAGAGAGAGGTCTGGTGACGGAGCTCTGGCGTCAAGTTCTTCATCGAGAGTCTCGTCCAATCCACTACTGGAAGGACCCAAATATGATTGTTCGTCAGTTGGATTATTTCGGATATCCTGACTGCGCTGAAGGTTGGTCATCGCGGTGACAACCCAGCTAAGCTCGTCCTGGAGACCTTCATCGCGGATAATCGTCAGGATCCGTCCGGGGTCACCACCGCCACGTGCCCAGAGGTCCCTAAAGGTCTCGACACCAGACCACTCTCGATTAACACGAGGGAGGGCCGGCTCATCGTCGCTTTCGCTGCTAGGCTCGATGCCTCGTCGGAAGAGTTCCGCCGAATCCTCATCGTGTGGACCGAATGCCCTGCCAATCGCATCGACTTCTGCTGATTCATCATGACCCGTGTCGCCGTGAGCGTGACGTTCATTGTCTCGTAGTCTATCCTCGGGACCTAAAGCTTCGTGGTGACCAGGCTGGTGGTCATGATCATTCTGGTTTGCACGGTTATTCGCGATCAATTGCACGGCCGCTTCTCGCTCTGCTTCGGCAATGTTGGCCATTGGCTGCTGCTGAACCACCCATTCCCGAATGAGGAATATTAATATAAAAGAGATAACAACAAGCAGAGTGATTAGTTGGCCTTCCAAGGTGTCGATGAGGATATTATTTATGGTAGGGGACGGTGTCAATGTATTCAAGAACTTCACGTCAGAAAGCCATGACGGGCGCCGTCTGTTGTATGAGCCTGTGATCGTGATGTTGGCAGACCCCACACCAGACGGACTAGCAGTTGACGACATGGCGGGGAAGAACAGGATAGAAACGGCTTTCTTGACAATTGAAAGCAGGAGCGGTTCTTCCGAGGAAAAGCCAAAGATCGATGCAGGCGATTCCAAAGATTCCACATCTGCTTCGCTGGATCGAGTAAAATCGGCCGCGGCTGTCGCTGCAGCAGTCACTGTACTACTGACAGCCGACAGCGTGCTGTTCACAGCTATGTTCGCAACAGAGCCTTGCAGTGAGCTTTGTGCAGAGCTGTCACTGCCGGACCAGCGGCCATCGGCCAGCCAGAACAGAGCTCTCCATATCGCCCTCATAGACCACGGTAACCACCCAAGCCATACAAACGCAACAAGTATGAATCGGAGCCAGGTGACGAGAGACCGGAAGCCGTGTATCAGAAGCTGCTTCAAAAACAGGGGAGTTGGAAGACTCCTCGGCATGTTGGGATCATAGAGTTTGGTGAAGTGGAAAGGTGTCTTGCATAGTTCACAGTGTTTCTTTTGGGAATGGGAGAGCCATTCGACCAGGCAAGCCTGGTGCACGAACTTGATACTACCACTGCATTTGCAAGGATAGAACAGCTGTTCTTCCGGTGTACCCTCTCCCCGACATATCCGACAAGTATCAGGCTCTTCGAAATCTCTTTCTTTGCCTTTGGTATTGGTATCGTAGGCCGGGTCGTTCATGAGGTCAGGGAAGGCAGCCGCCCCGGTGGTTGGGCGAAAACGGTTTCCTGAAAAGTCCATTTTCGTCAACGGAGCTCACATCCGACGGTCCGGTCGTCCTCAACAGCGGTGGGCAGATATCATGTTCGTTGTGTCGCAAGCGGCGTCGATAGAATGCCCGATTACGATGGGGCCGCGGCACAGGCTCCAGTGAATTTCACTTGACGTGTGACACACGGTAGTTCGAAAATGACAATCTAAGCCTTACCGGCTCAAACTCACAGATCCACAACTGAAGGAGAGCGTGGCGAGGTGGTGTTGGAGAGGTGATTATGAGGTCGGATTGACCACTCCGTTCCGTCAATCGATGGGTTGGATGACTCAGCATGAGGGACCGACGTCGGCACGTGATGCCTTACGGTACATGACCAAATGTGGCTTGTTCGAGCGGGCCACAAAAGGCGATTGTTCCGTCCCGTCCTGTCACAACGCCACAAGGACGGCCATGACCTCACTCGCAAAAACAGTGCATCATTCTGGTTTACCTTGCAGATGGGATCTAGCTGATTTTTGAATCGACCATCGTTCCTGGTTTCTCTCGTTCCTTTCCTCAATCTATATTTAATCTACCTTCTTACGACCTGGCGACCGAATTTGGGTTCTTCCTGGGTAGATTCAACTATATTGATCTACCAGCCAGGCTAAGCTCTTAAAAACTCTCTCCGCCAAGACCGAAGAGTCCCTCGCGTGCCCGTGCTACGGGGTCGAAGCCGACGAGCTTTTGCCCGTTTCTTTGGTCCTCGCATTAGCAGACTCGGACTTGACCGCTGTCATTTTTACATCTTTTCGGTTTCGGAATGATATAAGACTTGCGCCTGCTGTTCGTCCACATATTGGGTCTGATTGGTAACGACGCGACGCGAACGCCTTACCGGTCTGAAATATAAAGGGGATTTCCGACCCCAACAACGGAGACTAGAGTGCAGTCATGGCTACTCGAGATAACGGCCATGCGTCGGAAGCCGTCGACAAGTCGATGAGGAACACTGACTCCCGAGTAACGTCGAAGGCGAAGAAGACAAACCCATTCCGGTGGACACTGGGGTTACTGGTGCGGTATGCTTACTTCTCCCTTTCTCTGGGATCATTTTGCTCGACGTAGAACTAACAGACATCTTCTCCTAGACTGTGTATCTGGTATGCCTTGCTTACACCGTTCTTCCGCTGTCCTTCCCGCCTCTCAGACTTGAATGAGTCCTCCCCGCGAGTCTGCAAGCCGTATCTTGTCGCTCGGTCCTATATCGATCCTCATGTCGCCCCATACTACGACGCCTATGCCGCGCCTTATGTTGATGCTACGCGGCCCTACGTGAACCTCTTGAACGAGAAGGTATATACACCTTCTGTGAATGTCGCCAAACACGGTTATGAAAAATACGGTGCCCCTGCTTTGAATCAGGCACAAGCATTCAGCCAACAACAATGGGATGCACAAGTCACCCCTCGCCTGCAGTCTGTCAAAGGGCGGGCAAACGACTTGTATGCTTCCGAGGTGTCGCCGCATGTTCAACGCGTCAAGGCTGCGCTGTCGCCCTACTACCAGAGGGTCAACTCCGCCATCCGATCCGCCGCCCAAAACTACATTCTGCCGTTCTATGCCCGCTCCAGACCTTTTATCGGGAAGACTTATACCTCTGGACAGGATATGCTAGCTACCACAGTTCTGCCTTATGCGCAAAGTACTTGGTCTTCTGCTATCTCCTTCGTCAGTAGCTCCTTGTGGCCTAAAGTGACTGGTCTATATTCGGAAAATGTTGAGCCTCAACTGGTGAAGATCGGCCAGCGACTCGCGAGCTACCGTGAGAGGAAGCGACTCCACAGTGTTGTCGATGAATCCGACAGGTAAGTTGTGACAAACACAACAGAGATAGTCGCTCAGCGAACTAACTCGTAGGAACGATTAAGCACGACGACCAAAGTGGATCAATCAACCTCCTCGACCATATCTTCAGTGGAAGCAGTCAGCGTCGAATCCCCGTCTACTCCTTCGGTTGTGGCGGCTTCGCCAACTCCCCAGAAGCTCACTCCTGCCCAAATAGCTGCTCAGGCACGCGAAAGGATTGAATCTGATCTGCAAACGTGGGAGGAGAAGTTTGCGGTGGCCGCGGGAAATGCCGTGGAAGAGCTCGAGGCTCGCATCGTCGAGATCATTGATGCCTATATTGCGACCCAGGCCAAGGACCATGGCGAGGGTCTCTTGGCAGATTTGCAAGCGGTGGTAGAACAGGAGACATCTGCTGTAAAGGATCGTATCAACTCTCTGGCAGAGTCCCTCCCCGCCGAAGATGCCCCCGAGGAGGAGGAAAAGGCGCAAGAAGCGCTTGTTAAGGAAGTCAGAGACTCCGCATTTACCATCAGAGATCGTGCTCATGCCCTCCGAGAGTGGCACAACTCGTTTGATGAGGAGCTTCAGCTTCGTGTCTCTGCCGCTGCTCGGTCAACCCTCAGTGTCCTGGATAGTATCCACAATCTAGGATTCCAAGAAATTGGAACGCGCTGGGCCTGGATGGACGGTGTGACCTACAAAGATTGGGAGAAATACCATTCCCTCAAAGCGGCGTTTGAAGACTGGCGCACGCAATTCCTCAATGATAGGATGAAGCATCCCAAGCTTGAAGAAGCCAAGTCTATTGCAGAAGATATCCTCTCAATCGGTATGGATGCTGCGGAGTCCGCCGCCAAGGAGCTTGCTAGGCTGAAAGAGGTCGGCAAGTGGAAGATCACAGCTAGGGAAGTCAGTGATAACTTTGCCACGAGGTCTGAACCTCCTCCTCTTCCACCGAAGCCCAGTGTTGCCGATGAGGAGGATGTTCCTGGGGACATGGAGGACCATGAAGAGCTCGAAGCTCATGCCAAAGTCGACGACTTTGATGGGGAATTAAACGAATCTTCTGCCAAAACCACCATCGAATCCGAAAACAACATCATGGATTCTGACAATGTTTCTGAAGCGGATGGTCGCGAAGAGGCCAATATGGACATCCCTTTGGACCGTGCAGCAGAAGAAACGGAATCTACCACTAGCTTTGATGATGATGAAGCAGTTCTGGAAGATGTTAGAGATGAGCCCACCAAGCCGGTGTGGGGTGCTGAAGCAGCAGCCGTTCCCCCTGTGCACCGCGTGGTTGATAATAATGATGATCTGAACGGTGATACAGAAGAAGTCGAAGAATTGACCCAGCCGCTCAAGACAGATGAAGACGAGGAGACCTCGGCTGACGGGGCTGACTCCCGCAGCACCCAAACATCGTCGGAGACCACTGATCAGAAGGAATCCCCACACACCTCTGTGAAGGAATTGGTGAATAAACTTCTTGCTGACCCGGGCTCCGATCTTCCTGAGGATGTTAAGCTCAAACTTCAGGCTTTGTACGAATCGCCTGATTTGATGAAGCCCACATCATCCGTCGACTCTGAGGAAGATGTGCCTACGTCCTCTGCATCACCAGCACCTGTGTCGAGCATCGTTGTTGAGGATGAGAAGAATACCGGTGAAGAAGCTGTGGGTAGTGGTTTCGAAGATAAACCTGTGAGGAAAGACCTATAAACACAGCTTTTGTCTCTGATTAGCCATCAAAGGAGACAGATAGCTGGTGATGGCTTTCCGATGCTATCATGTATTTGGCGGTTTTGTTTATCCTTCTGTTCCGCAGTGACTTGCTCATGCCCTTAATATTCCCCACATAGTTTACCACGAGTGTGTCATGATATATTATGTCAATTCATGAGAACGTTTGAGTTATTCTGTCACCCGTTTCCTGCCCTTCACTTTTCTAGCCTCCGGCTTATTTATGCTCGGCGCCAAGCGAACGGGAGACACAAGATAGGTTCTAATTAGGGATGTTTACGAATGTATGTATATCGAGGTAGAATAGATTTCTCTTATACACTACATGTCCACCATATTTGAGGGTAGAGACGAGGCGAAAGTAGGCCAGCCTGATGGCATATACATGAAAACGTGATTCGCTAACGCACTTGTGGGATAGCATTTCACCGATACTGCACTCGATTACCACGTTTCTCCATCTTCTTTTGGCGCTTGCTCTCAGCCGCCGGTGTGTCTGCGCCGGCACCACCCATTCCGGCCAATCCGGACTTCATTCCCATGAACGTCGTGTACGCCAACCAGACCGAATACAGAGGCACGACGATCCACAGCCACCAGGCGCGGTCATTGAATACGCAGACAGCTCCGATGCAGCCCCAGGTCCAGTACAAGACATCCCACATGTACTCGGTTAGGCCGGCCGCACCCAAGTCTTCACCAGGTGAGCGTAGAGAGCCGTCGGCGGGGTTATACCGCGGACGACCTAGACGGTCCAGGTAAAATTCGATGACAAGGGTTGGACAGGCTAGAAAGAGGTAGGGCTTCAGCGCATGAGGACGCCCGAAGGTCCAGTGCAGGACAAGGAAAATGGCATGAAGACCAAGAGAAATGAGATGGGTTCGGAGGAGCACGGAGGCATTGCGGGCGGCGAGAGATTTGGCTGCTTTCTGCGGGAGTGAGCAATTATCGTCGAGGAAGATGTGATATTGTAATGTGATGGGCATAGCCTACCTGCGCCATGGTGAGCTGGAGAGGTGTAGTAGCAGCTGAAGCTGGCCAGATGGCACGTACATACGTAGTAGAACCAGTTAAGCTGTGGAGGGAATGGCGTTGCCCACCACAACGGGACAAGCGCCCGCCCGCGCCTCCACCAGCCACTCTCGCCATGAACCCTTCCAAAACAATTCATCGGCATCAATTTCTCTCCCCCTCGATTTCTCCCCTCCTTCCGCACGTCATCGGCGACTTTTCCTCCCCTTTCCGCGCCCGACTTCTGACATCTCCCTCTCCGACTGTCCGTCCGATATGCAATCTCCCTCTCTTTGAGCTCCTGTCTGGCCCACGGGGCGTCAAGAGTCGTTCGGACGTCATTCATCTCTCCCAGGCACGGCCTTGGACTTGTCACCTGTCTCCACCGTTTGTACACCTGTTGCGGGAAACAGAACAAGCGACCAAGGGCAACACTGACTGTGATACTTATTGAAAGACTCTAATAACACAACGCGCGCCATTCTTTGTTCGCGGGTATTCTGTCTTCTCTGTTCATGCAGTGAAAGGAATCCCGGTCTCCGTTGTTTCCTTCCAAGACCTCCTCCTCATCCTCCTCCGTGGACTGTCTTCCTCCCTAATGCCTTGCGCTGAAGACGTCCCAGTTCCGATCATCTCCCTTCTCGCCAACGCAGTTTCATCACTTCTCACTTCCTCGGTACCGTTATCGGCTCACACTGCGATTCCTTCTGAACCCCTACGCCACCTCCGCACATAACTATGTCTCCATCCACATCTCACATATCCAGCCAGCTTCGGCAGTTGATATACTACCATATCGACAACAACCTAGTTCGCAATGCGCTCTTCCTCGCTGGACGATTACATGCCTATGAACCTCGAACCTCCGAAGCGTCCTACTTGCTCGCCTGGTGCTATCTTTTGAACGGCCAAGTCAAAGCGGCCTATGATTACAGTCGAAATTTCGGATCACGAGGCACTCACGCTGGCTGTTCATATGTCTATGCACAGGCGTGTTTAGACCTGGGAAAATACTATGATGGCATCACCGCCCTGGAGCGAAGCAGAAGTCTATGGGGCTCGAAGAACCACTGGAGTAAGCAATAACTGATACCCCTTCGCCATCATTGGAGCAAGGAAGGAAATAAACGTTGGGAGGGACCTGAGGCTAATTGATCTACGCGCGATTTGCAGACAAGCACAGCGAGACGCGCAGACAACACCTGCCGGATGCGGCTGCAGTTCTATGTCTGCTCGGGAAGCTATGGCAGGCTCACAAAGACCTCAACAATGCCGTAGAATGCTATGTTGATGCCTTGAAGTTAAATCCTTTCATGTGGGACGCGTTTCTCGGGCTGTGTGAGACTGGTGAGTGGAGGCTCTGTGTCTTGTGAAATCGGCATCCGCTAACAGCCTGGAAGGGGTTAACGTCCGAGTTCCCAATATCTACAAGATGAGCCCAGAAATGTTTGCAATTCTTTCCTCGGCACAAGAAGACGCCGACCCACCTCCTGACAAACCAACACCTGCGACTGGACCATTGCAAGCCCAAGCGAACGCGAATCCTAGCCTCGATCCTTTTACCTCTGCCGCGTCAAGAAGTGATTCTAATGCTACCCATGGAAGTTCGGCCTTGTGGGAGAAGCTAAATGGCAGTACCGTGAGCGTTGCTTCTACTGGTGCGTCCGTGCCCATCGTCCGAGAAGGAACCGAGACACCTGGAGGTCAGAGCAGTGAGTCCGAGGAATTTCGCGTTGCCAATGGAATGGGGGCTGCAGACGCAGCGTGGGAACCGCCCTTGGCACCAGCACGAAAGAATCGGACAATACAAACAATCGGTGTCGACCACCCTATGGACCCGCCGCCGAAGATGAAACCAACTGGAATTCGACAGAGGACGAGGGCGAGACCTGAATCTGATGAGCAGTCAACTTCTCAAGCCGAAAAAGATCCCTCGGCTGTCTCTAGGATCGGGGACCGCAAGCGAACTGTTTCTGGCCAAGTCGCTCATCCACCATCGCAGCCGGTAGAACCAGGTGCGCCGCAACGGCGGAGTGTAAGGTTGTTTAACCAGATCAAACCAACGACTAGCAAGTTCTCGGGTGCGGCGTTGAGCTCCAAAGACGGAAGAGAAGTTAAAAAGGTGAAATCGACCAGCGTCAAGGCACGTACTACAACATCGTCAACGAATGTAAGCCGGGCCGTGAGTGGAAGCCGGCGACATGCTCCGGATGCTCACGACGGCGATGGAAAAGAACACCGAACGACCTCGGGTCTCCATGGGACATCGTCCCGAGGCGCTGCTATTGAGAAGACGAAGGCCTTCGAGGCATTGACTTGGCTGTTGGAGCTCTTTTCCAAGCTCGCGTCGGGATACTTTGCTCTCAGCCGGTACAAGTGTGTTGAAGCCATCCAAATCTTCAATGCCCTCTCTCAAGGGCAGCGAGAGACTCCTTGGGTACTTTCGCAAATCGGCCGAGCTTATTACGAACAGGCCATGTATTCGGACGCGGAGAAGTATTTCATCAAAGTAAGGACAATGGCACCATCTCGGCTTGAAGATATGGAGATCTACTCCACTGTTCTCTGGCATCTGAAGAATGACGTCGAGCTGGCCTATCTGGCCCATGAGCTGATGGAGGTTGATCGTCTCTCTCCTCAAGCCTGGTGTGCGATTGGCAATTCCTTCTCTCACCAACGGGACCACGATCAGGCCCTGAAGTGCTTCAAACGGGCAACACAACTGGACCCCCAATTTGCGTATGGCTTTACGTTGCAAGGACACGAGTACGTTGCCAATGAAGAATACGACAAGGCATTGGATGCCTACCGAAACGGCATTAGTGCTGATAGTCGACACTATAACGCTTGGTATGGCCTGGGTACTGTGTATGACAAGATGGGCAAGCTGGATTTCGCCGAACAGCACTTCCGCAACGCTGCCAGCATTAACCCTACCAATGCCGTTCTCATTTGCTGCATTGGTCTCGTGTTGGAGAAGATGGACAACCCGAAGGCAGCACTTCATCAGTATGGACGAGCCTGTTCGATTGCACCACATTCTGTTCTGGCACGGTTCCGGAAAGCTCGCGCGTTAATGAAATTGCAAGAGCTAAAGTTGGCCTTAACCGAGTTGAAGATCCTGAAAGATATGGCCCCCGACGAGGCGAACGTGCATTACCTCTTGGGCAAACTCTACAAGATGGTGCACGACAAAGGCAACGCTATCAAGCACTTTACGACTGCCCTCAATTTGGATCCCAAGGTATGTTTCAATGTGTGAAGCGCGCCGCGGATGCAGGACTAACGTTAGTTGCAGGCGGCACAATACATCAAGGATGCCATGGAATCCCTTGACGACGACGAAGAGGACGATGAAGATATGGCATGATTGTTCTGTTTTATCCTTTTATTCTGCAATATTCCCACTGTTCGCTGGTATTCTTCCTGCTTTATCACTTCTACGACCCGGGTCCTTATTGGGATGCCCATATTTCTTTTTTGATTATGTTTACTGCTTTTTGGATTGACTTTGGGCAAGCATTCAGCATTACTCAGGCGTTGGAAGGCCGGTTGGGTAGAGGGAGCATTTCCCAAGCATCGGGGTCTCGAGATGGGATCGAGCCCTTGGGTTCTTCTGTCTGTACATTAGCGTTGGGATGGCATGTGTCGATGGAAGAACAATTTCTGCAAACGAGCGAGGTGAAGCCAGACCGCAGATTCATGGACATATTGTCTGTTGATTCTGGCGTGGAATTGCATAATCGAATCCATTGTTACGCATCCTTAACAGATTATCCATCATCAACTGATCTAACTACCTAGGTAGTGTTTATCTGTACTTTGTGAGGCCTGAGGCCTGCTTCACATGTGTCGTCTGGAAGGGTAGGCGGTGAGCGGTCCCCAACGGAAAATGAAATCACAAGAAAAAAAGGCGGAAGATCGACTTTCGTCTTCCCCAGAGTTGCTTCTGTCCTCCACTCTCTCTCTCTCCCCCCCCCCCCCATCCTCCTTTCTTCTTCTCCCTCTTCCACGGAGTATCGGTCTAGACGCTCCTCGAGGGACTCTCTTCTGGCTTGTACTCTTCCTGTCATGCATTAATCCCCTACATACATCGCTCCTTGACTTCGACACCTGGATATCGTTCACCTGACTGCATCACCTGTGAGGATACCCCTCTTTCCTCCCGGTCATAATTTGCCGATGCCTCTATATGAATGTCGCTAACCGTTTCCCCCATGGCAGAACGTCGCGACTATTCATCTTTACTCTATAATGTCTCTCTTCTCTTATGTCGCCTCGGGCATCAGCTCGTTCGTTGTCGTCACACTGTCTCTATTCGCCCTCGGCCAGAAGGTTCCCCGCGCGGCGTTCGTTGCTCGCTGTCTCGCAGCCTATGGCTCCCTCCTCTTTTGTGCCGTGTACGGCGTGATCGCCTCCATTGTTCTGCGGTTGATAGGATACGGACGTGTGTCTCAATGGGCCACCGCTCGCAGCTTCAAATGGGTCATGCGGTACACCACCGGTGTGCGCTTCGATATTGTAGAAGGCGTTGAATACTTGTCGACTCGGCCGGCCGTCTTTATCAGCAACCACCAGTCCGAACTGGATGTTCTCATGCTCGGTACGATCATGCCGCCCTACTGCAGTGTTACGGCCAAGAAGTCCCTGCGCCATGTGCCGTTCCTCGGCTGGTTCATGTCCCTTTCCCGAACCGTGTTTATCGACCGTGCCAATCGCGAGACTGCTGTGAAGGCGTTCGACGGCGCGGCGCACGAAATGCGCACCCATCGCCACAGTGTCTTCATTTTCCCTGAGGGCACCAGAAGCTACTCCGATAAGCCGGAGCTGCTATCGTTCAAGAAGGGTGCCTTCCACTTAGCTGTCAAGGCGGGAGTGCCAGTCGTTCCTATTGTCACCGAGAACTACTCCCACATTCTCTCCCCTCGGAACCTGCGATTCAATTCCGGTACTGTCAAGATCAAAGGTTAGTCGTTCATCTTTGTCGGGTTGTGATATATTGCTCATGTCGTTCTAGTTCTGCCTCCGATCAGCACCGAGGGCATGACGGCTGCCGATGTTGACAACCTCACCAAGTCAACTCGGGAGTCTATGCTCAAGACTCTCTTGGAGATGTCTTCCCCTGAGGACGTCGACAACTCCAACTCCAACGCCAACACCAATGCCAAGACCACTGCCGTCGAGATCTGAATACACCAGACGTGCTAGCCGGGGGCCCCACCGGCCCCTAGAACACTTCCTAGATATGGCAGCTGTCGGCGATCGTTACACTTCTATTGACGACCGACTTGAGTGCCCGATTCCTTTGCAACATATTCTCTTCCGCCCAAAAAGTCGCACTCGACATCAACCCCGCTTCGACCGCCCGAAGATCACCTCGTCTCAGCGAGATACATCTAGCCTTACGAAATACACGACGCATAGACCTGACCATCAGCAGAGACCAGACGCCGGATCTAGATATACAACTTAGGGCTCCGGCAGCAAGTGTCACTGCTACTCGAGAACCAAGACACCAGCCTTGTCGCACCTGTTGCTCATAGACATTGGGCCCTTGCATATCCTCCAGTGTATATAGATTCATTGTACCCATATTCACCAAAGTATAAAGTCCCAATCCCACCTAACACCCATCCAAACACTGACACTGGCCCCGCGCGCAAGGCGCAACATCTTCAATCGTAATCCTACGCAAAGGCCCCCAGCCATCTATACCCTCCCCACCTCCAGACGCAGCAGACCCGACTTTCCCACCCCGCGCCGCAGTCGCAATAAGGTAATCATCCTCAAACGCCTCAATCTCCACCCGCACGTCCTCCACAAGCTTCCCATACAGCCACGTCCGCACCCCGGTATACGGATGCTGCACGCGCGGCTCAGGAGCCCGCACATCCGTAAACTCCAGCTCGCGCAGCCACGGCGCCAGCAGCGCTTCGCCCGTCATCTTAATGTACGCCTCCTTGAGCGCCCAGAACGCATAGAACAGCCTGTATCCATACGCAGGATCATTCTCCCGCGCAGCGGTCGATTTGATCGTCTCCAACTCCCGGGCCGAGAACACCTCCGCGAAGATATCGACGTACTCGTTGAGTGCAGCAAGGGTGGGGGTCGCATCTGCGCGCCGCTCATTCACGCAGGTGATGTCGATGCCGACCTGCGGGAGGGACGGGAGCGGCGTAGCCGCGGGGTCCGGGGCGGCGGTGAGGAGACGCTCTTTCTGCTGGGTGGAAGCGGGGCTGGGCGTGGAGGTGCCGGCGAGGGCGACGAGGGAGGCCTGGTGGCTGACGTTGAATTCGAGCGTGGGGAGGGCGGCTGCGCGCGGGTTGTCTGCGGCGGGGATGAAGCAGGGGCGTTTGTGCGGGGCGGGGGTGCGGCTGATGATGATTTCGGGCCAGGGGATGCGGCAGGTGCGGTGGACGAAGAGGTATTTGAGGAGGTTGGAGGCCAGCGACATCTGGCGGTCTTTTTGGTGGTAGAAGCGCGTTACGGCTTCTTGCTCGGTGGGCTTGAGGGTGTCGAGGAGGGGGAGGGGTGGGTGGTTTGTGAGATTGCGCATGTCCATGTACCATCTTGTTAGTGGGGTATTTGTGGGTTGTTGGATGGAGGCCATGGCTGTGATGGCTGTGATGGTGAAGATGGTGATGGGTGAGATGAGTTGTACTTGGATGTAGAGGTGTAAGCAAAGAGGACCCGGGACTGGGTTGGTTGCGTTGAGTATGGAGGTATGCAGAGGAGATGCTAGCAGCTGTCGTCAATCATTATAGTCGTTATGCGTCAATTGTGGGAATGGTCGTGCAATGCAAGTTGTTTGTTGATGACGGGGGTGTTGATTAGATCGTTGATATCACATGATGGAGATTAGGGTTTGAGATGTCATGTGTTGTATACATGGCATTTGGATCAGGAGTATAGCGACATACAGTATATCAGAGCAGAAGAGTTCAGTTGACTTATTCAAAGACCTAACCCTTAAGAGACCATGCCTCTGTTCATGTCCCACGTAATCTAACGTAGATCTCGTCTCCCTATACTCCTATAGATCCTACGGGCAGCGGCCCAATCCCTAGACAGACTGTCCGCATCACTATCATATGTTTCGTACAGCCAGCTATGACGAAGAACATCTTCATCGCTCAGTAAACCGTATTGAGTAAACTCCACAGACAGGAGACAGATGAACATCGTTGATAGATCTCGAATAAAAGCTAACTCGGTAGACAAGAGAGACGATCCATGTTCTCACATGCTTGACGGTCCTCACAATGAGCCCAGTGGGCTGTTCTTAAAGCCGATTGAAGGAGCTTTCCACATGACCTGGCCTACTGGACTAGTGATCTGGCCTAGAAAAGGGCTTATTAGCGTCGCGTCCCTTGAGTTGTAGCTGTTTAGCCGCATGCCGGTGATTTGAGCCATAAACAGGTATTCCTATTTCACAGTAGCGTTCTCACCACTAGTATGGCAACTGTAAAAGGGGTCCGCTGTCGGTGACTCAGTAACGGATTTCTCATCAATAAATTAGTATTGTTTACAAATGCGATGGTGTAAGGGTAGCAGATACGAGCGGGGAGAAAAAATGAGTCATCCCGCCACTACAGTGCCTGGTACTCCATGCACGAGTCCCTGCATCAGCACTCCCAGTCAATATCACATTCTCATCGATCGAAAGGAAAATGGCCCAACAGCAAGATACCCCTGAGTTCCGTCTCATTGGGACCTTTACCCGGTACTCCAGTATGTCAGTTGCTCAGTACATGACTAACCTGAATCTCTAATTGCCTCCCAGGCTGGACCGCTCGTGTAGAGACAGTCCTGGAGTATTTCCAGATCCCATATACGGCGGAAACCGTTCAACTGTCCGATGTGTGTTTCGTAGCCGTGTCTTTCGGCTCTCTGTTGCATCCTGCGTCCAACACTGATCTATTCGCAGGCTCGCAAAGTATCCAAGTCAGGCCTCATCCCGCTGCTTGAAAGCCGCTCGCTAGGTGCAAACATCCGCATTAATGACTCCCTAGCTATCTGCGAGTTCCTGGCAGAGTCCTGCCCGGACCTCCATCTCTGGCCTCGTGACCGTCAGCTCCGAGCGTTGGCCCGCAGCGCGGCCGCCGAGATGCATTCCGGCTTCCAAACCATCCGCAGTACCTATCACTCGAACTTTATCGCACGATACACTGGAAATATTCCTATAACTGAACAAGGGCGCAAGGAAATCGATCGCCTCCTCACACTCTGGGACGAGTCCCGAAAGTTTACGAAGGCTCGACTCGCTCAGTTAGGCGAAAAGGATGAGGGCTTCCTTTTCGGAAACTTCAGCATTGCTGACGCATTCTTCTGGCCAGTTCTGTGGGTGCGTATAACTATAACCATCTAAACTCGTCTCTACCCTCGGTGGGTCTCTGAGAAAAGAAGAGAATACTGACGCCTGAGTTATAGCGCTTCCGCACTTATGAGCTTCCGCTGGATACGGCTGGTGACGATGCCTTGGCTTGGATGGCGACCATGTGGAACGATCCGGCTATGCGACGGTTGTCGAGCAGTTACTATCGTCAGGCGGAGCGGCCGGAGTCCCGCATTGCGCATTATGATGATATCTTCCGTGGCCACGAGGATATTCAGTATGGACAGTTTCCGGAAGACTGGACATTTGTAGTCCCTCAGAGGGGTTAGATGAACATGACACTTCTTTGCCACCCGATTGACAGCACCTTAAATACTTCTGAAGTTCTGATGTAGATCAACCTGATAGAGCTAACCAGATGTAGAAGGTGGAACTTCGCGCGGGAAAATCACGTGTGTGGATAAGATATAGACTTTAAGAGCGGCGAGTGGCCAACAGTTGACTCACAGACTCACGACATTCTGCCGCAGTGCAATGAGCGTCACAGTCGGGGTTCTCGCCTTACAGGGCGCCTTCTACGAACATATCCAGCTGCTGAAGCAAGCTGCGGCTGGCTGGTCCCATTCGTCGCAATGGGACTTCATTGAAGTGCGAACCCCGCAGGAATTGGAGAGATGCGACGCCCTGATTCTTCCGGGAGGCGAGAGCACGACGATGTCGCTGGTAGCAGCTCGGTCCAACCTCTTGGAGCCTCTAAGAGAGTTTGTGAAGTATGTCTCCTTTTCCGGCACCAATTGCACATGCTTGGGCTAACCACCATTGGTCGTTCCATAGGGTGCACCGCAAGCCAACCTGGGGTACCTGCGCCGGACTAATCTTGCTCGCCGAATCTGCCAATAGGACAAAGAAGGGCGGTCAGGAACTCATCGGAGGACTTGACGTGCGTGTGAACCGAAACCACTTCGGTCGCCAGACAGAAAGCTTCCAGGCACCCTTGGAGCTCCCGTTCCTCAACACCCCCGGACAAGAAGAGGCGTCGTTTCCTGCCGTGTTCATTCGTGCGCCCGTTGTTGAAAAGGTTCTGCCACACCATGAGGGAATTCAAACCGGGGAAGTCGAAAGAGACGAGACCATTGTAGCGCCTTCGAAGTCCGCCAAGGACGCAGCTGCGCGCGATGCAATGGCGACAGATGTGGAGGTTCTGGCAACTCTTCCTGGACGGGCTGCCAAGTTGGTCGCCAGCCAAGGAACGGCCATCAACCCGGAGAAAGAAGCGGGAGATATTGTCGCTGTCCGGCAAGGCAATGTTTTTGGAACGAGCTTCCACCCCGAGTTGACGGGCGATGCCAGAATCCACTCTTGGTGGTTGCGCCAAGTAGAAGAGTCCGTGAAGAGACGACGCGAAATAGAGCGACGATAGTACACGACTGGTTGATGCGAGGAAGAAAGAAAGTTGTATCTTTGTTCGGTTGATACATCGGGTATCAGATGTAAATATTGTCTTTTTCAGGTGTTCTCTACCCGCATGATAGAAATAGACTTAGGCAGACTCCATTTTGCGCCAGCCAAACAAACCCAAATTTGATTACCTACCTTTGCCATATTCCTCTTCCTCCCGTCGCCGTTGATCGTCGGCGTAAGCACGCCCGTAACCACCACGACCAGGGTCATACTCTTCTCGGTATTCGTCGCGGACCTGACCTCCAGACTTTCCACGGCTGTCAATAGATTAGTATCATAGATTTCCATCGCGTTCTCCCCGCAAAACACATACCCATATTGCCGGCCCTCTTCGAATCCTGGATCGAGATCGGTCCGGATAATTCGTTCGTCGAGCTTGGTGCCACCAATGTACTTCAGACAGTCCAGCGCATCCTGATGAGTGTAGTATTCGACGAAGCAGAAGCCGCACGGTGTTTTCGTAAACCGGTCCAAGCCCATGACCAAACGCTTGATCTCTCCACATCTGGAAAAGTCGGTTAGAGCCATAGGAATGATACGGGAAATGATAGGTTCTCACTTGGCAAAAAGCTCATGAATTTGTTCTTCCGTCGTGTAAAAGGAGCTGGTTTTCGTTGTCAGTTGAGATTCGAGGATGGATACGAGGAGAATCCTTACAGATTGCCGACGTAGAGTGTCGTAGCATTGCGCAAGTTGTCGGCTGGGTCCTCAAATCGATCGTTATCATCCTGACTGTACTTGCGCCTCTTGTTCTGTTGATGACCGGGGTGTGTTAGCAATGAGTGTGTTGAAGATATAGGGTCTCTGTAATTCTTCTACCTTTCCCAGATAATAGGCGCTGGGTCGGTCAAGTCTATCGACTGTATGAAGCGGAGCCGTCGCCATGATTGACACAATGAAGAAAGTAAAGAAGCCGGGAGGGGGTGATCGGTTCGTTCGAGGAGACAAGGAGATGGAAGTGGCAGAGGATTGCAGTGATCGCCGGGAGCTCCAGCAACCGCCAAACTTGCGCCGGTCTTGGCATTCGTTGACTTCCGCGTCCACCAACTAAATTTCCCCAAAGCACCTCGAACTGTTGATTCACTGCCAACCCGCCAGCGTCGCTGCCCATCACTACTATCCCAACCCGTTGCAGACGGGCGCGGAGCCAATCCTCGCCAACCTTGACTTCTTGGTGGAATACGCCCCTTGACAATGCCGAAAGTCATCAGCTACACCCCTCCCTGGCTTTCACGCCCGGCCCCCGGCGCTTCGCTTTTCTCCAGTCCCTCAGCGAAAGCTCCGGAGCGGGTCGCGCAAAAGCTCCAACAGGTGGACTACCCTGGCCCTAATAGAACGTTAGGGAAGCGAGGCAATGAAGTCTTTACGGTCGTGGACAATCAAATCCGCTGGTCAAGTCTGACTCGCTTGAAGGATGAATGGCAGCAACAGACACGGTCGACGAAGAGCTCTGGCAGCCAGGACGGCCAGACGAAACCACAGGCTGATATTGAAAGTGCTTTGAGCTACAGGGTATGCACGGATAGTACATATGGGGGAACGGTGCGCCAGTGGTTGATGTTGTATCTCTTGCTAACAAGCTACAGGTCTTGACAGTGCCGGTCTATGAGAAAATTCGCCAAATCATTCCCTCTCCCAATGGCGCATTTCTCGCAATTATCGCCGATCATACCGTCTACATCGCCGTGCTCCCCGATATATCGCACCTTTCTGGCACAGAGCGCGCGCCCATCCGTGTGAAAACATATCAGCTGGGCCCTACAACGCATGTCATCCCCGAGTCTCCGGTTGTTTCAGCGCTGTGGCATCCTCTTGGTGTCCACAGCAATTTGGGTGGTTGCATTGTGACGGTGACTGCGGATGCCGCAGTTCGGGTGTGGGAATTGGACCGGAATAACCATTGGTCGTTCGACCGTCCTACCCTCGCGATCGATTTGCGGAAACTCGTGGACGGAACATCTTGCGACCAAGATTTCACTCCTTCCGGGTTCGGAAGAAATAAGGGATTCTCGGCTGATTATGTCGACATGGAAGTTGCTTCCGCTTGCTTTGGGGGAAGCGGAAGCCCAAGAGAGGATGCATGGGCTCCAATGACCTTGTGGATTGCCATGAGACCCGGCGACCTTTACGCGCTGTGTCCATTGCTGCCCTCAAAATGGCAAGCACCAGCTACTACTATTCCCTCACTGTCGTCGGCTGTGGTCCCGAAACTCGCGGCTTATCAAGAGGATCCTCTAGATTACGAAGAGGAACTGACAGCCAGTCGCCAACAGTATGACTGGCTGACCGAGATTGACACCCAGGAGCCTCTACAGGTGATATCAGACCCGGAAACCGGATCGAGCACAGAGGTCTTCACCCGTCCGGCTAATCCTAGTGCGATCCCGAGATTGCAGGGACCTTTCCGTGTAGACACCGGAGACGAGATCGACGATCTGGACCTCTGTGATCTTCTGGTTATTCCTTCTAAAGTGGACACTGATGCTCTTATGATGGGCGAAGACGAGGAGCTTGCCTTGGAAGAGAATGACGACAAATTGTCGGCAACAATTATTTGCCTCACGACAGGGACTGGCCGAGTCCATATCTGTCTCGAGCTCGATGGGGTTGAAGGACAGTGGCTTCCGAGAGCCAAAAAGAACGCCTTCCGGACTCCTCTGTCTGAGCCCTCAGATCTACTCCTTGTCGAGTCGCTTGACACCCTGAAGGAGGGCCAGCAGTCATTGAACAATTGGCCGACGTTAACCAGAGACATTCAGTCCCAGTACAGTTTGTTTGTCACAAACACAAAGAGCGTCATTTCTGTCTCTCTGTCCTCGTGGGTCCAACGCTTGGAGCGAGAGCTGCAGTCTGAGGACACTAGTGGCTCTGCCTTCCGACTACAGGTCCTCTGTGAAGGAACCGTGTCTCAATATGAGCGAATCATCCAAGTGGATGAGACCGATGTGGGCACGAAGGATCAACAAGAACACCTGCCAGCTTGCGTTGTCTACTACGACTATGACCTGGGCTATTTGCTTCTAACCCATCTTGAGTCGCATCCATATGCAGCCATCATGGACACTCCCGAATTTTCACTCCCAGCACTACAGAATATCCAAACAGATACGCAGCTTCCCGTGTCACCAGCCATGCCACCCCGACGTCCCCCGTACCAGGTACCCTCAATCTTCTATTCTGAGCCCCCCATGGATCTCTTTATCGACAAGCATGTTCCGCACCGTCAACGTCACACTCTCAAGGAGCAAGTTCGGCTGTCGCCAGCTACCTTGGACCTGGTAGCCGCTGCACACAGAATTCTTTCCAGCCACACGAACGCGCTCGAGCGAGCAGCATCAGATCTTTTCCGTCGTTGTGAGCGACTCCAAGGCGAAATGCGCGATCAACTTAAGCAACTTTCCGATGTGGCCGAACGCATCAAGGGAGTCTCTAGTGAGATTGGCGAAGATGGTGAGAGACAGGAGGGCTCCAGGGGTAGCGAAGCGCTAGACAAGAGATTGCAGACCGCGAAGGACAAGCAGGCCGAGTTGGTCCAAAGATACGAAGCCCTTCGCAACAAGGTTCTCAAATCCGGTGGGCGACCTCTCAGTGAGAAGGAGAAGTCCTGGGTCACTGAAGTCGACGCACTGTCGGAATCCTTCGAGCCTCGAGAGGCAAAGGAGAAGGAGCAACATATTTCCACGCGGTTGGATGCTGTCAAGAGCATTGCCACCGAACTGGTGACTGAAGCGAAGTCTATGGCTGCCAAGGCACCTGTGTCCCCTGAACCAGGTAGCCCAGCGTCTCCGGGAGGAACGCTCCCACGAGTACCACAGCGACTCCAGCGAGCTAGGATTGCAGACGCCATGAAAATGGTGGAACGAGAGTAAGTTTTCCTTCTCATGTCCTCTCTTTATGACAGAAACTAATCATGTTGTACCCAGATCGGCGGTTATTGAAGCCATCACAGCACGATTGGATCGTCTGAACACGTCTGTATGAGCATATGTAACTATCTACCCAATCGTTTGAGCCTAGTCAAGTCTTATATCTACATTCGCATAGTATTCCTGCGAGGTCATGAACGAAATTGTCTGGTTCAGGAGATCAATTCCTTTGGCCCTCTTGTATACTCTAGCGATCTATAGGTCGACATGATCATTACACTCCTCCCACTGAACTCCCTCTACCCGCCAACTGAGGCAATCTCTTCCCTACCGCAGCTATATCTCGCGATATCAAAGCCCGCACTACCACACAGGACACACGGAAAGGAAAACTACTTACGCCCCGTAGAGGCACCCGCGACACGTTTCTTACGAGGGCGCTCAGCTTCAACAGGATAACAGAGCCTTGAAATCAAGCTCTCTGTATGTGGATACTCCTTCGAAGGGTCCTCGTCGCTGAGGTCCTGGGAGCCCACCATTTCGACGGCTTCCAACAGATGCAGCACCTTCTCCCGTCTGCGTCGTATACTTTCCTCGCCAGAGCACTCGTCACATAACCTCTTGTAATTTGCGAGGATAACCAACTGGCGGCCGGGGCACCATCCCAAGTCTTTGCAGACATGAGACCACTCGTCCCAGATGCAGCCGCATAGGGTGAACTTATGAGCGGCGTAAAGGCACATTCTCTGTCGCAAGTATGATGGATTGTTGTATCTTGTGCCGTTTAGAATTTTATCCCACGAGGACTGCAGAGAAAAATATTTGTGGGCTTCAGCTGCATATCACACACAGACGATATCATGTAATTTCTGCATACGGAGCAACCTCTATATAATACTGGGTTTCCGGCATCCTCCAACTGATAAAGGAAATTTCAACTCTTTTTGGGGTCTTTATTCTGAATAGCGGCTCTTTCCCTTCTATACAACAAGCCTTTGTGGATTAGGCTAAAACTGACGTGCAAGAGTACTTAGACAATGAGGTTATGAGACATTATTCAAAAGTGAAACTTGTGTGCCTGCAACCTGGCTCAAGCGCTTGACCAATATCAGGTGGTGTCAATTGGTGATAGAACAGACGTACGAGAGACCTCTCGGTGCATCATTACTACCTAGTGTCCACTGGAAATGAAACGAGTATAATTACAATAGAGATCCACAACAAATTGACATCCAAGAGACGGGCATATAATATTCTTGGCTCTAACTACCTATATGGGTTGAAATCCATTTCTGATGTATTTTGGAACAGGTTTTTGGAAGCAAAAGTAATTTATTGGACACTATCCAGGGTCAGTCCATCAGATAGCAATTGAGAGAGGGGAAACATACCGCTCGATCAGATGAACACCCGATGCTGTGTCCACAATACCGCTAACCTCGCCAGGCTGCAGCGCGAAGGCTGCATCTTCGAACTCCTTCTGCATCTCCCCGCGTCCGAAGAAACCACTGGAATGAGTCAGCCGCATCCATGTAGAACTCTGGGGCACACCAGCGAAAACATACAGGTCACCGTTCTTCCTAGCACTGCTGCAGTCCGACTCCGACTTGGCAATTTCTCCCAGAGTCGCTTCCCCAGACTGGATCCGCCGCTCATGGCCGCGCAGGATCTCAATGGCCTCCTCCTTCGACCGGGTGATCTCAGCCTCTCTCCAACTGCTGGGGCGTCTGCTTTCTCTGTGCTTCACCAAGAGATGGCTGCAACGGATCTTTCCCTCGCCCTGACCGAACTCAGGCCGGCCTGCCGGAGCGCTGTGGTAATTGGCCATGTAGACCTTGAGCTTTTCGGTGTCGGTGTCCGCGGGAGGCTCCCAACGCGATTCTTTGGTAGCGGGACAGAAGTAGTAGGGGAGGTTCTTGGAGTTGGAGTGGCGCACCTCCCATCCTGCTGGGAGACCTGTTTCGACCTGAATAGAGACTGGGATTAATGGAGGGTTCTATGGCAGCGGAGATGGAGAAGGAAGCTCACCATTATGGAGGATAATGAGGGGAATTATAATGCGACGGCGGGTATATGGGCAATTATTTTGAATAGACCGCACAGATGAATTGTAGAGCGCAAGGAGTTGAGGTGTCAGTCGTGAAGAAGAGAGAGGGCAGCTATTGCGGGACCAACTGCGGGGGAGCAACAGGGATACGAGCCAAACACTGCAAACACTGCAGACGCGGCAAACGCTCCCGCCGATCCGATCAAGGCTAGCGTGCAAGCACCGCTGCTTCTCCCGACTTCCATCGCTTTGCCGCCGTCGCGATTCATCCTCCACGCCACCGACGGATTTCCTTTCTACACGCCCTTTCGATCGTGTATTACCTCGAATACAGCAATCATGTCTGCCAGTCCGTCATCTTCCGCCGGAGGCGATACCAAGCCTTCGGAACAGGTTCATTTCCGTTTCTGTCGTGAATGGTAAGGACATTTAACCATTCTCTGCCTCAGATATGTACAGACTATGCTAACGCCAGTATTCTTCATTAGTTCGAACTTGCTCTATCCGAAGGAAGATCGCGCGAACAACCGCTTGATGTTCACCTGTCGCACTTGTCACGTCGGAGAGCCCGCCAGCTCTTATTGCGTCTATCAAAACAAGCTGAACACCCAGGTCGGAGACACTGCCGGTGTGACTCAGGATGTTGGATCTGATCCTACGGTTAGTCTCCCTGGTTTCTGTACCCTGTGCGGGGACGAAATCGCCTGTTTCTCCTGCGGCGAAATGTCAGAGGACGGTGAATGAGGAGAAGACGCCAGATATGATGGGAGACATTTTCTTCAGCTTCAAGATCCTTTTCTTGGCTAACTTCTTTGTCCTCTCAGCTCCCACGGTCCAACAAGCTCTGTCCAAGCTGTGGCGAGGCCGAGGCCGTCTTCTTCCAGTCCCAACAGCGTTCGGCGGAGACGGGAATGGTGAGTTGGAATCTACGTCCTTGTCGATCTATCAGTGGACTGACAAAACCAAGAAACTCTATTATGTCTGCTGCGCTTGCGGTAATGTCTTCGTATGATCGGTTTGAATTTTGGTTGTTATCACGACGTTTCCGATACCCGTTATTCGTGAATTTTGCATAGTCCCGGTGTTATGGTTATGGCGAATCTCTTGTGTGGTTCTACAGTCGTCCAAGCATTGCAGAAAATACATTCTATTGGTACACACTAAATATCTGAACAAAGACAATTCGCTTTCATATGGTATATTTATACATGCATAGGCGCCAAAGACAAAATTTTCGACCATTGCTTCCCCCGTAGTTCCGTAGCCACGACTCCTGGAGGCAGGTCAGCGTACTGGCGTCGAAATTCACGAAATTGATCTCACTGACCGTTCATTCGGGTTCCAATGGGGTCACCGGATTTGTTCACCAACACGCAGGCGTTGTCATCGAACTTCACAATCGATCCATCCGGTCGCTGCATTTCCTTCTTCGCACGAACGACGACGGCATGACGGATGTCTCCTCGGCGGACCTTGTTCGCAATACCGCTGCTGTTGGCGGTCTCGGGGCCGAAATTCCGTTGCTTCTGAACCACGACAACGATACGGTCACCTATAGGTTCCAGAAAGATAAGCGTTAGAGACAGAAAATTTGACAAAGTTCACTGAGAACCACGTACCAACTGTAGCAGGGCGCTTCTTTTTCAGGACATTGACGCACTCGACAACTGCGGCCCCGGAGTTGTCGATGCAGTTCAGCATCGTCTAGCCACAAGGTGGTCCGATTAGCGACGATTATATGAACTCATAAGATCGCAGACTCACTTTTAGTTGAATCATCTTGTCTGTAGTCCTGGTGGGGACGGAGAAGGGTGAATGGGGAGGGTCTGATGTCGACCTGGATGTCGCGAAAGATTTCCAGCAGGTCCGGACCGGAAGGTTTCGCCGACCGGCCGACCCCAGACGGGGCTCTGCAGCGCCAATCGCCGGATTGGCATCGCATGGGCAACACAGCCGTGTCGGATCTTCCCTCCTCCCCGTTATTATTCATTTCCACCCCCAATTCACACGGGATCTCCTCCTGTCTCTCCCCATGATGTCGCTCTGTGTGAAGTTGGATTGTCAGGTCTGAATAAGATACTCACACACGCTCCTTTTGCGCTTTGGTCCTTCCTTTTCCACCAATCTTGGTACAATCTTCCGCTTTTCCCGGCAACCTCTCCTTCCAGCAGTACATTTCACCAAATCCGCGCCTATTAAGCCACACCCAAAGACCTGGAACTTCTGACGCGTATGGGGTGTTTTTGATCTTGGATATTCGTTATGGCCCCCTCAAAAGCGCGTTCCAGCCCCGCCGTCGAGCGGCGCGACCGTCTAACTCTCGCGAAACTGGCCAGCTATGACGACGTCGCGACGGATGCGCTCGTTGATCGGGTATGTGTTAACCCCTGGTCTTCAGTACAAGTAATCTGTCTGACCTTCTCATCTCTTAGGCTTATTTTTGGACAAATACGCGCAAGAACCGAACCAAATACATCCCTGTGAGAGGCATCATGGACGACAAGGTTGCCGAGATCCTCCTACACCATGTAATCGTTGCCAAGGACACGGTGAAAGCGGAGCGAGAGCTACTGGCAATCTCCGGAATCAAGAAGTACATGGCCAAGCTACCGAGCGACCGGGAGAAGGAATGGTTTCGGCGCCATCTGCGCAAGTACATCCAGATGTACCTTCCGGACTGCCCCTTTGAGGTTACGACGACCAATCGGTACACCATCACCGAACACGAAGCCGCTATCTGTGCGCGCAAATTTATCAAGCAAGGCCAGGAAATCAAATATCTGAGTGGGACATTGGTGCCCATGACTCGCGAAGAGGAACAGGATCTCGACCTCAAAAGAAAAGATTTTAGTATTGTCATGTCCAGCCGAAGAAAGACCCCCTCCTTTTTCCTGGGCCCCGCGCGTTTTGCGAACCACGACTGCGATGCGAACGGCCGTCTTGTCACTCGGGGATCCGAGGGCATGCAGGTTGTGGCCACGCGGGACATCGAGATTGGAGAAGAGATCACGGTCTCCTACGGCGAGGATTACTTTGGAATTGACAACTGCGAATGTCTGTGCCTGACTTGCGAACGCGCAGTCCGTAACGGATGGGCCCCCCAAGTCGATTCCGAGGCGTCGAGCACGGCATCCACCCCGGCGCTTAACGATGAAACGAAGTCGGCACATGGTTCTACTTCCCCTCAGAAGCGCAAGTACGCTCCCGATGCTGATTCAGATGCCTCCGCCTCGCCTACGCCACAGAAGCGGAGAAAATTCTCCCGTCAGTATTCGAAATTGAGAACGGAGGTGTCTCTCTCCGGCGATGTAACCGCTATTGAACCGGATCCAGAGCAGAACACCAAAATTGCTGTGGAAACGACCACGGACGTCCCAAAGGATAAACCAGCCACCAATGGTGTCACCGAAAATGAATCCAACGCCCGAGTCAGCGAGAATCAGCGCGCAACTTCTGACAGGGAACCTTCGTCTCCACTTGGAGTGGATGAATCGCAGAATTCGTCGGCTTCTACAGCGCCTACTTCTCTCTTTGACGTCGGGATTAAACTTGAAGAATCAACCGAGGCTTTTACGCAGGAAACTCTGACGACTACCAAAGCTGGAAGTGTAGCTGACAGCCATGGTGACGGAGACTGCCGTCAACTGACCGCCGGTATCGAACAAGAAGCATTGTCGGAGCTGTCCGAATCGCTGGAATTGGATGATAAATCTGGTACTGTGGTCAAACGGAGGAAACGTCGAACGCGACGCCAAGTCGTCCCCTCTGTAGAAGACGAATCACACCGTGTGCGTGTCCCGGGAGACTACACCAAGACGTCGAAGTTACTAGCTCAATCCTACGATCGATGGGTGGAATGTCGCACATGCAAAACCTGGTTCCTCCAACACAACTCATATCTGACGCGCCGCGAGTGTCCACGCTGCGAGCGGCACTCCATGTTATATGGGTTCCAATGGCCCAAGACCGACAAAGACGGTCCTCTAGATGACGAGGAACGAGTGATGGACCATCGAACCGTCCACCGCTTTCTTTATCCCGAAGAAGAAGCCCGCATCTCCCGCAGAGATCGAGGCGTCAGCTTCGGAGTGACTCCCACCCCGGAGTTGTCTGAACCACGCACAGAGACCGAGGATAGTGAAGCGTGCGATGAGCGACGTAACACGAGGGCCAGCAGACGGCGGACACAATCCTTGCGGATGACCATGTAACGACGACCATGTGGAACTGTTTTATCTTCTATGTAATGTTGGATGTAGGTGGTGGAGTTGGGCCCTGTACTGTTTTGTTTTTCGGCGTTGAATTCCCGATTACACTGGTTGGTGTGGTGTTGCTGGTTATGTCGAGGCTTTTCTGTTCTCCTGCCTTTGGTCAGTTTGGCTGGCGTTGGCGATGTATAGACACATTGGGAGTAATTCTTGTTTCCTTCATTGAGGCATTTCCTTTGTACTTTAGAGAAGACTATCTTCTTAGGTAGTTTATCAACATGGGTTCCCCGCATTCTGTCAGTCTCCATCCAGTCCGCCGAGGAATTATATATCTGCACCAATGGCAACCTCCATCTTCCATCTTTCAATCTTCACCCGACGATGTCTGAAGGATTTTCATCTATTCCTCGGGCTTTATTACCCCGACTTGAGTCCATTAGAGAGTCAGGATGTGACTATATAGCAGACAATCCCTGTCCGTTCACTGGAGAGAGTTCCTGGTAAGCTATACACGTCTTCACGATGATCACCATACTGAATTGTCTCAGAGTCATCGGTCTTTTCTTCCTCCTGGAGCTTCCCTCAGTAAGAGCGTATGATGACCCCCTGGTCAGTCTCGATTATGGAACCTTCCAGGGAAAATATGACGCGACTTACAACCTCTCATACTTCCGAAAGATCCCCTATGCAGCGCCTCCCGTAGGGGAGAATCGCTTTCGTGCACCTCAGGCCCCTCTCAAGATCACCAATGGCATCTACGACACTGACCAGCCCTTCGACATGTGTCCCCAGCGCACCGTCAACGGCTCCGAGGACTGTCTCTACCTAGGCCTCTTCTCCCGGCCATGGGACACCAGCGCAACACCCACGGCCGCACGACCCGTGCTGGTCGTCTTCTACGGCGGCGCTTTCATCCAAGGCAGCGCCTCCTTCACCATGCCGCCGTCATCCTTCCCCGTCTTAAACGCCAGCGCCCTCAACGACTACGTCGTCCTCTACCCCAACTACCGTGTCAACGCCTTCGGCTTCCTCCCCGGCAAGGCCATCAAAGCCTCCAAGACGTCCGACCTGAACCCAGGCCTCCGCGACCAACAGTACGTCCTCAAATGGGTGCAGGAGCACATCCACCACTTCGGCGGCGACCCCCGCAACGTCACGATCTGGGGCCAGTCCGCCGGCGGCGGCTCCGTCATCGCGCAGGTCCTCGCCAACGGCCGCGCGTCCCAACCGAAACTCTTCACCAAGGCGCTCGCCAGCTCTCCCTTCTGGCCAAAGACCTACACCTACGACTCGCTCGAGGCCGAGGCCATCTACGCGCAGCTGACAGAGCGCACCGGCTGCGCCAACGCAACGGACCCCCTCGCCTGCCTGAAGACCGTCGACGTGCAGACCATCCGCGACGCGAGCCTGGCCATCAGCGCGTCGCACACCTGGACCTCCAGCTCGTATACCTGGGCACCCGTTGTCGACGGCGAGTTCCTCACCGACACGCTCACGGACGCGGTACGTCGCCGCGCGCTGCGCACCGACCTCATCTTCGCCATGTACAACACGCACGAGGGCGAGAATTTCATCCCCGCCGGCCTGGGGGCGCCGTCCGGCAGCGACGGGTTCAATGCGTCCGCGGCCGGGTTCCGACACTGGCTGCGCGGGTTCCTCCCCGGCCTGTCGGAGCGCGAGATCAACCGCGTCGAGCAGCGATATTACCCGGCCCGTGGGCGCACCGAGACGCTCGCGTATAATACCACGGCTGTACGCGCGGGCCTGGTGTATCGCGACGTGGTGCTGGCTTGTCCCGCGTATTGGGTTGCGAGTGCGGCGCGTGCGGACGGGTTCCTCGGGGAGTATACGATTGCGCCGGCCAAGCATGCGAGTGATACGGTTTATGTTTGTAGCCTTCGTTCCTGCGTTGGTTGCGGGATGCTGACTTTGATAGTGGAATACGCTGAACCCCGTGCAGAAGACGGATCCGATCGTGTACACGGGGTATGCGGGCGCGTTCGCGAGTTTCTTCCAGACGGGTGACCCCAATGCGCATAAGCTAACCGGGCCGGAGGAGCCTGGGGTGCCGAGCCTGCGGGGTGGGGAGGAGTTTGTGGTTGTGGACGGGGGGTTTGACAATGTGGAGGTGTCGTTGTTGGAGGAGAGGTGTGCATTTTGGAGATCACTGGGGAGGAAGATCCCGGTCTGATGTGGTAGCATGGCTGAGATGAGCTGGTAGTCATGGATGAGTGAGTCGATTCGTGTTCTATGCTTGATATACTATACAATATGGTACAAATGGTGGTTCGAATACTGTACATTGCCGTTTCTAAGGTATCCCCATATCCCGTCCTGAACGCCTTCATCGTGGGCCAATTGAATAACACAAGTTTGCTAGGCGTCTAGATCAAAGCCTGGCCGCGGAACATGCCCTCGCGCACCTCCTTTACCACATCCTTGCGGTCCTTCTTGCCGACGAGGACGATACCACGGCCACGCTTGTTCATGCGGCCCAGACGACCCAGGCGGTGGATGAAGTCGATGGTCGTGTGGGGCACATGGTATAAAATGACTGTCTTGACAGCCAGCGTGTCAATACCACGGGATGCGATATCGGTGGTGACCAGCACCTTTGTGTTGGGCAGTTTGTGGGGCTCGTGCGGCTTGGACGGGGCTTCAAACGGGATGGCATCGTCCTGCCGGCCTTTCTTCTGCGCCAGCATGATCTCTTCCGAGCTCGGGGGCGCGCCGGCCTCGGTGAATTCGGCGAGGATCTCCTCCTGGCGGCGGGCGCTGGAGTCGCGGGATAGGGAGTGCGCATCGATGCCCTTCGAGCGGAGGAACTGGGCGACTTCGTCGGCTTCCTCGCGCTCGTTGACAAAGACGAGAATCTTCTTCACGCTGGGGCCTTGGTAGGACGCGAAGGGGCCGGCGGGTTCTGAATCGCCAGCCTTGCCGATGGACCAGATCACGTCCGCGCACGCGAGGTTGCGGTTGCCGCGGTAGGGGTCCTTTTGGATATCCACCACGCCCAGTTGGACGCGACGTGGGATGGCGTGGAGGTTGGGGGTGGTGAGACGCTGGATGTCGGGGTATTTCTTGCGGAGGAAGTTGTCTAGACTGCGGGGAATAGTCGCCGAGCAGAGGATCAGCTTCTGGAGGGAACCGGAGGTCTTTTCGATGATTTCGGTTGTGATGGGCTGGAACGAGCGGTCGAGAAGCGAGTCCGCCTCGTCGAGGACGAGATGGCTGACTCGACTCAGCACGTAGGGTTCGGTCTTGGCGATGGAGGCCAGGAGATGGGGAGTGGTCACGAGGATGTCGATGCCGTCGGGATTGAAGAGGGTGTTCTTGATCCGACGGGGAGTAAGGTTGGACGAGATCATTCCAGACCGGTACTTGATGGTGTGTGACAAGGTCTTCACCTTAGCCCCAACCTGAGCCACGAGCTCCGCCGTCGGCACAAGAATGATCACCCGGGGCCGGCCGGCGTTTGACAGCGGGGGCAATTCAGGCTCGACGTCGAAAGCCTGGTTTTTCAGCTTCTCCTCACGTTCTTTCGCCTTCTCCTCTTCCTCGCGCTTCTGTTCCTCCTTCTCTATAGCCTCTTGCTGTTTGACGGTGTTAACGAGAGGAATCAAGTAAGCGAGGGTCTTCCCAGAGCCCGTCTCCGCGGCGAGAAGGTATTGATCGTATTCTGGTTCCCCTTCCGCGCGCTTCTTCGGTTTCTTGTCTTTGTTTGTGTCGTCTAATAGTCGGGGGATGGCGACTCGCTGGATCGGGGTTGGCGTGACATCGTGGAGACCGGGCAGGGCCTGAGAGAAGATCGAGTGACGGACGACGGGGAGCAGCGGGAATTGATCGAAACTGGTGATCTCAGCGATCTTGGCCTTGATCGCAGACCGGCGACCGTAGGGAATCGGTGCTAAGGCTGTCTGCATCTTTAATGCCTTATAAAGTTCACTGTCCTTCCGACCGGACTCATCGGAGGGTGCTTTGGAGCGTTTGAGAGATGCTGGAGATCGCGACCGGGGATCATCACGAATCCGCGCTTCGGTCTGATTCATTCCAGCAAAGGGCCCAAATCGATCGGTATCGTTGCGTTTCTTTTTGAGAGACGTTTTGGCGACATTGGGAGAGAGCGCCATGCGGGCAGCTTTGCGACGGAGGCGACCCGACGCCATTGTCCGGGCGGACTGCCAGACATAGGCCGAAGGGAGGAGGGAGGATGTCCGATTCTGACAGAACAGACATACCGGCGAGCGGACCGGCAGGGATACTCTGCCTAAAGGATACATGATGGATGGGAGTCTCTAGGATGAAACTCACCGTAGTTGATGTAGATGAAGCGGCAAAGGAAAAAAAAAACCTGGCAGAAGCTTGGAAGCTCGGGGGATTGTCGCACTAGTCCGCATCAGGCCTAGGCGGATCGGGGCGTTTCAGGCGTCCCAGGCACTCAGGCCCCAAGGCCATAAGGCACGCCCAGCACGGGCAGAGGGTTGCCATGGCGACTCCCGCTGGGCGGATGTCAACATCTCGTCCAGCTCCGCTTATCGCCCACGAGTCGATCTACTTAACGTCGCTCTCCTCCTCCGCCACTTTTCTTTTGCCTCCTGCGCGCTGGTGGATGGTGTCTTTCTCTTCTTTCGTTTCCTGTATCCTGTATCCTCCCTTTTCGCGTTTGCTCTTCCCACGTTTCCCTTCCCACGCGAGTGGAAGTCGCATCCTGTTCGCTACGCATTGTCGGGTGACGACATTCAAAGATCTCTTCCAAGGTTCACTGCCGCACTAGTATCTTCTTCTCCATACCCGTACCATCCCAGGAAACAAAGCATCTACCCACGAACTTGACGAATCGGCGATCGGCTTATGATCTGCCTTGGGTGACACCTTCTCGACCCTGTTACGATTGTTATGAGGAATTCGGGTCCCGAATCTTGCGCCCAATTGCCACGATTGTTGTTGTTTATCGAAAACAGGTATGGCGCGTCATTCCAGCAAGGGATACTCGCTGTCCCAGGAACCGGGCCGGATGTTTTGTTGTGTCATGGCTAATCTTTTGCTTCCTCAGCGTTGTCTTCTTGTTTTATTCACTTTGAATATCTTCTTACTATCCCCCGTTTGTCTGATCTGATCCTGGATCACCCCCACGATCAGCATGGGTACCAGCACGGGTCAGAGGCCTCTCTCCGAGGTCAGCCCCATGGCGCAGAGACGCAACTCCCCGATCTGGAACCAGGCCTCAAGGGTGAGTCCATCTGATGACCCTGAATACAGTCGTCCAATCCTCAAATTCACTGACTCCCCGCTCCCAGGTCTCTAAGAATCAAGACTCCTCCCCATATGAGGGTCAAGCTTCATCGCGACTCTTCTGGCAAGGGCGCGACTCTGGGTCTCCGTTCCAGAGGAGCCAGGAAAACCAGGCGCCTTATGACCCCAACTCTTCATATTCGCCATCAAAGCGCGCATCTCTGGAAAATCTCAAGCGCCAGTCGCGTGTTCGCAACAGTAACATGCTGCGCGATTACAACGAGTATGATCCAGCCCATGTTTACGTGCCTCAGCGCCCACTCGCCACACACCGACCGCCGAAGGAGGCCCCTGCGTCTCAGACATCCAGCCGTCCGGAGATCGGTCCCCGACCCCCGTCCCCGAGCAAAGACCAGGTCCCTCCCGCCAAATCCTCTCTGTCTCGCGCAAGCCGGTTTGGAACCAAGGATTCTGGGTTCAACCCGGAGAGCGAGATCTGGGCCGATTATGATAGCCGACACCCCAAGAGTGTCACCTTCGATGCTGCTCCACCGCAAGTCAACGAGTATGAAATGACCACTCCGGACCCGTCTTCGATTGCCTCAGGATCCCGCGACGGCAGCTATGACTCTGAGGAGGACGAGGGCGACGTGAGTTTCGACCATGACTTCTCCATGGACCGGGACGACAGTTTCGACGCGTCCTTGGAAGATCTGGAAAAGACTCCCGTAGTCCTACCCGAAGACTGGCGTTATATGAGCCCCTCCAACGCCAACGATGACCTCGTGAAAGAGGACGAGGATCCGTTCACAGAGGATGAGGACCGTAGTCATGGCCCCCGACCTTCCTCTCGCCAGGAAGGCCAACCAACCCATTCGCAGGTTGATGCAATGGACTCGAATGAGGAGCGTCGCCCTCTTCCACCGCTCCCGGCTACAGGGCGTACGTCTCCGGCTAAGTTCACTACGGCATTCGAACTGGGAAGCGCTCGTCAACGGACCTTACCCTCCCCCCCCGGTCCGTCTCAGTACAGCAAATCGGACATCACTGAACGCCCTCACTCTGCCATGTCCTTGGAAGACAGATTACGCCTCATGATGATCAATGAGAAGAAGGACCATGTCAATATCGAGCCCACAGCGCCTGAAAGTGCACATGGAAAGGCGTCTGCTGGATCGCCGGATAACAACGAAACCGGAGCCAACAGCAACAAGCATGATCAGCAAGAGAAGAAGACCGAGGCTGCCGAAGATTCCACTGAGGCCTTCTCTGCTCCTCGCATTTCCAGAGATTCCATTCTGCGCGACCTGCGTAAAAGCGAGAGCTTTCAAGATGACTCGTTTGAGGAATACTCCTCACAGACAAGCGCCAGCCCCAAGCACTATGGGCAGTACGATCCAGATGTTCCTATTCCCTCTCTCGAGGACGATGACGAAGTTCATGACGACGATGACGACGACGACGACGACGACACAAGCAGTGTTGTGATCAAGCAGGAAGCGCATGATGATGACCTTTATGACATTCCCTCTTACTATGGGACCGCTCCTTCGAATGAGTCTTCCTACAAGAGCCTGCAAAATCAGCTGGCGAGTGATGGAAGCAGCCAGTACTCGCAGCATCCCAATGGTGATGCTCATAAGGGGAGCTCCCATTCCCAGTCCCCGGACGGTCAGGAGACCCCGGTTCCTGAGAGCCAACCTACATATAGTAGTGTTAATGATGCTCACGACAAGGAGGGTCCCAGGGCCCACTCTCCTCTTAGAATGGAAGCGATAAGGCAATCACTGCATCGTCCATTCACTCCCGACAACCAAGACCAGATTTCTGAGCCTTCAACCCCAGAATCAGTCATCAGACATCCGATGGAAGACGAGTACAGTGATCGTGAACTAACCCCCGAAGAAAGCGTCCCCGATCCAGTTGCGACGGTCAAGGCCCCCGGTGGCTCCCTCAAGACGCGCCCGTCCCTCACTCCTGCTGATATGGAAACCATGGCTGCCACTCGCCGCAAGATCAGCGGCCAACAGCCTCCGCCAGTGCCTCTTCTACCCAAGCAGGAGCCCAATGCATCTGAGGAGCCCGCCCCCGACGAACCCGCCCCCCAGGCCACAAAAGAACCTGCACAGCGCCAAACTAGTCTCGTGAAGCTCGATATTCCCTTCAGTATTCAGGAAGAAAGTCTTGGGTTCGGTCTAGATAAGGAGTTTGATCGAGTCATCGAGTCCCAAAAGGTTGCGTTTCAAATCTCCCTTTCTCAATTGTACACTGGCACCCGACCAGTCCCATCAGCCCAGGATCCCTGCAAACATAGTCTCGAGCCGTCGGCTAACCAGAACTCCAACCAACAGCGAGGTTACCTCATGAGACAAAACACAAAGGTCATCATTGCAAGCAGCCGCAATGACGACGAGGCTCCCTCTGGCCCCAGCGATGCACCTCCAAGCCCGCAAGGAAAGAAACCGGCTCCGACCCCACGTAAGGCGAGCCAGCAAACCTGGACTACTGAGCCATGGAATGGTAAGACGCGTCGTTCCAGTATCAGGGCTGCCAGCGGTGCGATCCGAAAGAAGCCCGTGTCCGGACCTGTGCCCCCTCTTCCCGGACAGCAAAGCAACGTCCAGGAAGGACCGGCGACGATCGAAGAAACCGAACCGGCGGTGAATGGCGCTTTGGAGGAAGGCGAAGAGCGTGGGCGTCTTTTCGTAAAGGTCGTCGGCATGAAGTATTTGGACCTGCCTCTCCCGCGAGGTACGTACTGCAATGCCATTTCTGCAGGCATGATCTAACTTGAACAGGTGAACGCTCCTACTTCGCCCTCACTCTCGACAACGGCCTTCATTGTGTCACTACGGCATGGCTTGAGTTGGGCAAAACGGCTCCCATCGGACAGGAATTCGAGCTTATCGTGCAAAACGATCTGGAGTTCCAGTTAACGTTGCAGATGAAGGTGGATGATGAGAAGCTCCGTCCTCCGGAGACTGCACCATCGTCATCCCCCACTCGCCAGAAGGCTTCTACCTTCAGCCGAGTGTTTGCTTCTCCCCGCAAGCGCAAGGAGTTGGAGATGAAGCAGCAACTTGCCTCTCAGCAGCAGAAGAGCCGAGATGTCAATGCTCCTGTCTGGGAACGCCTGCGGTCATTGATTGCTCGGGATGGAAGCTTTGCCCGGGCTTACGTGGCTTTGAGTGATCATGAGAAATATGCATATGGTCGGCCTTACACGGTCGATATCGCTTGCTTCAACGAATGGGCCGTTGAAGAGCAGCCCAACAGCGTCAAGAGTAAGAAGAGCACTGCGTCTACCTCTCAGCGCCGGCCGCCCTACAAAATTGGCAAGCTCGAGCTGCAGCTTCTGTTTGTCCCTAAGCCAAAGGGCGCCAAGGACGATGACATGCCCAAGAGTATGAACGCGTGTATTCGGGAAATGCGCGAGGCCGAGACTGTGGCATCCCGCAGTTGGGAAGGCTTCCTCTCTCAGCAGGGGGGTGACTGCCCGGTAAGTGCCCTACAAAATTTCTTACTTAACCAATACTGACTCCGCATATTAGTTCTGGCGTCGCCGCTTCTTCAAGCTCCAGGGCTCTAAGCTCACAGCCTTCCATGAAACAACTCGCCAACCGCGTGCCACTATCAACTTGTCAAAGGCCGTTAAGCTGATTGACGATCGCTCATCTCTCACTCAGAAGGAGACCACTACCAGAGGTGGTGGCCGACGAAAGTCCGCCTTCGCCGAAGAGGAGGAGGGCTACATGTTCGTCGAAGAAGGTTTCCGTATTCGCTTCGGAAATGGCGAGGTTATTGATTTCTACGCGGATAGCAGAGCCGACAAGGAAGGCTGGCTGACCGTGCTGGCCGATGCTGTCGGCAAGTCTTCCGGAGGTGGTCAAGTTAAACCATGGACGGAGCTGGTGCTCAAGCGCGAACGCAGCATGAAAGCGCCCCGGAGACAAACCATGGAGCGGCCGTCGACAATGGGCGCTCCTCCCCCGCCTGCGAAGGACACTGCCCCTCCGCTGGCGGGCCCACCGTCGCCCACGCGGCCCAGGCACAGACATACTCAATCCCAACCTGAAGTTCGCGGTGCGGATGCTCGGCGCCAGAAGGTTCGCTCCATGATGTTCTAAGGAGGCTGGTCACACTTTTCCGAACCCGCACTTCGGTGCAGTGTTACTGGTCGCTTAGTGATATCTTTCGTTCTCTTGATCTAGGGTTATCCTTCCATTTGTCCTGTGGTGTCGGTGTACTATTTCCCATTTCTGCCTGTTCTCTTTTGTCTGTGCGTTGTCCTTGACTTTCTGGATTCCATGGCCCGAATCTGGATGATTCAATGCGGGATTCTGTCGTACATTAATGATACATAGCGCCTTTCTTTCGTCAGTCGATAATTCAATTTGTGTTTTCTAGGCTTGGGATCTGGCGTACTGGTATCTTGCTGGTTTTGATAGTCATAGATATACTCCGGCTTGGAAGATGTAGACGGGATCTAAAGTTATCCAGAGGCAAACAAAGAAAGCACCTGTGTTCAATTTCAAAGGATGAATCCCTACAGAACTCCATATAACCTCCTGTTTGAGCACATTCATTCACGTATGCATAGAACTCACAAGCAGTCAATAACAAATAATCTCAGAATCTCAATCCAGTCTCTGACTGCGGCTTCCCTGCGTAAACCTCGGACTGTTGACTTTGGCCTCCCCACCAAACCCAACTCCATAAACCTCCTTAGTCGCGTAGTATCTCCCTCTCGTCGGCTCACACAGCTCTCTTCCATATTTCTCCAACAGCTCCTGATCCACAGTCCCGACACCCATTTCGATCTCGTCCCCATCTTCGTCTGGACACCGCCAGTACAAGGTCGACCCGCACGCAGCACAGAACCCACGATATCGGCCTGGTGTATGCGAGTATTCCGCTATGGGCATGTGTGCGGTTGATCCAGGGTGCGGTTTATCACTGGCCGCGGTAGATGCTTTATGTTTGTCTAGTTCCTGATGTGACCAGCCGAGTTGTTCGCAGGTGAAGGTCAGGAAGAGCGCGAATGGTGCTCCTGTGTGTTTGCGGCAGTGGGTGCAGGAGCAGGTATGGGGCTGTTACACGGTTATATAGTGTTGCAAAGAGCGCGACTCAAGCATGCGCAGCAGGGAGGAGACATACCCCTGGCGGCCATTCATATTTCTCGCCTATTGCAGCTGTATACCGTACTGCGCCGCATAGACACCCGCCTGTTATGTTGGGTGGTGGAGGTGGTGTACTCGAGTGGCTGCTCATTTTGTGGTCTCTGTTTCGATTGAAGCTGCTAGTCTTGGTACCTTGTAGACAGGATATGGATATACGCAAGTACGATGTCTGTGCCCTTTACTGTAGTTATATAGTCGTCTACCATCCAGACTGATGTACATCGTATTCAATCCATTCGTTCGTAAGCCGAGCGGGGAAGCTACTTGGTAATGATGTCATCCAGCATGGCACGGATGATGATAGGTGTTTGAATACGAGCCATGTCAGAGACAGACGAAGATCTGTTCGGCTTATTCTCTTTTCCTAAGTTGGAGATAGAACAAATAATCTAGACTAGAAGTATAGGTGGTAAAGTTGGGCATGTCAAGGGCACGTGACACTACCATGATGAATCATGACCTTGTATGAGAGCCCTCGATTCAACATGTGCATAAAAGCTTCAATCCTCTATACTGTTCGAGTGACATCGCCCCACGATACTTTCTGTCTCTAGAATCATGATCCAGGGAGAGGCGCCAGCACAAACCGTCAGTTCTCTAGGCTACGCCCTCCGCGCAGTGGGCGGACTGACCAAGCCAAGCGGTAGAGGGCTGTTCATGTTCCAGAGCCTTATCGCAGGGAGTACTACGGCTGCCCTTGTCGGTCTTTTTGGTGCCACTCTATTGGGGTATGGATTCGCTGCTGGAGCGGTGGGTTTTCTAGGCGGATCCTGCTTCGGCTTCGTGGTTGGGACGATTGGGTATTACAAGGCATGCTCTAGGCAGAGCTTGCTTGCGTTCATGAGATACCCTGACTTGATAAGGCATCATATATTCATTGACTTTGGCATGCATGGTGTAGAGAAAGCCTCGCGGTTTTGGGAAAAAGACTCGCAAAATGTCGTGGAGGCCGTGAAGAGCGACTTGGCTCTTCAAAGTATATTGGTAGCCGCGTGGCACTCGGCAGTTCCTGCTATCGAGGTCCGTATACATCTTGGAAGTTCCTGTTTCCGCGTTATTTGATGAGTGACAAAGAGCTGACGAGGCTACTCAAGGATATTCAAAACGAAGAGGAGACCCGCCTGAAATCCCGACGGGAGTAGATCTCCTAGACATATGAAGGTGAGAAGCAAGAATTTTGCTTGCAATTCCTGGCTAATCTCCTGAGGTTCTGCTCGATCCGAGCTCGTAGAGTGAATATGGCGTCGATGATCTGCATTGTTCCTCTGCACCAAATGGAGGTGATCCTGCGGCAGTGGTTCCATCAAAGAGGAGAGGAAAACATAAGCGGCTGGAAAATCGCGGAAATTGTCCATATCATAATTTTATTGCCACGACTGGGTATCCCATGCTTGCCCTAGCTATATAGTTGTGAAACATAGGTTAAGCACACTTGTGACGAAATGGATATACCTCCTTACCCGAAGACGCCAGGAATTCTTAATTCGAGTAACCGCGCTCGACGAGCTCGGTCATGGTAGCTCGTCTCTCGCCACGAATCGCCCAGTCCCGACCAGCTCCATGACCGTGATTTAGACGTCAGTGTAGTAGGAAGAGGGGTTTGTATGTCTTATAAGATCACATCATAATTGAAGCCCAGATGTAAAGAACCACTTAAACGTAGATTTTGTCGCCAGTCCAAGTCATGGTCGTAAAGAACAACTCTCCCTCATGCCGGGACAAGCTGTGAGCATTGATAAAACCATCCTTCCTGTCGGTAAAGGAATCCCGGAGGCAATGCATCCGGACTTAACTGCCGAGCGGTAGCTGCAGGTACCAGCCCGAAAGCTACCGACCTGCAGTGTTGACTGTATATTGCTCCGGCCTAAGCCCGGTCATGAGCCTGCTCATTCGCGTTCGTATGCCCATGTTCCTCATCTTCTATCTCTCCTTCGACATCCTCATCACGGAGATCGGCAACCATAGCCTCCAACTCATCGTCATTTTCCTCTTCCTCCTCTTCCTCTTCTTCCTCGCCAAATTGCTCCCCGAGCATGCTAACAAGACGCAGTAGCCCGGCCTGCATATGGTCTGCTGCAGGACGAGGCTGTTCAGACGTCCACAAGCCGCTCTCGTCATTAGAGTCTGACGCAGTCTTATTGGAGAAGTCGGGAGCGAGGCTGACGATACGGATAGCTTTCGTTGGGAAGATGCGGGCAGGACCATCTTGTTGTTGCGGTCCGCCCGGGAGAGGTTGACGCCAACCCAGAGTCTGTGGTTTTCGCTGTTAGTAATATGTTCGTCTTCATCTCACCATCGCATTTGGGAGATGTGTGTAACATACCGTATATGTACTCATGATCGCATCATCATACAATGCCATGAAACTAACCGGCACGGCAAGCTGAGGCGCTGAGCTTGTCAAAAGCGAGTAGGAAGCACGGGTAGGATGATCTACATCCTGAATGCGATTTTCATCGTCGAGTGCAACAATGTAGATGCGGTCTTGAATCTCAAACATGAGACGATGGTTCCGCACCGACAGCCAACCGCCCAAGTCAAAGCTCAAACCGTCTGACTCGCATTCGATGAGGGAACTATGCGCCGCGAGACTGGCCTGGTTGTGAACGGCCTTCCGCCAGTCTGGGCAAACAAAGACGCGGCCAGCGCGGGAGAAACCGACAAAGAGATCGCCATGGAGCATACCCGCGCCCCATTCATCCTCCCCATGCCGAACGTGTTCAGGATCAGTCGGCGGCGGGAGAGGTCCTTTTGCGAGCGTGATGGGCACCAGAGAGTCATTGCGCGGCGCGCCGGGAGGGAACAACCGCTCTGCCAGGCCGCGTCGCGAAGCGGAGGATGAAGAGGGAGGCGGCGGACGTATGTGATACTTGTCCGTGCAATGTGCCGGTTGCAAGGCCCCCAAGAACTCCCCGGTTGTCTTGTTGTATGCGTGATAACCTCGCGGGCCCATGGAGTAAATCACCGCATCCTGGCTCTGGTCGAGATGGCCGACAGCTTCTCGTTCGATCTCAAGCTGCCTAGTCAACTTTGGGGGTCGCTGCGTCATATCATATACGAAGCCCTTTCCTTTGTTAGATACGACACATAGCGTCCAATAAGACAGCTGGAAGCCTCTCGTCTGGCAGTCATGATTCAACACCGCAATGCGTCGGAATTCGCCATGGGCTGCACCTTCGAGACCTGCCTGCCAGACCTCAACCGCATCTCCTTCGCGGTCAAAAACTGCCATCCCATCCTGATATTCCAGATGCGCGTATGGACGGACCGCATTCTCATCATCACGATCCAGCGTGGAGGGCAGTCGCCATAGAATGCGGCCGGTATCCATATCGGTGACGTTCAACCCTCCCGCGTGCGACGTTGAAACGAAGAACCGGCGCTTGAAGTCGGCACGGAAGCGCCAGACCGGGTCGTTGCCGACTTGCATCACCGACTCCCGACTCACAGGCTGTGACGAAGCCCAATTGCGGGCGAGTAACGTCTGCCGCTTGCATAGATCCTTCCATGACTCGATACCCTTGAATATATTCGAAAAGCTGGTACTATCCGAGAGAAATGAGAAATCTTTAGCTCCTCCCTGAGGTTGGGAGGTCTTGGATTCGGAGGAGTAAATGGCCTCTTGGTGAGTGACATCGATGAAGTCGTGCCAGGCTTTGGATGTAGCTGTCAAGGATGCAAGAGCGGAGATGGGCGCAAAATCCAGAATGCGCAAAACAATCTCAGGAGGTAGGAGAGTGAGAGGGTCCGTTACTGAAGCGCTGGCGGCCATTGTCAGTATATCTATATTCTATTGAAGAGTTAGAAGAAGAGTTGCAGAATCGAATGCCCCAAGCATGCCACCATACTGCCGCTACACACCGCCCCCGGAACTAACTCAAGCCCTCCGCTCTTTCTAAATCTTAAACGAACCTCCTCCGTCTCTTCCTTCCAATATATCCTGAACCTATACTACCTTACACTTCATCTCGCACTAAAAGGCGGTCGCTATGTAAAAAGGCAATCTGGTTATTTCTCTCCCCTAATATTGCATACAATGTGGTGAACACGATAAGCTCGATGTATACCCGCAAGTATAGACGGAGATAGGGAGCCCCATACTGTTGTTGGAGCATCGAGACAGTGCTCAAAAGGATAATCATCATGGCTCTAGACAGTCTAATATGTACATGGTCAATTATCCACCCTCATTGTGGTTCGTTTCATCTTCCGACTCCTGCTCGACTTCCCTCAGAGCTTCTCTTTGAGCCTTCCTGTTCGTCGAGTCCGTCTCATCCTGAGCTCCTTGCGCAGCAGTAGAGTCCTTCAGTGCGGGCCTAGCAGCAGGAATGCCGCCGGAAGAGAGATAGAGGAACTCCTCCTGGCCGTAGTGGTCAATATGGTTGAAAAAGGAGGTAAATCTACACAATACTTGTTAGCGTTGGAAAATGATAGGACGCAGGAAAACATACGCATTTGTCTCAACCTCTTCCCGGAAAATGCGATCGTAGATTTCCCGCTGTTTGAACTCGTTCATCGTTTCGGCATATTCGTCAAAGTCGATGGGCTTCTTGTTGTTCACTAAAGCACCCTTCTTGTTGTATGACTCGAAGACGGGACGCTCCAGAAGAAGACCCAATCCAGGGGCCTTGGGAATGGCAATCTTAGTGGGGCCATATGCGTCCTCGATGCGCTTGGGATCACAGCCACAGCGAACAACCAAGGTGGCCATAGCCACCATCTTGCGGATTTGGTGCATCATGAAGCTCTGTCCATGGACCTTCAGGCTGAGCCACTCGGTACCGTTGATGATGACCGGCTTAGGATCAAGCTTGAAAGATTTGATATGTCGTTTGGCGGAAGCATCCGTGAAGGTTTTCTGGATGGTGTAGTTCCAGAAATTGTTCGTACCAACATACTTCTCTAATGCCACTTGCACGCGTGTCAGACGAGAGGACGGTATGCGGTATGCCCGCTTGGCTTTGTTGTAGGCGGCTTTGATAGTCTTCACCGTCTCGATAACGCGTTGTCTCAGGGCATCATCACCCTCGGAAGTCGCTGCATTCTCGCTGGATGCGCTGGTTGTGTTCTCGTCGGCGGGTTTATCGGATTCCGCCTTGTCACCAGAGACCTCGCCCTCATCTGAGGGCTTGGACGTCTCCTCCATAAAGAGTGCCTTCTGGACAAGCTTTCGGATGTCCTCCGGGGTTTCATCGAGAATTGGCTTGATGTACTTCTCGTCCACCTCCTCCCAAAATCCAGCAACTTCTTCCTGTCGCGCTTTGTATGCTTCCAGATCCCCATGCTTCTCGGCAATCTCCGGCAGCTTGCGTCCAAGGTACGTACTGGGATGAGGCGGCAGAAAGCAGTAGGTAGGAATGAGGTACTCGTAGATGCGCGAATCGCACATCTGGTATGCACTGAAGGACTTGTTGGCGACCAGAATGTCCCACACGCGGATCTGCGGGCTCAATTTTTCGTTGATTTTCTGGACGATGTCCGGGTCTTCGACGATCAGCTTCAGGGAAACAACGTTACCCGCGGCATGAACCCCTTTGTCCGTCCGCGCACAGCGCACCAGCGACGACTTCTTGGGGTCGGCCGCGTTGGCCTTGGAGATAGCGCCCGCAGCCACAAACGCTGTAAAAAGCTCTCCTTCGATCGTCTTCTCAGTGTCACTCCTACTGCCAGTTAGCCGGAGGGTCCCCACCACTCAACACCTGCAGGAATCACGCACAATTGCATTCCCTTATACCCCGTTCCGGAATACCCAAGCAACACGGCGACCTTTTTCTTCGGGCGTCTCTGTTCATTCTCGATATCCTCCTGGGAGAAGTGCGTGGCGTAGATGGGAGTGTGGAGTTCCTCGCCCTTCTCCAGCTTCCGACGCTTCGTCTCGTTCTCCTTGTCGTTGCGCGCTCGCTTATCTATATTTTGCCGACTTGCTTTGTTAGTTGGTGACTGTCGCATACGGGGGTCCTGACACCCGTCCGGCATACCTCCACTCAGCCCTTCCCAGATCCCTCTTCTTACGCTTTCCACCAGCATCTCCTCGTTCCTGAGCTCGTTCTCCGTTATTGTCCATGGCGTGAGAGACTGTCTTATCCGAAGCGGGCGAGCTTGCGATCCGCAGTGCCGCGACTGAGTCGAAGGGCGATAGACGGCACTACGCGGGGAGGAAGTGAGTATGAATGAGGTTCCGCGGGATGACTGAATCCCGGCCAAATTCCGACGCAAAAAGATCGAGGTGCGCATGAAGATGTTGGGGGCAGAAAGAACGGTTGGCGGCGTCTTGCGGTTCAACGCCGGTAGTTTTTCGGCCATCGAAATTCCTCATGGCCCTAGTCCGTATTCGGGATAGTGCATGGTCCTACGCTATCCCCAAACAGGACAGCGTCTCGTTGCAATGCCTCAGGCATGAATAATGCCGCATCTTCATCCGGCGATATCTTTCATCGACTTCCTCTCACTCCTCGCCCTCTCTTTGTCCACACTCGCTTCTTGCCGCCCATTCTCGCGGGCATTAATACACCCTGCTATCCACCTTCCTGTCCTTTTATCTGTTCTCCCAGCGCAACCGCTGCGAAATAACCAAGCATGCTTTTGTTTTCCTAAGCTGGGCTTAACATCATATACGAACGCCTTCGCACCGTGCGACACCTCACCCTCACCTGCGCGACTCTTCACCTGATCCTACATCGCACTGTCACGCCGCGCACAGCTTAGTCCCTCGATACACCATGGATCTAGCCAACACGTTGATCCGAAGTGTCGTGCGCGCCTTTTACGAAACCCGCCACATCCTCGTGGTGGATGCGCTCTTCATCCATTCAGTGTACGTCAGCCCCGCGCATCGCAGCCACTATCGCTCGCTGTCAATACTAACCTAGCATCTTTTCAACACAGTCTCCATGCAGAAGATCTCGCCTTCCTCCTAGGGATGCAGCAGAAAGACCTCCGGAAGCTATGCGCCAAGCTGCGCGAGGACCGGCTAATCGCAGTGTATGGCTTGCCCAGCATCAGCTAACGGACTCTCCCCAAGCGGACAGATGCTGACCCATGCCTCGCGGCCTACAGAAGCACGCGCGCCGAGATCCGCGACGGAGCAACGCGCCCCGTCAACCGCGAATACTACTACATCCCACTGCACCCGGTCATCGACGCGATCAAGTACAAGGTCTCCCGGCTGACCTCGACGATCAAGGCGCAATACACGCCCAGCGAAGAGCGCAAGGAGTACATCTGTCTGCGGTGTGGGTCGGAATGGACGGAGCTGGACGTGCTCAGCCTCTACTCGGACGAAGGCTTTGAGTGCCAGAACTGCGGAGCGATTCTGGAGCGTACGGAAGACGTCAAGGGCGCCGAGGGGATCGACCGCACGGGACACGAAAAGAACAGCAAGCTGATGGCGCAACTGGACTCCATGCTTAAGCTGCTCAAGCAGATCGACTCGGTCGAGATTCCCCCGAACGACTTCGACACGGCCTGGGACCACAAGGTCGACGTCGTCCGTAACCAGGCCATCCACCCGACCCGCGCTGCGGTCGTTGTGCCGAGCAAGCAGCAGGAGGCCGTGCGCGGCAACCTCAAGACCGATTCGGCCGCGTTGGAGATCTCTCTCACCTCGTCGGAGGAGAAGAGCGCCGCGGAACAGGCCGAAGAGGCCGCCCGCAAGGCGGCGGTGGAGAAGCAGAACGCACTGCCTGTGTGGCATACGCATTCGACTGTTTCCACCACGGCTGGTAATGTCGGCGTGAAGACCGAAGCAGGTGTCGACATCAAGCCGGAGATCAAGGGAGAAGAAGACCAGAAGCCCACGTTGGACGCTCTGGACGACAAAGTCGCTGCGTACTATGCCGAGATGGAGCGAGAAAGGGCCCTACAGGCGCAGGAGGACGCAAGTAGTGCTGATGAGGATGATTCCGACGAGTTCGACGAGGAGTTTGAGGATGTGGGGGGCGTGTCTGCGAGCGACACTGCATCTCCAGCCGTCACTGGCGGAGCTCCTGCCCATGCGCCTACATCAGCACCGTCAACTGGTATCAAGCGGGAACTGGATACAGACTCAGGTACCAGTGCACCTCAAACGGCAGCGGCTACGCCATCTAATGGGACGGACGAGCCCGCGGCGAAGAAGATCAAAACAGAACCCGAAGTGAAGAAAGAGGAGTCTGATGAGGACGACGAAGAGTTTGAAGATGTCTGAATTATCTCCTGGGAGCCGACAAGGAGTTGAACATCTCCCAGCGCAGGCGCTAAGCAACTTCTTGTGGGTAGGACTGGACAGCTATCTACCACCTCGACCTGGCACTTAAGATGATGAACAGTGTTGTCTCAAGCATTATTTGTACAATACCTTTGCGAAGCTAAAAAGAAAACTGCTAGAATTTTCTATACAAAACTGCGTCATCACCTCAGGTACCTAACAGCGGAGTTTCTAATTTCTATACCCCAAAAGTAACAACTGGATTTCCTTCACAATACCCGTTCATGTGGTGTCATTATTTATTCCAGCATGGGTAGCATTGAAAAACGCCAACACAACTCCCTGCAGTGAAAACATATTAGTGTGCAGATCTCTCGTCGACCCGTAAATTGAAAGCCGGTCGGTCATAAGACAATGTTGCTTGCACCATGAATTTTATTCAAGTAAACTGCAAACCCATCTGATTGAGGTAGGAAGAACAAGGAAAACGCCGATGGATGCAAAGAAGGTGCACCAGGGATAAACAAAAGCAGGATAGTTTTCTCATAAAGTCGTCTCTCATATGTGATGAAATCACGGGTTGAAGGGTGGTGTTTTCATTTGGCCCGAGGCAGAATTTATGGAGAGCCGGCCACACCAACGTCCGAGTCGCTCGCCATGGAATTGTCTTCCCATTCTTCTGCAGAAGGAGCATCAGAGTCTGTGGACCCAGGGGTTAGATTACGGAACGAGAGAAAAGAAACGAAAAGCTTACCGGAAGCGAGCTCTTCTGGGACGTCAACGGCCAGTTCATCGATCGACTCTATCTCAGCTGCAGGTTCAATGTTAGCAATGTCGAGGAAAAGGGAATTCACCATTGCCAATGGGGACAAAGGAGCCATACCACGAGCCTGTCGGACATATTCCTGGTCTTGCTCGGACTCGTCAAAGTATGATGCAAGGCAATGATTGATCACAGTCTTCATCGTTTCAATGGTCTTTGTTTCCACGCTGCCCCCGGGAGCAGTGAGAACCGCCTTCTTTAACCTGTCAATGCTTGCTCGCACAAGCTCCCTGGCGATGTCGGAATGGCGCTGTTGCCAGTCTTCTCCCATCTCGCCCGCTTCGCCTGTGAACAGAATGCCCTGTAAGAGCTCTGTGGTCATTTTTCTGACAGCGGCTTCCGGAAATAAAAGCAAGGTTGGAGCCCAGTCAGGGATCCGATCCACAAGTCGACTCAAGAACCAAGTCTCATCAAGGCTCAGTTGGTTATTCCGACATGATAGGAGTTCCGTGAAGAAAGCCAGGTGCTCTTTGCCTCCGCTGCCGTTGATAGTCTCGACCCCGTTTGCAACGTAGTCGATCAACGATACGACCCGCTCCTTGTCCGGGCTTCGGCGGCAGAAGATCAATGTAGCTTCCAAGAACGGGAAGCACAGTTCTGCAGGCGCAACTCTGAGACCATCCTCCAGGACCTTGCAAATTGGCTCCGAAAAACCAGCCTCTGGCTCTGCGTCCAGCAATTGGCCGACCAGGCTCCTGCAGGCCTGGGGGCTGTGGTATTGCTGAAGGATTTTCTTCAACAAAACCAGTTCTCCGCTTCTCCCCAGAGGACGAATGAGGCTAGCCTCAGAGGCCGTAAGCGTGTACTTGCCGTTAGGCAGACTGTGTCGCTTATCATCCGGCGTCGGCGAGACCGTAAGATCAATATAGGATAACAAAACTGCCAGTAGCTCTGTGAGCTTCTTGTGCGAGAATCTCCGGCCCTTCTCAATAAGTCTGAAATAGCCAAGATACTGACGCTTCAATCGCTTTGCGTCTTCCCGGTCTAGCCATATGATCTCTAGACACTTCAGAAGGAATCCGTACTTGAGGACGAGCGCGGCTTCCTCTGTTCCAAAGCTCGCAAGCAGGAGTAGGAACTCGAAGTAATCATCCCAGGCGCGACTGAACGTATGGATGGTGGCCCAAAGACTCTCAAGTGTAGCCACGACATTCTCAAATCCTTCCCAATACCGACGCTCCCATTTCGATTTTTCCAAGCTCCCATCCTCTGCGTTTTCACGAAGCTCTTGTAGTTTCGACAAGGCGCACATGAAAATTTTGATCGCACTGCTGCGGATGGACGCATGCGGGCTTCTCAGTAGCAGGTTTCGAAGACCAGTTGGCTTCTCCACGATCCATTGAAGGACTCGGTGGGCGGCCTTTGGGAGTTCATTTATAGCCTTCAGGAGCTCGGCCACGATGGCATCGAGGCCCACAGTGTCCTTGGTCCGCGCGACCAACTGCTCTAAAGTGTCCAACGAGATGAAAATGACAGTCCGGTCCAATTTCGGTCTCTCTGCCTCCTGGAGCTTTGTTTCGTGGAGTCTGGAGAGAATAAATTGCACAAAAAAGGTGTGGTAGGGGTCCAGGAGGCAGAACGTTCGAATGAAAACCTCATTTTCCAACGTTATATGGTTCGCAAGAGACACCGGCAGTGGCACGTGGACGGGTAAGTTGTTTGCGGTAGGACGGTAGGCTTCTTTCGCAGACTCCATGCTGGAGACGCGTTGGTAGAACAACATGTACGCATTCCAGACCTTGTTGAACCGGACCTGCATGTTGGGGGAATCATTGTATCCACCGAAACACTGGTCTGCAATCTTCGTCTGATCGAACCTGGTCACGTCCGAGTCATTGAACTCAACCCATGAGCCCCTACCTCCAGTACTCGGCCTCTCGCGGATATACGAGTAGTAATGGCCGGACTCAGCAGTGCCAGTATGAACTAAGACACCGACTAACTCGAAGATATCTTCTTCCACGTGTCCATCGGGATTGGAGAGATAGTCAACTTTGAATGGCGTCATGTCAATTCGCTCCGGAAATTGGAACTCATCATTGATCTTGCTCCGCATCATAGTGACCATGTCGAAGTCAAAGCGTTTCAGATGGAAGATTAGATTGTCAGGGACATCCTTCAAGCACGCTCTAAGGGGTTTTCAGTGATTTGCTCAAAGATGAAAATTGGATGCCCGATACTTACCTCTTGACAGCATCGACGTGTCGCCCACAGGATGTACACGAATACTTGTTATCTGGGATTGGAGGTTATTGGTGACCACATTTGTTTATACGTTTTACTTACCTCCTTGCATGATTTCACCTTCGACGTAAGCTTGTAAGCTCTCCTCCAAGCTTGCTTTTCCTTTAATGTCGCACTGAATGGCAGAGAACGGCTCAAGGCGCTCAGATATGTGAGAGCACTCTTTGGACTTGATCTGTTGAACCAACTGGCCCCCATAGAAAGACCTGAATTTCTTCTTGTCTTCCGCATCCAGGATCTGCGCTTCCCACCTGTCAAACAACAAGTTATAGAACTCATCGACATCCATTTGTATCGTCACGTCGACCGGTTCGTTGTCGTAGGTTCTGATAGAATCAACTAAATCTTGGGGGTCAACGCTCTTGAGCCATGTCTCTTGCATATAGCCGAAGAGCTTCTTCGTCTCATAAAGCAGTTTCTGAGACGACTCTGGGTCCGTAAGCTCAAGTTTCATCAAGAAATCACGAAACCCGACATTCATGAAAAGTTGTGTCAGGAGTGAGTTCAGATAGCAAGTATTCGACAGGTTCTTGAGGCCGGCATAGCCTTCTGGAGATCGTATCATCTTATACCGATCAAAATACCAAGATGGCGAGTATGTCTCGTCTGAAATGTGATACAAAGTCAGAATGGTTTAGTATGGAAAACGATATGAGTAGAGAATCCAGACCTTGTGGGATAATATCTTCCAGGCAATCGACCATGCCCATATAATTCTGATCATATTTGCAGAGCAGGGTGAGAATCCTGTAGAGTTCCTGACGGGTCTGTCCGTGCATGATGGGAACCTTGGGTCTGATCAGGGTAGATGATCGGCTCGAGAAATCTGGGAAAAGATAACGATCGAACAGTTTCTCAGTCAAGTCGCTGCAGACGACATCAGCATCTCTGGATGGTTGCACTGGGGTTTTCAGGTAAACTAACAATGTATCCAATATCACGTTGGCCTGTTCTGCGAGTTCCAGACACGACTTGAGGAGACGACAGAACCCAAAGATCAAATGGTCAATAGGCTCTCGCCCGACGAACTGTGAACAAATTAGCGCGAGTAACAGGTGTATGTTCGTCAAGATGTACTTCTTCTGTCTGATGGCTCAACATAATGTCGCTCCACTGTTTGAGGTATTCGCTTAATACATGATCGTTGGGTGACTTCTCAACAACAGAGTGAAACACACTATGTGCGATCTCGAAAAACTCCTGGCATTGATGAACATGGTCCACGGTCTGGGGGAAATTCTGTAAAAAGGACTCCCAAATTGTGGCGAGAATATCGATCCTCACAGAGTGCTCAGGATCCATTTGACCCGGCCCTTGAGCAGAGTCGACCTGCAGCTTTCCTGATTTTTTCAACAACGCGGACGGACTGCATTCCACCGCAATGTTATCTGAGATTCCTTTCCGAATTGGCTGTCGTGGCTCATCCAGAAGGAGTGAGGACAGCAGTTGGCCAAAGCGCGCTTGTTCTTTCACCACGGTCCAGAAGTCTGAGTCCAAAACTGACGCTTCCATTAAGATGGCGAATGAGTGGCATACGAGCTTGTAAACATTGGCTTCCGATATACGGTCAGGACGTAGATTGTGGGCAAGCACTATCAGATGTAGCAACTGCTTTGCCAAAGCCGAGTAGTCAGGAATCAGGTTCGTCTCATCCGCTATTGGTTTCACTGGACACTAGTCAGTGTGATGAACTCGAATTTTTAGAGATCTCTATCTCACCTTGAAAAGCGTGAAGAAGACACTCTACAAGGCTGGTCGCAAACAATAGTTTCGCAGGAGACTCTGTGAGAGCCTCTGACATTGCGGGCCGCGTTAAGGCCGCAACCAATACACGGATACTATGCACGACGAAGGATTTGTTCGGAGATGCCTGGCATGTGTTAACAATTGTATCATAATCCACCCGAGTGGTCTTACCTCTGACGCTTCCTCCCTCAAGCACGTGGAAAGCGCATTCACCGAATAGAGGAAGCTGTACGGCTTTTCCATTGGAAACATATCGTCCGCAGTTTTATCTATCGACTTGACCAGCTGCAAGACTCTTTCCTGGGGCGGGAAAACGACAAGGAAGTCGTAGATCTGCCAGAGGGTGTCAGATACTCACAGCACATACAAGATGGCCATAGGACAAAGATAGAGACATACCTCTCGCGCGAGATGATCTTCAAGTTCAAGAAGGTCGTAAAGGTCGTCGAAATGTTTCAAAACTTCAGAATCCACTGGGGTCAATGACTGGCGACGACCTGTTAGAGCCACCTGGCGGCTGTCAGGATCTTTCTGAACCAGCACCAATCCAGAGGTAAGTTTCAATTCTCGAACAGTCAGGTTAGGATTCTCAAGTAGGTTTACTCGTCGTCCAGCGAAGATTGTGTTAAACTTGGAGAATCCTGTAAGCTGGGCAAATTTCTCAACCAGCTCGGCAGCTGTAGATAGATCGCCGATGCGCAATGACCTAACTGTTGACTGCCCATTGCCATCAAAGGCTTGGTAACGAATGTCAACGAGATCGCCTTTACCAGGCAGCCCAGGGGGTGGCCCTTGCGGGGGGCTGTACTGGGGACGGCTCCGCAGGCCTTGGAGAAATTGGCGGAGAAAGAGCAGGGAACGACTGAATCGTAGTTCGTCCGCGCTAGTCTCATTCATGGAATCGGTATCTGATGACTTCAGCTTGGATGCGGCAGATTTCAGCTGATCTACGCAGCGGTCGACTAGTGCGATATGGGTGGCCTCGATAGCTGATTTCGGCGACCGACGGATCATACCATGGTCAAGGTAGATCTCTATAGCGAATCTGGTTGCATCCGTCTCGATCGAACCCGGTGGAGCAGTCAAAATGAACGTCCATATGCGTTCAATACCCGGAACTGATATCACCTCATTCTCGTCCACTACCGGCGGGGGATCGAAACGCACTTCGTAGTTGATGGTTTGCTTAGCAAAGGCGAGGACATCGGGAGAGTAGTCAGATGGAGACACTTTGGGGAGATAGCTGTGAATGCAACGCTCAATGAACGGGTTTCTCTTGCCTCCGTGACTGGTGAGACCACACAACGTATCCCATAAGGCTCTTCTGCCAAATGGGACGAGTGTCTTCGACATGAAGATCTTCCACCAGAGCAAGTCGCTTAGGTCCTCGGTAATGTACTCAGGGACCTTATCAATGACGCGGGCCAGCAGTTGAATGCGCGATAGAAATCCATTCTTAGAAAATGGGTCACTGAAGTCCGTCTTGTTCGTTTCCACGGTATGGGCTAATTCAGCGATCACCAAGCGCGCTAAGTCGAAATCCATAGCCAGTCTCTGTATTTCCTGGGAGTCGTGCGGAGGAAGTAACGCATTCAAAGCTTGAATGCTGCCGACAACGAACTGGTTCATTTCAGCAACATCTTGGATGCAACGCTCATATGTCTCCATCTTATCCATTTCACTGAGCCCAACATTCATGAACAGGCTCAGTTGCGTGCTGGCAAACTTCTGGACAAGCGCCTTCTGTTCGACGCTGATATCCTCGGCCGCAGCACTCTCTCGAATTAGACGGACACATAGACGTAGTGGGATGGCATCTACATCTGACTCATCCCCATGCTTGTCGCGAACATGGTGAAGAAGTTGCTCACAGAACTCCACCATCCGGGGATCGAACCGGAAAAGCGGAAGGTCCAATACTTTGGCGCACAGATAGAGCAAAGCTGGAGAAGACGAAACGTGCATACTGAACGTTCTAGTGAGCATCCCTAACACTTCAGACACCATTCTGGCGTCCGGACTTTCCGTAACCGTCTTCCAGATGATGTCTGTGTCAGCATCTGTATATGTCGAAGTAACAACCAAGAAACCAAGAATGTTTCCACTCCTGCTGATCAACTGAGGATGAGAGTCGACCCCCACAATGTACTGAAGAATTTCATTTTCCCTCAGGAATCCCAGGAGGTATTGAACAACTGGGTCCTCGGTGCCAGCGGGATTATGCTGAATATGCTGTCTCCACACGTTGACTAGTTCCATTTGCATGGACTCTATCCCGTGGACTCTGAGCTCCATACGACCCTCAGTAATATGCTTCTTTAGGGTCATGAACTTCCAACCGTAGTAGAGGATGGATGGGTATGTGTCCACAGGTATATTCTCTGGCAGGCCGATCGAAAGATCCTGGGCAATTTGCTGTACAAACGTCGAGTCGCAATGGCACAGGCAAAGATAGAACCAAGATATGACACGAATCATCGACTCACTGACATCGCTGGAGACCCACGGCGATTTTTTAGTGATATGCGCCTGGTACTTGTCGTCAATAACCCGGATCAAGTCGTAGGCTGCTTTCGCAAATTCCAAGTAGGCTGGGGAGGAGTCTGCTGTGGTTTCATCCACTTCGAATTTCTTCCGCTCACTCCACGACTCCGCCAGATTGTGTAGCGTCGTCACTATCGATCCTAGAGGCGACGACAACTGGGGTTCCCGTGGGACGAGGGCCAGTATATAGAGGGCAAGATCAGCTAGCCGTTTGATGAGGTTGAAGGGAGGCACCAGAAGCTGATCACCCAGTCGAACGACTAGATTCCCAACACCGGGCCCATGAAATCGCTCCATAGCACGGAACAGAGGAATGGCGGTTAGCTGTAATGTCCAGCCGAGTGATGACAAGTAGCCCCTTGAGAATAAATCAGGCACTGGGAGTTCCGGTTCTTCGGCTAATTGTCGCAGAATGATGACATCCAGGCACATCATGTGGATCGTGATTTGAGCATGGCTGAGGAAAAACTCCTCTAATAATATCCAAAGATCCTGGTTGCCATCGACCTGGAAGTCTTGTCTATCGCAAATTGTCAGTTTTGTGCAGCCGGACAGTGTTATAACGAGCACGTACGTTCGGCGGAGCAGACTCTCGGTCAGCAGTGGAACACCTTCCCAGAACGCCCTGTCTTCCAGCAGCACCGCATACGACAGTTGGTCCAAATTATGCGCGACATCCTCAAGCCATGTTTTGACCGCGAAAAAGACCGTCGAGTCATGCGGAGGACCTGGGTGATCAGTCAGTGACATGCCGAGTATAACACAGGAAGCTCCATTCCATACCTTTTTCCAGGATCGCCGCAATCTCCTCCAGGTTCTCCGTGGCGTCTATGTCCTGCCGAAGCCGGGGAAACGTGTCGATTAGCGACTGTTGCTCGTGGAGCTGCACGACCTCGGGATCCCGCAACGCCTCGCCCAGCGATCGCCAGTTTGATGTACCTGGATCCTGATCCATATCCTCGAGTTCGGCGACCTCGATCTCTGGGCTCTGTGTGCGCGAAGAGGAAACCGAGATAGCGTTGGAAGGCCGCGCGCCGCTCTCGTCGGGGGAAGCGGCAGGAAGCGTCGCACTGGGGTGGTCGGAGGGATCTTCGAGGCCAGAGGCAGGGGTTTCAGTCGGAGGGGATTTCATGTTGATTGTCACTCGGCTGGCGGGCCGGGAGGACGAAGGAATTTGGGGCTCTTCTTTATCGGTCATGGCAGGAGCATCCGGGGTCGGTTCGGACGTGCGAGAACGAGACGGGTCATCGGTAGACAAAGTCTCCAGTGCACCACTGCCACTGTCGAGACGAGGACGTTTTCGGGTAGATTGAGGATCGATGTCTTCCATGGAATCGCCGGAGGGACGCGTCGAGTCGATCGATATAGCGTCAGGCGGGGTGCTAGAGCTCTCTAGCGGGGCAGCTGCCATGACATTTTCCTGGCCCTGTGACGCGGGGAGAGCAGCAGGAGGAGGGTGTCGTGCCGGGATAGTGTCGGTTAGACGGTAGGACACGGTGGTCAAAGGGAGAGGGCAGCTCAAAGGAGTGGATGTTGGAGATGATGGGGATAAAAAAAAAAAAAGTACTGAGGCGGAGAAAGCGAACGGAGGATGGAGAATAATCAAAGCGGGAAAATCCAGTGGTGAGGGGAGTGGGGCGCAACAGGCAGCTGTCGATCAGTCGGACAGGATGAATCGACAGCGATCAAGGAAGAAGGAGAAGAGAAAGAGAGAGAAGAGGGAGAGATGAGAGGAGTTGAAGAAGAGTCGAAGAGAATCGCCCGGGAGACGCGTGAAGAGAAGAAAGCAGAAGAGCTCTGACGTTGTGGGTGGAGAACGGACAGCTGAATGGGGCTTGGGGGGGAAGTGTTTGCTGACTGGGAACTCTAGAAGCTCCGTCGAACAACATCAATTTCCACCGATTCCCAGGGGATTCAGTAAGATTGGTTTATCAAAGGAAATCGGTAGAGGACATCTAACTATCACATGTGATTCATCGTGGTCTTATTGTTGGTTCTATTGTCCAATTGTCGCATATCCGGCACCAGAATAAATCCTCCTCACCTGAACTATAGGTGAGGCTTCACTATAGAACCAGTAATAACTAGTTCTGCCAGTCTAGGTAATATCTAATAAAACATAATAAAACAAGTCTCGATGACACTTGTGAAAAACCACAGAAACTCCAGACCATCCCTTGAGTGTCTCGCCGATGTCTCTCCATGTCTTGCAATGTTTAGCATTCCGTGGCTCCCACGGAAATCCTCCCCGGGAACTCTCTTATTGTCCACCCATACCAACGAGTGGATGGAGCATTCCATCCGACTGACAGAACAATGACACGCTGCTTGATTATTCTCCTCAGTGAGTCTTGTGGATCGACATCAAAATATACTCGAGCACTGCATGGTGACTCGCAACTCTAAACAGCGGCGAACTCCACCTGAAGCTTCCAAGCCTTCTAGCGTATCCTCTAATGCCCGCACGAGCGTCTCCTTCGGCAGTATCTCGCATCATACAGAAGCACGGTTGTTATGTCGATCCCGGAGTCTAGTTCCAAACCAGGGTCTGTACTACGAGTCCGGCTCATGGTCTCACGGGCTGAACCGCAATATCACGAAAGATTTAGATCTTGATCCTTACTTTCTATACAGCCCACCATAGCCAAATGTAAATGCACATCAACCCGACAATCACGAGCTCGTTGAAGTCTCAATCTTCCGGATAATCTTGGCCGGGTTACCCGCAACAACATGATACGGAGGGACATCCTGCATCGAGCGTCAATCAGAATCGACCATACGCATACCAATCAACACAATCATACCTTTGTGACTACACTTCCCGCCCCAACCGTAGACCCATTCCCGACCGTCACTCCAGGCAAGATGGTCACGTTCCCCGCAATCCAACAATCATCCCCGATGTTGATTTCCTTGCCTGTCTCCGGGCCCTCGAAGCCGTTGCGGATGTGAGGGTCCACGGGGTGCGTCCCGCTGTACAGGTGTACATTGGGGCCGAAGAGCACCCGAGCCCCAATATTCACCTTACAGGTATCAATGATGACACAGTTGGAATTGATGTACGTGCCTTCCCCGACCCGCACGTTATACCCGTAGTCCATACGAATGGGGCCGTCAACCCAGGGCTCCCGCCGCAGCTGGGCTTCATCCTCCGTTGGGTCGTCCTTTGGGGGAGGCAAAGGTGTAGTATCCTGAATGATGCTGGGATTGTGTTAAAGGCACGACATAGGGGAGGTCCACAATGTGGTCGGCAGCGCTGACAGCGACTCACTCTTTCCATAGTTCTACCAGACGCCGGCGAGAGACATCCTCCGCTGCATTGAATCGGCGACACGCCCGTACGCAACGAGCTCGTGCGGCGATGAGATCGGGGGTGAATGCGTAATAGAGTTCCCCTCGGCTCATCCTTTCGCGATTAAGCTGCAGTCCAGCTTCTGAGAGATCCATTTCTTCGTGTGACATATTCTTGTGGGATGTAATCCAAAGCCGAATGACGAGGAGCTCGCGGGACAACCCCGCAACCCGAGCCGCAGTATATATATAAAAGAACAGACCCCTCCAGACCCCGCGTGAACTCCGAAGCTCCATCTGAGCCTAGGTAACTACCTAGTAGATAATCATCGTGTTTTCCGACAGGAGAAGCGATCGTCATCAATGATAAGAGTGAAAGGGCAGCTCTTCAGTCGGGACGTCCATCTCCAGCGAACAATCGCATCCAGTGGATAAAGTATAAGAGATACCTAGTTTGTTCCGAACAGCTTTCATCATTTATTCTCTTATTATATCTAATTGTTCCATTATTACAATCAGTGCGACGTTTATGTACTCAATAGAATCTGACAGGACCGGAACTAACCGCATCGGTGAAAGCGGGAGAACAGCTCTCTCGGACATTAATATTGTTCTCCCGCAACCCTCTATTGTTCATCACCTATTATCTCCCTCTCCTCTGCCAACCCATACAGAGTATAAATCCCTCTCTACGCCATGTCTCCTCCATAAGCAAGACTCCCTCCACTCCCCAGCTCCTCAATCTTCGTCCCAATGTCCACAAACTCCTCCATTGACACGACCACCTGGCGTCCTCGCCCCAACCCATCATCCACCACGATGCCCAACCCACCGACAACAGCCCTCGACGCCTCCAACTACCCAGGGGGCAAGAAATCCCTCTCGGGCATCTCGCTGCGGGCCTTCCTAATCGGCACAACCCTCGGCCTCTCCGTCTCCCTCACTCTCATCCTCGTCCTCCTCACCTCCACACCCCTCTGGCGCGTCCCGTTCTTCCTCGCCGCGCTGAGCGTCTTTCACTTCCTCGAGTACTACGTAACAGCGGCGTACAACACCCGCCACGCATCGGTGTCCGCATTCCTGCTCTCGTCCAACGGTTGGGCCTACAATGCCGCGCACCTGTCCGCCGTCGCGGAGTGTCTCCTGGGCTGGGGGCTCTGGCCGACGAGCAGCTACTTCGCGTGGACGGGCGCGGTCGGCGGCGTCAAGGTGCAGGTAGTGGTCGGGGTTGCGCTGATGGTGCTGGGGCAGGTGGTGCGGACGGTCGCGATGGCGCAGGCGGGCAGCAACTTCAACCACACGGTGCAGGTGGAGCGGAAGGACGGCCACATGCTCGTTAGCCACGGGGTGTATGCGGTGCTGCGGCATCCGAGCTACTTTGGGTTCTTTTGGTGGGGGATGGGCACGCAGTTGGTACTGGGGAATGCGGTGTGTCTGGCTGGGTATGCTGTTGTACTGTGGAAGTTCTTTCACAGTCGGATTATCCGTATGTTGGTTCCTTCGCTAGATGGGTGAGAGAATTGTGCTAATGTGGTTTTGCAGGCGAAGAGAGGTTCCTGGTCGCGTTCTTTGGCGAGGAGTACGAGAAATACAGGAAGAGAACTTGGGTTGGGATTCCCGGTATTCGGTGATCGCTCTCTACTAGTACATATACGTACTATTGCTGTTCAGACGTGTATAGACTTGAATTTAAGTACCTTAATTCTAACTGCTTGACTATGCTGTAATCGCTCATGGTATCGAATGCTGCACCAAACGCCGTGGGGTCGCACCCCAGATGCGAAGCCACTAACGGACCAGCTCAAATGTACAAAGGAAAGGAATCATTCTAAAGCTTAGAGCTTCTTTCGGGGGCAACGGCACCCACGGCGCCGCTCATATACGCGCCCTGGGCATTGTCCGTCTCCGCGTTGTCTGGCTCGTTGCCAAACAAAATGAGCTCACGACCACCTTTGGTGCTCCACCAAGTGACACAGTAATGGGCGCGCTCCACGTCCATTTCGCCGTTGCTTAGTGCGTCCCAGAAGCGCTCAACACAGGCATGACGCATCTCCGGCTCGCGGATGGTGTTGATCAGGTTGGCTGCCAACGGAAGCCACTCTTCCAGATCCTCGACACGCAGGAAACAAAGGCCGTCGATCAAGGACATAGTCAAGGCCGCCTGCTCTGAAAGAGGTGTTGTCTGGCCCATGTTGGCGTCGGTGCCTCCCTGGGCTGACGGTGGCAGGGGGTCCGTGGGCGCATGCAGCGCGCGGTCGTAGAGGACTTCGAGGAGGATCGATGGGAGAAGTCGCTGTTTGTTTGCGATGGGCGAGGGAGGAGCAGTAACTTGGAGCACGGTCTTGAAAGCAAGACGGAATTGACGAATGGAGAGGTTTTGAGGGAATACCTATTAACAATCAGCAGGGTCATTGAGCCGAGTGGCTAGAATACTCACCGCGAAAAGGTTGTCGATATAGAAAGGTAGATGCTTGGCAGCGAGTGCAGCGTTCTCCGGAATTGCAAATACAGCAAGAACCACACTATGCGCCGCCTCAAAGATCTCCAGGAGATGGTTGTTCCCGCCGGCGGGGAGATAAGGACTGGCAGCGGATATGAGAAGTTCTTCGCTGAATTTGGAGGAGAGGACGGTAGTGAACAGCTCCGCTGTGTTCAGGAAGAACAAATCCAGAGTCCGTTCGAGAGGATGTGCCGGAATCTGACAAAGTTCGTTCGGCTTGATGCTCCTGAGGAAGTTCTCGGTGAGGTCGGGATACTGCGAAAGGATATCCACGGCCGTCAACGTAACGAACATATGTTGAGAGGAGGAGTTGGGTCCGATGCGAGATGATATGAAATACAGGTTTCGGAGTATGTGCAGGGATTGCATCGAGAGAAAAGGTGCGCCTGGCTGTCCGTCAGTATTGCGATTGGGTGGTTCGATGACTCGACTGCACTCACTTTGGTTGGCTGCTAATACAGGGTCGTTGAGCACCCTCCCCAAAACAGCTCGAAGCACAATCACCGCAGAATACAAGGTGTTACGAAGCAGTCTCCAGAGACTGGGGATGGTGTTCTTTAGTGATTCGGCGTCCAGAAATTCCGCTTCCTCTGCCCTATCCACCTCCGACAGCTTGTTTTGGCGCCACTGCACCATGAGCGTACGCACAAAGTCGGCAATAGTGTCGACCGATTTCGCGACGAGTCTTGGATTCTGGGCGTTCTCGACCGCGTGCGCTGTGAGCCGAGACAGCGGACCCAAAGCAGACACTAGCGGACTTGAGGAGATAGCTGTCACCCGCATGAAGGTGTCGGACTGCGCGGACCACTGAAATCGCTTCGCAGGGCCTTCAACAATATCCTTATCAACAGTGCCGAGGAAGTAGCCACCTTCCAGGCCCTCTGGTGAAATGTAGATCGCATCGATCATGACCGGCAACAAGCGGTCATAATCGAGCTTAGTGCGCTCGAAATCCGACAATAGTTCAAAGGAGTAGTTCAAGACCATAGTAACACAGAGTCCTTCAATCGGATTCTGAGGGTTCAGCTCCTGCAGAGCTAGTTCGGCGGCCGTCACCAGCGCGGATTCAAGCTTCTTGCGAACATTCCAAGGCAGACCTTGGCGATTCTGTCCCTCAAACCCCAGCAGGATTCCACCGATGAGTAACAGATGCCTCCACCGCGGGGACTTGTCGTCTGCTCCGCTGACAACTGCCTTGACCCATGCTTCGCGTTCGATTTTTCGTGGCCGACCGTAGGGTATCCGTGGGTCGTCCGATGCCTCGTTCTGAAGGATTGCCATGGCGGCAGAGTTGAAGACGCTGATGATCTTCCGACAGGCGTTCAGGTCGACCGGGTGATCCCATATTGCTGGTGCTGCTAGCAGCTGTGACGATAATAGACTCAAGTTCAACGGGTTTCCTAGGACGGACAACAGGCTCGTGGCAGTAGGGAGCAAGCTGTTCGACTGGTGTCAGTGGATGGGGCTGGGCCGACGAGCGGAGATGAACAATACGCACGTAAATGCATCCTGGAGATCAGCCGACGGGGACTGAAGGGACCGCAAGAGGGCCCCTAAAGAGCGCTCCGTAGCCATAGTGAAAAGCAGCTACCAATGCGCGGTTCACGACAGGAGCATGGAAGACAAGTGGAGAGACGGTAGTATCAGGGGAGGGGAGGTGTAGTACTAGTCCGGCGCAGGTTATCTTGTCTTACCGCGGAGAACCCCAGATCACCTGCCGAGGTTAGCAGCGACACCAGCAAACAATGCAAACAGAGAGCTCCCATTCCGATTTCCGTGGGTCTTGGCCACCTTTAGTTCCGACGATGCCAACAACCAACACGCGCATAACAACCTCGTCGGTTCTTCCCATCAGTTCAAATAGCCTCGGAATAGGTACCATGCTACATCACTCTTCATCGCAACACCGCCTCCGTTGACGAGGCGACGAGCTTGCGCACAATGGCCAACGTCCGGGTCCCAATCAATTACCAAACACCTGCGTTCCCGTCGCTTTATGATCCATTTCCGCGACCACATACCACGGCTTTCTACCTCTATTATACCAGTGACATCTGTCGATTTACACTATACTGGACTTTGATTTTCTACTCTGCCACTCATGCAGCTGTCGCAGCTTGGGCTGTGGCTATGCAATGCCGCACATGGCGCATCTCCCTAGCTATTCCGGTCGTCTATATTGTCATCGGATGTTTAGAGGCACTATTGGCCGGGAGCATTATTGGGGCCGTGTGAGTGGTTTTTCAAGTCCTTAATGGCCCATGACGAACTGCTACTGATATAATACCAGTCTCGGGAGCGTCTACGAAGCGGGGAATTTTCGAATGTCAACATGGATCCCCATGATATGGGGTGGCATCAACGTGCTAGTGCTCATACTTTCTAGCTTTCCCATGCAGGGTGGTCTGTGATGGATTCATTAACATGTCGCCAGCAGCTACAACCTGCGGCGACGTAATTGCAGCCCAGATATCTACTAGCCACGCCCGTATCACATCCTGAAAACTGGTGTCGCTATAAATACACGCCCTCCAAATCGCCCCCATACGCCAGTCACCTCCAGAAAATTCAACAACCGCACAGTAGCCCAGAATTATCTTCCAAAGCGGTTATTGGGCGTCCCACCTCCCTGTAAGCCAGGAAGACCGCCAGCACCCATTTGGGGCATAGCGGGGAAGTTTTGGGGGAAGCCTTGTGGCAGGGAGATCCCCTGGGAGAGAAGCTGCTTCTGTAGTTCGGCGAGGTCCAGGTTCGCCGGCGGTGTGCCCGACAATGCAGGAAGCAGAGGGAACCCGGGGAGTCCAGTGTTTGGTGGGAAGTTGTTTGCTTGGGGTGGTGGTTGCGAAGACAAGAGGGCAGCCAGACGGCTGGGATCCATCGGAGGCATAGAAGCTGGCATTCCAGCCTGCGGAGGAGGCTGTGGCGCGCCAATGCCCGGAAGCAGTTGAGAGCCCATCCCATCTTGCTGAGGCCCGCTGCCAGGAGGTGCGATCTGAATTCCAGGGAGAAAGGAACCGGCGGATTTCTTCTGGTCGACAAGGCTCTCGGCCTCGTCCTGAAGCTCCTGTTCCTCCTCTTCACGCATTTGTCGTTTGCCAAAGCCTCTATTCCAAGTTCCTTGAGCTTCTGCGGCTTCTTCGCCGATGTGGAATCGGTCCTTCATGTAGCTCGTCTCACCTGGTCGCGCACGAGACCAGAACCGTGTGAAATTGTCTTTAGAGCCAGATGCAAGAATGTGACCAAGCGGATGCCAATCCAATGACCAAATTGTCGCACTGTGTGCATACTGGATGCGATGAGCAGGATAGATGACCTGGGCCGGGGTGGTCGTGGGGTCTGTACTATTGTATGGTGCGATCGTAGGGACCTGCCCCGACGGCACGTTAGGTTCATCGAGTAGATAATGGTATAGCGACCCGTCTTCACTGCCGGTGGAGATGAGCGTGCTGTGGATAGGATGCCACGTAAGAGAAGAGACCGGCTTTTCATGACCCCGAAGAATGCAGATGTCACGCATCATACGCAAATCAAATACCCTGGCCGTCTGGTCGCGCGACGAGGTCGCCAGAAGATTGCTATTCACTCGCGAAAATCGGGTAGTTGTCACGGTATTCTTGTGGCTGTGCAGCGTAGTCAAACATCTTGTGGTTCGAGGGTCCCAGAATTTGACCTGGTGATCTTTCGAGCCGGAAACCAACAAGCCCTTGGTGGGGTGCCAATCGCAAGATTTGACATCCCAGTTGTGGCCAGTCAGAATGGTATCCGCAGTTCGAGAGGTGAAATCGAAGATCTTCAGCGTGGTGTCATCAGACGCGGAGAGGAATTTTGTGTCGCTGGGAGACCATGCGAGATCGCGGACTGCATCGTGATGCGCATCATCAATCGTTTCGACGTTGTTGAAGTTCGGACGCCAATATTTGATATCTCCCTTCTGTCCTCCCGAAATCAGCCAGTCGTGACTGTGGGACCAAGATATCGAGGTGACACCCGCTTGCAATTGGTCGTAGTGGGCCTGTTCACAAAATCAGCAAGACTGATGGTCCCTGCAGAAGATCCAGGATCACGTACATCCATGACGGTTTCAAAATTGAACGCCGTTCCATTCCATAGCATGAACTCTCCCGTATGTCCGCCGGTCAAAAGACGTCTTCCCTCTGGTGTCCATCTGACCACTGTGATCGGTTTTTTTGATTTACCGATTGACTGATGTAAATGTCGCACGGGGATAGTGTCCGCTGGGGAATGCACTCGAGCCAAAGGAGGGAGCATCTATCCAACAACAGTTCCGTTAGCTCACTTCCACACTGATATTAAAGCATTGGATGGAAGCTTACATCCACGACGTAGCTCGCGCTGGGTCTTTCCGTCTCCATCCGATGACCTCCTTTGTATCGCGGTCGTCGCGTGCGCATCCACTGTACGAGAGACGAGCCATAATCGGTGACGAGTCCTAGCAATGCGAGGTTAGCTGGGTGAACTGGTAGACAAAGAAATGCCAACGTAGGGCGAGATGCGAACGTACGCGGACGTCGCGGTCCTAAAATTCCGCCTTCATAGGATTTGGGAGGTCTTCCATAAGGCTGGGAGTCGCCTCCCGATTCGTCATAGTAGGCCATGATCGGAAAAGTCGTGGGGGTCCAGATGGGAGTTTGGAGGGAACAGCCGCCAGAAGCTAGCAGACGAGACAAGAACCGGCGAGAGTCGTGACCATGACAGGGATGAGAGAGTGGGGACGGCGAGAACGGGCTGTTACACACGTCGCAGATAATCTGAGTTCTTTATCGAGCTAAAATAAGCAGACAATGGGGTGGCAGGGGCCGTCAACGACGAGGGGAGCTCAGCACGGGGAGCATTCTTTGCAGTCGGAGACGATCCAGAATGGCTTGTCGGACGTTGACTTTCGGCCCAGCAACACGACTGCGACCCGTTATTGGCCGGCGTGCCCACTTAATGGCCGAGCACCTTACCCAAGTTGGGATGACGGGCCTCACCACCCCCCGGTCATCTCGAGAGGCCTTTGCTCAACTTCTGTCGCAATCAATCATGCCGGGTTCCCTGATAACCCCGCCATGCTGCTCCTGTTTCTCCTCCCTTCCTGAAACCCCGTTACAATCTCCTCTGACCGTCGTGTCATGAGTGATCCAGTCCCTTCTCGCCTTATTGTTACCTCCATGCCCCGAGGCAATCACCCTCTCCGCAATTGAATCGAGTGAGATATCCACTGTCCTCCTCTCGCGCTCCCTATCGGCTTCGGGATCTTCCGCCATAGGCCACAATTCAATTTCTTCCTTCGACTCGGAGACAACATGGTGATGGACACACAAACCACAGCATCCGCCACCAGCACGGCGCTCACGACCGACCACACTGTTGCCTCTCGGACGTCCCGCTCTGAGCCGAACGGTGGTGTGCATAATGTATCGTCACCTCCAACGAGCGAACCGACTGGGGGAAATGGCGGAGGCCGGCGAAGGAGTAAATACCGGCATGTCGCAGCGTACCATTCCGAAGTGCGCCATTCCAGTCTCAGTCGGGAATCGAATACTTCTCCGAGTTTCCTCGGATTCCGGAACCTCATGGTAATCGTATTAGGTGAGTGCCCTAGTGCTCTCCTACGTTTTGTGAACCCGACGGAGAACTCATACGGGTCGCGACTAGTTGCTATGAATCTTCGATTGGTTATCGAGAATTACGTGAAGGTGTGCTACTGTGCGAAACGCCATATCTACGTACAGAGCTAATGTGTCATAATAGTATGGGGTCTTGATCTGCATCAGATGCCACGATTATCGAAAGCAGGACGTTGTCCTGGGCTCAATGTTATTTGCTCTCGTCCCATGCCAGCTATTCATCGCCTACCTCCTGGAATTGGCCGCAGCGGGTAGGGCCAAACAGACTGTGGGCCGAAAGAAAAAGGACGGATCAGCCGAGGAGGGCGAACGTGAAGCACGTGCTTTTCGACACATCTGGCGGTTTGCATTGTCCTTTCACATCCTCAACATTGTTCTCAATCTCGCCGTCACGAGCTTCGTTGTGTATTACTACATCCACCATCCCGGCATTGGTACGCTCTGTGAAGTGCATGCGATCGTTGTCGCGTTGAAAAACTGGTCCTATGCGTTCACCAATCGGGATCTGCGAGAGGCGATGCTTAATCCCTCGGCGGAGTCGGCGCTTCCCGAGATCTATTCCAGCCTCCCGTACCCGAAAAACATCACGTTAGGAAATCTAACGTACTTCTGGCTTGCACCGACACTGTTGTATCAGCCAGTATACCCCAGGTCGCCTTCCATCCGATGGCCATTCGTGGCCAAACGCTTGTCGGAATTTGCGTGCTTGTCGGTGTTCATTTGGCTACTTTCGGCCCAATACGCTGCGCCAGTTTTGCGCAACTCCATTGACAAGATTCGTGATATGGCATATGCATCCATTTTTGAGCGCGTTATGAAGCTATCCACCATCTCTCTCGTCATTTGGCTGGCTGGGTTCTTTGCGATTTTCCAATCACTCTTGAATGCTTTGGCGGAGATCATGAAGTTTGGCGATCGGGAATTCTACACCGATTGGTGGAATAGCCCAAGTCTCGGTGTTTACTGGCGGTCATGGAATCGGCCAGTGTACCAGTTCATGAAGCGGCACGTATATTCTCCGTTGATAGGGCGGGGGTACAGCCCGTTTGTGGCAAGCACTGTCGTATTCACCATCTCCGCTCTCCTTCATGAGCTCCTCGTGGGGATACCCACGCACAACATGATAGGTACGATTCTTTTTATAAGCCTTGCAAGGACTCCACTAACCGGAATAGGCGTCGCGCTTGTTGGAATGCTGTTCCAGCTCCCGTTGATCGCCATCACTGCCCCATTGGAAAAGATGAAAGATCCATTGGGTAAGGTAATTGGCAATTCCATATTTTGGGTAAGCTTTTGCGTTGTTGGACAGCCCCTGGGAGCACTGCTGTATTTCTTTGCCTGGCAGGCAAAATATGGCAGTGTGAGCAGGATGGGCAACTGAGGTATCCTTTCATATAAGACGAATTATATAAGGTCCGAGTCCGTTTGATATATCTAGAGATATCTCGCGTATCAAGAGCAATTTAATTGAGAGCAGTTGCAGCTACCTTCTATGCCTCTAAATACGAGTCTTTCACTTTCCTCTAGCCCTATAACTTCTACCTTCTCTTCACCTGCCCCCTCTACTCTACTCTCCAAAGTACTTAAAACCTCAAAAGGGCGTAAATCCATCAATTACCACATTTCCCTGCCAACTGTACAACCTACCAGAGATTCAACTTCGCTCGAGAACAATCAGTGTCGTAAATCGTTCTTTGTACTGGGAGCATGGACTGGCAGATGTCTCGCGCCTGTCCCGCTAGGGGGAAGTGAGGCACAGGAGAAACAGGGCGTAAGAGAATTCTCTTACAAATCAACTTCTAATCACAATAGAAATGCCAGTCTATGTGCATAGAGAGAAATGGAATGTTCGATGAGCTGCAGAGTAGGTATACTCCTAGCATGGTAATTGGTCGTGAGGCAGTCGGAACGACAGGTTTGGCCGTGGACGTTCCAAGTCGGAATCGGATCGATGGTTGGCCCGACAGGAAGAGCTTTCCCCGGATTCCGGCCACGAATTTGACGTCAGCCAGCAGCCGCCTAGGCCTTTCCCCTACATATATATTTCTCAAGCCACCCGCTATCACGAGATCAATATAATTGTCATCGCCGTGTTATTATTGATCCCTCATCACACTGTGAATAACCCGACTGCTTCACCATGCCTGTCATCGTCCTTCCTGAGAATTACGGGTACCTCTCCCCCAGAATCCAGAGTTCTGCTCAGTTCTAATCAATATCTAGATATGTCATTGCCGTTGCACTGGGAGCCATTCCTGTGCTGAGTTTCGTGCACGGAAATATCACCACTGGACTCCGCAAACCCGCCAAAGTTCCTTACCCCCACAGCTATGCGACCGTCGAAGAATGCAAGTCCAATGTGAGCAATCCTTCTCCTATCATGGCATCTTTGAGTCATCGCACGAGGGCACGCAAGACCCAGAAGGAAGTCACTAGTACTAACAGACCCAGGCCAAAGCGGAACAGTTCAACTGCGCCCAGCGTGCCCACGCCAACTTCCTCGAGAACGCGCCCCAGACGATGCTCTTCACCCTTGTCGCCGGTCTGAAGTACCCCCAGCTGGCGACGGCTCTGGGATCGGGATGGCTCGTGCTGCGTGCGCTCTTCCTCTACGGATACGTCTACTCCGGTAAGGCGCAGGGCAAGGGCCGATATCTGGGCGGGTTCTTTTGGTTTGCCCAGGCTGGTCTCTGGGCACTGAGTGTGTTCGGCGTGGGGCGGGACTTGATTTCTTCCTGAACTGAAAAGTGATGTATATTTGACTGGCGACGACAATTTGTGATAACGCTGCTACCCGGTAGTTGAATAATAATGATGATCGGAATTTGTTACTTCTCTCTTGGAGTTTTTGTTTTTGTTTACGCTTGTATTGCCTCGGCCGAGGTGTGGCTGCCCCACCTTCGAAATGTGGCTGGTGCATGTGGCGGATGCCGCGTCTTATCGAGATCGATATCGATTTTTTGCCGGGCATTGAAGGTGCTTCAGCCTGCGGACCAAGTTGCCAGCACCGAACCATTGCTTGAGTTCGACTAAGTTTCTTTGCTTTTTCTAATCCTCTCAATTTAGGTCTGTCTACCCATAAGCCCGTCCTTTCCAGCTCCCTCATTAACGCCACATCCCACAGCTGCACCCCGCATTACCCCTCCATCGCCGACCATGTCGTCCAAGTCTCAATTGACCTACGGCACTCGCGCCCGCACGCACCCGAACCCGCTGGTGAAGCGCCTGTTCGAGGTGGCGGAGGCGAAGAAAACGAACGTGACGGTCTCGGCGGACGTGTCGACAACGAAAGAGCTGCTGGATTTGGCTGACCGTAGGACTCCCGCCGCAGCCATAGACTCGGGATACTAAACGCGGACGACAGGCCTCGGACCGCACATTGCCGTGATCAAGACGCACATCGACATCCTCTCGGACTTTAGCGACGAGACGATCCGCGGGCTGAAGGCGCTCGCGGAGAAGCACAACTTCCTCATCTTCGAAGACCGCAAGTTCATCGACATCGGCAACACGGTGCAGAAGCAGTACCATGGCGGCGCGCTGCGCATCTCCGAGTGGGCGCACATCATCAACTGCAGCGTGCTGCCCGGCGAGGGCATCGTGGAGGCTCTCGCCCAGACCGCCGCGGCGCAGGACTTCCCCTACGGCCCGGAGCGTGGCCTGCTCATCCTTGCCGAGATGACCTCCAAGGGATCGCTGGCGACGGGCCAGTACACGACCGCGTCGGTGGACTACGCGCGCAAGTACAAGAACTTTGTCATGGGCTTCGTGTCGACCCGCTCGTTGGGCGAGGTGAGGTCGGATGTGAGCGCGCCGTCGGACGAGGAGGACTTTGTGGTGTTTACTACGGGCGTGAACCTCTCGTCCAAGGGGGATAAGCTCGGCCAGCAGTATCAGACTCCCGAGTCGGCGATTGGCCGCGGAGCCGACTTCATCATTGCGGGTCGCGGCATCTATGCGGCGGCTGATCCGGTGGAAGCTGTCCAGCGGTACCAGAAGGAGGGATGGGAGGCTTACTTGAAGCGGGTCGGGGGTAACGGTAACTAATTTAGTATAGCATCGATGATGAGCATGAAGAATTATGCTGGTTGGAAGTCCGTTGAAGCGTGTTGATAGGATAGATAGGTAACTCGTACTACTTGATAGTATCAGCGGTCATGCCATGGCATTGAGATGATAAGCACCCGCCAAGATCGTGGTGGATTCCTAGTTTGTCGCTGATAAGACCCACTGAGCAGATAGATAACAGCTACTGGCTGGATGAAGTTTCAATCAACGGGCAAGAGGAATTCATATATCAAGACATCCTGTAGTAGCGAGACAATCCCTTCGGAGGTAAATCTGGAACCCGAAAGATGGCTCCCTGCATCAGTGACAAGCCAAGGCCAATGGCCGAAGCCTATATTGATTACATCTCTGGCGATCCCGTGGCGTTGGTGTTTGGAGATGTGATAAGAGCGTGAGCAGAGATCTCCTAGCCATCTCTGCCTGTTGAATCACTCCAATAATAATACTATCAATACGAATGACGACAGACTGGGTGATGGAGTCGGCAAAGTCATCGTCCAATGGACAGTACTAAGAGTGCTGTTCTCCTCTTTCCCCTCACCCTTGGCCAAACTCACGCGACGGAAGCATGCCGCCCCCATTCCTCGCCACACGGCACAATATTGGCACTCAGTGATAAGCTTGCTTGTCCCTCCTCGGCAAAGTCTCCACGCTAGTTTCTACTACCCCAGATATCAGCGGCTTATCATCGGGGCACTTCCATGCACGCGAACCCCGATCAGGAAGCTGAGATAACACCACTCTGAGCGCGATGACCTAACTAACCCCTTGTGCCGCACCCGTGCGTGAGGAGAGAGGGTAGCCTTCTGTGTAAATAGTTGCCAACCCCTCTTACCTCTGCTCTTCTCCTCCCATTCCCGCCCCATCCCCGGCTTACACCCCCCTACGGACATGGCAGACGAAAAAGAAGTCTACCCGCCCACTGCGGTGGACGTGGAGAAGGACACATCGATGAAGATCGACCCAAAGTTACAAGAACACGCACAGGATGCGGACGAGGCCCTCAAGGCCTTTCAGGAGCTTCAAGGTGAAACAATTGAGCTGGATGAGGCGACAAACAAGCGACTCTTGCGGATCATTGACTGGAGGATGATGCCGATCATGTGTTTCGTCTACGGGATGAATTATCTGGACAGTATGCTGTTCCTTTTGGATCCTTGCGACTGCCCGGGTATCTAATGGCCATCAGAAACCACGTTATCATACGCCAGCGTGATGGGAATCAAAGACGATATCAATCTCAAAGGCGACCAGTACCAATGGCTGGGCAGTCTGTTCTATTTCGGTGAGTCCTCCCCCATATGTGATAACATTGATTTCGTGCTCCATGTGCTAATAAACATAAAAGGCTACTTGGCTTGGGAATACCCAACCAACCGACTCCTCCAGCGCCTGCCCCTCGGCAAATACTCCGCAGCATGTATCATTATCTGGGGTTCCATTCTCTGCTGTTTCGCCGCGGTCAATAACTACCCCGGTGCCATTGCTATTCGGTAGGATCAGTCACCCCGATCCTCCACACCATACTGACAGCGATAGGTTCTTCCTCGGTGTGTTTGAAGCGTCTGTTACGCCGGGCTTCGCGCTTTTGACTTCCCAGGTAAGTACCTGCAACGACATAGACTACCGAGATCCTAACATGGTAAAGTGGTACACCAAAGAGGAACAGGGCAGCCGTGTCAACATCTGGTTCAGCTTTAATGGCTGGGGTCAGATCCTCGGAGGCTTCGTCGCGTACGGTATCGCCGTTGGAACCGCCAAACACGGCTCCTCCATCGAGCCCTGGAAGATCGTCTTCCTCATCACCGGTCTGCTGACCGTCGTCCTGGGTCTGGTCTTCCTCTGGGTCGTCCCAGACAGCCAGCTCAACGCGCGGTGGCTGAAGAAGGAAGACCGCATTCTGGCGGTGGCCCGCGTGCGGGCCAACCAGCAAGGAATCGGAAACAAGCACTTCAAACTGTATCAGGTGAAGGAAGCGCTGGTCGACCCGATGACCTGGGCGTTCTTCTTCTACGCGCTCATCGCGGATATTCCCAACGGTGGAATTACCAACTTCTTCAACCAGCTGGTAAGTGTACCTCGACTTCGCCAGTTCATCCTTCATCTAACAGCCCAAAGATCACCAGCTTCGGCTACACGGCAGAGCAAAGTCTGCTTTATGGCGCTCCCGGCGGCGCGGTGGAAGTCATCGCGCTGGTGTTGAACGGAATCGTCGGCCGGTACACCAGCCAGCGTCTCCTCTGCAGCACAGGAGGACTGATCGCGTCGATCATCGGCATGGTCCTCATCGTGGCCTTGCCTTTGGATAACAACGTCGGCCGTCTCATCGGCTATTACATGACGCAAGCGAGTCCCACGCCGTTCGTCGCTCTGCTGTCCATGGTGTCGTCCAACGTAGCCGGCTACACGAAGAAGACCACTGTGGCGGCGCTGTACCTGATCGGATACTGCGCGGGCAACATCATCGGTAGGACCTCGACAACTACAAGAATTAGGTATCTCATGCTAACACGTCCCGTTCTCAGGCCCCCAGGTCTTCCGCCCTAAAGACGCCCCGCGCTATATCCCCGCGGAGATCACCATCATCGTCTGCTGGGGCGTCTGTGTCTTCCTCATTCTATTCATCCTGTGGTGGTACAAGAGACAGAATGCGAAGAAGGCCGAGGCCCGCGCGAGTCCTGATTACGTCCGTCTCGAGAACCAAGAGTACGTCTCGTCTTTACCGAGGTGGAGTGCCCTGCTGACTTTCATAGATTTTTGGACCTTACGGATTGGGAGAACAAGGAGTTTGTTTACGCATTGTAAATATGGGATGACGTTATGTCCTGATTATATGATCTTCTGTCTTATATAGGCTGGTATATAGCATCTCTTGAAATGACGACTGGGTCATTGTCCCGCAAGCCTAGAACCTCGTAGCTATATAGCCTGTCTCGGTCCTTGATCTCTGGGGCATTCTCTGCACCTCGGGCTCATCTGTGATCCCGACCTCTCAAACGATTGCGTCATGGTCTTCCCAAATGGCTTGAAGCTATCCGCTGAATCTATCCTGTCGGTGAGTCCGTCGGACCAACGAAGAGCTCGTGCCATAGAACATGTACGTCATCATCGACAGTTGAGACTCAATTATCGGATAGAAGTGCGCAGGCGGCCTTAATCAGCTGTCGAGTTCTTGTGGAGAGAGAGGAGCTGATGAGGCTCACAGGTGTTTCGGGCTCCTTGTTCGAGTGTCTGGCGGAAGATGAGGGGATCGTGGGTGATGTTGTTTATCAGTTTGGGTGTAAGGATAATGTGCGCTGTGCTGGTAGGTTGGGCTGTCGCGTGGGGAAGGAGAAATTAGGAGACGGAGGATGGTGGTAGGGGAGGGAAGATCTCGGTGTCGTTGAGTGGGTTGGGGAGGACGATGGGGGGTCGAAAGCCTAGTTCTCGCGAGCTTGGGTGGGATTATTGTTCTTGTGGTTTCTGGGGATAATGGGAATTTCTAGTTTCTATATTACAGCTTTTTGATAATCGATCTCCAGATGTGCAGACCTCAGCAAAGACCAAAACAAATCAACAAGCCAAAATAAGCCTTCATTTAGCTACTGAGTGACATGTGCATAGTACGCAAAGGAGTGTACGAACACGAGGTGTAATGGTTTCAAAAGGATTGATTTAGTTGGATTCTTGTTGGCCACTTCTCACAGAGACATCAGAGTACAGGAACAAAGTGGACAGCAATTTGTTTGTCTCAAAGAATGGCCCGCGCTCCAGGGCATACATGATCAAGCTAAAACAGACAGACAAAAGACACAGGTACATTCATCCAGACAGAGCTATCCACTCCCCTCTCTCCCTCCCAGTGCCAGCATCGTAACCATGTCGTCGTCGTAGTCGTATAGTTGATATCACGGAACAGCGAAAGACGCAAGAATGATCGAAGACGTCGCATCGCCGCAGACTGTGACTCACTCGGCCGCCAACCCCCAGTTAGTATCATGATCAGGTATCAAAGCAGCGAAGTTAGTGGTCACTCACCAAAGGTAAGAAAAGAAGAAGAAAGAATCGTTACCAGAACACAAACCGCGGTCTGATAACCCAGGCCCGTCCCAACCACCCAGCCAAGGGCCCAGTATATGCCGGTTGAATGCCCTGTTGTCTTTGTTAAGAGAGAGATGTTTCTGTCTTGCCTGTTTTTTTTTTCTTCGGTCTCGTCTTGTTTTTGCAGACCGAGCTTCTTTTTTTTTCTGTTGCCCACCACCCTTCCCGAGAGTTGAAGACAGAAACGGTTGAAGGGGAAGGGGAACGTGTAAGATAGGGAGTAGATTGAAAGAACGGATTGGGTAAAGGGGGTAGATAGCAAAGAGATTGTTAGAAGAAGGCAGGAGGACGGAGACACCATGGGGGGGGCCCACGGTGTGTCCGTCCTGTGTAGGAGGGAAGAAGAAAGTGGACGGGGTTTGGGAGGAGACGAGGTATTTATACAGGGGACTTGGGGCCTGAGGCTGGTTGATGATGGCAATTCACCGTCACTGACGTCGGAAGGTGCGTCCAGCGGAATAACGGCTTCGATGACTGCGCCTCACCATGAAGCAACACTTCGTCGTTGGATCGTCAGATGGAACAAAAGACCTTTCTACATAGGTGGAGCTATGTCATACTGACCATTATTCCTTGCCTCGTTATGCAATTGTTCTAGTCTTCTTTTAATAAAACTGATGTTGATGCAAGAGTGCCGCCGACACAGGGCATGACATGTTCTATATAGACAGTGATACTATAGGAAGAAATTGACTCGCATAATTCTCAGACGTCCTTGTGTATGATCCTGTTGTTGCTTGCAGTATTGATAGTAGGAGACATGCAGTGCATGAATTGAGGCTTATAAGCCGTATTTCATGCGCAGAGTACCTGGATCTAGGTAGCGTATGTCGTCCAATGACGTCTGTACCATGATGCTTCAGAGACTTGTATACCGACTGATCGGGAACGCCTGCTTTGTCCACGTGAGACTCCTAGATTCTAAGTCATGGTATGTCACTACGGAGTACGAAGCGTGGCAGATACTGAAGGTCTGGCTCAAGAAATGCTGTATATTGAAGTCAAAGATGTGCATATTGACGTCTGGAGGATCTTAGGCATGGAGTGTACGGGGTAGGTACAGGTGGGGATTACTTGCTGCAGGAGGGAGCTAGCTTGATCTGGTTCTATGAGTGAGTGTGTATGTAGAAGTGAAACGGCTTGATCTGTCTCAGACACAGTGCTTGATCCTACCTGAACCTGCACCCCATACAGAAGGTATCAAACATCAATATCAATATCCACCATGTCTGATAGGTCCACTAGTCTACTCTGGATGGGGAGATCGGCCCATACCGCTCCCGCCCCACCTGGACTGGCGGTGAAGCGGACAGACAAATAAAACCGGCGGCGCGGGGCACGCATGGTGGGGGAGGCAGACGATCTTCAGTCTGGACTCGGGCCTTGCGCCACTGCACGGTTTCTCCCGACGAGCAGTTCTCATGGATGCCTGAAACAGAGTCAGCATGCAGGGACGCGGATCCGGACGATGCAGGGGAGAAGTCAGATATCGTCCAAAAAAGACCTTTGAGAGTCATTCTAATGTCTTACAGAGCACCAGTCGGTTCCTCCACGGCTCCACGAAAACACCTGTGGACTCTGAGAGTGGATGAGAATGGGGTTTCTCCTGGGGCCATACCACATTCTTCTTAGTGTCTTGGAGTGACAGTTTTTTTTTTTTCTACTTGTAGAACTAACCGCCGACGTGGACCTACTACTGACGCAAAGGGTCCAGTCGGTGAGAATGCCACTAACTAAATCGACTCCAATTATTACTAGTACGCCGTATTATGATCAGGATTTAAGAACCAGCAGAATTCTCGTTTTTGCCTGGTGGTGTCTACAGTACATATATCATGGCGAACTGACCGCACTCTGCGTTGCCCACCTGACCCTCTTCCCCCTCCTTGTTTCCTCTTGGCCCTCGTTTTCTCCCTCTTCCGTTCACTTTCACTTTCACCATGAGCCTTGGTTCTTGGTTCCGTGCTTGATCCCATCACATGGGCTGGTCTTCATGATGGTTCCTCTCCCTTAAAGAACCAGTCAAAGGACCGAATGGCGGATCCATCGACCATACAGATTCCAGCCCTAATCTTATCCTTCGTGCTCCTCTATACTTCCATTGATCATTAGTATTGTCTATTGCTTCGCCCTGCAAGAACACGGCCCCCTTTCCTTTTCTACTCTCTTCTTCTACCTCGGAATCCATCTCTTCGGAATCCTTCTCCCCCTTGTCCTCTTGGGTTGGATGGTCGGTTGATCCCTTCGTCGCTGCCTACGCCTGACTGGTGCCATTTGGCACCCGGACATGTGAAGTCGCCTGGACACTCATTTTCGTCTTCTCGTCGCTCACTCGACCATCGGCAAACAATGACCGTCTCATTCACATGTTCTCGCCATCTGGACCCCGGCGCCAACACCACCGTTTCTTATAACACCACTAGCCGCCCACTCCACTCTACTTCTCTCGCCACGCCCCCAGCAACCGCCAAACATGGCCAGCCCTATCTGGTGCATTCAACGTCTCCCGACCTTTCCTTCCAACACGGTTCTCCTGACCTGCAAGCCATGTCCAACCTGAAAACCACTGTCAACATCGCCGAGATTACCGTGGATGCCGACTCAACGCCCCCGAAGGGCCGTCCCATCAAGCCCTCCATGGAATTCGGCTCAAACCTCCCCACCAACCACCCGGGACATGAGACGCCACCATCATCAGGTCCAAGCAGTCGTCGCACTCCCAAGCGAAAACGAACCGTGTCTCCACCATCGCCGTCCGGCAAACCGGCTGGGGACCATGGCCGGTCCGCATCTCGGAGCACTCAACGCTCAGCGGTGACTAGTCGTCGCAGCTCTTTACATTCGCATCGTCGTGTGGCTACGAATGCATCCCTCACTCCTTCCATGTCCGCGCAGGATCCAGAAATCCGACGGGAGGATCTCCTCGCTCTGCATCGCGAGTCTTGCCGACTATTCCAAGACCACGGACTCGCTGTATCGACCCAACACAAACCCTCCCCTTCGTCGTCGGCACCTCAGAGTCCACCACGGACCATTCGAGCGTCTTCCGAGATTGGCTCCGCCCCCGTCTCTCCCATACTTCCTACCCGCGCCTCTGTTTCGAGCCGTGGTGGGCGGGTCCCTCCACTAAGGACGAACTCCGTCCCAACAACTACCTACGAAGAACACTGCATCTCTCCCATTCAGACCTCCGCAACCGTCATTGACTGGACCTCTCCATCCACCCGGCGACGTGAGTATGAGAAGATCGACCGTGCCAGCAGCGGGGTCCGCGGGCTCTGGCGACGGGTCGCCCCCCAGTGGTGTCAGTTCGGCGACAGTCGGATGCCGTTCTTTGAAGAAGGGAAAGACGGCAAGGGGAACTACGAGGGCAGCGTACGGAGATTTCGCATGGACCTCCCCGACGAGCCAGGCGTCGAAAACAAGCGGGGGCCCATGAAGGCTTTGAAGCTGAAGCGGAGGTTTACTGTTGGACGGCGGGATCGTCGATGAAACTTGGGCTTGTGTTGTTGAATATTGGTTGATCCTTGACGATTTTGCGTTAAGCCTGGCGCTTGCATCAGACTTGGTCTACTCCTTGGTGAGTGCGGGGCGTTGACCGCACCGGGCCGAGTCTGGGCGATTCTTTTGAGCATGGCGTGCTTTGTGATACCCAATATCATAGACTGAACATTCCTATTGCATAGTTCAAACGTTTCCTAGAAAATGTCATACCCGCATACGTATATACCAACTTTTGACCATAACGCCATGACTGATGCACGTACAAGTAACAAAGCAAAGAAGGGTATTTATCTGTTTCCCACCAACCCATCACAGCAGATCAAAGTCATCCAGCTTCTCCCGGTACCGCATGATATTCCGCTTGATCTTGCTGCTGTCCACCCAGGTGACATAATCCTCCATATTGCGCGTCACCAGGAACGCCGGGTCCGTGACGACCTCGCTGCCGACCCGCACATGGCCCTGCTCGATAAACGTGACCGCCTGCACTCATCAGCACCGCCGCCACTCACATAATACCTCAAACGGCAAGAGAAAGGGGAAAAACGTACAGTCTTGATATTCTCCACCATCCCCGTCCGCACCATGATAACCCCCAGCCGCCGCCGACAAAACGCCGACACGGTCACCTCGCGCTCCACGCGCGACAGGCCCGCCCCCTGCTCGCGGCTCTGCTTCAGGATCCCCAGGCGCCACAGCTTGTCCAGCACCTCCGACTCGATCTTCTTGCGCGTCGGGTCGCTGTCCGGGTCCAGCTGCGAGAGCTTGTGCGCCAGCTGGCGGAGCCCACCGCACAGAGCGTTGTACTTTTTGTAGTCCATCGGTTGGAGGTGGTACCGTGCCGTCACCTCGTGTTCGCGGTGGCCGCCATCGGATTTGTAGGAGTGGAGGTCGACCTTCCGGAGGAGTCTGCATGTCGTTAACTTTTTGGAGTGTTCTTGGGTGGGTGGTGGGTGCGTACTTCTTCTCGTGGTGTTTGAATTGGCGGACCATCTTGGCGGGCGGTTTTCGATGGTTGTGTGTATTATATTGTGTAAAGGATGGAAAAGAGGAGAAGGGAGGTGTGGGTGTTGTGAGGTTTGACCGGTCTACTGCTTCATCTTGATCTGGATAAAATTTGGATGGGATGGAGGGCGGTGTGGGTTCTGCCGGGGTTATTGTGCAAACAGTGCAAACAGACAACATCCCATGAGCTCCATCTCCAACCACTGATTGATTTGCGTATAAGAAGGACAGTCTTTGTGTTGGCTCAAGTACATATTACAAGGTTAGACTCTCTTGGGAGATTACGGTCATGCCTACGAGGTTACTCGAAACATGGGGTGTTTCTCCGTCGAAAGACCCGGAGCTGCGGAACGTGGACATCACTGGTAACGAGACTGATGTTGAGAAAAACCAGAAGCAATTCAAATTCTGGCATTTCCTGAAGACAGACTGTTTCTTGTGTCTGTGGACGTAGAGAGAGCAAGGGAGAAGTGCCGTCTTATAGGCACCCGGCCAGGCAAGACAAAATGAGAGGGCCCCAGAACGGAGCTGCAAAGGGGTGCCATTTTCGGCGTGGTTTGGGTGCAGGTGGAACCGTAGGGAAGGACTACTTGTCAAAGAGCGCCAACTTCATTGCCAGACAGTGAGTAAGAGTGCTGGCCTCCAAAGTGGTCCTTTCATTTTCAACGTCGATAAGGTAGACTGGACTATCGAATGTGGTGTTGCTTATCGATAAGAGGCTTGGCACTCCGACCCATCTCTCGTTATCTCCGACTCATTCTCCGCATCAACTCGCATCCCCGATCACCACAGAATAATGATGAATCCCCCATGGATACATGACCATGGACTTCGATTCACCCACCCAGACGAGAACTTCCTCTCCCGCTCGAGACTACAACCCCCGCAAGCGTGGAAGAACGGCTTGCACTCGCTGCAAGACTCGTAAGCAGAAAGTCAGTGGCGCATCCTTTTTCCGAGTCGCATGCCGTGTCACCGCACCACATACTAACCCCGTCCAGTGCGACAACGAATACCCCGTCTGTTCCAACTGTCAAAAGGCCGGCGCAGATTGCGACAAAGCTACCGTGCGGCAGGAGAGTGGACAGCAGAATGAGTCAGTCGCTGTTCCAGCTAGCCTCGCATGCGAGCTCTACTAACGTCCGTCAAGCTACACCCGCGCTCTAGAAGACCGCATTGCCTTTCTCGAGTCGCAGCTCGAGGCCAGGCCCATGAGCAGCAATGCCAGCAGCACCATGGCGCACCCCGTTGCCGCACTCCTGTCGCCGCAGACCCAGGAGACCGCGCACCGGAGCTCAGCACCGGGCATTGATCACAACGCCGTCGGCGAGCTGGTCGGCTTCCTGGCGCTGAACTCGTCCGAAGCCCCCGCGTACATCGGGTCCAGCTCGGGACTCTCTCTGGCCGCCAACCTCGGCGAGATGGTCCAGGCGACGGTGTGGAACCAGGTGCTGGCCCCGTCGCGCGGCCAGCAGAGTGCCACGCCCGACGGCAGCAGCCAGACCATGAGCAACGGGTCGTCGGGGCTTCCCCCGCAGCCGTCAACCGCAAGGAACCCCAACAAGCGCCCGCGCACGCTGCGCATGGAGGAGCTCCTCGCCAAGAGCACCGAGCCCCCCAACGACGAGATGGGTTCGCGCATCCTCCATGCGTACCTCACGCGGCTGCACGTGCGGTATCCGTTCCTCGATCGACTCGAGCTGTGGCGGTTGCACGAGGCCCGCTGGCGCCTCGCCAGCGCGAAGCGAGAAGAGCTCACCCCGGCCGAGCGGTTCGGCATCTTCAAGCTGTACCTGGTGTACGCCATCGGCGCGACGACCATCCAGCTCAGCGAGAAATACACCTACGTTCCGCCGGAGGTTGTTCCCCCCACCGACCTATATAAAACTGCTGCTGACGTACCTAGCGATTCTACATCACCGCCCTCCAACAAGTCCCCGCCATGTGCGAGACCCGCTCCGTCGAGAACATCGAAGCCATGACGCTCCTCGTCGTGTACCATCTGCGCTCCGCCTCCAGCCAGGGCGTGTGGTACATGATCGGGCTGGCGATGCGCACAGCCATCGACCTGGGATTGCACCGCAAAGCCAACGAGATAAACCTGGACCCCGTCAGCGCGCAGATGCGCCGGCGGCTCTTCTGGACGGTGTACTACCTCGAGCGCGTAGTTTCCATGTCGCTGGGACGGCCGTTCAGCATCGCAGACCGACACATCGACCTCCCGCTTCCGCTCGACATCGACGACGACGTGCGCGACCCAGCCCTCTTCACGACGCCATCCCCCCGCCCCGACCGCATCACCACCCTCACCTTTGCCATCTACCTCATCCGCCTGCGCCGCATCGACTCCAAAATCCAGCACAAGATCTACCGCGCCGACCGCCCGCTGCACGCCCTTCGCTCCAAGATGGACGCCCTCTTCCTCGAGCTCGAGGAGTGGAAGGACTCGGCCCTGCGCCGCTTCGCCGGCCCGGACCTCGACTACCCCATGCTGCACTACAACCGCGCCCTGCGTCTCCTCATCCAGCCCTTCCTCCCCGCCCCTGCCCCTCTCAGACCCCTACTACCACATCTGCCTCCGCGCCGCCGGCGACATCTGCCAGACCCACAAGCGCCTCCACCAGACCCTCGAGTACGGGCACTCCTTCCTCGCCGTGCAGACTGTCTTCATGGCTGGCATCACCCTGCTGTATGCGCTGTGGGCACACACCACTGACGTCTGGTCTGTGCAGATGAGCAATGATATCCGCGCCTGCTCGACCGTGCTCTTCGTCATGGGCGAGCGCGCCGCCTGGGTGAAGAAGTACCGCGACGCGTTCGAGTTGCTGGTGGGCGCTGCTATGGAGAAGCTCGAGGGCAACGATGCCGGTAAGAAGGTCGGCATGGCCGAGCTGATGACCGCCCAGCGCGGCGGCATGCCGGGCATGTTTCGAGCCCAGTCTGTCGCAGCCGGTCCCATGCCGCCCACCACGGGACAGCCCTCGTACCAACAGCAGCCCCAGCCACCGCCGGAGCAGTCCATCGACCCGACCCAGGACCACGGGGTGCGCATGGCGATGCAGCTGGCGCCGTGGATCGACCTCGAAGAGGATACGCTGTTCTGGATGCCGGATTTCGAGACGCTGGAGAGTCTGTCCGGGAATCTGTGGAGCGCCGGTGATCCAGCCCCGTTTGATCCGTTGTAGTTATTATCGAATCGTATACCCTGTACATAGATAATCTCTAAAGAATACAATATCCACATTACACCCCACCCTACCCCAATCCTTGTTCAAATAGGGGCAACCGTCTTCAGCCCCTTGGCAATCCGCTGGATCTGCTCCGCATAATACGCCTGCAACCGTTAGCACGCCCACACCCACTAGGGAACCACACACGCGAACACATACACTCTCAAGCCCACCCCCCACCGCCCGCAACGGCACAAGCTTCGTATACCACGGCGCCGGCACTCTATTCAGCACCAACCGCGCCTCCTCCTCCGCCAGAGTCTCATCCAGCAGCAACCGCGCAAACGCCGGGTCCACCGCCGCCGGCCGCCCAATGCCGACGAGATCGCACGCCCCCTGCGCAATGGCCGCTTCAGCCCCCGCGCGTGTGCGGAACCCGCCCGTCAGCATGAGCACCAGCGACGGATACCGCTGGCGCACGGCGGTGGCGAACTCGAGGAAGAAGGCCTCGCGCGCGGCGGTGCGCGCGGATTTCGGTTCGTCCAGGCCCATCATCTGCACCGCGTCACCTTATTAGCACTGACTGAATGGATGAGTGAAACGAGGAAAAGGTACTACCTTCGGATCTTCGTAGGACCCCCCGCTGACCTCGAGAAAGTCGATCCCGGCCTCGACCAGCAGCCCGATCTGCGTCATAGTGTCCTCGAAGCTGGCGGCGCTGTGGTCGGCCGAGTTGAGCTTGATGCCGACGGCGAAGCGGGCCGGCACGACGGCGCGGATGGCGGCCAGGATGTCGAGGACGAATTTGGCGCGGTGGGCGGGGGAGCCACCGTATGCGTCGGTGCGTTTGTTCGTCTAGGAGAATTACTTAGCTATCTTCCTTGACTTGCATTCCCTCCGGGGATTACCTTCGGGTTGAGGAACTGATCTGCGCACTATTAGCATAGCTCGGTATACGCTAGGGAAGACATACCAATAAGATACCCATGCGCGCCGTGCAACTGCACCCCGGAGAAGCCCGCATCAGCCATCAAGCGCGCGGCATCGACAAACCGTGCCGTGACGGCGTCGATATCCGCCTGGGTCATCTCGCGCGGCGCGGGGAAGACAATCCCGCCGAGGACGTGGCCGAGCCAGCCATCGCCCATGGTCAGCGGGATGGCGCTGGGCGCGATGGTGGGCGCGAACAGGCCGCGTCTGCCGGCGACGCGGACGGATTGGCGGCCCGGATGGCAGATCTGCACGATGGCCGGGGGGCCGTGTTGCTGGGTTGCGGCGGCGTATTGCGCCCAGAGGGACACGAGGTCCGGGTTGGATTCTTTGTCGGTGTAGGGGCCTGGTAGGGCCGGGTCGAAGGGGGTGCCAAGGTGGTCGATGTCGACTTGGACGTTGCCTTTTCTGTTGTCAGATAGGTGGGAGAATGGGATGGGATGGGGATGGAGGGTACCGGTTAGGACGGCGCCCCAGGCGCCTTGGCCCCATTTGTCGTACAGGTCGACAAAGGTTGGGTTGGGGGTGTTGGACCAGCCGGCCATGAGTTCGGCCATGGCGGCCTCAGGCGGCTTGTTAGTTGGTGTTGGCTTTGGGGTTGGGAGGTGGTACCTTGACCAGGCGGTTGGGGAAGACCAATCCGCAGGGGAGTTTGACAGGTTCACGGAGGGACATGGTGGGTGATTGGATTGTGTATGTCTACGGAGTATACAGTGTGGTGATGGGGAGAGGTCCCATCCAAATTGAGCATATATAGATTTTGCATGGTGCATTATTAAATTCTTAGAAATACATAGGAAGCAGCCGAGGTCCCGAGTGGAGATGGATCTACAATCGCCACATGGCTAACCGGCGACATGAATCTCTCCGCATCTCCACTTCACATGCCGTGAGGCTGAATTCTCCCGATGCCGTCTATGAGTATAAGAGAAAGAAAGTATCATCATTGTCGTGGCTACTCCATCGTAATTAACAAGTATTGAATCGAACGGGGTATACAGGAACGATGCATCCCTCATGCATGCAACATCTCAACAAACAAACGCGCTCATGACATCAAGCCCACCTGACGTGCCGCAATTAGAACCATGGAAACAACCGAGTCGAGCGCACGAGGGATGCGAGAAGGGAAGTAGGGAAGGAAATAGGGAAGGGAACAGGCAATGCCAACACCTTACAGCTTAGCATTCTTCTCGTGGTCCTCATTCGAGAGTCCATTCAAGGCCAGCCCTGTCGAGCCCAGACTCGACAGCAGGGCGCCGACCTCCCGCTCCAGAGCCAGCACCTCCGAGTGCGCATCGTACATGCGCGTCTTGATCCACGCGTCCAGCGCTTCGTCGCTCATCGTGCGCAGATTCGTCTCGCGGTCCACGCCCGCCTCCTGCGCCGCCCGGATGACCTTGCGCGCCACCACCACGCTGACCGGCCGGATGCGAGTCAGATCGGGGTACAGCAGACCCCGGTCGATCTCCTCCGCCGTCAGGGCCGTCGACAGGGCTTCACCCGATGCGTAGATCATCGAGTCCGTGACCTTGACGGCCTTGGACAGGATGGTGCCCAGGCCGATACCCGGGAAGACGTACATGTTGTTCCCCTGGCCGGGGTAGTAGGTCTGAGTCTCGCCCTTGGAGTTGGTGAAGGAGAAGGGCTGGAAGGGGGAGCCGGACGCGAAGAGGCAGCGGCCGTCGGTATGCGTGACGGCGCTCTCGTAGTCGCACTCCGACTTGGACGAGGGGTTGGACAGGGGGAAGATGATGGGGCGGGTGTTCCAGTCGGCCATCTTGCGGAGGATCTCGGGGGTGAAGACGCCACCGATGGTGGACAGACCCATGAGGATGGTCGGCTTCACATGGTCAACAACCTCTTCGAGGGTCTTGAACTGCTGGCCGTTGTTGTCGTTGCGGGCGAAGTAGACCTTGTGGTCGGCCAGCTTGTCGCCGCGGTCTAGGGTGACCAGACCCTTGGTGTCGACGAGGTAGAAGCAGGCACGCGCCTCATCCTCGGTCATGCCCTCGCGCACGAAAAAGTCGACAATCTGCTTGGCCACGCCGACACCGGCGCTGCCGGCGCCCAGGAAGACGGCACGGTGGTCCTTGCAGGGGAGTCCCGACCGCTTCACGGCATTGATGACACCGCCGAGGATGACGGCTCCAGTGCCCTGGATATCGTCATTGAAACAGGTGTACACGTCACGGTAGCGCTCCAGAGCCGGGAAGGGATTCTTGAAGTCTTCGAATTGGATGACAATACTGTAGGGCGTCAGCCACTCCCGTTCGTCCCCGCATTTTCGGGTGAAGGTGGAGGGATCGGGATGAGTCACTTACCCCGGCCAGCGCTCGGTCAGAGCGGCCATGAGCTCATCCATGAACTCTTTTTCCTCCTCGGGGGTCACCTTGTCACGACGGGACCCCATGTAGAGCGGGTCTTCCCGGAGGGTCTTGTTGCTGGTCCCCAGATCCAAAGTCAAAGGCAGAGTAGCCTCGGGACGGATGCCCGCACAGGCCGTGTAGAGCGCCAACTTGCCAATGGGGATACCCATGCCGTTGATGCCAAGATCACCTAGACCGAGAATTCGGGAGCCATCGGTGATACATGTGATCTCCACATTGTGCTGGGGCCAGTTGGCAATGACCGCGGCGAGATTGCCGCGATCCTCCCAGCTCAGGTACATGCCTAGCGCGGATGGTTAGCGCCCGAGTTTGATTCGTGGTGGCCGATCACGGCCGGGGGTTTTCGACCGGGGGTTGAAGCTCACCTTCCGGCTGCTGGTAGATCTCGGACCATCTCTGACAAGCTTCTCCAACGACCGGGGTATAGATCAGAGGGGTGAGTTCCTAGTGGATGTTAATGCGGAGCTCCCATGCAGGTTTCGGCCGAAGCATGTGCAGCATCGGGGAGAGCCTCCGGACATACCCTCAGATGGTCGGTGACCAGACGGTAAAACAGGTGGACATTGTTCTTGCGGAGGGTGCTGAGGTAGAGGAATTTGTCGATGGGGGTTTGTTTGAGGGCCAATTGGGCGAGACCTGGGGGGTTAGCATGGCTCGGAGCTGATTATTGAGTGTGTAGATAGATAGACATATGTATACGTACAGCGAGTCTTCTGGACCTCGTAGGATTCGGCGCGCGGAGGCGTGAGACCGTAGGTGCGAAGATATTTGCGGATGTAGGGAGGGTTGGCGGTGTCGTAGTTGGCCTCACTGGGTTTTTTGTCAGAGTAAGTCGACATGGTGATGTTTAGAAGAGAGATGCAAGCAAAGAACAGCACAAGCACAAATCATACAACATATACAGTAGGAAGAACCAAAATAAAAAAGAAGACAAAGAGAGAGAGAGAGAGAGAGAGAGAGAGAGAGAGAGAGCGGGTAAAGAAAACGTACACTGGAGCAGCGTTGACATACGGGGTCGCGTGGACCGGCCGGCTTTGTTGCGCGGGAAATCGAGCCATTGGGGAAGTTGGAGTCACAGAAGTCACAGCAAAAGAAGACGGCGATGATGATGAAGAAGAGGAGGAAAAGGAAGAGGAAGAGGAAAGAATGAAAGAGACTGCTGAAGCCCGTGAAGGCAGTCTGATTTTATGTCTGCGCACTAGCATTGAAGACCCCTGAGGAGAAGTAGGAATCCACCGCATTCCGATGGGCATGAGACTGAGGGCGCTTGCGATCTCCAACGGAGGAAGAGGAGGAGAGAGTCACTAAGAAAGACTATGAGGCCCGACGAAGACTGGATCATGGATCGGGAAGAGTCGGGGAGAAATGACCAGTCAAAAGGAAGCACAGTGTGGCGGTGGATATGATTTCGCGGCAGGCGAACCGTTTCGAGGGTGAAACGAAGCTTGGGAGGGCGAAAAAAACCCAATTCGGAGACGGTGGAGCCGACGGGACTGAGGATGCAAAATGCGGAGTAAACAGGAGTGAGGCATTTGTCGTGTACTCACTGCTACACGGTAGTTGTGATCCTGTTGGGCAGTTTGCTTTGTTGTGGTTTTTCTACATTTATATTTGTTCTTTATAGGTACATACAGGTACCTAGGTACGGTACCTAGTTACCTAGTAGGTAGGTATGTACTAGGTAGCTAGTATGATTCATGTACTCCAATTCCTCTTACTCATAGTATACTATAGTACCTATACTATCCTGTATCTCTCACATCCGAATATGCGAATATCCTATTCTACCTAATATTCCATCTCATACGGGTAAACTCCGGTCCTATTGTACCACCGCATTAATAATAGCAACCGTTCGCATTACCCTCCCTAACATCCCACCACGGCCACCATCCGATTTGTATCCCGAGATTCTGCTACAGTGGAGCCGCCATTGACTCAACTTCATTGATTGCCATTGCAGGGTCCCTTCTAGTCTCCGACTTAGTGCACTGGGTGGAGCTGTCTTATGGCCGTGAAAATTTTAGGCTAATTCAGATAGCTCCCGAGCTCGCTAACTGCGAGAGGAAGGATTCTGGACGCTGCACTAAGCCAGGACCTGTTGGAGTCGTTGGGTCTCGCCATTCCCCGCACAGTCGGAAACTGCCCGATTCCGGTCTGCTGAATCAGCCCGGCTCCGGTTCGGTTGCCTCTTCGGGATGTCAACATCGGATCTCAAAGCTGTTAGTATTATTTTAGTACCATTATTATTCTCATTATTATTGTTGTGATTATTATTGGAGCCTGGCTAAGGTACCTACGGAGTACCTTTACCTGCCCAAGTATTTCCGATTGTAGTACTCCGTATAGGTACACATCCAGCTACACAAACTCTACTCCCTCTCTACCTCTCACAATCTCCTCCGATCCAGTTCCAATCATTCCATCACTGTCCTGTAGATCAGAATGCGTGATTTTTTACCCCTTGGAATGAACAATATTCATGTCGAGTCGACTCTTCGGTGCTGCATACCCAAGCTCCGCTGCCGATCGGGACCGGCCGAACGCGCCCATCGGATGCGCCCAACCTAACCCATCTGAAATTGACCTGGAGTTGGCGTCTTGGTATGAATCCCTCGTCGGATCCCTTCTGCCTGCCTCTGTCGTCGACAACCACCATCGGCATCGCCTCTCATATTCGCGTCCCAACCACTCCCAGCATCATCTAGTCCCCTTGCAGGGGGGTGGTCGTTCCCGATGAGAACAGAACCTGTCTTCTGCGTACGGATTGTAGGACACGCGACCATCGCGGGAGGTGGAGGCTGCAGCTGCGGTCTTGAGCCATTTTCTGCCGCCTGCATATATCGCTCATCTCCGTCCTTGCGTCGGGTCGTCCCTATCACTTCCTCCTTAGGGCATAATAGCTGCACTCCGGACGACCCCTAGTACCTCCCGTAGACTCATACCCACTTCCCCCGGATTCAGCGCGCATGGATCCAAAGCTTGACCCAGCTTTTCTTGACTCCGGAGTACTCCCATTGCCTAGAATAGTAATTACATATAATAATAATAACCGAGTCAGTCACAGTACATGCTCTGTACACGTCGCACAACAATCGGGAATCCTGCAGCGCACGTCCCCAGTACCCCGTGATCCCGACAGTATCGCCGCTACACGGTACATTCCATCCCCGATCCCGTAGAGACTCCCTTCTACACGGTACTCTCCATCCTGCCCGCCCGTTGGGGGCGTCGTGTCGCTCCGATCCCTGCAGGCCGGGTCCGATCTATCGCGTCCGTCTTCTTCACTCCGTCTGTGTGCGCTTTGTTTGTTTCCCCCATCAACGCCAGTTGTCTTTTGGGGAGTGTTGGGGTTTCTGCTTTCCGTCCTGTTTGTGCTTCGTTATTTCCTCGTTGGATTCAACCCTTTTCGTGATGATTCTTAGGTGATGTCGGTGGCTGGAGTCTGCTTGAAATGATCCTGGTTCTGCGTAGTCTAGAGGGTCTCTTGGAGTCATTGACCGCTTGATATGTTCTGGCTATCATGACTTAGGATGTAGTGTATCTACTACTACAGAACTAGGCGCAAGAGGATCGAATACTAACCCTAGACACTAGTCTATTGTTAGACTACCTTATTATTGTCTACCAGACTCCTGGTGTTGGAGATGCTTTTTGCTGTAAACAGGTGATAAGATAAGATCACCTGACGCTAAAGCGGCAGCTCCCCATGACGCAACACTGAAGCTATCCAGGGTACCTGGCAACCGTCAGCATCATGTCATGCAACTCCGTCCCCGCCCTCAGTCCACCATCGCTTCATCCACCGGCCCATCTAACGGTCTGAAGTCTACATCTCCGACATCCACCAAGCACCACCATGTCGCGAGAAACGGAGCCGCTCCTCCCTCGATACGAGGAGGACACCTCCCGTCAGCAGCTCCTCCACCAGAAGCTCCACTCCTATCAGATGATCCGCGCGCTCGCCGAGGGGTACATGCCGTCCAATGACCAGGTCATCGCCAATCTACGCTCCCTTCTGGCCACCGAGTTCCTCAATCCACAGAACCGCGAGATCGGCTCGATCGGCCGTCAGCTCGTCCGCGACTGTCGCATCTGGATCCAGGTGCTCATCGAGCTCTTTCGCGACAAAAACGGCGACGATCAGATCCAGGAGTTCCTGTGGCATCTATCCAAATCAAAGGCATCCCTGGACCCGCGCCAGGTCTCGCAGCGGGCGTCAGCCTCAAAAGCCAGGGCCGATACCAAGGCTGGTACGTGATATCCATCCAATCTTCACAATCCTCTAACACGGCCATAGCCTACGATAGCCTGCGCACCGTCGGAAGCCTCCTGCTCACCAACGCCGACTTCCGCATCTTTGTGGAGGACGTCACCACCGTCGGCCGGCAAATCTTCTCCGACACAGCGTTTTCCCTCTCCAAAACCACGCAACAAGTGGGGGAGGAAATCAGACCATCCCAGGAAGAAGTCAACGCGGTCCAAGGCGCCAATGCGGACAGCGACCGCGCCCCCACCGGTGAGCAGCTGCGTGAAGAGGTGAACCACGTGGCCGAGGCGGCGGAGGATGGTGTTGCGCGCACAGGACAGGAGGCCATCGAGAGTGTCAAGGAACATTTTGGGGAGCGGGAGCAGGAGACCCTACTGCACCGCTTGAAACAGACGGTGCTGAACCTCCGTGATCGCACGGACTATTCGGATTCTGTGGCGACCTTGGCGCAGCTGGTACAACGCTATGCGAGGGCATACGCCAATGCGGCCGCCGATGTGGTCGAGACTGCGGAGGAAGAGGTCGACATCAACGAGGATCTCAAGCAGGCGATGCAGCATTTCTGGGCACTCCTCCAGTCGTTTGGGGACCGCGGGGCGTGGAAGCTGCTCGAACAGAAGTTTCATCAGGTGATGCGGCATGCGAACAAAGATCCTGAATTTGATGAACTCATGTCGGAGATCGGTGCGTCTGTCCAGGAGATGATGACCGATCCCGCGTTCTATGACTCGGCAAATGAGAAGATCAAGGAACTGGGCGAGAAGTCGAAGCAAGTGGGGATGGAATCCGACCTTCGCCAGGACATGGATGCCTTTTTGGCGCAGGCGAAACGGGCCATCCGCACCATCCCAGAAGACAAAGCTGTATCAAAATTGATCGATGCGACGAACAAGATCTACCGCGACGCCCGGGAAGCCTACAGCGACCGGAAGGGACAATTGCCTGCCGACGTATGCGAGGTGTTTTTCCCTCTTGTCCTGCGCAGCATACAATACATTCCAATCCCGCGGCTGGAGGTATCAGCCCCCGAGTTGGATCTTCTGCTGGAGAATCTGATCTTGGAGCCCGGACATACCGTCAATTTCTCCTCGTTCCTTCCTTATCGCATGCATCTCACCACACGGAACGAAATTGACGTCGTGAAGAAGCATTCCAAGCGAACCGTGACCGACTTGAAGACAAACTTCACCGTCAGTGTTATGGGCCTGAATGTCAGTGCTTCCGAGTTTGGATATTGGATCCGAGCCCACCCGAATCCATTGTTCCGCTTCAACGACGAGGGCATTGCAAGCTTCTACCTGGATCGACGAGGAATCGACATTGCTCTCGATGTCGAAGTGGGCCGCGAGCGTCTGGAGCAGATATTCACGCTCCGCGGCGTGCGAGTCCGAATCAACAAGCTGAACTACAAGGTGAAGAGCAGCCGATGGAAGTGGCTCCTGTGGCTGGCAAAGCCGTTCCTGAAACACCTGGTCCGTCGGGTCCTGGAGAAGAAGATCGCACAGAACATCGTGGACGCCGCTTTCGTGTTGAATCGCGAGCTCGTCTTCGCGCGCGAACGCCTGCGCGCGGCGCGAATCGCCAACCCCCACGACCTGTTCAGCTTTGTGCGGGCTGTGCTGGCGCGCCTGACGCCTGCGCCGAATGAAGATATTGAGGCCCGCATTGGCATCGAGCCCCCCGGCACTGGCGTTTTCCAAGGCGTCTACGCTCCGGGCAGCCTTGTCAAGGTATGGCACGAGGAAGCCACCCGGGCGCAGGAAGCCATTGAGGAGGGTGACGAGAGTGGAGGGCTGGGACGGACATGGCGCAATGACATCTTCGATGTCCCGGTCGGGCGCAGGCGAGGATAAAGAGAAATTGGATAGTTCTCACCTACCTTCCTGTGGATGAATACATGACCATTCTGCAGCAAAGGATATTTAATGACGTTCTGTGATGATGCGCTTGTGGATTATGCGGATAGGACTTATATCAGAGAATGACATGACCTCTGTACGAGCTATCAATGTTCATTCCAAGTTCACTAATTGAACAGTAGTAGGCGTCGGAAGAATACAGTATGAAAAGGAGACTGATAAGCCGCGATAAGAAGTCCCCACGTGACCGATCGGCGCGGTGGAACCATTCGCCGTTAGCTTGCGGCCACCTGGACGATTGTATATCCAGACAACTATCAACTTCTCCCTTCCATCCTGCTGCCTCTGAGGTCTTGACTGATCTGCAGATTGTGTATTGCACACATGTTGATAGACCCTACTCTTGGTCGAACTCCAATTTAATTCAAGTCACGCCTTATTGTCACCTCTCGCAATTCACGTATCACACGCCTAGCCAGATCTATACTCGCATACGCGCATCCGACACAACGGCCCTCCCCACGATCCACTCTTGATCCTCTCTCAAGAGCCCACGAGCTGCGCCCGCAGCAGCTCGTCCACCATGCTTCCCACCATGCGTTTCATCTGTCTGCTCGTCGTCATCACCCTGTGCTTGGTGCAGGTGGTATTAGCGGCGGAGGACTACTACAAGATCCTGGGGCTGGACAAGTCGGCCTCGGAACGCGACATCAAACGCGCCTACCGCACCCTGAGCAAAAAATTCCACCCGGACAAGAACCCGTGAGTGCACTGCCCTCCTATCGAAGACTGCCTCCGCGCAATCTCTAATCCCTCGCAGAGGCGACGAGACCGCGCAGAAAAAATTCGTCGAAGTCGCCGAAGCCTACGACGTCCTGTCGACGCCGACAACGCGCAAGATCTACGACCAACACGGCCACGAGGGCGTCGAGCAGCACCGCCAGGGCGGTGCTGCCGGGCGGCAGGCGCACGACCCGTTTGATCTGTTCTCGCGGTTCTTCGGCGGCGGCGGCCACTACGGGCACGCGCCGGGCCACCGGCGCGGCCCGGACATGGAGTTCCGGGTGGGCATGCCGCTGCGCGACTTCTACAACGGCCGCGAGGCGACGATCACGCTGGAGAAGCAGCAGATCTGCGACGCGTGCGAGGGCACGGGGTCGGAGGACCGCGAGGTCATCACGTGCGACAAGTGCTCCGGGCGCGGCATGGTCATCCAGAAGCACATGCTGGCGCCGGGCATGTTCCAGCAGGTGCAGATGCCGTGCGACAAGTGCGGGGGGCAGGGCAAGAAGATCAAGAAGCCGTGTCCTGTGTGCCAAGGGCACCGGGTGGTGCGGCGCGACGTCGACACGACGTTTACGGTGGAGCCGGGCATGGACAAGGGCACGCGGATTGTGTTTGAGAACGAGGCGGACGAGAGCCCCGATTGGATTGCGGGCGATCTGGTGCTGATTCTGGAGGAGCGCGAGCCGCAGCTGGGGCAGACGGATCGCGAGCGCACGGACGGCACGTTCTTCCGCCGCAAGGGCCGCGACTTGTTCTGGAAGGAGGCGCTGTCGCTGCGCGAGGCGTGGATGGGCGAATGGACGCGCAACATCACGCACCTCGATGGCCATGTCGTCCAGCTGGGCCGCAAGCGCGGAGAGGTCGTGCAGCCGCTGTCCGTGGAGACGATCAAGGGCGAGGGCATGCCGTTCTACTCGGAGGGCCATCTCCATGATAGCCATGACGATGAGCCGGGCAATCTCTACGTCGAGTACACGGTCATCCTGCCGGACCAGATGGAGAGCGGGATGGAGAAGGAGTTCTTTGCGCTGTGGGAGAAGTGGCGCAAGAAGAATGGCGTTGATTTGGGGAAGGATAGTGGCCGGCCTATTGCGTCGGTCAAGGACGAGTTATGATATAATAATCGACTGTGGACGACGTCTGCTACTGTACAGATACGGTCTAGAATAGAGTGCTCAAATTGCATAGGCATGTAAGCCGTCGAACCTTGCAGGATGTAAAAGCCGCAAAATATAGGGTAGTCGTGGACCGTTTGCATTTACCTGAGAGGGAATCTGTATTACTGTATGATTGACGCCAATTCTGGACTATGAGACATGGATCTCAGCCAGGATATATCTAATAGCCACCCACCGTCTTGATATCAGCTCCCTTGCTAACAAGATCTCGCGTGGGCGCTACGAGCCCAACAAGACTGGCATAGTAGAGCCTGGAATCATGCTGATTGCCAGGCTCAAGCTCAAAAGGCTCATTTGTATCAGGGTCATCCAAACGAACCCCCCGTTGGAATGTCACTTCCTTTTCTAAAGATTTGACTGCCATCTCAACTACTTCTTTGGAAGACTGCACCAAAACAGCATGACTTTCCCAGAATTCCGCCCTATATCTTGCCACGGGAAAATCCCGTTCGATCGGGGGACACAGCCAGCGCCTGTTTTTATCGGCATAAAGTTCAGACCTGATGGAATCCGTTGCAACTTTTGCTGAGACTATCGTATGCTGCACGTCCTTAATATGTTGCTCAACTACTTGTTGTTAGGACAAGTCCGAATATCAACCCAGTGTCGTGTACCTGTTGATGTAACAGAAAAATGACTAACCGGATTCAAGTCCTTCCATTGCCCTCTTGGTCTCCCGGACTTCCGCGGCGGGCACGTACGCCAGAAGCTCCTTAGCATACGCAGCGGCCGTCGCCGAGGCGTAGCATTGCCAACGGTCATCCTTGTGCGAATCGGCGTAGTTCGATATCCCTCTAATGACAATGCAGGGGAAAACATTCATTACACCCGCAGCTTCCGTCTCCAAGCAAACACATTCCTCCCCGAGATCCGCCAGGATCTCATCTCTGTAAACTGAGTCTCTGAAAAACGTGTTTCCAGACACTATCGTACCGTAGTGGACTATAGGCTCGGTTGATTCACGATGCGCACGTTGTATTACTTCTTTCGGGTCTGTCGTCCTGAATAAGTGGTCGTTCTCAAAGCCCTGGTGCACATAGCCCTGCTTGGCTAATCTGGGATAGCGCTCTATCATCTCTTCCAGGTATTCAATGAACCTGGGTGGCTCAAGTATATGCTGCGACTGAAGGTGCCCTAGTGCATGAAGAAGAATCTGTGGAGGGCTGTTGAGAAAGGCTCTATTTTTCCGTTGCTTCCCGGGCGTCGCTTTGAACAGGTCGTACTGGACAACGCCGCCGTTGCTTCCATCAGGCTGACTGACAGCAATATCTCCGAGCCTGATGTCGCGACCCTCGTCCGGCTTGGCAATGCCGGCTCCGATGCCGACGAGGAGGCCGACTCTGATCTGGGGGAACGAGGACAGCATAAGTAAAGCTGTTTCCGTCGCCGACGTTATGCCGTATCTCCCTGCCGCAAGCGACGCGACGACTACGTTATGCTCGCCAATATTGCCCCAGGTGTATGAGTTTGTGTCGTTGTAAGCCTGGACGAAGTCAAGTGGCTTTTCGTGTTTCTCATCCAGCATTGCCGTTGCCGCCGCACGCTCTAGCGGAAGAGAAGCGATCCAGCCGACGGTATACAGATCGCGCGTTTCCAATGCTTTCAGTGGAGACATGACTGACCGCAAACTTTATGGTTAGCCTCAAAGCATTCTTGCGTTTGTTCATATATTGGGTTGGTTTCTGCGTTGCAAGACTTTACTACATACCGGCGGCTCTCACAATGCCTCGGTCAGTTCTAAAGGGGGTCAACTCTCGGCGATATGCCGGGGATGATTCGTAGGTTTTGTAGGACGTCAAAAATGGCACCTAGAGACATAGGAAGATGTCGGCGGGTATGAGAGAGACGTGAGAACGATCTCGAGCATAGGACACTTATATTTACAATACTTTTTGATCTCGTTAATCGTGCTAACCCCGCCCTGTCATCGATCCAGCCTGGTGAGGCCAATTAAAAGCATCTTGTAAGCGCCTGAGGCAGTATCTTGTGTCCGCGGCGGCTACCTCAGTAGGAAATAAGTTTGGGGCCTAGGCGCTTTCGTTCAATATGGCAGTCTTCGGCGCTGATTACACATCTAGGCTACGCTCAGGGCGGTCGACAATGGTGAGGTTTAGAATGACCACCGTTGTCGTCCCCCCGGAAAACCGTCAATCCTCTCAAATGTGTATAATTCCATTGTTTTTTTTTTTTTTTCTGTCAGAGCCTCGGGCTCCGGAGTTGCCTCTTTAGGCCTAGTGCCTGCCTGCGTGCCCTAATATCTAGAGTCAAGAGGTCTTCAGGACCTCACCAACAATCAACCCCCTTCAACCCTCCTTGACCACTTCCCTTGACATGTCTCTATCACGGAGACCAGCGGCAACATCCGGTAGTTTACAAGTTAAGTCCATCAGAGTCCGGACCGCGGTCGAAACGTCTTCGTCCTCATCGTCAAACCGATCTAGGACACGGCCCTCCTCCTCCTCCTCATCATCGGTTACGTCTTCCCTCGGGTCGGTGGTGGTGGTCTCTTGCTTCCGCCGACTCTTTCGCTGAGGCTTCGCTTCAATCTCTTTGGCCTCGGTGCTTCTCCGAGACCACGTGGTGTACGAGGACAGGACGATGGTTAGGGCGGTCTTCGCATCCTTCGGGTCCAGAGCCTCCAGGCGTTGGCGCAGTTCACGGCGGGTGCTAGACTTGAAAGTAAACGCGAGATCGCTCGTCTCCGCCAGCTTTCTGAGACGATCCATATTCCAGCGGTACTTGGTTGCGTCGTTCTTGTCTTGGATTATGCGGCGGCCGTCGCTCAGACTCGATGTGTGAAGCGAGATACGGAGTGTGAGACGAACGAAGCATCTCATTCTAGAGCAAAGCTCACACTATCTGTAAAGAAGGACGTCGAAACCCACGTCAATAACCCGATTCGTAATAAGGTGCAACCGCAGGCAACCAGGCATGCGCGACGGTGTGCTCGATGGTTGGCTTCTGGGCCTCCTTGGGCTGGCGGGGCCTACTGTCGGGGGCGGTTTTGCGATCATCGTGAGGTTGATGGTCGAAGAGATGAGTATCTCCATGAGGATGAAGAACAGATAAGGATGCCTCTAGCAAGGCTACACACCTCTTGATGGCTTCCACATTACCCAGGTTTCTTCTTCTCAGCCAGAGTTGGACACTATCGTCAATATCTGCTGCAGTTAACAAGGCTACGGATTGCTGGACTTTGCTGGCGACCATCTTAGTAGCATGGCCCTCGTCAGCTATAACTCGTATATTAAGTGGTATGATGGTACAGACGATATGCCGGTGGAGAAAAACAGTGAACATAAGCAGATGGACCGGGGCAGCTATTCGTCATCTGCGTTGCTCGCTTCGTCGTCCCCTTCGTTCCGCACTGCAACCGTTGTGCGCTTTGACCAGGTGGCGTAGGCGCTCAGGATCACAACTTGGGCAGTACCAACGTCGTTCAGATCAAGAGATTCACTCGTCGTGCAGTCGGAAGAACTCTTCGGGGAGTTCTTTGGCCGGGCAGTTGATCGTCAGTTGGAGTGACCGCCAGATGAGCGTCTGCGCGATTGCGTTGTCGAGGGTGCCCTAGGTTATGGGTGGACGTCCATCATATAAGTCCTTGTGCTATATAGAAAATGATTGTAGGCAATAGTCAAAAAGCATAGTTTCCTGGTACGTTCTAGAGGTACGATGAGGACAGAAGATCATGGAGAGAAGGGCGCGTAAATTTGATTTTGAGCTGCCGTGCAACAAATATTCAAGGACTTCCTCGTGTACTCCAGTAGAGGCCATGCAGCCCCGATAGCAAAAAGCTCTGTTTGCTGATGGAAAGTATATAGTAGACGATATTGCATACTAGACCGGGGTCCTCCCAAGGTCCTTTTATAGCCACCTCACGAAGAAAGAATGAGTCGTGGAAGTGTAGAAGACAGAGACTGGCCTTTTATGACTCCATATGGCGAGTAGTGAGAGGACAGCTCACAACCTCTTATTCGCTACTGAAAGACTCTTCACTTCAATACAAACGCAAAACCTAGACAAGTTGATACCTACCCGTAATTAAAGGCTGCTTCATTGAATATTTGCTCGGTGAATTGAATTCTATCCAATGATTCCAGCGTACAAATTTGACTACTCGTCCTGCAATTGATGGTGCAGTTCTCTATAGACCCAACGATTTCCGAAAACCAACGTAAAAACAACCAAAGACAGCTCAGATCTAGTGGCTGAGAACACCTTGTCCTCATCAAAACCGTAGCTTGTCTCAGCTCCATTCGTTCTTCTGCTGCCCTGTCAACAAATTCGTTGGCCCAGGCCACCAGGACGATGTGCCCTTCAATAGTGTCATCCTCTGGGATTCAATGATGTTCAAACAGAGGATAAACAAGGAACGAATTGGTGAAGCAAGACAAGACTGCACGCAATAGCAATGCGTTGATTAATACAAAGAACAATGACACAGGGCTTAATGAATCTTATCCCCTCCTCCAGCCTGCGTAGGTAGCTGAGTATTATTGTGGTTGCGTCTCTTAGGTTGAACAAAATCATGGCCAACTTGTAGCTGCTGAAGAGTAGGTCCGCAGACCCACGAATCGGGATAATTAGTGGTCGTAGTGAGAAGCTCCTCCTTCGTTACATCAGAAGACAACAAACTTTAGTGGTTGATTTATCTGTAATAGGCTACTTGATATGATGGACTGTACTTCTGAGACACGGCTGTCAAACGTTGCATCGTTTGCCATTGCTTCTGGGTCGCGCACTACATTTACCAGGTCCAGGTATTTCATTATAACCGACCTGAGACCCATCGATGCGAAATACTGTATCTGGAAAAAGCGCATAGATGCATCCTCGACGCTGTTGATACTGCTTTCCACAATCCACCACGAATAAGAGCCGGCTGGCCGAATGACAGAGCTGCATCCGGGACGTCTTTGTGCTGGTGAATCATTCACTCATTCACAGGCATTTAAAGATGCTCGAGAGGATACCTTTCGAAGATGCTCGAGCTGGATCGTTAACTGGAGCATGATCGTCAAGCTCCGGTGGCCAAATATCTACCATTCCCAGGTCAGCACATGCAAGATCATCCTGATCCCCCCTGGCGGACAAGTAGCAGGGAAGCAGACATATAATCCAAAGCTGCAGCATCAAACAGCGGCCTATCATTTAGGCTGAGAACGCTGGGGTCGTTTTCAGGTGGTCGTAGTCGAAATACTTGCGTAGCCATTGATGAATCGACAACGGCACTCGAGGCCGTGGGCTAACGAGTACAACGTCAGGCTCCTTCTCCGGCGGTGGATCTTCGACAGGATCCCAGTCATATCCGTAGTAGTCCACCTCAGCCATATAGCGCACGGGGAAGGCAACGATTCCCTACTTAACGCCGCTATCGAGGTCGGGAATGTCAAGAACGACCAGACCATACTCAGCGCAGTCACCACGGAACACCGTGGATAGTGGCTGCAGCTGGACGTCGCCCCGACGCGTGCGGTTGCTTTTCGTGGCTTTAGCATTGTCGCGCAACAACCCCCGCACAAGGCACTTTGTTGTAAAGGGAAACCCGCTAGAGGTGCCATCAAGTCACGGCAGCTCGGGCTAAGGTTGCGTCTGCTGCCCCCAGCGGTAACCCTCCGGCGCTAGAAAACGGGCGGCGTGTCGGGGACGCTGGGCCGCTCACTCCCATCGGCTCCGTTGGGGCCCTGGGACCGACGATACCAGTCCTCCGCGAGGGCCCTCTCTGCCTCCAGCGGCGCGCGGTTCGCAGGATCCGACAGAATTTCGATTAGCGCTAGAGTGTCTGCCATGAAGTGGTCCACGAGTTACAGAAAGGACAGTGAGACGTCGTCGTTACCCTGGCGGTAGGCCACAGCCAGGGAGCGGCTGGCGCCACCGGGGCCGACATTGCGACGATAGAGAAGATGAAGGAGCGGGGGCATTGGGAGCATAACTCGAGGTATCCGGTATCCGTGGCATTGTATTCTTGATAAGGTCGGCAACTAGCGGATGCGAAAAGGCTTCAGAGAGCAAACAGCTGTCGTGTCTGATGGCGGGCAAAAGAGGGGCCAGGCTTGGCCTAGCTGTGAGGGATCTTAGGGACATACCTACTATGTCAAGACGGAGAAACGCCTCTTGAATGGTTATCTATTGGGCCTTACGAGTAGTTACCTAGAGAGATGCACTGCTACTGGTACCTGGTCCTTAGACCAAGCCGCTTGGGGAAATTTTGCTTGATTTCCTGGCTGTCTGATGGTTCCAGCATTATCAGAAAAGCATTCATCTTGCATGACTAGATCAAAAAACCAGAACTTCGACATATGCGCAGACAGCTAGACACGTACGAGAGCTCCTCATCATGTAGAGAGCCCATAGAAAAGCGGATACGAATCAGCTCCTCCACAGAGCTATCCGGTCCAGCTTGATCACCTCGAGCCCCCGCGCCCACCAGAGCGTCAAAGATTTCCTGGGCATCTTCGCGGGTATCTTTGTCACGGTTTTCCCACATACCCTCCGCGAACGCGTTCAGCGAGGTGCCCTCGGTGGTCGACGATCCCACTCGAGCGGTGGCACCGTACTGGATGAGCAGCCTCACAGCCTGGGCATCCACCCGCAGGCAGGCGCAATTCAGGGGAGTAACACCGGCGCGGTTGGGGATGTTTGGGCTAACGCCGCTAGCGAGAAGCTTCTCCAGGGCATAGTAGTTCTGCTTGTGTAGCGCGTGGAACAGGAGCGAGTCTCCGAAACTGTCGAGGCGATGGAGGGCAGTCTTGGGGGTACGCTGGAAGGCCAGGTCGAACATGCCGTAGTCTGGGTTGGAGATCGAGAAGTGAATCGGCGTCCAGCCCGAGGTCCAGGCTGTCAACTCGAACGGCAGGCTGGCGCTTAGGAGACGCGCCATGGTCGACGGGCGCAGAGAGCTGAAGGCCCCGATCGCGGCCCAATTATCGATGGCCGGAACGATCTGCGGGCCGGCGAGGTTGATGAAATGGTCCACAGCCCAGTCCTTGCCACGGATCACTGCAAGGTTGACGAGAGAGTTAGTACGGTGGAGGGCAAGGAATCGCGTCGCGAAGGGAGCAACCGCGACGGGAGCACTCACATCCGCGGCGGTCACCCGCCTGCTGGTGATCAGGTACTTGCCAATCCCGGGGTTTTTGGTCTCAAAGGCCATGCCGAGGATAGACACGCCGTCGCGGTTATAGCGGCGGATGTCGAGGCCCCAGTCGAGGAAGAGTCGGAAGGCATCAACCTTGCCTCGAACCACGACGGAGGTCACGACATCGACTGGACCAGTGGGCCAGCCGGAATGCCGCTTGACGCCGCCCTCCTCCCCCATGCGTTCAAGGTCCTCCTTCCGCTCTTCTTCCGAGTCGTAGAGGTGGAACTTCGCCTTTTGCAAGCGCCGACGACGCTCCCAGGACACCAGCTGATGGGTTCGTCGGTTGACTCTAGTGAGGTTTTGGAGACTAGTGGAATCACAACACCCTGCGATCATCGCAACGATCTCACAGGGCAGTCGAGACCAGCGTTCTGGAGCCATGATGTTTTGTGGTGGGAGGTTTGTAGAGTAGACAGGTCGGAGGTGATGACTTCCCCTGAGTGACGAATTCGACTGCCTTTTATAGTACTGCCTGCGCTATACAGAAGTCTCCATTCATCTGATATTGCGGAACTTGACTTCGAGACACAAAGGCACTTTGTCCATTTTCTGGTTCTTAGTTGGCGACAACGATCTTCGAGGGAGGAATGCAAGGAACGGAAATCTCCTATACTAGGATCTTTTCGTGTACGATAATGGAACATGCATCTAATGTCTTTGTTCCAGCAAAACAACCCTGTTCAGGGAGAGACATTCATATTCAGTTCAAGTCAACAATGAGGAAATTCTCCAATATTCAAATGCCATGTCTATGAATAGTATCTACAACGCGCCTAACGCCTTCAATGCTTATGCACCAGCCCATACTCAAATGCTTATGCTTTCTCCCGGTCCGTAGATAGAGCAGACTGTTTCACGCCGCGTTCAGGATCCGACGGATCGGCCGGCTTGTCAAAAGGTCCCTCGACGTTATCCCCTTTATCAGCCACTTTCTTCCGATCCTCCTCTATCTCCGCAGGATCCTTGGGCCGTTCCAGACCCCGGTCCCGGATCAACGTACAGGCAAGAAAAGCCACTCCGATGAGAGGCACCTGCAGAATAAAGACCCCGTGCGACGCCTTGACATATGCCGTGACGATCTGTGCCCAGTCGGAGTCCGACACCCCCGCCCGCGCCGGGAGCGAGTAGGTCGAATGCGACAGGTGCTTGTACCCTTCCGGCAGGTTCGACTTGAGAACCGCCTGGAGGATAGCAGCCGACACGGCGAGGCCGCATGCACCGCCCAGACAGCGGAAGAAGTTCCGGTCCGAGATGACCACCGCGCGCTGCTTGAGCGTGCAATGCGCCTGGAAGGCGACGAGCGTGGGCTGGAAGGTGAATCCGATACCGATGCCCATAACCCCGCCAATGACAACGATTGCCCCGGGGCTGATGCTGTGGTTGTAGAGAAGGATAAGGCCAGCGCCGCTGCGCTAGGGTTAGACCGGAGGCTGGTACAGGGTGGTTGTGGTTGTGGCAACTTACAGGGTCCAGAGGCCGAATCCGGTCCAGATTACCTCGCCGTACCGCTTGAAGCGCGATATGTACTGGCCCGAGGCGATGGAGGCGAGAGATTGGCAGACCACGAGCGGACAAGTGAGGGCTGCAGAGACGAGCGGCGACCAGCCTCGCGCGTTCTGGTAGTACAGTGGGAGGTAATATAGATAGGCTTGGTACACAGCTCCCAGCAGGAAACTCTGCAGGAAGAGTGCCGAGATGACCCTGTTCTTGAAGAACTCCACTATAAAACAGTTAGACATGAATCGGCCGTGACAAGAACACTGAGACATACCAGGAAGCATAGGCAATACAGACACCTTCCACTCGATGAATATAAAAGCGACCAGGGCGCATCCCCCAATCACCAGCATGCTGATCACCATCGCAGAGTCCCACTGGAAGTATGAACCTCCACCAGAGATAGGAATAAGCAAGAAAATCACGCCGATAGAGGACGAGAGGATACCAAAGTAGTCGATCCGTCGCAACTTCTCCCGGAAGTCGCCCTTCCGGGCATTGTCGGGGATGAGAAAATAACCCACCACGATGGAGCACGCCGCCAGTGGAGAAATCAGCCAGAAGAAACCCCTCCAGGTCGATCTCATGGTGAACGCGGCGCCGATGAACGGGCCGATGACATTGCCCAAGCCCAGCGACGCTCCCAGGATACCCTGATACTTGCCTCGTTTCTCCAGCGTCACGATGTCCGAAACGATGATCATCGTCAGCGAAGTGACCCCTCCTCCGGCCACACCGGCGAGTCCTCGAAAGACATAGAACATCGGAGCGTTCTGGGACAGACCGCACAACAAGTCGGCGATGCAAAGCAGTCCCAGCGCGGACAGATATACGATCTTCCGGCCGAAGATGTCGGATAATCGTCCGTACAACACCGAGAACATGGTGTTTGCAATTAGCGAGGCGGTGCCCGCCCAGGAGATCGTGTTGGCCGCATGGAGCTCTTTGGCGATGGTAGGGAGCGTGACACTGATGCCATTCTGGTCGACAAAGGTGATCAATAGAGACACTGCGAGACCCGCGAAGACCACCAACAGCTGAGCCGTTGGGAGGATGTTGGTCTGGTCATGGAGGGCCTTCTCGGCAGCCTTCTGTTTATCCATTCGATTCCTGCTCCTATTCGAGTCGCTGGGTGTGAGATGGAGCGGCTGTTGGTGGCATTGGTGGCAACGCCAACGACCGATAGCTGTGGATGCTGTTTGGATCTAGATATCGCTCACGACCAAGTTAAATGATCCTGGATTCGCATTGACACGTCCTTGGCATCAATAATGACACAAAAAAGTCTTCTCCACCAAGATTGAGCTTCGTGATTATGTACAGCTAGACAGAGAAAACGCTAGACAGGGAGGATCCGGCAGCAGATATAAGTAGTCTTGAAGCAATGACAGGAAAAATTTTTTCCAGACAGCACCGATAGATCCCAGTCAGAATGACGCATCCTGAGAGGCCATCCTTCGACTTTATCGTCGCCAGCGTCGGCACCAGGTCCGACGCTGCTGCTCTGGAAATAGCAAACCGAGACCCACCAAGCCTTGCAAGCGTCCAAGCGATAGAACGACTGCCACTGGTGTTCATTAGTAACCCGGCAATGAGGACCGGGCCTATTCCGCGGATGGTTTCCACTGCGTCGTGGGCATTTCTGGTTTTGAGCAGGATGTGGAGCGATAGTTCGGACGTCCGATGTGCCGTCGGAGGCTGTCGGATGCAGTCCGACGGCTCGCCTGGCTGATCTTATCGGGAAATTTCCGCTATCTGATCGAGATCAGGTACGTATGCAGATATTCAAGGACAACACCCGAGCCCATATGTCGGCTACAGTCGACACTTGAGAACCCATGCGTTAGGCCAATACGTGCGCATGCATTCAAATCTTTCGTGACGGTGCGTCTAGAACAGTCGACCGGGTCAGAAGGCCGGCTAGGTATAATGCGCTATGTCCTTGAATGCACGACCGTGCAGCAGCGTAGAAGATCTGCATAGTCATAGCATTCGTTAGTATTTCCGGCGTAAAAACACCCTCTAGAGGAGGTACTAACGGACTTAGTGCTCCAGTTGGGTATGAATCTAGAATGGTGATCATCTCTGTCGATTCAAACACAACCATAACCGCAGATTATGCTCAATGATAAGAAGCTCCGACGCTAAGTCTCGTCGATTGTTCACCACATATCCGTCTATATCGTCAAGTGTGCGTCTGCGCAATTGGGACCTCGAGACCCCCTGACGCCCAAGGACCTTGTACACCACGTGTGCCTGCAGTGGTGTCCGTGCCGTATCCATGTGTATCGCCTACTCTACCACCGCTATTGCTGCCTTGCACAGTCTGAGCCGCAGGTCCTGATCCCTCTGCAGCACGTGGCTGGCTAGCGACCGCGTGCTGGGGGAGATAGCTACCCCCGGTGACGTTTCCATGGTTCGGAAAGAAGCTCTGGTTGAATGCCCCGCATGTGGTGCAGGTGAATTCAATCTTGAAGTTGGTAAGAATCAGCGGTGGCGGTGCAGAAGGATGTCCGGCATCCGGAAGCGGTCGTTGAGGCCGTTGGCTCGTCTGCGTAGGAGGCGTCGGTATAGTATAAAGAGTCTGATGAGGGACAGACTGATGGTTAAGCGAGCTGCCGAGCGTTGATACGCTTTGCGTTTGAATATCGGGTTGGGATTGGACATGAGGAGCAGGTGGTAATGGATGCGGGTTATGTAAATGCGGATGAGGTTGCACTGGTTCTGGGTGCAATGATGGGGCCCGAAGACCCGGATTCCGTTGGATATCCACCTGCTGAACACTGTTGTCGACGAGGTGAGACTGAAGATTCTCTGGCATCCATCTCTGTCCCGACAGACCGCTGTAGGCCGAACCCTCGGCTTGCTCCTCGGAGGCAGGCAGTTGGCTGTCCTGGTGGTCATCTCCACTGGACTCTAGGGTCTCTGCTCGCTCAGCTTGGCCCTGCGGCTGCTGTTGCTGCAATCGGATCAGAGCGCGTTGAGCTTGTCGCATGGAGATCTGATATCCATGATAGCGCTTCACAGCATCTACGACGTCCTGTGCCTTGATGCTGCTGGTTATATCGAAAAGCTTGGGAATTTCGGCCAGAAGGAAGCGCACATGCGAGACCTCCGAGCGCACTGGCGCTTTTGATGCCGAAGACTCATTTCTCCGACAACTGTGGCTGTCTTGAAGGCTACTGATATAGGTGGAGTTCTTGTTCGCTCGACACACGACGCGAAAGAAGCAATTGCTCGACGACCGACAGCCGATCACCACGCTTTTCTTGTTGCTCCTCGTCACCCGCAGCTCCCAATGCTGCCGCACAGAGATATTGCGGACCAGTGCCTTGAACTCCTCCAGGGAGCTAAATCGTTGGCCCACATGGAGCCCCGAGTACATCTCCGACATGATGGTCACGACGCCACAGACAGGGCAGCGAGAAGTGAATGCGGAAGGGGATTTCCATCAGAGAAACATTGACCATCAACATCCGAGGCGATTTTCATTTGGACACCGAATTCACGATTCAGAAGAAGGGTCGATCCTTTGCGTTGATTAGCCCGGGAACTCATCCGGATATTTATGGGCGGAAGAGCCAAGAAACGAACGGCATCGTAGAGATTCTGACAGACGCTGCAGAGACAGCCGGCAACCATCTCTTAAAAGGAGACCTGTGGATTGAGTCCGTTGCGGATCAGCCTGGAGGGATCAGGGGACAGCCCCAGGAGTTGGCAGAAGAGTGCTCGACTTGCATTGTCGCGACCAAAAAGGGATCGTCGAACGGGCGAGTGGAGGAGTGCAAGGCCAGTTTCCGCCTAGCGCCGCTTTCTCCCCAGACCAGCCGACCGCTTCCCATCGGCCCTTTTCAAAAGTCACCTCTTTGTCGGCGACCGAACCCACGCCCCCCATTGTTCCTCTTCTGCTCTCCGGTGTCTGTCGACTGCAGGTTGTCGCTGGGCGCAGTCTGCACATCATGCCGTCCTACGGAATTCTGGGCCAGCCAGACGAAGGTGCGTCAATCCTCGTTCGTGCGCAAGCTTTGTCTTGGAGCTTCCGCTTTACTCATGCTCTGTCCTCCTCCCTGCAGATAACCTTCACAAGTCGCGCCTGTTGAACGTCGAAGAAAAACCATTCAAGCGCATTTCCAAGCGTCTTCTAAACCCCGAATCCCTCGTTGTCTCCCATGCGACGCTCCCAACGCCTCCCCCCGACGGAACCGACGAAGGACCCGCGGCCGTCGACGACGCCACGAAGCAGAAAAAGCTCGACGAATGGCGCCATTTCCGCGAAGATGTGACCCTCGACTTTGCTGCCTTTGAGAGCAGCATCGCGCGCATCCAGTTTCTCCTGACGAGCAACGAGAAGGAACGCGAACGCTACGCCGCCGAGAAGCTCCGCATCCTCTCGACCATGCAATCCGTCCGCGAAAACACCGCCGACTTGCGGGCCCAATTAGAAGAAGCGCAGCGACTACTGGCATTACGGAAGAGCTACGACGAGCTGGCCGAGAAGATCACGAGTAACCGGCTACTCAAACCGCGCGAGGACCAGCAAGCCAACCTGCAGAAGCTCCGGGCTGAGATCACAGAGCTGGAGAAAGAGAGCACGGAATATGCACAGACCTGGGCGGAGCGGCGCGAGCAGTTTGGCCGTATTGTGGAGGAGGGCATGCAGCTCCGGCGTCTTATTCGGGACGAGAAGGAGGAGGTTGAGCGCAGAGAGGGTATGCAGGAAGGGGAGGCTGGTGACGACGGCGATGTCCCGTCCAGAGGGAAGTCGAGCGGTGCCAACAGCCCCCGTCCTGAGGTAGACAGCATCACCCCTTCGCAACATGGTCGGGACGAATCAAGTCGATCACCGGTCGGTTTGCACGCTGAACGGACGAACGCTCACGCTCCGGGCACACCTCTACGACAGGTGACGATCGCTGACGATGAGAGGAGGTCATCGGCGGACCAAGATGATGCCACCATGGTCGATGAAAGGTGAGGTGACTGGAGATGAGAATGAGCTGGAAGAAGGGGAGGAAGTACAAGACAATCACGCTGGCGACAAAATGGACACAACTTGATGACGGACTACGGGATTTTTATCAAGGAGCTTGGAGTCAGGATTACGGCGTTGGGCTTATGGCATTCATAAAGTACAAGTTTCGCTTTAGGTCGATGGATCATCTTTCTCAATATTTACCATGCCTATGCAGCATTTTCTTGGGCAGACGTAGTATTCATTGTCACCGGGCACTTGATTTCTGAACGAGCTTTTCCGACTCCTTCAAGCGATCTCACGCTCGGCCGTTCTAGCCTGGGCAATGGCCTCCTTAGCAGCATTGATATGTTCGACATTGCTCTCAGAGCCTTTCTGGCCTTCCTCGACCTATTGACGCAGTTAGTCATCGGGCGAGTGAACATAGTCCGGTCGACGCACAAGGAGGCTGTCAAGCTTCGCTATCGACTCCTCGATCTTCTGCTTCAGACTAGGAAGAACATTCTTCGTCTCTTCAAGAGCAAGGCGCTGTACTCCGTTAGTCTCTGGACTCGTGAATTCCGGAACGATTCTCGTACCTCCTGCTTCAGCATGTATTCTCTGTTTTCGTCGTCGCCGGTCTCGCTTTCCAGTCGCTTAATCCGCTCTGTCTGTTGTTGGAGCTCACGGTGATAGGACGCTTCTTCTTTGACCAGGCGCTGGACAGAAGCAGTCGCGATTTCCAGTGGAGAGCGGGGGGCCATGGTGGGCTGTTTTCGAGTCAGTATCTTAAATGATAGGCATTGATGTACGGAGAGAGCTGCATATTATGAAAAGCAAGAATGCCTCGGGCGAATCTAGTATGGAAATAGTAGAGTCATAAACGAAACGCTTGGTGCGGGCAGGATCCCGAATCCATGTCGGTGCCTCCATATCGCGCATCCAAGCTCGAGAGCGGGCAGAATTGCGAATGAACAGAATACAGACGTACCTTGAGTTTAGTATAGTAATTGCGCAAAAGCTGGTAGATTCTGCGCCACTCGAGGAGATTGTTCCCGTCACTTGACAACTTGACAAGATAGCGAAAGAAGTTCCATCGTGCTCTTGGAGCCCCTCCGTGATTATGACGATGATCGCCCAAAGGAGTCTGTTTGCACTGTTTGTCTTTATGGCAGGCTGCTTATCTCATCAATTTCACAAGCCACTCTGATTTCCTATTTGGGCATGTATGAACTTATGGCCTCGATTTGCGATACTCACATGGTCAACGGTTTTCATTCCCTATCAATTGAATAGGTAGGTATGCATGGGTGAAGCACCTTGTGAAAAGTTCGATCGTCTGTCACAAGAACAGAATCTAAGTCTGAAGCTTCCGCTGGTCGAATCCGCCTTGTACATTGCAGACAACGACAAGCCTCGTCCTGTGCCCTGTCGGGCGTAGTTCTCAGATGCACGGCTCTCGGTCTCTAAATGTGGCCCAAGCACGTTGGTTGATCTGAAGCAGCCGTTGGGTGCTTTTGAAATCGCGTGCACTAGGTAGAAAGTGTCCCGTCATAATGTGGTCGGCATGAAGCAATCGAGCAACCTACGTATCAGTGTCGGGTCTTTGGATCAGCCTAGGCAGAAGATGTTTGTATGCGTTGCGTCATTATCTAGGTGTATATATGCCTTGTCTCCCGTCTACAATCGTAAGTTCCTGCATTTTCTCCTCTATACCACAAAGTCCAGATAACAGTCCTACCAAACCGGCAAGATGAGGTATGTCAACCCTCAGTATCATGAGGCTGCAGACACCATCTCACAAGAAATATAGGTATGCGATCGCGCGTCCAAGCGAGTATCTCGTGCTCACTGGAGCCGGGATCCAAGACATCCAACTGTGCAAAAAGGCCATCGTATGGCCATTCCAACGAGTGAACTACCCACCCCCCCCCTAACAAGAAACAGCGATCGTACTAATCTGGTTTCAGTGTGGACGGATCTCCCTGACTCCATTTGACTTCTCGCTCAATCTCCAAGCGATGACGGTCGAGAAACTGCAGTTTTCCTTGCCTGCTGTGTTCACCATCGGTCCCGAGGACCAGGAAGAGGCACTCCGGAAGTATGCCAAACTGCTTTCTGGAAACTCCCAGGATGTGGTCAAGGACTTGGCCAGTCCGAAGGGGCGGAACCATGTGCAGGACATCGTGATAGGCATCATCGAGGGTGAGACTCGCGTCATTGTTTCTACAATGACCATGGAGGAGGTGTTTAAGGAGAGGCAAGTCTTCAAAACCAAGGGTGCGTAAAGCCAACTCCTGATTCATACGACTGCTAAGTTTAGTAGTTATTGAGAATGTTCAGAATGAGCTTCACCAGTTTGGTTTAAAAATGTAAGTGTGCCTTGCTTTACTGATTGTGGAATATGCGTTACTCACGAAGTCAGTTACAATGCCAACGTCAAGGAACTTCAGGATGCCCCCGGCAGCGAATACTTTGCCTTTTTGAGTAGGAAGGCACATGAAGGAGCTTCTAACCAGGCGAAGATTGACGTTGCCGAAGCCCGCATGAGAGGAGAGATTGGAGAGGCAGAGAAAAAGGGACGGACCAAGCAGGAAATCTCCAAGATCGATGCGGACACCGCTGTTCTGGAAACAAAGCGGAAAGCTGAACAGGCCAAAGCCGATTCGGAGCTGATGAACCGTCAGACAGAGCTGAATCAAACTGTCGAGCTGGGCAAGATTATTGCCAAACGCGAGGTGGAGTCGCGAGACGCAGAACTACAGAAGAAGGTCGAAAGCAAACGGGCAGAGACCGAGCTGGAGCGCCTCCGAGCCCAGCAGGTTATCAAAAGCAAAGTGGATCGTGAGGCGGCGGAGGAAACTGCTAATGGAGCGTTCCATACAGCACAAAAGGAAGCTGATGGTCGGCTGTACAAGGAGAAGCTAGAGGCTGATGGCGCTTATTACCGCCAAAGCAAGGCCGCCGATGCTGCGCTTTACAAGCAACAACGTGAAGCAGAAGGTATTTTTGAGATTGCCAAAGCCTACGGCGCCCTTATCGATGTCCTCGGGGGACCTCAGGCCTTCCTGCAATTCCGCATGCTCGAGACCGGAATGTACGAGAAGATGGCGAAGGCGAACGGGCAGGCGCTTCAAGGCTTACAACCGAAGATCACTTCGTGGAATACCGGAGGTATGTACCGTCCATCCTTTCTTGCATGGAAATAACCTTTCATTTCATTCTAACGGCCGTTCTAGGAGTTGCAAACGGGTCCAGCGACAGTATGGCTCCGGTTCGAAACATCATGCAGAGTCTTCCCCCTTTGTTGGACACAATCCACGAGCAGACTGGAATCAGCCCGCCATCATGGCTGGCCCAAATTCCAGGGGAGAAACATGACAATCTGGTCAGAGGAGCCCCAGCTAAATAATGTTCAGTTGCTCAGTAGTACTCCGGGGTAGGGTTCGCGTGGTTATTCCCTGCGGGTGATTCTGTTTGCTATCCAAATGTCGTTTTACTTTCGAAAGCGTTGCTTAATGGTTTATCAGTAGCTTTAGTAAATCCATTGCTTTCATGCGAGATTTCCAGATCAGAAGACGTCCAGGTGGTGAGCGAGTAGTATAAGAGAAGAGAACAAAGGTGATCGCCGATAAGGGCGATAATGAAGTCATGTGATGGTCGCAACCGGCTTGGGCGATTCGGTCATCGTGAATAACTGCGAGCTCATGACTGCCTACATCTCCTTCTCTTCGTTGATAAAATTCGCCATGGCGTAGACTATTTCAGTCCCAACTTTCCGTTCCTTGCGTTCTGTCTGAATCCTATCCTCGATCATGCCAGCGCCATCACTCCTGCAGCTCGCTACAGCCTCTGCCACCAGGAACGTGAAATGTACGCATCACCCAACATGCCTTACTGCCTGACCACACTGACCTTGTCTCTCTGTTAGATCTGAACGATATTGGCAACATTCCGTACTCACTCGCTCGTCCATTTCTCCTCAAGATCGAGAGCCCAGAGAAACTGGTTGGTCAGCCCTTGAAGCCGCAGTATAGACGAATGATCCCTCTAACCTACGCCAATCCGGCATATCCTCTAGAGAACACTCGAAATACAATCCCCGCATCTCATCAAAGAAGACGAAGAACTATGGCTCGAATTTATCAGGAGAGACATCCCCCGGTGGGAAGAATACGAGCTCCCCGACAACCCAGAGTGTTGGTATGACGTATACTGCGATCTCCGTGAGCGTGTCCAGCGCGCCGTCGACGAGGATGCAGAACGGTTGAAGATGGCCCTGGATGGCATCAAAACGGAACGGGCCAAACACAGCGCCAAATTCGTCACCGATCGGCGCGACGTGCACCTCCCTCGAGAACGACCAACAACCAAGCAGCGATACGCCTCGTTTGACCGGAAAGTCGGCGGGATTCGACCGGTCTTCGCCGGCCAAAAAAGCGCACTAGGTTCGTCAGATCCAAGCGGGACTCCGCTGTGGTCCTTCGAGCGACCGCAGCTCCCGCGCGAGACGAAGAAGAAAAACAGTATCTTCACCGCCACGAAGCGCAACAACGTTCTCGCCGTCCCCACCAAGCAGTTGAATAACCGCGCCTCCCAGGTCAAGCAAGCGCCGCGCTCTCTGTTGGAGGAGCATATACGGCCCCCGCCTGTGCCTACTTCCCGGCGCAAAGAGCCTGTTGTCGCAGGCACCCCATCGCTGCGAGTGCCCGGCCGATCACGGATGCAGAGCGGTACCGGAGGCAGGATACAAAGTCCTGTCGTTACGCCCTCGCTACATGAAAGGGAAGCAAGGCTGCGCGCGCTGACTTCTGGCCAGCGGTCCAGTTCACATTCGTCGGCCTCCCCCGCTGCATCTATTTCTCCATCACGGGGGTCGTCAGCCGCTGCCAGTCCTGGTTTGGCAGCAACCCTGCCAGTGAACGAATCACGGTCAAAGATTCGGGCTCAACCATCGCCCGCTGGATTTCCGACGTCTTCCCAGGGGAATGCGAACTCGGATGGCGACAGCTCCAAAGCATCACCACAACCACCACGTGTTATGAACATGCGAAAAAGACCAGCTCCTAGCGTTTTTATGCCGCCGAAGAAGAAGAAGCCGGCGTGACCGGCTACTGACGAGTGTTTTGTATTTTGTACATATTGCTATTGTCTCGTAGAACTGGGATTGGGTGAGGCAGCGGCCACATCAGTGTTGGCTGGTTTCAACATTGCTTTCACTTGCAGATCTATACCGAGATATGGGGCGCTTTACTAGATGGAGCTATTGGGAAGGCGATGGGCGATTTCATACGGTTTTATGATACCTATCTCATGATATGACGGATTTCATTGCATACTTTCTTAAGATATACCAATATCAATAACACAGGATTGTACTCATGAGAAAGGAGCATGTCTACTGCTCTGGATTTGGTAGAACGGTCTCATTACTGCGTTGACGTTACATAAAAATTCATTCATCTCCGCGGACGCGGCTCAACTCATGCCGATTCATCCGCACCTTGGACAAGCCTTTCTCCATCGTCCTGGTATACCGCGCATCTCCCATCTTCCATTCCAAGCATCGACAGACAGGAGCCCGCCGATTCCTCCCATCACTATGATCCATCCGCACCATTCGTGATCTCTAGAAACGTGCGTCATCGGGCGTAGGTCATTAATAGCCTCCACGAAGGGCAAGGACCAGGTGCAGCGTCGCACCACCCTCGAGGTTATATTCCGCGGCGGTCTTATCGTCGGCCCTATATGATAGACATGCGTCAGCAGGCTGGCTTCTCGCAGAAAGCACCAAGACCCTGGGGAAAGGGGCGGCTGGATCGTACGCACATCTGCTTTCCACCGAAAATCAGACGCTGCTGAACAGGCGGGATACCTTCCTTCTCTTCGACGCGCTCCTTGATACGAGACACCTGGCGTATATTAGCCCTACGATATTCTCCGTGGTTGTTTGTAATCGGTCGAGCATGGGTGCGTGCGAGCGACCAAGGGTAGACGCGCTCCGGTCGAGGAGGGAAGGAAGGAATGTACCTTGTAGTCGGGCTCGATATCCAGCTCGATTTCCTTGCCGGTCAGGGTGCGGACTCTGCGAAGCGGTGGTCTTGTCAGTCATTGCGTCGCAGTGGAGGGCAGCGCGTGGCGCGATTGTCGGGGAGCCGACGGTGGAACAGAAGGCAGGTAGCTCACTTGATAAGCATCTTGGTGGTTTGCGCGGAAGCCGGAGAGAGGAGAACTAAAAAAGCAATACGCGGGACGCAGGTCTATGAGGAGAAGCGAGAGTGGTAATGGAGCTGGTGGTTCGGTTGGAGATGATGACGGAAAGCCTCGCGGCGGCGGGGGTTGGTGGGGCCGGAGTCTACTAAGGCAAGAGAGTGTCATGCACCAACTATAGCAATAATCTGTGTTTATTCTCGCCAGAACGAAACTGTTTGAGGGTCTGTGTATAGCTAGGTAGCTTGTTGAGCATAATCAGGGCAGTATCCAATCTGGTTATCAGGGCTGGGTGGCTTGCATAGGACTCTCTGTTTGCTGTAGGACGAGCAGGTGCAGTGTACGATATATATCTCCGACCAGCCACTACTCCGCCCTCGTATTCTTCCAATTGAACAGACTATACGATCCTTATAGATTCCCTTCTCTCTGCAATACCCCCTCATAGACCAAGATGTCCCAAATCGCCGATCCGTCGCTGCAAAAAGCCAACCCCTTTGACCAACTGCTTACCGACTCTCAGAACGATCCTGTATGTCCCTGGGACCCGATTTCAGACCTATTTTAACCGATTGCACCACAGACACGCATTCAAACCCGATATGAGACCCATCGGACCGACAGAAACGCCCAGTACAAGGCGAAACTTCTCAGCCCTGATTTCCCCGGCTGGCAGACCGATGAAATCCTGTCCAAGCTGCACGCACAAGAGACGGACGGGGTCAGCGCAGGAGAGCCCCCGTTCCAGGACCACCGGAACAATCTGAACCTTTATGCCCGACCTCCCCAGCATATCCGGGACATGGTGGCGGAGATCCAGCAGGATATCCGCGATGTCGCGCCGAGTGAGTCACCCCGCGCGCAACCCGTTGCTTTACACTGACATGGAGGAACGCTAGCTATGTGGTTTACGCCGCCGCATTATCTACACATGACGACCTTGGAGATGGCGAGCAGTCGGACGCCCGAGGAGGTCGACATGTTTGTCTCGCACCTACAACGCAGTGGGATCCTGCCTGACCTGGTCGACTACACCTTCACGCACCCTACGCGGCTCGTCAAGCCCGTCGTCAGTTACGATGCAGCAGCGATGGCGCTGAGTTTCATCCCCGCGGCCGGTGAAGACACCGATGCGAGTCTGTCCCCAGGCAGTACTGATGACTCGTACACCTATCACCACTTGCGGCGGGATCTTTTCGGCAAAGTCACGGACACGGGTCTATTGATGAACCCCAGGTATATCGTTCCTTCGGCGCATATTACCATCGCTCGGTTTATCACCCAGGAGGGGTTTCAGACGACGGATGCAGACGGAAAGGAGCTGGTGGGTCGGGATCGTGTGGCTGCGTTGGTAGAGAGGTTGGATCGTATTAATGCACGGCTGCGAGAGGAATACTGGCCTCAGCATGGGACAACGCCATCCAAGGGGGTCTGGCGAGTCGGAGAAGAAAAGGGGCTGGCGTTGTCGACGGGGCCGTCGTGGTATGGGGGCGGACAGGACATTCGGCTTGGAAAAGGATATGTATAGATTATCTACATAGAGTACAATAGAGTAGACAGCGAGAATAAGACTCAGAAAGGAAGGAAAGTGATGCCTCAGGCAGAAACACATGACGGAAGTGGTCTTGGCGGATTACCCAAACAGGTTAGGCGGTGCCCGAAAGAGGGCCCTAAGCGAACGAAATCCCACAACCCACGGCCAGCCGACTCGATCTTCCCCGACAAGAGACAATCAACGACCAGCAACTTCGCGATCCGGCCAAGTCAGTCAAAATGGTAAGATTATTGATCCTGTTACATCTGTTTATCGATGCTGTGCTGGGGAGTCTGGATATTGGAGATTTTCGATCGATCGTGCCGTGTTGCGAATGAGGAGCCAAACGAAGCCGATTCTTTTCGACGACGACGGTGGATGAAACGCCCACGAGTCTACCTTCCAACACCGAAAGAACGATATGATTGATTCGAAAGAATGGAGTGAAAAAGAACAACAATCCGACGGTCCGATGTGTTGATTTGTACGATTTGCCGAAGATACCCAGGGGACGAAGATTTTCCGTGCGACCAGACAATGACCGCTCAGGGAGTTGTGGACAGACGAGAATAACCGTCACAATGCTGCTTTCGTTTGGACTCTCTCGCTCGGAACACGGGCTCGAACTCGAACTCTCCGATGGACAGACTCCCATTTAGATACACACATTAGATACACTCAAACCCCGTTCACCGACGCTGATGCATTTCGCCTCCAGGTCAACGTTCCCAAAACCCGCCGGACGTACTGCAAGTCCAAGGAGTGCCACAAGCACACCCAGCACAAGGTCACCCAGTACAAGGCTGGCAAGGTGAATACCAACTGAACCCGATACCGGCGATGCGACGGAATGCTCATACATCTGATCCAGGCCTCCCTGTACGCCCAGGGTAAGCGTCGTTACGACCGCAAGCAGAGCGGTTATGGTGGTCAGACCAAGCCCGTCTTCCACAAGAAGGCCAAGACCACCAAGAAGATCGTGCTGCGTCTCGAGTGCACTGCCTGCAAGGCCAAGAAGCAGCTCGCTCTGAAGCGCTGCAAGCACTTCGAGCTGGGGTATGTGATTCCATACACGTTCGATCTGCCTGGTACTAACAAGTCTATAGTGGTGACAAGAAGACCAAGGGTGCTGCTCTTGTGTTCTAAGTTTGCGATTTCCTTGTTCGGCTCTGGGTTTCCTGCATTGCACAGACCGCAACTCCGGCGGCGGGCATATGACATTGGCAATGGAAAATGAAATAGGATCTCATATTCAAAAAAAGAACGAATATATGGCTCCTAGTTGATGAGTCTCTTGACGAATTTACTTTGTTCTCGTATTGTTCGTAAGCGTAAGATCTGGTCCGAAGCAGAGGTCATGGTACTTGTCACTCAAGTAATCAGCGTCAAGTACTTGCCTTCTTTCCAAACCTCTTGTCCATATACTCTATTGTATTCTGGAACTTGGTTCCAACCTGGACATTCGATATGAGGTTCTATTCAGTTTTGAATCCATCTAGCCTTACGTATAGGCCCCACTGGCCCTAACGATCATCAACGGTTCCTAGTAACTACCGCAAGGCTTGAAGGGAAGTATGTATCTTATGGATCATATTTGCACAGACTGATGCGGTCAAAAATAGAAGAGTTCCACAGTATCTATGCTGATATCTGTAGGCCCCAAACTTGATCCCATACTTGAATCCGTGTGACCTGGCTTAGAGCACCCACCATCCTGGGCCATGCTAGCTATTGCTTCAATGCACTTTATTTCCTCTGTGTTGAGACACCCACGCTATCTATCCACAGGACCCAGGAAACCAAGAAGGCGACATGAACTTTATAGCAAAAGCCGATGAACAGCCCTCGGGAACAATAACAGCGAACCCCGACCCCCAGCCCTAAACAGGCACTTCCACGAACGCCCCCGGGATATTCCCCGGACAATACTGCAAGAATGCACATCGTACCACGCTGGGAAGGCGCAAAAGACCCGCCAGCGGGACGGTCCCCCCGCATCTTTCGTATCCTTCACCGTTTTCCCCCTCCCGTCTCGGTCTGGGGAGAGAGCCCTCGGCCATACTCCGAGTGGCTTGCAGTGTCCAGGTTTCTCACCTCGGTTGCTGCGACGCTGATTAATTGCCTGTTTGGGTGGTACGTGGGGGTTGCTGCATATATCAAGTACGGCCTGCTGTTCTGCGCGTGGTTCTGGTCAAGTTCACTGACAAGAATAGGGAGAACACGGTAGAGAGTCAGACAAGATGGGCGCCAGCTGGTATACGTATGGCGTGGCTTTTTTTGCCGCCATCGGCACGTTTCTTTTTGTGAGTATACCTGTATACTTGGTTCGATGGAGTGGGGGTTAATACGCTGGCAAGGGGTTTGATACTGGCATCGCGACGACGAGTGAGTGCGGCGGCTTGAACATAGGGGACGCTGCTGACGCTCTTATCTAGCCATCGCCCACCAGAGCTGGATCGATTATATGGATCACCCGTCCAAGGGTCTCACAGGAGCAGTACGGGACCTATCTCGCTATGACAGGAGCAAACTGACCGCCTAGGTTGTCGCCGTGTACATCGCCGGCGAAGCAGTCGGCGCCCTGACGCAGACCGCCGTCGCCGACAAGCTCGGCCGTCTGCGCTTCATGGCACTGATGTGTGTCGTCGTGACGATCGGGACGGTCATCCAGACCGCGTCCGTCAACATTGGGATGTTTCTCGCCGGACGAGTCCTGGCCGGCTTCGCCGTGGGGTAGCCAGCCCTTCCCCTTGCTTCTACCTTACCCCTCAACCACTGGAACTATACTAATGGAGCATAGAGGAATGGTCGCCACAGTCCCGATCTACCTCAGCGAAATCTCAGACCCCCGCTACCGCGGGCTGATCGGCGGCATCTCGGGCTGCGGCATCTCGTTCGGCACGATGATGTCAAACTGGGTCGGGTACGCGTGCAGCTTTGCGCCGTACGGCGCGGTGCAGTGGCGCCTGCCGCTGGGCATCCAGATCCCCTGGGGCGTGATCATGTTCGCCGGCCTGGTCACCTTCATGCCGAACTCGCCGCGCCATCTGGTCCGCACGGGCAAGGTCGAGCAGGCGCGCGCCGAGTTTCGGCGCATTCGGCGGGATTTGCGGACGGATGAGATGGAGCAGGAGTTTGGGATGATGCTTGCGCAGATCGAGTATGAGATGGAGCGGGAGATTACGTCCTACCGGGACATTTTCAAGCTGTTTCGGTCGCGGGTTTTGGTGTAAGTTTCTATTGCGCTTCGGGTGGAGGTTGGTGCTGACGGTGTAGGTCGATTGCGGTGCAGACGATGACTAGTTTGACCGGTGTCAACGTTATTCAGGTATGTACCCCTCTGTCTCTGAAGGTCCACGCTAACAAGTCTAGTATTACCAAAGTATGCCAGCAGCCCTGTCCGGAAGATAACACATACTAATGAAGCAGCGATCCTGTATAAATCCCTCGGCATCAACGCGCACACCATCCTCGCTCTCGCCGCCGTCTACGGCACATGCGCCTTTGTCACGAACGCCCTCACGACCAAATACCTAACCGATCAATGGGGTCGACGGAAGTACGTCCTAGACCCCCATTATAGACAGGAGCAACCACTGACGTCGATAGAATGCTTCTCTCCGGCCTCGGCGGAATCGCCCTCATCGAGATCTACGCCGCTGTCATGCAGCGTGTCTTCCAGAACACGGAGAACCGCGTCGGAAAAGGCTTCGCCATTCTGGGCATCTACCTCTTCGTCGTTTGCTATTGTATGTCTCCCTCTGGGCTTTCGTGAGCAGCGAACTGACTATAGTACTAGACGGTATGCTGAACAGCACGACCTGGCTGTACGGTTCCGAGGTCCTGCCCATCGCTCTCCGGAGCAAAGTCATGGGTCTGGCGGCTGCGTCGCATTTCATCGTTAATGTTGCCAGTACGTGTCTATTCCCTCTGAGAGAAGGATGAAAGCTGATCAATGCAGTCACCGAGGCCGGTCCCAGCGCCTTTGCCAATATCCACGAGAACTACTACTATGTCTTTGTCGCGTGCTCGCTGTTCTTCTTCGTGATTGCTTACTTTTATTTCCCGTATGTGGCTTTACACCTGGGTATGTGGGCTAGGCTAATAAACACAGGGAAACGAAACAAAAGACCCTTGAGGAGATCGCTGCCTCTTTTGGTGACAAGGTTATTGTCCCTGGGGAGATGGAGGATAAGGATAAGCCGCACGCGCGGGGAGTGGAGGATGTGGATGCATAGTTGCTGGACCATGGGCTATCTGAGACTGGCAGTTGAGTGGGAGTGAGGTAGTTTCAATCGATTTGATAATGTTATCCGAAAGATGGATTATCTGCTGTGTATAAACATTAGTCGTATGTGAGATCCCAACCTGATGGCGGGCCGCATCACAGAGCTAGCCCTGTTTTCTCTGGTATATTGGAACCGTCCGTCACTTCCAAACCATTCAGGTTCGGCGCCTTCCTACCCACCGACCTGAGCCCCGCGCGGCACCCGCAGGTTGTCGAATAGCCATCATGGCCTCTCAGAAATCCTATTTATAGCACCGATCTACTATCCCAGTCCCGAGCGCAGGACATGTTTCTGCTGCTCCTGCGCGAGAAGCTCCCATCCATCCCACGGGACGCACGCCGCGTTCATCCAGTTCTGCGGATGCAGAAGCAAGAACAGCTCCTCGCAGGCATATTCCACCGCCGGCGACGGGTAGGATTGGACATACGGTGTTGGGGCCGGAGCAGGCGCGCTGCCCGGGGTCGACGAGGCCGCGGGGCTGACCATGCCGCTGACACTAGAGACGTCCATCGCCAGGAGGGTTTGTTGGCTGCGAGCGCAGGCCATATCACTGATTCGAGGTTAGTATGTGTCGATGGGAAGGGACGGCTGGAACGAACATGATGTTTCGCAGGACAGGGACGGCTTTGCTGCAGAAATTGCTCCGGTTGGACAGGGCGGCGAACACGTCCAGCGTGCTCCAGAGGAGATCCTTGATCTCGGTGAACTCGTACTGGCTGTCCGGGTAGAGGAGGATGATGGAGAGGACGATGGCCGCGTGGAAGGCGTGGAAGCTGCCCGTGCCGCTGTTGTACCATTTGTATGGAGCGAACTCGGGCGTGTCATACAGATTCCGGTAGATGGCCAGCGACGCCTTGGCGGAGGTAATGCATTTGGCGCGCGCAGCGCAGGTCTCGGGCGTGATCTCGCCCTGGAGGTAGCGGCAGAGGCTGGGACGGAGGAGCAAGAGGAAGAGCTGGTGGATGTCGCTATAGAGGATGTTGAGGTTGGCCTGGTGGGTGGTGAGGGGCTCGAGGGTCCCGTTTTCGAGGTGGTAGCGTTTGTCGCAGGTTTCGCGGACGGCGAGAATCTCGTTCTCGATCTGCGCTAGCGAGAACCGCAGGGGGAAATTGAACAGTGCTTCTCGGATCATGCCGGCGATCTTGGTCAGTCGCGCCTCCAGCAGGAGGTAAGTCATTTGGGTGGGACCGGTGGTGGGCTCTGTGCCGGCCGTCAGGAGATCCACGTCGTTGATGTCTAGCGGGGGTTTCACGTCTTGGGAGAGCATGCGAGGGTCTATGACGCCGAATGAGTGGTTTTGTTGTGTGTACAGCATGGTGAGTCCAGTCCACGCGCGTCGGCGCTCTTCGCGCTCGATGGCGCCCAAAGCGAACCGCTCCGGGTCGATGTGACAGCCCATGGAGATGGCAACGTGGTGGGTGAAGCCGAGGAGCGTCCAGGTCGAGAGACCACGCTGAATGCGGGCGTAGTTGATGAGAACCAGGGACTGGAGGGAGTTGATGGAGTGGCGGGAGGTCACCCCGTCCGCGGCGAGACAGCGCAGGGCGGCGGAGCGGTAGCGAGAGGAAAGGGCCTTGACGTTGCGACTCACAGTCTTTTCCCGACCTAGATCTGATAGGAGCGGATCGTCATCGTCCAATGCTGTCACTGCGATGCCCAGAATGGTGAATAGGAGCGCAACCCATGAGATGGAGACACTGTTCGGGTCATGACAGAACTGTTGGTACTCGGCTTCGAAAGTAAGGTCGTGAAGGATATGAAACAACTGTAGATCGTGTCAGATGGAGTGAAGAGCCACAGGAAGAGAACATACTGGAGAGAAGACCCGGAAGTAGACATCTTTCAGAGCGTCGCAATATCGGCCTGGTGGCAGAATGGCGAGGAGCTCCTCGCGGGAGGCGGCATTTCTCGCCAGGGGAATTTGTAGGTCATCGTCATCCTCGGGGACCTCTGAGCTGATGTCCGGCAAGGAGGTGTTGTTGCCTGTGGAACTGCTGGACAGCGCCGGGGCATTCCATTGTGAGACCAGCGGCTGATACCGGACGTAGCCGGCAGCGAATGTTTGGAGCGTTCCCACACAGCTGGGCAGAGAACTGCTGCGGAGATCTGGCACGCCGAGGCCGAGCGCACTATCCGATTCACCGACGCTGCCCGTCGTAGCGCTGGGGGAAGTCTGTGGAGAGAGGGGATCGCCTGTCTGAGATCCAACCTGCTTGTGTAGCAGGTCCTCCAGGTTGCGAATGCGCGCCAACAACTCGTTCTGGATAGTCGCATCGGCCATGGTGTTTTCGGCAGATAACCGGGGCTGACCCAGATAGATGCAGTCTTCTGCGCCGAGGCCCCGACGCACGCATGTCTGACAGGGACGTCCGTCCCGCGAGCAACGGATCTTCCTGGTTCGACAGGCCTGGCAGCTGATGGGCAACCGCTTGCCAGCAGGGCGCGACGCCATTTGGGGACTGGGTGGGGAGCGATGTTAGCTCCGCACAAGGTGGGTAAAGGAGAAGAAGAGGTCGAGGGTAGTTGTCGATTGGGACTGTGGAGATGGAATATAATGCCAGGAGAGTTTACGAAGGTGGACGATGGAGATATAAAGCATGATCCGGGTGATGGAAGAAGAATGCAGACTCAGTTCAAGGCAAGTAGATGCCGCGCTGAGGATCCGAAATAGGAACACCAGAAGGATTGGCATATTTTTTTTTATTATGTTTTATTTAGTGGGTTGAATCAGTCGAAATGGAATTTGCCCCTAGTTTCATGAAATTTTTCTGTCAGGGTGCAGCAAAAAGGATGTCAGATTCAATCTAACGAAAGGAGCCACAGTGGCTCAGAACGGCAGCTGAAGCAGGCATCATCTGGAAGGACTGGTGCAGCACGTTAGGTTTTTTCTTTTGACTTTCTCTGGGTGGATTGCCTACCGCAGACTACTGCAGCCATCGGATGCCGTTAGTTCATTGTCGGCAACCCGTGCGAGCCAACAACAGATCTTGTCCCCATTCTGTCAAGCCCAGCGAAAGTCCGTCATACGGATGTCATTCTGCAACTCAGGACTCGAATTGATAGTTCCTAACATGCGGATATCTCCCAGTGAACTGGAAACAGAGACAGAGGTCTGGACAAAAGGCCCGACCACATCGCCAGTGCGGAGGCGAATCCGATAGACCGAACGGAAGTGGATCGGAAGGGCGGGGCGGACTGCCACGCGAGAACAATCGGCGTCATGATTTGAATTGCTAGTAGCCCCTTCAGATTGATTGTTTCGGTCCACTAGACGCCTTCACGAGTGATCTGTGACAGACAGGGTGTGGGTACCGCCAGGGCTGAATGGCTGCTTCGGCATTGCAATGGATGGGAGGCGGTCCAGACGTGGCCCATAGCAGAGTAGATAGGTCAATCGGCATCATCAGCGGTACTTCAGAAGCAGCTTATCGGCTATGAATGAAGTCATATACAGGTACACCCGGGTATACTTCGGAAGATACATCCTACGAATTCATAGGAGCTCCCACGCGGCTCAACCCAATTGCGATGCGCAGGACTGCATCTCAATAATCATAATAGTGAAGGTAGCATACCAGATCGGAGATTTGTGCTCATGGGGGCCTATCAGGGACCGTTCCCCACAGCAAAGTGAAGACCGAAGAAACCGGGCATCACCGAAATGACGGAGCGAACCGAATTCGGTCTGAACCACGTTGCCGGGCTCGGAGCCTAGAAAAACGCAGGAATTTGACTTTCCATATGAGCGTGGTCTGCAGCCTCCGCCTACGGACATTGTGGACTGGGAGAATCCCTTGGAGGTGCAGGTCACCTCCAGAGCTGGCTTGTCGATCCGAGAGATGGGAGCCGGATGGACGGAAGGGCGCATGGGGGCGCAAGGGGCAGCGAGGGAGGAAGGTATGCATCACAAAAGCAAGAGCCGGACAATCAGCCAACAGGGAGGGATCCGGGGTGGCCGATGATCGTCGTGGAGATCAGCTTCTAGAAGGGCAAAAGAAGGAGTCTGCCAACGCTTGGTCGATTATCCACCCGGCCGAAGGATGGGACCTGGCACGGATCGCAGAGATTCCTTGGGTCCAGCGACGTCCGGTAATTTCCCTCGAACTATTAATCGCATGGCATTCCTGGACCCGACAAACTTTGAGGAACAGAAATGTTGGCATCTGGGAGGGGAGGAATAAGGACTGAAGACAGCGAGCACAGTGAGGAAATGAGCGTGTCGGACAACTGAGGAAGCCCGAAAGAAAGCCGAGATTGCCAGCCGAACATGCAGGAGAAGGAGCACCCTGCAGCTTTAGGCGGGACTAGTTGTGGCTGAGGCCGCCAACGGTTCAGTTCCGGATAGTCGGGCGCGGCTTTCGTTGGTGGCTCGTATCTCTCATGCCCCATGCGGTCGCTCGGTCGCGTGGCGAAACGCACACGCAGCCTGCATCGGACAAAGAAAAAGATCGTTAGTGGCGTCGATCTGGATGAGACTAGGGGTAACTCGGAAGAAACTTCCTCTCTCTCTTTCATTCTCTCTCCGTATTTCCTTCTGTGGGATTGTATTCCAAGGTGTGGTGGTGGTTGTGTTCCATTGCACGATGCATGTCATGTCATGGCTGATATGTCTGGAGTGATGGTAGGACAATAATAATAATAAGGGTAATAATAGTGTTGATGACGTCGCATCGCTTCCCCTTCTTGGCGCATCGCTTAGGGTGTGCGTCATCCACGGTTGAGAAGACATAAACCTCCATCTCCCCCAGCCATGAAGAGCGCCTTTCCATGGTACTGCCCGATCTCCTCCACCTGTTTCCACCGCTGCTTCAGGGACGGTAAACAAGACGGTTGTATGTGTTGGGCAGCCAGAAAGACGGTGACAGGGTGCCCCATGACGCTGGGCAATGGGGCGCAGTTTCGCCTGGCTCTTGATGAGGTCATGATTATGTCGGGCATAAGAGTCATCCATCATATGGCTGTACTTGTATAGTATAGAACGGTATAAATACACGGAGAAGAATCTAGATCTATCTTGAAGATGATTCTAGAGACCTTGTTGACCCGATCCACCGTGAAGAATCGAGATCCTGTAGGGCTAGAGTCATACCTAAGGGATTCCTCAACAAAGCAACCGAGTAAGTATCACGGGATCCACGTGCATCCGTATTACCTTTCAAGCTTGTCTTCTTTTCTATCACCATCTGTCTTCTCTCTTCTCTTCCATCTCTTCCTTTCTCATCTTCTCTATCATCTCTTCATCATCACCATTTATCATCATTTGTATCAGCCTCCATCAGATCCACCGTCGATCTCTCCTCATAGTCTTCTCGACTATTCCTCGCTACACCCCTGGGCCCCTCTCGCTTCCCCTCCCCCTCTCGGATTTCATTTCAGCTCGGGCTCGACTTTCCCTCTCACCTGTCCTGCTTCTTCATCCATCCATCTATCCATCCGTCCCATCTCGCCACGCATAATTTGTCATCTCCATTGATCTCCCCACTTCACCTCTAGCCCGTTCTTTGTTATCACCAGTCTTTCTTTGTCCTTCCTTCCGCAAGGACCCCCTCCTCATGTCTTACGTCTATAGAGAACGGGAGCGGGAACGTGACTGGGACGAACCCCGCTCGCCCGTCACCATCAAACGCTACGTCGTCTCATCCGACGAAGATCGAGATCGCGATCGTGATCGCGACTTCTTCTATCGCCGCGAAGATCCCTACACGGGCGAGCGAGAGCTCGTCATCCGTCGCTCCACCGATCGCGACGACTCCGCCATGTTGTCTCGGTATGACCGGGAGGTCGACTACCGCTCCGAAAGGGACTACTACGAACGTGAGTACAGTGAGCCCGATTATCCTCGTCGTCCCCGGGCCGACCCCATTGTCATTCCTGGGAATCAGCCGGTAATCATTCAAGAAGCCCGAGGTCCCATCTACGTGCAGCCGCGCGAGTCCGACTACGAGGTCGTCCACCGCTCTGAGGTTGACCGCGAACCCGCCTACTATTACCACCGTCGCGTGCGCGAGTATGACGACGATCGTCGGCTCCGGCGTGAACTGAGCCCGGGTGATTCCGTCTCCCAGGCCACCCGTCGTCGCGATGACCAGGACTATAGCAGCGATGATAGCATGGTTTACATCCGCAAGGAGACGCGCGAGTACGAAGACCACCCCCATCACCGACGACACATGGCTGAAGGGGCCCTCGTGGGTATCGGCGCCGCTGAACTCTTGCGCAACCACAAGAAAAAGGAGGGCGAAGACGTGTCCAGTGGCATGGGCCGCGTCGGTCGCGACGTTGGTGCCGGCGCCCTAGGCGCCATTGCCGTGAACGCCGCATCCCGTGCGCGAGATTACTACCGCAGCAAGAGTCGCCATCGCTCGCATTCCTTTGATGATGACCGCAGCTCGCGTTCTCACCATCGCCACCACCATCACAGCTACAGCCATTCCCGTCGCAGTCGCAGTCGATCTCATTCCCACTCGCGCGCGAGAACCTTTGCTGAGATTGGCCTTGGAGCTGCCGCCATCGCGGGAGCCGTCGCTCTGGCGCGCAATAAGTCGAAGAGCGACCGACGGAGTCGCTCGCGCCACCGTCGTTCCGCGTCGGTCAAGTCCACCCGCGAGGGTGATGAGAAGCGCAGCGAGTCCCAGCGTCGGAAGCATATGGCTGGTGCTGGGCTTGCAGGAGCCGCGGTGGCCGGCCTGGTGGAGAAGGCGCGCAGCCGCTCCCGGTCGCGCAGACGCAAGCACTCCCGTTCTCACAGTCGACTCCGGAAGGCTCTTCCAGTGGTGGCAGCAGGGCTGGGAACTGCCGCAGCGACTGGACTGTATGAGAAGCACAAGGATAAGAAGGAGGAAGAGGAATCCCGTCACCGAGGGCGGCGCCGCTCCCGATCTCGCAGCAGGGCTCCTTCTGACATCTACCCTGACCCAACCCGGGATTCAGCGGGGCTGATAGAATATGGCGAACATCCGGTTGCCGGAAGTATCCCTGCCGCTGATTACTATGGCCGACCCGCAAGTCAACAGGGCTATTATTCCGACGCCTCTGACCTCGTGGCTCGCGATGCAGGTTTTGGCCCGAGGCGAAGTCGCAGTCGGAGCGTGAGCCGTGGCGGGCGGTACAGAAGCAGCTCGTCGGACTCCGATAGCCATCGGCGGCGTCGGAGTCACGGCAGACACCGCAGCAAGTCCCGCGACTTGGCCGAGGCCGCTTTGGCGGCCACCGGCGTGGGGTATGCTGCGCACAAGTACTCCCAGCACAAGGACCGCAAGAAGGCAGACAAGGAAGCAGAGAGGTCGCGTGAGTACATCCCAATGTTGCGAAAGATTGCATGGTGGCAGAGTACTCATACTGTTGGACCAGGATACGATGACCGACGGGAACCCTATGAGGATCCGTACGCCCCAGAGCCATATGCAAACTCTCCGCACGACAACCAGTACTATCCCAACAGCAACTACTTCCCTCCCCCTCCAGGATCTGCTCCTCGTGTCGCGGGAACGGGGCCGGCCTACAATCCTGCTGATTATCCCCCACCTCCGGGTGCCGTTCCCCCAGCTCAACCCTACAGCTACGCTACTCCACCGGCGCCGGAGCCGTACGCGCCTCGACCCCGGAGGGCAGATGAGAATGTGAGTGCTACATGGAACTCTCCCCCTACCACTGCCCAATCTCGCACGTACGATGGTGGGTTCGGGACTGGTCCTTGTCTGGCAGAAGAATGCTGACACGGCGTCAAATAGGTCTAAACCAGAGGCATACTCATTCCCGAAGGCGCAGACCTCAGAGCCAACCTGCACAGCCGAAATCGGTGGCTTTTGACCTGGGTCGACCGATGGACCCGGGGTACGAGACAGATGATAGCGATTCCACCATTCAATCATTTCGAAGTCATCGGCATCGTCGTCGTTCTGATCGCCGTCGACGTAACTCTTCTGACGAGCCATACCACCGTCCCTCACGCGGTGCATATGATCGTGAGCATGGCATGGGCGATGATTATTCTTCTTCGTCTAGACGGAAACACGAAAACCAAGAAAAACAAGAGAAACAGCGCAATGAGCCCGAATCGGATTCGGACGCCACGATCGAGCTTCCCGACAGGTTTGACTCTCAAGGGCGACTCTTGCCGCAGCGAGGGGACGATCCGTTGGCGGACCGATTTGAGGATTGGCTGAAGGGAGTTAATAGAATTTTTGTATAATTTTGTCTCTGTTAGTGTGTTTTGCTATTTGGACTTATGTTTGTTACGATGGAGGACACGGTCACGCTCAGGTTGATGATGTTATGATATGATGATCTGCTAATGACGCGATGTTTCAATGGTTAAGATGCTTTGAATGAATTTGACTCTGCCATGCGTACAAGTTTTGGTCTTGTTGCAAGTCTCATATACTGGAAATATCCTGAACCATCAAACAAACGAGGACCGTACAGCCCCAAAGGCAATGCTTGAAGCCACACATACTCGGGATTGCCAGCTAGTATCTTTCCTTCCTATGCTTTCTTTCTTGAACTGACAGGAGTGTTATGGCTGGATCATGTGATGTGCTGCTTTGGGAATGCCCCTATCCATTGTCCTTCAAGACATCATCCGGCCTTTGTACCAATTTTGACGACTCTATACCTCGCATCTAGCCCAATTAAGGCTTATTTCAATGCAACCACGCATGCACTACGATGACGCTGCCTGGGAGAAAAGCGAGGAAATCGCTGATGCGTGGGTTCTACAATTCCTCGAACCCGATGTCTTGACACCGGTTGGGAACTTTGTTGTCAGGTACCACAAACCTGACAACCCCACCGAATTCAACATTCTCGAGAAGGGTGCCTTCAACATCTCACTTCAAATGGTGTACGAAAGTAGTTCCGCCGTCATCCGTTTCCCAGTGCCTGGTGCCACGATGTTTCCTGAAGAAAAGGTCCGTAATGAGGTCGCTATCATGCGATACATTCACGACCAGACGTCAATCCCAACGCCGTTCGTGCTTCACTGGGGCACAAAAAAGGAGAGCCCTCTAGAGCTGGCTCCTTTCATTATGATGGAGTATGTCAACCACAGTACGAACATGTACGATGTCCTGGATACTCCAGGATGTCCAAGATCAGACCGTGGCATACTTGATCCGAACATTGATGAGCATAAGTTGTGATCTCTTTATGGAGAGCTGGCAAATATACTGCTCCAACTTTCCAAACCATCCTTTCCTCGGATAGGTGCCCTCAGCCAGCCCGATGACTTCACGTGGGAAGTCGCCTACCGACCATTATCGATGCCTATCAATGAACTCATCCGACTGGGATCTCTCCCCCAATCGAAATTGCCCAGTCCAGCCGCTACATTCGAAACATCCTCATCATACTATGAAGCTCTAGCGGAGCTGCATATTGCACACCTAGCAAACCAGCGAAATGACGCCGTTGACTCCGCTGACGACTGCCTGCCAGATGTCTCTTCCGCAAACTCGCCCGGACCCGCAAGCTCACCAAGCGATGGGCGTCGCTCGATAAAGGCCCATTCAAATTGTGGTGCGATGATTTCCGACCAGCCAATGTCCTTCTCAACGAGGGGTTGAAAGTAGCTGGAATTGTGGACTGGGAGTTCACATACGCCGCTCCGGTGGAGTTTTCCTATGCGCCGCCGTGGTGGCTCCTTATCGAGAAGCCCGAATACTGGCCTGGTGGTCTCGAGGACTGGTGCAGAGTGTTTGAGCGCCGGCTACAAACCTTTTTAAAGGCTATGGCTGATCGCGAAGATGAGGCGGTCCGTCAGGGCCGGCTCGAGGAGCATCAACGGCTGTCTGGTCCTATGCGAGATAGCTGGGAGAGCGGTGACTTTTGGGTCACTTACGCGGCAAGGAATAACTTTGCTTTCGACGCGATCTACTGGCAGAAAATTGATCAGCGTTTCTTTGGACCAAGTGGCTCTTCTGGATGCAGAAGAGAAAGATTACATGGAGAGACTTGTAGCTCAAAAGGAGGAGGAAATGGGGTCCAGGGTTTTGATGTGGGAGCCTGATGAGTATACCGGATCTCTCGCATTGAGAAACGGTTATGTGGAGGAAGAGTTGACCAGAGATGAAAGATGAGAAGAGAGCTTGGGCCATTGAGACCTGATGTCAGTGTGTACATGTTGTTTGATTTCTTGGAAAGACTGTCGGGTTAGTTACACAGAAGTGGATGGGACCGAAATCGACCAGACGAATGTGAGTATTACTATACTCTCAGACCTCTTTGCACATGATGGAGACTGATAACCCTTTTTAAGTCTATCAGACTATTGCCGTTGTCTCACTCTAGTGTTTCTATTTCCGTATCAAGAAGACCCTTATGCCAAGCCCAGAGAGCCGCGCTAATCCCCATGTGGCAATATGCTCGGATAGAGCGAGTTTTGATTGGCACGAAATAGTTTGGGGCTGAAAACCCATTTTTACCCTAACAAGACTGCAGACATCCAGGCTGACAGCATGGACTGACCAGCTGAGACATAATAGGGGTCTGTACGAACCCTCTCCTCTGCTACTCTTGGACGAGCCAAGTCCAGAGTAGGCACAGAAGAAGACAAACTAGCGGCCTCACATGGAGCGCACCAAATGGCTGGACGGCCTGCGCGGCATAGCAGCCGCCATCGTGGCCTTTGACCACTTTTTCATGAGCGATGTGTGGCATCCCTTTGTCTCTTTCTGGACGGATCCGCCCGAGGGGAACCGCCACATTGTTTCAACTGCCGCCAATTCGCATCATCTTCTCGGCTCATGGCATGGTGACCCTGTTTATGGTGATCTCCGGCTATGCCATCTCCATCAGCCTCTTGAAAGCCCGGAACACACCCCAGTTCCTCGGACGGGTCTCCTCGGCCATCGTGCGAAGGGCATTTCGCATTTATCTGCCGGTTCTGGTGACAGCCGGCCTTGCCCAACTTCTCTACTTTTTCGATCTCTATCACTGGCCCTTTGATGAAGGCCTTCTGGACGCCCTTCCCAAGCCTTGGACTGCCCCGTGGGCACACGTCAAATGGCTTCTCAACTACATGGCCGAGAGTATCAACGTCATCGCCTTTGAGTATCGCGGTGGTCTGAATGGCCAGTTGTGGACCATGCCGCTGGAGTTCAGAGGGTCCAACGTCGTCTATCTCCTCATCACCGGCCTTTCCGCGTGGCGGGCGAAGTCAAGACTCTACGTACTCCCAGCCATCGCGTCCTTCTACCTCTGGTATGGGAACTGGGACATCTTCGGCTTCATCTGGGGGCTCTGGTTGGCCGAGAAGGCAAACGCTGCCTCCTTGGCCTCGGACAACCATCTCCATACCGAATTTGAATTGGCAGAGTATGAAGATGAGGCCCGCTTACGGTTCAGCCTCCCCGAAAGACTAGGCCTGTGCCGCGGTAAGCGACGGTGCGGCCGCAACTCCCAACTACGCTTCATTCTCTCTCGAATGGGGATTGGCCTCGCATTTGTCATGGGCTACTATCTTCTCTGCCTGGGGAACGACGGCCATCTGCCGCCAGGATATCAGTTCCTCTCAGCCCTTCACCCCACCCGCTGGGGAGACAAGTGGGATATATACCAATGGTGCTGGAAATCAATCGGATCAGCCATGCTTGTCTATGCCATTTCGGAATTCCAGTGCTTGCAACGACCGCTCAACACGCGGCCTGTCCAGTATCTGGGTAAGATCTCGTTCGCGCTGTATCTGCTCCACGAGACTATTTATCAGCTGTGGAGGAATCCCTTACGAGACTTTATCTATTCGACGTTGAGTGGACAAGATTATGGGAGCAGTGGTGAGGCGTGGGGTGCTGATCCGTTCTCGTTCCATGTCGCCTGGTGGACGACGGGTGTTGTGCTGGGAACGGTGGTAATGGGTGCTTCACATTATTATACGATACATGTGGATAATCGGTGTGTGGAAGTGGCCAGGAGGGTGGATCGGTGGTTTAGTTCTTGAGCCTATATAATAATCTCCATGTTAGAAGCAATACTGGATAATGGCACAATTCACCGGCAGTGGAGTGCGGTGACAGAACGTAAAACAACTCACTAGAGGGAAAGGGAGTGTGGCGAAGAAAGATGGCAGATAAAATAAAAACCAATAAAATAAACATAAGAGAACTGGGTAGTAGTCATCATGAGGGAATGGTCCCTTCTTCTGTTGTTATGGTTCTTCTCTTCCATCATCTCCCCACACGTCTACATCTCACTCTGACTCTCATCTCATCTCCTCTCTTACTTCCTACCTCCCCCTTCCCCAAGCATCCCCCATCATGCCTAAGAACAAAGTTCGAGATCGCCTTGTGTACCTTTGCGAAAAGGTCGTTTTTGATCGTGAGATCGATATCTCTCAAGATCCAGAAACTGAAGGACACGTCGGTAGCGAAAGTCTCTCTGCCTACAATATTCGCCTCCTCGATCTAGATCTTGAATCCCTCGATCACGAACAAACTTACCTGACCTCGGACCCTCCTATCCTTTTCAAGCCACTCGCCAGCGCGGCGGTGGAGATGTTTCCGCCTACAGAGACGATGCGAGAATATCGGGATTACATTCCTCCTGAGGCTCGGTCCCTTGACAATCGCAGATGGTGGCAACCTATTGACTGCGCAAGAGATGTCTATAATTACATTCTCGATCTCTGCGATGGATTCCAAACAAACCTTCCCGAGCCTTTTTTCTCCCTCACACAGTATTGCCGGCTCGACACCATTACGTGAGTAGTGTCGTCTTCCCAGTTATCCTTATCATGCCCCCCGATAATGTTTTAATACTGACAAATGTAAAAATAGCGTCCCAAATCCCTATCTCTATGGAGCAGACCCTCCCTCTTCCATCAAAGGTGGAAAGTGGTGTCGGGGTATTGAGCTTGAATGTGCCAGAGACAATGGCAAGCCCACCAGTCCTTACATGGCCCAGGCAACGCTACATTATTATAACGGACGAGAGGGCTCAATCCTTTGGGGAGAGCTCGCAGCGCTTATTACAGCCATGCACAACAGGGCAATCCAGCCCGATATCGATATCCAGACTTCGAGGTCGTATATGGAACGAGGATACGTTTTGAAGGAGGAACTCGGCAATCGTCTAGCTTTTCCCCAGGAGAAACGCTTCCCAGTTGTCATGCTTTCGTTTATGGGCCCACAGCATGGAAGAATTCTCTATGCCTTCATGGATGGGGAGCAGTTGGTTCTCCGACAATCTAGGCTTTTTAGTTTCGAACGAAAGGCCAATGCTCCATTTGCGCTATTTCAGCGTATTTTGCTGAGCCATCCTATCGCTGAACGCTGAGAGTCATTCTGGCTACTATGCGGCTACGGTGCTTATTGAAGTGTGCGACAACGTTTTTCTAGGCGCTTTGAGCTGCGAATAGGATAAGAAGCACAATACCCCGTTCTAATATTGCGCCGCTTCGCCTCTCTTTCAAAACATTGCACATTGGGAACAGGCCGTGTGCTGCCTGCCTATGGAACGGACGAGACGCCAGTTATTCTCTGCGGGTAGCATTCAAAGAGCACGAGAGTAAAGAGATATCTGCTAAGATAGCCGCGTATATGCTCACTTCCTTCCTCTTATCTTCCCGGTTCCAGCTAATACGGTTCGCACGCTCCTTAGTCACATGGCCGCCAACGCTGGTATGCACGCGATTGTTTCTGACGACCGCCGCCTTCCAAAACACTTTCTGAAGGGTACAGCGGCTTCGCCGAAAGTCGTTGTTAAGACGCATTCCGCTGCCTCCCAGGCCTCTCCTTCAGAGGGGAAGGAAGCCGTCCGTGGTCGCCCCTCACCTTCACCCTGCGCTACCTTTGTTGAGTTATTTCAAAGCAATAGACATTACTAGACTGGCTCATCGCCTAACTATCTGTTTCTGCGCCACCCTAGTGCATCACAGACGCTTATCCCACTCCAATGTACGTCGTACTTCCAAAGGTAGAGTCCATAGAGTCCCTCTAATATGACATGAGCTATCGTCTTCCAAATATACTCGAGAGCCTCAAAGAAGACCTCCTTATTTCCGGTTTTGCTCCGATAGACCCACCTGCTCTGCCAGTTCTATATGAACCTGATCTAGAAGGCATGTATGTAACTTTGGAAACATTGCAATTCACTTGCAGAGCATCTATTCAATATGCCGCTTCTGTGAATCCATAGTCTTGTTTGGCAACTGCCTTGAATTCACCGGCGCACTTCATTCCATTTCTTTCTTAGTCCAGTGAAAGGGTGGTAGCAGTCATTGAAAACACGCATTTTGCCAGCTATATAAACTGACACTACAGATCCAGATCTCTCCTAACTATCCCTTCTTACCCACCTCCTCTTCTCCCCTTTTTGATCCTACCTATCAGCTACAATTCGTTTCAAGCATTACTGTGCCAGGACCTTTAAGACGCTGTGCAATACGAAGTGCTGTGAAGACCATCTACCACTCACTTTCGGGAGCACTTCTCCTATTTCTGGAGACCATTGAAATTCGAGGCCGTCGTCGCGGCCAAGCCGTACGCTAACGTCAACTACCGAATAGTTGAGGTGCAGGCCGCACTGCGAGATAGCCTGCAGGCGATCAACTTCATCCGTCGCGTGACTGCAGGACAGCCGCCTGGCGGGCTGTTTTTGTCTTCCCTTGCACCGTATATCCAAGAGGAGCAGATCGCTGTCGCTCATCCGCTCGTCCGCTCGACGAAGCTATGGTGAATCCGCTGAGGGAGGTTGCAGATGGCGTCGGA